AGCTCGGGGACCGATTACATCCGAGACTGCGTAGTCTCAAAGTAGGCAAAAGGACCAAACAATATAAGCACACTAACTGGAGAGAAGGATTTCCAACGATGAGGATGTTCACGGCAGTTGCATATCTGCGGGACCTGGATGATCAATCTGAATGGTTCATGTTTTGATTTCTACTGGAAGATTCCCAAACAGTACCAGACCGAACCCCTGTAGCATGTTCGCGGCTAACACTGGAACCCCGAGATTTAGTGTTGCATGCCCTCCCCTGCCCTGGCCCTCCAGGGTAGTGTCGCAACCAGCCCCAAAACGGCTGCATTTTTCAAAGACGTGGGCAAGGGAGTAGGTAAGCGAGGAAGGTAGATGAAATCATCTATTCTAGAATGATTATCATAGCCTATAATTGTATAGAGACGCGCTTTACCCCTATTTTTCATATGTTGATCCCTTAAACTAACTGCCTGTTCCTCCTAGCCGGGAGACTAAAGTAGCCGGCGCGAAGTAAGAGAACGCAAAAAAAAAAAAAAAAAAAAAAAAAGAAGAGATGTGGAATTCTCATGTGACCTACACTACATACCGTAGATACCTAAGTACTGTACGTGACCTGCGCACATGACCTGCCTACAGTCACTAGCGTCGAGGACCTCGAACGACGACGGAATGTGGGCGGAAAATACCTGTATAGCCCCCAGGGCATCTGTCGACATCTCCCGCGGAATTGACCGAAAGAAAGGGTCCCCCTACTAAGTAAGTAGCCTAATAGATATGTAAGTATAGTATGATGGGGCGGTGCGGCAAAAATACAGGACATCGAACGAACCGACCAATCGACCAAGTATCACGATTGCACGTCATGGTAGTATAGAAAGAGGGACCCTCAGCTGCAGTCAATCGACCGGCATTACATCTACCTACATCTACATCTACATGTAATAGGCTATGCTATGCTATCTGCATGGTACATACTTACATACATGTAAGAATATTCTGAACAAGCACCAGTGGCGCTCGCCTGATGTTACGTGACTTGGTGCCGTTGTTCGCCAACCATTACCCGATCACTTGGCATGGCTTACTTACATTCGCGCAAGCTAGGGACTTCATGAACATACTATGGATATGTATATGTATAACGAAAACACTACCTAGTAGTAACCGGTTTGAGAACTTTTGCAATCTCAGAATACTTAACCAATATGTACTTGGCACAGTAACATAACACTGTACTTACAGTAGAGATGTAGAGAAAAAATAAAATAAAAATAAAATAAACACGTAGAGACTACCCGTACACTAGTTAACAAGGTTTTCTCTATCTCAAACAAACAAAAAAAAAAAAAAAAAACGGTTCCGCGGTATGTCTCAACCACTAAGGCCTATGTACTTAGTGTATTGGCCTAGCAAGACACCAACCGACCCTTCCGATAGGCTCGGAACCGAAATGTCGTCAGTGGGCTTAGCACAACACCATGTTCTCTCCCCTACAATTCAGCACACACCCTTGCTTGCTATCCTGTACTTAAGTATGTATATGTAAATGTTAGAATAGCATAAGTAATATCTCATGGAATAGGCAGTTACCGCCTCAGCGGTATTTCAAACCCGATGTTTAAACAATCCCTGCTCTTCTAGGCTCTCTGTGCATTACTCACATTACACTGCGCGTAGGTAGTATGGAATCCTACGGCGATTACTCATCTCATCCGGCGCCCTACCGCATGTTATGTAACGAAGTATGTAGGTAGGTAGTCAATGCATCAATTCGCTAGTTGTCTTGCCTTTGTAGCTGCGTTTATTTACTTACAGGCGGTGAATGGGCACGCAACGGAACATTACACCACACGACACTATTGTATGCATAGGGTAGGTATCACGATACCCTATGCCCTTCGGACTACCCCGGACTTCTCCCCCCCCCCTCTTTCTCTCTCTCTCTCTCGCACGCGCGCCTAGTGCAGTAGTAAGAGTATGGGCTGATCGATATCAAATCTCACCTACCTATACTACCTAGGCGGAATGCAGATATAGCACCAGAATTCAGTATTACTTACTTACTTACTTAAGTACTGACACAGAGTGGCCAAAAGTAACGTTAACAATCATTAAGTCTGCTTTTTTTTTTGTGATGTTGTCATACGGCATGCTACACTACCTACGTACGTACGTTGTTATACCACGCCTCAAGTAACATGGCCGGGGAAAAATCGCGAAAACGTAAGATCGAGATCCATTCGATGGATAGAATGCCGTAGCTATTTATATCACGGTCTGGCCTTGGCGATATGAGGGCGCGAATGCGCCGGCGGAAAAACCTTATATGTTGTACTAAGAGTGGGATTGGCTGTGTGGTTGCGCGAAGAAGGTTTGGTGCTAATAGTGTAGCGGTGGCGATGGTTGGTGTTTTGTTGTCCTCGTGAGCGAAGACTTTGTGAGGATGGGGTGGGTTTCATGCTGATGCTAATTACGGTGTGTGTCACCGTGTGTAAGAACTATGAGTAGGGTAGGGGAGAGGAGAGTGTCTGTCGATGCATATCCTGCTTGGCTCGTCTTTGCCTTGCGCAACGCTGTTGCGCAAGGTTCCAGCATTATCGTGCTATTTGAAGGTTTGTTGATGAGGAAGAGAACGGATGAGATTGGGTAGGTGATATTGATAGAGGTCGTCGACGCAACTACTTAGTCTAGAGAGTATGATGAGAATATTTACTCATGTCATGCTTGATTTGGCAGGATCGTGAGAATAGGGGTTACATAGACTTGTGAGAGGGTTGTGACCTTCCTTATATTGGAGTCTCTTGAGAACAGTGGTTCTGAGCGGGCTTTCCCTAGATCCATTTCATTCTATTTGAGCAAGAGTATGTTGAAATATGCGGAGGACTATGTGTTTCGCAAATTCAATGAATATATACTCATGATGTTTTTATCACAATCAATTGATTTCCTCCGCTCGTGCTCTTGCTCTGAAGTCTCACCTTGATCAGTGTTGAAATCTAGATATCCTACGGTAATTATCGAGTTTCCTTTGATACGCAACAGTCGATAATTCCCTAGTATTTATTGCCATAGACCAATATTGTTGCGTAGTTATAGTTTAGAAATAGTATATGAACTACCAAGTAAAAACGGAGCGATAAATGAAAGAGCCAGAGGAGAATTGAGAACCAAAATCTGTCAAGGTCATTAGCTTTCAATGAGAGCTTTATATTAATAGTTATATATCGACGGTTTCATAAAAGCACGTGCAAAAGAACGATGTGTAGATAGACACCACATAGTCATCACTATAAGAGTTCTTTGAACGCCTTCATAGTTTACTTCACAGCTCCATTGAAGACACTGAGTCATCCGATAACGCTACCTCCAACTTATACCTTTTATCCTACCAATATCATATTCAAGAGAGTTATTAACTTTGTCGTGCCTCAGATGATAAATAGCGAAGTAGTGACAATCAGTACGATTTATAGCTCAAAAGTATGATAATATAATACATCGACCATGAGGGTATATACATCAATGTTCTACTTAACTGAAAATCATACAACAGAGAACTGGTGTAGATGACACATCCAGGCTTTCCGACTGCCGGGACGCTATATATAATGGCTTGCATTACTACGGGCTGGTAGTGGCTCATATTGTTCACTTACATGGCCTCATGAAACAAGTACTGCTGAAGCTAAGAGAGGGTTTCATAGGGCTGGCATCATTTGTATCTAACCACATGAACTAAATCTATAATACATCAATAACCATATTATCTGGAGTTAGTAGTAGGGTACTGAACGATAAAAGTAAATTCTTATATAAGTTGAATACACTCCCGAAACATCCAAGATATTGCTAACTTATACTTTCTTGTTCACACTATGCTACTTGAATCAAGCCTGACTTAATTCTATAGTATATATACCGATGACAAGTGACGACAGAAAATCTTAGAATTGTAGCATCTTCTTAATATATCGAATATCATTGTGCAGATAGACACGGTCTAAATCATCACGCCATAGATTCTCAATCTTTCTTAACCCGCAATATTTACTTCCCATCACGATCAGCATATTTTGACTTCGGAAGCCTAGTCTACACACTTATCGCCACTTTAGGAACTGCAATCATAGGGATGGATACTGCATGGTAGTTATATGATGGCTTCGAACCCTTTATGCCTAGGCTAGGACTATATACAGAATGCTTCCTTGTTGTAATCCTATGACTGCGACCCCTTCTTTCGTTGGCCGATCAATACGAAGTTATTCATACACTCATATCAGTCATTTATGAAAAACATTGTTCCTATAGTAAGTAAATCTATTATATTCCTCTTTCATATGTGCTTGTACAGTTTGAGCGTGCTTAACATGCGAGTTTCGGTGATAATTCAGGGTCAGCCATTTTGTCCGCAATGAAAGTGAAGCTCTTCATCCTTCGCCAGTATATAAGATCTTGGCGGCATTCCAAGGTTAGGTATTTTGGTCCGTTACTAGTTAGACCGAGCTCAGCAGTGTGAGATTCGGATAAACCGGATGAATCTTGGCAATGATAACAGATTATTTTATCGTGATCGGTCTCAATTCCAGGCAGCATTTCAAGCCCTTATTATGCATTTTTTTCATTATCGTATCGGAGAAATTTCTCGTCTGCGCTGTTCGCCCTGAATAGTCACGAGCTACCTGTATGCATCTCCTTATCCAAGTGTACCGACACGACGATGGTGTTCAATGTGAGAAGCAACCATAAAGTTACCAATTTCGAAGGAATGGTTAGTTCTTATACGAACAATCCACGCTAGTATTGCGTGATCTTACACGGCGTATCTATTAATCGTTAGGACTAACAACGCTCTCGTGCATTATCAGACCATAATGTTATCTGCATCTTACCATGCTCTGCTTCTAGGGCCAACACCATCTTATCTGACAATGCTGCTTACAAAATTTCTTTCCCTTAAACATGTCGAAGCAGGACTTGCTAAACAACAACTAAAGGAAAGTTCTTGAATCATGCTCCGAAGCCTAATTTTCGCCGGCTCCGTAACGATTGCGGTGTTGGCACTGCTCATCAGCCAATGGACGCCTCCATCAGCGCCGCATGTCGAGCATATTCGTCAAGGGCGCAACAACACCGTCTTGATCCTGTCAAACAATGAACACGGGCTGTCCAATGTCCATGTGGCAACGGCATACGCCTTGTTGGAGCGTCACCCGGAGGTGGAGGTTCATTACGCATCTTTCGCGCCCATGGGCCGGAAATTGGGGCGCGTATCCGACCGAGCTCGGCAGATCAACCCAGCAGCACGCAGCATTGTTTACCATGAGCTCCCGGCGGAATTATCGTTTATGACCAGCGGACGCAAGAACGGAGAAGGGCCGGTCGACGTCCTTCACTCCCCTGGTCTCGGCAGTATCAAGACAGTAACCAAATTCATGCCCTGGATTGTGTCGATCTGGTCTGGCGAAGATCATTTGGCTCTCTTTGAGAAAATCACAGGTATTATTCAAAAGCTTCATAATGACCTCTCTCCTCAAGTGGTACTAAGTGTTCATCGATTGCAGACGTGATAGATGAAGTAGATCCCTCACTAGTCGTCTTGGAGGTCTTCCTCCGACCCGCTATCGATGCGGTGTATAACAGGAGTCGCCTTCACGCCTATATCTCCCCTCTCACTCCTCTTGAGCACTTTGCAATTGAGCAGCCTTATGGTAGCTGGCTATGGAAGTATCCTGTGTAAGTCTCTACGCACGGCATGAATCCTGTTAGTAGTGAACTGATTTCTACATAGCATGGGTTCTGGCATCCCGTTTCCAGTACCGTGGACAAGAATGCTAGAAAATATTTATATAAACTTGCGATTTTACTATTCCATGTTTCGAATGGCGGGCCAAACGGACAAGAATAAGTACTTGGAATCGAAAGGCCTTGTCTACCCTATTAGCTGGTTCAACTTCCGCAACGCAAATGTGCCCTGGATCTCGCAGGCCGTCCCAGGTGCCTCGACACCGCTCGACGTTCTTCCGCAGAATGTTACTCTTACCGGACCCATCCTTCTTTCGATGGCAACTGCTGAGGAGCAGGCACCAGAACTAACTAAATGGCTTGCTCGTGCTCCAACTGTGCTTATCAGTCTGGGTACTATTTTCATATATACGGAGGCGCAAGCAACAGCAAGTAAGTAATTCTTTAACGACATGAAGGCTACTTATCATAAGTCTGGACTACTTAAGCTCACGATGGCTGACTCTGGGTTTGGAAACTAGTGGCACAAGCGATCGCAGATACACTAATTTCGCGACCTGATCTCCAGGTCCTCTGGAAATTCATGAAAGCTACCGACGCCAACGGCACGAGTTACAGCGACGAATTCCTAGAGCCGCTGCGCCCCTTTCTTGAGAACGGGCGACTCAAGATGGAGACGTGGTTAGACGTACAGCCTGTGACGCTTCTGGAAACCGGCTACATCGTTCTTTCGGTGCATCATGGCGGGGCAGGCTGTTATCACGAGGCACTCGCGTAAATATGTCCCTCGTCCCATACTAGAATTACGGGAACGAGAAAAGCTAACCTATGTGAATGATAGGACGGGGGTGCCGCAGATGGTCTTACCCCAATGGCTAGACCATTTCAGCTTCGCGCAGCTATCCCAAGACATAGGGGTTGGTGTCTGGGGATGCTCGGAGGCGAGCCCCTTTTGGGGAGCCACGTGTCTCCGCGATGCATTCGCTACTGTCTTAGACAGTGAGAAGTCCGCCCAAATTCAGGAGAAGGCGAAACATTTCGGCGACATCGCGAAGAGGAACCCCGGCCAATACGTGGCTGCTGACGAGATTGCGAAATGGGCTGCCTCCGGTTATGCTTCTTGAGCCAGGCTCTTTCTCTTGGACATAATTATCTTTGGTATTGGCTTGAAGCTTGCGCATGGGCGCATGATGAACTCTTGTAAAATATGTGAATAGTAGGACTCTTTGTGTGAATAATTATACACGTTCCGACTACTTCATAACAAGACCTTCGTCCATTTCCCGTCTGCTCAGATAGTCACGACGTTGTCGCTTGTTGCTGTAGAGCAATGTGTTTTCGCCGATCCAGTTAGAGTGGATTACGTTACACCACTTTCAGGGGTACTTTAAGCTTGGTTAGATCTTGTAACCCATCCAAGACGACCAGCGGCCAACCGCCATCCAGACAGGTTGGCATGGAACAGAGGTATAGCACTATACTATGACCTAGCGAAAGATAACATAACTTCAGGTTGTCAGGTCGGGACCCTAACCGCCTGCACTCATTATATATGGTACTGTGACACAGATCCTCGAGCAAGCCATCTGTGTAACCAACTATCCATCGTAGAGCACTTCCACTTTTTCGTCCTAGGGGAAGACAAGGTCTCTACTGAACCTGCTATGAAACAGGAATCTAGCTCTAAACTATGACACTACCCAAGGGTTAGAACGTTATTCCATCGTAAATATGATCACATGGACCTACTATGTATGTGGTACTGCAACCAAACCAATGACAGCGGTTAACGAAAGCAACGGGTACTAGGTCGCTTGTGATAACCGAGCCCATGAGCTTTAATAAATATGCATGTGAGGCTTCTCAGTTATTTTCTCAATTAATACTGTGAAAGCTGTCGATTTGAAGTCATGAGTAGGTTCAACGTCCATTTGATGGTATTATAAGCATGTCTAAGCAGAGGCGATCAATATACCATCGTCTAATTACTTAGATACACTGTCACTGAGGTTTATATAACATTTCCATAACCTTTAAGTTAGCGGCTCTGGTGATGTATGAGCAAGGCGGCTTTCCAGGGTATTTTGTATTATGCACAGTACCACGGGCCAAATGGGATATGATACAGTGTAGATTTCCTTTGCCGGGTCTCTCATACATGACATAGCCGATCTATCGTCTTCTACGTTTGAATTCATGCCCCAGCACATTTTATACACATGATGATACAACCAATTCAGGATGAATACATATATATCGCTTAGCGGCGTCTGTTCAAGCCGTGAATCCTCGTGCTGTACTTCCACAAGCTCTTGTACTTGGGCTTGGACCTCTTGGCCTCCCAACCACGGGCCTTCTTGGGTCCCTTGAGCGAGTAGACGCGCTTGTGCTTGAATTGGATATCGGCGCCTGGTACGCCAGCGCGTTCCATGACGCCCGCAGTACCCTCATCCCATACGGTTCGGAAAATGTTGAGACCGACGGTCGTCAAAGGGAATTTGTCCCGGAAGCTCTTTAGACTGAATCCGTCGCGGCCGCTATAGAGCTCGCGCAGTTTTCCAATGTCTAACGTGGCACCGTCTTCCTGCTCCAAAACGAATACAGCCAGCCGATGGTAGGGCGCGCCCATTTGGGAGAAAGCAGGCAGCCACGGGACGGCCAGCTGAGTCTCCTTGCTCAACTTGCTAAGGGGCAGAGAAGGCTTATCAGGGGCAATGGGTATGTTGGCTGCGAGGAAGTGACAACGGCGCTCGAATGAGTCGGTTTCGGCGTTAGGAACATCCAAGTCCACTACAGCAACCGACACGAGGCGTTCACCTGCGTTGAAAACCTGTACTTTCAGACGTGGCGGCACTTCTGTCACCCTCGAGTCCAGAATTTCACCGGGCTCGACCTTCTTCCGACGGAAGTAGAGCTGCACGTCGGCAACAGGATCGAGTTTGGGCAGAGCATCAGGGACGATCTTTAATGTTTCTATACGCTGATTGATGACGCGGTAGGGCATACCACGCCATTTTTTCTCGGCTAAGTGCCGATAGATGGGCTTGGTCATATCGCCTATTGTTCCTGTTAGTAATTCTGCTAACGATAGCTTCTATATGAATATGTAACAAGAAAGAGCATCGGCACTCACCAAACCCGTCTTCAAATCGGCGTTTCACAATGGGATCATTGATATCAACTAAAATCTTGAGTTCCTCGACATATTTCCTCAAACTCTTAAGACGTACGTCTTTCTTATGCTGGCCACCAGGGACTTGATCGGCGGGTGTCTCCTGGAGGCGCTTGATCTTGGCCAATTCCTTAGCGAGGGCCTCTAGCTTCTCCGATCGGTCCTCCTGTAAGATTTTACGAGCCTCCTGAAAACATTGGTAGGGTAGCTGTTCGAAGGGTACATTTTCTGAAGAGCGCAAGGCAGCACGTCGACGTCGCGATCCGACGGGAGGGGTTCCGGCCCGCATCAGCTTCCGCTCGGCCCAGTGTGCGGTGGTTGTGTTCGGGTCCATCAGACGCTCCCTCATACGGAGCTTAGCAGCCTCGGAGGCAGTAGCAGCATCGGCAGCATCGGATTGAGCTATCGGCTTTGACGACGAGCTGGGAGCAGGTGTTGTGGCGGTCGTTGTTGAGGTTGGCGGTGGTTCATCTTGCCGGCTTGATGTTCTCGCAAAGGAGCGGGCGAAGGATGTCGATGTCTGCAATAACAGGCCCTGCGGGTGGTGGATTGACTGTATGAGGGGTCTCGCGACCCTCTGGCAGCCCGACATGGTGCCAATTGCAGCCAGAATGAGGGCACGGAGGAGACGCTGTCGCGCTATTGGATCTATCGGAATGACGAACGACGTCCCAAGATGCAAATGGACTTTTCCTTGCCTACAGAAAAAAGCCAAAAGCTCCATCCCGCCGCGCCAGGGACCCGTCCGGGCAAAAAGGTGGGTCGCTAAGGGCTATCTCAGCGCTGTCATTCGCTGTTGTGGATCAATTTCTGCCCTATTGGGAAGCCTACGCTCTGCAGCCAGTCCTCGATATAATTTTTCCGGGGTTTGACGAACGACATACCTAACCATCCAATCCGATCCGATCCAGCCTCATCGTCGCCATATCACGGCTGACGTCTCTTCAACACCAGTCACCCCGTCTCTACCTCCAAGCGCCCTTCGACGTGACTGGCGGCGCCCGTATAGCACACGAATCGGCACTACAAATGGCTGCCAAAGGGGCGAGGGGTCTCAGTGAGGCCATGAAGGGCCTGAGCCTGGCCTCGCATACATGCAGAGAAGCAGCTTCTGTATGCCAACACCCTCCTATCCGCAGTCGCTTGCACTGGACATGTTGAGACGCATTTATTGACTGCTGAGAAGGCTCGGATACCGGCAGCAACAACATTCGTGCGCTCAATGGCAACCGAAGCCCCTCTACCGATCATTACTACGAACACATCATCCTCACCACCTACCTCGCACTGGAGACCAGGTTCGTCGCTTTGAAGTCGTCCTGTGCTCAATGATCCAATCTAACTTGCACTTTCCCACGCACAGCACCCACTGTTCCCGTAACAATATTCAACTTCCCCTCATACGAGCCCCAACGTCTGGAAGCCTGGTCCTCGAAACACCTGAATCTCCCCTTGCGCCGGGACATTCTCCACCTCGCTGTCGTCTACGAGGGCGACAACACGCGTCAGGGCACAGCATCTTCAAAGACGCGGTACGAGGTACACGGTTCACACAAGAAGATGCGTCCGCAGAAGGGCATGGGTCGCGCCCGTGTAGGCACCAGGCAATCGCCCATACAACGAGGAGGTGGAAAGACATTCGGTCCGAAGCCGCGCGACTTCGGCACCAAGATCACCCGCAAGGTCTACGACTTGGCCTGGCGGACCGCGCTGTCGTACCGGTATCGCCGCGGCGAGCTCGTCGTGTGCCAGGACGGCATGGAACTGCCTTTCCCCGATGAGTTCCAGGCGATGTTGCAGAGCAGCACGATGCGCGAGGCTGGCGCCGAGCTGGAGGCTGGGTTCCGCGCCAAGTGGGTGAAGCAGGTACTCGATACCAACGAGTGGGGGCGCAAAGCCGGCCGCAGCACCTTCATCACGAGCTCACGCCGAGTCAATCTGTTCGAGGCTCTCGGCCTCGTGCCCAATTGGGGTCGCGCCCTCGATGTGGGCGATGTGGATGTCAAGGATCTGTTGGAGACGGGGCGTATTGTCGTCGAGCACGACGCTCTTAAGCATATGATTGAGAGTCACCAGAGCGATATCATACCTAACTTTTATGTAACCAATGCATCCTTACCGAACAGGGCGGTAAGCGGAGAGGTGCTCGTCGAGTGAGCGGGCGTTGCTGGCTCGGCTGTGCTTCAGATATAAGGTTGCATCGAATGCGGATGACTGACGATGTGTGCTTGGGCTCTTCAGTTGGCATGTGTCAACTTGGCCAACTGTACACTGAAATAATCCGCTTCTGCGAGTAGAACAGTGTATTTTGTGTAAATAAGATAGGCAAATGTACAATATGAGACCTGACACAATCACAATAATCCCAGGTATCTTTTCATGTATATCCCAGCGTGCTACTAACAGAAGTTTGCACGGACTGTACTAAATCGTACCACGATTTATTATCTTCCAGACGACGCCTTGGTGAGCTGAGTAAACAACCGAAACCTACTCTTACCAATGTCTTCCGACTCATACAAGACGAATTCTTATCCAAGGACACCCAGTAAATCCCTTTCTGCAGAGCATAAAAGGCAATGAAACGACCAGAAAAAAAAGAGTAAGATGCAAGAAGTAAATTTTCGCCATGATTAAACGCCTAATATGACAAACAACAAAGTGTCAACACCCGCTAATTATCCGATAAGAGCGACAATATGAAGCGAAAGGACTCGAACATCACTTGATTTCCCTCCCTCCCCTCGTTCTCTCCAACCAGTAAGATATAACCTTGTACAATTACCAAATCTCCCACGTACGACCATAGCCATCGGAGAACTCGGGATCCCGTCCGCTCTCCCATAGATAAGCCGGTATGAGCGCCAGATTAGTAGTTGGGTCGGTGACGACCAGCGAATCCCTGGTGTTGTACGTCGACATCTCTTTTTTTTTTTTTTGATTTATTTAAAAAAAATTTAGGGTTGGCTTTATTTTGATTTATTCTCATTTTTTCCTTCGCTCTTCAAGAAACATGGTTGTACTGGCGCAGGTTAATGGAACCATATTCTCTGTTTAATTGATCTTGTCGAATACCTTGTACATCGCCCCAATTATTGCGTCTTTATCGTATTCGCTCAGTTACTAGGCATTTTTCTTTTTCTCCTTGATGCGATATTAGGATAATTCGCTCGAGCGGAAATTCGTCTACAGCAATGATTATCAAAGGTTGGTCGAACGTGAATAGGGGATAATTAGTGGAGTGTTATTGTTCAGATATGAAAACGAATGGAAGGGGATGTAATTAACTCCTCTTATGATTTGATGTTATACAGAAACAAGCACCCATTTCGTTAAATTATTGACCGGGTCTTTTCGCCCGGTCAAAGGACGAGTTACGAGCCGACAGGCCACTATAACTATTCCATGCTTGGAGAATAGGATATATTCCCATTTCTATAATTCCTAATCCCTTCGAAGTCCTAATACATGAAAATTTCCCCTCCCTACACAACTTAGGTAGTCGTCAGGTATAGTTACGTTTTGCAAAACACAAGCCGTGCGCTCGTGGAATCCTCGACATTATCCCGCTCAACAGAACAGCCCACAAACACCCCTCGGATTTATCCCCCGAGTCGGTGATGCGAAAGCATCAGTATGTACCTGAGTAATGACGTTTACCCGTTTAGGTAGTTCGACGCGCGTCCTCGGCAGGGAAACCTAAGGTTAGGTAGGCAGGTATGGTTATATGGTTGTCACATGTATCATGGGTGCTTATTTACATGTGTATACATATGCCACCGTATGTATGTGTGCAGGTTAATAAGGTTTTCCTTGGAAGCTTTGCAGCGCAGAAAGCGGTTAGACTGGAAACGAGGTAGGTCAGTATTGTGACTTGCGTTGTGTTAGACGCTACCTACACTTCGCGGCTTTACCATGAATTATAGATTGGTCAGATGAGACAATGTTGGTGATACAGCTATATGAATCGTATCCTGATGGCAGTATATTAGAAAACTTGTCCTATTTTGCGAAGACCAGGAGTTTAAGCGTAGATGTCGACCTAGGCTATGTAAATAAGTAACTGAAGAAACCGGGATTCTAGAGTACTTGGGTGTCTGGGTTGGCTTCGCCTATCTACCTGATAGAGTTAAGTTCGTCTTGTTTCCCCGGATTCTGCGTGATGACGGACACCTTATATTGATGCATATGCCCTCGTGATGATTTTCCGAATGCGGGACTTCTTTGGTTGTCTCGTCATTGACATCGAAACTGGCATACTTGATACGTTGTTGGGCGATGTTTAGTAAATGTTAGACGGCTGACAGCTTTGGATTGTTATTGGTGTATTTGATGGATGCTGGAATCTGCTCGAACGATCGATTCGGTATTTTTGATTATCGGATGCTGCCTTGTAGATGTGCAGAGCGATTACTTGGGCAATCGCTACTTCGCGCGTGAGTAATTTGAACAGAACGTCAGGGATAATACACTCCTGGCTTCATCTATTGTCTCTACTCATTATTAACCTAATCGTTTTGAGTGCTTCCTGGGTATAGATGTATCTACCACCTAAATACTCTCTGACCTTCGCCTCGTCTATTGTGATTGAGATTGGTACCAATTCATTGCCAATATTTCTGTAAGTAGCTCGGTATTGCATGTATAGCTGAAATTTTCTTATATCACCGCCTCAGTAAGGTCGAATCACCATCTTTTAAGTGTTCCTCTATATTCGTGATAGATTATTGTCCCTGCTATAGATAACCCAGTATATACATTCCATGTACAGCCGGATGATTAGTCCCAGCATTAGCTTCAGTATCCCCTCCGTTTCCGTTCCGTTTCGCCCAGTTCCTTGCACTCCCCCATCTTACAGGAAAAATTGCGTTCATCATGGGTACGTGCGTTATCGTGTACAAATGTCACATGTATGCGTTCCACAACATCTCGTGTGTATGTGTGTATCCCTTTGTATTCCCTCTGTTCATATAACCCACCACCAATCGTAAGAGAAAGGCGAGAATGCAATCCCACCATGATCCCCAACTCCGAGCTTCTTCTCCGTAATAAAAAGGAAGAGGAGAAGATAGTCTGTCCCAAAAAAAAAGGAGAGATAGTAAGAAGGGTAATAATAGGTGGCAATCAGTAATAGATAAGAAGATCATGAATGATGGCGAAGAATGAGAGAGCAAAATATAAATATATAAATGATTGCTATAGGGTATAAAGCGGGGTTGGCTCGGGTTACCAGCAAAGAATCGAAGCTTGTTCCCGACTTTTGCGAGACAAATAAAAGACAGAGAAAAACAGGGGATCGAAGAAAATTGTTTGCCGTCGATGGTACATGCACCTACATCATTCATAAGATCGTAGGCAAGATGCTAGGCGCCTCCTCACGATGTACTAATTTGCGCTTGAAAACAAAGGCCCGTTTAACAATCATTGGAAGACCAGAATGAGCCTAGCTGACTGGGTGATCATATAGTGATATGGACATGCCGTCGTAGTCGGGTTCGTCATCAACCCCTGGTGTCTGGTCAAAGCCTTGCGCTAAGTGATCCTGAGACGGTATAGGGTAGCAGCCTGGAGTACTGATCGACGGTCTATTCTGGTTGAAGAACGTCGGGGGCGATGTGACCTGGCCGAGGTTGTGCGGAACTTGGGACGGGGTCGCCAGGGGGCTGATCAAGCTGGGACCGCCGGCGGCGTATTCGGATCCTGTGGCCGACGACGACGGCATGCCGTCTTGATGGCCATTTATGCCCTGCGTCGGGCTGAAGTGCGCTAATATCTGGTCGTATCGTTCGCCGGTGCCAATGACGAACCTCTTCGCCTCGTTCTCGATCCACTTGTCGATGTTTGAGTCATTACAGTTCGCGTGGGCCATGAGTTGCGCCCGGATGCGACTCGCCTCGTCTACCAGGCCGTCTAGCTCCATATGGAGGTGGGCGTTTTGATTTTCAAGACCTGACTTTGTCTCCTCCAGGTCGTTGACCCATTCCTTTTTCTTCTTCCGACATTTCATGGCGGCGACCCGATTCCTTTGAAGAAAGTGTTTGCGCTTGCCTTCCGTCTCCTTTGGGTTCGAGTTTTCCTTCGCTTTGGGTTTACCTGGCATCCTTCGCGCCGAGCTCAAGAGCGGTGGAGGATCATCGTCTAGGTCTTCCATTTCGGCCTCGCTGTCCAGAGCTTGTCCGATGGCAATGTTTGGCGCGTTCTCGGGGGTGACCAGATGCTGGGATTCGTTAGTCTCGGGCGTTGATGATGATCCGGTTGACAGAGCCGGAGATTCGAACTTCGATGGAAGGTGATAAGGGGAGGCGACGATGGTTCGCGGAAGAAGCTCAAATGGAGTTTGAGGAGTTGAAAGAGATCCTGAATGTGGAGGTTGTGTATGGAGTGGAAAAGCGTCAGCATATGGCGTTGGCTCCAGGCTTTCGTGAAACCCGGTATGGTTCGTGGCTGCCGACACACCAAACATGCCAAAGCTGAGGTCCTCCTCGCTATGGAAGTTAAACCTGCTGAACGTCGGCGTCGCGTTCATGTTGTCGGCGATTCTCTTCTGTTTGCAAAGGACACGAAAAAGATAGCAAGGGGTAATCCGAACCGTTTTGAACCTTTGGGCGTCAAAGAGAAGCAGACTTGATTTATAATAGTCCAATGGGCGGCCAGTTCCGAGGGAACGAGGGAAACGGCGCTTCCTCCGTTGTGGCCAAGCAGTCCTATTGGGTGGCTGTCGCACAAACTGATCAATGTGGCAGAATATCGGGCATCGACGGAGGCTCAGCTCGTAGTTCACAGGTAATAAGGAGAGTGAAAGCACCTGCCAGTTATCGACAAACGATGAATATTGGGTCGTCGCTGATTCAACCGGGGAAGACACGGAGACATCTGGAGGACGAGGGTGACCTATATCTAGAGAGTACCGTTGAGATAAGGCCGATGGCAAACGAAAGTCCTCGGTAACGTACATACCTAGCGAGCCGGTCTTAAAACTTCACATGGCTTAACTGGATGCAGGCCACATATACATGGATGAACCGGGTACAGCACCAATGAAGACTAACACTAGACACGTCAAACTCGGAACGAAACTTTCTTGCTCGACCCCTCATATCATGCCCCTCCTTCGTGGTTTAACACAGTACTATTTTTGGGATGGGAAGAGAGAGGTTCATCAAAGTAAAAATATCTTGCTTCCGTAGTAGAATGACATATATACTCTGAAAGTATGGGAGTGAGCATTTGCCGCTTCTGGTATGTAGCGAGAAGTGAGCAGCCACAGAGATAGCTAGAGAGTTACGAGATTTGAATTCTGTAGCTCGTCATGCAGATGAAGACAGGAGGACTAGACAGGCTTATTTTGATGGATTCATATGCTTTCAAGGGTTTGTTGTAGATTGTACTGTGCGAAGACACCAACTGTAGACAAGGAAGGGTTGCTTTGTGGCTGTGGATATATTGAAACCCGGTAACTGGAGGCGAGCTTTGCCCCTAATGCTTGAGCTTAGTCCTGGCATATGGTTAGTGGTGAACCTCCCAAGCAGCCAAGATCGGCCAAATTCCCTTCGATCGTAAGAATCAATGCAGCGGATTCTCGGAATAGATAGGCCCTCATAGCTTCGCCTCGACGACATGCGCCTCGATTAAGAAGACAGTGTTGTCGAGCTAGAGTATAGGCTTCGCTGTAAGAGGGGTGTCAGGACCAGACAGGCTCGAAAGAAATGGAAGGTGTCAGGCAGAAGCAAAAGTCTGTTGTTAGAACGATAGCCATTATTCGCTGATTCTCTACCCCTGGACCCGTCACAGTACATTAATTGTGCGTCAAGGTTTTATTTTTGGGTGGATAGGGGATATAAGACAAAAGAGACCGGCAGGCTAGAGGCCTGCTCAAACTCTACCTACATGATGAAAAGACCGGTACATGGAATCGACGCCATTGGGTACACGCAATGCCCTAAGGATGCAGGACAGCTTAATGTATCCGCCCTGCAAGGAGCAGAGAAGAGAGTGGCGGCTGTGGTTTCTAGAATCGACTGTGACAGCACACCTACATAGGTCTAGAGCTTCTACGTTGTCAAATACAGCCCGTGTGATTGGCGGTGGTTCCGTTTTGGGTTTTTTCTGGCATTCGACGGTGGAAGTCTAATTAGCATGTGAACCTGAGCACTGTCAAGATATGCATGTCTTGGATGCATACAACTCGTGAGGGTGTTAGCCGAGTCTTCCGCCTCAAGGTTTCAGAATAAGATTAGAGAGATGTCCTCTGATACTGCGCCGACGTACACTAAAAGTGCCTCAAGCCAAGCCATCAGCTCTCATGGTGTTATAGCCATAGCCCATGTAGACAGCTTGAGGAGGATGCAGTTTGACTGGGCTGCGCGACTCAAGCATCCTGGAGAACAGACAGTTGCTTGAATAGCAGACTTGAAACTACGCAATTGCCTACTTGTCACACGTGCGGCTTGCGTATGCAAATGCTTTGACTTCCCTTGGGCCACATGGCTCTCTTCGTGCCGTGGCAAAATTTTCTCAAATGTAGGTGAAGGGGCCCCGTGTGTAACTATGTAAGCCAGCATAAGAGATCCTTCAAGGGGCGACAAGTCAATGGTCATACTGCCTTGCTTGATACAAGACTATCTAGAAAGGCAGGGCAGGTAGATAGCAGCGCCGAGGCGTCGCCGAGGTTGGATAACGAAGAAGTGAATTTCCCGTCGGTGAGACCTGTAAGTCCTGACAGCCGGCATATGCCTATAAGCAAATAGCCTGGGAAGGTAGACATTCAGCCTCTCACTGCCATCTATTATCCAGAGAGCCTCGCTTGGTCTCCACTCAGCATTGAACGGTGAGATTTAAGGTTGTACCCTAGATTCTCTGATGATATAGGCCAACATACGGCGTGTGGACAGTGCGATCAAGTGAGATCGGAAACAGCGATAATGGAGGTACGAGATAGGCCTCACTGAGTGCTTGTGCCAGTATTGTTCGGTGTTGTTAGTCTGGACGTTTTGAATCCGGCGGCGCCGGGTTGCCGCTTGGAGATATGTAGTCGGTTTATCTGAGAGCGAGCTTCTTCCAGAGTTTCACCACAGGTCAAAAGTCACACCAATGCACGTGGATCTGGGACAAAGTCGACCAGGTCTGTGGATTTGCCGAGCAGTGGTCCTTGCTCCTCCACTCAGCCTTACGAGTGCGACCTACGTATCTACATATCTACCCATCATCGACGAGGGAAAGCCCAACGGGGTGTTGTGAGACATGGCCCATTCAAAGTTGGTTGGACGGCGGATCATGCTTGAACGGCGGGCATCTCTAAACCAGCACGGCGGTGTGCGTGTGTCCGATGGGTTGTAGCTGTGAGATATCCATGCAGCAGCTTACACGACCGATGCGGTGTCATGTTGTTGATGCATAAATGATTAGTATGACGGTTAGCGCTTAGTCGAGTGAAGAGAAACCCGGGTATGTGGTGCGTGATGATGCTGATAATGCTGATGATCTCCTTCTCGTCGACCGAAGACAGACAGACAGACTGACTGACATGCATCAAAGACGTTGAGCTAAAGCAGAAACTGGAAATCAGCTGCCGTCAGCTGTCATCTGTCCCAGATCCACCTGCCGGGGCTTAGAGATACTTGGATACTTATTGATAGGTACCAAACAATTGGAAGGAATGGATGGAGTGGACACAAACTTCAATTTGTATGTGCCTAGGCATTTCTCTCAGCATTGAGTATACCTATCTTTTTATATATCTTTTTATATATCTATATCTATCTGGAGAGACATGAAGTCTACAAAAGACAAAAGTGACTAGGTTACATATGCAGTCGTAGACAGTTACATGCATCCATCCCTCGACATCTACATATGTATCTACTAGGTACACATGTAGTATAGTATATACATAAGTATACATACGTATACATTCGTAGATGAAGCGCCACTTTGATTTATCGGTGGGGAATACGCGGTCAAGAGCGCGTCTTCGATTTATCCCTTGGATCAGGTTACGTATCGTATTTGCACATGCGCTTTTGACCAAAAGGCACATTGCTGTGTTACCTGATCCATTGATTTTCGGTGACAGGTTCGATTTCTTTCCAAGACCCTCTCTGTTCTCGCCTGTCTCTGTGTCGCTTGTCGCTTGTCTCTTCTGCTCTCCTCCATCTTCCCAATCTCGCCCCTCCCCCTCCACGCCTCCTCTCCTCCTCTCTCCTCTCTCTCCTCTACTCCACTCTATTCACGCATCTGTCCCAACAACTGCTCTGGTTTGGGTTTGCATTCTGGGTTCAGTACTGTACTGTACCTCCATCTATCCAGGACATACAGAGGACCTACAGAGATAACCTGAAGTTGTTACCACCACCCCTTGTTCCCTCTCTCTCTCTCTTCCTCTCTCTCTGTTTCCTCTCGTCATTGGTTCTTTCACTGCCTCTCGCACCAATCCTGTGCCATCTTCAGCCTCCAACGCTTGGTATCCGACGTCCGATATCCGACAGCCAATCAATCAGACCATCCTTGCTCGCCTCTCACCCCTCGTCCCTCGTCCTCGACCCTTGTTATCACCCCTCCACGCCTCAAGCCCCCAACCACTTCAACATGGACTCTGTATCGACGCCCCGTATTTCCGCTAATATGCTCGAGGCCTATGTCGGCCAAAATGTCATCATCGTTGGCAAGGTCATGCAGCTCCGCGGCGAGTCTGCACTCCTCGACGCCAACGGCCAAGTCAATGCTATTCTTAACCTTGTATGAGCCTATAGCCAACCCGTCCTCTATGCTCATCTCGTTCTGTCCCGTAGTCGCAAGCTGCTAACTAGCTATTTTGCTCGTCCATCGCTGCTAACATGTTCTCTCAAGGAATCGCATCTCATGGCTGGTAACGCCGCCCAGATAATCGGTAAAGTGCTCGACGACTTGTCCGTTAAGGTCTACAATGCAAAGGATTTGGGCAGCAACGTTGGTATGTGGTTACCCGAATCTGCATCTACCCGTTGTGCATTTACACCGCATATGATACAACTGGCTCTTATTACTTCTCCAAATTTCTTCTTGATCACGCCGCCCCTCATGCTGGCAATACGCTGTTGATACCTTACCTACATCATGCTACCTGTCTCCAAATTCTACCAAATTCTATTGTGCGAGCGTCTCGTATTGACCAGTGGGCTTTGCCAGACTACCAAGTTGCCCAGAGCGTCGTCGACATCACGCAGCAATACAAACACCTGTTTGTCTTTGAGAATACCGGCGGCATGAACTGACGGTTCGCGCCCGGGCCTATTTTATCTCTGGCGCGGTTCGCCGGTCCACCGTTCCCAGCATCACCACCAATGGAGCTTGACTCACAAGAATCGTCGAGCTCCCCTTCCATGTCACAGTTTCATCGTCATCATAATTACCACCAATCGCGCTACACTTCTCCGCCTCGGCCGGCGTCGGCTGCGAGTTTCTGTTCATCTTCCAGTTCATCGTCGTTTGCGGATAATCAGCAATCCCGACTCTCTGTACGGCCACGTACTTCTCCATCCTTGCATTCAATTTCAATTCACGATATACGGCCATCAAGCCCGGATTTGCAGAGCTCATCGCCATCTGCTGGAAGTCATCGCTCGTCCTTGAGTGGGAAGTTTGGCTCTACATCATCCTTGATTGACGGGCTCTCTGGGCTCACCGTTGAGCATGATGGGCCACAGTCTTCCCAAGTAGCCACATCTCAACCTGGGCATTCGTTCTCAATTGATGATCTTAGTCTTATTTCCTCTTCCTCTCTGGATGAAGCTCTTTCTCAGCTCGCGTCTGAACATGATCGGTCCCCACCTACTTATGTACCTACAGCTGGAAATAGCCGGTCTCGGCAGCCAAATGCCTTCAGAACATCATCGTCTCGGGCTGTCAGCGAACTGAGCTTTGATACGTCATCTAGTGACTCTGTACTTTCAGTGGCGGATCAGATGGACGATAACTTCTTTGAGCCCGTCATGGAAGAAGAAACGCCACCATCCAGTCAGTCAACTACGAAGGATGCGCAACTGGGAGACCAAGATCGGGAACTATCGGAATGCTCCGATCTCTCAGATCCAATATCGCCGGTGCATGAGCCAAAAGTCATCTTCCCCGCATACCGGTCGCCGTCTTCCACTGGGAAGTTGAGTTACACAATCCAAACCCCCATGCGTTCCACCCCATCTTCGCCTGTACAGTCCCCACAGTCTCCCCGATCACCTCGCTCACCCCGTCTATACCGTACTCGCTCTGGGAGCCTAGCAAGTGTAGCAGAGCTTAGACAACGTAGAGAATTTGAAGAAGAGCGGTTAAACATCGTATTGAAGGGGATACATGTTCTCGGCAAAGACCAGACGTCATCGCCACAGCGAGTTGTTAGCATGAGCGTAGATGCAGGTGGACGGTGGAGAATTCATGCGATTTACGAGCCATTGGGACCATGACTTTTTCACGTGTATGAATGTCAAAAAACCCCTTAATGAAATGCTAATGAATGCTGCTATTTCACCCCATAAACGACCCCAACATGCATGCTCACACGGTCCTTTTTTTTTTTTTTTTTTTTTTTTTTTTTTTTTTTTTTTTTTTGCTTGTAAACTCGAGCCGAACAAAAGTCTGACTGGATCAGATGATGTAGAAATGCTGCCATAGTATACTAATAGAGTTCAACTAACCTATCAGACAAGAACAAGGTTACTCACTCACTTGATCAAGTAAGGAAGGCAAAGGAATACGAAGAGAGATAGAGAGTTAATCAATTAATCATCTGGAACGTAATGAATCACGAGGGACAGCAGCAACGTACACGAATGAAACGAGCTAGAGAGAATACGGACTAGACTCAATTCAAATATATATGTTTGTATGAGTGAGTGAGTGGGCATCACATGTCTCGAACGAAGTGTCATACCATCCATGATCTATCTCATCATGTGCATCACTTACCGGTCATAGCGTCCGTCACAAGGAATGAGTTCCAACTTAGATAGACTAGACGCAAGTGTGATTGTTTTTGTTTGTAAGGGGTAGTAAACTCTGGCATCTGATTTGATTTGATTTGATTTGGTTTGACTCTAAACAGATTGACCGGCTCATTTGACCTATATTCAGGCAAAGCGCGAAATATCCGGTCTTGTTTGCGGATCTCCTGATTCAATCAAATTGAATGAATTCAATAGGTCTGATAGGCGCGTACACGCAATGCCTATTCTCTCCCATCCTCCTCTGTTATCTTTCCCTCCCCTTTCTTTATCACCCTTGAAGCCCTGAGGGCGAAATAATAAAATGGTAAACGCAAACTACCACAAAACCGGAGGATATCCGAGAAATACACAAACACCATGTCTTCGTTTGGAAAGAAACAAAACGTTCGAATCCATCAATCCTTGGGTATGCCATGTGAGTACTCCATTCCCCGCAAGAACTCCATGAAGCATAAATCAAACAAAAGCAAAGCGTTTTCATGGAATGGGAGGAAATTTCCAACCCGCGCATGAACCATGTGGCTAAGAACAGAAGCCTTCGTACGGTGGGCACTGAAGTAGGGGGTATATACAGAATGCAGATAGCAGTGCTCATGGTAATCCTCGTAAGCGCATCACGTCAAGATCTCGAACCTTAATCAAGTAAGCTCGTTCTTAGCGAGCCGTTCGCCGTGTAGGACTTTTGATCAAAGTCACAGGTGGAGCTACATGTCAAACTCGAGGTTGCCTCCAAACGCCAACAGATCACCATTAGAGCTGCGTAGGGCGGGCGGTGAACTGGGCATGAGGGCATCGGTAGCGAGCAGAGTGGCAAAATCGAAGTGAGGCAGCTCGCTATTTTGGTCGATATTATCGATGTGAGGTAGCGAGCTGAAATCGATCTCGTAACCACGCGACAGGCCAGCTATATCTAAGTCGTCTGCGTTGGAGAACATTTCACTGATGGAGCGCGTTAGGGGTGTACCAAGGCTATGCTCTCCCATCGCTTCAGATGGGAGTAGGTGCCGGGGTGAGCGCCGGGGCATGCTGCCGGAGAGGAATGCCGACCGTGGTGTCTTCCGAGGCGTGCGCGACGGCGTACGGGTTGGGGTTCGCTCAAGAAGCTTCTGACTCGGTGAAGCCACGGACCTCGTAGATCGCATACTCCTAGATACACTTCTAGTGACGGGTCGATGGCTAGGGGTTGGCCGCGTTGGCGTTTTAAAAGGCCCACTGTTAGCTCCTTTAGGAGGGGGAGTTGAAGGTCGTGGTGTTGGACCAAACAAATCAGTGTAGTCGTTGTTCGGTGGTTCTGGAGTTTGATCTCTGGGATGGTTGTTTTTCTTTACAGTCATCTCCACGTCCGTGATTGTGACCATCCTAGGGCCAGTCTGAACGATATTAACGGCAACTTCTCCCAAAACCTTCTGTTCCCCGGTTTTCCGTGGAGAGGGAAACAGTAGACGTCTTGTGGCTCCGAGTTCCCCGTCTAGGTCGATGGGACTCAACGCTGTACCACTGGCTCGAGAAGCGTGGGAGTGCGTCGACCCTTGGTCCTTGGGTTCGGTGATAACTCTCTTACGATTTCTCCCAGAACCCTTTTCTGATATATTCTCAGCGACATTTTCAGCCTGGTCGACATTCAGTGCCGTTGCAGACGAATCTCTAGGTGATTGAGCGGCATCCGGTGGCCCTACTGGGTCTGTTGGTGGACATGCTTCTGAGGTCAAGTTAACTTGACCATCGCTTTTAGCCCTGCTTTTCTTTGACCTAGAAGGTCCTGCACCGGCTGCTCTCTTCTTCCGTGTTTGGGTAAGTCTTTGCTGATCCTTCTCCCACTTCTCAGGAGGACGATGTGCCTTCCACTTGGAAAACCATATCCCACAAGCTGTCGAACCATTAACACACAGGACGCGCCAAACTCATACAGTTGCTGCACTTACGATTACATAGGATTGTCTCAGCCCACAGGCTCTTGTCATCTGTAGGGCCTAGAGACTTCTTGATAACCTCATATAAAGTGGGAACACCGCTCTCATCTTTGTCAAGCACATTGATAGCCGTGACATGGCCAGGCTTTTCTGAGTATTCGTGATATCCTGGAACACCGCGGCGCTCTTGTTTCCAAATTTTACGCCATGTTGGGGTTTGGAGGGCCCCACAATTACTACAGAAAGACGGCATTTCACCTAGTGCTACTGCCTCCTCTAGTTTCTGCTTGATCGCCTGTCGTTTCACGTAATTCTTGTTCATTCTTGACTCCATGCCATCAACAGCGTCCGTCTGGGGATGTGGCCCTGCGGACATATGCATAGAGTGTGAGAGCTGTGGTAGAATTGGATCGCTGGCGGGAATTGCGGGCAGTTCTGGTTCAACAGATGGCTCTGAAGCGGGCGTGGGAATCACCGGTGGCTCCATTTTGCCTTCATGTGAAGTACAAGGCTGTGGAGTATCGTTTCCCTGAGGGGTATCAACAGCTGGACTAAAAGAATTCACATCTAACTCCAATGTATCAAGAAATTGTTGGTTTCCCGGATACTCCAGAGCTGCTTGTAAAGCATTAAAGTCGATCTGAGAAGGCATAGAAGTCTGGGTTTGTTCGGGGTTTTGCATGGGCTGTTCTTCTGTGACCCGTGGCTCAATTACTGCAGCTACCTCTGGTGTTGCAGCATTCGTTGCGTCTATCACAGGGACCTCATTTGCAACAGGCGTATTAGCATTTGATTTCTTCCTAGAACCCTGAGGTCGAGGCGGATTATAGATTGATGTTTGAGGTAGTAATTCAGGAGGACCAGGAGTTTCAGTATGAATATGGAGAGTCTGCTGCGGTCTGGGTTCTTGTTTCTTGGCACGGCTGCGGCGTGGCTTTGGTTTTGGAGGTGCCGGCGCTGAAACTATAGGCATAACCGCCGGTGCTGGTTTGGTTGCACTGTCATCTTCAACTCGGTTTTCCTCCAGTCCACCACTCATGAACCCGGAATCAGGTTGTTGAACAGGCACTCGCATTGGCGGTAGAATGGGGCTCGAAGGAGCAGGACTAGACCGTATGCTATACATAGCTGATCTTGGTACAGGCGGGGATGAGCTTATGTCGGCAGGACTAGGCTCATCACTGAAAGGCGATGGAGCAACTGAATCCATTGGTGATCGGACGTCTTGGCTCATTGAGCGGTTGAGATCTGGATATGGTTGACTTGACATATCCTCTACTGGCTGAAATGTCATAGATTGTTGCCTCAGATTGCTCTGCGCCATGGCTCTAGGCTGCATGTGACCTTGAAAACGCGGTTCTGGAACTGGAGTCGGTGCCCTGGGGCCTTCCTCTTGTAGATGCCCTCTTGACGGCATATCACCAGCTGGGGCAACAGGTCTAAAGTTACGAATAGACCCAGAGGTGCTGGCAGCAACGCGGAGCGACTCCGGTGCAGAACCGAATGTGGCTGTATTACTTCGCTCAACTTTCATCGTTGTGGCTCTTTTCTTAGTTTGCGAAGGCGCATCGTCTCCATCGGTCCCATCCTCGTACCCTGAGGTGTTGCCCTCACTTGCAAGGGGCCGCTTTCGTGGCCGCCCCCTGGGTCTGCCTGTTGGCGGTCGACTTGATGCACGAGATGTAGGACGAGATTGAGTTTGTGGTTTGGCGGGTTTAATGATGGGTAAACTTGGCGCGGTTTCTTCCATTGAAGAGGTCTGTCTTGCAGGGGCCAATGGGGGCGTTTGTCTGAAAGAAGGCGTGTTCCGGTCCCTGGAGTTTAGGTCAACTGAGCTAGGTCGGCTACCCGGTGCGGGCTGCAGAAGTGGATACTGCGGAGGACCATCACTGCGAGCTTCAAAGCTTGAATGATACGGTCGTACAGGTGCCGGCGCAAGCGTGGGAAGGTTCATCGGCGGTGGCGGTTGCTTCTGACCCAAGTTGGGGTGAGATTGGACGAAAGAACCCCATTCGCCATTATCTGATAGAGCGGAGGAAGATGCCATCAAGTTCGGTATTGGTGCAGCAGCCGAGTGTGGGCGTGACATGGGTTCGTTGCGCGGAAGTTTTGATATCGCGGTCAGCTTCAGTCTGACCTCTAATGTTTCTTTGATACCGCCGCCAAAGATGGCGAGGAGATTCTTTGTCACCCGTCCTGTGACTAGTTTTGGCTCTTGCGGTTCAGCTGGCTGACAGAGCCCTCGAGACAGCAAGCCCTGGCCTACCAAGGGAGTGTCTGGCTCTGAATAATCGACAGCATAGATAGAATAATCCTTTTCTTCATCTCCGGCCAGCTCCGGGCTGCATTGCGCAATGGCCTGTAAGCATAATCCTAGGTCAATTACTCCGATTGTCTGGCCGTCCACCGGCACACTCTGAATGTGGAGAGTATGAGGCCAGCGGGCAAGGCATCGCTCTTGATTTTCTTTATCAAAGGTGTAATGAACTTTCACTAGGGGAATAGTCAGCTACGAGCGAGTTTCCGAACCACTGCCTCTCCTCTTACAGTTCATAGGTCGGACTTGAGGCCCGGCTTCCTCTGCAGCAGGGGGCACACCGCCCCAAGATGCGTTGCCGTGAGCCATAGCCGTATTCTAGTTGGCGCAGGCCAGAAATGATTACTTCGATCCTCTTCTCGTTTGGTGTGGTTGACCGGACTCGTAAATATGATTGATGTTTGTTTGTAGGCGACTTAGAAATAATCGATCGATTAAATGTAACTGTTGCAACGTTATTTGTGTCCTCTCATGGTGAGGAGGATTGTCTCGTCGAAGGGCGTGTTTTGCGTTTTGCGAGTCCCTTGGCAGACCAGCACAGCCAGCAACAGCAGGTGAACACGGCATATATGTGATGAAATGCTGATCCGAAAAGAAGATTGGATAGCTGTTCGACAGAAGAAACCAATTGCAAAATCATATAACACGCTGGCTAAGAATGCCGTCACCAATGGCGAACCTCAGCAGGCAGAGAGATGTTGTGGTCGTGGGAATGTGAAGAGGGAGCGGGAACGGGAGGAACAGAAGCAGAAAGCCCACTAATTGTCTGGTTGCTGAGGTACAAGATGAGCAGTGGGTTTGATGGGGTGGATGCAGGTACCTGCGTACCAAGCGTGTTAATTACGCGCGTGGGTTGCGCGCTATGGGCTATGGCGCTGCGTTTTTTGGTGTTGCAGCGCGTCAGTGTCGAGTACCTAGGTAGGTATGTCCCGCGCGTACCTATGTACCTACCTAAGTACCTATGTAGATATTGGCGCTAGCGTACTTAAGTACTACTTATGTAGGCAAGGTACGGTCGATGGTAGAGCAACCCAACGTCACTTCCTCGGTCGGCGATCGGATGGGTGGCTGGGCGTGCCTGCCTGAGGAATCCCTGCAGCTACCCTGGGCAGTCGGCAGGGACGAGGGGCGGCTATCTAAATATGTACTAAAACTTTGGTGGGGCCGGCCTTGCGCACGGGCCTCCTTGTCGCGAGCTCCCCACCCCCGGAGGCTTTTCAAGGGTACCTTTGTACCTGTTGTGGAATGGTTGCCCGCCTGATGGATTCGAGGGCCGGAAACCAACGCGGATGGCTGTCTCTTCACACCACAAACTGCGAACAGAAGCTTGGTGAGATTCTCCCTCGTTCCTTTGTCTCAACTCGGGGCAGCTCGCCGTATTTATACTGCCGGCTTTCTCCACAAATAATCTATTCCCCGGCCAGTGTGACTCAATCACAGCCCCCAAGCCATGAAGACGTCCTCTCTCTCTCTCTCTCTCTCTCTCTCTCTCTCTCTCCCTCCATTTCATGCAAGCCGCTTATCTCCCCTATACTAAGTCCATGTTTACACACACGCACATGAGCAAGCTGACTGGCGGTTGGCTGTTGGCTGTCTGACAACCGATCGCATCCCTTACCGGACATAGCCGCCCTTTGTTCATTGTTTTTATAAACAGCAAGCAAGCTGGGTATGGTATATGGCAACCACGGCGTACAAAATCTTATTTTACAATATATGTGACATGCTATCGTATGATAATTATTTTACTCCTAGTCAACCCATATAGCCTTGCCGTCTTCAGCTCTTGTAGTCTTCCGAGCCAAGATCTCCTCTACAATTGTGCTGATGCCTTGTCTTCCGTTTTTCCTGGCAACGAAGTCTCTCAGCACCTCCCGACGCGTCTTCGTGCCCTCGCGCACAACCTCCTCGACCTCTTTCTCTGAGGGCACACCTAGAGTCTCATACGGATACTCCTTAAAGTTGCGATCCGTCAGAAGCTTCAGCCTGGGCAGATCGTCGGCCACCTGAAAGAATGGGGCTTCGATTTCGTCTCCCGGTTGCACAGCTTCCAAACTGGCGGGCTGCCATTTAGGTGTCGGTCGCGGTCGCTCCTTTGAGATAAGCTGAGCCGACACACCCTCAACAAAATCGGGATGCTGCATGAATTTAGCAGCGATCTGATGCTCCCTCTGGAAAGTCTCTGCGATGGGCCAAGTACGCCCCACTTGCATTTGCTTGAGGGCTACATGTACTGCTGTGGGGGATCGCTGGTGCAAGGTGTCCAGAGTTTTCTCCGCCCATGCTTTGGTCGGGCCTTGTTCCTCCTTCAACGCATTTATCACCTCAGCCACAGTGTTCTTGCTGAAGCAACGATCAACGGCTCGCCGAAGTTCGCCGCCGAGAAGTATGGGTTCTTTTGCTGGCAAACCCGTCGCGTACTCCTCGATAGTCATCTCAATGATACCTAACCGCTTCTGCATGCTGTCGTAGTCTTTGAACCGTAGTTCAGCTAGACGAGATTCTAGGTTTGGCAAACTCGTCGAATGTAAGTAGTGGGTGGCGACGCCCGAGTAGAAGGCGTTAGCCCCCGTCAACCGCTCGCTTGTCAGTGCCAGGTAGGTTCCTATAGCTCCGTTCATTCGGGGTAAAAAGAAAGACGCCCCGACATCGGGAAAGAAGCCGATAGTTGTCTCAGGCATGGAGAATACGGTCCTTTCCGTGGCGATTCGGAAGGGCGCATGTATGCTTAGTCCTACACCTCCACCCATGGTGATGCCATCCATGAAAGCAATATACGGCTTCTCGTATGTCGCAATGTAATGGTTCAGCTTATATTCCAGGGCGAAATAATCGACGGATGCTTTCTGGCCGCCAGGCCCCTGCATATTCTGCTGTGCAAGAGTTGCAACATCACCACCAGCGCAGAGAGCCTTGTCGCCAGCACCTTTCATGACGATGACGTTGGCCATATCCGACTTTTCCCACGCAACCATGCGGGACAGGATCTTCCGTATCATAGAGGCATCGAGGGCGTTCAATTTCGCGGGCCGGTTAAGTTCAATGGTCCGTAAACCGTAAAGACTGCTGAAGACGACATCTTGAGGGTCGTCACCGGGAAGCTCTTTGAATGTCTCGTTGACCGGGCTTGTAGACATCTGTGCAAGAGATTCGATAAGTAGATGCTCAATTAGAGTGCATAGTAAAGCGACTATATTGGTGGCCGTACCGCTCGAGTTCCTATGGCCGAATCCAGGATCTTTGCTCTGAGAGGCATGTTAAGGTTGCCTCTACGAAACGGGGATGCAGCAAAGGCTGCTGAGCCACCGCGCCTGACTAACAATCGGAACGACATCTAGATATCCAGAGTGCGACTATCCTCTCACCTCAATGCGCATAGAAACAGCGATTGCGCATCGGGTGGTATGCGGGAATGGGGACTGGTTTTCCGTGTTAAATGGTTTTGCATCGAGGATATCGCAGGGTAGATAGGTGGAGCCCTGTAGACGGCGGAACGGCGCTACTGGTTGCGAAGCTAAGCTTCGCCCTTGAATTCTGGAGCTTGGGTCTATGATGACCCACCACCGTCCAGGTTATGGAGGTACCTAAGTACCTACACAGGGCCTGGGGCATGTTGGACCCATTCATTCTTCAATCTATCAATCAAGGTCGCCCTGCAACATTTCGATTGCAGCCTTGCTCAGCTCGGAATTCCCGTCTTCTGCAACCCACTACTACCATACACAATACAAATATATCTTACACCATGGCGGACGCAAAGGTCCAGTAAGTGATCGGTCAATTACTTTCCGTTGGCGAGAGAACGACTAACACAATGTTCGCAGGGAGCTTCTCACGAAGCCGAGGAACGAGTTAACGTACGTCGCCTACTTTAATCACATACCCAACGGTCACTTCCGACTCGACTCACGCGACTGCTCGCGACAAATCAACTGACTAAACTGATTCAATAGAGAATACGAGGTCCAATTGTTGGAAGAGTACGAGTTCGGCTCCGGTCCCTTATCCATCCTCCAGACCGCCGTGCGCAGCCACACACAAGTGTTGATCTCCATCCGCAACAATCGCAAGCTTCTGGCGCGCGTGAAAGCATTCGATCGCCACTGCAATATGGTGCTTGAGAACGTCAAAGAGATGTGGACCGAGACCCCTCGCCTCGCAAATGGCAAGAAAGGTCGTCCCGTAAACAAGGATCGTTTTGTTAGCAAGATGTATGTTGTTATTCTGGTTTCACGCTCACCACTCGCGTCATCCACAAATCTTAAGAAGCCCGTGGCTTCTTCCTGTGTTTTCTAGATTGCTAACGATATCCGTCGTTGTAGGTTCCTGAGAGGTGATTCGGTTATTATTGTACTACTCAGCTAATGTCGGGAATGGGGATTTGGGGGATTTGACAAACACATTACATCGTATCTAGGGGGCACTTTTCCTGCTCTAAGTGGATACTAGGTCGTTAAAATTATGCGACAAACATCCCGATGAACTGCTATCAATACCTTTCATGCTCAGGGTCTGCTTGCATAGATTGGAAGGAAGAAAAGGCCGTTTTACGAAGCTGATAATAATGTCAGCTTCTCACATTGATGGACTTCACATCGGCGTCAGGAAAAGATACCACGAGTCAAGACATAAATTAAGAGACATTACTAGCTTTTATTATGTTCGGAATGATATGCATAGTGCTCATGACTACATTGACTTATTTTCACAGTGACGCCTTCCCTCTCCTCAAAAGGACTTATACAGCCCAGAGAGACCCAAGAAAAAGCTGGCTAGGCCAAATGCCCCAGGATCCGGGACGCTCTCGAAACCAGAGCCACCTACGTACACAGCTCTACCAAGGCTTGCTGGCATTCCCTTTGTTCCCTCGGCGGCCTTCATCGAGGCCCTAGCTGCTTCCTTGATATCACCGGACTGGCCGAGAGTCTCGACGAAGGGATACAGTGCATCCACGATCGTCCGGTCGCCTGGCCTAGCTGGGGTGTATCTTGATAGAGCCTCACAGCTTTCTTTAAGAGCTTGTGACCAAAGCTTTGAGGTGGCCTCTCCGGCGGGCAGATTGCGGAGAGAGTGAACGAGCGCATTCAGGAATATGGCGAATAGCGCTCCGGACTAGCGAATTGCAAAGTTAGGCTCTGGATAGCTAGTGTTGATTTGCTGCTCGAGGAGGAGATGAGGGATAAGGGGAGATTAAGAGGTGGTTTACTTACTGTGCCGTCCATAGAGTTTTCTATCACGGGTACAATATTTGCGACGTCGACTACGACATCGCCTGTAGTCCGTGTTCCTTTTAAGTGTTTTAAGACCGCTAGTCTCCGTCAGCATGCGGCTTAATCCGCGATAGATAAGTGTACTCATACCTTCGGCTCCTCTCTTCAGACCAATACCGCAGTCTCCGTCTCCGACGACTGTATCGAATCTGGTGACCTCGGGCTCGACTTCAATCAATGCTTCAAGACCCCATGTCAAAGCATCCTTAAATGCTGCACTGTCTATCTTGAGACCACTGGGCTTAACGCTCTGGTCAGACGAGGCATCGTCCTCTCGTGTATTTGTGTTCTTCGCCTCCCAGGTGTTCTTCGAGATAGGTGATGCCCACCCGGTAGCTTCAGTAGGATCGTCGAGGAGCTCGATCATGCTCGGGCCGCCAATGTCCGTGTTCACGACGTTCAGCAGAGATATGCTGAAACCAGGTCCGTTTAGACTTGTCATGTAAGTGCCGCTGAGTATTCTAACGGGGCGGATGCCCCAACCTCCTAGTTGCTTGACGACCTCGGTGGTAATGCCGCCGAGCTCAAGAACGCTGACACCGCCCAAGTTGTTCACTAATAGCACTACCTCGTTCGAGTTGACGTTCACGAAAGCGCGGTCTTTATCGTTCTTGTCGAGGAGCATAGTCAACATCGTCTTCACTAGCTCGGGAAGCGAAACCTTGGCCCTTTCGGACCCGGCCTCGTTGTGAATGCCCATGCCGACCTCGACTTCATCGGGGCTTAAGCTTCCCTCCTCGTTAGGGTCGAGAGGCGCTCTGCCAGGGACGTGGACGTGGTCGAGGCTGGCTCCGATGCTGATCAAATTGTCCGCTGTGAGCTTGGCGACCTTGTATACTTGGTCCAGGGGCACTCCTCGAGCAGCCAAGGCACCGGAGATCTTGTGGACGAGCACTGTTCCAGCAATGCCTCGTCGGCCGACTTTACCACCCTTCTCCCGACCAACGCCCACGTCGTCGCCGACTACAAGCATTTCAACCTTCAGGCCAGTGGCCTTCGCCTTCTCCACGGCCATGCCGAAGTTGAGCACGTCGCCCGTGTAGTTCATGACTGTGACTAGAACACCCTTCTCGGTGTCGACGCGCGACATTATGGCTTTGCGCACCTGCTCGGCGCTGGGCGAGGCGAATATGGTGCCAGCCACGCCGGCGGAGAGCAGGCCCTGACCAACGAAAGCGCCGAAGCTGGGTTCGTGGCCACTACCACCGCCACTGATGATAGAGACTTGCGACGGGCCATAGCCGGGTCTACGGTAGACGATCTTATTTGCGGCGTCTAGGCCTACGGAGGGATTTGTTATGGTGAGGCTCTCCAGGGCAGTATCTACCAGGTGAGTGGCATCGTTGATGAAGTGTTTGGCCGACATGGTGTAAGTTGCGGGGAGCTCAATCACCCGGCCTGTTCGTGAATTTGTTTAATAGCCACTGCTGCAAACTGGGTTGGAACTTGTTCGTGTACTCGCAAGCACGAATACGTTTAAATGTTTTGGGTCCATCTCAATCACAGCAATTTAGTCACACCTGGACCCCCAAATATCACAATGGTAGCCAGCCTGACTGGGAGTTTTGGGGTGGGGTTGGCCGAATCGGAAGCACGGATTTGTTTATCCTAAGACGCCTCATAGTAAGTCCGTAGGTAGTCTTCTAGCCCATATTCACGCTAGAGCGAGCCTTGGCCTGGTTACACGGTCTCATGTGATGAGAATGGTTTTATTCTGTGAAGAAGTATGAGGCACCGCCCCATATTTGCTGGTCTTTACCCCATATTACTCCAGCTTTGTCGGTGGGATCGACCCTGTAGTCAACCGAAGTAGGTGGTGAGTAATTGCGCTATGTGCTGCCCATGGGGAAATAGACCATGAAACGGCTCCGTGATAGGTGTGAGCTGCCTTTGAAGCTTCGAGTCTAAATTGTGCGCTATTGTCATTTCATATATATCATAGTGGACTTTTGAAATTGCTATGCCCCTTGTTCGCGAAACCAAACTCGGGAATCATCACTTTTTATACTGTCATCGAGTTGTACAAGGCCTATTGAGATGACCTAATGAGCTTCCCTTGTTGATTACCTTAGCTACATGGAAATTTCTTTGGCTTTTTAACTAACATATAAGAGTTTACATGTCCTAACAGTCGCCCTTATCCTTTTGACGAGCACTAGAAGTTCTACGCGTATATTCAATAGCTTTATACCTTTTACATGGTATAAGATAACAACTTACTCTTCAGTAAAATCCATAAGAGATCGATCCCTGAGTTGAATAGTAACCAGAGGAGAATGAAGAAATTGCAATGTATAACGTAGCTAGCTCATTTCTATATTTATCACGAGTTGACACGCTCTATTTATCATTCCCCTTATCAACATCATAAACTGTTATATGATCGCCCCCCTTCATTTATTTCAGAGAGATAATTTTCGGTTGAATTGCCGTACTCTTAATTTCTGCACGCAAAGACCATTCGAAAGAGCCCATCTAGAACAGGAAGCAATATGAGTGAAAACTCTATGACAATATACGGCGGGTTGATGTTTGGGCATTTGCGAAGACAATGGTCTATCTGCAGGCATTGGAGGGGCCATGGAGGGGCTTTGGGGGTCATGTAAGTGGGGGATACGATCGGATGCGACGTGGGGTGCTGTGGTTTATCTGTGGCTTGAGCGGAAATGCCAAGATGGGTGGTACCTCCTGGTACCCGCTGTGGCTTGGCGGCTGTACTCCCGATACCTTGCCCCACGTTCGATTATCAGAAACTCAATCGGGTGGGATTTGGGATTTTGCTTGCGACGAGTGACTCAGCTTTCTGTGAAGTGGTACTTTTCATTCTGGCTGGGCATGAACTTTCGATGAAATATTTTTAGTCTGATGTTCGAATCTTGATGAACACTGGTCGCGATTGCACGACGCTAATTCATTTGCCGATATATACTCTGTGCGCCTAATTTGGACCACCGTGCCCTGCGACTAATTCCCCGCCATCGGCATCCCTACTCATCTCGAATAAACTACTCCAGCGCGGCATCCCTCCTCATCGCGTAGTCCCCAAGGCTCGTAGATCGAGCATGTCAACCGCCCCTAATGAACCTCCCGCGGAGGTGAAACCTAAGAACACGGAGAAGGTCCAAAATACACCAGCACCCACAACAGCTCCTACAAACGGCGAGCCGCAGGCTCAAGCCGAAAAGGCAGCTGCGCCCGCGGCACCCAAGCTCTCTAACGCCGAACTGAAGGCAAAGGCAAAAGCAGAGAAACAAGCACGACGGGCACAGGTGAAAGCTACTCGAGATGCAACCCCGGGCGGTGGACCAGCGCCTACATCGGCTGGGCAGTCAGGCCCTCAGGTGACGGAGCCGAAGGGGAATAAGGCAAAGGGCAAATCAGACGGCGGTCGGCCCACCGACTCGGGCGCGACTGGGAAAGCTGCCGGATCGAAGGGATCCATATCAGCCCCTCCCCCTAAACCAGAGAGTGTGATACCAGAGTGTTTCAGTCACCTTTCTATGGCCAAGAGGTTACCAATCACACAGGCTGACAAGGATGTACACCCCACCGTTTTGGCCATTGGCCAAAAGATGGCCATCTTTGGCATTGATGAGAGCATTGCTAGATTGGAAGCTACACTACTGGCTTTCAAGAAGGTAGGATTCGTTCAGGTAGCTGGTATACTGAGTTTGTCGCTGACAACCTTGCTAGGTGATTGAGTCGTACACCACGCCACCCGGCAATACGCTCGCCCGGCATCTTACACCTCATGTATTGAACCCGCAGATCGAGTATCTGAGCGCTTGCCGCCCGATGTGTTTTTCTATGGGAAATGCCATCCGCTGGTTAAAATTGCAAGTCAGTAAGATCGACCCAGATGTTCCGGATTCCGAGGCCAAAAAACTACTCTGCTCGAGCATAGATGCGTTCATACAAGAGCGCATCAAGTTTGCAGACGTCGTAATTACCGAAAAGGCTGCCGATTGCGTTCAGGACAAAAGCGTGGTTTTGGTCTATGGCCGGAATTCGCTTGTTGAGGCATCGCTGCTTCTTGCCCACTCAAAGGGTAAAAAATTCGATGTCATCATCATTGACGACCCGTGGGAACAAAAAGGCCAAATTTTGGCAAAGAATTTGATTGAAAAGGGAGTCCGAGTGACCTACAGCGGCGATTTCGGCGCACTTCAGTCCCATGCGGAGCTTGCTAATGTAGTGCTACTCGGTGCCGACGGAATGTTCAGTAATGGAGCTTTATATGGTCGTGCCGGAACTTGCGATGTTGCCATAGCCGCCAAGGATCATGGGAAGCAGGTCTACACGCTTTGCGAGACCATTAATATCACCGAAAGGGTCTCGACAGACTCTCTCACATTCAACGAGATTCACCCGGACTATTGCTCTGGCAAATCGTTCAGATTACTATATGATACCACTCCCAGTGATTATCTATCGATTGTGGTCACCGAGATATCAAGCGCTCAGCCCACCTCGGTCTCATACCTGCTGCGGAAACTCGAGGACTCCAACTAGAAGATGGGGCTTAGAGATTAGGAGTAGTGAGCAGCATCTATGCATTTCGGATTTTAAATAGCGTCTGTGATTCGTGCGTAATCTAGGGGAAAGACGGGTTTGCATACAATAGTTTATGCGGCGCACCATCTCACCGGCAGATGTAGCAAAATTGGGGACAGGGGGTACACAAAAGATAACAGCGAAATGCGACGTTGATATGAAGATGATTGTCCTTTTAGAATCGAAAATGCGGTGATTTGCAAGTGAAATTGGTCGATGCTGTCGGCTTTGTAGCTGTGATACCTCAATACCCCTCTATCTTATGTACAATTGACGTTGAAGGAGAGCTGTCGACTCATTATACGGTTCCGGCTTCGGCATCACGGGCGGCTTTCCTTGCCCGTTTCTCCAGGATGATTTTCTTGCGCTCCTCCAAGACTGCTGTCTGTCGCTCATCGACGCCCTGTAGCCAGTATCCGAAGCTCGCACCAACACCCGCGAAAACTGGGTAGGCCCATAATGAGCCCCTGTTGAAGAAAGGTCGCATTTCGAGGCCGAGCTGCCAAACGCGGACGGCAACGCCTGAGAATGGTGGTTAGCCACATGCCGCAAATTCAACGGAATAAGTCGTAGCTATCAATGGGGTGGTTTGCGAGGGCCCGGGGAGCTTGTGCTTGTCATACCGAAGCCGCCCCAGAAGAGGACTCTGTGCACCATTGTGAGGGACTGGATGGAATATTCGCCTCGGTGGCCGACCGTTTTGCTATGCGTTTCGTCGCGAATTGGTCGTCGGTGCCCTCTCGATCTGTGGTAGGCTGTGGTGTGGGTGGTTGGGGCGGCGGATGGCTGTAGCGATGATTGAATATGGGCTGGATCTGAGGCTCGGGACTTGAGGACGACGCAGTGAGTGGATTGCATAGATGGAAGGCTCAGCAAATGGCAGGCAGTGGTGCTTGGTTACGCACAGGCCATCTTGAAAGCTGCTTTGAATTCCAGGTTAGGTACCTGCCTAATGCATGCCTAACAGCTAGAGCTGATAGGTACCTAACCTCCCTATGTAGGTAGATCCCTAGCTGGGGACTGGATGCTAGATGAGAGAGATCCCTGCTACCTAAGCAGGAGGGAGACTTACCTAATTTCAATTTCTCGAGGCGCCTTCTTCTACTTTCTCCTATCTACATTCCTCACCAACTCGTCCGCGATATAGATACAGGATCATGATCATGGATATTTAAACGGCGGAAGTTGAAGATTCAGCGCAGCTTTGCTGCACTTCTATCAATCCTGAACTGACGCATCATTCTGACTGAGGCCATCGGGCGTCTTCGCGCTCGTCGCCACCATGGCGTCCACAGAGCAAACACCCGCCCCATTAAATGGGATCACGCCTCTTCAGCCGAAGAAATTCAAAGCCTCGGACCTTCCCTTGCCGTCTGCTACACGGTCGGCGATTGAAGGCTTAGCCCATAGCTTCAAGAAAAAAGGTGGATACGATGCCATTCGCAAACAAGTCTGGGAGAAGTTTGAACAGAGTGTAAGCCGATCGCGTCACCAGTTTTGCGCCGCGTACTACAAAGCAAGCATCTAATAGTTCTTGTCATTAGGACTACGAAGCACAAGTCACAAAGTCTATTCTCGAAGTGGCCGAACAGGAAGTCGAACGCAACCCAGGCCAGCTTCTTACCCTCGAACGTCGCAAAGCTGCTGCTTTGATTGACGGCGCTCTCGACCGCTCAGGAGTCTACCAGAAAGCCGAAGCTGTTCTCGATAAACTCATCGATGTGACGGCCATAGAGGCTCGTATGCGCGAGCTGCGGCAGGCTGAAATTGGTGCCGAAAAAGCAGAAGAGGAACGAATACGTGGTGCTAAGACGGATGAGGAATACGCCGCGGAATCGACGGCGAAATTAGTCGCCCGCGAACAGCTTCGCCAGGAGATTCGCTTGAAAGAGAAGCAGATACAAGAGGAAAAGCTGAAGATTGAGCGCGAAGAGAGGAAGAAGCGAGAACGGGAGCGAGAACGTGAGATTGAGGCGGCTGAAGCGAAACGCAAGGAAGAACGTGATGCCCGTCGGCGAGAAAGAGAAAAGAAAGAAGAGGAGCGCCAGCGTGATAGGGAGAAAGAGCGTGAAGAACGGCGCCGAGCTAGGGAACGTGATCGTGAACTCGATCGAGACACTCGACGCAGGTCGAGGACTAGATCAAGGTCGCATCACCGAGACAGGGATAATGACAGAAGCCGGCGACACGATAGCCGTGAACGGCGTCGACGTGAGCGGTCTCCCCGAGAGGAGCGCGATCGAGGTAAGACAGAGGAGATCAAGAAGCAGCTTACTAAGGAGGATCTTGAAAAACTTGAACAAGAAGCACTTGCAGATCTGCTACGCGAGAGCAACAAGGACAACTCTAAACCGCTCGAAATGGAGATTGACCAAGCCCTGGCGCCACCCCCTCGTAGAACAAAGCCCGCCTCTGCTATACAGCCTATACGCCGTGACTCTGCGAAGACATCGGATGCAAAGAAGGTGCCGGACTTAGCAAAGACGGAATCCAGAGATTCAATTACAAAAGATGTTAAAAGTACTAAGGAAACGAAAGTTTCGAATTCTAAGGAGTCGAAGAGTTCTTCAGAACCTAAAGAAATCACAAGGTCTAAAGATCATAAAGATTCGAAGCTGAAAGACGTACGCAAACCTAGCCCGGCACCATCAAGAAACCATCGGGATCAATCCCGTGGTGCGGCAGATGACCGCAGACATCGTGAACGCGCTCGAGAACGTAGTCACTCACGTGGCAAAGTTGATAGACGGGAAAGGAGCAGATCTCCCCATCGAACTGATCGTAGAGAACGAAGCAGGTCAAGAGTTCGTGTAAGAGACAGAACGCCTGAGAAGGATACTTACAGGCCCGGAGATCGTTATCGAAGCCGGTCACGACAACGAGATAGGGATGCTAGAAACCGCTCTGAAACACGACCCGAACGGAGGGATCGCAGCCGCTCGCTAGATCGTTACAGACCGGAGCGTAGAGAACGGAGTCGTTCCCGTGCCAGAGACGATCACGAAAAACGGGCTCGCAACACCTCAAGGGTTCGCACTAGTCAGCGCGACCGCTCCCGATCACCACGGGATCGCACGGAAAGACGGGATAGGAGCCGCTCAAAGCTAACATCAAGCCGGCGGGAGCGAAGCCGATCTGCTCGGCGTGCACGTAGTCGGGATGGGGACAAAGACAAAGATCGCACAAGTGAGCGAGAGAAGGAGCGGAAAGGAGACCGAGACCGTGACCTGACCAAAGAACGAGAGAAAGATCGCAGGGATCGCGATCGCGAACGTGAGCATGACCGTAGGAGCCGTTCCCCGTCCAGACCAACTACATCCAAAGGACCTGCCTTGAACGACGCCGAGACATGGAAGCAGAGCGAAATCAAGAGGCGTGAGCAAGAAGCGAAGGCTTATTTGAAGGCGCAAAAAGAAGCTCGTGAAAAGGGTCTTCCCATTCCCGGTCTAGATGATAGGCGGAGCACTGGAGACCGCTCTCCTGAAATAAAAAGATCGCGTGTTCCTGATGAGATTGATCGCTACCGGCCCGGAGAACGGGATCGAGATCATGACAGAGAGCGTGATCGAAACCGGGATCGTGACAGAGACAGAGACAGGGAAAGGGATAGAGAGCGTGACCGGGACCGAGACCGTGACCGTGATCGGGAGCCTGACAAGCGGGGCGACAAATATCCGGAACGAAATAGAGAGGAGCGGCGGGACAGGGACCACGAAAGAGACCGGGACCGGGATCGTGACAGCCGACGTGAACGGCGTCGAAGTCGAAGCAGAAGCCGCAGTCGACGTCGCGAACGTGACCGCGAACGAAGCAGGGACAGAAACCGAAGCCGGGATCGCGATAGGGCCCGTTCTCGTTCCCGGGATAGATATCGCGATGGCGATAGGGAGAGGGAGAGGGACAGAGATAGGGATAGGGACCGGGACCGGGACCGCAACAAGGAGAGAGATCGCGACAGAGAGCACGACCGGGATAGGCGTAGCCGACGCGAACGAAGCGCCTCCCACCGGGATAAGCGCAGACGTAGTCGTAGCCCCTGATTCTCCCCCCTCATTTTGGCTTTATGAGCTCAATGGAACACTTGACGTGTTGACACATGATGATTATGACCTTTTCATAAGAAATGTACAGCTATGTAAAATCAACAGGCCTAGGCGGCGGGCGAGGAGCCACATATTTCTGCTTCAACTTAGTTCAGACACACAAGCCGAGAAATGGAGTTCATATTGAGGGTTCAAGGCTGTCTGTTCTTCATGCGCACCAGGAAAGGACCGAGAATATCTTATGTATCTCAGGGTGTATCACATCGGGTGCCGCCAGCTTAGTTGCCGATAAAAGCAACAGCATAATTAGTTCACAACAAAATACTTATCCAATATACCCTATCAGATACTCCTTATATGTATTGCCAGATTGGCAACTTGATATACAGTACGGACTAGAACCTACCTGGAGACTTTGTAACCTAGGTAGGTAGGTAGTTTGGAAACATCAGTTTCGTAGCTACCATGGTTGACTTGGATTGCTCTATTTGTTCATCTTGGAGCACAATAGGAGTATTTCCTACTCAAGTAATGCAGATGGTTCACAGAGACCCACTGCTTTACCTCCATAGTGCTAAGTACACGTGGATAGACAGCGACTGGATCCAGATTTCGAGTGCTGTTGCATTGATGTTGATGCTGTTGTGGGGGAACCGAAAACCCGGGCCGGACTGAATTACCGAAATAATTTGGGTTTCCCCCTATCCCATCCAAAGCTGTCGGATCAGGTCTATTATTAAACATGAAAGACGTTGAAGGTAGCTAGAAACGAAGGATACCGACGAATGATGTGAGCTGTTTTGTTAGCTGAGAGGCCTCGGGCGCTGGTTGTAGGTAACCTGATATGGTAGCCTGAAACTTGTTGAGTGCAATGCGTCGGGTTGATGAAACAGGTACCTTCCTACCTACCTGGTATGGGAGATAGCGTACGCGCCGATAGTGAAATTGTGGATAGTAAGTAGTGGTGTCCAATGATGGCGTTCAGATGTTTTTTTCTTCTTCTTCAAGGGTCGCATTTTATGCAGCTGGTTCTTGATTACCTACCTACGGTACTTGAAGTATGCAGTGTTTGGGTGTGTGTGTGTGTGTACCTGAGTCCTGGATTTAATTAAAACAAAACGGCCTGAGCGAGCTGATGGTAATGGGAAAAGGCGACTGTAGATATGTGGTTTTCAGTGGTTTATTAGGTATATTTGGCCGTAGGATGTTAGGTAGTGTAGACTTAGTTGTCTTGTCTTGTCTTACAAAAAGAGTCTCGTAATCGCTCAGGTACAGTACCATGGCTCTTAAAAGTCCAAGTCATGTTCTACAGCAGCAAGTCGATGGCCCAAACACAACACGAATCACACAATACACGTCACCACCTGGCCGAAAGAGGAAGATCTGCGGCCAGTAGCCCCAGATAGTGTCGGTTGTACCTGTTGGTCTAGGCAGATCCAGGCACTCCTGTGTACATTTTACATGCAGAAGCATTGCATCGTGAAGTCAGTTACTCGAGTTACTCCTGTTAGGGATATGCTAGAGATCTCTGCTGACATGGTAACGGAGAGTACCTGCTGAAGATGCTGAAGAGGACTCGCCCGCCCTAGCCGACCCGACGAAGCAGTGAGCGGGCGGGAAGAGTCGTAACGGGTCTGGGCAATGGCGCCGTTTGACCCCGAACAAATCGTCAGGAGGCACACCACCCTAGGTACCTAGCATACACCGTGTGTCATCCGATATTGTGTACCTTTTCTTAGCACAGAGCTGGTATGTCGAGATGATGTAGTCGACATCATCGCACTGTATTTGTAGTCGGGTGTGCAGGGGATCTGGAACACAACTGACAAGACAAGCGGCGAACAGACACGCCTCCACCGCCTCCTCCTCTCCAATGCCACTTACTGTAGGTACTTACTTACTACGCTGCCGGCTACCCATTGACGCTGGTACCTGACGGCATACCATAGTGTACTTCACTTCCTCGGTGACTGGCTCATGCCATCCCATCATCATCCCCCCCCCATTTCCCCAATCCTCTCGGTTGTATCACAAGTCAAGTCTACCAGACCACTTGGGATCATTCATCACCATAGACAGACACAGACAGACAGACCATCTACCTGCTGGTGTAGATCAGTCGGACTGTTACTAGATACCCTTTCCTTCTTCTCCATTAGTCCCATTAGTCCCATTATTCTTTATCGCTTCTCGCTTCTCCAAGCTGGCTTGCTATTCAACACATTATCCTCTACCTTATGTAGATAGCATTTTCCTCATCTCCAACCTTAAACCAAACTTCGTTTGATTCATACGCAGGCAGCCATATCATTCGCTTCCTTTCTTTCTCTGCCCATTGGCTTGCTTTCTCTGTCTCTTCTCTATCTCTTCTCTGTCTACAATAACATCTTCTGATTCCCGCCATCTTCTATCTTCGCTATTTCCTTGGATCCCCTTGGACCCCGTGCGTTCCGCGAACCCGCCCTTACCTTGCACCCCCGACGGTAGCGTATCCAGTGTCTCGACTCGCCTTATCGCCGCCACATTCCACGCTTGCGCGGGCGATTGAGTGTGCGACCACACCACGAGCACCACTCACCCACCACGACGTTTACGGCGACCACAACACCCGCAATCGTCCTACATCCCGCCTAACCCGCCAACCATCTCCTCGTATCCCCAACACGCCTACGCCGACCTTCAAATTAACGCCTCGAATCTCTGTATATTGTCAACCGTCGTTTCTTTTCTTCATTCCCTCCTCTGCAGCATCGGGGTGCCTCTCCTCGACAACTCCGCGGCCGAATGATTGTGGCGAAGCGGTGACGGAACCGTCCCAGCCGTGTTTCTGCTTGGTTGTTTCAACTCATCAACACACAAACTATCGCAAACGCCCAACATGGCGACTCCTCTAGATGGCATCGTCATCGGATTGCTATCATCCTTTGGCTCTGCCGTCATAGTAGCCGTCATATTCTTCGTCATATGGTTCTTCCGTCACACCGCATCCGGTCGCATCTTCCTTGACCGCATCGGCCGTCCTGGCGAATATGACGATGAGCAGGCATTTGCGAGAGAGGAAGCCGAGGCCCTGGAGACGATGGATGAGATGCAAAGAGCAGAGTATCAACGAGCAAAAGGTTGGCAAAAGTCGCATCCCTCCTCTGTTCAGACAATCCTAGATCGGTCCTCCAACTACATACTAGCCTCGTAACTAACTTACCTTCAGTATACATACAAGGATACCCACCCGATTCGATCCAGACGGACATTTCATTATCTCAATATTTAGCTATTCAAGAGAAGGGCGTGTCAGCATGGGAGTTTGAGCCGGAGTTGGAGATTGCCAACTGCTTTGTTGAAGCCAGGACCGAGATCGAGTTCTTCGATTCCGAGTGTACAGTCATGAGCAATCTGCCTGTGCCAAAACAAAACGAAGTATACTATTGGGAGGCGAAGATATACGAAAAGCCCGAAAATACGTTATTAAGTATAGGCATGTCTACGAAACCTTACCCGCTATTCAGGCTTCCAGGTATATGCGCCATGTCTTCCCCATTAGACTTACTAGCTGCTAATGCTGATTTGTTTAGGATACCACAAATATTCTGTTGCCTACACATCTACAGGCGGGCGGAGATTTAATCAACCCTTCATGCCCACTCCTTACGGCCCCCCCATAGTCCAAGGTGATGTAATTGGTGTGGGATACCGCCCTCGAACTGGTACTATCTTTTTTACTCGTAATGGTAGGCGGTTGGAGGATGTCGTCCACGGCTTAAAGGCACAAAATTTCTTCCCTTCAGTTGGCGCCAATGGTCCATGCCTCGTTCATGTCAATTTTGGACAGGCTGGCTTCGTCTTTATCGAGGCCAATGTAAAGAAATGGGGGCTCGCGCCGATGACAGGCAGTTTAGCGCCTCCACCGCCGTATGGAAGCGAACAAGGTAGTATCCTACTAGAGTCCGGCCGTAGGAAGGACGAGACTCCAGGATCGCCATCACGAACCCATTCCTACTCGCAATCATACCAGGCATATACGAGTCGAGGTCCATTACAGGATTTGGGTCACGCACGAACGCGCAGCGGTAGCTACCGGGTTTTGCCACCCACCAGTCCGGGACCACAGAGAAGTCCTACGGATATTTCCTTGGCACAACTGGTTCCTACGGATGAGGCAGGTGAGGGAAGTACTGCTGGCCATGGCTTTGCGCCCCCCGGAGAACATGTAATCGATATTACTGGTCTAACCCAGCATGAGGCCTCACATCCACCACCCGAATATACGAGTCCTGAACATTCCGATGAGGATGGCTCAGGCAGCGGTTCTGAAAGTGACGTTACTCCTTTAATAAGGACACCAGCGCGGAGTCGTGGGGCTTCTTCCGCTGCCGCCTTTCGTCCGCGACACCCCCCGATACCCAGCTATAGCGACGCTGTGCGCCAAGGCGCTGGTAGGGATAGAAGCCGAAGCGATACCAGTGCTATGCCAAGGAGGAGTGGTCAGTGAGATTTTTTAAACTGGCCGGCTTTTTTTCCCCCTTTGGACTGGAGTTTGTCGGGCGCTAGGACGGAGGCAAAGGCAGGGCAGGCGGCTTTTGTTCAATAAATAATCTGGGGTCTCAGGAGAGGATAAAGAAAAATTGCCAGCCTCCCAGTTAAGAAAAAAACTGCACAAATCGATTCGGAGGGGATTATTAACCCGTAACCTGTTGTCATGTTAAAAATACCCGGCTAGCAAGATGAGAATTGTAGCCATTCGTCCTATCCTATCCATCCATTCATCGTCCATTCGTTCTATGAAACCATGAGAGACGGCGTTTTAGGTGTTCGCTCTTTTTTTTTTTTACTGGTTTTATATGGTTTATTTTTTAGGCGAGTCTTGTTCGTCTGTCATCGTTCATTGCATGCATGCATACATACAAAAAAGCCTGGGTTGTTTAATGTAAAGATATTAGTACAGCATGGCACAGCACACCACATAGATATTGCATTGGGATGTATTTTGTGTTGGGTTGGTTTGGTTGGTGCGAAGATAGGGATTAAGGGGTTAAGGGGGTGTAGATATTAGATATTGGGTACCTAGTGTAGGGATTATTTAATTATGTCCTTACATGATGTAAATATGTTAAATGTGATAATTAATGTGATTAATGAATGTATTAGATGTTGCCTGATTTGAAATGTGGGAGTGTTGTTGCATATTGATTGAGTACCTATGTGGTTTAAGCTGGAGAGAGGGATTGAAGCGGGTAAGTAGTTATTATAGTTGAGTAAGTGGGGAGGGAGGTAGGTAGGTAATATATTGTGTTGGGTAGAAGATGGGAAGTGGAAAGGGGAAGAAGAAAGGGCGAGATGAGGAGGTTTTGGATGGTGATGAGAGGAGGATGTTGTTGAGTAGGTAGGTAGTTTGAAGAGAGATAAGAACCCGAAGGTTTCTTCCCCCCTCCCCTCCTCTTATGTCTCTTAGGAATTTGAATTTGGGAATTGTGGCATTGTGTTTGGATATTGACTTGATCGGTTTAGATTGAGGGTTGTGTCTTGCTGAAATGGAAGGTATATAAGGGTTACATTTAACTGAACTATTTAATCTAAGTAAAGTGGAAAGACCGCCTTATATATATCGATAGTGCCTTCGTGACCTTTTATACCCCTTAATCCTACTGTATATATGAAGTGACTCCTTTACCACCTATACTTTCAACATGTTTAATGGAGATTCGGTTGCGGTGGTGGCGGAATGATCAAGTTTGGACTGGCGTTAATATGCTGTAGGTAGATAGGTAGATAAGGAGGTAGAGGGAAGAACATTTAGTTACGTTTATTTTTATTCTTATTTTTTTTCTTTGGTTTGGATTATTCGATGTCTAATGACGTGGTGAAGTTGCATTCTCAAGGACATACTTGAATTGTAGCATGGTGCTGGATATATATTGATGACGATATGGTGTATTCCTCTGAATAGCACTAATAATGTAAAACGGCGATCTGTAGGCGTTTAATCCTCTTTGTCTGGTTACCTATTCAAAGTAGGTAGTGAGATTCCGTCTTTGATCGCTCTCAGCAGAATCGTAACTGAATCGCCAGTCTGAGGAATAGTCCGCCTCTTGTTTGGCGTCGGATGGTGAGATGATTACCCTGAAGAAATCTACTTCGAAAAGTAGAGAAGGTATAGTGAGCTTATGTGGCGAGGCCGATGGGTTAAGTGGTAGTTACTTTTGTTTCACAAGTCTGTAGTATTTCCCACCTTTTTCTTCAGACATTTGCTCTGAGGGTCGATATACCAGCGATTGTTGGTTCTAGAGTATTAGCAGAGTGATTGTCATATTCCTTTTTGCGTCCTTCTCGCTCCTGCTATGGAGTTGAGAAAAAGGGAGACAAGCAAGCTTGGTACAGAGGCATGTGTGAAATGAGCGCTTAATTAACGCTGTATAGCATCTTAATAATGGCCTGGGTTGTAAGCTACATTACTTCGTAGTGTTCTAATTCATACATTTTTATTCTTTGCATTTTTATCTTTTTATCGTACAGCGTCGTGAGATAGGATTGAGTGCCTATTGATGGAAATTTGGGATTGCTATCATAAGGGCGTCAGTTTCAACCTCCCCCCGTTGCAATCTTTCTTGCAAACAACCCTGATGCTACTGCTATGACATAGATATGTCATAAGGACCTCTTCTTGACGCCACCCATAGGAGTTGGGGAAAGTGTGAAGGTTACTCTTCTGCATTGGAAGTCACCATTCATTCAGAGGAAAGTCTAGCTCGGTATACCTCTATCCTGTTTTTGGCACGTCACTCACTACTAGTAGGTAGGTAGGTAGGTAGAAAATTTCTTGATTTTCTCTTTGAACTCCTCTAGAAATTTGCTTCGTTTCCTAATATACGTAAACAACTCATTCTTTGGATGCAACTCTGCAAAAGCACTCCCTAGATAGTATCTAGTCTAGGTGATCCAATATTTCATGAAATCTGTTTTCAAGAAAAGCTTGGAAAGCTATATAACCATATAGCCTACTGTGAGCACGAAGGATATCATCCTTTGAGTATATTACATAAGGTTTGTCTCGTGTATATGTTCATAAATAGCTACTGGACTATGGAGGGAGTTAGCTTGAAGAAGGATCCCTAGCATCAATAGACCCCTGGTGGTTTTCATTATGAAACCAACACTCTAGCGGCTTGCAGTCGTCTACCAACTGGAACTTATGTGATATATATCATGTCGTTCAGGAAAGGATCCCCAGTGAGTTGTCACCGAGCTTCATCATAAAACGGATGATATAGCACAAGCAATTAGACTTGGCGTACAGTATACTACTGGTAATGATTTCTCACAACTACAGGAGAGTGGAAATGTTCATATTGCTACAAGATACAGTTACAAATGAGTTTCGATGCGGTATAATGTTAGGAGCTCTAACTCTCCCATCTCAATCTTTTACTGCAATCCTGATCCACAGCAAATTAGTTATATATAAGTTCAAAATTAACACTAAATACTGAAACTTGCTCTACTTCAACAATGACTCAAATCTGGGGTATCAATTGTGTTTCAACCCATGCTTGATCGCCCCTCTCTCATGTGAACAAGTGAAACTGCCTAGATCCGAATGCTACTGCATCTCAAGATCGTCTGATAAGTCGTCTCCTGATATCTAACATCATGAAAAGATTATGAGAAGGTCAACCCAGTAGTCTTTCATGGGTCTTGATGTGGGACATCCTACTCCACCTGCAGGCCCTTTGAACCGCCTCGATCAGCGCGCGAACACGAGAGGCTGGAGTATAAGTGGAACACAAGGAGCGACAGAATATTACCCCTGTAGCGATATCGCTTAGATGATGGACGTTAAGTCTATCTGAATTCTGTGGTCTGCTCTGTACTCGGGAGAAGAAGCCTTGACTGCGCCAGAGTACCAAGTGAAGGTGGATCTACTGAGTTTCACGTCTATCTTGAATGAAAGGGTACAGTTGTTGAGATCGGTAAGTCGCGACGCATTGCCGGTCTTAGAAGTCATCGTGATCAACGCTGACATGCTCACGATAACCCCACAACGCCTGTGAGTGGTGCGCAAGGCGTCGCACATCGCATCACGAGATATAAGACAGGTATTATAGCTGATCGCAGCGTGAGAACTATCCCGTCTCACTCACATCATCTCACTCACATCTACATGCTACACACACGCCGAACCCGGCGTTGATTTCTCTCTCTCTTCTTTGCGGCGGTAGACATGCAATGCATTTTCTCCCGCCCCGAAGGCGACAAGTCTAGTGGAAGCGCGGTAAGCATCAGTGGCCTAAAATCGCCCTACTGCCCACATGTCACCATGTAATGCTACCTACTCACGCTACATTGCGCGCACTGCATCATCATACATACCGGTACGACCTAAGTATTTGCCACTTCGGCAAACCCGTGATCCCTCGCTCCTATTTGTAGACACAACTATGGAAAATTTTCTCTTTAAACACCACATGGAGGACCTTGGATTTTTCGCCATTCATGATCGCATGCAGATATAGCCGGGAAGTCGCTCCGTCAGCAAGGTGCCAAGACCGGGGGCTCTAATGTAAAGTTTGACAATGTTACTGTACTGGCTGTGTCACGGTAGGTAATTGAGATAGAATTAATTGAAATTCGATGTAGATATGTGCGTCACGGACAAGTGTGTGTTGCGCGGAACACTCACTCCCAAACCATCCCTTAGCAGGTCGTATAATTGATCTATGTATATAAAACGCTTTCAGTGGCTACTGGTAAGGGAAGTGAAGGCGGCGTCATCTAGCACATAGGAGCTTTGTGTTTGCTGACGTGATGACACACCTAGCACACACATACACATGCACGCCGATGAATAGTCGGTGAGGAATCGGAATGGAGTGGCAAAGGGCCCTTCGTTTTCGGGTCCTGGTCACCGGGTGACGTAACTCAGCGTCAATCTCATCGAACCAATCTCATCCAACACGACTATAGCGTCTCAGCTGTGTTCGTGGTGTAGATGTTGTTTCCTTCTTTGCCTGTGTTCTTGATCCTTCACAGTCTTCCGCGATCTTGCTTCGCCGTCAAAGACAGAGCTGGACTTACTTAGTATAGCCTCGTGTTCGGCATTCGGGTGCAGGCGGATTGGAGTGGGAGATGTTAAACAGCTGCCGCGTGAATCCTGTAATCGCCTGGGGATCCTTCTCCGGACTTATTCCGACCCCCTTTTATGGGCTCTGTAATTCCATATTCAAGCTCGGCTTTTATTAATCATAATTGTGGTGTAGTAACATATCTGGCACTTTTTCCCACGTAGTAAAATGGCACTTGGCCTCCTTATGCTCTTTGACAACCTCTTCGAGCATTGACAGCGGCAGAGTGCGGGACCAGACACGTTTTTTCTTGTCTGCGCCCAGAAGGAGAGCAACTCTGGTACGAGGACCACTCATTTCATCGTGCATTTGGTAGCACACTGCTTGTTTTTTAGCGACGCAAACGAACTTCTAGAAACCAGGGTTCAGACAGGGTTGCAAGACTTAGTCAGTAGTCTAGCGCTGTAGATCATGTGGGCTACCCAAATAGTGCTGTGAGTTCGACGAGCGTTTATCTCTTTGCAGGCTAGCCCAGTCTCTGTCCAGTAGTCTTGAACCCTCGCCGCAGAGGCTGTTGTCCCCGGATTGCCCAAGTCGTGAAGTGTGGTCACGACTAAAAGCGCAGGGGGAGAGAGAATGCTGTGACACCTGCTGTGATGAATGGGTATTTGCTACAGGTAACAAGCAACCTCTATTGAACGTTACACGTAAAAGAGTGCCCGGCAACACTCTAAAGCTGTGTAACGAGTGTCAAGATGAGACGGGACATTTAAGCTCAGACTCTACATAAGGACATAGTTCTCCCAGTCGAATACAAGTCCAAGCCAGAACCCGCTACATGTAGGTAACTACATTTGGAGTAGGTACACGAGTTGGCTTCAGGCGCGACTATGTTCATTTCTCGGGGCTATGAAAAAGGGAGAACCTTCTGTGAAGAACATCACACTTAGTAGAAGATATGAATACGGCGCCAGACATTGCTTCGTGACTGTATCAAGTGTCTCAGCCAGTCAGTCAGCTCACTTGAACTGCATTACTGTAGCCGTACGAACATACACAAACACTGCATGATGCAAGGCACATCAAACAAGCATGTCTTAAGTCGTATCCGTAGGGTTCGGCTGAGATCGCCGCCTCAACGATGCAACAGGGCCTTCTAGCTTGGCATGAAGCATACCTAGGTAGCTGGTATTGTCGGGTCAGAGAACCAGGTTGGTAGCTTGGGTACTGTTTAGGGAAGCTCGAAGCGGTGACCACATTCCAGAACCGTAAGACAACATCGCCGTTAAGGAGTTGAGTGACCAACCTGGTGGCTACGCGGTTAGTCTAGGCTCTAGGTATACTGCAGTGCAGGTCTCAAGGTCTGATGGTTTGCCTGCACCTAGTTGAATAGTATGTCACCTGGTCTATGTAAACATATTATGTAGATGCCATGCTTCTTATGGATATTCTCGAGATTTATGATCTGTCTATCTATCCGTACATGAATTGTACTATGTGCGGAATCCTAAGTATGCGCCATCTCTCTCGCACTCCCGTCATACAGTTACTAGCATACGGATACTATTACCTACCTACCTACCTACCTACCTGTTTGGGAACCGTTTACGTTTCAGATCCTTAATTAGTGGCGCCAAGAATGAACGGCAAAGGATCAGGACGCAATACCTACTTGGTATCGTATGGCCTGGTTGACCAATATGTAGTGTAGTATAGTTCTATGTAGTGGACAGTACTGTATGTATAACTGTACTTAGAGCAGATCTGAAGGAGATCGTTAATTGGCATTATTATAGCAGCTATTATAGCAATAGTTACTTACCATGTATACTTGTAAGCAGTAAGTAGGCATGCCCTATGTGGTTATGCGTGGTCTTTTGTTGGCGGCGGTCAGGGGTCCAAGTTCCAAGGCAAAGCCGTAGATAAAATCGATACTAGTGCGCTGAGTAGCTAACTTCCTACGTACATAGTATAGCTACGTAAGCAAAAGATGTTGAGATCACAACCTCAACAGTACGCTCACTACTTCTCGTTAGGTCGTACTGGGCGGGAGTCGGAAGTTGACTCACGAATGTGGGAATTTCAGGGTGACCCCAACCCGCAAACTACCGTCTTGAATCTGTATTGTGCGACCTTGATTGCCGAGGGGGCCCGACGTGGCTGGCGTCGGTGTGATGCCGGAATATGGTGAGATGGAAGATATACTATGTAGGTGATCATCACGGAGTGTTGCGAGCATCTGTACGGCAAGCTCCGCCGTGGCGTATCTCGTCTTGCCTATCTATACTGATTCGGCATCCTGAAACGTGACGGATGATACTGAACATGAACAGCTCCAAAAGTGCTAATTAGTCGGCTCGACTGGTAAGACATACATCAGACCCAGAGCTGCTGGCATCTTGTGCCGACTCTGTTTAGGGCACTTTCTGGTAACACTAGTCGTTGTGGCGTCAACCATCTTTGATATCGGTCTCTATATCAGCTAGAAATGTATTTAAATGGGAGGCTGGCTTGACGCAGCCATGTTTGTCATGTCATGTGGTACAATCTGTCACCCTAAAATTTACCTGCTTTTGCCTGGCTGAGACAGTCAATTGGCAAACTCCGTGTCTGTCCGTGATATTAGCTGCCGATGGTTAGCTATCTAAGCGGGCTAATCCTCCACCGATTGTAAGCTGGCTAATTAATGAGTGCGAGGGTGCTCACGGTTCCTCACAGATGCCTACATGAGCGCTCCAACTCCATACAGTATCTTATGGTTGTAGGAGTACTGAAAACCGATTTACTACATAGTAGTAGGTACAGGGCAGCACGGCACGTTTCAGAAGCAGGTTTTCGTCGACAATCTGAAGCTGTCATCGACAAGCACAGCGTACGATCGCACAGTATTGTATGTGTGTTCCCTATCCATGCGTGGCGGTCAGCTCGATGGCCGGGGCCTCTCCAGGGATTCTATATATGTTCTAGCGCTTCTGCAGCACATTGCCGGGCGCGCTCCGCGGCGGTGATTGCATGCTTTGTACAGACGGACATGGCATGGTCGACTATTCACAAAGGGTATGGGAAAGGCGACAATACTCAGATACACCAAAAGGAACACAACGCCAACTGGCGATTCTGTCTACTGTACACGTACTTAATGTGGCTATAGAACGATAGTTTCTGGCTATTCCTAGCCTGTGCCTAGTATAAGTCTTGGAATGGGGGTAGTGTAGAGGTCAGAGCGGGAATAAATATGCCAAGATTGGGGGGGCGTTGAGCCAAAGTATGACTACATTCTTGGTGCAGCAGCGAAAATAAAGACATCTCCTGTTGCTTTTGAACAAGTTGGGCAGCATATGGAGCATATGGGGTAGCATCCAATGTCATCCTCGAAAGATGGCCGCATTGCCTGCGGCCTGTGACCTGCGACCTACGACCTACGGCACGTACCTTAACCTGCTCGCTCGATGAACTGTTGTTGTATTCGCCAGCCAGTCCGGCGGACTTGAGGACATGATTATTACAGTTACCTGCCGAGCTACACACGCCTCAATCGATCCATCGCTCGTTTCTGCGGCGTTTCTATGGCATTCGTGGGGAACTACTGCAGGTTATGTGTCACGGGCGCGGCAGCTTCTGTTCTGCAGACAAGCGATTGGGCTAGACGCAGCAGGATCAATCTCACGACCTTCATTAGTCAGTATCCCTGAGGCTTTGCATACACGTACAATCGGAGATATGTGTACATACCTATTGGAACTTGGAAGTAAGGAGTACCTAGTGCTATGGAGAATGTAGTTTAGGGCAGAATAGATAGATCGTGCACTATCTACTGAAGTGCAAACACTAGTTCTTGACCTTCGACATGCGGCGTTTTCCCTCCGTCTCTGACTACCATCCCATTACAGGCACCTCTCCCTACTTGGCGTTTAGTGTACTACCGGTATTGTACGTAATGTAGAGCGGCTAGAATAACCGCCCAAGTATGAAAAGTATTGCGGCTGCAATGAAGCTCGTCACTTGAGATACTACTATGTATTCGTATAAGTAGGTCTGTGAAGTGTCTGTATATTCGCCGAGCTTCAAAGGTGCTGACGGGTTGTTCGCTACCGTAGAATTTGTAGTAGCAACTAAAAAGCCACTTGAGCGCTCCTTATTCTCCGGTTGTTATCGTCCTCTCCGGTTTGTCCGGTGTCATGTAGTGTAATGGAAGCCGGCCACCGTCCTTGCTTCTTGTTCGCTCGTTTGTGCTTGTGCGAGACACAGCATGGAAGGGTTAGGTCACAAGACCTGGTGATCCTGTTTGGTCGCGCACCCGGATCAGAACCTAGGGTCAGTATATCGGTATCTTGCAGGCTTCTGTAAACCCCTGAACCTGGCCGACTTTTAACTTGACGTTTACAGGTAGGTATCCAGCTGCCGGGCTCGCATCTTTCGTTGAGGATCTGTTGAGGGTGAAGGAGTGTACCTACATACCTACATGCTGCCGTTCAGGGGGCCGTGCAGTAGCTCACGGTGTGGTCTCCATGTTACCCTGTCTATAATGCATACGGTAACGCACCTATTTAAGTACGATGAACAGCTACCTATAGTAGGAGTGAACTCTTTTACTAGACTGGGTACCGGTTGCATTCTCAAGTAGGAAAATTATGATGTGTACGGAGTATACAACTAATACTTAGTACTACATATAAATACAAAGTCTATTGGGCTGCGCCATGCTGCTATAAGGATAGGGAGATGTTTGCTTTGAGTTAGACGAGTCTGAAGATGGTCAAGACTGTCAAGTAATTTTTTAAGAGTGTGGAATCCCTGCACTTCTTCTATTCTAAGTTTAGCCAGGTAAGTAAGCCGATTATATCCCAGCCGGTTTCTCCATATTTCATCATGGACCTGATGGCGTTCTCAGGAGTTACAGTACACTACCTACACGTACGTTAGCTATGTACATCGATCCTTTTCTCTATCCACCCTACCCCTGGGCATTTTTCCAGATGCACAATTACCACACAACACATTTTCCCTATCTGGAGCGTACAGTGAGAGAGAGAGAGACACCTACCTACTTCAACAGTCCGCTGCCCAGATAAGGTACAGTACGCTATTCGGTACACTAGTCTGACCATTTCTACCGTCTACTTGCTCTGTCTAGTGTAGGTAGCGTACTCAAGATATTTAAATTAATGTTCGTGAATGTACAGGGGTCAGCCGACCGTGGATAGCGAGGCTTTGCGGTCGGCCTATCCCACTACACTGCATACGTTCTACTACTTCACTTCATACTTACTTACATCTCGCTCTCGCCCTTTCTTTCTTCTCTTTCACGCCACTTTTCCTTTGCTGGCAGGTGGTTGGCCACCTTTCTTTCTGCTCTCGCCTTCTTGCGGAAAACTGGCCGAGGTGTGTTGAGTTGTCTCTGGTCAGTAGTTTCATTCCGAGGAAGGCCGACCAGCTGGCTGTTATTTTTCTGCGCCTCTCGCCTGCATTGTGAATCGGGCTTCTCTTGATCACTCTGAATAAAGGCTCGTCGCCATCTGGTCCTCCCTTTCGCCGGTTCGCTCTCAGCATGCCGTTTTGACAACAGATCAAAGAGCTCGGCTTCTCGCGTTTAGGTTATGTTTCATATTTTTAAGCTGTGCGCGATTGTACTTTTATACATTGAGGGTCAGGCCTAAAATCTTTGCGCCAACCCGCGCAACACTCATCTAACTCCAAGCTGTTACTCTGATATACACCTATCGCCGCCATGGAGGACATTCTTCTCATGCCTCCCGACCGGGGCCCAATCCTCGGAAAGCCTGTCTGGAAGGTGATTTGCTACCTGCTGCCACCCAGTGCGCACCCAATGATTTATTTCCTTGAAGTGCTAACACAGTCCGATTTAGCCACGCTATGTCGTCCTTGGCTCATTATCGTATAAAGAAGGCCACCAGCCGAACCTGTCGCTTTCACAGGTCTTGTCCAATGCCCGTATGAGAGATGTAGGCGGACGGGCTTCGAGATCACAATTGAAGGGTCTCACTGACGCCACTTACCTCTCGGTTTACAAGTCCAAGGTGCGCTTTGGATGGATCAGATGTTGAGACTGTGTTTGCTAACAGGCCTGTAGGAGGATAAAGAGCCCATTTGCCAGCATTCAATTACATCGATAACAGATTGCCAAGTGCGGCAGGTTGCCCACCGAAAACAGGGTCACATTCCTACTTTAACTATCCAGATTTCTCCCGACCCGGCAACCGACAAGCTGCGAAAGCGTCGATCGAGCCGATCAGGAGGACTAATTGCGACCAAGGATTCGGGTCCCTCAACACTTTTGTTTCTCACCACCGAAGGATCACAGTATAGCCTGGACGATTGGGCAAGGAACATTCAGACTCTCGTGCAGCGACAACAATCCATGCCTATGAGCCCAATTAGTCCATCGTCACCAACCTTCATAAGCCCGTTCTCGCCGGTGCCAGATATAGCCGAAAAGTCTTCGCCAGCGTCGAGTGCAAAGGGAAAGCTGAAGTCAAAGCTGCAAACAAAGTCGTCTGGCAGAGCCATTCCCCTGTCACGCGAACCAAGTTCAGTATATGCTCCTGGATCCCCTAGTCTTCGGTCGCGAACGAGTGATCTCTCTTCTCAAGCCAGCTCCATGGTGCCGGCTGCTATGAATTTCGTTCAGCAGCATTATGCCAATCTTCAGAACTCGGAACTTCCTTCACCGGCTGCTACGGTAGATGAATATCCAGAGCAGTTGATTGAAGGGTGGACAATGGCACAAGGACGCTCTTCGACTCTGAGCTCCCCTATCATGGGGCGGGCCAGCATAAGTTCATCCCAGGGCCCTAGTCAGCCTAGCTTGGAGTCAAGCCCACCTATAGTCCCTCGTGAGACTATCCTAGACCGGGCTTTCCAAATGCGATGTATCCCCGGCTCCGATAGAGAGGTCGCAGGGGAAGAGAAACTCACTTCTCTTGCAAGATTTGAGGCACTGATGCGTGAAACAGAAAATCGCCAGAAAATCGTGAGATCGAAGGAGACAAAGCTTGAGCCTCTAAGGAGCACATGGGATGATGAGAGCGACGAGGATGACGACGAGTTTGGTCGGGAAGTCGATGATGACGATGAAGATAGTGACGATTACGCCTTCGAAGATGGCGGTCATGATGGGATGGATGCGACAACATTCAAGGCACTTCGATTCATTACCAACCGTCACAATTCAACTTATAGCGAATCTGGACTGAGGAATGCACCATCAGTTTCACGCCCACACACGTCACACTCACGAAGTCGACCTACGGCCCAGCGGACCAGCAGCCAACCGTATATTCCCGGTCCTCCTTTCCATATTCCATCATCCCCACCACTGAGACAGACCGAAAACCTTGCGATGCGACGATCCAATGAGAAACGTCACTCTACCTCTGAGATGAAGAACCTCAGCTTCAATGAGTTCACGAAACGATTGAGCGGCACTAGTAGTCTACTCATTCAATCGAACGCCAGTACCGGCAGCAATCGTGGAAGCGGTGATTATGATACGCATACTCCACGTGGGTCCATGAGTCCTCGAGGCCCTAGCCAGACCTCGGACGAGCGCTGCCGATGGCGAGGCAGCATTGGTGTAATTGGAAACGAGGGGGGCTTTTTATGATTCGGGAACAACACAACTACTGCTTCACGCGATCTTGCTTTTACGACTTCTCCGAAGGGCCGTCGACTTGTATTAACTATGACTACTTACCACTCCCATGGCTCATTCTGTATGACTTTGATGATAATCGATTACGGGCCCAAGCATTACGCAATATTCGACATCATGACCTGTCGGCTTTACGATGTTTCTAGCTTACGACACGGTGCTAATACCCCCCCTTTTCCTAAAATTTTTTCTTCGGCTGGCTGTTTTGCGGGAAAACAGCCGGAAACAATTGGACAGAAGCCCAAAAGCGAATACCTACCGTGTTTGCAATGTAATGATTTCTTTGGATTCTGTAGAGAAGTTAAAAAAAAAAAAAAACCGGAGCCCTCAATTGCGGGTTTCCGACCTTTTTTTTTTTTTTAGCTGCTCTTGTTTTCTTTGTACTAGATCTTAGCTTTGTTCATCCTTGTTGGTTTTAGATGAAAGAGAGCCGGAAGAATGGACATTTCCGTTAGGAAACTCGTCCCGAGATATGAGAGATACCCTTATCAATAAAACTACTGCAGAAAATCAAAGCACGAGATATAGAAAACAAGGTATTCAACATTGAGTGTTATGTCCCAGTTCCTAGATATTGAATATGGCTCGGAAACCTATCCGATGGAGTCACTTTCATTCGTACCACTCTTGGCCTACTTATACCTATTCTATGGTCTTCGACGTTAGCTCAGCAATAGAAGTAAGGATTGAGCAGACTGTTGTTATACTACTAGTATACAACTAAGGCGTAGTCATTACGTGAACACTAGATAACCAAGTCTTGGTAAAACTATAACTAAACTGAAGCAAACTGACCGGTTATAGTTTACTTCCATATTAACTAGAACTAGTAAAAATCAGAAGTAATATTGAGCTAACATCGAAGATTAATGAGGTATGCCTCCTTTAGAACAGGTGGCGATAAAACAACGCAACGCACCGGAATAGTTTTTACGCCATTGACATGACAAAAGACAACATTTCTGAGGCGGCATAGGCTAATTGTGTAAAAAGGTATGAATCCATGGTGCTAGCCCATTGAATACCAACACTATTCGCATCGATCACGGGACTCGAACCCGCAACCCCAGACTTAGGAGGTCTGTACGCTACCATTGCGCCAAATCGACGAGTCGGGAGTCGCCGTTTGTTAATCAGCGTCATGAATGAGGTCTAACTGGCGCAGCGGCAATAGTAGAGAATGTCTGAGAAAGCCAGCAGGCGGATGTGAATAAACTGTCTGCGAATCTCGCGTCCATGGTACATTGATAGTTGGTGAGTTTCTACTTAATACAGTTACTGCTGATGTTCACTATTACTTGGGGAAACGAAAATGGCGCTGTTGCCGGGGCGACTGAAAAGGTTCAGTGTTGGAAGATTTCCGTTTAATATTATACCTGTAGAAAGCTATAGTTAGCCACTCCGACGACTGCGTGAGACATGTCAAGATCTTTCAGATCAATATTGAGAAGTTGATGGAGGCCAATTTTAAGCCCGGGGACGAAATCTATTCTAATTACCACCTGCACTCCTACGGGACCACTGTTTTACAACATCTGGTTCGGGACGACTGAAACGGTAGTTCGCGATCCAACGCGACACTTTGAAAATGGTATGTGAAAGTTCTCGGGATTATCTTGCGCAAGTAGGTAGTCATTACCCTACATTTTATATACGAGCGTTGAATATATTTATAAATAGAAGAGAAATGTAGTTTTATTTTCCATTGGCAACTGGTGTACTTACTAAATGCTCGTTTAGTTGGAAACATCTTGCGAATATTTTACCGAGGTTTTGATTTATAGATACACTATTTCATTTAGTTTTCTCCCTGAACTCGACATAGATATCTATCTCCTATAGTGTGGCTTTGGAGTTTGTTTTTTTTACCAACTGTGCAGATATGAATTCCTCTTCCCTGGATATAGTGGTGTAAATTTAATATCCCTTACACAGAGAGTGACTGGGAGTACCCATTTAGATAATTGAAAGTAGATAGTATAGTGAACGAAGCCTTGCAGACTAATCTGTGGGAATTCTTCGAGCGGCATCAAATGCGTTTCGCACGATTCAATATGCTCAATCGAACAATAATGCAAATCGTCTCTCAACGCCCAAATCATCGATTAATAACAGGTGTATCTTTCGATACATTCATCAATGTATTGGTTTGTACGATTTGATGCATTGACCATTCACATTCGACAATGCACATTTCCAAAACAAAGATTGCTTCAATACAAACAACCCATTGTCTTATACGTTCCTGCTTGTTTTCTTGCAAGAACAACCATTATCAAAAAAATAGAGCGCTATTATTAGCATACATACCTAGGTACTGTGTCATATCCTTCTGCGTGATGTCCATAACTCATCACCTGTGTGGGCCAGTATAGGCATCTGGTGGTACCTGAATTCCATAACCACGACACCACTTTACATTGATCTTATGAACTTAAAATTCAAATGGGAGAAATTTTGATTCGAAGCTGGATTAGTTTTCAATCAACTACTTGATCTGACTGTCAAGAAATAAATACTGCAATACATATCTTGCAACACTTTAGGCATCAGCTGGCATATCCTCAGCCACGGTAAGGCTGCCTGCCGCCTAACTTGACTCGACCTGGTCAATGTATATGGGCTAGACCTTCATTCCATCCATTCATAAAGCCCATTCACCTAGCCTATTCACTCTTCTCATTGATAGCCAATTGTTCCTAGTATCCATTCATCTCCAGTCAACAATGACTTGTTGGCAGCGACAATAGAATGCTCGCAACAAGCCTATGCTTAAGTACCAAGCTCTGCGGTTTCTATAAAACTTACGATGCACTGCCAGATTCTTATCATTTTCTTCCGTCGTCTGACTTATATACCACAAGATCGTGGTGAGCAAATTTATTCAACTTGACTCGATATTTTTCTTGATCGCAAATTCACCCTTGACTGAATCCTTTGCGATTCTCTGTCGTAGAGATCATCAAACTCTTTCGACAACCACAAGCCTACAGGACTTCTATCTTTTAAATATTGGTTCTCATAATGCAGCGGGAATCTGTTGAGTCAGTCAGTCATGAACTGTCCTGGAGGGAGCAGTTCTCCAATGACAGCAACCCTGTTGTGACACCGATTTCCACAAGCCCGGAATTGTCCGAGAACACCGAGCAACCTGAGCGGTCTGATGATTCAAATCATTCGAATGAATCGGTTAAAGAGTCATCTGAAGAGGAGAATGGCGACCATAAAGACAACTCAAATTCCGTAGATCCTTGGGGTCTTACCGAGCTTCCAGAGTATGTGGACACTAGAACACCGCTGCAAATAACTCAGGACGAAGTAAAGGAGAATTGGGTCAGACGCAGCGAAACGAGTCGCTACGAACGGGTTATCGTTCTGCTGATTAGCTGGGAGGAGCACGATCTACCAGGCTTGGATGCGGACCAGAAACAGTTTCAAACGACTTTCGAGTGCCTATACAAATACGATGTATGGCGCTTCAAAATTCCTATGAAGAAACCTCATCTGGCTTTAACTAAGAAGCTTATGGACCTGGCACGTGCAGACAGTCCCGAGACTCTTTTTATTATCTGGTATGACGGCCATGGGAATGAGCATGAAGATCAAAGGGGCTGCCCTAGATGGTCGTCGCATTTTGAGGCCAAGTAAGCAAGTATATTCCTGATGAAGCGCCCTTCTTGGCTGAGCGGCGGCACCTTAAACTTGGTTTACTGACATACTATAGGATGAGCTCTACGGTAGATTCGAGCATCATTTCCATTGCCCTTGCCGATTCTGAGGCCGATATCCTCCTCATAAACAATGCGTGCAGCAGCTTAACTTGCGGCCGTTTTAGGGGCGAGGGCATCGTCGAGTGTATAAGTGCATCCGCCTTCAATACCTCCACATACGGATCCCACAAACCCGATGACTTATCACTCAGCATGTCATGGGCCGCACTAAGAATCTTGAGGGACAGAAAAGTAAGCAGCCTACTGACCACCTCCCCATCCTCCCTTTCCTTTTTCTTGTTTCCCCATCTATTTTTTAGTTCCTAATTGCATCTCCACTTGACGTACCTATCCTAATCGCTGACTCTGTGTGCTCTAGTCCGTAGAAGAAGGCATCTCGGTCACTGAACTCCATCGTCAGATATGTTTAGCTGTTCAATGGACTGGCGGAGAGCATCCCGACTATGACGAGGTAAATCCAGAATCTCAAGGTAAGAAACGTTTTCTATTTTCAAATACCCTTATTTCCAGTTTCGTGACCTTGCGAAGCCAGGCAACAGTAATCCTTTCTGAGTTTCTAGTCACACATAGATCATAAGCTTACAAATCACGTTTAGTCTTTTGGAAGCCTAGGGACATACGCAGTCAGCCGGTATATACTCGATTATCAGCCGATGCAGTAGGCGCCCATGGAAGGACGCGGGGCATTGTTCTTCGCCAGTTAAAACCAACGATGGGGAGCTTTGGGGATTATATACATCAGCCTGACCTGCAGATACAGCTTAAAGTGACCAGTGTAGACGAAATGGATTCGAAACAGTGGTCTGATTGGCTTCTATCTGCCCCGCCTGATGTCCTGGTTATCCGGTTGGAAGGCCTATCGTGCGAAGACGATAACGACGTGGCCGAGACGCAATCTCGGGATGACTCATGGTAACTTGTTTAAGCAGGTCTAGACGTAGTGAGGATGAGACTTTTATTATAACTTGAGCTGGGCATGGAGATGTTCAGAACTCTCAGAGTCTGCACAACACCAAAGTTGTTAGCATATCTCTACAATCGTTTTGGAATGTTACATGCCTATCAGTTGACAGATAGTTTTGGAGTCACTTATCGGCGTAGCAGATAGCACCACAAGGAATATAAGTTTTCTGGAAGAACATCGCATATGTTCATGAAAGCCAGAGTCATGACGCATAGGATATTACATGACACGCGATTGATATTTAAGCATACGCTGATATCTACACAAGTTATGAGGTAGGTATACAGAGATGCCGAAGGTTGGCTGTACAGAACTATTTTAGGTGGCGTAACTAGAGAAAGTAGAGGCGGGTTAGTAGAAAAATTGGCGTCACTGCTGGTTAACTTTCATTATTCTCTGAATAGCATCAAGTTCAAACCCCAGAACTCTGTCCTTGTTATACATGTAATATATATACTAATTACATACTAATTCGAGAGTCCGATGGCAACGTGGTACTGTTTATTACCACTTGTTGCACCCCCTAGGTTGAGCTTTAGCATAACAGTATTTTTTTTTCGCCCTCGCCCAAGACTACAGTTGCCATTCATGGACAATAACATCAACAGCAAGAGCCCTGGCTGGAATGTGCGGCTTGAGATATGCACTTGTGATACGGTTCATTGGCCATATTTTCAACTTGCGCCCTGAATGTGAAGCAACTAATAGCGATATAGATACAATACGTTTCGATCATACCTTCTCTTGGCGTAGCCAAGAAAACTTCTTCTTGATACCAATTCGTATCTCGATCTTCCTCTTTACCCCGAATGTAGTTGCACGGCAGAAAACTTCTTGGCTTGAAGGAACAACTGGATTGCGTCTTTGCTTGATGGGGTACCTAGGTTGACTTGTATTAGAAGGTGTGAGTGGGGTGCGTCTCTCGCTTTTGCTGCATTCTCATTTTTCCCCATCTTTTGTCATCAAGATTTGTCATCCGGATTTGCTGTGCGCCGCTGCACATGCAATTTGGTGATATAGGTTCCAATATGCATACCGCATGTTACACATTTTGGCTTCACCGCCCACACAGGACGCCCAAAAATACCCATAAGTTTCATCCTAACAACACTATGGCGTTCTGAAGGTCATTGGGTTGAGAGATTAGGCAAGTACTGCTCCAAGCTTTCATTTCCTTATAATTTCAAGTTTCGAGAGTTGAGGTATGGGTCGTAGGGCCTACCAAGTGACTTCTCTCATTTGTAGATATGCATCTCTTTAAGCTTCCGCCAGAGCTTGTGCAGCCCATCTTCGAGCAAATTGTCAAGTCGCGCCAATTCGAGCACGTAATGCGAATTCGTATTGTTAGCCGTACGTCTTCTCCCTCGTTAGCCCGTTCCACGCCATCATCCAGAATTATTGAGCATGCTGTAAATTTACACTCCTTCAAGGCCAGTTCAAGACCTACATCGATGATGCCATTTTTCGGCTTCGTCTTTTAAGTCAGCTTGCGGGTTGTCTTCTCCCTACGGAAAAGTTTTTCAGGTGTCGACCAGCTTTTGTTTCATATATGTGCTCGTACCTGGAATATCAGACAGTACGGGAAAAGTCAACTACATCTCGGCTTGGTCGGATACATCGAGCCGCGAAAGCTGTCTGTGAAATAGAAGGACATATTGGAGGTGAAATTGTCATGAAGGTTAGGCTCATTGAGTTCCCTATTAAAATATTCTCGTATGGCTCAGACACAACATTACTTGGACCTTAGCCTTTACGGCTATTACTAACTTCCAGGATTAACTAGTGTACCATATTACTCATCCTGTTAGCAATGCATGACAGTATTGAAAAACTACTACAAGAACCTAAAGTTGAAGAGCCATGTTCCGACGGAGACCTCGAAGCCGATTTATACGTTGCTGCTATCTACCTTGGCCAGAAGCCTTACATCAAAGGTTTAATCGCGGATGGGGTCCAGTTCTGTTCTAGAGTCAACCAGCCCGACATTCGTAGCACAGTTTTTGGTACAGCCTTCCACGCAGCCACACTTCAAGGAAGCCTCGATATGATTGAACTATTAATCTCATGTGTTCCCAAGTACCGGGATACAGGTTCTCTTCCATACTCTCAACAGCGAGAAATCTTCAGATATGCTTGGCATCCTCGCTGTCAAGATGCTGTAAACTTTGCCCTTGATAAGAGACCAATCAATTTGACCGAGAGGGGTGTGGAGGGGCTCATGGATGCCATGATGCTTGAAAAGTTGATCTGTCGCATGCCAGTCCCACAATGCTACGAGCGAGTTGCTGCCCTCCTAGAACCTAGCAGTCTAGCCTTCGGCCCCAATAGACGTAACTATGACCCAACTGGCTGGCTTATACACTGGGCTGCTCTCGGAGAAATTAACATGGTCAGTCTGTGGGTGTCTGTTATGCCTTCATCACGGAACACTCCCAGAACATGAGTCACTAGGATGAGAATAGGAATTCTTGCCTTACCCCCTATACATCCCCTGAGTCTATTATTCCTTACATCTATTTTGATTTCCTGTTGCATTCTCCTGCTTTCAATTGCCTTCAATACGACGGACTAACAACATTTCGTCTCGCAGGTCTACTACATGCTGGCCAAAGGCGCAAACCCAAATCAAACCCGAGAAGGGTGGAATAGTGCACCCCTTCTATCAGCGACTCGATCTGCAAATGAAGAAATCGTCAGAATTCTACTTGAAGCTGGCGCAGATTCTAATACACCGCAACTGCCAAATTCACCTCTTATGGAAGCTGTATGGTAAGTCCTGTCTAAACTCTCACTTGTTAGGTCGATTTGGTTGAGTTATCGGCATGTCTTTCATCCTGAATTGAAGATTCTAATTGTGAAAAGGAAAGGAAATATTGATATAGTAAAGTTATTGTTAAGTTATGGGGCAGACGTTCAAAGAGGCTGCCCACCTCCTATTGTGCTTGCCGTATCTAAAGAACGGATGGACCTGTTTCGCTTGCTTAGGGAGCGCGGTGCCAGACTAGACACACCAGGCACAGGTGGCTGGGCGATGGCAATTGCACAGAAACACGGACTATCTTCGATGGTAGATGTTTTGTTGCACGAAGGCGTGACTCATGACGCTGTGCTACAATACATCCCTAACAGCGGTGAGCGTTGGTGGCATCGCACACTATGGCCGCTAGACTCGAGACCTCCGGCTTATTACGCATGATCCAGTCGTAATAATACATACAAACGTTGAGGTATTCCTATGGAAGCATGGAGATTTTGGCATCCGATATTTAAATACTCTGGGGGATACAACGTTGCCTCTAATCAGGCCCTGCACTTTAATGTGGATTAGGTACGGAGGTCAAGGTCGTATATGTCCATCATCTTTAGTATTGGCCTACTGTGCCAAGCCTGATGTATATTTGCGACCCAAACCTGCGTAGTTGATTGTTTTATTTCATGCAGGGGGAGGACTCATCCCCGCCAAGGACTATTTTCGCTCATAGAGTCATAGTTCTATCTGACGGTAATTACAATGCATTTTTCAACACTATGCTGACGGATGAAAAGAAAGTCCTACAGCTGCAGGTCTAATGTGGATACGACTGCAAAAATCCAGCTGTCCTCATTCGGAATGGGTGAGATAATTAAGCGTAAGACTGTATGTATGTATGCGGCGCAAGTTAAATCAGCTGTGACATCTCGTATTAATTATCGCGTTAGTTACCGGGCAACGGGGCAAGGATGGTAGGTTAGAGAGAATGAATGGAGCGAACTTGCGAGGAGCGAGTGGATATTGAATAAGATGAAGATAAATCACGTGCATTTCGCGTCGCCATCATATAATAATAGGCATCCATCCAACATCAGCAACCTGAATAATTTCACTGAACCCAATAATTACTGCCACAAAGCAATAAACATATACAAACGCGCAAACCCACTACGTCGCTGAATTTAGTTCAAACCCGGCCATAATGCGCACCGCAGCAACATCTCTCCTTGCTGGCCTCGCCGGCCTTGCTGGCATCGCTCACGCTCAGTCCAAGCCCATTGACCTCATAGTTGAGAAGCTCGGGTGTGAGGGGTACGTAAACACGACGGTGAAGTGGACACCATACGATACTGGCTTGACATTCGAGGATCCCGGGTTGCTGTCCAAGGTTTCAGGGCTGTACATTGAACAGGAAGACATCAGTGAATACACTTTTTTCTGCTTTGCATGTAAGTAGAACCACCCGTTGCATCCCCCCCTCCCTCCCTCCCGTCCTTGTATTCTTTTAGGCCTTGCTTTAGCTGTCTTAGCCGAGTCAAGAGGATCATATGTTTGGGGCACGAACGCGATAACTATATATTTATATGTATGCTGACATCAACGGGGTGCAGACAAGCCCGATGGGACAGCTTACAACAAGGAGGCGTTCTGGATTAACCACCCACTGATACTCGCAGCTGGCAACGTCGTGGTTCAGTACATCCACTGCTTGACTGAATGAGCGAGACCCCTGGCTGCTATCTCATTGTCCGCTTCCTCTGCCAGCAAAGCTTCGGTCGGTACGAATGCAGATGCAGCACAGTGGCATAGGTGTCGGAGTATAGGGATTGGGCTTAGGACAGGGTATTGAACCAGGATTGTGTATGCTTTCGTCACCCGGAGGGAGGGCATAGCAATTGTTTCATCTCTTCACTGACCATCACAGTCGTTTAATCGATCAATCTACAACTGTGAGATCTACAGTCATGGGGTACCGGTACTGTACTGTTACTTGTTGCTGCACAAGTGTCATACGGCCAAGACTGCCAAGACCCTCTAGGCCACCTGCAGCCAACCATGCCCTTGGCGAGAGTCAAGCTAGAAGTGATTAGATATATATAGAGTCACAAGATCAGATTGTTATATGCGTACGGAACCAACAGTTAAGGTGAAAGAGCCCAACGAGCAAAGAAGGTCTTAGGTTTATGAAGCTTGAGAAGCATCAATAGCCCAAGTTTCTCCCGCCTCAAAGAAGGAGGGAAACGAAGGTCCTAGAGACCCGTAGTGAATTATTTGCTGAATATGACTAAGTTCTAAGCCATCTACAAGAGCCCTTGTCACAACGAGAGCCTCCTGTAATTAGCCTTCGTAGGGAGCGGCAGAAGACATACGCCACACGTGTATACGGCCGAAGACCGAGTCATGCAGATTATTGAAAAGTAAGGTTATGTAAACATCACTTTCTAAAACAAGCCAATCAGGCCGCAGAAGTTAGGCGGTCAGTTCCAGTTGTATAATTATAGAGTCAAATTAGTCACGAAGGCCGGATGGAATCTGAATGGACCCTCGGATCTTTGCAGCCCTAGCAGATTGTTTTATTCTGGCAAGCTGCAATTCTAAGCCCTTTGACAGGCCCTTAATACAGCAGTGCTCAATTCCAATTAATTATTTTCTAGTGGGAGCAATGCTAAAATCTCTGCACCCTTTTCCATTGGACAAGGCTAGATCTGCAGTAGGTCCCACGCTGGATGTGCAGTATGCAGCTGTCTGCAGGCCTACTCCAACTGGCCTAACATTTATACACTGTATACATTTTTAAACATACCTAAAGGTTGCAGAATACTTCGGTCAACATTTATAGGGCTTAAAACAAAGCTCTATTAAGGTATTAATATTGGTTTATATGCTACCTACCGAGGTAGGCTTGCCGAGCTTGCCTTTAGTTTACTTGACTGCCTATATGTAGGTAGATACCTAGGTAGGTGGTGTAGATAGTGCGGAAAAAACGGTGCTGCCGGTGGGTTCGACGCGCGCGACAGACTTCATCAAGTGGCAACAGCTGTATACTGCACATCCAGCGTGGGACCTACTGCAGATCTAGCCCTGTCCTTTCGATTAAGGTAGAGAACTTCAGTCCCGAGCCTAGACTCGTCCAGACCTAATGAGATGGATAGATTCTGCACTTCAATAGGCCCTAATGACTAAGATAACACTGGGAAATGCGATGATCAGGCAAAGGCAACGCTTGAAATTGTATGAAAAGGAGAAGCTGATGGGGTATGTGTTGTGTATCGTTATTTTGCACGTGAAGCCATCGCCAAATTAAATTACCCCTGTACCCCAAAGTTCAGAAATAACTAAGCAATATCACACTGCACCACTTTACTATCATCTCTTGGCCGATGACGGGAAGGCGTTATGAACGTCTGCTCCATGGGTAATCAAAGAGATCAACAAGTGGTACCAAATATAAACGACGTCGACAAACGTGACTGCGCCAATGGCACAGCGAAACGCTATCTCATAAACATGAAGAGCCCGATTATCTCTGCGATTATTACAATCGTGTTTAAATGTGTTGTAGTTCATCCATGTGGCATGATGGGTGGATGCTAGCGCTGGGTCAATGAGGGTACCCATCGTTCTCATCGAGTCCTACTAAAATCAGCCTTGCTGTGAGTGCAAGTTGAATGCGTGGACTGACGGGTGTGTCAGGGGTCTCGAGGACGGAGGAGCAAAGAGATACACTGTTATAGCCAGAGAAGTCTGAAGGCCTTCAGACTTCTGATCTTTTAGACATAGTGCCACAATGAACTTACTATATACCTGATACCGCCTTTCTCACAGGGTGTGGACCAGGTATCTGCCATAACTAAATGGCTGCGAAAGATGTTCGCTCTTGCGGACGTGGATGTTTAATCCCTGTTGGAAAGGGGCGGATGGTCGCAGAAGCTTCGTGTCAAGTATGGAGCTATTATCGTGATAACATCAGGTTTGTCCAGGAATGCGGTCAAATCGCTCGTAGGAGGATATGAATGCCGACTTGAAGTTGTAAGTTGTTGTTTGGAAAGGTATGACTACCTAGGTAGATTGAAAGAAAGTGATATCGGTGTTGGTTGTAATAATTAGTGGACAGACATGTGGGATTAGGGGTCAAAACCGTGCCGCAGCCTGCGGCCCGCAGGGAATCCTTGTGTTTGCCAACCAACAACGCCGCATCGCTACGCTAGTATTAAGAGCGAGTTCGCTATGCGATCGCCACTGATCCTAGAAGAGCGTTGCAATCCATGATCTTATGCAAGTTGCACTGCAGACGCAGTTTCAGGATCATCACTAATTTCATATACCTCATGACTGTGCGCCGTAGCCGTAGGGTGGGATGTTGGTTTATATGTGCATATACAAGGATGTGTTGGCACTTATATGCTCGGTTATTCAAGCTTATTACTAATACCCTCTGATATTGAAAACTGCGTAGTCTTGTACAGAGACCCGCAGGTTCAACTACTAAAGAAGCAGAGAAAAGTAGAGACCACGAGGGTGAGGGTAAAAAGATAGAAACCATACATCGTTAGAAACGCAGTAAATGCAGTAAGATAATGATTTCTTTTTTTATGCAAGCGTCCTTCCAACCACCTTACGAACAGAGTTGAACCCAAACTTACGGGGGATTTCTTTTTCGTCTTTCGAGCTTGTAGATACCTGTAGCTTTGTGACAAAAATACATAACCGAATTCTTGTTGTTTTACTTTCCAGCATCTGAACCCCTTTCATGGTATAAGATATCGGTGGCCCGACGCCGCGCCTTAGAACTGCAGTAGGAGCGACTCGCTTAACATTTACCTGTATCTATTCATATATTAGTAGCTCTCAGAATTCCTCGACACATCCCAAGCGCTTCTAAGAAGCTCATTACAGATTTAATAAATTATGGCAGCTTTAACACGCTCGGCTGCAGCCCATTGTGTAATTAACGAATTCATCTGTCATGCCAATAAGATGAATCTATTAATCCAGTTCTTGTTCTAGACAATGCCAGCGAGCCATGTAAGTCTCCAGAACGATCATTTCTGATACTAGTAAACTACTTGCCATAGGCATGGCATAAATACAGTAACCTAGTATCCCAGAGACCAACAAAAACGCACTTGCATGTGAATGGATTTTAGGATGCGGCGTGGAGAGCCTTACCGCTTCGTAGGAACTTGGTTTGCCTTGTTGGCGTTTCAGCATAGCGGAATTGGACCCGAACGAAAGTAGATATGGTGCTAAATTAACTTAAGTCGCAGTGTTAAACGACAATGAAGAAGGATATATAAAGTATCACTGCTTGTCCTTATGAATTATAGTATATACCTAGATGACTGGATCACACCAAAACATGCGTCACACACCGGTTTGACTTGATCGCAGTCCTAGCTGATAAATAGCCTCTTTGGAACTGATCCGATATCCATACTTGTACTTGAACCATGAGGGTAATCAACTTTGCCCTTGCCGTGTCGCTCGTTCGCGCAACTCCGTTACATTCCATTGTCCGGCGAGACCCATGCGATGGTGTCAATGGCTCACCAATCCTCTACCATGGTATGTAGCCCCCAATCCGGCTACGAAATATGTGCCGGTAGAGAAACCTACCACCTTCCAGGGCTAACTACTACATAGTATGTAAATATTTCGATGCGTGATATCAGCTATCACGATCTGTGGGAATCTGTAAAGAGCATAATAGGGAGTTAGGCTAACGTATTCTTATATGGCAGGAGTACCGCGAAGACGCTTGCCCGGCCCCGTACAAATTCGACAGCAATATCCCAGGGCAGTGCGAGAAGGCTAATGATTGGAGATCAGGCTGCTCAACCTTTTGTCAAGTTCGTATGTAATAGGAATGCATGGTTTGTTAATGCCTTCTCAGTACCATACTAACAGTTTTCAGGGACCACGTTCGTCTACGGGCAAGAGTCACCTTTCGTTGGGACTTATTGCCATGGCCCGTTCACATGTTCCATAACCAGCACTCTTACGACAAATATTACTTATATGGGGAGCCTCAACCCTTCTTTTGATCTCGCGGGTGCGCTCAAGGTGGGAGTATCAGCAGGTTATAGCCAAAATCAGGTTAGCGCAATAGCTCGCGCTTTTTCCGTTACGCTGGACCCAGGTCAATGCGGTTATTTCACGTATGTTCCGGTCAAAAAGACTTTCTGGTAAGCTTTGACGAAGATGCAATCTCCTTCAAACAAGCTCCTGCTGACGATAATCCTAGTGGTTCATATTCCCATGGACAGCTGCTTCAGCTCGGGCATGCTTTAAATTATTGCGTAAACGTTGTTACAGAGGGCAATGTCTGTGATGAAGTTACGTGGACCATCAATGGACAAGCAGATGGCGAGACGATCTTCGTCAAAACGGACTGCACCACGAGAGAGCCTCTACCCCTGGACCAGCAAGACCCAATATATCAACAACCCGGGGTCCCCCTTGACCGCGGCCTGGTTGCCAGTATCCTCAATACTTGGGTCCAAGACACGTGCAAGGTAGACTATCAGTTTTTCGACGACTATTTCGAAGTGACGGGGACCAATTGGTCTGCTGACCTCCTTGGGCCCAATGGGGAGAACATAAAGAACGCGATCCGTCACTGTGGGGCGCTTACTAGTTGGAAGTTCGAAGTGACATCGGACACTATGTGGTTTGCGTCTGGCAAACTCCCAATTGGTGTAAAGAGCTGTGTTGGAACCCAGATACAGAATGCTGGAGGTAGCTCAGCTGGGAGTTGCAAGGGAGCAGGCTAACCCATATTACTGTTTTTCTTCAAGCAGCAATGGGCGTATCACTTCAGTCAGCGATGCTTCCGAGACAATAACAAGTCAACATCAAGATACAGCTGCGCAGTACTGTGACAGAGTGTCAGGGACAATGTAGCATTAAGATAGAAGTTACCCCAGAGGGATGGAGATAGCTTGGTAGTCAGATATATAAGAGGGCGAGAAGCGCCCTTGAGTGTTAGGAAAACTAGGAATCGATATTATTAAACCCTTACCCATAAATTCGACTTATCTACTACTCAGGTGCTACCTACTTACGACCCAGCCTCACTCCAGGAACACCCACTCACGACATAGAGTTGGCCGAAGGTGGGCCAGTGGCATTAAAATAAAACAGTGGATATGCTAAGGACCACATAACTAAACAGGAAGTAAGAACGAAGTTCGTTGATTTCGTACAGACTCATTATAAGAAGGCCATATTAAAAATGGGATAGTTGCGTCACCATCAGTCAACTATAAACCGGTAGAACTACCCAAGTCAGAGGAAGCTATGTTTATTTTTGACCAATTGATAACTTTTATTACCGCATAACCTTGGTCTAAGTTAGGAAAATAAGGATGGAGTTGTCAGATGTAGACATGTTCTTGATTGCTGAATATGAATAAATGTACTACTAGTAAAGACATTGGTTTTTGCCAATGTCTGTTGTACACGAGAACTGAACCCTGCTGGCAAAGACCCGAACCAGGCCCAGCATCATATATATATATATATTAATGCAGTTACCGACGGCAAGTTCAAGACTTTTCTACAGTTGTCATATTCGTAGAGTCCAGAATTCAGAATCAGACTAGTTACAGTGATAGCCTGAATAGAGAAGCAATTTTTGCAGAGAGCTTCTCCCCTAATCTTCCATGTCCGGTCACTGCTAGATGATTAGGGTGTTCTTTCAAGTATAAAACCAGTTGGACACCGATCTTGTGCCAAGCGACCAAGATTTGTTAACATTTAAGATTTTTATATATAATATCGTACATAAGTTGAGTGGAGAGGCCACCACGTGTTTGTGCTTACATAAGAGTATTTGCGCTCTTTTCCGGCATCTTCGGTATCTTCGGCCTATATGTCCACACCACAATGACAACTATTCAACGTGTACGGAGTTTTACTGGAAATGCACAATTAGGCTCGTCACGTCTGCCGTGTTTGAGACTTCTGCCAGAAGTTGCTGTCGAGCTGTTGATGCTTTCACAGTCTCAAGTTCCTATTTATTCAGATTGTCAGTTAATGCATCGATCACCCGCTTTAGCTTCTACGTCCATTTTGCGGTATGAAGAAAATGGTATGTAGGGGCTGTGTTTCAAAGGCTAGGTAACTTACAGCATCGCTTGCGTATGAGCTCACAACGGCAACTTCTTGACGTTCTAGGTTTAAGGTGCTCCCGACAACCGCTTTAGAGTCGTTGAACTGGGGGAGCCCGGACTGGAGTTTCTGCAAGACATTTTGTACGCTTGACTCTGAGGCATCTTTAGGCTTGATGATAAGGAATTCAGCGACCGTATTCGATCCAAATATCCATGACGAATCTTCGGGGAAATCGATGAGTCTTAAATCCGCTGGCCCGCTAGCGTATCCCCCTTTCTTGACCTGGGAACCGAATTCACGGTATTCGGGTGACACAACGAAGCTCTTGAAATGCTGCACACTGGTCCATTCTGAGTATCTGTGAGACACCATGCGTATATAGAAAGAGAAGATAGGGAGAATTGGAAGGGATTACGGACGAAAGAAGTAAGCTGCCGTGAACTCTTCATCCTTCAATTCTCGGCCATTCTCCGTCGCGACAATACCAGCTCCCTTTTTGTTCTGAACACCGGATGCGTATAGATTGTTTACCAATGTCGGCAGTATCTTTTCCTTGAACTCTTCGAAGAGCTCTTTTTTGGGTTTCAGTAGAACAAATTCGATGATTGCCATTTTGAGAGCAACTAATTATAAAGTTCTCGTGCGTATCGGTTGTGTTCTGAACTGAGAAGATGGCTGACATCTTTGCGGTTAAAGGCTTCCTATATATACCATTTTCAATTACATATATGTTTCCCAGTGAAGAAGTACTATTACTTGCATGCGCTTCATAGACAGTATTTGCCCATTAGTAAGCGTATCCTCACAGAGCATAATACTTGCGATGAAGGGTAAAATGTTCAGGACAGTCTTCAGTCAGACCCCGGTCATCCGCCCGGTGCTGTAACCCGAGAAATTGTCGTGAGTGGTATTACAACACATGACGATATGACTCAGTTTCCACTCACTTACCCAATGCCGTAACGGAGTCCCGCAGATCGCATAAGCGTTTGCTACTGAGTAGGAGGGGAATGATACGCAAATCCATGCTGAATAGGCTAAACCCCGATCTATTATATGTGCGAACATGACTTATCGCCGATTGAAAGTCTCCCGTGGCTATTTAAATGAACACATTATTCAGCAAAGAAACAATTGTCTAGCTGCAGAGTAATTATGCCAACTCTTTATTGGATGGGGAAATATTTCTTCCAGTCAGATATTGGAGATCATATTGGAAGTTGTCAGGCGGTCTGGGGAACTCCACGGATAGGAAGGCAGTGTTGTAGTAACTTGACAGTTGCCTTGTGATTTCTTCTGGCCGCGCATCATCAAAGAGGGTATTACGGGCCTTTGAAGCTGCTCACAAGTGTTACATGCGCTAACTACCGCTTAACACTGTACATGTTTGCAGTCTCCTATGTCAAATAGCAGGAAGCCTCAGCATAATAAGGGTGACGTTATTCAGCCGTCGGTCATATGTGACGTGCCGATGAACCTAAGGGGGCTTGATATTGTACAAGCTGTGGGATCAGCCATAAACCATGTATCTTGGCGGGATAATGAATCATTTGATTGTGGGTAGCTCTCCTCTAACCTCTTATACATATAAATACTATATCGAGCTCCCAAAAATGACCATCTGTGAAATAAAGCACCGTTTAATACAGACTTGGTGGCACCGCGAGATATTTTTTCCTTTTTAAAAGCCGCTCGTCAAAATCAGCAAGCCTGTAAACATCTAGGAGCTTCTAATGTTGGCGCCAGTGATGTGCCAAACCAGAAGTATGCAGCCTCCATACCTGATTGCAATTGATTCAAAATTCTGCCGTAACATTTTCGTTTCTCTTCAAGCCTCCAGCTCGCTTATGAACTCCTCCGGAGACAGAGCCCGGCTCCGCGCCCAGTTATCGAACTCAGCCGGCGAGAACGGTGTATCTAGCCTAGGGACATTGTACGTAGGAGGTTGAGCTAAAATGGCTGATGATGGAGAAGGGGGTTTAGACGGTAGTACTGGGATATCCAAGGAGTCGGTCTGCAAGCTCGTCAATGACATGGCCCGGGAGTCGTCGCGCACACTAGAAGTACGCTTCTCAAGTTTTTTCCGATCTCGGAAACTATGGAATCGCTGAGGCTTCGTGGGACTCCTGAGTTCGCCGCTGTATGGTCGTGGCTTGGGTTTTTGGATTGAGACTTCAGCGTGTGCTTAGCATCCCAGTCACAGCCAACGGGAGGGGAGGGAAAACTAACCTTTTAGCTCAATTTCTTCGGTGACCAGTTCTCGTGGGAATCCACTGATTGGCAGCAGCGCGTCTGCAGTGTGAGGGTAGGGTCCTTTCTGCAGCGACAGCGAGATGATGGTGACCGCAAGTTCTTTCGACATCTGTATCCGTATACTATCGAGTGGGAAGATTCCCCTAAGACACATATCGCTAATTATAGCCTCAGTAATGACGACCCGAGAGCCCCGATCGTGATGACCTTCCTCCTCTATGGTAAAGAACGGTTCAAAGTGATCACCCAGGCATCTTCTGAGAAGTACACCCATGGCTTTCATTTGCTCCGAGGAATTCGCAAATCTGCAATGTATCGAACCTGACAAGCTATGTGAGTTTGATCCGACCGAGCCAAGCTAATATGACGTTGGATCTTCTGTGTTCGGGATACTCACCTGTGCATTCATAGCCAGTGGTATTTGATCTGACTGACCCAGAGTCCTTCTCAAAGAAAAAAGAGCTTGCAATCAGTCTGTGCGCAATTTCTTTGATCCTTGGGGAGTTTTGTTTAAGGTTATGGATCGCAGCCTTCTCGAGCCGTTCCAATTCCTTGACAGCATCGAGACGAGGAACTTCGAACCGTAGGTCTGGGTTGATACGAATGAATCGTCGCCTGATAAGGTTATTACTCCTACCAAAATCCGAAGATGTATTTTCTGCCAAGTAGTTATTCCATATGGTGTTGCATTCAAGCAATTTATCGATCCGATCAATTGCAATATTCAACATTTGGCGTGGGAATGACTGTGAAACACGCTCTTTCAGCTTGCCTTGGGAGGGTGATTGTACGCCTGAAGCTTGTGCGGAGCGTGATGGCTCTTCATTATCGACGTCATGTTTCCCTGTACCAAGAGAAAGCAAGATGTCTGGGGGAGAGGTGGCTTTATCTGTCCAAATTAGCTTCCTCTCGTGATGGGCGACCCATACTGGGTTATTATGATACAAAGCACCATCGATGAAACTATTTTGCGTCTCGTGCTTCAGGAAAGGTTTGAAATACGGAGGTGCTGCAGATGTTGCCCGGGCCCTATTATCTCTATGAGCTATTATTCTGGTCTGTCGGCCAAATGGCGTTGAAGCCTGTCTATGTACTTACGCCTCCCAGGCTTTGAACTCCTTGGCTGGTCCGTCAGACCTATCAAATCGGTAGGGAAGATCTGGGCTGCGTCAGATTGTCTTTCTAAGCTCGGTGAGATTTTTCTTACCATATTCCGTCGGATCCGGGCGGTTGTAATTCGCAAGAACTACCGCATGCTGGGCGATTGAGCTAGTGGTAGTAATAGCTACCTTGGTGAGCATCTCATGATCATCGCTGGCTCCGCCAAAAATCGGCCTCGAAGTGAAAACTTTCTCCAGCATCTTTTCAAAGGGCTTTGTTTTATATATGCTGCCATGGTTCCAAGCTGCGAGTTTCTCAAGGACTACAGCGTAAGGAGTTAGCTCACACTCTTTGTTATATGTCTACTAAGGTAATTAGGGCTCTGTGTCATAACTACAGAGCAGCAAGCCTAATACACTCCCTAAGTTTTCTGAATCGACCCGATGAAAGGAAGGGGAATGAGCATTCGGCATTTGCTTACTGGGAACACCGTGCATCTCACGAGGAATGAATGCTTGGCGGCAAAGCTCCTTGAATTGAGTAATGCATTCATTCACCGTCCAGTTGTTGACTCCAAGGCCTAGAGCAATAATGCCACCGGTGCTGTGTCGAAGTCAGTTGTGCGTTTGTCAGAGCATAACGGTTTTATATGTTTACCTTGTGCCAACAATCAAATCGAAAAAATACTGAATCGGCAGATTAGGACCAAGATATCGCTCGATTGCCTTCAAGGTTTGCAGTGCAACGATGCCTCGAACTCCACCTCTATTTGCCAGTAAGTAACACTGAACCATCAACAACTCACGCAATACTTACCCATCTAGGCTGAGTACACGTACGCCCGCATGAGCAGGCTTCACCGCAACAACCCACGGGGGATCCCAGTTCGTGTCTATAGAATGCAGCGGGCAATGTTTCAACTCTATTGCTGTTTTTGACACCTTTATACCGTACTCCTTTACACACGGGAGACAGAGAACATGGCCACAAGGTAGAGCATGCTCGGGCAGCTCTCGGAGGCAAGAAAAACACGTCGAATGGCTGTTGAATAGCGTGGCGTCGTTTCCTAAGGAGCGAAAGAAATCATTGATAGACCGATTGTGCAGCTGTTTCGCGATAAAGCTATCTGGACTCTCCTTGTATTGATGGCTGAGGTTGAAGAATCTGCTTTGTAACTCATTCAGCATGGTTTTGATGTTCCCAATCCACTGCAGTTTATAGTCATGGAAATCGAAGTCGGACATGTAGCCTCCGGGGCCGATAAACCTTCCATTCATGTCCTGATGGCCTTTCGGCAAGTGTCCTGACTTCACATTGCACTATAAGCCCAAAGTCAGTCTGAGAAGTACAAATCGCCGAACGTAAGTCTTATATTGAAGCAGTCATGAAGGTTGAAACATATTATCCATGTCTTATGGAACTTACGCATCGCAGCCCAGAACGCTGACTCACGAAAGCACAGGGCGTGTGAAGGTTTGCGAACTCCTCCAGTGCTTGTTCGCAAAATTCGACGTAGGCATCATCTAGGAGCTGAACAGTAGTGCCTTGATATGGTTAGTTTCAGTACAAGAGAATCTGAAAAGCATCACTCACCCATGAGATTCTGCCTGATGGAGTCCAACATGATACAAGAGGATATCATTGGGACCATCCTGTCGAAAATTTTGATGATATCGCTTTGCATATCATCTTGGCAATTTTGTTTGATGGAGAGCGCTAGGCTAAGAATGTTACCACCAAAATCTCGCGGAATGGGGCTATGTTTCAATGCCTCCTTCACGAAGTCAAATGGGGTATCAAGATCGCTCGAGAAATGATCGTAAGCAGCCTGAAGATAGATCTGAAGTCTTTCAGCTGTTGCAAGCATCCTTACTCGTTTTTTAGTAAGCAATGATGCCTGGCACTTCTTGTTCACAATGTCATATAGCTTATTGACTTGTTTGTCTATTAGCATATATCTCCCACGAGCAGGGACTCGAATAATAGTGATGGACGCATAATAACACTCGAGGAGATCTTTCGTAGAGTTTATCTTGCGCCCGCTTTGTCGGAATATGCGTGCGTGCTCTTCAAACCGTGGCTCACGGAAGATCGCACCACGAACGTCGTCAAGTAGTAAGTCAGTAGCTATGCTAACATCCCACTCCTTCTCATCAACGTTCTCGGTCGCATTCAGAACGATAATAGCGTGAGGAAGAGTGGGCTGATTAAGAGATTTGTCTGTCGAACTTGATCCCCACTCAAGTAGCTTTTCGAGCACTGTTGATTCAAACGATCTGTGAATATAATGGCCAGCGTCAGCACAACCGCCGGTGCGCTTGGTGGGCGCACTAATTACCTTGGATTTCGCATCACAAACACCACGACATCAGAAAATGTGTATAGGAGGCGAGGATACAATTGAGTTACGGCGTATTCGCGTTTCTTGGTTTCGGGCGTTACCGCCCATGCAATGTCTCTTTGAGAAGCATGGCGACACTTTTGTAATTTCTTTCTAACTTCCATATGAGCTGTCTTCAACCCGCGATTTGCGGAAGGGGCTCGACCGGCTGCATTCGCCGAACGTTGCGCGGCTCGCGAATTCCTGGCGCTGGAAGAATGTATCCCATCCACATAGTCGGAAATTTCCTTCGTTCGATGCCTCAACCCCTTTGGGATGGTTTCACCGCCGTCAAGGCCTTCGCAGTCAGCGTATAGCATCGGTGTCTTGCCGTAGTAAGTCTTGGGATCAGCGTAGAGATGCACATCTCCTGTTGTGGGAACTCTGTCGTTGTTTGAGGATGTGACGGGAGATGGGAATGGGGCGTTACGGTCGGTATTGGCAACACCAAGACGGTTGATCAGCATCTTGATCAAAGTGCTTTTTCCAGCACCTATACCCATTAGCACATATGCCAACTTCTAGTATTGGGGCTATATTTACCAGTTTGGCCAATAAACGAAACGAGCTGGGGATATCGGTTGCCTAGTTCTGACGAATGGCTGTCAGTCATAAGAGTAGTGAAGCGACCGTGATCTTGAAATATAGCCTGGTTTGACGAGTCTCGTTCAACACCAAACCACGTCGTATCGTCATCATTCTGAAGGTCCTTTTCATGATCGCTCTCGGTCCTCTTGGGATCTAAGATTTGGCGCAACCGCTGCACAACCTGGACATCCGCTTTCTCATGGGGTCTATCGTCGTAACCGACGGCGCCTGGCTGGTGCAATACCCATTTTGACCAGCAATCATTGCAGAATGAGAGGTTATTGCATTGGATACACGAATAAGTCTGCCGGTCGTGGTGGTGGCAAGAGTAGCACGCGGTATTTTGTGACCCTGGAATCATCTTGAAAGACGATGCCAGTCTCATGGGTGGTAATTAGCTAAGGAGAGATGGTTTACCTCTCATACTAGCAGACTCGAGACGTCTTATTCGGAATCTATTGGAGCCTCTTGCAGAAGCTGATCTCCCGGATCGAGTTCGGTGGCGCTTCAGCCTGCTTCAATAGCTCGAGAAGGATTCAAGGACCGAAACAGATACCAATGAACCATCTGACCACAAGACCATTTCAATCATTGTGGCTGCATGCTGCAGCTCTCAGCTCCAGGAATATGCAGGCTGTGTACTCAGCGCAAAGAAGTATCTCGATACTAGTGTGTCAAGCGCTTATCACTCGATGACTATCATCAGCCTGCTTCTTCTAGGGCGGCTATAACGAGGCTATTCGTTTCGATTGGCTTGGGGTTGTTCATGTTCCCCGTGGCCTGGGCAACTTGTTGCTGAGATGGTCAAGTACTAAAGTCGCCGACGGGAAGAGGTGCTTTAGGCGTTCTAGACGATCTTAAGAGAAAATTGAATAAGAGTGCTTCATCAAGTATCATCTCTTTTAGTCTATGCGTAAGTTAATTACCAGTACTACTCATACTATTATGAATAGTTGAAATGAATTCATATTATTTATTATAAAAGCCGATAGAATACATACGCGGCGATTGAAAGATACAGTGACTACATATCGGTTACCAGCTTGACCGAATAGCGTATGAAGGTATATTCTCTTATGCCAAAGCCTGATTTGACAATCCGTTCCCTCCCTGAGCCACGATGTTTCATTTTCGTCCATATGGCTGAGTTCTAGGAAACAATCCGAAGATGATGATAGAAAAGGACCACATACACCTTCAGTCTAGTACGGAGAACTAAGTATAAAATGCGTATTATTAGTAACGCATTCTAGATCATCTGAGGGCCACCAAGACGGTCTGTGTAGCGCTGAAGAACATATTTATAGTTATCCGAAACACTCACGCCACTATTGATTATTCTACCGCTACGAGCTACGCAGTAGAAGAGGCGGTTAGGGCTAAGTTAGTGCTAGAGTGTATGTATACATGCCTTTTCTTTTTATCATTCTTGTTTATCTTGCTTACGTGAAAAGCGGCACTTTCATCACTGCTTAGCTTAGGCTTTTCCCCGGAGTTAAACCACTTTAAACATGGGCAATCGCAATTAATCGGCGAATAGTTAATACTCAATTAGTTATCTGAGCCAGCTGGGATAATGATTGCCGAGCTTAAAACCCAACTACCTCCCCACCCCCCATTCAAAGGACATTATGTCTTCTATTGGTGCACCGCTTGCCTTGTCGCTCAACCTGAAGTCTGAAGTCATTCTTGACATATGAAAGAACCGCTCAGTGAAGTGAGTTCGTTGAAGGTTGTGAGGGGTAGCCGTAACCCCTCACAGAAGATCCCAAATCCCCGGTCTCTCTACTTTACAACATGAATATCATCACCAACCAACACTATCGCTGTCACATTCTACAAACAAAGATGTGATATATATTCTAGCCCTTCACTATTGAGCCCCTTCACCCTATCGGATAGTATGGATGAGAATAACGCTGGCAGCTAACAATGCGTCCCGCACGTTCGCTCCACCTATGACACCACAAGCCAAGACTAATTGTGGCTTGACTAGATTCCTCCAAGAAGGGAGATTCCCTGTTTGGCGTGTGTCTGAGGAATCGAGCCAATCAAACAACAGTACAGCGCCACTCAATGACGTATGGCATGAAATGCCACACCCCTCCACGTCTCGGTGCAAAGCCGTTGAGGGGGTCGACTTGAGTAGAACACAGCCTATTTGCAGTATGTAAGCCTCGCACCATCACCCACCACCGGCAAAACCTGCTTGTTATTTTGACTTTGGTGTGTGAGGTCATAGGGCGCTGTGACACTAGGGTAGATAGATGTCAGAGGCAACCTGAGCCCAAGACACATACCACAATAAATGCATAAACATTCCAAAAGATCCAAAACTCCCAGTTTTATTTCCATCTTGCCTCGTGAATAACCAACTCTATTCCAAAAAGCATACATCTAATACGCATATTTCACCATCTCGAAGCCCTCTACGCCGACGATAGGAACAAAAATGGCAGACATCAAGCTCAACAAGCAAGAAGAGGAGGAGGAGCAGAAGAAGCAGTCAACGATGGAATGGGCCAGGGAGAAGTACAACGAGCAGTACGACGCCTGGATGCCGTGGATCGAAGATACTTTCCTGAAGTACTTCACCAAAGATAACCGGGCGAGCTACGTGACGCGAGGTACGCCGGCATATTTCCCCATCCATCTACATACCTACATACCTACATACATATTCTATATCCCAAACACTAACCCACCAATCCCCAAACAGACGGTCTAGACAGGACCAAAGTAACAGGCATCGACCAAGTCGACAGCCTCCAAGACGGCACGCACAACCTCGCCGCGAGCACGCTCGGCCAAGGCGGGATTCTCGAGCCCGTCGGCGACGCCGTGTCCGCGGGGATGAAGAAGGCCGACCCGCGCCCGAAGAAGAGCGAGAAGAACGGCGGCAGCAACAACATCCCCGTTGTTTCGAACCTTGGTTCTGGCCTCGGGTTGTAAACCAAGCTAGAACAAAAGATGTCTCGATCAGATGATCGTTTATGATGCGGGTTGATGAAAGTGTAAACATCGACCTTGACACAATTCATGTATAATATTACATACGCAAAGGGAAATTATATCTCGGCAAAGGAGCAGGAATAATCAACGGTGGAATGGCGTAACGGACGAGGGTTTTCATTCATTGGGGGCGCTTCGTTGGGGTATAATGGATTTACATAGTAATATTATGACGTCTTCGTTCCGAATTATACAATCGTTAAATTACTCGACTAATTATATACCGGTATGTCGCAACAACACTAAATATCACGGCAGTTTACTGTTGACGACTTGAGCACGAATGATATACGAAGGATATAACATCCGGTATATAATATAGCACCAATTGACTCTAGCTAAGAAAAGCCGCCAACTGAACACTTGCTATATACCGAGTCCATTCAAATACCACCCACCCTATCACGGATTTCTAAGCAAAACATCACCCAGCCATCATCAACCTCCTCAAACACAGTCCATTCCTTCACAATAGAAAGAGAAACAGCGCAGACTAAATGAACAGAAACCGAGTCATAAAGATAAAGTCTAAGATGCAGCACGACTATATGATTATAACGGAGGTCTCTAGAATTCAAAAGAAAAATCCCTCAAGATCGCAAGCTTGGAACGATGCCGTATGCAGAAAAGCACGGTCTAGTCTAGGGATCTATCATGTACGAGATTCAACAGCAGATTTGATAGCTGCAATTGTTGAGAGTAGTTAGCTTCTATTTTCCAAGTCTATGCAAGGTAATGGTAATGAGATACTAACCATCGCAAGTAACCTTCGCATCTCCGAAAAGCATCTTCGTTCCCGGCATGTAGAACATGGGGTTCGGTACATCAGCTATGATGAGAATATGGGTTAGTATGGAAGAGACCATTAAGAGTAAGTGAGGGAAGGATCTCACCGTAACCAGAAGCCATTCCTCTCTTCATGACAATCACTTGCTTGCTCTTCCAAGCATGGAGAACAGGCATGCCAGCGATAGGGCTACCGGGTTCGAGGGCAATAGGGTTGACAGTATCGTTAGCACCAATGACGAGTGTGACATCTGTATCGTTAAAATCGTCGTTGATTTCGTCCATTTCCAGCACGATGTCATAGGGGACACTTGCTTCAGCGAGGAGCACGTTGCACTGCCCCGGCATACGACCTGCGACCGGGTGGATAGCAAATCGCACGTTGATTCCCTTGGATCGCAGCATCTTGGTGATCTCACTAATGGCGTACTGTGCTTTAGCCACCGCCATACCGTATCCTACCACGATGATCACGTTCTCGGCGTTAATGAGTGCCTCTGCCGTCTCGTCAACGTTGGTCTGTACTACTGTGCCTTCGACCTTGTAGTCAGTTGTCGTAGGTGCTGATATGCCGCCAAACAAGACATTCGTAAGCGATCGGTTCATCGCAACACACATTATGTACGAAAGAATAGATCCGGATACGCCAATGAGGGCACCAACCGAGGTTAGGAGAGGATTCTCGAGCATGAAACCTTCAGCTACCAGAGCAAAACCGCTGTATGCGTTGAGAACAGTAATGACGACGGGCATGTCAGCTCCACCTATGGCGGCTGTTGTAGTATATCCCTTGGCAAAAGAGAGTATCGTGTTGGCCCCCAGTGCACAAGCGGCGATCATGGGAGAGCCGGGCGCCATAGTAACAAAGGCACCCATCGTTGCGACATTGGTGGCGAGCATGCCCGAATTGAGGAAGTGTCTCCCTGGAAGCATAAGAGGTTTGGAGGACATCTTCCCAGCCAGTTTCATGAAGGCGACGAGACTTCCAGTAAAAGTGATACCACCTATCAGAACTCCGAGATAAGCTGTTACTAGATGCAGAGTGGTGACATGGTCGAGGCCTCCCATCACACTTCCAATAGAAGTCAACACTGCCGCTAGGCCGACAACTGAGTGAAGAGCAGCAACAGTCTGGGGAAGATCCGTGGGTGTAATGCGTTTGCCAATAACGAAGCCGAGAATACTACCAATCGTAGCGAGGGCTCCGAACTGAGTGAGAACCTCTGGGCTGAAGCCGACAGCTAGCAATGAAGCCAATACACCTGAACCTACACCAAGAATACCGAGCAAATTGCCCATTCGCGCAGTAGCTTGAGTGGCCAGCCCGGAGAGTGAACTGATGCACAGTACAGAGCTTACGAGGTATCCCGCTTGTACGAGTCCAGCAGCACCGGTAGAGGCAGCTGCAAGGAAGCCGCCGCCAAAGAGGACACCCGGTATAGCCCACAGCCAAGGGTATTCAGGAGGGTCCGTCGGTCCTACAGAGTCGTTAGTAGGAGTTCTTCATAGTTTCACTACCCATTGTAGCTATACTTACTCTTGAACATGTCCAGCATTCGTTTCGTAATGACAAACCCGCCAGACACGTTGACAAAGGCTAGGAGAACGGATGCAGCGCCGAGAACCTGAGGAATAGTCTCTGGGAGATATCCACCTCCCATGACGAAAAAACCACCAATGCCAACCATTCCTGTATCATGTTAGACTCGCCAACACTTTATCTAAGCTGTACTTACCAGATATGGCATTCGTGACACTCATCAACGGTGAATGGAGAGCAGGTGTGACACCCCAGACGACGCGGTACCCGATCAGAGAGGCCAGTGCAAAGGTGAAAGCATTTCCCATGAATAGTGGTCCTGTCATTTTACCAAGAGCTAGGGCAGTGCCCATTCCAGCAGTAACACCAGCAATTTCTCGCGATGTCTTCTGGAAGGGGGTCAAGGCAACCGCCGCATCTTCAGGCTTGGGGGCAGCTTTGGGAGCGGGAGTAGGAGGCGGGGCCGGTCGAGGCGCAGGAGGTAAGATGTCACCTTTAAGAGTCACAATAGCACCTCGAACAACCTCATCGGTCAGATCAATGCCGAAGGACTTTTCCTGAGGCGTCATTGAAAGAAGCAGCTTCACGATATTGTTGGAGTACAGCGTTGAGGATTGCGTAGGTAGTCTCGATGGTAGATCAGTATATCCTGCATGTTGTGTCAGTATGAATAAACTGGTCTGAGCAACGTGTTTTACTTACCGATGATTTTCACATCATTGTATGTGACCAGTTTACCAGCTTCTGTCTTCTCACAGTTGCCACCTGCTTCGGCAGCTAGATCCACAACTACAGAGCCAGGTTTCATTACATCAAGCATATCCTTAGTGATCAGTTTGGGTGCAGGTCGGCCGGGAATCAATGCAGTAGTGATGATGATATCAACGTCCTGGGCTTGCTCCTTGAATAACTTCATTTCTGCTGCAATGAATTCGGGGGACATTTCTTTGGCGTATCCACCAGCTCCGGAACCGTCTTCTTCAATTTCAACTTCGATAAACTCGGCGCCGAGAGACTGCACCTGTTCACGAGCGGCAGATCGGGTATCGAAACCCCGAACGATCGCACCCATCCTCCTGGCGGTAGCGATCGCGCTCAGTCCGGCGACACCAGCACCAATGACCAAGACCTTGCATGGTGGAATTTTTCCTGCAGCAGTGACCTGACCTGTCAAAAAGCGACCAAAGTTATTTGAAGCTTCGAGTACAGCTTTATAGCCAGCAATATTGGCCATAGAACTCAGTGCGTCAAAGACCTGAGCACGTGAGATGCGTGGAACCATATCCATAGCGAACGAGGTCACCTTGCGTGCTGCAAGGCGCTCAACGATGTCCTTGTTTTGGGCTGGCTGCAGGAACGAGATGACTGTTGCATTTTCCTTCATGCGATCAATTTCCGTTAGGTTTGGACCACGAACTTTCAGAACAATGTCAGCTGCGCCCCAGACAGCGCCGGGGCCAACAATGGTAGCCCCGGCCTTCTCGTATGCTTCATCGAGAAAGTCAGCTTCAACACCGGCGCCTTTTTCGATGATAACCTTTCCAAAGCCCTTCTTTTTCAGAAGAGCTACATTTTGAGGCGAAATTGCGACCCGGCGTTCATTAGCAAACGTCTCGCGCGGGATGCCGACGGTGAGATTAGCATAAGGTACAGACGAAGGTTCAGCTACAGTTGAGTACGAGGTGACTGGAATGATTCTGGCTTCAGGAGTCGAGCGGACGACGAAGCGCTGCTTGGCCTGCACCGCTGGCAGCACGGTAGGTTGCTTCGCATGAGTACTGTTCCATTGGCGGCAGATGTTCAGGGCAACCGGGGCGGTTGCGGCAGCGGGAGGCGTTAAATCTACGCATGGCGTTGTCTTAGCACCAATGACGGGATAGCAGGATACATGTCCTGTCCAGGGAATTACGCATATGCGTGGTGGTATAGCGACGAACCTAGGAAACGCGAGACAGCTCTGCGTGTCAGATGTTGGGTGGTACGAAGTGGTCCATATCCATGATTAGCGACCAGCGCCGGGCGGGAAAAAGCAACGAGAATCATGCTGGCGACAACGAGCAGCAGCAGCAGCAGCAATAGCCAGGGGCCATGCAGTCAGCGCGACGGAGCCTACTGGTGTACACGAACGATCTCCCACACCCTTCTAGAACACTAGCTAGCTCTTACATCCCAATATCAAGAAGAAAGTGTCAGAGAGGACAGCGTTGAGGGAAAGGATGAAGGCAAGTGAGGTCGAGAATGTCACTGTCTTAGCTTAGGAACTAAAGAGAAGAGAAGGGTCGCAGAGAGGGGACAGGGAAAAATAGGAAAGGAAAAACAGCCGTCGCTCGGTAGATCATGAGGGACACTGAAGAAGTAGCAAAGTTACCTCAGTGACGGCAAATGAGATACCTTTCCGTGCCATCTCGCCCAACCTACTAACCAGTAGGTAGCTGACAAGGTAGATTTGTGTTAAATCAGTACCCGTACGGTAGCTTGATCTGCTTTCCCGTCTCCCTCCCGCCCTCGATGGGCTCTAGTCCATGTAAGTATACATTAGTGTACAGAGCTGTATCTGCACGAGCCGTTAGTAACCTGGCGTGCCCACATCGTCCACGCGAGATTTCCGTCGCCACACGGTTCGCAGCGTTAACACTCACAGCCCCAGGAGTGCCCTTGTACGTCTGTCTAAGTACGTAGTAGGTAGTGTACTGTATGGTAGGATACAGTCGTGCGAGGTAATTGACCCCTCCCCCTCAGAGGAACCCATGCAAGTTCTCCGCTTTCCAAGATCACCCGGCCGCCTGACTGGGGTGCGGAGTCGTGAATTTGGCAGGTCGATGGTGGCCCCGGCGGCTTGTCTGGTCTGTGTCTGGTCTGTGTCTGGTTTGTCGAGGGAGTGCGAGGCCCGTCGATGGAACATTGGGGTTTCATTGCTGCGATACACTGCCTAGGATACGGGTGTTTTCGGCCGTTTACAATGCTAGTATAGCCGCGCGAGTTATGAAACGACTCTACTGACGCTTTCTTTCATATAGCAGCCTTCTGGGCAGGTGAGTAAGTAGTTACAGTGAGTGGGATGGTATCTCGCGATCTTGCGATCTTGCGAGGTGAGGTGGCCGATGAACCCCCCACCCCTCCTGCTCCAACACCCAAGCCATTGTGCCCGTTATACCCGCCTGCCATTCTACCAATAAGTACAGATACCTACCTACTTACAGTACTCCCTTATGTTGGGTAAAGTGTGCCTTGTCAGGTCCTTTTTGGGCACTAGCATCTCGCCCCACTGCGATGAAGTCGAGATACTTGCATAAAATCGTAGTCTTCAGTGGTTCGAGCATAACGAGATACCGTGGCAAACTACCCATGCCTTTACATGGGTCCGCAAATACAGAGCTAGGAAAACTTCATATCCTTACATGATAGTAGTAGTACACTAACCCTACCGTGCTGTAGCTCACTGTAGTTCACTGCCTATTCCGAGTAGCTACGGCACTAGCGGGACGCTAGAACGCTGTCTGGGATCCCCCGCGAACTTGGGAATGCGGGGGAAAGTGGGCCCTCTTCCGTCCAGACTCCGTCCCACCCTCATGTCAGACTCATGTGATGGTCAGACGAGGGCCAAGGCTTTCAAATCCTACCAATAACTGTCTCTCTGGTGGCCAAGGTGAGAAAGAAGGACGTGTATGATGAAGGTAGATAAGAATATAAGTTGGACCTGTTCTTCATCAACTGAGAGTAACAACAGGACGAAATGCATTAGGGTGAACTTGGAAGGCAGGCATAGTTTCCTCTGCCCATAACTATCGCGTGACGCGCACAGAGTATGTGTTACATGTAGGTAACATGCTTGAAGAGATAACCAATACGGCAACGAGGTGTGAGAATTTATCTTTGCGCATTACCACCGAGTCTGAGCTCTGACCGAGCGCAGTCCAGGCCCTGTTTAGCCTCCAATTCCATGTTGAACAATGCCTTATGCTCAACTCGCAAACATGGCCAGCTCCATTATGACAGAGATTGATAATGATGATAATTCTAAAAGCTAGATATTCCCATGGAGTGCGGGAACCGACTCAGTAGCCATTTTCTTCCCATTTTTATTATGGAAAATAGCTTGGGAAAGAGTTCCAGTCACAGCATGCAGCTTAAAGGCCGAGCTCCATATGGATATCCACGTCTCCAACTATCCGCTTTCCGATCATGGCCACACCAGCGTGAGTACTATGAAACCTACTGTACTTGAGCATGGCCTAGTCTATTTTTCTTCAAAATCACAGCACAAACATACAAACATACACAGTTATATACGTCTGGAGGTACCGGTGGGAAATTATTCCAGGAATATGTGAGCTGCGGCCACATCAGGTTGACAATACCTAATATAGGCGGCCTTCATATCACTACCGATAAGTGGAGAGAGGGTTACTTAACTAACAGAGGCGTTACGCTAGAGCACACTGGAGGCCATCGCATCTTCATTCGGCTAAGGGAAAGGAAAAGAGGGAGATCAGGAATAGCACGTCTACGTTATAGCAGATATTGATAGATCGACGGTAAACTTTTTAAGCTAGGTAGAGCTTTTAAGCTTACAATCCTTTGCTATAATCCCATCAACCAATGCCATCGCGATCGTACCTGCTCGCCTGCCTGGGTCTGCCTGGGATATTTTACACTACATCGCAGAAAAAAAAAACAGTTGCAAGGATGCAATCCCCATTCAATCAATCCCGTCACTTATCCGAAAATAAGACGATCCGCATTCTTCCTCAGCCGCGGCTAAGCAAAAGCTTCCCGTAGAGTAAATACAGTACAAAAGGTACAGTATCAGAAAGCCAGGGCCCCACCATAGCTCTTCCTCTGGACCAATGTATGGCGTCACCACCTACCTGCCATTCTTCTAAGCACACTTATTTCATCACAGCTTCGACTTACCTAGTCATTCAACCTCATCATCCAACCTCATCATCTTCAAATCCAATTGCTGGAAGTATTAGCTTCGGGATCACCGTGGAATTCTCGTCCAGTTCAACACATCCATCTATCTATACTCATATTGCTATAGACCTTGAAACCACCTGACTGATGTAAGTAAGCGAGCGGGCGAGCGATTCATCCAGCTGACCCGGGGCATGATTATCCCTCAACAAGCGAACAAAATATAATATCACGAAACCGCAAAGATCTCTACTATAGCTAACTCGAATCCCAGCGAATTGGTTGATATCTTTCTTTTCCCCAATTCATCCAAAGTTCCCAGCAACGATGTTGTTCAGCATTCGGACTCTAGCCCAGCGCTCCCTCCGGGCACAAGCCAGGAGAGCCACCCTGTCCGTGCGTCCGGCCCTATCAAGGAGGGGATACGCAGACGTGCACGGCACAGCGCAGAAGACAAGCGAATTACCCTGGTAAGCAAAGCATCACTCAATCACTACAACCGCCCCAAACCACAAAACATGAAATACTAACACGTCCCCCTAGGTTGATAAGCGCCGTAGGCGTAACAGGCGTAGGCCTAGCATACCTCCTCTCGGGCCCCCCCAAGGGCGCAGGCGGCGCGCACGGGCCAGCAGCAGCCGACGCGATCGCGAAGCGCCGCAAAGAGGAGACCCAGAGCCCGCGCGACAAGTCCGACTCGGGCGCCTCGCAGCCATCAGCAGAGGACAAGCCCGCGGGCGACGACAGCGCGCCCAAGGGCGCCGACGACCCGAGTAATCCCGACAAGGCCACCAGCGTCGGCCGTGCCGCGCCTCCCCCCCCAAGCGACAACCGGGATCTAGCGGAAGCCTGGGAAGAGAGAAAGGAAGGGCAGAAGGAGTTGAACAAGCGGGTATGTGATTTTGTTCCTTTTGCTTATTACGCGAAAGATTCCCAATACCTCAGATCCCCCTCCTTCCAAACAAACATTCATTCATCAACGCCCGAAACAAATAATCCAGTCCAGTCCAGTTCAGTCCAGTCTAGTCTAGTCTAGCCAGTGCTAACCCAACACACCTTCATAACAGATCAGGGCAGGCGATACCAAAGCAGCGACGAGTTCGTCCCAGGCACCGTCCAAGAAGACGCGAGGTGAGGACCCGCGCGAAGACCCGCAGAAGGGCGAGGGCGAAGCCGTGAAGAAGGGCGGTTCGAAGGACGAATAAACCGCCTTCATCCATTTGCATTGCATTGCATTGCATTGTCCAGCGATGTGCTGTCCACAATGAATGCGTCGTAAGAAATGAAAAAAAAAAAAAAAAAAGGCAAGGCAAAAGTCATGATGAACTAAATGACCGCTTGGTCGGTCGGATCTCTGCTTAACTCTAGAACATCCAAGTCGGTCGCTGTCGGACTGGTTGGTGTTTGTATTACATCTATTGTATAGTTACTGTAGCATTTGCATAATCTAATCTCATACTCATAGTTAGTTATAAGGGTTTAACTTAACTTTTCCCGAATCACCTATGCACCCAAGGCATATCAATTATCTTCGTAAAAGACAGCCAACCAAGCTCATAGACACTTATCATTCCCAATCCCATCTTCACTAGACACATTCATTACATACTTCGCTTCGGGCAGAGAAAAATGTCTCATTCTTGATTATTTATTGCTGCATTCTATCGACCTACACGCAACGCAACATATTCCATCCTTCTTCTTCATCTTCTTCTTCGTCTTCCTCCTTCTGGGTGTCAATGCGATAGTTAGTTATTACAATAAAAAAAGAATCTTTCCTTTCTTGCAACGTAAGACTCTAGATCTTCCATTATTTTCTGGTTCAGAAAAGAGTCTTGTTTGTTTGTTGGGAAAAACAAAATCACATAAATGAAGCAATCTCCCACCCTGGCACACAAAATCAATTCTTGACAGTATAGCTGTACAATAAAGCCATGTCTGCCTGCAAGTGTGCCTTTCAGGGGGTTGTTATTCTTTTTGCCTCTCTTTCCCTTCGACGCCTAAACGTCCGTTTACCATTCCGATACTATGCAATTTGTAGTGGAGAACCCGCAGGATCTAAACCAATACGAAGAGGGTGAAACAAAGGAGAATGTGTTCTTGTCTTGCGCCAACGAGATTTGGATTTTTATTTCCTTCGTGGCGCTGGCCAGTTCCATCTTTTCTCTCACGGATATCTAGGATTAATAGTTGAAGAGAACCGAGGCCCAGCCCGAATCATCGAGGGCTGTGACGTGACGTGAGCGAGATGGTCTAGTTGTTTGAAAATATATCTGGCAAATTTTTGGGAACATAGGCTATTCGTGGGTGGCCGTTCAATTCGTAAGAGCATGTCAGCTATTTCTGCTCGAAGCTGTTGTGTTGTATATATGTAGTGGGAATAGGTAGCGTTGGGCAGTTGCGAAGCTGTTGGGTTGATGGTTTCAAGCTGACATTGCTTTGTGCGCTCTAGCATGATTGATAGAGCAGTAACGGCTCGCCGACATTCTCGATCTCGGGTATCGTGCATTTCAAGTCGAATGCCTTGGACAGGACGATCTTGAATATCTGTGCAAACAGTGAGTACACCTATTCTTGAGAGCTCGAGAGTTAAGGCTGGCTGCAGTACCTTTTGAACGTTGATACTATGGCTCGTGCTGCTGAAGATCAGCGAAGCACGCATGGCCTTGGCGAACCGCCGTGCCTGGAGATACCTGGTCAGTGAATTGACTTCGCAGCTGCATGTTGATGATCTAGCGCACCTGGCTTGATATCTCCTCCTGCTCTTCCCGCGAGAAGTTGACGAAATGATCGTACTTGGTGCCAACGAGGACCGGAATAGCAGTCTTGTTGAATCCCCGTCCTTGGCGATACCATTCCTTGATGCTGTTAAGCGTACTTTTCCTTGTCAAATCGAACATGAACAAGATAGCGACCGCATCGTTGCAAACGAGTGGTAGCATGTTGACGAATTCTCTCTGGCCTCCCAGATCCCATATGCTGAATGTGATTTCGGTGTTACGGATGCTGATTGTCTTTTCCATGAAATTCACACCCAGTGTCTGGATATAGTCTTCGTCCCAGCTGCCTTCGACATATTTCACCATTAGGGAGGTCTTGCCGATTTGGGCATCGCCTACCATGCCGACCTTGATAACAACCTGATTGCGTGTACTGGCCTGATCGGTACCATTGCTGCCCCGGTCACTATATGTCGCCTGTCGATCCCCACCGGCACCAGAGAGGCCTGATGGAGGCCTTGATATTGACTGCGGATGGGTGGTAGAGGGATGCGTCTCGTATCGTCCGGCAACGTCTGCATCGTCATGGTGCTGACTGTCTGATAAACCCTGGTCGAGGGACTGTGATTGTTGATGATATACTTCATGGCCATTCTGATCTGGGGCAGTATGGGGGCGTGCCACTACGTCGGCGTGGGTATCATGTGTATCGGGGAGCGCATCGAGGTGTTCGCGGGGCCCCGGGATGGGGGCTGTGTGGAAGTCTTGCTCCATGGTGTCCATGGCCGCGTGAAACTAATCGACGGATCGACAACGAGGATATACCGATCTACAATAAGACTTGTGGGTGGTATGCGAGATAACTAAATATCCCTTCAATGCTTGGAAGTCTTGGTCTGATCAGAGTCGGGATCGAGGGTGCGTTGTAGTCTCGGTTTGGGCGTGCAAGCAGGGGATCGTAGAGTAGCAGTGGAATTCGCGACGGGGGCTCCTGCGAGTGCCGAGGAATGTTCCACGTGTGCTGGAGTGGAGGATGTGTGTGTCAGTAGCCTTAGCCTTGACGTATGGATCGGGGCTTGATGCAGTACGGGGCGTCAATCAGGCCATGGGCTAGACCTGAATATCGACCCAGCTGAGGCTTCCGAGATAAGATTGGGTGGGCGAGACGGGGACGGGTCGGGCGAGGGTCGGGCGAAGGTCGAGGATATCGAGGATATATCGAGGCAGACGGACAGGTACAAGACAAGGGATGGAGGAAAGGGATAGAGGGAAAGAGGGGAACGGAAAGGACTCGAAGCGGTGCGGTGCTTCAGGACATGCTCGAACCCAGGGCCCAGAGCGAAAAATACGTTGGACGTGGAGGTGGAGTACGATTGTTGCAATGCGAACGTACCTTGCAGAAGACGCAGGCAGAAGATGTAGATAGGGTCCGTCTGGTAGGGAGTGTCGGTATTGTCGGTATTGAGTAAAATGGGATTATAATGCAGCAACCTTTGGCCGAGACGCTATTCCGTCCACGTAAGTAAGTAAATAAGTACTGAATGGGCGTGGAGAGAAAAGAGGCGTGAGCGAGAAGCTGAGCGCGACCCACCCGCTTATAATTACTTAGGTACTTACTCCTTATCCTTACCTATCTAGCCTAGTCTAGGTTGGAGCGATAGCGGGGTGGACAGACACAGGCACAGACACAGACACAGACGCAGACACATGACTGAGATCGGAAGAGATAGATACCAACAGCACACGGACTAAGACAGTAGATCTAGGACTAGGTGGATGGGATAGATGATTGATTCCCTAAGTACTTACCTACCTATTGTACCGTCATTTAAACAGGATTGCACTTGAATTTGGTGTTAGTCTAGTGCATTCGTAGTCGCTAGACCAGGCCCCTAAGATGTAGCTATTCCAATTAGTATGGTAATTTGTTGTTGTTTGTTGTGGTGGTGGTGGTGGTGGTGTTGATGTCTCACGTCACTAAGAAAGTAAATAAAAATAAATCAACCAAAGCATGCTCATATAAAATGTAGGTAGGTAGGTATCGCTCATATGACAAGATGATATTATAATGGGCGATACCGGTATACCATCAGTCAGCCTGACACCAAATTAATACCACGCAACCTAGGATCCATCATATCAGTTCGCGCGACCACTTTGCAGGACACACGCCTGTCTCTCTTCGAAACGAGTGTGTTGCGCGATGCTGTTGATCATTGGCTGCGTTTCCCAGGACAGGCCGAGTCAGATCATCGCGCTAATGCGTCCACGGGCGAATGAGATGCTGCAAAAGACGTCAATTCAAGCACCACACCACCCAAGACACGACGCGACACGCGAAGGGCCTAATTCTCTACTTCGGGTTAACCTGCCTGTCCTGTAGGTAAGCAGACAGAAGAGACAGGCTACATGTAGACATGACAGATATTGATGGTTTGTCGAGAATGGCAGACTGTCGGAACCTGGTGGGTGGGAAGCTCTCCATGCGAATTTGCTTACTAGCTAATTACTTAGGTAGGGTAGAGACAACACCATAAAACACATTCAACCGAGTTACATACAGTACCATGGCGTATTTATCCAACAAGTCTCTATCCGCCAAAATGAAGATAGGGAACCCAATAAAATCCTGCCATTCCTTGCGCGTTAGCCTCGGAGCTCCCCAAGGTGCAGAATCTCCCTTGTCCGCCCTTCTTGATTTCCTTATCGCGCAATTCTTTGATGGCTCGGTGAAGTCCTCGACTGACTGACGCGTCCGTCATGTTCTCATCCCGCAGTGTCTCGTACAGGATTCTGGCTACATGGAAGCAGTGTGCGTCCGACACTTCCCAGAGGGTCCCCACCACGTGCCGGAAGCCCGCGAATTGGAGGGCGCCAATGAGATGGATTGACTCGTCGGCGAGATCTTCCGTCATGTTCGACCCGGTCGAACAGGCTGATAGATATCCAAGGAACGGCGGGTTGTCTTGAAGCCTGTGATCGCGCAGGTCGCCCACGGTAAGTGGGTTAGCCTGCCAATCCTCGAGGAGTAGGGCGCTCTGTGAAGGGTCCATTGGATTGTATTTTCCATGACCCGCGAAATGAAATATCTTACATTCGCTCAGAGACCTCAATACGTCGTCCTTATATGGCGCTGGAGTAACTGGCTTTAATTGAAGCGACGTACAAAGGTCTTTCAACGCACTCACTTCCTTCTCGGCAAAGGGGAGAATTCTATTCGCAGATATTAGGCCTGGCGTTGTATGCATGGCCACTAAGACAGCCTTGGATAGAGACTCGGTAGAAAGATGGTATTGGCGTCCGTGCACCAACGTCTTGATGGACGAGGCATACGACGATATGACCGTATCAAGAACCGTATTAGTAGACCCTCGTTGGTAGCATCCTGCTGCATGAAGCGGCAACTGGCTGAGAGCCCGGTAGGAATCCACCATACATGAGGACAATGATCAATAGATGTATTAGGACGAAATCCCAAGGCATCAAGGCACGGGTAGCAGATCGTCTCCCAAATCCCCTCTAGCATTGACACCATGCCCACCGAACAAGGCAGTCGGAGATCTGTTACCCATTTCTGGACTTGTTCCAATGTCAGATTCTGTAATCTCAGCACTCGAATTCGGTGGCGCTCGATGAGGAACGCGTCGCATCGATAAGGGCTTAAATTGACGACAATAATAGGCCCTAAATTTGCAGCAGCCATTAACTCCTCCCTTGTTGGAACAAGAAGGAAGTTGTGAAAACCAGGTTTCGTTCGAATCGCCGTGATAAGCTCGTTGAATCTCTGGTCTGTCTCACGACGTTGTTTTGCTTCGGTTTCCCATGAAGTCGCATCCTCCTTAAGACTCAAAGAGGATAGCTTGTCAGCTGGGGAATCTAGCTTGTCTCGAAGCGATACGAATTTGTCTGCCAGATCGGGGTATTTCTGTTTGAGATCCCGGACATCCATTCGCATATCCATGAGCACACTAGCAATGATGCCGCGGCCGAGCTCAAGAAGCTTCAAGGCTTCATATACCCCTTCCTCTCCTTCGATCGCATAGAGAGACGCGGCTGCTGCCAAAGAGGCCAAGCCAGCGAAACCTGGGAGTGTGTCCTGCTTGTCGCTAGGTATGCTTTAACGACCTTGGGCTTACGGTGGGTAGAAGGTTCACAGCTTCCTTTAGTAGCTGGCTTGCTTCTTTCCACTTCGATTGCAAGGCAAGGATTTGAGCCGCTCGGTTAGCAAGAGAAATTCGGTCTGATGGGGAGGCTGTACGACAACTCCATCCTTCTTTAAAGTAGTGGAGTGCATCGTTCAAGTCGGAGTCAGTCGTGGAGTCTATCAAAACTGATCGCCAGCTGAGATAGGTTCCTAGGTCGCTTAAGAATTGAGATCGCTCAGGGTGGTCTTGAGGTGTAGTATCAACTGCTCTTGTTATCACCTCAATGGCACGATTTAGGTCACCTGCGGATCTTGTCTCCTGAAATCGGGTGCCGAGTAAATACCCAAGGTTATGTGACCGAGTAGCTCGATTAAAGATTGAATCCGAAGTATCCACAGCCAAATCTGCTGTGAAAATAGCATGGTTCAAGTCGTCTATTGGCCTTTTCAACCTAGATCGTTTCCCAAGCAAGCTTGCAAGCGCGGTAGGCCTGCTTAGGAAGTAGAACCAATTAGGGCCGGGGGTTGGTTAGGTTTTCGCCGCCGTTAGCGGTTCTCCTACATTCCATAAGTGATAGCTTTGGCCAACCGAGGTGGCCTCGTTGATTTCTGTCTTGCAAGAGTTAGGGGCTCTGGCTTTAAACGACAGCGACAACTGCATCGATATCTCGTTTTGGTTTGATGAGCCAGTCTGAAGATTCATGGTAAGAATACGCGCCTCCTTGATTAATAAGAATTAACGTTGCGTAGTTCAAGCTCACCATGGAAATGCCCTGAAAAGGTACTTTAGGTAATAGGGTATTTTCAGTATCTACTACCACAAGCGCGACCACACCATCCATAACGATATTCATATTACTTAAACTTCTAATAACAAGACTCAATGTCTCTTAAATGTCTCCACAACGCTTTTAGCGCTGCGTCCTCCACTCATGGCCATTTCGGGGTTGTCAAGAACAGTATCTCCAATCCGCGGTGTATCGATGCCTCCAAACTTCTCCAGAAGTATGAATTGATCATCTGTCTCCGACAGCATATCCTTTAGATGCTTCTTAACCACAGCGTAACGGGTGTTGGGGCTACTAATACTCTTTTCCTCGATCACGTATTTTTTGTCCGGGTTTGCCTGCCGGTCGCAAGTCAATATCAACGAGCACAAGCCCGCTGCGAGAGCCGTGGCTACGGAACTGCCGGATATCGTATCCTCCCATTTCAAGAAGGGGATGACGCCTGCCGCCACATCGTTACCTCGGATCTTGTAGTGATACTCTTGCTGGTCCACGGGGCGGAGAAGTTCTCCGAACTCGTCACAAGCTGCTAGGACTATAAGCGATAATGATTCTCCTTTGTATTTGGCGGGAAAGGCATTGGTGATTCGAGACCCTTCGTCGTGCGTGCTGCAGGTCATGACAATGCCGTGTGCCGTCGCCTTCTCTAAGGCCTTGCGCAGGGGCTCATAGGGTTCTCCTACGACGAAGCTCATGGATATGATATCCACGCCCCTATCTATTGCCCAATTGATAGCCTTTGAGCAAGTGATTTTAATCTAGTCAGCAACCCGAAACAAATCTCGAAATAATAAACATACCTTTGCCACTCTAGCTGGCGTAATCCCAAAGAAGTCCTCGCCAACTCTTGCTACGTAAATCTCGCAGCAGGGGTCAATGGCACAGATCAAGTTTGCCATTTGCGTCCCGTGGGGATCCGACGCGAATAGCCACGGACTAAGCCTCGAGTTCTCGTCGACGAAGGACCGGCCATCTCGAATCCGTGGCCAGAGACTCCTCCTGTCCTCCGAACCATCCCCTTTCCCTTCACCGGAGGCCCCATCTTTGGCGGAGTCAGATGAGACGGGTGGGATGCTTAATATTCCGTTGTCGAGAATAGCGACTTTAGTAGGCCTGTAGTGGCTGTTATCGCGGCGTGCGCGCTTCACGAAGACTTCCAAATTCTGCAGCCATCGAGCGAGCTTTGGGGCTATTCGATGAGCTCTGATGTGTTGTCAGCATTAAGTATTGCAGTCGCTCCATTTCCAAGGTCGGCTTACATCTCATTCAGATCTGCTAGCTTGGGTGTAGGGTACCAAGGCACAACGCTCACCCGTGGGGCTGTAAGGTTGGGGAAGACATTTTCGCGTAGTTTGTCCACTTCCCCTTGAACATCCTCGACTAGTTTCTGATAGTATCCTACAGTACATGTTTCCTTCAGGTTCACCTTGTTAGGTAAAGCGAACTAATATATAAAGTCACGGGGACAGAGAAATCCAAACCTTGATGATTTTAATCTCGAGATGGTCGAGCTGCAATAGGGTGCATTGCTGTTAGAGGTTGTATTTCATGAGATTGTGGGTAAGGAAAGTGACTTACGCGCTTCAGTGTGCGAATCCCTTCAGAACCGAACCAATGGTTTATCGTTGCCCTTTTACCGCTCGAATACAGATACAGTTCCTTGATCTTTTCTTTCGCGGGTTCACCGAAAATAGAGATGGATAAATCGAGAACCCTCCAATCGAGAACCTCAACTTTGAACTTAAGCACTTCCGCCGCCATCAGGAGGTCGTTATGAGGATTGATTAATCGGTCAGGAACCACTAGTTTAATAATCTTGTTTACCTTCTTGTCACCAAGCCACTTGAGAATCTTGAACACCTCGGTGTGGTCGTGTTCAAGGTATGTGTTTTCCTTGAATGTTTCCCTATCTCCCACCATCATGTCGAGGGGCGGAAATTCAGCATATCGTAGTGTCTGCTCGTACGCTAGTAGTTCTCGTGTCCCACTGTGTGAGATCAAAGAATCTACAAAATTCGATATCGTATAAGGGCTTGGATTTATACGCGATATATCAAAACAGAGATCACCAACTGGATTGAGCGATGTTATTAGAAGCCCCTAAATAACGGATGGACGTAAGAGCAGCTGGAGCCTGAACGATCGTGAAGTAGTAAATAATTATCTTACAGGGTTCTAAGTAGCGGTTAGAAGTTACCAAAACTTAGAATTCCGTGATTTGCCTACCATTAGACTCATGGAAGATATCTGACAGTTTTTCCATATCGTTTATCGTATATATGAGCTTGTTGACAATACTGTTCCGGATTTTGTATCGCGTACTTTCTGTATAAGTAGAGTCTCTTTTCAGCGGGGAGAACACGGCTCTATCGTACAGCCATTCATGGTTGTTATACCATAGCGGGTACTCAGCCTCCTCCTTTTTCATGAACAAACCTTCAAGTTTTAGGGGGCGCTTTACAGTTGCTGAAAACGGGTACTCCTTAAGAAACTCCTCGACAAATTCATACTTCTGGTGAAACACAGCCAGATGAAGCAGAACAGTTTTCAGTTCGTGGGATAGGGTCTTATTAGGCGCAGCTCGCCATATTTTCATCAAGCCTCGCTTTATGATGTTTTCTAAGACCTCAACATCAAATACCCCGCCTTTAGCCTTCGTGACTAGAATTTCAACGATGCGAGAAGCGTTGACAACTTTAGGATCTGATTCCACATCTTTCTTTTGTGAAGAACCTTTGGCTTCGTCGATTTTTTTCATGGCTTGAATGATGGACCGGCCCGTGACGAAGGTGGCGGCCAGTTGGTTGTTCTGAAGAAATATCTCTACAACCTCAGGCATTCCTTCTTCTAGAGCGCTGTTGAATGATTTGTCTTCGCCCGTAGATTGTATGATGCCGTCGACCCTTAGAAGTTCTTTTATAGTCTCGATGCGCCCGGATTCGGCCCTAGTAGCAAGCTCCAATGCTGTCGCACGGGGCTTGGAGGCTGGATCGTGCCCTCGAGCTACAGTTAGTAGCAAGGTGGGTTGAAGGCGCAGCCCGGAGTCAATTATAGTCCCAACAACCTTAGCATTGCCGCATTCAACAGCTACATAAAATGGAATTCTCTTGTCTTTCTTGGGAGTAGCAGAATGCATTTTCCAAAAGACGCATTTGTCTTCGAAGGATTTCCCAAAAACCGAGTCGTTATACTGATTTTGGAAGGCAAGGTGCGGCCACTTTTCTATAATCATTTCACTGATTACCACCTGAGGCTGTATGTCGTCGGGCTCGTCTGGAGAGATCTCAACACATTGAAGTAGCAAGTTCCAGCGGACGCAATCGTCGATTTTATGGTCCTTCTCCTTCCCATCTATGAAGTCGTTGATTCCGTTGCGAGCCTCCTCTATGTCTCCATTCTTCAGTTGGTTGACGATGAGAGATTTAATTACCGGCATAAGTGAGGGCAAAGTGTAGATTCCTGTGTCTACCGCACCGGCACTCTCCCATCTTGCGGCTAGATCTGACCATGTCTTATTTGCCGAGGGTTTGTTGATTTCCTTCCGGAGAGGTTTTGTACCCTTGTTCGTCATCGGTCTCTCAACAGTTCCCCTATTGTTGGGTATGTCCGCAGCCATTTTGATAGCGCGGCGGTGAATTAAGGGGCTGTGATGGATGGGCCGCCTTGATCTGTTAATTTAATTCTCAGTCGGCAGAGAAACGAGGGAAGCGAGAGCTGATCTCCAACCAAGGCATTTGTTGAAGAACACGGAGATGTGGAAGTTTAGTCGATAGCTAAGCCTCGTCAAAGGAGCGAGGGGTACCATTCGGCAGGGAAAATAGTGTAGCTGGACATCTCGACCAGGGTATCAGTACGGTAGTCGCCGATCATAAATGCATTTTGGCCCCCAACAACTGAACATGTACAATGTCCTATAAGCGGTTAACACCGCGGATCAAATCCAGCTAATGTATAGGGTACAAGCGCGCAGGGAATAAAAGGTCGCCGTGAGCCGTGGTAAGCGTCAGAAATACTACTAAGCCAGTGTATAGTAGACAAAAGTGTTCGCCGTGATATTCCATTGATGAATCGACACTCTGTCTCACCCGCGTGATTTTGGAATTGAGTACCTACCTACTCCGTACACCCTGTAACGAAATGGTTCCAAATCAACTAGGTGTCCAGGTCCGTCTTATTTCCAATCAGTAATATCTACTACTACCTGGTCCAGCTGTAGCTTACTGTGGGTAAAATTATAGATGGGACACAGCTACTGTAGTGTACTTATGAAGCTTTAAATATGCCTAGTCTGTTTTCGCGGGGGCTTTGTCAGATACAAGCGATGGCATCCAATTAAGGTGTAATTGATGGATTGGTCTATTATGTTACAGAGACACGTGTCACCCGCAGATTTATATACATAACGCTCCTATATGGTCATTATGTTCGATAACCTCATACCTGTCTAGGTGGCTAGCCCGTTGACCCCCATCGCGAGGATCTTCGGAAGGTGAAGCGTCAGGACGCAGAGGCTTTAGAGGATCAATGCATGTAGTAGTGAATAAAATCAATTAATTAGTCAACCAATGTTTTCGTGGGGGCTTATCAGCAAATGTTTCGTGAGATCAAGCTTGGCAGTCTTCCTTAGGGTGCAAAATTATGTCCCTACACATAAAGCCCATTCTGATACATAGGACCCCGGGGAAATCGTGATAGCATTGCAGTTACAAAACGAGGGACACGACGCACATAAAGGTAAAATACACAACTGGTCAATGAGTGGTGTCTTTCTCCACGCAGCACTAGCAATTTTCACTCTCCCTCATAATCTCCTCCGCGACAGGATCTTAAGGGAATGGACTTACGATCACGTGAATTATGAGAAGCAAAATCATTTGCTCCGGGGAGAGGGGGAGATAATGAATGAATGTGACGATGGTATTCAATGTGCTCTCTCAAGAAGTTTCTCCATTTTAGCCACTGTTTGCTGTAGGTTTAAAATAAGCTGGTCTTGTGCTGCTATTCTGGCTTCACATTGTGCAGCTCGGATCTCGAGCGAAACAAGTCTACCGTGGTCGATTGCGAGCGGAGGCGAGGCCTGTACAGCTAGGCGAGTTTTGAAGCCAGAGGGGGAATCGGAGTTAGAATTAGGAGCTGGCTCGTTATTCTCTACTGGTGCCGTTGATGATCTGTCGTCTGCGACCATAGCTGCCTTGATATGAACCTTCGTCCTTGCGTCTGCATCAAGAGGCTCGGGCTCAGCAATTACCTTGGGTAGTTCGAATCTTCCCCACGCATTCAACCAGGCAGGATTCAAATTTTCACAGTCGCTGGGATTCGTTATCAGAGCCCCGAGGTTTTCGGCGTCGATAGATTGAGCAATGTGAACCCCCTCTCCGTAACAGTTCTCTTTGTTGCCTGGTCGTGGACTTGCACGCCAGAAATGACTATAGCCTCCTTGAAACCCCAACCAGTTCCTGACACGGCTCTCCAATTCGCTGATAGTCCCGGTATGAACATCTAAGCGGAAATCCACTAAATACGGATCTGACGATGACCTTGATATGAGAACGGCGACCCGGAATTCTGGAGTGATGCCTTGTTTGTGAAGCTCGTTTTGCTTGACCTTCCACATGACACCGTTTGGTTCTGCCTCCTCTTTTTTAAGATTGAATAACTTTTGGGATCTACCGCTGTCGAAATCTATCCGGTCCCAGGAAGTCTCAGTCTCGGCGCTTAATCCGAACGAAGCTGGATCGGCTCCAACGTTAGCCTCTCCGCTAATATTGACCCTTCGCTGGGCTGCTGTTGGATTCCAAGTTTCGGGGTACCGAAACGGCCCCCACGCCACTACCTTCGGATCCTTGCCCCTCTTGTCTTCTGACTTGAATCTCAACTCAGCTGACGCAAAACCCACCTTCGTACCGCGAGTCTTCGTATTAAGAACAAACTTGAGTACCACAAGAGTCATCTCGTCGCGATTTTGCTTTTGACCTTCGACTGTGGTGGACTGACGCCACCCATCGATCCACACCAGACGCTCCACTGTAAGATGGTAAACGGCTTTTTCCTTGCCATAAACAAGGTGGCTTCTATCGCCACCTTTTCTTGTGTTTTTGAAAGTGCCATTGCCTTCGTTATTTGATTTCTGGTACAAGAATAAGTCGGAGCGGGCGGACTCAGGCAGGTTCTCGATGTTTGCCTCATAAATTGCGTCCTCATTGTAATACTCTTCTTCGTCTAGATTAAAGGGGTCGATAAATTCAGAGGCCATGTTGCAAGCCGTCTTCTCTCGGTAAGATGTAAGGGCCGGAAACTATAAATGAGAAAGAGCAACTAAGTTATTGGTATGAAAGTAGTCACTGTATAATGGCGATTTGAATACCAAGGGGTTTGGTAAGGCTAAGTCAGGCTAAGAGAAAGAGTATGGGTGTAATATTATATCAAGGCCAAGGAGCCTGGCATACCGATGAATTGCTGTTATTATACGATTTGCCTATGCTTATACCCATGGAGACAGACTGAATGTTTAAGTAGGGTGACTGGGCTCTTTGAGGGAACAAAACTATAGCTTGACATCTCGGGTACATGCACGAACGGTACGCAGTAAGATCGATGTCAGCGGGATTCAGAGTGTAACCACAGCAAGAGAGGGGGCTTTGCTGGGCCAGTAAGAGTAGAATCCGCCCAATGCCAAGGCAAGCAACGCGTTTTCAGCTTCCTAGGTATAGATCCAGATTACCTACTTACGAGGGAGTGATGCGACAAACTGAGGGTTACCCCCCTCAGCTCACCTGATAGTACCCCAAGCTTTTGCAGGTAGAATTTTCAAAAAGGGTACTTTACGTTATAAGAATTACTAATTACCCATTATCCTCCATTGCCTTTATTGCCTTTAACTTTAATGCCGAAGGCTTTTGCGTTCGACCTTTGCATTAGGCGCGCCACTTGTAAAAACAGGTACCTAAATACCTAGTTAGGCCTCTAACCTAGCCCCCCTTAACAAACATACCTAAGTCAAAGCTGCATTCTTTACATATCATTCTAATATTTCTATATGGAGTACTTAGCGTAAACTATTAAAAAATATTCTACCTGTAAAAGCTTGGGGCACTATCAGGCTGACTGGGGGGTTACCCTCAGTTGATCTATGGACTCCAAGGGAGGTATGCATATTACAATGACTCGCTTAGAATCACCCATGTCCACCCTCCATGTCTTTTCAGCTTGCCCCAATCCATTTATCAATAAGCTGCTTTACGCGTCTCTCTACTTCGTAGTACTATCTGCTATACCCATGCACAGGCTCTGAGATGCCGTGAGTCGATTTTCATACCCCTCATTCTACCGATCTGATCGAGATCCTAACGAAAATAGGCGGCACTCTAACACCCTCAAGTCACTCGAGTATAATTTTCATGCGATGTTCAGGCGTTTAAGGAGACGCGGCACTCAGGTACCAGCAGATGGGAATCCACCGAGGACTACGCTCCCAGCCCAATCTGAAGCCAGCCATCCAACTACCAAAGCAACTGATTCTTTCAACAACCCTGTGAACTCACAGGAGGAAGTTCCTGAAGTGGGCGAGAATCCATCGAGGACTACGTCTGTAGTTGAACCCAAACCCCATCATCCGACTACGACGGCTGTGAACCTTCTGAGCGATCCTCTAAGCTTGCGCGAAGAAGCTTCACCGGCAGCCAATCCTACAATACGAACCACAGTAGCCCACAGTGGCAATCAAATAATAGGGTCGATCGAGGATGCTCTCAGCAGTGCTGACAGTAGTGGAAGTTCGACTTCCTCACGTCCAGCCACTTCGCCGGCAGAGCCTCGAATCGCACAACAATCACATACATCAGCTCCCAAGCTAGACAAGTACAAAATTTCATGGTGGGATGATGCATATGACCGCCTGAAATACAAAAGGCCTGAACTGCTGCGCTTGTACGAATTGATCCTTTCCGGTTACTTATCTCGCAGAGTGCGATTTAAATCACCGCTTCGGTTGTTACCTGAGGCTGTATTATCTCATAACATCATCGACCAGGAAGTTCGGTTAGCTAGACAGGTTCAAATGAAGGATATCATTGAGCTATGGTTAGGTCAACGTCACCATGGCGAAGACGACGAGTCCGTTCAAAATAGCGTGTCGTCTCAAAAGCAAAGTAGCACATCTGATGCAGAGTCCACCAGCAACGAGTCTATGAACAGCGCTCAGTTTATCGAAGATATAATGCGATTATCTATTCAAGAATCACCACATACGTCTCTCATATGGATGGCATCCTGTCTTGCTGTACACGTGAGTTCACCTTGTTTTATTCGGACTAGAGCACATCAACTGATGAACATTTTAACCACAGGGCTTATTACACATCGAATCTCAACAGAAGCCCACGCATTCAGATATGATTTCGGTTATATCGAGGATAGAATGGTACATTAATCTGTCTGAGCTTTTTGGTCACCAGAATGATGATGAAGCTGAGCCTTCTTCGAACAACTCAGTAGCTGCCCTCATTAATTTGTACGAGGCTATTCTCGCGTATGAAATTCTTTTCGTGTGTGGACTTCATGAGGTCTCTACACGAGAGGACCTGCTATTACAGCTCAGTGAGTACTACATGGAAATAGAAATGAGGGAAAATGAACTTCGAAATAGCTTCGACCGTCAAAATTTGAGGAACTCAATTACTCGAGTTTTTAAAGCCAGTCAGGCCAAGTCAATTTTAGACACAGAATCACCGGCCTCAAACAGGAGGGAGCTGGAGAACTTACTGAGAAAACTGCTCTACAGCCGCTCATCACCTCTCAAGAGGGATGTGGAAATAACAATGCCGTGGCAGATGGATCAGCAACTCGATGCTTCGCTACAAAGTGATCAGGGACACACTCTCACGCAGATGTATGAGTGGGCATACGGGACGGAAGAATATAAGAATTTTACTGACTGGAGTCCTACAAACCCGTGTCGTATACTTTGGGTGCACGGCGATCCCGGTTCCGGCAAGACTCTGCTGCTACGAGCCTCTGCACGGAAGTTATCACAGCAAGATGAGAGCCACTCCGATCCTATCAAGCCCCACGTGGCGTATTTCTTCAGTCAGGACGGTGCTCCTCCTCAAGAAGGAGTTTTGTTCCTCGTCAAAAGTCTTATAGCACATGTTCTCCACCAACAGCCCTCTCTCAGTCGACACTTGACACGCAAGTTCGAGAACATGAAGAGAACACTCTACGACAACATCAACGACTTTTACGCCATGTCGACTGTTTTCTACAGTTTGATTGGTGACCCCAAATTCTCTCGAACATACTTTGTGGTCGACGCAGTCGACCAATTCACAATTCGTGAAGACGAGCTCTGTCCAACGGATAAGATAGGTTCTAGGGGCCGTAAATCCGATTGGGGTCTCAGTAATCTATACACTCTAATTTCTACGTCAGTACGAATCTCGGACAACGTTCGTTGGCTGTGTTCTTTTGATCGAGACGGAGGTGATGCATATTTAGGCTCTAAAGGCACAGAGATGCAACTTCATCTTACCATTAGCTCAAACTTAGCACAGATTCGCAAAATCACGCAGGACTATGCGGCTACCAAAGCCACCAGAATTGCCAAGAAATCCGGGTATAGTAAATGTCTTGGAAAAGAATTGGCGATAAAACTTGGGGACATATCTCAAGGCAATATGATGTGGCTAGATATGGCACTTGACTTCGCGATTGCGACGGCATCTACATCACCTTGGAATATTCCCAAGATTCTCACTGAACTCCATCAACTCGCACCGAACATTTCGTCCCTATATTCTTTGAGCAACGCGGTCATTAATAGTAGGAACATGGGACCTAATGAGACCTCCGATGATAATATCACAAAGCTCAATACTGTCGTCAACTGCTTGAAGATACCGGATCAAGATTATTGCAACAGAATTCTTGCCGCAGTAGCCGTCGCATATAGACCTTTACTCGTTTCTGAGCTAGTTGATATCATAGAGTTGCCGCGAACAGTGGACCCAGTCATGCTTGTCCACAATATGCTGTCCTCGTTTCTAACGATATCCCAAGAAACGCTTCACTTTAGGCACTCATCTGGGAAGGATTTTATTCGCGACAAAATGAAGGAATCGAATCTACTGAAACAACAACATTCGACTATGACGAAAGGATGCCTCAATGTACTCCTAAGAAACCTCGAATATCCACCGGAAGACACATTCGTCGGCTATGCTACAATATTTTGGATCAAGCATTTGTCGGAAATGGACAATCAAGACACAGAGGCATTGACTTTGGCTCGCAAGGTGCTCAACGATAACCTGCTGCAATGGCTCAAGGTCTTTGACTCTCAAGATTTACTACATGAAACTCTAGACATGATAGCCGAACTTAATGTTGCGCTTAATGCTGGGGTAAGTCTCTTAACATAAGATTCTAGCCCCGATCACCCATCACCGTGGTTCTTTACGAAATCAAACATGACACTAACATTTATGTGTTCAAATCCATAGCTCCAGCAACCTTTAACCAAAGATGCCATTGAGGTGTTCAAGAGCATACAAGATGTCACAAAGTTTATGCGATTCCACGAAACCCAGAAGAGTTTGTACTCGGGAAATACCCTTATCACAACCGAAAATAGCCTTTTGTTTTCTCCAAGTGAGAACCCAGTTAGAGAGAGGTTGTTGCCTAAAGAGTTCCCATGGCTTCTTACACCGCCCGTAATTGAGCTGGACCGCCATGGCGATAGCCCACGCCATGTCATGGAACACGAAGACTGGGTCCGCGGTTGCTGCTTCTCTCCCGATGGAGCGCTTGTGGCATCATCTTCAGACGACTATTATGTGCGGCTATGGGACGTGAAGACAGGTAGACTACAGCATGTACTTGACGGCTTTGAAGGCTACGTATATCGCGTAGTGATGTCGACTACGGGGCCTGATGGTAGCGCTCTAATCGCAGCTTTCGAAACCGATCTTATTAATGTTTGGGTACTCTCGACGGGTGCACTGCTAATTCGGTTGCCAGATATCATAAAGAAAACACGTGCGGCTTTGGAGGATGGGCGAACTACTGGCAACCCAGACAAGTTCGACTCAGGCTGCATACATGACATTTCAATAACATCAGCAGGAGATAGGTTGGCTGCTGCAGTGGGGAGCGCTGTGGTTGTATGGGAAATCCCCAACTTTGACAAAGTCTGCGTGTGGCTAGAAGACGACAACGAGATAAGATGCATCAGGTTCTCGCCGAACGGTAGCCGTCTCGCCTCCAGCAACGTCGCTTTGGATATAATAATCTGGGATACCAAGACTGGTCGACCGATTCACAGACTGCCAGACAGGGGATTGCAGTTAAACGATTCACCCAGCGATGACCCAAGCCGCGGAGAATCGGCTAACAAGATAAATGAAGATGGGATGTTCGCAAATACCAGTTATGGAACGCCGCCCATTAACATGACACCCAGTCACTCCGACATTATTGATGGACTTGCATTTTCGCCAGATTCGAAATTCCTTGCGTCGGGCTCGGACGACACAACAGCGCGCATCTGGGATCTTGATGCCCGCAAAACGCGAGTAGTACTAAAATTCCACAGCAGCTATATTAATAGCGTGTCGTTTTCATCCGATGGGACTCGTCTAGCTACGGGATTAGGTGACAGTACCATTGCGATCTGGAATCAGAAGTCACCTGGAGACTGGGGCAGCGACGAAGTGCTAACACAACCTGGCCAAGTTCTAAAGGGGCACTCGGACGCGATATGGACAGTCGCCTTTGCGCCCCATGGCAGCCGTTTGGTGTCATCGTCTCAGGATGGCAACGTCCGGGTCTGGGATACAAGCGCGACAGCTGAGTCGAGTGGCGAGGGACGATCGGATCGGTCGACGGTAAACATTGCGGTCGATAATGGACCAGGACATAGACAGTCCGTTGGTTGCTTAGCTATTTCCCCTGATGGCAAATTCATCGCGTCCGCGTCAACGGATGGTGTTGTCTGTCTCTGGGATGGCGAGACAGGCATTCGGCGGAGTACATTCAACAAGGTACACAAAGCACAGGTCACATCGATGGAGTTCTCGCCAAAAGGAGGGCTTCTGGTCTCGACTTCATCTGACAGCACAGCGATTGTCTGGGACATTAAATCCGCTGGTCGGATAAACACGCCCAAGCTTCACATTAAATGGCATAGCAACTGGCTACGAGATGCTACCTTCTCTCCCAATGAAGACTTCCTAGCGACGGCCTCCGACGACTACTGTGTGGCTCTTTGGGATATGTCTGCCGCCGCTCTTGACCCCAGCCTAACGTCCAAAGATCATGAAGAAGATGAAGCGAATCAACTTCCCCAAGAGATCAAGCCGATTAGGATATTTAGAGGCCATTATGACTATGTCTATAGTGTAGCATTCTCACATGATGGAAAACGTTTAGCGTCGGCTGGTGATGACCTTCACGTCATGATCTGGAATCTAGTTGATGAAGACAAAAACGAACCGGAAAGCAACATGTCCGACGAGCGTAAGATTCGCGACTATATACGTGCAGTAATGTTTTCGAAGGACGGTAGCAAGGTGGTATCAATCTGCACCGATGGAACTATGGCTGTCTGGAGTCCCGGTTCGCCACCAGAGAAGCAGTGCCGTCTATTGGACACCATATCCAACCCTTTCCAATCTATGCGTATGGATACAGACTACCCCGACGTCTTCGTGACGGAATTAGGGGCATGGAAATTTGACATCAGCGACGCGGCACTCGAGGAAACAACGTCGATCCTAAGGGGCCGGCCCGAGTGGTCCCTATTCAGCATCAATGAAGAACGCAATTGGATCACCTGGAAAGGACAGAACTTGATATACCTACCTAACCAATTTCGTCCCTCTACCGATAGACCTTACACCTGTAGGGTTAAAGGTAGAAGCGTAGTGATAGGTTCCTCTCAAGGCCAAGTTTTGCTATTCAGGTTCTCAGACGACGCGAATTTGTTATTAGAGAAATATTTTCGTAACGGTGTATAACGTAGGTTGACGGCCTTGCAAAGTCCGATATTATGATATCTGTCCTGCGCAGTTAGGTATGGTGGTTTAGGTTCGAATCTTTTCGCTGGTGGCCTTTGGAGTGCGCTACTTACTTGCAGGCATTGTTGAAAGTGATGATAAAGACTTCGCTTCATGGAACAAGCCAATGAGACCAAGGCGATCAGGGCTGGCAGTCCAATTGTATTTAAAGTTGAGTCAACCCACCAATTCCAACAAAGAATTGGCTGATCAAGGACTTTTGCAGCCCGAGTAGATTATTATATTTTGAATAGTATCCAGTTTCGACCCAAGCCTCTGCACTTGTCATAATTATTCTAGTAGAGTGCTAACTCTGACAGACATTGTTATAATCCCAGAGCGAATAGTAGCCTCATTGCAGTCAAGTAAATAGACAGGAGGGGTTTAGGAGGGCTTGGTGGTACTTGATGGCTAAATATTCTAACTCTCAAGTGAATAATATATCGCCCCTCTAGATAGCTAAAAGGTCTAGTATAGCCACCCATGGGGTCTATGTGATTGTATCTCCAGACAGATTCACTATCACTCAGTAGTTTGACTCAGTAAGTGCGTCCCCCATAATATTTCAATTACCAATCTAGCTGACGAGTTGAATACCTTGTACGATTTCCATTTCAAATGATATCCATATTCAATCCGTAGGAATTAATATCAACCACAAACTTCAACTAGCAACAGTAATAAATGACCCGCGCCATTGTTTCTAGAGGATAATTCACATCATTATACGCTATGTCAAAGGATGGAGGGTTTTAGTTAGTGCGTACCTGCAATGCCTCTTCCGATTGTTTTCATTTCTTCTTTGCATCTTCTTTTGCATCTTGATTCTTCTTCGACTCTTCAATTGCTGCTCGGATCTCGGCTGCGTGGCAACCTGCACATTGCTTGCCAGACGTATGATATGTGTTATGGACCGAACATCGTTCGACGTGACCTTTACTCACGCACCGGGTCTTGCAGGTCATCGAGCAAGCAGGACTATAACAGTTAGCTAGCGTAACTCATATCAAACGTTTCCAACTTGCCAATGATGACCCATTGTAATTAGGAGTAACGAAGAGTTGAGAGCTTCGATGACAGCTTTGGAACAGCTAGCTATAGATAATTAAGGAGCTATGCAAAAGACAAATGTGAAGTGCGTTCTGAGTCCAGCTTCTAGCATGATTAATTCAAGCAGCCAAAAGGGACTGTTCAACATCATGGACATGTGGCAGCCTTTTATACTCAAAATAATAAGAGCACACGTTTGAGGAACTTGGGACACAAAACATTACTCAGTATTATAATGGTCACCAGCGACATCAGCCTTGCCAACTGCACCAATCCAAATACTAAGTAACGCGGTGACCATCACCAGTACACCAATCACGATATCATTAACAAATCAGAAGATCTAAAAAGTGCGGTCACTACTAGAATGCGAGGGGTGGAAGTACAGGGCCTATTCCACACCACTAATATCAATATGTTATGCGGCACGACTATCGTTGCAGCTTTGCTAGCATCGCCAACAGCAACCTGCAAACATCAACAGTCTCAATAAAGCGGAAGATTCGAATCACACTGTTACCTGTCACGGAAATATGTATCACCTAATCTCCGATATATATTACCACGGATCGAGGGTTACAATAAGTGCAAACTAGCTAGATAATTAACAACCTCCCCTTTTGCGCAATAATAATGAGAAAACCAATAGACTACAAGTTGTAGTCTACAACTGACAGAGTTATAGCACTCTTAGCACTGTGGAAATAGGACTTGAGCACCTCGATTTCTCTAACTTCAGTACCATGAAATACTAGCCTTGCTATCATCATCATGCCAATTGTTACACGCGCGTACGGGTGAATATGCAGTTCGCCTACAGCTACAGCTAACCCCATTATTAACAAACAAGCGGAAGTGAGGCCGTACAAACCCCGCGTATATGAGACATGTTGACGGACCTCGGCGGCTAGGGAGGCTGGTTATAACGACTGTACCAAAACAGTGATATCATAATCGTGACACTGGCATAACCATGGGTGACCAGGCTTTTATCTGACGTTATTATTTCACATCGTGTGCCTTCAAATACAGTGAAAGTGATCATTTCATCATTAAGAATAACGTGCAATTGCTCCCTCAATATCACGGGATGCGGTTGTGGCACATCATCTTCCACCCGGTCTTGCTATTCTGATTGGATGTTCGTTCTTGCTTGGTGGTCTTGGCAGGAGCTCAGTTTGCTAGGTAACCTAACCATACCTACCAGTGTCCTCAGTCTCCATGGACGCACACAGAATATGCAAAGTATGCAAAGTTCTGTGAGATTCTCACTTCCATACAACCTGGCTTCTGTCTGTGTCTCGGAGCAGAATAGAGAATAGGCATGTAGTACTAAACCGCTACGCCGTCTGCAAAAGATAGAAACGACGTTATCAGATCGACACCCTACGCGCCTACACTCTCTATAGGGCACTAGGACAGTTCAAGGACCTACCTAATCATCCATCATTCACCTAAACCCGCATCACACTAGACACAAACAAAATGGCACAACCGCTCGGCAGTGAGCATTCGCCTGCACCGGAGAACGTCGAGGAAGATGAAGACGCTGAGGCGTTCGCTGGGGTCCTTTCGGTGCTCGATAAAACGCAGCTCCCTTTTCTGGGTCAGGACGTCTTCCAACGAATCCACCCACAGCTCGATTCCGCGGGTACAGAGCCCGTTGTCGGTGAACCCATGTATGGTTCCTACAATGTCCTCTTTCCGTTGACCTTCCCCACTGGTCTCTGCTGGCTGGTCAAGATCCACATCAACGGAACGCCAGAGAAATGGGATGACGTCTCCGCGTCGTCCTTGGTTGCCGAGGCTAAGACGATGCAGCTCCTGAAACGTGAGACCACCATTCCCTTACCGGAGGTCTTCGATTTCTCATCAACGACTCAGAATGTTCTCCGATGCCCGTATATTCTTATGTCGTTCATATCCGGTGTACCGCTGCATGACGTCTGGTTTGGACACCAGAAAAAGGCCGTTGATCTAGAAGTGAACCGCGCCCAACGAACCCGTGCCCTCGAGAGTATCGCCTCTGCAATGATCCAGCTCGGCAAGTTCTCGTTTCCGACCAGTGGCAGTCTTGTTTTTGCAAATGACGGATCCCCTTCAGGCACTGGTCAGACGCGACGAGTTGACCACACAGCAGGACTTGATCGTATGTTCATCCATGGTGATCCCGCTGATGACCCTATATATGCGAACCACGCAGCATTCAGTGACCCAAAGTCGTACTATACCTTCATGCTAAACCTCCACCCTACCCAGAACTCATACCAACAAGGCATCAATGCAATCTTGCTTCAACTGATCAGCTGGATCCCCGAGCCTAACAGATCAGATCGTTTCGTTCTCACCCATCCCGATTTCGACATTCAGAACTTCATCGTCTCGGAAGATGGCGAGCTCCAGGGCATAATTGACTGGGACGGCGTCGTAGCCGTCCCTCATACCATTGGCAACATGAGATACCCCGCGTGGCTGACGTGCGACTGGGATCCCCTGATGTACGGATATCAGGAACCAATAGACCAAGGAGTTGAGCCAAGCGGCACGTGGGAAGACTCGCCGTCGAGCCTCACCTACTATCGACGGGTGTACAAAGACGCCATTGCGAAAGGCCAGAATGAGAGCGACTGTGCTGCTGACCTCTGTCGAATGTCACTGATCACAGACAATCTATCAATCGCGGCAGATGACCCGAAGTGTCGAACCCAGATCGTGTTCAAGGTTGTGGAAGAAGTATGGGAGCGTGCGGGAAAAGGTCGCGGCTTGGATCTCGAACAGCTTATAGCTGCGTTCGCAGAGAATAAGGTGGATGTCTCGGTTATGGATGCGCTTCACGGAGGCTTCAATGCCCTTTTGAAAGAGGAGGGTCTTTGAATGATGATTTGGGTAATGTTGGAGCTCTTTTGAAAGTAATGCCCTGGTGTTGAGACCAGTTAGGTTTCTGATATACCAACTGAACCATCTATTTCATTCCCACATCCTTCTAATGGCCATATTCAACGGATGAGCGATCCATCTCCTAAACCTGATGTTCGTCCGCGGTATGAAGTTACAGCAGCCTTAGGAAAGCGTCTGAAGGAGCAAGTAATTCCTCATATCGATCGTGCTAGACTACCGGTACATTATATCTCCAACTAGGGTTCGGTATACCTTCCGAGCGCGTTACAATTCTCCGCTAAACAACCCCACTACCTGCCATAACGAGGGGTAAATTCCTTAGCTATGATTGGTTCATGTCTTATCATCAGAGCAAAGCATGTGGCTACCATAATTCGCACTGTAACAACAGGTATTCCCAAGCAGAGGCAACACAGTGTAGCTTCTTATCCGGGAGAACTCGGTATACAACCCCCTGTCAGCCGAATCAAACCCCAGCTAGGTATGATATCAACTTTCGCAGCCAGCATTTCTCAAGCTTCGTTCGATCCCACGTGAAATCATACCACCGACTCAACTCCCCCTTCGCCCACTTCGCCCAGTCCGCCCCCGACCACCACAACTCACCTCTCTCACCGAACCATGGCCTCAATTGCGCGATGCCTACGGGCAGTCCGGCCCTCGACGCTGTCTCGTGTCCCCCAGACTCCCCGCGTCCGACCTAATTGGCAAGCCACTGGCCTCCGAGCTTTCTCTGCCTCACCGATAAGTAAGCCCTCCGATGTCGCATTGCACCTTTTATCCTCCAGCCAATCCATCCGTCTCTTTTTTTTCAACTATCTATCTCGGCAAACGAAGACTCTCTTGAGACAAACTTGATGCCAGAGAAAGAAAAGAAACAATAAAGAAAAAAAATACCAAGAATATTGATAGTATATAACCTGAGCGTAAACATCATAGACTAACCACACCCTATTCTCCCCTTCAAACAGGAGACATCCGCAAATACACCAAGGACCACGAGTGGGTAGATCTCAACGCGGACCAGACCACGGGCGTGATCGGCATCTCCGAGTACGCGGCCCAGGAGCTGGGCGACGTGGTGTACGTCGAGCTCCCCGAGGAAGGCAAGGAGCTCCTGGCGGGCGACACGCTGGGCGCCGTGGAGTCCGTCAAGAGCGCCGCCGACATCAACAGCCCCATCTCGTGCACCGTGACGCACGCCAACGGGCTGCTCGAGGAGAAGCCCGGCACCATCAACGAGGTGCCCGAGGACGACTCGCACGGCGGCGGGTGGATCGCCAAGGTCACCGTCTCGGAGCAAGGCCGGAAGGACTTCGAGGCCCTGATGGATCTGAACGAGTATAAGGACTTTACGGGGTCCGAGGAGCATTAGATCGTTCGCGCCTATCGGGGTGGAAGCCACGAGACGATAACTAGGTGACGGCAGAGAGATGGAAGAGTGCTGGATTGCATTTGTTTCATGGTTCGTTTTTTTTTTTTTTAGAACATATACATACGGGGGGCCGGCATAGGAAACCAGCAAAGGAAACGGTGTTTCAACAGAGAAGTAAGATGATGAGAATTTTTTTTTTTTCGCGAAAAAAAAAGAAAGACAGAGAAACGGGCTCAACACCTTGTATCATAGGCATTGCTGCAGAGTGGATTTATTTATTTATTCTAGTTTTTTTTTAGTTTTTTTTTCTGAGATAATCATCTGAAGAAAGCTTGCGCAATAAGCAATCATATCTGCAGAAATGAGGCGAAGCATATTGCCTTCTTTTCTCGCGAACAGCAACTACTACAACATTCCCAAACCTGCTTGATTTGATTTCGGCATCTTATGTCCCTTATACCTGTGAAACAATGCCATCGTCCCTCCCTTCTATATCCCGTCGTAGTTTCATCATCATTATCGTGCGATTTGCGTCTGTCCGTATGCCTCTTATGCATATATATACACGAGTATGCGCGCTATTCATGTCGTCCACGCCTATTTATTTGTATTTCAACGTATTTTCACGCAGGTACCCACGGCTCCGCCTTATCCCTACTCGCCTCGCGGTCCGCATTGATGACGTCGAGGATGCTCTGCGCGCCATTGTCCACCAGCATCTGCGCAACCCTCTTGCCGAACGCAACGGCCTGTTCCCTTGTAGTCACCTCCTCGACGCTCTCGGCATCCGCGGCCTCGGTGCCCTCGATACTAACCACGCACCCAGTAAGCCGCAACTTATCCCCTTCCAGCCACGCCGTCTCGACACCGATCGGGATACTGCACCCGCCCTCGAGCGTGCGCATGATGCTCCGCTCCGTCTCGATCGCCAACATCGTCTTCTCGTCTTCAAAAGGCCGCAGCAACTCCAGCGTCCGGGTATCGTCCGCGCGCGTCTCGAGCGCCAGCCCGCCTTGTCCGACAGCGTATAACATGCCGCCTCCCTCCGTGTCTCGGTCCAGATACTGCGCGATGCGCGCGTGTCTGCTCGTGCGGTGCAGGCCGGCCGCGGCGAGGATGAGAACAGAGTACTCGCTGTCCGCGGCGTCGAGCTTCTGCAGCCGCGTGTCGATGTTGCCGCGCATGTCCTGGAAGCGGAGTCTCGGGTAGCGCCTCCTGATCTGCGCCATGCGGCGCACGCTGCTCGTCCCCACGACAGCACCATCGGGGAGGTTCGCGAGCGTCTTGTATTTCTCCTCGAGCCCCTTCTTCACGACCACGACGTCGCGCGGGTCCTCGCGCTCCGTGAAGCACGCGAGCGTGCACCCCTCAGGTACGGACGTGGGCATGTCTTTGGCGCAGTGCACGATCATGTCGAGCTCGTTGGCGAGGAGCGCGGCCTCGAGCTCGTTCGTCCATAGTCCCTTGCCGCCGAACTTGTACAGCGCCGTGATCTTGTCCTTGTCTGCTGTCGACAGCATCCCGCGGACCTCGAAGTCGACGTCTGGGTGCAGCTTCTTGAGCGACGCGACGACCCATTCGGCCTGGAGCATTGCGAGTGCCGATTTCCGCGAGCCGACGCGCACGACTGGCCTCTGTGTGTTCCCGCCCGAGGGCGTTATGACAGGCTGCGTAGCCGAGGTGGACATGGTGAGTGATGTGAAGGGGTGGAGGGCGAACCGTCACAGAGAGAGAGAGATGGAGAGAGTCGGGGAAGATCGGGCGCGGGGGAAAAGTGAGCACAGTCGTTGGTTGGTCGGGGCGAATGATCGATTGCTTGCGGTCACACGTTCTCTCTGCCGTGGATGTGCGACGAGGGGACAGGACTCGGGAGGAATTGTTACATGGAAGAAGAAAAAAGAAGCAGAGGTGAGACGAAGGCAATCCAGAAGCGAAAGTCGGCCGGTCCCTCCTTGAGTTGAGAGCTTTTAGCGGGGCAGAGAATGAATCGCGGGGCAAATCCGCCCCTTCTGCCCCTTCTCCATCGCGGCTACCCTGCAGTACATCTATCTGTCTACTACCCCTATTCGCCCTCTCCTCCAAATTATTCTCTTTGCTTAATTCATATCAACTTATAGCACACTGAACATCACGTCTTAACTTGTTTCTGTTGACGGTGAATCTACTTTTACGAAAGCTTTGTCAATCGCACCTATTAACTAAAATATAAAGTAAAATATACAATATAAACATCGAGCGCCACGACTTTCCACAGCACATCGCAAGCTTTCTCCTATTTCCCGCCAAATGTCTTATTCACATGTCACTAAAAGCTCATGAACACGAATGTGGCAGATACGTCAAGTACAGGTGACACTGCCTCACACACGACGCTACACAATAGATCGTAGAAAGAGTATCGATGGTATCACCAGGTACTAAGCTGTCGAGTATCTGTTCAAGAGTAACACTTCGGTATACACACATACCTTTCTGGTTCTATCTCTTCATGCATGGTTCCGAAGTTGGTGATCATAGTGCTGGATATGTTTAACAGATGTAGTCGTCGAAAAGAGAGATCACCGCATTATTGGTCCGCGTCTCAATGGGAGATCGCGTCATCAGTAGCATAAGGATTTGACATCTATGCCTCTATGGTCGACATGGGGATCGTTGTGAATCATATTCTCAAGTCTCCAGGCTGAAAATGAGTCGTCAGAGACACGATGGTGTTGCCTTGCTATGATACAAAGGCAACATCTCAGTGAAGCGCTGTCATGACACGATGACTGCAGCAACGAGCAACGAGTAGATCAATCGACTTGGTTACCAACAACCGTCATGTCGTCGATGCTTTGGGACCCGGCAACATCACCGGTTAGTTCCTATTGGATGTTCGATCTACCGAAAGCGCTCGAGAAGGGAAAGCCATGGGCTCATGCTGCGCAATCAGCTCCCGTGTGCTTCGTACGAGAATGACACGAAGACGCGTCGATTATTGTTCATCGACCAATGCTTAGCAAGCCAGATATGTGTATTCTGGGCTACACAACACCGTCTAAGTCTCAAGAAGGGAATCATATAAAACCGTCAAAGGCAACAGAGTCAAGCTCAAGCAGAATTCCAACATATCCCTAGAACCCCGAACTCATCATATTCATTCCTAGCTTCAATACCCCCATCACAGATCAAGCCAGCCCACCATGCATCTCCAAAACCTCCTATCCCTCGCCTTCATCACCGGCGTCCTCTCAGCCTGCAAAGAGCCTCGCCAGGTGATCGTGACCGTCACAGCAGACGCAGCATCCCCCTCGCCCAAGCCCCTCTCAGCTCCGTCTCCGGTTCCCCTATCAGCCCCCCCAGTGCCGTGGGAGCAGTCCTCCGCAGCAGGCGCAACAGCTTCGATCCCAACCGCCGTTCCCGTCCCAGCATCCGGCGCCCTCTCTCTCCCGCCACAGGCATCCTCTCTTCCAAAGACGGCGTCGCCAACACCCGCTTCAGGCGGCCCGTCCAGCGGAGCCAAGTGTGGCAAGGGGTTCACGTACTGCGGGTACATGTTGACAGGAGTCGGACACAGTACGTCTTCCCATACCCTTTCCCATTCCCTTTCCTCCCCCATCCCACACTACACCCTTCCTCTTCATCAAGCCAGCATAGCTAAAACACGGGCCGGCCGCCAGATTTCTCCCCCTCGGACATCGACAAGTCGTACTGCGCCGGGCTCCCCGAGCTCTGCGCGGGCGGCGGCAACAAGCGCAAGACGAAGCCCGACCAGGCCGTCTTCGTCTGCATGGAGGACCAGCCGTCCACCGTGCAGCTCATGTGCGCCTGCAGCGGCACTTGTCTGAACAATGCCACGACCAACTACATTGCGCACTGCGACAAGCCTTGCGTCAACGCCTAACTAGGTAGTTAGTACTTCAGTAGCTAGCTTACTAGGTAGATAGATCAGCAGTGTTGCTTGATTATGCAGAATGTCAAAATGGGAGGAATCTAGGTACACTGGCTAACCCTACGGGAGAAAATTGGTAATCAAGAATGCACATTCCTTAAGAGATTAAGCCATTGAAGTAAAAGTCGATCATTTGAAAACAAGATAAGAAGGAAGGTCTATTAGGTTAGGTAAGCTCGGAGAGCCAGGACTCTCCAAGCTGGGGTCAAATTTGCGAAATTCGTTCAATTCAGGTCTCACGTCATCCATCCATTCACTCATTCATGAAGGGCATGGCATTAAGTATGTCGGGATTCAATTTTCAAAGCATACCTAGCTAGCTACAACGACAACAATAGCTCATTTTCTATGTACAGCAACCAAAGAAAAAATCGCATAACTCTTCACAGTATTCATCATGACAGTATTCGATCCAGTGTATAGACATCCATCCCCATCTCACCATCCATCTAAGCCGATTGACCGTTCGCAAGTTGCTCGCCTATACAACTAGGTAGGTATGCTAGGGCATCGAGTCCAAGTACTAGGTCACGAGAAAGTATACATCAAGTTGATCCATGCAGTCAATTTCCACGAACAGATTGAGCAATCAATCTAGCATTCAGGCGCCAATCCCTTAATCGCAGGTGACGTCTACAAACACGGATCGATCACAGAGCTCAATCCTATAAAGTCCAGTCAGAAATACTACACAGTCCATCACAGAATCAGCGCACAAGCGTGGCATTTTAACCTGGTTAGTTAGCCTATTGTACTTTGCACGGGTCCATGAAAACCTTCACGAAATTTCTACATTGTTGGTGGGCCTGGAATCGAGAACTGGCTTGTTTACTAACGTGAACTTTGCACTAATCTCTCTTCCAGCCTCAAATGCGACATTCGGCCTTAATATCATCAAAATAGAGTATAGTCAGAGCCTATATGGTTTCCGATACACCTTCTTGCTGCCTTCGCTGGTGTCGTGAGGCGACTGCCGGACGTGTCTCATATATGAGCCACTATGCCGGTGAACCAATCTTTCCAGGCTATATATACATTCCGACGCATCTTATGATCAGGTAAAGGTGCCCGTCGGAGGATTCATTTTATTAACCGCGCTATTAATGAAGCTTTTGGCGTTCAATACTTGTGCTGATCCATTCAGCGAACGAAATCACTGAAGATGGCAGGCTCTTCTGGGTTGGATCACGATTCCTTGACCTCTTCGCGCAGACTCTTCAAATTGCGGTCAAAATCCTTGTTGACCCATTCCCAATATTGCTGCCAAATAGGGTTCTGGGACTGTATCTGAGCCGATGCATTCGCAGGTCCATTATTTGGGCCTGGTAGTGTAGTCTTCGTCTTCTCTGCGAGAAGCAGGGAGACTCGCAGCACACTCTTGTTGGCCTCTTCTTGCTTCTCATGTTCTTGTTTGACGGCATTGTCCTTGAGCTTCGTCGATAAAGTCTTACGGTAGCACTGGGCGATGGTATCAAGCCGGCGAGTTGTCTCATCAGGATCGATAACAATCAGTTTGCCAAGCATGAGATTACATAATGCTCTGATGTCGTTGTCATCATCGAGACCTGCGATTATACGGTCGTAGAATTCAGGAGAGCTGACACGAGAGAACGATGTCTCCATGAGCGAGTACAGGGTCTCATACGCACTCTGTAAAACATTACTTAGCTTACGACGGAAAGAAATATGATCAAACGGATATGCTTACCTTGCGAGCTTCAAGCCCATCATCAACTGTGTGCTTGAAGGGACCCATTTGTACCTCGCGAATAAGCTCCTTTTTAATAATGGATTCAGTCATGACAAAAGGTATCAATTCACCCAAATGCGGTAATATCAATTCGGGCTTGTTGTGAGTAGCTGAGTTCAGTGTTGTCATGCCAAGGCGCCGAATTTCTAGATTGGCATCTTTTAGTACTGTCAGTAGCATATCCACTAGTACCGACTTGAGCTCTGTGTCAAAAGTTTCGTCACTATCGGGTAAGGTGTATCTGAGAGCCTGGACAGCAACAGCTCTATAACCTTCTAATGAGCTTGTAAGAAGCTCCTACAGTAGTTAGCACCGTTATATAGCAAGTATAAGATTCTTAAGGTTCTTACTTGGAGCTTGGGGATATAAGTCTTTGGCTTTAATATAGCTAGGCGACCAATGCACTCTGCACAGATAGCTTTGTTATCTTCTGCGAGCGATGAACTAAAAAGAATGTCCCAAATATCACGTTCATAGGCACTGATGTCTGTGGATGAAGTAACGATTTGGTGAAGCACCTCGCGAATAGACTGTAAAAGAAGGTATTGATGGCTTCCTTCCTGCGTGGTTGCGTTCAAAATGACGGGCAGGTAGCGAGAAACATTACCTGCTCCGGCCCTGCCCAAAGCGACGGCAGCTGAGACAGAGACTTTGTCAGGCTCATTGCCGAATTGACCCAAGAAAATATTCGGGTCCAAGGGAGATTTGGAACCCAATCGGAGACCAATCTCTCCGAGGATGGCTAATGCAAGGCTCTGACGTTCAGTGTCCGGTGGCGATAACCTACTCGCCATTTTGAGCTCGTCGATGAAGCTGTCGATGGTGACACCAGCATTACCGCCGCTCGCGACAAACAGAGCACCCACGACTTTTCCGAGAACCGCAGGATCGCCACCCACACCTACAGAGAGAACGCCTCTCATCAGTCGTTCACCCATTCCGGTGTGCCCTATATTTGTTACAAGAATAACGAGCGACTCTAGTATACTGCCAGATATATTCTTCTTGATCAAGTCGCAGAGCGCGTTCACAAAATCTTGCGAGGCAGCTAGGTTGGGGTTCTCAAGCTGGAGCTGCGACATGGTAAGTAGGGCCGGGCTCAAGAGAAGCGTGTCATTGGCAATGACAACGGGCTGTATCGCTGTCACAATACCACTAATCGTATCCGCCGAGAGATTTCCCTTTGTTGCTGGAGACATGACCATGTGCTGAAGAGCTTGTACACTAGAGCCTCTGAGGGCCCGATTGGCTTTCCGTAATTGACCACAGAGTTCCAATGTTACAGCTTGGATCCAGCTACCATCGAGACTGCCTGGAGCTGAGGAGAAGATTGCAACGTTGTCGATTGCCCGCACGGCATGAAGCCGGGTTGTTTCGTTACGCATTCTTTCGAGCAATAGATCTAACCCAGCTTGTCGCTTCTCAGATGACAAGAGGCTCAGTCCATCTGGAGTAGAAGTCCTCGCAATCAAAGTGCCAAGAGCTTGTATAGCTCTCTGTCTCACTTCTGTATCTACATCGTTCGTAGAAGTACGATCGATAATAATATCGTAGAGTTTGAGCAATTCAGGCTTATATTTCTGCGTAGTGAGCTTAGCTCGCGGAGGCGTTATTGCTTTGACAAGTTCTTCGGCCGTTCTGATAGCCTCGCTAGAGATCTTGTAAAACTTGTCGTTGACGGCAGAAACAACACCAGCCACAATATTTGCTAGATACAGTTGGAATAGGCTGGAAGAATGTGTTTTAGCAACGTCGCTCGTGAATCGGAGGACTGCCATGCGTAGAGTTGTAGCAGTAGCTGAAGCAGCACCACCTGTCAAAGCTGTAGAAGTTGCGCCAGCGTTGCCTACAGCTCCCTTCGTAACATCAATCACTGGTTGCATTACTTGATCGAAGTAGTCAGAAAGGCCACCATTTTGAACCGCAATCAGGTCATCTAATAGGCCAATCACTGCTTGTTTCGTAGCAATCTGCTTCCCCTTAAGCAGCTTCGTCGATGATTTGACTAGTTGTGGAATTAGCCTCGAGAGGTCTGCCCTGGGGCCCGTCTGGGGGAGGGATTCCTGAGTCGGTGATATAAGGCCTGGAGTGCCCATATAGGGAGCCTTGTGGCCTTGCCAAACTGCACCGCTGCTCTGCCTCCTCCGCTTCCTAATGTCTGGGAGAGATTGCAAAATTTCATCGTCCATGGTTACCGAGTGAATGACGCCTTCGCCAGTTTTGCGAATTAACAAGGATGTAGCGGAGATAATTTCTAAACGAACGCTCTCTTCCCTTTCATCGAAACGGCGAACGAGAGGGTTGGCCAAGTCCCGGTACAAGGTCCCGTTGTCTAGTAGATCAGTACTGCGAGTGGAAATCAGGGTATAAAGGGCCTTTGCCGCGCATCTACGGACTTTCCAACTGGCGTCGTCATCATCGTCAAAATCGTTGTCCTCCTCATATTCGTCGTCTTCGTCTAGCTCTTCATCATCACCTTCCTCATCTTCCTCCATGTCCTCATCTTCGTCATTGGCATAGTTGGGGTCAAATCTGAGGTATCGCAAACAGGAAGAGATAACTTCATCTGTAAAGGGTCGCATCTGAACGCCACAAGATGCAATGAAGGATTCAAGCGCGACTAAAGCAACTTCTCGAACTTCGTTGAATTCGGCGTCGTGACCGTCGCCGGAACTTACCTCATCTACATATTTCTGATACTGCTCTTGGCTAAGAGTGGAAATCACAGGGGGTACTATTTCTTGAAGGTGTGTACCAAACTGATGGGGTATAGCCCTGGCCAGAGAGCCTAGGATGGTCATGTATAAACGAAGCATAACGGGGTTGATTTGAGGTTGCTTCATGGCCTTCTCGATCTTAGCGATGAAAGCATTGAGGACATCTTCTGTCAAGAAGGGCGCCAAAACAGCGAGGGCAACAACCGCCCTCTTCTTGACTGGCGATGGCGTTGTGGGGCGCTCTAGAACTTTGATGACTACGTCTTGCAGCTTCTCAACCTCCAATGCTTGTAGAAGTGGACCAAAGCATCGAACGACCTCGATTAAAACGTCGACGGCCTCAGGACTCGGATCGGATTTATCGAGCAGACCGCGACCGTCCGAATGAGGAGCGCCAGGACCAGAAATGCCGAGAATACGTGGTATGAGCACATGGCTAATAATATTGTAGGTATCAAGGACTTCTCGAGACGGTGAAATACCGGGGATTGGTTTCTGAAGTGAAGATATTGCGCTACGAAGAGCGAGAGATGGGAGGGAGTTGTCTACCGAGTTCTTGATCTCCACCGAGGTCAGCTTCTCAAGCATGGGGGTAATGACGGATATTGGAATTTTAGCTGCCAAGGGACCGATGCTACACCGCTGTCATTAGCCAAACGTTCTCTGAACAGTGGTAGAACATAAAAGCATGTTCTGTGTGTATGAATATGCATCCTACCATCTGACAGCCAAGTTTTGGACCTCGCCATTTTGATCATCGAGGGCTTTGACAACAGCATCCACGATTCGGGATGAAGTGTTATAATCGTGGGTCAGAAAATCGGACTTCGGCTTGGTCAGGATCTGATGAAGGTCGTTCAATGACATGAAGCGAAAATCGGGGTCGGCATCGCTAAGCCTCGACAGTAGAGCGCCGATGGTTTGGGGGTTAGGATTATTGATTGCAGACGAAGCCATGGCGTTTGATCTGTGGCAAACAGATTGCGGGTAATCGGCGCAGACGATGAGGTATAACGGTTGAAGCAAGGATTCACTGAGGCATCGTAGTTAGCTCAAGAAGCAAACATAACAAGCGACATATATTGAGCCGTATAGCGAGTGTGTGGTAGGTCTATTATGGCTGGGGAATGCCGCACCTTTGGTGCTCGAGTGATGACGTGGTTGGGGCTTCAAGCTCTGGCTATCAGGAATATGGGATCGCAATGTTAACGGAGGCGCAGGTGAAGGGAAGACCTGGTGGTAGTTTGCGTTAGAATGTAAAAGGGAAAAAAAGAAGATTCAAAGAGGCAAGATAGCATTAGACGGCCGAGCAGGAAGCGGCCAGGATTTCGAGACAAGGAGATAAGCGCAGTAGACTTACGCTTGTACAGGTCGACGCGGGTGAGGAGGGCGTTGGATGATGTGACTCGACAGCAGCGATCTATCTTCTTAAAGTCGGAAATATATGGGCATTGTAGTCGAAGGGATCGCTGGCTGCGTGGAGACGTTGGTGCCAGAGCGAGCGAGTTTTGGAGTTTGGAGGTTTGGAGGTTTGGACTGGGCTGAATCCCCTCTATCTCTATCCCTCACCTTGCTCTTGCTCACTTTCTGGTGATGCTGGCAGCTTCCCCTCCATACCTAGCCCCATACCTAACCATCTGCCCCGCTAATCGGTGCTGTTAGGTACCTACCTACCTAAAGTACCTACCCAGCCTATATCCAGCCTGTACCTATGTACATGGCTATGAGTGCAGTCCATCTCGGGATTTGGACAAGTGTTTAAGGCACCAAACCCGAATTGTCACATTGTCGCTGTAACACTCATCATGGACTGAATTAGATTGAATTGAATTGAATTGGCTAAGTAGTCTGACTGTCTGGTTAGGTATATGCAGGTGGAAGGATACCTCGATGTGCACCGTGCCGCTGCCTCACAATCGCACTCGGCGGGTCAAGGTTTTGTGTGTGTGTGTGTGTGTGTGTGTGTGTGTAAGAGGTATGGTATGGCGTTTACAAACAACCTAAACATCATGAATATAAAATGTCAACAAATGAATCAGTTGGCCAACAGCTACGTGAACAGGCAACTACATAGGTAAGGAGAAAAAGCCACGCAAAATCCCTGTATTCCGAAATACCCATACCCTCGTTGCCAAGCTACCGACTGGTATACCTTACTTACTTAGTCCTTGCGTCTCCAGCGTCTCTTTCATCTCCAGGCTAAACATATGAATCGTCTGAACACTGTAACATGTATGTCAGGGAGTAAGCCATTCACCTCAACAATAGACACGTAAGAGTTGGGAGATTGGCTACGATTCCATTATCAATCGCTCTTGAACTAGTGGAATTAGGAAGGCAAGTAATATTTCAACTTGAACCTATATAATATGTACGTAGGTGCGGGACACTATATTCTGAGATAGGCACCGAACTAGGCAGCAGTGATAGAAGACCGCCGCCAATGAAGATACTAGATATTCACATTCAGTCCTTTTGAAATCGTTGAGCTTTTGAGGGTACCTGTAAATTCCAAACATATTCATTCAGCTTCAAGCACCGTCTGATCGAGTGCCTAAATCGCAAATCACGTATTCGGGACGATTTTGGATTTCATTTCCATCATTCCGTCACGTCTTGGGAAACATTCTCGTCCTCATTGCTATAATATGCGTCCAAAGTGTGAGGGGAACTTATTTGTAATTATGCCCAAAGTAACTCGACGCAGCTAGTGCTGCATATAAGCCATAATGTGATCGGGAGTGGCGGAAAGGGAGCAGCGTATTTGAGGAATGCTGTGCCCCGTCCGACGGGCAGGGACATCGTTCAACCTTCACATCATTTCCAGTCTCGTTTCGGTGTCATGGCTCCTACCATCGTCGTGGCGGGCGCGACCGGCAACACCGGTCAGCATGTTGTGGAAACGCTGTCCATTTTACTTGAGAAAGGAGGTGCCTTATCGGGTCACCGGATCGCCGCTCTCACACGGTCACCAAAGGGCCCCATCGCACAGAAGCTCGCTCAGCTCCCCGGCGTCGAAGTGATAGAGCAGAATTGGATCAACGTCACTGCTAACTGGCTCCGTGAAAACGAGGTAGTCAGGGCCTTCGTTGCACCGGTGGCTCAGCTCAGCCAGTTTATCGAAGAGTCGGGCTTTCTCGTCGCTGCGCTTCAGGCAGGCGTCAAATACGTCGTACGGATCTCCACGAACACGCCAAACGTTCGACCAGATGCCGTTCCCTTTTATGCCCGTTCGCATTGGGCCATAGAAACTCTCTTGGGCACGCCTGAGTTCGAAGGACTCCAGTGGACTTCGCTTCAGCCCAATTCTTTCGCTCCGACTTACCTTCAGACAACTGCCGACTTCATCAAGCAATACCGTAATACCGGGAAACAAGGCATTCTTAAGCTCGTTGCATCAGCTGATGCGCCTGTAGCCATCGTCGATCCTTATGACATTGGAGTATTCGTGGCCCACCTGCTGGTTCAACAGGATCCCACTCCTCACAACAAGGCCAAATACGTTGTCAACGGGCCTGAGGACATTTCCGGCCAGCAAATCGTGAAGCTAGTTGAGAAGCATATTGATACTAAGGTCGAGAATGTTATTTTTAAGGATTTGACTTGGGCCGACGCCATCGCCGACTATAGTCAAGACGCAAAGCAAACTATGTTAAGCCTCAAGGCTTTTCCGGAGCCGCTATGGCAGGGGCTGTGCTCGACTTCGACAACTAGCAAGGAGTTCCTGGAGCTCGCTGCGCCGAAATGGACACCTGCTGCAGTTCTGAAGAGAATGTTGGAAGAGTAGACTCTGGTAACAACAACTTCCGTCAGCGATGGCGCCCCCTTGTAATTATCACAGATGAAACCGAAATATTGAATATGTAGATTTTGTTGATTCCCAACGTTACCGCTACCATGATGCGATGCGTGCACGATCTCCGATGTTTACTAATGGCAAATTCGTATTCTTACATCCACCCTTTGTTATGGATTACTCTAGGAAGAAAACAAGTTTACTATGAGATTCTTAGTGTTGCGTTGAGTCTAGATTAAATGGGTAGGAAAAAGGAAACTCAATCCCCAGTAATGAGCCATTCCCCATCTGTTAACAGACAAGAAACATCACGCTCATTACAATAATATCATAATTCACAATAGACAGCCATCTTCCCTCAATGATGCATTCTATCATATCATTACCGTTGGTCTGTAACGGTCTAGTTCCGCTTCCTCCGTAAGAATCTCTGGATCTCGGCTATAGCAGCAAGAATAGTCCATGCTATGATATCGACAATCGGAAAGCCATCGAGCATCTGATACTGCAGGTCTTCGTATAACGACTGCAGCGCTCAAGGTTAGTTAAAGGATAATCAAGCGTATTTTCATAGAATTATTTCTCAATCATTAGAGATATCAAATCATGATAGCAAACAAGGGCGGCATCAACTCTTCGATGAAAGAAGACCCTGAACTCGGGAAATACTTACGCAATCTAGGAACAAGATCAAACTGATGCATGAAGCGTGCTAGCGATTCTTGCATTTCTTCTAGAGGGGGCATCGCATACGAATCGGGTTGCATGCGGTCCCAGAGCATATACGCAGAATAGATCAGAGCACGTTGTGAGTTGAAAAACTCCGGGCCCCGATGCCGCGTTGCTCGACTCAAAGCCACCACCGTCGTATAATACCAGAGTTCCATGGGGCCTTGGTCGATCTTATCTCTCCGAGGTGATTCTAGCTGTTGGATCGCCCTTGGCAAAGTCACTGTAGCCCCGAACCCCGGCAAAGCGACCCCTTCAGTCAAGAATTCGTTGAGTCTGAAGGACTTCATAAAGAATTCAACGCGGGATGACATCGAGGTTTGGGTCCGCATTTCCGCTTGCCAGAGCGCAAGGGGGCCCATGTGCACCACGAATTTCGAGAGGAAGACCTTTTCCTGAGGGTTCGAGTGTTCGTATCCGTGTTGTGCTACGCGGTGCTTACTAGCCACTGATATATCCATTAACAACCATGCGCCCCCAGATCGATGGTTCAGACTTACAGTTGCCAATGTGTCTCTCAAGGAGCCTCTGTACGCAAAAGACCTGCTCGATTTCCCAGGGAAATAGCGAGAACCAGAAAACACCCCACGCGACCACCATCTCATACTGTTCCGGGTCCGATCCCTGCCAAGAAAACAAACTAGACACGAGCTGCATGATGTAGAGGGCCTTTTCATAACGAGCCAGAACTGTGCTTGTAACTTCGCGGTTAAATTCAATCCCTTCGGGAATTCCTAGCATGGCTTGTTTCGATAACAGTTTCGCATAGTAAGAAACTGCCATGTATGTCTTCAAGTAGATATCCGCTTGGATCAGTGACATATTTTCCGGGTGCGTCTTCTCTAGAGTCAACTCTTGAGGCAGCCGGTATAGTTCAACGAAATCAAGGACAGAGGTGCCGTAGGCTTCGGACAGTTTCAGACCTCTGCCGTAGCCTCTTTGTTTCCTTTCGTTGATGTGCCAGGGTGCGGTAGAGATCATATAGTTGGCAACAGCCAGATACACGAGGCTAGGAGGAATAATGGTCATGGCATCCTCGATGATCTTCTTTTCGTGGGCGCAGACCACGGCACAGAAATCGGGGCCGCTTAACGACAGATTTATGATTGATGCACCATCGGGAAGGAAGCCGATGATTATCAGTTTGAGTTCGGTGGGGAGCTGCTCAAGGCGACTACGGCGGCCTTGTATAGCTCTGTCGACCAATATGTCAGTCGACCAAAGGTGGAGAATGTGTCAGCCAATAGATATATACCTTTTATTAGCCGCTGCTATAGCATTGAGAATGAGGAAGCACTCTCTCATATATCTAGGCATGTTGTTAACCGGGACGCCTGGGTCGGTTCCGTAGGATATTTAAAGACTAAACTCGAAAAATGGAAATCTTAACTGATCTTGATCTGCACACATCATATTCCAAGAGCAGGGGTTACTTGATGCACATGCCGACTTTTGATCTATAGGCTTGAAAGTATCTCATCTAAAAAAAAGTTGGGAGCGAGAGAATGCGACTGAGGGGGAGAGGGGAGAGGGAGAGAGCTAACAGAATGGGTACACAAAACTAAGGTTACGCAGTGACCCGTCACACTGAATGGTGCTATTCATCCCTTAATTACACTGACAACTGGTACAACGGGCGTTGAGGCAGTGATTTACACTGTATGCTAGTAGATATATATATAGACGTTGGTATATTAGCTGCCATTAAACCACAATTTCCATGCGTCCCACTATACAGTACTCTTTAGAAGTACGGTCATAAAGATCTGAGTCGATATCCCAACGGGAAATCGTATACCGTAACAAGGCAAATACTTTTTACGTTGAATTTAGCAAGGTTATGCATTTTTGTATCAGCCTACAACGGCCAAGGGTTATATTGCTACATATGATCCCCCTTCGTGGCGAATATAGAGAGGCAGGAAGGAAACGCATCACACTTCCAATGCTGATATCTGCTATACTCGACTTTGGATAGGTGCCTTATAGCTCAGGGCTGTCACCAAATAGCACGCTCAAGGCATCAGGAGCATAGCGCTGTCCCTTTGAGCCACCAACACTCTCAATTGCTTGCCTGATCCTCGCGTCTTCCTCTTTGGTCAATTTGATGTCCACTGACTTCATATTCTCTTCCAAGTATTTGACCCGCTTAGTGCCCGGAATGGGGATGATGTCTACAATACATGTCAGTACTGCTGCACATATACGTGTCAATGGTACAAGGGATAGGAGTGTATGGCTTACCATCGCCTTGTGCAAGTAACCATGCGATAGAGAGCTGGCCAGGGGTGGCTCCCTTCTCTTTCGCGATGGAACCAAGGAGTTGTGCCAGCTCTACATTGCCAGCGAAGTTCTCCTCCGAAAAACGGGGCATCATCCTGCGTCTGTCGTCCTTGTCGAGCTGGTCCCTGCTGGTGATAGTACCAGTCAAGAAGCCACGGCCAAGAGGCGAATAGGCGACAACTGTGACACCCAGTTCGCGTGCAACCTTCAGAAGATTTGTCGGCTCTGACTCGATTTGAAGCGCAAAGGGAGAGTACTCCATCTGAATCGCTGTTATGGGGTGCACGGCATGCGCACGTCGCAGACTTCGTTCCGAGCATTCAGAAAGTCCCAGATAGCGGATCTTGCCTTCTTTCTTGAGCTCGGCCATAGCCTGCACTGTGTGCTCAATCGGCGTCTTGGGGTCTATGCGATGCTGGTAATACAAGTCGATGTGATCGGTCTGCAGGCGCTCTAAGCTCGCATTGCAGGCCTCCTTCACGTACGCGGGATCTCCCGTAATCTCCCAGTTACCATCCACTATCCTGTTCGCGAATTTCGTGGCCAGGAAGATCTCATTCCGGCGACCGGTCTCCTTGAACCACTTTCCGATCAGCTTTTCGTTGCTAGATTCACGATTTGTTAGTACAAGCCGATGGCCGACGATGTCACCATAACGCCTGAGCGTTTATGCATAGAACTGAAATATATGGGGACTTACGTGAACGGCCCATACATGTCGGCAGTATCCCAAAAAGTCATGCCTGAGTCCGCGGCCAGGGTGAGGACTTTGTACGCTTCCTCATCATTGAAGCCGCCGGAAGCATAGGCAAACGTCATGCCCATACACCCAAGGCCGATGGCGCTCACCAAATCATCACCAAGCTTGCGCTGAGGAAATTTTGCTGCCATTGTGATTGTAAATTTAGTTCGACGGTTGGTGCTGAGATTGAAGTTGGTATAAGATGGGACAGATGTAGTAGATGTGAGAAAATGCACTCAATGCTGAAGGATATGGAGCGTAGACTAGCAGTGTATTTATACTCCTCCCTCTCAAGGCAACTAAAGTAATCTGGTCTTGAGTCAACGTGATATGGATTTTGGAAATAGATAGTTAAGTCCGAATTGTCGCGAGATATCTAGCCCCGCACTTGAAGCTTCGGTGTTATGATGCTATCCCGGGGCTACTGATGCATTAGGTGTTCTTTCGTCATTCGGATATATCTATGTGATTCATAACGTAGATCCGTTTGAGATTCCGATCGAACCCCATAAGACCGTCAAGCGCGGCTCGGCGCGGGTAAAGTCCTAGCTTCATCCACTCATGCTTAAGTCTTGCGTTAAGCCCAAAAGGGCCCGCATATTATACGGTGACTGGGTATCTGCGCACGTTTCGTATGGAGGATATGAGGCGTCCCTCCGGGATTCTATGCTCTTAGACTTAACCACATATTTTATATAAAGAACGTAAGTAATGCCAATGTGCCCAATGTAAAGAGTATGAGATCTGGCGACAATAGTGAATCTTCTACTGAAGCACTGTGGTATTGGATGCCAACAAGCTTGATTGCATGTGGTGGTCTATGACTCAGTTACCACGCTAATTAAAGGGTATCGGAGAAGATGATTAAAAAAAGGATGTATGTAAGAGAACGAGAAACTAGTCCCAAATCCAACTAAACCAACGTGTTTTGCTTCTCTTCTTGACGGGTGGTTCATCATCTGGGACCTGTTCAGCCTGTTTGAAGGCTTCCTCCAGCGGAATATCAGACAGAGAAACTATCTTGGTCTTTTTCAGCAGCTTCCATATCAGATACGCTGCGAGTACCAGAGGAATGTCCCTAAATTGATTTAGAACGTTTACTTCATCAGAATCGATGGTAACCACTCTTCACTTACAAGTACGACGACACGAATGACTGTGCATCCCAGTTTCCCGTGGTGAAAACTTCGTATCCACCTGTCAATAGGATAAGCAGACACATGAAAAGTCCGGCGTAAGAACTATACACTATGTGCATGTCAGCATTGGGGTATAAGAGAGTGGGGACAATAACTTACAGGTCCATGAATTATGCCACGGGAGCGACTCTGTCGGGATACCTTGCTGCTTCATCGCCAACTTTAGTCTGATGTGATTAAGTAGAATCGCTGACCACGAAACAAGCACCCCAGCCGCGGTCAAAGACACAAACCAGAAGAATACGGTTAGCGCGGCATTTGACAGGGTCAAGAAGCTCAGAAACATGAATGGCACGAAGAACAGCACACAAACGTATGGGACGCCCCACGATGTTGTGCGTAGAAATATTGACGGGGCCTGCTTCTTGAGGGCCAAGCCATATAGAACACGTGTTCCAGCGAGGAGACCTTGATTAGATGATGACCATGCTGATGTGATCACAATCGCATTGACGACGGAGGGGATCGCGGGAATACCAGCTGCCGAAGCAGCAATGACGAACGGACTTTGTGCAGCAGTGCTAGATGAGTCATTAAGGCGCTCATCGTTGCTCGCAACTAGCAGGCCAACTACCACGATGGCGAGTACGTAAAAGATAACGATTCTAAAGAATACTCGCTTGCAGGCTGCAGGTATAGCGCGTCGGGGATTCTTGGTCTCGGCGGCAGCCATAGCGAGGGACTCAACGCCGGCAAAGGAGAACACAGCGCCCGTCATAACACTCCAGTAGCCGAGGAACTTGCCCCAGTCTCCAGTAGCAATATGCTCGACGAAAGGCCCTGGGTCTCGCCAGAATTTACCTCCGATGGCCGGTGTGCCGGGAATGCCACCCAAATCGATTACCAATCCTAGAATGATCAAAAAGACGACGAGGAGAATCTTCAATATGGCAAATATGAACTCAATCTCCCCGTACACCCGAATGAAGGCTATCCCGACAACAACAGTCAAGACGATGAAAATGACTATGAAAATCGCCGGACTTAAGTCCGTCCAGAACTGAAAGAGCACACAGATAGCCGTAATTTCGGATGGGATGGATAACAGGTTGCCGTACACTAGATTCCAGCCAATGGCAAAGCCTAAAGCTGGATCCACGAGAAACTCAGTATGCCTGACGAAAGAACCGGTAACAGGCAGTCTGTTCACACGCTGGAGTCAGTAATTTCTCAAAGAAAACTCAGCTCGTGTTTTGAGATCATGGAGGAGCAATGAGGCCCAAATCCTGCCTAAGGGGAGAACCAATGAATCCAGGGAACTAACAAAGCAGACACCTCGCCGAGCGCGAATTGCACAGCGCATACAACAAGCCCGACGGTGAAGTAGCCGAGCAAAGCACCAAGAGGCCCTGCTGTCTGAACAGCACTCCCGAGGCCAAGGAAGAGACCGGTTCCGATAGCTCCGGCAATGCCGAGCATGGACAAGTGACGCTGGGCCAGTCCACGCTTGAGGTCGCGGTCCTCAGTGACCGTGACCAGATCATTGTTCACGTCAGGGTCGTAGTCATCGCGCCCAGGTGTTCGGAAAGTGCCATACTCGGGCGCTTCTGCATAGGTAGATGTCGCAACATTGTGCAATGTAGCCGTCTTAGGGTCATCGAGCCCTGACGAGTTGTTGCTCATCTCTCAGTATATTGGCCAGATTATCCCTTGCCAATCCATAAACCTAACCCGGTGAACTTCATTACCACATGAAGCGGGACTGTGCGGATATCTATTGTTTAAAAAAAAAGAAATCCCCTTGCTGACTACAACTACCCAGGTAGGTTAGCTACGGATCGTCATCTGAGCTCAGATGGCGCGAAGGCATATCTCGGCTTCAGATAAGGTAACGCGTGTTGCTCCAGATATGGAGTTTGACATAACACCCCGGAACAAGTATGACCGCCTTAGAACGATAATGCCAGATTACAGTATATCGTACTAACCAGGGGTTTGTCCTTGTACGCGCCCACGTGGGCAAACGCTTGCATGTGGATGATGCTTCATTTGAAACGATGGATCGTGCTGCCGTGAGTTCATGGCTCTTTAATTAATATATCCCCGGAAAGTGGCGACCCTTGGCATCATGGCTATGGCTTGGGGCAATTACTGTCACTCTAGCGGAGATGGCCTGAATCTTCGCTGAGGGTTTTATCCCTTCGCGACCTTGATTTCTCTTTGAGAGGACTTGCAGTAGGTATTGTATCGCGTCTTTCCAGACAGCTATTTGCCATTGACCTTTACCCGTTCGAGTTTGTGCTCTTGAGTCTGAGAATGCGATTGATAACCGTTTCTAGTCTGCTAGCCGTCGGACAAGGATTATTTGGCGTAGCCACCTCTTTGGATCTCCCCATTGCTGCTAGAATAGACGGCATTGAGTCCGACGTCACTACTGTCGTTTATAACAAGACTCGCCCGCTTCTTATTGGCAATGATGGCGGTGCGGCAACGGGCGGGTTCCGGGCATTCGACATCAATAATGGAACTCTTCTAGTAGAGACGGCACACAACACCCCTGGACGCACGAAGTTGGTGGCCACAGCTTACGGCGTCGGTGGACGGGATCTCATTGTTAGCATTGCCCAACCGGATTCTTTCTTTCGGTTATATGACGTGAGCACGATTGAGCAAATTGGCCAGCCAATCACCCGCACGCTAGGCGATTGGTCGGCATTATGTGCGTGGAAGAGCCAGAGAAGTGGCGAGCAGTACCTATATCTTTTCGGCAAGAAGCAAGCTGTGCAATTCTTATTACGAGAAACGAGAAACTCTCTCGAGATTGTCGAGGTTCGAACTTTCGAGACCCCCATCGAGGCGTCATCTTGTGCTATATCCGTGTCTGCACACAATATTTTCTTTAGTGGCGACGACGATCCCACAATCTACACCTTCAACGCCACGGAGTCAACCGAGATACCAGATATCACAGTATTAGGAGCAGCCGAGGACGATGTTACTGGACTCACTGTTTACGTCGGTGAGAAGTCGGATTATCTTTTTGTCGCTCAGCAAGACACTATCACCATTTACGATGAGTTGTTCATTGAACTCGGCTCCGTCACCCTCACGGGCGACGATGACATCGAAATTCAAGGACTCGATATGTATCAGAGCAAGACACAGCTGTATCCTGCAGGTGTTGTGACGTATGCGATCGAGAGTAACTCTGGGGCTGGATTTGGAATCAGCTCATTGGAGGGCATATTTGATAATCTCAACTTGAAACTCAACACTGCGTACAACCCGCGTAAAATACCGTGCAGAACCGAACAATTGGTGTGCCAAGAGTGCAGCTTTAGTGGATTTTGCGAACCACCCGTTGATGCATCTCACCCCACTGCTTGCTTATGCTTCGCTGGGTTTACTGGAAACAAATGCGAGTCGTACAACTGTCGAAACAATTGCTCGAATCACGGAGTATGCATCGGTGCGAATCAGTGTAGTTGTCATGAAGGCTGGGGAGGACTGTACTGCGCTTTCAAAGTCGTAAAGCCGGTTGCTGAAACGGATCCGAATGGAGGCGACGGCGATGACCCTGCCATCTGGATCTCGCCAGTGCATAAGACGCTATCAAGAATAATTACGACCGTCAAGTCAGAGCTTGGTGCGGGCCTAGGAGTTTTCGACCTGAATGGCAAGGAAATCCAGACCATTAAAGCCGAAGAACCTAACAATGTTGATGTGATCTACAACTTCCCAGCCGGGAATAGATCTATAGACCTAGCATATGCCGCTTGTCGCGGGGACAATACACTATGGTGCGCCTCCATTCGGGCTTTTCCTATCATCAATACTAATTACGTATAGTCTATTTGAAATACACAGAAATGGAACCCTAGCATCAATATCAGGCGGAATACAGTCAACCAAAGAAGACTATGACGTGTACGGTAGCTGTGTATACCGATCACGCATTACGGACAAGCAATATTTGTTTGTCAATGCTAAAACAGCGGAGTATCTCCAGTTTGAGCTGTCGTGGAATGATACTTTGCAAACCCTGGAGACGACTCTGGTACGAAATTTTACTGGTGGCTCTGGGGGCCAGGTCGAAGGCTGTGTGAGTGATGAAGCAAATGGCTGGGTCATAATCGGCGAGGAGCCACGTGCGCTATGGCGTTATGGCGCTGAGCCGGACGATGATTCAAGTGAAGGAGCACTTATCGCCGAAGTCGGCGACGGACATACATATGCAGATGTCGAAGGCGTCACTTTGATCGAAGGTGCAACGGCGAATGATGGGTTTATCCTGGTCAGTCAACAAGGTGTTAGTGCGTATAATGTCTATCGCCGATCGGCGCCCCATGAGTACATTGAGACTTTCACTACGATCGAGAACACTGAGAAGGGAGTTGACGCGGTAACCAACACCGATGGAATCGCTGCCGTTGGTACCTCGCTTGGTCCCATGTTTCCTTATGGATTGGTAGTGGTTCACGATGATGCTAACGAATTGCCGACATCTGGAACTAGCGACGAAGCAAGCTTCAAGCTGATCAATCTAAGAGACATCTTAAGCGACGACCTCTTAACGGAGCTCGACCCAGACTGGGATCCAAGGGCATAGTTAACGATCGTCAGCAATGAGATTGATGCCTTATCCTCGATTACGGGCATGGGTAAGATGGACTTTGATATTTCTACTTTATTGAAAAACCGTGGCCGCTAGTCAAACAAGAAAAATATAAAACATTTGTGGCTATATATACAGGAATTCTACCAAGCACTCTCCCTCTCCATACTGTCTCTTTATATCCGAGATTTAAGTTTTTGCTACCATATGGATCGGTTATTGGAAGTTAACCACTTTACTTTTCACGCATACTGCCTTAGCCAAGGTCTGTATTGAACCACTCGATAAAAGCTCTAGGACCTGCAACGTGGCTTCAAACTCGCGTGTGATGAAATTTCGGATCTCGATCGCGACAAGGGAGTCGAGAGGATAATGAGATAATGAGCGCGTGATATCGAGATCTTCAATGTCCATCATCATTACGGCGGCGAGTTTGCTGACTAGTCCATCGCAGACGACCTGTTCTGCCTCCTCGGGAGTCTTTGCTGCTTTCACAGCCGCATTGTAAGATATGGCCTTGGTTACTCCGGCGGATGCATCGGCTGCCGCCGCCGCCTCAGCTGCCTCACGAAGATATTTGCACTTTGCGTCGTCTGTCCAGAATGGCTGCATCGTAGGTGTGATCCTCATGCCGGTGATTGCATGGTTATTGCAGGCTGTAGCCAGTCGACCAGATATGGCCGCACCCAGGAGCGCTAAGACCTCAGCCTCGCAGATTGTATCGCTTCCTAGGTTTCTCGCCACCTCTGCGGCCTTTTCCAGGTCCTCCGCTAGGTATCCGGAATCGGAGATAGCGGTGAGGTCCAGAGACGATGCAGGTAGCCCCATCGCAAGACGATGTTGAACAAGGGCGTTGAGGAAGCAGTTTGCAGCAGCATATGCAGCTTGTCCTCTATTTCCTACCATCCCAGCAACAGAAGATATTGCGACAAAGAAGTCAAGTGGCGCGTTGATGAGGGCTCGATGGAAGTTCCAACCACCTTGGACCTTGGACTCAATGACAGTTGTGTATTCGTCGTATGTCATTTTCTCAAAGAGGACGTCCTATTTCAGATCAGTATTGTTTATATCAACCGATTTTGATCGGTGCACTTACTCGAAGCACCATGGCACCGTGTATCAGACCTCGGATAGGAGGCATGCCTTCCAGTCCAAAATTAACAAGCTCCTCGACATCAGCCACGTTCGCAACGTCACACCTTTGCACGATAACTTCAGCCCCAACTTCTGCAGCGTCATCTATCAATTCTTTGACCCTGCCGGTAGCACTTCCGCTACGTGACACTAGCACTAGATGCCGTGCTCCTCGGCTAATCATCCATCGTGCCATACTACGGCCGAGACCACCTGTTCCGCCAATAAGGATATATGTAGCGTTATCCTTGAAGAGTTGTGCAGGCTCTTTTGGAGGTGTAACCTGCACTATATCATCTGCGTGGGGAACGACGAGCACTTTGCCGTGCGTCTTACCGCTTTGTAGTGTCTTGAACGCAGATTCAATATCCGAAATTGGGAAGAGGGTAACTGGGGAAATCGGCCTGATCTTGCCGTACCTCATCAAGGCTGAGACATCCGAAAGCAGCCTTTTGAGTAATGTTGGACGCTCAGCGGCAATGGACATCATGTCAACGGACAGGTAACTTGCGTTGCGATCCGCGCTCGGAACTTCCAACCGGACTTTTGAGCTAGGATCAAGTGAAGCGATATTCACCAAACGGCCAAATTTGCTTATACAGTTCCAACTCTCCTGAAGAGCATTCCCAGAAATCGAATTGAGAACGACGTCTACACCCTGTTGCCGTGTGGCTTGCCGTATAGCATCACCAAACGAAACGTTTCGATCGTAGAAGATATGATCCTCGTCCAGATGGTATTCCTTCATCAGGAACTCCTTTTTCTCCGTGCTCCCAACCGTAGTGTATATGTCCGCGCCAATCATTCGAGCTAGGTTGATAGCTGCTTGCCCAACAGCGCCGGCTCCAGACTGAATCAATACTGTCTCGTCATGCCGTAGGCGTCCGACTTCAATGAGAGACTGATACGCAGTTGCATAAGCTAGAGGGATTGTGGCGCCAGTTTCAAAAGACATCTCCGCTGGCAATTTGAAAGCGAAAGCGCTCTTCGTGCGCACAGAGGTGGCGAATGCACCCTGCGTAATGGCAGCCACACGATCGCCGACTTCAATGCCTCGAACATCCTTGCCCACAGATTGAACGATTCCAGAAGCCTCCACGCCGAATTCTGGAGTTGGGGTCTTGCCATGTGCTGCTGCTAAGTCCCTATGATTGACACCGATTGCCCGAACCTGGATCTCGATGCTATCAGGCTCTAATGTGCTTTCAGCAGCGGTGTTATCATCGAAGTACAAGGTGTCCAGAGCGCCTAGGTTACCAATTGTCAGTTTCAGGTTTCGGCTGCCTTCGCCAAATGGCGCTGGCTGGAACGCAGAGGGTATCGTTTCGCGATATACAATGTCATTCAGCTCTTCGTCGTTTATGATTCTCGGGGTGAAGAAGGAGCCAGACCGTTCCATGAATTCCATCTCGCTACTAGATGAGGTGCTGTTGCTGAAGACAGCAGTGAACACTTTCACGATTGCTTCAACTGTCTTCCCTAATGGCAGGGGTGACTTTCCATCTAAGTCTAGCGTCGCGAATGGCAATAGGGTTTCTGAGCGGATGGTTCGGCTCAGACCCGCGACCATATTCAAGTCTGGGGATGTAGAATTGCTGTACGCGCCCCGGACAATCCACAATGCTCCTCTAACCGAGGTCAGCGCTTTCTGCAGTGCATTGAATTGGGCCTCCTTGAGGTTCGAAAGAAGCGGTGTTTCGATCTCTTGCAAGAATATCACCAGCTTTCCTGTCACGTCGCTGCTCAGTAGGTTGCTGGTCCTAGCCTTTTTGCCCATAGCTTTCTCCAGCATCTCTGATAGGCTAGATGCGATCTCATTCTGCGAATTACTATCTCCGCAAATGATCTCAATCTCTGCATCTGGGATCTCGGAATCTCCTACTGGTACTGGGTCGCTCGTATTGTCGGGCTCAACCGAAAGTGGTTCAAGGATTGGCTCCCAGTCCAACTTATAGCACAGCTCGCGACGCGCTTCGATTTCCGAGCATGCCTCCCGGTCTATAATTGGGGAGACTACTAACTCTTCGATACTTATCAACGGCTCAGGTGCCATAGGATCGTTTGTCGCAAATATGGCGACTTTCGTTGATCTTGGCATACCGACAGGCAGATTAGCTTGACAATAGGCCGGAATGCCGTGTCCAGGCTGCTGTGTTGCCGCAGTAATATCTTTCGAGATTGATATTTTCGACACCGACGTCGGCAGATACACAGTTTCAATAGAGCCTCGCCCACCTTCGGCGATGGACCAGTACAGTGATATTAATGATTCCAAAAAGGCGGGCTGAATAATCGCCGCTGATACATAATGATTCGGCATCTCTTTTGCTACATCTGGTACGAGTATATCCGCATGGGAGCACCCGTCTCCAACCCGACAGTTGTCTATGCTTTGGAGCGTGGGCCCATAGGAGACTCCAGCTTCCGATAAAGAGTCGTACAGCTTAGCGACATCTAGAATTCTCGATGAGGCTGCCTCTACTTTGGCGGTGGTTGTGTGAAGGCGAATCCGCGAGGAAAGTGTCTGTCTCAGAGAATCAACCCCGTTTGAATCTCTGGCTTCAAGGGCGACAAGGCCGCGACAATGCTCTTTCCAACCCTTAGTCTTAGTCCAAGAGCTGATCCGAAATTCGTCCCAAACTTCGGAGGAGACAAGAACACCATCTTGATGCGGTCTAAGCGAGGTCGTCATCTCGACGTCCTCTTCTGAGATTATCAATGGAGCAGTCACTGAGACATCACGAAGTTCAAACTTGTCGAATGAGATGTTCGCTTCATTTGCTCTTTGAGCAGCTGCTTCGATGGCCATTGCGATGTATCCCGCCATTGGGAAAACAACCATAGATTGAATCTTGTGATGTTGGAGCCACGGCAGGTCATCCAGACGGACTATGTTCCGCCAGGTTGGTTCTAAGTCACTTGAATAGTTTGCCAGGGTACCCAGAATGTCATTCCGAGGGGCTGATCTGTTCTTATGGAGCTGGGTGAATCGAGACTCATGCCAATATTTTGCGGAATAGTTCCAGGGGTATCGAGGTAGGTCGCTGAGTAGTATTGGCGGCTTGCCTTGCTTTGGGAAATTGATGGCCTCGAAGTCGAGAATAGCGCCCTTGGTGAACAGTGTAGCGGCAACGTCCAGTGTTGTTGCAACCGCATCCTTTTGCCGTGCCAGGGCTGTCAAATAGGGCACTTTGGCAGCGTCTCCCCCAACTGCTTTTAGGATCTGTTTGAGGGGACCCTGGAGAGCTGAATGCGGTCCCAGTTCGAGAAGCAGGTTAACCCCGGTCCTGTGGCCGTCGATTGGCGCCAGCATATCTTGAACTGCTTCGTTGAACCGCACCGCGCAGGTGAGATTCTGCACCCAATACGAAGACTCCAGTTCTAAGCCATCGATACGCCGGCCCAGCAGCGATGAATGGAACCTCACATCTGTAGAGATTGGTAGTTGCGTGTTCGCGATCGATTCCTGGTAATCTTTGGCAAGGAGGTTCATGTGATGAGAATGGTATGCAGTATCAACGAAGAGTTTCCGGTTGAACAGCTGTTTCTCCTCTGCAACCTTCTTCAACTCATCGATACCCGCCTCGTCGCCAGATAATGTTAGGCTTGAAGGACTGTTGTAGCAGGCAATTCTTATCTCTCCCTCCTTGATTTCTGAGATCATTGGCTCCAGCTCCTCTTTGCTTCCGCCAACAGCCATCATCGCGCCTCGTAAATCCGGATATCGCTCTTTCAGGACAGGGATGAGTCGACCGCGATGATAGGCAACCGCCATACATGTCTCGAAGGTCAAGCTACCAGCCGCATATGCGGCCGCAATTTCTCCGCTTGAGTGGCCGGCCACAGCTGTCGGTCTTATGCCCCAGGACCTCATGAGGTCGACTAGTGCTAGCTGTATAGCCGTACAGGCCGGTTGGCTTATGTGTGCTGCGCCAACTTTTGATGTCTTCTCATCCTTTGACAGCTCTTCGAGGAGAGACCACGAAGCACCTAGAGATCCCAGGCAGACGTCGGCGTAGTCGATTGCGTTAGTGAACACAGGGTACTGTTGGTATAATTCTCGTCCCATCCCGTACCACTGAGCGCCTTGGCCGGTGAAAATGAAACCAATCCTTAACGGATCGGACTCTTTTCCTGGTGTAAGCTTTTGGCCGTTGATTGCTTCAATGAGATCGAATGACCTCAATGCCGGGATCGCAACTCTCCACTGCAAGAGTGACCGCCGTTGGCCGAGGGTATAAGCCACATCCGCCATTAACGCCTTTTGGAACATTTCCGGCCTCTGCTCTAAGTATATGACAAGATTCTTCAAGACAGCTTCTAATGAGTTCTTGTCATTGGCGGTAACTACGAAGAGTTTCCTTGTTGGTGTATCATCTCTGAGCTCAGCGTCTACCTTTGGTCCTCGGTGCGTGAATGGTACTCGCTCGAGTACGACATGCGCATTCGTGCCACCGAACCCGAAGTTGTTCACACTTACGTACTTCTTATTTTTCGGCCAAGGGCGTTGGCTGACTGGAACCTGTTCCACTCGTTAGACCTTTGCGATTTCCAAACTGTTTCTATCATCTCTTACCTTCATGTTCCACTCCTTGAAGGGGATCTTCTCGTTCGGATGCTTGAAGTCATAATTTGGTAGGATGAAGCCCCTCTCAAGCATCAATGCTGATTTGATAATAGCCACGATACCCGATGCACCTTCTAGATGTCCAATGTTTGACTTGACAGAGCCCAGCCATATCGGGTCCCGAGGCGTGCGGCCTTGGTGAAATACCTTATGGATTGCCGTTGCTTCTATAGGATCGCCTACGCGGGTTCCTGTACCGTGCGCCTCGACGAAACCGCAATCTGCAGGACTGAGTCCCGAATTGTTATATACTTGGCGCATTAACTTTTCTGTACGTTTTGGTAAGCTACACCGACAGTCGGAGGTTTACGGTGATAAAGAAGGTCTACCTTGTGCGTCACCGCACGGCATCGTAATGCCGGGCGTTCTTCCGTCTTGATTAATCCCACTCCCGGCAATGATGGCTCTGATCTGGTCATTGGCCTTCTGCGCTTGATCGAGTGGCTTGATCACGATTACACCGCAGCCCTCGCCACGCCCGAATCCGGTGCCTCTGCTGTCGAAAGAATATGAGCGGCCAGAATCCGAGAAAAGACGCGATTTAGAAAATGAGATCCAAAACTCCGGTAACATATTGAGATGACAGCCTCCAACGATTGCTATGTCAGATTCTCCAGTTCGTAAGCTCTGACATGCAACATGTAGAGCAACCAGACTCGAGGAGCAAGCGGTATCAGTGGTAAAGCTAGGTCCTTTCAAATCAAAGAAGTGAGAAATTCGGTTCGACTGCATTGCATATGCGCATCCTTCGGTTGTCAGTACGGGCCATTTTCATTTAGTCTTCTGCGCGTCATACCTGTTGCTTGATGCATCGGTATAGTATCCGGGTCTCTGAACAAATGAGACTCATATTCAGGGAATGATCCGCCGATGAACACGCCGACGTGTTTTCCAACTATGTCGTGTTTCGGAATGCCGGCGTTCTCCAAGGCCTCGAACGTACACTCTAGGAGCAAGCGCTGCTGCGGATCCATGGAAATTGCCTCTTTCTCCGTCAGACTGAAGAACGGCGCATCAAATGCCGCAAAATCGGTGTTGAGGAAATGTCCCCCGACAGGATTATGACAGCCAGCTTTGCCTGGATTTGGATGCTGGAAGCTCGCCATATTGAATCGCTCTGGTGGAATTGTTGAATAGCCACTTCGTGCGCGAGCGCACAACTCCCAAAATTCTGCTGGACTAGAGACATTGCCAGGGAGCCGGCATGCCATGCCAACTATCGCGATAGGCATCGCCTTAGGTACTGGCGTCAGTCCATTGCTGTCGCCATTATGAGCTATGTACCCATTACTGTTGCCGTTGGGAGTCGTGTCGTGTCTATTGGTATACGTCGCTGGGCCGTGAGGTTGCCCATGAGGTCCAGAGCTCCCGTTAATTGACCCGAGATCTTGGCTGCCTGCAGTGACGTCGCTGTGCTCATGCGCCAAGCCGTTCACGTTCCCATTGACTATACCAGTAGCCTCTTCCCTGGCATGAGTCGCCGAGCCTTCGCTATCCCCGTTACTCAGACCGTTCGCATAGCCATTGATGGCCCCTGGAGCCATAGTTATAGGGTTGTCTTCGACCTTAATAGGGTGACAATGGGCTCAAGAAAACCATGAGAGGGTGATATGTCTTTTATGCCACCCATATGGCAATGAACTTGACAGTTGCTCCCGAGAAATGACCCCTTCTGACAAGGAGGGCTTAAGAGATCTTATGAATAATCACCTAATATCCGGAAAGCAAGAAGATCTTTCCGCGCTGAGAACGGAGTAGAATTCTGAGCCTTAGGGGATGATCCCTGCGAGATCGTCTTCTATTTAATTAGATTCCAACCGGCTGTTGCTTCAAGGTAAGTTCTAAGTGTCCAATCTAGATGACTGCTTGTAGCTACGGGCCGTCTAAACTTACTGTCTCAGTCGAATATCATCCTCAGACGCTCTCCCTTAGGTCCGAGACACCGGCAACGGTATCTACAAGCGCCGACTGGTAAGCCGACTCGGCGCCATCAACTCCAGCTTACCTCTAGCCAAACCAGCGGCAAGTTCCACATTGGCTTGAAATCTGCTCATGATTCTTCGTGTACGACTTGGTACCACGCGGCGGTGGATCTGCCGTGGAAGCATCCGCACCTATTTATTGATATTGCTCCAACCAGGGTCGTTATTGATTGAGCCATAATTTCGTATTGCAAGGTTAGGCCAACATGGCGTTGGGAAATGATGGGCAGCGATGGTCAGTGGGATATAACATGATAAGCTATAAACACCGAGCTGGACATCCTGATAGGTACATGCATGTGATTATGGGTCGCGGCATGAACAGTAGCCTCACGCAGGGTACTCTTAAGAATCTCAATCTAGGCAGATTAGCAGTTCCCCCCGGTTCCATGCATCGGCAGTTTATGCGTGTCAGTGTCAGACTTCCCCGTCCAATGTGGGAGAAAGAGCTTGCAACTCTTTGAGAGTAGGCGATTTTCTCGGGCAAAATGACCATGACTGCGCTGGGACTTGTATTAGGATAACATTTCCGGCGATGGAATTATAAAATTACCTAGGTGGTATTTTATCCGGCCGTTTTCCAACCGTGCTTTATCCAGCACCCGAATCTTCCTGGCATTATATCCGGTACTCGGGCTACCGAATTTGGAGGCTGCCTCTTTGCTTTTTGTTATCGTGGGCAGATGGGGTGTCATTTACATGCAACTGATTGCAAGCCAATCAGCCATGGAAATGGTTCACTGCAGATGTGGCTTTGGCCAGACTGTTGTTTTCCTTCCGAAAAGGGTAATAACCGTAGTTGATGATTAAGGCGTACGATTGTCAATGCAAGTGATTGTAATGTCGCATTCCGGTGCAAGACATCACATCACCTGTTGTCACCTTGATCTAGACAAACTGTCTTCTTTATAACGTATATCACTTTAAGCGGGCATGTGTTCGAATTGCAGTGTTGGTGAGCGCATCTCAACACAATCGCCTTCGTCTTAGTATGCTACAGCAATTCGGTAATTATAGCAAGCCCTAAGATCTAGACCATGAGGTTCTTATGTCTTCCAGGCGCATATGGTAGCGCAGATGTGAGTTTACTTGGCCCTCAGACACTCAATGCAACACTAACTGTGAGGCAGAAATTTCAAGTTCAATTAGGTATGAGAGTTTACGAAGGTTACAGCTAAGATAATTAGTCTGGCTGACACTTTGTCTCAGCTCCTCTAGTAAATGAGCTGCTTTCTGATGGATCGGCATCTTTTCGATTCATAAACGCTCCATGCGAGGCCGTCCCTCCGAAAGGATTTGAGGACTTCTTTGGCAAGCCCCCGTATTACCGATTCATTGAGCCAGATGAGAAAGAAACTGAAGATACCGATGTCCTCTCACGTATTCGTGATTTCCCAGAATGCGATACGGCCGAGGACACAATGCGGGAACTATTCAAGGAAGGTGTGGCAAGCAGCGTGTTGAGCACTAGGAGAGCGATCGAGTTCTTGCTGGACATTATGAAGAAAGAAGGCCCATTCGAAGGCATCATCGGCTATTCTGAGGGTGCTACGGTTGCAGGTACACTACTTCTCGCCGAACAAGAGCTTTTCAAGAAGACTGGACGCCAACCCATGATCAAATGCGCCATCTTCTTTGCTGGCTGGCCTCCGCTTGACCCCACGACATATTCTATGGTCTTATCAGACGAGTCTGATACTATGATTGGCATCCATACATGCCACATTAGTAAGTGAATCTAAGAGACTAATTTTGGGAGATTGGCAATTGAGTTCGGTTTTAGTTGGCTCTCTCGATCCTTACGTAGCTGGTTCAATGGCTTTGTACAATACATGCGAGCCTGACTACGCTCACATCTTTGACCATGGCAAAGGGCACACATTGCCCAGGGAGAAGGCTGTTATCAAAGAGCTTGGAGATGTGATTCGTAATATGATAGCAGAGGCGTCGTGAGGGACTACAGGGGGCTTCGGGGCAAAGATAGGGGCGTTCGATAAACAAACCACATTATAGACAGAACATCTTACTCGTTTCACATTGTTATCAGAGCTGAGCTGCAACACTCGTGTTCTGAGAAGACACGTAATTTTGAATGAGATATGTCAGGCAAGCGGCAGAGCACCACGGCATGAGATATGCATAACAAAGAGCAAATACACCGATGTAGCCCCTTTAGGCCGCGTCATGTCGATCCATACTAGAATTGCTATGAAACCTGGTATTGAACAAGAACAGCACATGATGCAGGAACCGGCCGTAAGGATGGTTACAGCGGGAGGGGTTAATATATCTTTGGTTCTGGCTGGGACTTAGCGGAGCCGGCTTCCGGTCATTCGAGTTTATCCGTTGCTCGACGTATCGTGTGAGACGCCACCCTGGCATTACTAGTAGCCATCTTCAAGAACCCAGGACCGCTATGTTCCCCCCCCTCCCTTGCTTTGATCTTGATCACTTGCAGGCCTAATATGTGAAGTGACACTTTCTCGGATCAACCATTGTCCTTTGGTCCGGCGCTGCAGGGAAGGAAGTTCACAAGCCAAATTAGTCACCCGCCTCGAGATGGCGCAGGATTTAACCGGAAGCCAAGAAGAGACGTTACACCAACAGCTACAGCAGACCAGCCCACTTGGTTTATCACAAAATCGAGGTTATCGCGGCAATAACCCTTTACCAAGTGTCTCATCAGTATCATTACATGATCCTGCGTCAGGCATGACACAACCTGCCTCAGTACCGCCCGGGGGGAATGAGTCTAGCACCGACCTTCTAAGTGCCCCGGCACCTTTTGCGGGGGGTACCTCATTGGCTTCAAGGCCATCTATAGTGTCTCTTGATGAAACTGACAAGGCTTCAAGCAGCGCTGAGCCTCGCCGCACAATATCTGTCAAGCCATCACTAGCTTCACTACCCGAATCTCCAGATGCTTCACAAGGGGCAAGATTATCGCCAATTCAGTCGCCAACTACTGTACCTAAAGTAGTACCCGCATCACCAGCAAAAGCTGTCAAGTCAACTACTGTGCCCCTGGCCCCAGCACATGATCCGGGAAAGTGGCAGACCAGAATTAGAGGTTATAAAAGGTCTTTTGGGGATTTCTTTGTAAGATATCGTTCAGTATTACCGTAATCTGCGCTCACAATTTTAATAGAGAATCTTCTCCTATTCAACATGGAAGGACCGTCTATTTCTGTGCCTGTCTGTTACAGCGGCACTTGGTGCAGGTGCTGCATTTCCTATAATGACTATCATCTTCGGTTAGTGCGGCATTTTCACTATAGATTTCGAACTGTATTAATAACTATAGGGCAATTGATCGGCAACATCGCATCGGTGAGAGGGACTACTATCCAACAGGCGCAAGATAGCTATCGGCATCTCATAAGTGAATATGTGTAAGTTTAAATTAGCTTGAGAACATTAGCTACGGGGTTGACACAGCTTCTCAGACTTTATCTGGTGTATCTCTTCATAGCTAGATTCATCCTAGGATATATCGCGACTGTGAGTGTGTAAACTTACCAAAGGAATATCCCTCTACTCACAAATCACAGCTAGGATTTCGTATGTTGAGTCTTCGTATATCATCAGCATTACGCTTAGTATACGTGAAAACTCTCCTCGAACTCCCTGTCTCTTTACTTGACAACCAACCCCCTGGTCAGATCGCAGCCATCGTTACAACCACTGCCAACACACTACAAATAGGCATTTCCGAGAAACTAGCTGCGGTTCTTCAGACCTTGTCATCGATAGTCGCGGCTCTCGTAGTAGCTTTTACTCACAGTTGGAAATTGAGCCTGGTGACAAGTAGTGGAATCCTTCTTATTACAATATGTTACTGTATCACTATCCCGTTCCTGGTGAGGAACATGAAGCAGGTCGAAGATGCAAATATCAAGGCATCAGCCATAGCTAGTGAAACTTTCACATCGATAAGGATGGTTGCTGCCTTCGGTGCCGAATGGAAGATGGTACAGAGATATAGGAAATGGGTGGATGAAGCCAGGCGGAGAGGGCTTCGGCTGTCAGGGATTGTCGCTGTCCAACAAGCAACGAGTAAGTTTTGCTGCCAATTAACTCGAAAAGGGGTTGACAAGTGGTATAGTTTACTTCAGCGTCTACTCGTAGGTCCCCGCCTCAATCTTGTATCGCGCTGGGCACTGACCTTGCGTCAGGACATTCGCGTTGGCATTTTGGTTTGCCGTGAAGCTACTCAATAATCACGAAATCGAGAATGTTGGAACTACAATCATGTAAGTGTTCTGAGTATCGCGTACTACTACTGCTAATCAACTCATAGTGTCTTGATGTGTGTTATGATACTCGCGATAGGTGTCGGGGGAATTGCGGCACCAATATCTGCTGCAGCGCGGGCCGCCGGGGCAGCTAGGATCTTGTTCAACGGCATTGACGCCCCAAGGCCAGAGACCACAGGCCTTAAACATCCCGAGGCCTCTGCTACAGGTGACATCATTTTATGGAATGTCAATTTCACGTATCCAACGCGACCGAACCTTAAGGTTCTTGATAATCTTAATCTGATAATTCCCGCTGGTAAGGTGACAGCGATTGTTGGGCCTTCGGGTTCTGGGAAGAGTACCATAGTGGCCTTGATTCAACGCTGGTACGAGATGAACGGAGACATGGGCGATAAGAAGCTGGTAAGCGTTCGTCGGTATTGCCGATATAAACCGAACTGACTTTATTCCAGATCCTATTTTTTCGCAATGGCTCTGTCACGATCGGCGGGCGTAAGCTTACCGATCTTGACCTGAAGTGGTGGAGGTCTCAGATTGGCCTTGTTCAGCAAGAGCCATTCCTCTTCAATCAGACTATCTTCGAGAACGTAGCATCTGGATTGGTGGGAACAGAATGGGAGAATGTCGACGATGCTGCTAAGAGGGAGTTGGTCCAAGCTGCCTGTAAAGAAGCTTATGCTGATGAATTCATCTGCAGACTACCGGATGTAAGTGATTTCCCACTCTAGATGAACTTGACACTAAAATTGACATCGTGAAAGACATATGAAACACACGTAGGGGACGCTGGTATCAAACTGAGTGGTGGCCAGCGTCAACGTCTTGCAATCGCCAGGGCAATAATCAAACAACCTAAGATCTTGATTTTAGACGAAGCGACGAGCTCAATCGATGTTCGCGGGGAGAAAGTGGTGCAAGCTGCGCTAGACAGGGTTTCCAAGAACCGCACAACAATCATGATTGCGCATCGACTAGCAACTGTTAAGAAAGCGGATAACATCGTTGTACTTGCTAAAGGGAAGGTGGTTCAATGGGGGAATCATGATAGCCTCATGGCCGCTGTTGGGGGCCCCTATTGGCTACTGACTCAATCTCAGGAGCTGAAGATGGGCGAAGACAGACATGCTGACGACACCTCCGAAATCACCGAGGAAGATGAACGGGCGATGGACTTAATGACGCTAGACAAAAGCACTGGCAATGAAGAAGAGGGTAATAGTGTAGCTGCTGAGGAGACTATGTGGAAGCACAGAGGTATCTTTCGAAGCTTCGGCACTCTACTATTAGAACAGACGCAAAACTTGCCTTGGTATTTACTCATGCTCTACGGAGCGCTCATTGCTGGAGGTAAGCTATCTTTCCCTACCCTATTCACACAACTTCCTGATAACGAAAAATGAAGCCAGTCCGCCTGTACAGGCTTATATCTTTGCCAATCTGATCGCTTCATTCGCGTTCTGGGGCGAGCTTCTAAGGGAGATAACGGACTATTGGTGTCTCATGTTTGTTGTGTTAGCTACTGCTGCTGCTGTCGGCTATTTCTGTCTCGGCTTTGCATCCACCAGAGTCGCATTTGTGAGTATCTAGAACACACATGCAAGCCATCTTCATCTAACTATCGAAAGCATATAACATCTGCATATCGTCTAGAATATTTCCATAACATCGTTTCGAAATCGGTAGCATGGTTTGACGGCGACGGTCGTTCTGTGGGAGCCCTGACTGGTCTTGTGGCTACTGATGCCACACAACTGCAGCAACTGCTCGGGACAAACATAACGTTCACAATAATCTCAATACTGAGCGTGATTGGGTGCTTGACGATCTCATTCTACTTCGGCTGGAAGCTCACCTTAGTCGCATTCTCATCCGCGATGCCCTTAGCTCTCGCCGCCGGATTCTATCGCATCCGAGTGGAAAAGCGATTCGAGATGATGAATCTCAAAGTTTTCGCTGAAAGTGCTAAGTTCGCTACCGAATCAGTGGGAGCCATTCGAACCGTCACATCTTTAACCCTTGAGGACACCATTGTTCGACAATATCAAGAGTTGCTTCATAATCATGTCAAGGAGGCCTTCAAACAAGCGCGATTTTCCACGTTGATTTTCGCTGCTAGCGATAGCCTCCCCTTACTGGCCATGGCATTTGTTCTATGGTAAGCTACACTATCGCTCTCTACAATAGCCCATACTAATGCGCATATAGGTATGGCGGGACGCTTCTCATTAGCGGAGAGTACATGACTTTCAATTACTGTGAGTATTCCATGATATGGTTCATATATGAACTGATCATTGCTGACCATGACTTAGTGGTTGTATACATAGCTGTTGTTCAGGTGAGCATACCTAGAGGCTGTCTCTAAGAGCTCGGAGCTGATGATCATCAAGGGTGCAATAGGAGCTGGCCAATGGCTCAGCTTTGCTCCTAGTAAGTTGTTCTCGCGTCGACTTAGTAATTCACCATTAACATGTTCCAAGATATCGCAGATGCGGCAGCAGCAGCGAATCGAATTCAAGCAATGAGGATACCTGATCGAGCTGATGGCCCTGGTACTGCACTAAACTTCAATACTACTGACGATGCCGACAGAGGCGTCCGGATTGAGCTACAGGATGTCTGGTTCAAGTACCCTACAAGGAACGTCCCAGTACTCAATGGCTTGAATATTACCGTAAGTTCGCACATTATCACAGTGCTTGAAATGAGGTTAACAGCTATAGATTGAGAAAGGACAGTTTGCTGCCATTGTTGGCCCTTCCGGTCAGTCCCAGCCTCATCGTTACATGAACACTGTTAATATTGTTTCACAGGCTGCGGCAAGACTAGTATTATTTCACTCCTAGAAAGGTAGGGTCTCAGTGGCGTTACCGTTGAAAAGTGAAACTCAAATATACTAAGAACATCCAGATTCTACCAAGTCACTTCAGGCCAAATCACTTTCGACGGAGCTGAGATCAATAGCATTGACCTTGCCGATTATCGCAAGGCAATATCCCTAGTAGCTCAAGAGCCCTCGCTGTTCGATGGAACGATACGTGAAAACATCGTTCTCGGGGTAGACGCCGACACAATTGCAGAAGATACCCTGCATCAGGTCTGTCGTGACGCCGGGATACACGACTTTGTTATGTCGTTACCAGACGGCTACAACACGAAAGCAGGAATTAAAGGCATACTACTATCAGGGGGTCAGAGGCAGCGAATTTCCATCGCGCGAGCACTTATCCGGAACCCCCACCTCCTGCTCCTAGATGAAGCGACATCGAATCTGGATTCGGAAACGGAAAAATTGGTCCAGGCCGTCTTTGAGCGAACGAAGAAAAGTCGGACTATGATCGTGGTGGCTCACCGGCTCGCCACTATCCAGAATGCTGATGTGATATTCGTGCTAGGTGATGGCCAAGTTCTTGAGACTGGCACGCACATTTCCTTGCTCCAAAAGCGAGGCGTCTATTATAGTATGGTATGTTATCGTACCCTGTCGCGCGCCACCATGATATGCATACTTATCAGTAAAATAGTGTCAAGCACAGGCCTTGGATAGATGATTTATTATCGCCCTGAGCTTCGAAATCCATCGCAGCTAGGTATGGCTATGGGACGATAGCGAGCCCCTGTTGCTATTGTGTCCAGCTAGTACATTTTAAGAAGGCAATAAACAACGCTTTGCTATGCATGAATAGAGACTTAGCAGTACCTGAATGGTGTTGTCAATATGAACAAGTAATGAGTGAACTGTTGCCTCTAAATCCACGTAGTTGTGTAAGGCAGGTAACGTCGCCGGCTAATGGAGGTGATGGAGATGCCGTTTCACCTGTGACACCCCCATGCTGATAGATAGCATCCAGGCACTATGCTGGGGGTTATTCTTCTGCTGGATAAATACACACGGCACATTACTTTTGCCGATTCCGTCAGTTTCCGCCGGAGACACAGAATGGACAGGCTACTACTATAAGGGTTGCTTTAGGCATCGGAATCCCCCACGCAGGTCTTGAAGCTCCAAGGACTATGCAATCCTGCATGGAGTTACTTTTAACTATGAGGTGCGCCCCATGGTATGATAAAAGCACCAAGAGGATTAGACCGTGCATTACGATAACCTGTTCCCGTGATTCCGTTGTTGAATGTAGGCCTCGCCATTGTCAGCCGGAGGAACGATGATGCAATCCGAGATTACAGGGATGGTGTCCCTCTCGACGAATGCGTCGCTGAAGCGAGCGATTGCGCGCACCATCGCTTCCAACCGCGTCAACGGTCCGAAGTAATGCCGCGATACAGCATATGAGTCCAGACTGCGAATTGGTCCCTACAATTCCTGCTTAGGGATGCCGGAGCAAGGGAGATGGACGATATCGACATCTTCCAGCAATTGCCGTTCACGAGATCCGAATAAACTCTTCATCCGCGCTGCCTACCATTTCGCCGTACATGACGCCGTCAACCCAGGCCTCGCCGATAAGTTCATAGCCAGAAGTATTCAGATAGCTATGAGGTTTCCTTATGAGGAATGGCGTCTGTGAGCCGAACGGGATAATCACGGAGTCACCGACCCTCGTCAATGGTGGCACTATACACAGACGACCAGACCTCGTGATAGCGATCCGTCTCCCGAAACAAGCCTCCAAAACACTATACTGGTAATAGTCGTCCGTTCCATCAATAATGTTGGCCTCGGCGTCGCCAAGCTCACCGTCCTTGAACCGCTGGCTGTAGTGAGCGAGGTTTTTCGAGCTTGCCAGGATGTCTAAATTCTGTAACCAGTACCGAAACGCCTTCTCATACTTCGCGTCCGCAGGCTTTCGCTCGATGCGCCCGGAAATCAGCGTCCACCACAATCTGTTATATGTGGTTATCTCGGGCATAGCGGATGACTTAGGATGCTTTTCGCAAAGATCTATCGCAGCGTATACCCATTTATGTAGTTTGGGGAGCAACTTAAAGGCATCTGCCAAGTCGAGATCGCGCAATCCCCAGTCTAATGCCCCGGCCTCACTGATATCTAGCACTTGATCGATCGTAATGGCCTTTATTATGAAAGAATTCGTCTCGAGATCGAGCCGCGTATCTTGGGCATGACCGCCGGAGGCCTTGAAGTTGATATCCCGATCAAGGGTATTTGCGTACGGATAGCATGCGCGCTTCTCGCTAAAGTCGGGGACCCATGACGGCATCTTCATGGGACGCTCGCAGAAGCCAGTTCCTGCTAACGCTAGGATATGGATTGTCTTGCGACCTGGAGGGTAAGAGAAGACACATTGCGCGGTCTTCTGGAAAACTTGCTCTACGGGCAGACTATAGTCCGGGACAGTAAGCTCTGGGTCGCCGGCATTCCTCGCAATCCCTATCAAACTGAACACTTTATCTCGGGGATCCGTTGTTCGGAAATTGGCTGTGATTAGAAGCAGGTTCTCAAGATCAATCATGTTGTGGTTGTCGATATTTGTGTAGTCAGCCCAGATTGCTCCTGTGTCTGGGCGAAGGATGGCCATGACAGCAACATTCTCAAAGGTCTGACCTGTTCGCCATATACGTCTTTCCTTGTCCTCGCTTGCAGATAGTAAATGTCTCCGCTTTGATTCTGAAGTAGTGATGGTCAGTTTGGTTATGTCTACATCGTATGGGTATGTACAAGGCAGAGAGCAGCTTGACTCGTTCCACTTACCGAAGCACCAATTCATGACCCTATAGTAGTAGAATGTCAGCATCTTCTAAAATATATAAGTACTAGTGCTGCGACAAATGCATTGAATTGGAGCAATACTGAAGCACGCGAGGTAAATGGGACTTACTCAAAAAATGCCAGCCAAGGGACATATATCCCGCCCAGATAGACTTCCACCCTCTGCCCTACAGCAACCTCTTGTATAATCCAAGCGCGAGTAAAATACTCACTGCTAAACAAGTCTGCCATGGCCCTCCATCGTGGCGACCGTGCTTCGGCAGGTGTCCCTGACCAATTCATCTTTTGAGTTTCATACTGATGAACAAGTGCCCACTACAATATCGAGAGTCTGTTAGTGCATATGAAAGCATGAGGCAGCAATTCCCATATCACGTCGGCTGGTGTATTAGCAGTACTCACAAGTTGAAGCACAATCCCTCCTGCGAGTCGAGATCTCCAATTTCCGCCCGGGAATGCAATGACACGCGAGGCTCGGTGGTAAATGTCGCGCATCAAATGTACTTGCTCGGTCTTTTCTTGCATGTCTTTTTGGTTGATGCAGATTGCGTCAATCCAGAGCGTTCGGTCTTTCCATACCGAGCGGCGCGCGAGGAGCAAGTCAAAAGCTGCCTTAGTGACTGGGAAGCGACATCCGTCAACGAGTATTTCTTTCGTTGACTCGGGCGATCCCCAACAGTATGATACCGCCTCGTAGTCTGGAGGCGGATAAATGGGCTGGTGAACTATTTTGGCCTGTATAACGCTGGGATACAGCGGTGATTGCTTCAGGACGAGAAGTCTGATCTCTCCTTTGTTTAGAGGCTGATATTGGTATGTAGGTAGGTTCGCCCGTTCAGGACGACCCTGTTGGTATGAGGACCACTTGTGCTGTAGATATTGAGGAAATCGCTCTACGACCTGTGCTTCTACATAGTCGAAGGCATCCCAGGCGTGAGAAAAGAATAGGAACATTGAAGTATTCACTCGTTGAAACGTGCGGGCTAGTGGTAGCTTTTCTCGGAAATAATACAGCGGGGCGCCAACACACAGCAACGGCAACCCTACTCTGAATGAAATCCATTTTATCATCCTCCAAATCAACGGACGATGAGTCAGAGAATATGATGTGATAAAGAAACCGATTGCCGAATCTGTGTAGGCGTCGTATACTTTATTTACCGCATTCCTCGGACCATCGACCTGCATCGTGAGATACCCCCAGAGAAGAAGATTCAGACCATGACCAGTGAGGCAATGGTATATCACTGGAGGGTTACACATTAGTAGTTGACTCCTTATAGTTTATCGGGCTTTTGACCGATCGGCGTGTGATAGGAATAAGTTTCGATTATGTGCTCTGTGCTAATGTGAAATACAGTAACGGAAGAGCAGGAAGGGGTGAATTACATACTGATGAGCCGACGCTTTGGAGCGTAGACTTGATACGCGACGTTCAAGCTTAGCCATATAGTAAACATCATGATACTACGACGCACCTAATCAGCGAATATTCCCTTCTATGGACCCCTTATGCGAATGTCTAACACATACCGAGTTTTCCAAGATGTTTCGGCCAAGGCCTTATCCGACCGCATTGCCCGGTACAGGAGATCGCCTGTCACATAGGTAGACTTGCACCACGACGGCGTGACCCAATCGAAAATGAAAGTTACCCATGCCGTAAAAACACCATTGAAAAGGGCGCCAATACGCTCGCCGAGCAAAGAAGCACCATCTGTGCAATCACAAAGTCAATATTCGTCATATAACGCTGAGACAAAGAGACGATAGTTTTGGCAAGCATGCAAGAGTGAGTTAACATAGATCTTGTTTCATCGGCTGAATCTCCCATGGTAGGTATGAAATCGGATAGGGAATGTAACATACGTTGACTAAGATTGCCCATTTCAAAAGATTGCCGTTCAATTGGAGACCGAGATCGTCATCACAAGTGTATACGATCATAGGGCAGCAGGAGAGCCATATTAGATATAGAGACATCGCTCAGTAAGCTCGACGTCAACTACATGTGTTAGCGGAGACCAACTACGCTATGCTGTAAGACTTCACAAAAGGCCCGTTTTAGGTGCTACAACGTGGCGATGATTTGTCAGGATAGGAACCTCGAAATGAGCGTAGCGTGGCAGTGCCGCACTGCCGGAGCAGATTGGGAATGGGTCGTCACTCATGACTGATGTGGAAAGACATCACACGAGCAGCAATCATCAAGGACAACCTGTTTCGCATACCGAGCGACTGATTGAAGATGGACTTTTGGATTCTCATATCTAACAAGTCTGTATGACCCTGACCTCCTCATATGCAGCTAAGGAGCGCGCAACTACGTCCCGAGACTCAGCTGAAGATCACCCCCTCTTCGCGATCCATTCATTACCCCTCCACTAATTTAGGCTGCCTCCTCGCCAAGCGCATCGTAGGGCGTCTTGTCGTCGACCGCCCTCTGGCGAGCACCTCCAGCGCCTGCGCCGAGCGAGTTGGCTTGGCTAAACTTCTGCTCGGCCAAGAGGCTTGGGTCATCTTTCGAGCCGATCTCCGCCGCGAAGCTAGCGTTCTTAGACCTGTCTTCCGTCCCAATGCTGTTGTCCTCCGTGATATTCTTGCCGTGCGGTCCGCTCGGGTCGCGGCGGTATTGGCTATTGACGTATGTCGGGGCAGCCTGAGCGTCGCTGGTGCCTGACTCTCGGGGCATGGATCCCTGGGTATAGGCTGTAGAAGAACCAGGGGCGCGGGCAGAAATTGATGCGCCCTCAACGCGGTTGGCTTGACGGAAAGCTTCCGACTCGGCTGCTAATGAGTCGTTGATGGCACCGGGGCCTTCCTGTGTCACTGGGGCGTTCCGGCCCGTCGTAACTTTAGTGCCTGCGCTTGGCGCTTTGTGAGACATCGTGATTGTAGGTGATGGTGTTATCGTAGATCGTAGATGGTGATAGTGAGTTCTTTTCCAACGATTAATACGCACGAGAAGTGTAAGTTTTAGATTGTATGGAATTGATTTTCCTTCACAGTACTTCATCTATCTATATATCTATACATCCATAGGTGCCAAGGGGGGCGTCCTAGTGTCATTGACGTTGTACCAAGCTCTCCATGCCTTGACGTCATGAAAAGAGGTGGACGTCAGAACGGCACACCGATGACTTCATGAAGCAATGGATCAATTCCCAACAAGAATAATTTTCGGGAACACTGACCTGTACCAAATCGTACCAACAGCGTATTATGGATCTTGTGGAGGCAGAATTTCATACTTGATGAGGCACATTCAGGGTAGCTTTGCAGCGAGTTCTAGGGTATCGCAGCATTGATGTCGGAGCACGCTGGTTGCCTCGAAGTTGTGATAACGGACCATCTGCTCCGTGGTGCCAACGAATCATGGCCACCACGTCAACTTTTACCTACTACTGGTAGATACGCGTGATATTTCTGTACTTCATTTTAAACTTACTCATAAGTTTTTATGTTGCTGCTATTTACGACCAAATAGTCTAACCTAGCATTGAAATGGTGATGGGAGTTCACCCTCCTTCGACGCTCTGATCAAAGCCACGATCGTCGCATATAGTCCGCCAACGCAAATGAAGGCACCTGCAAGGAGTGTAAAAACGTTGACGGCTAACATTACAGGCTTTCGGTACCATCCTCGAAATCCTCCTTCGAAATAAAATGTGTCATGGAGCCAGAAAGCTCCAGCGAGACCATATGTATACCACGAGGCGAAGAGTGCAGCGCTGATCCCGACAAGGTAGTTGAAAGTCGGTATACCAACAGCGAATACGAATGCTGCACCATTTGCAAGGAGGATCAGCACTGTCCAGACTCCCCATCCCAAATAGGTGTGACTGTGGATATGCTGAGTATGCCTGAACAGGCGGACAAACACAAGTTTAGACGCCGTGTGGCTATAGAGGCTTCCTGCAATGAAAAAGTTCGGAATAGCGAGGCCAAATGAAATCTTTGAGAAGAGCGGACTCAAACTTAGAAGGCTAGGACTAGAGATCCCTGACCCGATGTACCAGTACGATACGACTGCGAAGACAACATATAATGATGTTGCAACTATCTGTAAGACATAAGCTGCTTTCATCGCATCTTGCGGCCTCTTCATTTCCGAAATCAGGATGAAGAACATAAAATGACCGGCGTAGGCAAATACAGGGTTCGTTATGCTGACTTGGACAAGTGATTAGCACTTCTTCTTCTGATACAAATCGATGCCTCTAGTCTGACGTTTGAGAAGTCTCTTGGTGGGCGATCCGTGTACGAGATTAGTCTTGGTTGGACTCACTGAAAGCAGACGTAAAGTCGCTCGCCACAGCAATCTGAATGTCACCCGGCCGGATAGGCATGGCACCAGCGCCGGCTAGCGCAACAATTCCCGCGACGATGATTGACACGCCGCCTACGATAGACAGAAATCCGAGGCTATCCAGAGTCCGTGGGATACTCGCAAGTGTCACAGCAACGGCGAAAATGCCCGCAAACGCGACTGTGCAGAGCTTTTGGTCGGAGAGCACGCTCAGCGCAAGCTGACCAGCGAGGATTTGGCTCCCGGTCGCAAATACAGCGAAGATGATAGTGCCGGCGCTGAGGATCTCTCTCCCCACAGGACCGAAGATAATCATTCCCGCATCGCCCATGTTGTGCACTTAATGGACAGTCAGATCAGAGAAGCTCTTTGATTCGAAAAGGGGAGGAATACTCACCTTCCGGGTGCCGTAGTTTGAACTGTATCAAGACCCACGAAGTGTAAGTCGCAAAGACCCCGAGGAAGACGATGACGATGACTCCGGGGACAACCCCGACGGCGGCCAAGCTACTGGGTAAGCTCAGCATGCCGTTGGACACGATCTCCGTTATCATGAGGACGGCAACGAGCGGCCAGCTCAGCGTCTTGTATTTGATGTCGTGACCGTCTTCACTCCCGAATACATCGCCAGGACTACCCATACCAATTGCCGCTTCATCGTGAAAGCCGTGCGCATCTTGAGAGCTGCCACTGAGCTCACGCCCGTTGCTCTTTTCGTCAACAGTGTGTCCTGGGTGGTACGTGTTATTTGACATCGCAATTTTAATATTGAATGAAGTGTATGTCGAGATTACTTTGCTACACTATATCCTCTGCGACCCAGAGGCGTGGATGGGGAGACATATCGGCCAGGAAGGGTAACATTATGTCTTCCCCTGATAAGCACTACGTCTCACCAACTGCATCTCGTGCTAGGTACTCCATGATATCGGGCGGGGATTGACTAATGTAGGAGGTCGTCGCATCACACCAAGTAGCCGTCGTATTGGTCTCTTTTGGCCAGGGATGACGATAACGAGGTGCTGTTTAGGGCCAATGATCAGCCTGTAGACATTCACTAAGCACTAATAAAGTCTAATTAACTTCAATAACAAGTGTTTCAAGCCGTATCTAGTTACTCGTTCGAGATCAGCTCTCAGATGTAGCTATTATTACCGAGAATATGGTCCACAGATAAGTGGCGACCCCGCGACGTACTGAAGGACTACCGGTACTATCAGATGCGTACGGCAAGCTCCGAGCATCGTGCATGGGATTTCAGGGTCCGCCTTGGTATGCCAGCGGCCAAGAGTCATCTGTGGGAAACCGGATTTAAAGACGCGTGCTGGCACTCTTGACGTGCAACGACGAGCAACCACCAACGTTTTTCTCTAGTAAGGAATGCTGACAGAATCACTATCATATAGTCAATATTGACTCAGGCGGCGAACAGTTCGGCACAAGTGCTATGGAAGGTGTAGTTGAACGGTCCTTTACCATAAACATTTTGACTAAAACTAGATGAAGCCTCTTTGTTTCTATGAATTATCGCTGATGAACGTGATGCTACACGTTACCCTCTACTCGTTATAGCGATCCAAGAACTTAATGACTTTCCGTCCTGTGACACTTCGCTCGAAGCCGTCCATGCTCTCAACGAATTTCAACTGAAACCTGTGGCGATTCATGTCGTAGACATGAAGGAAACCAGTGACTCGGTCCGCGATAGTCTGTCTCACCGACGAATCTTCATCATCTCGCGCGGCACAGAGGATCCGGACCTCCAGCGACGACTCTTTAGATTGCGCCATAGTGTCCAGGATTACCTGCCACTGCAGAACCGAGCTTTCTGCATTCATGATGGCTGCCAGGCCTTCGAACTCAATGTACTCGCCGTCCCAATCGAAACTGAACCGGCGGTCGCGGCCCGCGAGACGGAGAACGCGGAGATAGCGCCACTCCGTTTCTGATACCAAGTTACGTGCGTGGTCGGGAAGGGGATGAAGGGATCCAATGTCCCCAGTCACATAGCGCACAAGCGGATTTCTCAGACGAGTGAGGGAGGTCTGGACGACCATTCCCTGTTCGCCCTCGGGCAGAGGGTCATAGGTAATACCATCGTCCTGTTTACAAGTAGCTGGGAATATCTCGATCAAAGTTGTGCGCGTATCGAAGATGAAGTCGGCAGAGCTCTCTCCGGCAATGTGTCCCGTTAAATCGGGATTACTAGTACACCAAGGGCCGGCCTCTGCGCTCGCAAACAGCGAGCATATCTTGACCTGACCGAGAATCTGTTTGATGTGCGCCCGTTGCGCCGAAGTGAGCATCTCGGAGGTGTAGATGATCTTGTCTATGTTGATCTTGTCACGCTCGTCTCTAGAAAGCGTTGAGATGTAGTGCACAATCTTTACAACTTGGCTGCTATCACCTGTCAACACGTTAACATGATACTTGGCAAGCAAGGCAGCAACTTGGGCCGCTGGCATATGATTGCCTCCGCTAAGTACCGATGCCCCGGCATTCTCTAGGACCTCGAGGACAAGGTCTAGGGATCTGTTAAATGGTCAGCGTATTCACTTCTATATAGTACTTAACTGGCTATCTACCTGTATAATTCGCCAGCACTATGCACAGTCAGAATCCAGTCACCAGGAGTGACAATTCCTGCTGCTCGAAGAAGCTGACCATATGTCGCCCTCTGCCGTCTATTCTCGCCCGTGTCAGTAGCGAAGAATAATGGCTTCTTCCCATAGCCTCCACCAGTAGTGCTTGCGTAGATATTGTGACGATACGTGTTCTGGGGGCTTGTATCGTCCACTAGTCTCTGAATGGTGGTATACCTTCGAATCGTTAGCAATCCTCTGTGAGTGCTACGACTTGGCCACCTACAAGTGACTCTTCCAGAGCAAGGGGAATGACTTCAGGTCTTGGTCTGCTGTTTGCTGTGTGGCATTCTTCCTCGCGACTTGAACTGCGGAGGCATCGAGAGGATACCGTGTGCTTGGGTTATAGAAGGGGTGGTCCCTAGCGATAGCTAGCACTTCCGGCAGAGTGTAGACGTCAATATTCATGATGTGCAGTAATATTTACGGCCGTGGGCCTGGTTGTTAACAGACTTGTTAGTTAATGTGGACGTTACCCTTACGTGAGAACTTACTATATCTTGCTATTAATACCCCTGATTAAAATGAAACACTCGAAATTAACTACCATTAGAGAACTAGTGGGAAAATAAGTTTCCTCATACGAACAGGAAAAAGAATCGTTGTGCAGCATACCGTAACACGACATGAATGAATTTCGCCCAAGACAGTTACAGACTTAGCTGAATCCAGGGCTTAGCTGAGTCTGCTGTATCGGACATAGCTGGATCTGTAATCAGCTAGACTTACGACCCATCTTAATTTGCTGAAATTGCAGACTATAACTCGGGCCCCAAATTTTATCAGATCTAATTACCTAAGGTGGCGTTATAGTGAGGGTATTACAGATCAGACATGGGAGAGATCACCGACTTACATCCACACGTTCAACAACATGGACTCTAATGCAACCGCTCAGCCAATAAAGTGAGCGCTACACTAGTAATTCAAGGGATCTAGATTTAAAATGACGCGGTATCTTGTCCGGCGGTCACAAATTATTAACTCTCGTAGTTGAGCTACGTGTAGGTACTTCTAACGATAATACGAAAGGGGCCTTCTTGACTTGAGTACCTGTGCGTGCTTTGTTTCCATTATCCCCGAAATACCAATCCAGGGTACTCTCGCAGTTCGATCTTTTCTGTCTTCTTTATGAGTAACTAATATCTTGAGTCTATTTTGTTTGCTTTTGATGTCGAGGATACCATTGGCTGGTGAAAGCGAGCCGAGACGTTTCTAGTCTAACCGGGTAGTTCCGTGGCCCGCAGCGGATGTTACGACATCTCTCAGCTGCCGTGAGCCTAGCCAGCTTGATCTGCCATGGATCTCGGCAAGCCCACCGGAAGATTTGCGGTAGGTATCATGGCACTGGGACTGATGTTGCATACATGTTGACGGCGAAATCGGCGATCTGCATGCAGTATGCATCTACTTAGTAATTTCACAGTCGAGCGAATGAGATTAGTGCCACGAGGCTGGTATGGCAGAACCAAGCAAAATTTTTTGCATATTCAGCGTGAAAACTGGGAGTAACGTGGCGGACTGAAAGACTGAATGAGGAAGTCCGAGACATCGAACGGTTCTTGTATTAGAGTTTAGATGTAAGGTATCACTAATTACTACATATCGTTTCACGCATGATACTCCGTTCATGTCGTATAACATCGTTGTGCTTCATTACGAACTGACTTATATGATCTGATACATAGGGGTTCTCATAGTGTTCCAGCATGATCACAGCTAGGTCCAGGGTTGTCCCATCAACTTCTCTCTCTCTCTCTCTCTCTCTCCTTCTCTCTATTTCTAGATCATCACCTGATCTAGACCATGATCAGAGTAGTGCATCTACACTAGCACAGAGGTGCTAGGTTCGGTGGTGCTAGTGTAAGTCTCATGCGCGAGGCCAGGAAAAGAAATTGGATCCCAGCGTATACGACGCAGATGTCTTTCTGGGTCTTTGACATCAGTCCGTGCATGTAACCACCGGCGATTATCAACCAACACAATAGATCGGGCAGGCAGTTCCTCTGCTGATAGATGGAGAGTAACTTCTGAGTCGGTTGCGGCGATTAACAGGCTTCTCTTGAGATCTTCCACCGCCTGAGACGAGGTACTGCTCAATGTTGAGATAATATCACCCCTAAATCGCATAACTGACCGACCATCCGAGTCAATCGAAAGAATCCCGCCAATAATGTGGCCTTGCTTATTCTGCTTGTAAAACTCGGGGGGAGTTGCGATCCTGTACTCCGGCAGCATCAACGCGGCTCGGGTTGCCGACGAAAGCCGTTCGCTCAGCCTTTGGACATTCATGAGCGAGAGTATGCCGCCGCCATATCGATCTGGCTGGAGGACTTGAAGGGCAAAGTACCTTGGCGGTGGGTCTTCGTAGCTGCAATCTGTATGCCAGGCAAATTCCTCCATCGTTTCGGAGCGCGCTTGGTAATTGGCGGTCTGTGTGCTGGAAGTACTCGGTCGAACATCCCAGAACCAACCACGGCTGGCACTGTGAGAGATAGGCAGCCTGTGTCCATGGTATTCATGGAGACTTAGGACGAGTTGCTTAAGATACTGGCTGTCGTCGTCGGGGAAGTCAAGACTTATTTTGAGGACTCCTGTGCTTTCTAATATCTTCGAAACTGTCTGGACGTGTTGAGGCTGCGTCGAGCATTCTGGCTGAGATGCTTGTAGTTGAGGAAGTCGTTTCTGGGTTTCTGAGACACTGCTGAATGATTTATGCAGCGACTGAAAGCATTGAGATGGTGGAAGATATCGTAAACTGCACGTCGATGTCAAGAAGTTGACATGGCCAGCTCTACGGCCGTAACGTAACGTTCGGTGCATGGTTTTCATGGTATACGAGATCTCTGGGAAATTATAGGGTGCAAACAATTGTATCGGTGATGTAAACGTGCAGCCACACATGGGCATTTTGTGTCTTATATATTATTGAAAGCGTGGTTGGACAATATGTTATGCGTAAGCTCCGCTTGGGGGAAAGCTGTATAGATTTGTGCATTGAGAAAATGCCCATTGTGATCCGTTCAATGGCCATCAATGTACAAAATCACCAAAGCTCCCCATTCCCATTGAATATCCAAGACATCAGATGCGAGATAAACTTGAGTCACCACATTGACCTGATGTTACACGCGCTGAATACACTGTACATGTCTATCATGCAGATCTCGGTATTTTATTGAAGCGATGGTGCCTGGCCCTAGCTATTACGTGGCATATTGACAGACTCGGGATGTAGACGCTTTTTGCCGACATGAATATACCTTCATCGTCTCTATTAATTATGTCAGATCATTGCGCCGCAGTCCAAGCTTTGGGTGTAGCTGACGAGATATTATGTGTCACAAGGTTGCGTATCATTCAACCCACAGCAACACACATAAACAAGAAAACGGTGAGCGTTGCATCTGATTTAACCTGGAGAAGTGATGCCAGCTGAATCGGGCAATAAAAAGGCGTTCGCTTATTACGCCACTTGGAAACGATAGACGGCGAGCCGTGTCTCAGCCAGCTTGGCCTGTGAAGCCACACTATAAACTTTGGCACGAAGACGAACAAAACAGACAGATCAGGAATAGACCTCAATGACTATACTATTGTGGTAAATTGCCTCGATTTGTCATTTGTATCGCTGCGGTGACGCCCTGTTGAGCCTTTCCATATTCGACTGCAGGTAAAGAATATAAGGATTGAGATTCAGCTAATTGAATGGAGCCCGAATAAACTCCCGCAGCCCGCCAAGACCACTAGTAAGAGTTACCGAAACCTCTATTCCTACCTGGTATAAGTCTACCCGAACTAGATGTCCATAGAACGCGCCGCACTGCATTAGGGGCGATCAAGATGAAGATCCCGTATTACCATACCTAGTAGATGTCAGGCATGTTAACACTTGAGTTAATAGGTTACATAGATCACGGCACCCGTGGGAATTAAAAAGATATCTGAAGACTGCGCAAATTATACAGAATCGCTTTCAGCTACATTTTTAGTGTGCATTTGTATTCGACATCCCAAATGGAGTGCATCTCATCACCTAGGCTACAACAAATTAGGGTTGGGATTGACCATCACCCATCTGCATCAGCTGCGAATGGCTTCGATGCAAAAGAAGCTCATGCCAAAGAACATGCCACATATCAAGATAATCTCTTATCAAAATGCCCTGCTCATCTGTGGTCAAAGGCTTCCTAGTTAGTTCCTTGGAGTGTTCCCCCCAGGCAGGTTTCCTGGAATTACTAACTCGGGCGTGGAAATAGTCGCGCGGCCAGTCCACGCCCAATTCTCGTCACTGAGCATCATCAGCAACGAGTGGAGGCGTTGTCCGAGGCATTGACTACCGCTTTGACCAGCATCGTCAAGAGATGGTGGAGCGACGAAGAAGCGCGATTCTTCGAGCGCATGCCCCTTACAAGAGATGAAGAAGAGCTCCTGAGGGTTAGTCTATTTAGTTCATCGAAGCGATTCTGAGAGTCGGGCGTTGTTAACATTCATCTTAGTGGCTTGACGATCAAGTATCGCAGGGAAAGTTGAAGGATTACTCTGCATGCAGGGGATCTTGGAGACCGGATTTCTTGATCGAAGAGCGCGCGGGGTCTAGGGATGGGGTGGCCATAGAGAACTTCATGATCACGGAGATCAATGCTCGCTTCTCGTTTAACGGGGCCTTTTACGTCTCATATGGGCAGGATGTGCTAGATGAGATGCCCCTGGGACAGTTAAACTTAAGTAGTACAACGACTTCCGCGACAGTGAGTGTGATATCACTATCCAACTCCCCCTATTACATGCTCACTCAGTCTGACGGTATCAGATGCTAAATGGTTTGCGGACCCTCTTCAATCCGACCGTGCCCTTGCACCTCCTTATTGAAGAGGAGGCAGGAATTGACATCCATATGTTCGTTCACGCTGCGCAGGACAAATTCGGGCTTACTCCGCGAATGATCAGGCCATCAGACCTCAGACTAGAACCTAGTCCCGACACGCACAGCGGGTATAAGCTATGCTGCTTAACAAAAGGAGATGGGGCAGGCGAAATGATTCCTCCTCCACCTACATTCGTCAATGACAAAGGCGAGACAGTAGAAGAGATTCTCCAGGTGGGCTTAGAGCTCCGCCAGCACGAGCTCTTTGGTCTGCCGCGGGAAATACTACGACATATAAGCCTCTGCTGCTTCAACGACCTTCGAACCTTGTTACTGGTCCACGACAAACGCATGCTCGGCATCGTGAAGCAGGAACTAGGACGCTTGGTGAAACAGCAGGTATTGACGCCGGCTCAAGCGCGGGTCTTGGATGAAGGCATTGTGGACACATACCTTCCTAATTCACCCCAGCTATCTAGCCTTCTACAGAAGTCGATCTCTGAACCCAGTCTGAAGGACGACTACATCCTTAAGCCGGTTCGAGGCGGGAAAGGAGCGGGTATCATATTTGGGGATGACCTGACCGCCGAGGAGTGGCTGTCTAAGCTCACTGGCCTACTGTCCCAGGCCCCTTTCTTGGGGACGACTTATGTCATCCAACGTAGAGTCAATCATTGCCTGTATGACTTGGTAATGCCTGCGTCGGTGGAGAAGGTGAGATATCCTCTTGTTGGAACGTTCCACATATTCCACGGGAGGTTCTGTGGTCTGGGCATTTGGCGCTCGAGTGCAGAGCGCATTTGCGCCATTAGCTCGGGAGGTTCCATGCTTTGTTCTGTCAGCAGAAGCTTGTGATTGAAGGTGTCGAAGGCTTGTGGTTAAATCATCGACAGAGAGTTTGATGAGTGTTCAATAAATGGTTATCAGGGCATCGTAGTGTTGAAAATACATAGTAAGCATTAAAACAAAGCTACAAGATTGAGCCGTGAAATGTTCCATAACAGTGACTAATCCTTTTGCGATGCCTCGTGTCCTTAATTTGGGGAAGCTTTTCCTATGACGTATTCATTACTACTCTTCATATCCTCGAGGCATCATCTTTATATACATCTCAATATACCTCCAATCTTGATTACCCTTCTCGTTTACGTAAACAGCAGTTGAATATCGTCATCTCCGAGACGTAAGCGCTGGATTTCCTCGCATATTTGTTCCATTCGGGACTTCAAGTCTCTTCGGACTTCATCAGCTTCATCCACTTGGCCTCGACTGCGTAGATGAGACTCCAATCGCTCCATCTTCTCCGCGGTTTTACTGTGAGCGTGGCCGTAAGCCTTGGCGGAAGCCTCAACTGATTCTCGTAGTAGCTCGAGAGCCCTATCGTAGTTCTCCTCAGCCATTGCAATCCCATACAATATCTCGTAGCAGCCACATCCGCTGACGACACGGCCGTCGACCTCAGGTCCATTCAGGACTGCAGAAGCTACTTCGGTGGCCTCTTTGTAGTTTCCGGCGTAGTAGTGTATCCAGGCAATGCGACAACGTAAAGCACCCGAGTGAGCGAGGTTAGACTGGCTGTCTGGCTGGCCCTGTTCGTACTGTTGTAGGTGATATTGGAGGTGACGCTGGAGGGGTTGGAGTTCGCGGAGTAGGCTTTTCACATTAATAATATTTGCCTTGATCACGTCGCGATACCATTCTCCGCTGTAGATGTATGGCCGTGACCCGACATATTTGTGAGCGCCCAGATAATATGTAAACAAGGCTGCTATACAACGAACCATGTTGTCTACCCCCACCGCCGCCAATTTATGGAAAAGGATACTCAGCGGGTGAGTTCCTCCGAGGACGATCTGTGACATCTTGGAGATAAAGCATAGGAAGGCTTTCGCAGCGTTGGTCTCAACATGGGAAAGCGCTATAATAGCCGCGCCGGTAATGTGTGGTGCCGACAAGTCTCGCGAGGTCAAAATCGATTTGTACATGTGGCAGCACATGTCAACTAGCCGTAAGGCTATTGTTTTGTAGCCAAGGGCACATAGCATTTTCGCAGTCGTCATATGTTCGGCCAACTTCTCTATCATGCGTGAACACACGAGTGTGTCACCCGAGGCAGCCGGATGTAAGCACTTGACTGTGCTGTGATACACCTGGGTAAAGCGGAAAGAGTCTTCGGGGGCTTTATAGAAGTCAGGGGCCGCCATGCTTAGTATCGTTGGTTGGGTCTGTAGAAATATAGAGGTGGGCGAAGAGTTGTGTCTCGTGACCAGTGTCTTCTTCATATCGGTAGCGGTCGCTCGCTTGGACAGTTGGCCTCTTTGCGAACATACCCTGCTGTCCCCGACATGTCTGATCTTACGATCGGTCTCGAATCGCTCTGAGAGAACTTTCTTTTGCTTCTTGTTCTTCATGATGTTCCATTTCTTGAAGCGCGTCTTGTACATCTTCCCACTGTTATCGATCACGCACGTTAGAATCATGCAGCCGCGAGGGATATCATGGACGGCGAACTTACGTGGCACGAAAACCATATCTGTCTTCCATGATTTGCTTCACTTCTTCCAACGTCTTCCTCTGACGTATATACAGATCCATGATGGTTGTACGATGTTTGTCCCAGCCATCATCCTGCGCCCAAGGGATCGAGGTTCCTTTCGTGGCTGTCATAGTTACCCTGTATCCGTTTTCTCACAAGACGACGTAGGCAAATAACGTGAGAGAAATTATCACTTCTCTGTTGCTGTTTGTGTGCAGGAGAAGAATCTTCTAAACCCAGTTGTAGAAGTCGATCAAGGGTTTCATGTTCCTAGAGATATATTGACAGATGCAAAGAACACAGAAGGCGATAATCTGACTGGTGTAGGATGCAGTTTTATCAGCACCTTTAGCCAATTGGGGCGAGGGGAGTATTTATATTTATGCACCCTTACGGTATTTGGCAGCTGTGTAGGATTATCCCACTCCCCTATGACATTTGCGCGTACCTCGGGCAGTAACATTAAAGACCATTGCGTAAGAGACCGGGGGTTCGATGTGAGATCGCCGTGGCCCGGCTGCGACAAATACCGGTAGCATACTGGGCACACTGGGCATAACAGCACAAGAGGAAGTAGGGGTATGATTGGGGGCGACTTCACGTAAGCTATGCCGGCAGGCAGCAATATGCCTACATTGTGCCTACATTATGCCTACATTATTATGCCTACATCAATAATCCAAGACGCGGGCGGGGCTATTTGTAGGTCCTGTGGGTGGCATTTTGGAGACGGCTTGTGTAACACACCGTTGAGATCATTACATCAGTAGCCGTCGCTTGCAAAGTGCGTGGCGTAGTAAGCGAGAACTCCTTTGGAACCATTCAGTGCGTGCCAGCAGAGTACCAGCATCGACATCTCCAATGTGCCATGCTAGGTATGCTCCGAAGACTTGCATAACCAAGCCTGCTACGCCACCTCCAACCGTCCAACTGACCAATCTACGTCTTTGATATTTGAGTGGGTGAGTGTAGATATCGAGCCTTCGAGTCTCCCACACCTAAGGGGACAGGCATGGTCTACATTTCGATAGGTATTTTGAAAAATTTCAACAACTGGGGATATAGAAATGGAACGCCTCGAATGTGTTAGAAAGGAGTATAAAAAAATGTGCTGAAGGCAGGGCAAGGCAACGCGCGCGCACTATATCATAACCCATATATCTTGTATGAGACAATACCGAAATCCCGAAACTCTTACTTACTGCGTAAGACACTTAACTGACTAACTCACCACCCGGCACAAATTCAATATTAGTACTGTTATCTGCGACTCTGTACTAGGTTTAGACACTTCAGGGGGGCGTGTACAAATGCTAAACTATCTTCATTGCATTATAAGGGAGCTGGGTATCTTAGCTACATTAAGTCATACATCAGCAAAGAAATAAGACAATCATCTTCCCAGAGGTAAATTTTTCTCCTGTTCACTTACATGTCGAGGTAGGTATATTTATGTGCTATTTTCTATCATCAGCTGGCTTGGCAATTCCTATGTCTTGGTCGCAACGTTGGTTCAGCCGATGTATGGCCAGCTTGGCTGACACGTTCGGTCAACGTCACCCATTCATCGGTTCATCTGTTTTTAGGCATTCTTGCGAAATGGGGACAGCACTTTGTTTCGCGTGACTGTACTATCTACTACTTTCTAGGTAGGCAGGCTCCCGACCGACCGGCTTGGGGACATCTCCATCACGGGAACGCCCACCCGGTAGTCGAGCCGGCGCCCTCGGTGGAATGAGTGGGATCGAGCGAGATCGGGCGAGGTTTTCTCGGCCGGGGACTGACGGCGCTGTGGGCAGTCACTGCTACGGGGAGGACAGGCGAGGACAGGGCGAATGAAAAGTCCGGTAATGGTCATAGTGGACCAAGACGGGCGCTGCGGTGCGCTAGCGTGGTGAATTAGTGGACCCCTCAGCGCCTCTCGCGAGCCGTTTTGGGGCGGCTTTGGCGCAGCTTTGGGGCAGCTCTAGGCCTAAGTAAAGCTCGCTGGCTTGGCTGACTGAATAGCTTCGCGCCGACTTCGCCCACATTTTTATTCTTCCGCTGCTTCTGTGCACCAGATCTGCACCACCTCAGGTCATCGTAAGTTTCTGGGGTCGCTGGTGTTCCCATCCTCCTTTAGATCAGTTCAACACCAGTCAGCTTGATAGCGCCGGTTCAATTGGCTTTATATAGGGTGTCTCAAGCGAATTATTCAAATTATTTTACCCCTCCGCGCTGCTTGCTTGAACATCGTCTGCTGGAAGCCCGCTTCATCTCCCCGCCATGGCAATCCCGGCTCTCCTTCGTGCCCGAGCACCCATAGCTCTGGGTCGGCCGGTAATTGCTTCGTCGAGGCAATATGCGTAAGCCTCTGCGCTACCAATTGCACCCATAACACTCGGGCTAACCTCCTGTATTAGACGATGCTTTAGCTCTTCCCCTGCTCGCCGATCCGACGATGACCTGAACAAGGTCTCGCGCCACATCACACAGCCCAAATCGCAGGGTGCTTCGCAGGCCATGTTGTACGCCACCGGTCTAGAGAAAGAGGACATGTCAAAAGCCCAGGTTGGTATCTCGTCTGTATGGTGGGAAGGCAACCCTTGCAACATGCACCTCATGGACCTCTCTGCTGTGGTCAAGAAGTCCGTTGCGCAAGCCGGCCTCGTTCCCTACCGATTCAACACTATCGGTGTCTCCGACGGTATCTCCATGGGCACGACTGGTATGCGCTATTCTCTCCAGAGTAGAGAGATCATCGCCGACAGTATCGAAACCGTCATGCAGGGTCAGTGGTACGACGCCAACATATCCCTTCCCGGCTGCGACAAGAACATGCCTGGTGTCCTGATTGCCATGGGTCGCGTAAACAGACCAAGCATTATGGTGTATGGAGGTACCATCAAGCCTGGCTGCTCCATGGACGGCAAGACGATCGACATGGTTAGTGCTTTCCAGGCCTACGGACAATACATCTCGGGCGAAATCAACGAAGAGCAGCGGTTTGATATCATCCGCCACGCCTGCAACGGTGCCGGCGCTTGTGGTGGCATGTACACGGCGAACACCATGGCCTCGGCCGCCGAGACGCTGGGTATGACCCTTCCTGGAAGCAGTAGCAGCCCTGCCGAATCGAAGGCTAAGGTCGAGGAATGTAAAAACATTGGTGAGGCTATTAAAGTCACGATGCGGGAGGACATCAGGCCAAAGGACATCATGACGAGACAAGCTTTCGAGGAGGCCATGGTTGTTCTCAACATCCTCGGAGGCAGTACCAACGCCGTGCTGCACCTTATTGCCATTGCTGACTCAGTGGGCATCAAGTTGACCATTGAGGATTTCCAAACCGTCTCCAACCGAACACCTTTCTTGGCTGACCTGAAGCCATCGGGCAAGTACGTCTTCGAAGACTTGTACAAGATCGGTGGTACTCCATCGTTGTTGAAGTTCCTGATTGGTGAGGGCATCATCTCTGGAAACGGCATGACTGTGACCGGTAAGACCATCAAGCAGAATGTGGAGTCATGGCCATCATTCCCCAAAGAGCAAGAGGTCATCCGACCATTCTCTAACCCCATCAAACCAACCGGCCACATCCAGATCTTGCGAGGTTCGCTTGCCCCTGGCGGCTCCGTAGGCAAGATCACCGGCAAGGAAGGTCTCGTATTCACTGGCAAGGCCAAATGTTACGACCAAGAGAACGACTTCATCGAGGCCCTCGAGCGAGGTGAGATTAAGAAGGGTGAGAAAACCGTTGTCATCATCCGATACGAAGGACCCAAGGGCGGTCCCGGCATGCCCGAGATGCTGAAGCCTTCGTCCGCTATCATGGGCGCTGGCCTCGGCAATGACGTCGCACTCCTAACAGACGGACGATTCTCCGGCGGTAGCCACGGTTTCCTGATCGGGCACATCGTCCCCGAGGCCGCCGAGGGTGGCCCCATCGGTCTCGTCCGGGACGGCGATACCGTCACCATCGACGCCGAGAAGCGCGTCATCGACTGCGACGTAAGCCCCCAGGAGATGGAAAATCGAAAGAGCGAGTGGACGCCGCCGCCGCCGAGATACTCGCGCGGCACCCTTACGAAATACGCGAAATTGGTTAGCGATGCCAGCCACGGCTGTGTGACGACGAAGCCTATCGAGTAAACCCCGAAAAATATGCCCATTGAAAAATAAAATGTAGAAAAATATTATGATACCAAATAAATGCAAGCAAAACATATACATGAATTGGGTAGAGCTATTGAAGTGATGCGAGATGATCAACCGTCTTCTATGTGTATTTATTTATTTATTCATCTTCCACGCCGAGGCTGGTATAGACCCGGATGATATAAAAAGGGGGGAAAGGGTGGGATTTTGATCATTCCTTTTATGTCGGAATAGGTACAATATTAAAAGACGACTCTGTTATAATCATCTAGTCATCTTATTTCATGCTACTAATTCAGACACTTCCGCGATGTAACTTTACACGCAAAGGCTTAATCTACTGATTCGCGCAAATGCCCGAGAGTAGTTAAATATAGTTTTCATTGACTGTGGTGAGGTAGGCTTGCAAAGACTTTTTCTCGGTAAAAAGGCCTAACGCCGTACTAAAGTGACACCTGGAAACATCGCTTTTCGCCTTGCCACCGGTTCTGGCAGGTATCTTATCTAACTTGCTTATGCTAGTGATTCGGAACAAATGCCAGAGGGCACCAAACACAAAAGAGGCATGAACAAAAACGATGCATGCCAGTCCCTCCTCCAACAAAACCAATAAGGATGCAGTAACTTTTCACCCAAAACTGTATGAAACCGTGTAAAACAAGACCGTATGAACCGCTGGAGACATATAGCCTATGATAGTTTCTTCTTGTTCTTCTCATTGGACCATGCTGCCGCAAATTTCATCTTGTCCTGAAGCGTGAGGTTCACGCGCTTGTTTCTTGCTAGTCTGGCAAGTGATTCGCCGATGTGGTCCAATAGTTTCTGTTCTTCGCTGTTGGCGGCTGTCGATACCAACGCTAATGCTGCGCTTTCTCCGTTGCCATTTTCGTTCCCAGACTCTCCATGCCCATTCATGGGGTATGTGATGGTCACTCCCTCAGCGATACGCACTCTGATATAGTGCTTAGGTCGACTAAGCAAGTTCCATAAGAACGACGACCAGGCACCAGGCACGGGGGTCGTAATATCAGGAGCCGTATAGCGCAAGCTAACGGGGAAGATTTTGACGTTGGGGGGAGTCGTCAGCAGCGATGTTGAGAGAGGGAGTATGCCCTTGCCGTTCGTGGTCGTCATCTCGGGGAATACGGCGATGACTCGGTGTGGGTTATCTTTGATGAGGGTGCGAAGGTCGGTTAATCCCTTTTCTGGAGCGTTAATATTCGGCGACGAGAGTGCTAAAGTAGCAGCACGGAAAAGAGATACACGCTTCACTTTGCGAGTCCCCGGATACGAGACGACAAAGATGGGGTCGAAGACGCTAGCTAGGTACAGCGCATCGATGGGACTCGTGAATTGGGCCGCGATGATGGCGCGCTCGGCGGGGAATCGGGACGCATCTTGCTGTGACAATGATCCTCGTTTCACACCGTCGAGCTGCAGGTCAATCCACCAGACGCCGGAGGTAGCTAGGATAAGCCATAGGAGGATCTTTCGCCCAACGGGCAGTAATGCAATGTGGTCTAGCACGAGGAAGAAGCTGGCGCAGCATAAGACGAAGACCGGGAGCCGGAAGAGGAAGAGCCAGGCGCCGCCGATATTACGGAAGACCGAGGTTGGCGTAGCGATGGGCAGGAAGGGTGATATGCCTGAGCCTAGATAGAGCAAACATGCATGTCAGCTTGGCCATGTTGCCTGGAATAATGGGGATTGGGAGTCTAAGAGTAGGTATGAGTTGATAATAGACTGTGGAGGGTTTCTCTTACCCCTATCTCGGAACTGGCTGTATTTCTCCATTGCGTGCTGGCCGCAGTGGTTGTGCGGTGATTGAGTCGTTGAGTTATTATTCGTGGTGAAGTGGATATAATAGCTGGTGGGATGACGCTGCTGGGAGGAGGGGTTGGCGAAAGAAAGATTACATTGAAACCAAGAAGAATCGCCCAATTCGCGGTCCAAAAACTGGTAGATAGTAATTCGGGATCTGTCTTTGATACTCGTACCGGTGCGTTGATTTGGAAAAGTGGTAAGACGACGCCAACGAGGGGGCGATGTGGTGGTCGAGATGCCGTCAGATAGTCAGATAGTGGATAGGCAGGTGCCTCCTACGCGGGTCTACCTACCGGCACTCCTCCAAAATTTCATCATTCGAGGAAAGTACAGATTGGCATGTGAAGAAAGCAAGCCCGCCCAGAGCCCTCGAGCTTGGGCCGTGCTTACCTAATATTTTACCTAGGCGTCGGAAGGCAGAGGCAAGGGACCAATTACAGGCCTTTTAGTGGTTAAGCTTCGAACCCATGGCAGATATAGAGGCTATTCCCATTGCAGACGTTGCCCGATCAACCACGGCCAGCGTGCTTATCCATCACTATCATCACTGTAAGTAGGCCCAGCGGTCACTGTAGCCATTGTAGTACCCACTGTATCTAATCGAATCCAGCGACAGTCAATCAACAACCTTGGAACACCTTGGCGGCCCCGTCTGCGTCAACACTTCGAACATTAACCGGGGCTTGCGGTGAACAGTGTTAACTGTGCAGCTATTCCGACGCGCTACATGTAGACTGAGCATCTAAGTACGAACGAGCCACCAGTTCGAAATATCTATTTACTTACCTCCTACATCTGTCGTCTACCTTCAATCTCCTCCTTCAATAACATCGGGGCCTTTAAGGTCGCATTACATCCTTTAAGAAAGTTGAATTCTTTGCTTCTACGCCTGGGTGCTGGCCCTCCAATATCCCGGCCCCATCTGCTCCATTCATTACGCTCTTTCCGCTATCCAGCTTCATACACAACATGGAGGAAAATCTGGTACGCCCTTCACTCGCACCAAAAGCGCGTCCTTCCATGTTAACCTCTGTTTCACAGCCGCGTCCTTCCGGCCTCAGACAACCGGCAATAAAAGCCTTCTCCTCGTCAACACAGACGCTTGCCCCTCTCAATCCAGTATCCGACTCCCAGAACAATGCACGTGCCCAGCCTACGAATATGGGACAGCACGGCGGGCAGAAGCGCAACGCCCCGGCGCCAGGTGGGAAGAATACTTGCGTCTTCCAAGTCAACAAACCAGCTCACAATGGTTTTACAGTATTCGGCCCGGAAGCTAAGCGGAAAACCCCAGGAGCTGGCTCGCAACATCAGAACAAGCCCGCTGGGACCTCAATGATGCCCAGGCCTCCAAAGCCATCGAATCTCATAGATTTGGTACGTTATACTCTCAAATAATATTTCCATCCATGGATCGATATGGCGTTTTGTTGTGGTTTTCGTCCATTGCAACGCCGAGTTACAAGAATGCTGTAAACTATGTATTCAGCACGATGATTATATACATCGTTTCAATCTACCCGGCATTGTCTGAGTTATCTAACTGGTATGCTAACCGCCTATAGAACCAACGGCCAGCTACAAGCATGAATACAGCCGGTTCCCGACAACTTTCCAACAGCAGCCACACATCCAATACTAGTTATGGAAGCAGTATTGGGTATGGCGCTCGACCACCATCGCGATCTCATACGAGAACACGATCAGCCACTAGGCCTGCCCGACCAGCGACTTCGATGGACACGACGAGAGAAGATAAGCAGAGAAGTAATGGTAAAGAGCCCCGACTATCAGATTGTCTGGCGATCCTCCCTCAAAAGATGAGCAAAAGGTCAAATAAGCATTTACGACGACACGAATCGGTGCAAGGGCTACAAAACTCAAAGTCGAGTTGTATGCCAATAGACCGAATGAGAGAAGTCTCTTTAACCAGTAGTTTCGATAAAATGTCACTGGGTACTAGTGAGGAGCAGGGACAAGGAAATCAAGCGAATTTCGACTTCAACGAGGGTACCGCTTCATTGTGTATGCCTCCACCCCCAATGACTCCCAGTAGAGATGGGAATCATTCAAATCTGCCGAGACATGTCAGTGACAAGGATCGACATAGTCAAGTGGCTCCTGAATCTGCTAAGCAGTTGATTCAAGCCCTTCAAGATGGCCTGAAATCACTCACACCTGCACGCCCGCCATGTTCTCCGACAAAACCACAATACTTAAATAGAAATTCTAACACACTGAACTTTCTAGTCATCGAGGAGGACGAGCATATTAAAAAAATGACCAGCCAAATAGAATCCTTCAAGACCTTCATTCAGTCCGCCGAGAATATCAGCACTACCGTGAAGGAGGAGCTCGAATCGTCAAAAAAGAGAGGTAGGGATCGTACCTATGGATGGAGTAGCGTCTATGGGATGGCCATACTGACCTTATCTAGTGATTGCCTTAGAAGAGGAGAGGATTGAACTACATACAGCCAGACAGCGCCTCAAAGATGAACTCCAAGACGCGGAGCGCCATGCCCGCAAGCTCCAATATGATTTAGAAGAACAACAGAGCCAACATGAAAGGAAATACAAGATTCTGGAAGAGGATCACAAAAGAGAGCGTGAACTTTTGGATGATGAGTTCAAGCGAGAGCTGGATAAGAACCAAAAGCTTCAGCAAGAGTTCGAAACTCGATGTGGGGCGGAAGCTGAAGCTCGACTGGAAAACTTATCACAGGACAATAAAGAATTACGAAGCACGCTCGAAAGGCAAAAGCGAGATCATGAGCATGAGATAAGACTACTGCACGAGGCGATCCAGCGGCGAGATTCCGACGTGAGGAGGATTGAGGAAGAATTGCGGAAGGCAAACAATGAGCGGTTCGATCTACAAGCTCACATCCGAGGAAACAACGAAACCATTGAGCGGTTACGGAAAAGAGCCGAAGACGCCGAAGAGCGACTTTCCAAGGACAAGGGACACCTCGGTGGGCAAATCAGCCTGCTAAGCTCTACACTCGACTTGAAGTCAGAACGTATTCAAACGTTAGAAGAAAATGCCAAAAAGCTGCAGGCTGATTGTGAATTGGAGGTTCAAAATATCAAGCTGGCGGCTGAAAAGAAGATTGCTGATGAAACAGCGGTGCTGAGGGAACGATTAATCAAAGAGGAAGAGAGGCGCCACAAGCTATTTGAGCAAGTTCAAGAACTCAAGGGCAATATCCGTGTCATGTGTCGCATCAAGCCCCCCTCGGATCCCGCCAACGACGCCTTAATACCCTTCGAACCGCAATGGAACGACATAGACGAGGACAAGATCGATGGACTCACCATCCCCACGTTCAGGGAGGATCTGGTATCCGGCAAACTCGTGCCCGGAAAACCACGTGATTTCAACTTCGAGCGAGTTTTCGACGAGAAATGCAACAACGGTGACGTGTTTGATGAGATTAGTCAGCTCGTCCAATCCGTCATGGATGGCAAGAAGGTGTGCATCTTCTGCTACGGCCAGACCGGCTCGGGTAAGACCTTCACCATGAGCAAGAGACAGGGAGACGGAGACGATGGCGTCATTCCCAGAACGCAGGGCATGATCTTCAGCGAGATGGAGAGGTTGAAGACGCTCGGTTGGGAATATACTGTTGAGGGAAGCTATCTGGAAGTTTACCAGGATAAACTCTACGATCTGCTGGCGTCACGGCATTCGAAGCCGGAGCCATTAACTGTCGATCCCATCGGGGACGAGCTCAAGATCAAGGGCCATGATTTCACACTTCTGAATGATGCGCGGGATCTCGACGAGATGATCAAAGTGGCAGACAACAACCGCCACGTCGCGGCCACGGTCAAGAACGACCGATCTTCGCGCTCGCACTCGATCCTCGTGCTCAAGATCAACGGCGTCAAGAAAGATGAAAACGGAGAGATCATCAGGACGCGAAAGGGCACGTTGAATCTCATTGATTTAGCAGGCTCGGAGAAACCTGACAAGAACGGCCTGGAGCAGGTATACAAGGAAGGTGTCGAGATCAATAGCTCGCTTAGCTACCTCCGGACGGTACTCTCTAGTCTGGGCCAAGGCAAGACCGAGGGTGTCGATTTCAGATCGTATACGCTTACGCAGCTTCTTCGCCCATCCCTCGGCAAGGGCTGCCGGACACTCATGTTCGTCATGGTCAGCCCGCTGAAGGAAAATGAGAACGAGACCATTCGTAGTCTCGAGTTTGCGAGAGACGTAAGTAACGCAACGCTTCAATCATAATCCTTATTCTTGAGACGGTCAATCTCGTCCTTCGTGATATAACGGCACGCTAACATGCATATGTACTATAGGCTCAAAAAGTCAAGATGGGCGGCAATGGAGCTTCCAAGTCGAAGAAATAGAGACACGTATGAAGGTCTGGGTTCAAAGAAGGGAGGAAGGAGAGAAGGTACAACGATACAACATTTCAATAAAGCATGTATATACCCTGTTGGACGGATGCTTGTTTATCGCTCGAAAAAGGAGTTATTTGTGTGTTTCTGTGTGTGTACGCGTCTCGGGGGGGTTTTAGCAGGCGATTGATATGTTGCTTGTCTGTCTGTCTGTTTGGTTTAGAGAGGTACCTAGTTACGCATACATGCGTGTATGTCTGCTTGTTGCCTGTTGGAGTTATTATTCATGATTCGGTGGACGACGAGGAGATTTGAAGTCGGGACGAACAGACAATAGGTATCTGGCGTTTGGGTTCTTTACCGCCATATTTCCTGGTAAACGTCGGGTTACTCCCTACTACGAAGAGCCGCCTGTGGCAGGTAGAATGGAATGTACATGATGAAGCTCGTCTATTTGTGTCTACCGGTATTTTGCTCAGTGTTCTGATAGTCTCCTGCTATGACACACAATCTTACTCTTCGCTCTCATCTGGACGCATAAGAAGTAGAGTTCAAACATCTACCCGATTCTGCATCATCCCAAGTTATCAATCACAGTTTATACACCAATCCCTCACTAGGCAGAACCTCGCCCCGTGCAAGTCGGTCCCAGCCCCTAACCACATCCCCCATGCCCTCTCCCCAACTCATCTTCAACCCCTTAATCCCGTCTCTCCTAAACCCTTCCCACGACCTCGCCTCCTGAGCCCAATACGCCTCCTCCCCAATCGCCTTGATCGCGCGCCGCCTCATATCCCCCGCATTCACGCGCGCGACTTTATACGCCGGCGCAGGACCCTTCGCGGCAGCCGCGAACACCGATTCCGCGACCTTCGGGTCGAGGATCGCCGATCCGACGCCGATGAACTGGAGCGAGGGATAAGACGCCGTTAGAACCGTCGCCCAGCGCTGCGCCACGCCCGCGCGGCCGCCAAAGTCGAAAACCACGACCCTCTTCTCCGCCGCATTACCGAAGACAGTCAGCGGCTCCGCGCTCGTGAGGACCACGGAATCATACAATCCCGTGCCCGCGACGAAGGCCTGCGAGGATGCGCTCGTCACGCCCACGATGCGCCGCGGTCTATCTTTCCCACTAGGCCGCGCGCGGAGCAAGGCCGCGAAGAGACACGCTGCTTTCGACCCGGGCGCGAAAATGAGGACGCTGGAATCGGATAGGTCTGCGTCGTCCGCGGACCAAGGGCTGCTCTCGGCGTCGTCGGGGCCGATACCCGGTGCCACGACGCGCGAGGCGTCAGCGCTGAACACGAAGGATTCCATCAGGAATGCCGTGGCGTGCATCACGCGCAGCGCGGCGTCGTGCGCAACGCCCGTCGTCTTCCTGGCGATCTCGTCGGCGCGCGGGGAGGTTGTCCCGGGGGGCGCGTACACGAAATACCGGTTGTAGATGGGCATGACGTGTTTCCTGTGCTCGCTCGTGACGAGGACCTGGTCTGCGATCGTCGGGTGCATCTCGACTTGCAGGTCCTCTGGGAGCGTGCCGAGGGGCACGTAGCCCCAGAGATAACTCCCCTTGGGGATCGCGGCGATAGTGGAGTCGAGGACCTGCGTGTATCCCCAGGCGCTGATGCGGCCGTATTTCGAACTGTCGTTGTAGGGCGCTGGCGTGCTTGATGGCAGGCGGTGCACGTCCCACCAGTGGAGTAAGTTGCCTAGGGCGGCGTAGGTGAAGTTGTTGACTGTGAGACTTAGGACTGAAGTGCGGAGGCGGAGGGAGGATGGGGGGAGAGGGGGGTATGGTAACGCATTGGGGAGTGAGATGAGGGATTGCGAGAAGTAGTTCTTTTTGTCCAGGATTTGGACTGTGGGAATCTCGTCGGCCATTTTGGTGGTGGTGATGGTGATGGTGGTTAGAGTGAGAGATGTTTGGTGAGTCTTGGTATTTTGGCCAGGGGAGTTTTCTTCCCTTCGGAGCTCTCAGACAGAGTAGGGTGATGGGATTCTGCTCGTTTATGTACACCCCAAGATAATCACCATATAGATTGTGCTTGTGTGATTCCCTCTGTGACACTGATGTGTTGTCTATTTGTTCTTGTGTTTCTTCATGTGAGATGAGCTGGCTGTTGGGAGTGCTTGTCTTATGTAACAACGACACCAATAGTGCACGTCGGCAACATCATCTTCAGCCGACTAGCAGCGGCGCAGTAGGTTGACCCGACTACCGGCTTACCTTCTCCTCAATCCTTCGCATTCGGATCCAAACGGTCGGCCCATCTATTGTCACTTAAGGTTAGATCCTTCCGAACGATGATCGGCTCTCCGAATTGCAGGCATATGCCTCGTTTGCTACCAACAGCGACTAGACCGATAGGGTAACGTGGATTCCTCATCTTACATAAGACTACCTACCACAACTCGCTGTTGTGAACTTGTGAGTGAGTAGACCCCTTGGAGTGAAGGTTGAAGGTTGACTTGTAGGCTAAGAGAGTTATCTATCATGATGAAGAGAAGACTGCCAAGATGGGTAGGTAGTCTCTAGTCTATCATGTCTAGCATCTTTATAGACTCTTCTCTTCTCTTCTCTTGCTCCCTGATAAGACAAGAACCCGTTTCAATGCGAACCCGAGCTGCAGACGATGAGTTCTCATCTCCTCTCATCTCATCTCAGCATCAATCAGGATGACACTAGTAACCACAATCAATCAAAAGCGCAAATACAGCCGCAAACTAAACAGACAATGCAAGCAAGAACACATCCCCAATCTCTTAACTACCAATCCCAGTTTCCACCGGCGGTATATCCGGAAACGCCACAAGCCTCGTCGGCACCGGCGCACGCCTCGTCACCCCGGGCCCCAACTCGCCCCCGAGAGCCTCCAGATCCCCGCCGAACGCACTCGTGCTACCGTTGCCATTGCCCGTGGAGTTCGTCGGCCACGGGTCGGCCTCGTTCGCCGCGAGCACGGCCTGCGCGAGGAACAGCGTGGCCGTCGGCACCCACTTCACGTAGTCCCAGTGCACGGGGAACAGCGGCCACAGCATGCCCGTGCAGATGATGTCCCCGCTGTTGCAGATGATGAGCGTCTGGTTCGCCGGGTACCCCTTTACGCGCCCGCCGTCTTGCAGCGTCTGCGTGTCGCCGAAGGTCGCGACGCCCGCGATCCGGGACCTGGTCGCTGCTGGAAGACCCTCGATTGCGCGGTGGACTATTGCTGCGCCTTGGCTTTGGATGGGTGTTAGTGAGTGCGTAGCTAGGTAAGTAAGTGTGTTTGTTTGTTACATGAGATGAGTGGATGGACATGTAACTCTGTCTGAATTCTGCTCTGTGACTTTTCTCTCTCTCCTTGCTAGAATGGAAGAGATAGACGATTGTTTTGAGCTTACCTGTAACCCGACACCACGATCTTAGAATGCGGACAGGCCGCTGCCGAGGTTATGATGGCTTGCACTACAGGCCGACGTCAGTCAACGTTCTATAGACGAAGCTGATCACAGCCGTTGAACGCAGAGCGTGGCAATGTCAACATTGCCGAGTTAATAGTCGGGCTTACTATCATATATCCCCCAAGGCGGTGCTCCTCCAGGATAATAATTGCCCTCGGCGAGGCCGTAATAATTCACACCTTGCGTCGCCACATTCGTCACGCCGAAGACGGATTTCAACCCATCGGACAGCGATGGGCCGATCGTCCCGCCCTAGAAGCAAGGTCACGATTAGCAGCCTTCTCACAAATGCCTTCTGCTTCTCCGTCAGGCAGGTATGGAAGTGTGTTAATGTGAGTAAATCCACGTACCAAATTCCCAGGCTCGAACGTCGCCTTCGCAAAGACGAAGATCACAGGCTTGCACCCGTACTGCTGCAGCTCCGAAGACCACCAACTCGCCGTCCAGGTCTGCCGGGTATCTATGCGCGACGGCGGCGCCGCGCTGACCGTCGTGCCTCCGAGACCTAAGAGGAGAAGCGGCAGGATGAAGGCCTTCATCTTGGTGGTACCCTGCCTATCTGAGACGCCTTCGAGGATCCTTGCCTTGCGGACGGACGGCGGAGAGAGATGTGAGGATCACCTTTTAAGGAAGATCGGATGAGGTAGAATGGGATGACCAGGACAGCTTTGAAAAGGGATATGAACACGATTATCTTGGCGTACGTCGTCAGAAGATATCCTTACATATAAATAAAGAAACTCAGACTACCGACGAGAAAAACGAATGATCTCGTCCTCATCTGCCTGTCCGTCAGACTTTCTATTCAAAAGCAAAAAAAACCCTTAGTCCGAGATGATTTCGGCGATAAGGCTACGACAATTCGTCTCGCCTTGTTTTCCGTACCTGCTGATCCCAGATAGAAAAAAAACCCCCGACTCCGTCGCACTCAGGGTCTACACGAGAGAGATCAATCAGGGAACCAGAGTTCGCGCGAAAGCACCCCGCGATTACGACTGTACACAAACAGGGAAATCGAATATCGATTTCTCACGGGGATCCTATCCAAAGAGCAGGAAACGATCGTCATCGTGCAGTATTTCCAACAGACGACGAGCGAAGCGAGATATTTTCCCGACACCTATATTAAGCCCACGTCTGGGGAAAAAAGGGTAACATGTACTACTTCCCTCCTTTTCGGTCACGGTAGCGAAATATTGTAGGTATGTCGCATTGTCAATATTGATTGCTCGCTTCATTACCCGGCTATAACCACGGCATCGCATACCCAGGTATGTATGTATGTATCTTCCCCATACAAGGTATCCATCCCATCGCTCATCTCGCCTCATACTCCCATACCTACCTACACATTCACTCGAACAACCAACATAAAACAAACTCTCCTCATAAACGCCATCCATCACCAAAATAACGAGAAAACCCCCTTCACCAATCCACCCCACCCCCACCGCGCAGACTAGATCACGCGCAGACACACACACGAAAAACTTCCTTCCGTAATTCACTGCCTGGGGTACGTATGTAACTCTGGATAAATAGGATCCAGTACCTGTCTATGATTGATATTGATTGCATATTTCCTCGCCAACACTCGGCACATGGCACGCATAGACGGAACCATCGGCAATTCGCCGAATGGGCAATTCCACTTCCTTCCTTCCCTCGGACCGTTTTTGTTTTATTAAGCTTCCACGCGATTTCGTAAGGGTTCATGATGATGTCGCCATCTTCATTCGCTCAAAATAGGTCTCCGGAAACGATGCTTTGTCATCGTCTAGGCAGGCTTTATGGCGTGGTCGGTGTTAAGATGCGCCGTAGTCAAAGACACGAGAAAGAATCAGTGATATAGTAGAGCTCTTGCCCTCGAAGTGATGTTGCTGGACTGTCTTGAAATTGTGCACAGGGAATCTTCTTCGATCAAGTCAGATTGTTAACTATCTAAGGCTAATTCGCTACGCTATACAAGTAATTCACCGCCCTACGTCTCTTGTCTGACCTTATCCCAACATTCCTCACTTCAACATAACTTCTTTCACGTTACACTCTCTTCATTTGCACAGCCTATCCCCCAAATGAATTTAAAGAAGAAATCAACCTTATTTACCACAAGGTTTACCGTCATCAAAACTCCCATACCATGCAGATAAACAGATGCCAATAGGACTAATAAAATCCCAGCGAATAACGTAATACACGAATGCAAGCCTCTTGCCACAATTCCGTGTTCCATAAGCGCCAACCAGGTTATTGGATTGTAAGAAATTGGAGCCCAAGTTGAATCCAGAAAAAATTGACGTAGGGAAGAATCTGCCATTCTAGATGCGATGGGTAGTATAGATGGCCCTACGGGCGAGCGTAGATTTGCCATGGCGTTTTTATCGACCACTACTCAGGGTCCCAGAATAGATGTGACTGGATGTCTCCGTATACCGAAATAGGGAAAGAATAAGATGTATATACAGAAAAGCAATCGTAGAAGAATCCATCTCGCTTTGGCTTTTTATGTCTCAACACATGAAGAAGCATGGCTGAGATATTGGCGTATGAGCCAAGAGTAGGAAAAGTCGCGGAATGAGTTATCAGTGTTAGGGTAAGTTGCTGAAATCTAGTTCAGGCTGCATTTGTCGTAACGACATGGAATTCATACTAACGTTTTCAGCGCCAGCCCGCTGCAAGGCATGGAAGTCACCAACGGTCCTCGGAATCTGCGTAGACTGGTGCTGGTGTTGGTGTATCATAAAACTATTGGTCCTTTGAGGAGGAGTCCGATGCATGATATTATTCATCATGCTGTGTGCTGGTTGATTGTAGGCTTGATTCTGCGGTTGGCCTATATTCACATAATTTTGAGCCTGGTTCAGGCCATTAGGAAGATTGTTATGCATCTCAACCGACATCTGGCCATTCATCGGATGGTTGTGATTTACATTTGGGGATACCATTCCATGCAGGGAATGCTGTTGATGCGGTTGCTGTGCATTCATTGCGCCTGGTTGGCCAATAGCAGATTGCTGTTGTGATTGGCCCATTGAAGTAATCATCATCTCGGGCATTGGATTGAACTCGTTGCTAGGAGCATACTCCCCATTGGGAGACATTACAGACGGAGATCTGCCGATTGCATAAGGGGATTTCAAATCGGATCCACCGTTGGGGCTGCTCGAATCTATCGCAGGGATATCCTGAAGATGTGGTACTCCGTTTGATGTGTAAGGCTCAGTTTTGAAGTCCGTCAAAATCGGTGGTTGAGCCATCCCAGCATTGCCGAAGCCGTCGAATATGTCGATGTTAGAAAGACAGACATTGTCTGGGGCGCGCTGCAGCATAGGATTCGCCAAACGAGGCAATATGTCATGCACTTTGTCCAAAAGTAGCGGAAGGAAGTGGTGGTCGCCGTTGCGGAGGCTTGACAGTATCTGGAGTAAAGAGTTGAGGTGTTCGCGAGGCCCCATGGCGAAGGGGTCGCTGGGAGCAGGCTGCATAGCAAGCACGTCCGTAAGAGCGCACGCAATATCCAGCAGCTTAGCTACTAGTGGTACGCCTAGTAGTTCGGTACTTTGAGTTTGGAATTGAGATGTCAAAGAGATTAATTCGCGTGACATATCCATTTGGTAGTGCAGTTGCTCCTGGCCATTCTGGGGGATGCATCCGTGCTGCATGTTGAGTTGCCAGACAGCAGGTTTGAGCCATTGCTGAATCAATCGCTGATCGATGTCACGCCCATTTATCATGGAAGTTTCCGAAAATTGTTTTCGCAAGACAATAAGGTAAGATGACGAACATTCACCGCGGGTCTTGTTCCAGAGCGTGATGAACATGTCGTCGAATGGGCGGAAGATGCTCACTAACGATATATAGCCGCTCAATTGGTGAGCCAACGGATCGGAAGGATCATCGCTAATCGACGGTAGATTGATTGATGCCTGCAAAGTCAGAGGTCGGCCACGCTGCAAAGCATATGCCCTGAATCAAGTCAGCCTTAAGTCATTATCACACATTAGAATAGCATACCTTTCAGTGACAAACAATAGCCAATACAGGCGGCGGCGGCGTGACGACTCGACATTGTCAAATTGCAGATAAGACTCCTCCTTTGTCATTCCACACATATGAGCTAACGTTGTCGCTTCCCGCAGGTAGAACCAAGCCTTCTCGTGCATTTCAAGTGCGTAGTACGAGCAGAACAAGAAATAGCTAGTGCATAGTGTGTTCAGCGTAGGCGTTTCCATATAATCAATTCCCTTGCGCACGCGAATAGCTTCTTCTATCAATAGCGTTCCTGAAACAATATGAGCACCCGGCATGTGTTCGAGCATCGGGTCGCCTGTAGGCAGACTCATGCCTGGCTGGAACATCATATAACCAGAGAGCGCCGTAATCAGGCAATATGTATCCGGGTTCTGGTCGATATACATGCACTGTTGTTCGAGACGCTGGCGATTAATGATGGGCATAATCGAGTACATGTTGGCGAAGAAAAATTCAACGGCTTCTTTGACTAGTTCGGGTGCGAGGAGACCCGGCGTGGGTGCCAGAGAAGGGGAGACACATGATGGGCTACCGAGACCATTCAACCGACTCTGGACCTTGGCGGAAAGACTCGTCTGTCGCTGCGTTTCACGGAGCTCGCTAATCACCTTGGCTCTCGAGCCCTTGGGGCCTTTCTTCTGAGGAATGGCGTTGTAAGTGCAGGTTAATTGGGCGGAAGAGCAGTTGCGGCACGGATTGATGCCATCGCACTTGACTTTGCGACGATGGCAGGCGTCGCAGGCCCTCTTCACGGCGGTCGACATGTTGAGGGACTGTTTCTATGAATGCTGATTCAGGCGATAGTGCAAGCACACACCATATATAGTCGAGGTGCGTATGTCCCGAGTAAAAACACCGTCGGCAGCCAACCTTCCCAATCCAATCGCGTATCGATAGGCAAAGCGAGCAAATAAGTGACGGCGTGCGTACGGGTCAATGCGAAGTCGTGATTCCTGGGTAGCGTGAATTCTTAATCGGCCCGTCAGTGAGGGAAATGCGGAGGAACGCTGCTGGTCATTGGAAAACGTGGGGAATTTCGACCGGGGGAACTGCAGGCGATGCAACAAGGGCCGCGTGTGATTCGGAGTCTTTTCGAGCACAAGCGAGCGAAGAGAGCGATGATGTTGATAAACGTATGTAAATTCTAGCAGCGTCTTTGGAATGAATGAATGGCTCGCAGGATGTAGACAACGGCGGGGAGCAGCGGCAACAACAGCGACAACGACACCAGCGACGACTACAACGACAAGGAAGGGCAGAAGAAAGAGGCAGGGCTGTGGGATAAATGGGAAGAGACGGAACGAGACGGGACTGGAAAAGGTAGGGTAAAAAGATGGGGAAGGTGAAGGGCGAAGGATCGGGCGGGCCCACCGTAACTGTCGCTTTTTGGGGATTTTGGGTGTGGGTAGCGGGAGGTACCTAGATACATGTAGGTACTGTAGGTACGTAGTGTACATCCACCAAGGTACGGTACAGTACACTACGGAGTATGTAGTATACCTACAACTTGGTTCAATGCAACGAACAACAACCAAAGGTGCCAAGGTTGGAAGTACATATAGATGCCGCCAGGATTGGGGAAATGCGGGAGGAAGGACAACAGGCAATAATAAGCACGGATCGAAATGAAGGGGGCTTGACAGCGCTGCTAGGCCACCAACCAGGCGTGCTGTCCGGTGGCATGTCTAACGCCCATTGCAGCATACCTTGTAGGTACACTAGGTGCCTATAAGTGGCGTCTATAGACACTAATTACAGAGGTAAGTAGGTGCCTATTACAGTGACCAGTCAGCGCCATCACTGAGCATGCGGGTGCAGAGGCGGGCTCACTACATACCTACCCAGCCCTGTAGTACTTACCTAAGTATGTAAGTACCTAGTAGCTATGGATGTACAGAAGTACATATATATAGGTAGCGGTACAAGGCACAAAACACAAGCCCCAGGCCCCCGGAATTCTCTACGCACTGTATGGGCGGTATCGAGAGTACTTCTTCTCAGGTACCTACCTCGAGTCCTTGGCAAGGTCGGTCCTGAGCAGGCTGCTTAGCTCGAGACAGTTTAGTCGAATGACATGAGAGTCAAGTCAGAAACGCTCGCCAGCAAATAGAATCCGTGCCTCGCCGCAAGCGATGAATAATAATATTACTAGCCGGCCGGCCAGCCAGACTCATCCGCACTTTGCGCTACCTGCCTACCTACCTATCCACTGCAAGGAGACTTACCTCTCGCCTGCCTAGCACAACACACAGAACGAACTTCAATCAATCAGCGAGCTTGCTAAGTATGCCTTCAAACACATGCCAGCCAAGGATGAGGGCCGGCATGTGGCTAGACAGCTAGCTTGTGACTCTGTCGTCTCTCTCTCTTCCAAGAGTTTTGAGAATCGTGTCGTGGTGGTGGTGGTGCAAATGAGAAGAGAGAGGAGAGACAAGGAAAAAAACAGAGTAACAAGATTACACAGTCGTAGAGAATCATGATACCTACCCTACCGCGACCTACATAAATCAGTAAGTAATAACTGTACATCTATGCAGATGACAGAGGAATGAACGCATTATTATTTCGCAAGAAATGTCCTATTACAGCTAAGCATCGTTGCACGAAGGAGTCCTACAATCAAATCGACAAGAGTCGCGAGGCTGCATGATCAGGTCGGTTCTTGTAATATTGGCCAGCTTTTCATTCACTGTCCAAAGGGGCCAATGAATATATGTCGTTATTCAGCTCGGCACTTACCTTTTACGCCACTGTTAATAGACAATATCATCGGCTATGGTACGGATACTCGGTATACCGGTAGTTGTAGCGCATTGAGGTGTATGTAGGTATATACGACCTTACAATCTCCCTTCGCATGCCAGAGTCTGGTGGCTTGTTGTCCATATACCCGTACGCTACACTGAGATGATGCCGTCAGCCTCAAATTTCTGAACTGGGTAAGAGCCGTTGCGACCTCTCGCTTGCACATCCGTTGCCGTCGTCACTCACGGGAGGGGATCCGTCGCGACACAGAATAAGCGTGTGAGGTTTGACAGATGCCGAACTTCACCAATGACTGTCTGCCGTGTTTTGTTCCTCTGTTTCCATTGTCTTTCTACCCGTCTTTCTCCCCGTGGACATGCCAGAGTGGTGAGGTGACTTCTGTTGTCCTCGAGGTGAGACAGAACACAGGACAACGACGCCAGCGTTTTAAGCTAGCCTAGCTCTCAGTCAGCTTGCTTGAATGCCGTCGTCACAGATCTCGGTCATGCTGCTCATACACAAGTGTTGATGGTGAATTGGATAATTAGCTAATTGGCTAGAGAACAGTTGTGATGATTGATACGTGAGCTCGATTGAACGTTGAGGTCCCTATACGAGCCTGAGTTGCAGCTTACACAGCCTACACATGCAAGCCTCGATGAGTGTCCAATCCACACACGAGACTAGGGTGAAGATCACAGGAAGATCACAGACACGGGACAGTTGAACACACCTGGCTGATACAGGCCGCCTATGAATACATCTGCTGTACACTACTTACATACCTACTCCGTACTACTACTATGTATTAGTATGTGGATGTGGGATGTGTGGGAGGTTGAGCAGGTGGCGTGCCCGGCAGCAGCGGCATACAGACTTAGTACTTACTTAAGGCAGGCTAGGTATCCTCTAGAACAAACGAGTGGCGGAATATACAACTAGACACAGACTTACTCGATCCCTTACAGTACAAAGGCCATTTTGTCCGCCACTTGTCTCCTCGATATGAACAGGTGTCGAACCTATGTCTGAACTAACTAACTGCCTTATCAGATCAAGTCCATCCTGCAATTCATCAACCTGTCAACGAACAACTTGCTCAAGTCGGCATAGTTGGCGATGATCTCTTGACCCGTAGCCCTTTTGGTGTAGGTACGCTCGCAACTTGCAACTGACCAAGTTTCGATGCACAGATTTTTTGCAATAAAAGTTCCCCAATCCTACCGGGAAAATAACCCAAAATGGATTGGGGGCCGGGAGGGCTCGATTAGCGTCACTACCCATGTACTATGTACCTCCTCCTCGCCTCCGCCTTGAAGTTGCAATTGTAGGTATGCGTACCTAGCTACCGAAGCGTCCTAATGACCCTCCTCATGTCATTAAAATTCTTTATTTGAACATGGGATAAAAGGTAAAAGAACAATCAGGTCTTGAGGAGCCTTGCTTAGGTATTATGATGGCATAGGTACGGAGTACTAAGTACCTAGATAGCAACAGTCTAGAGACTGCAAGATGTACGATTCTTGGATCGATCAGACAATCTACCTATTCTGCAGTATGTATGTCTTAGATAGCAGCCAAACAACATAGTGCTACCCGGTACAAATACCACCTTGCCGTGTTCCAAGCTGTACTCCAGGTAAAAGAGTACCTAGGTAGGTACATACATGTGGGCAGACTGACGTCGATCATTTCATGTCCTCCCCTCGTCAGCCAAAATTGCCTGGTTAATGCGACACAGGTCGCTACACACTAACGGCCGTTGCGACTCTATTTTTAAATGCAGTGCAAAACGACTCAGCTCTGGAAGCTTTTCTTTACTTACTTACAAAGTATTGTTCCAATCTACTAGGTAGGTATGAAGGGTAGATATGTTGGATTAAGCAGCAACTAGTGATGGGATAGGTATAATGCGAGAACACCTAACAATTTCACTGATGGATAGTACCTACTAGGTACATACCTGCCTAGAGTGAATATGTATGTAGGTAGTAGGCAGGTATTGACTAAACGAGGCCCCATGAGCCTATTCAGACCCCGTTCTACCTTTACCAACTGCACACTACATACATACAAGTAGTACACGATAGGTACCTACCTAGGTATATGTACGTAGTGAGTGAGTGAGATTCGTGCGGCACCGTAGTCGGACACTGTGGGCATGTACCTGTCTGAGAGGTAAGCAGGTACCGGCTCGTACCAAGTTTCTCATGCATGGCATTTCATCCAGCGGCCAGTTTATTGGGCGGGCTTCCCGTCTGACTGGCTATTTTCCCTGCGAAAGAGAGGCTTTTGTCATTGCTGACCCCGATCACTGACCAGATCAACTGGCCCGACCATGATATGACCTCCCTTCTTTCCCCTCTCCCTTCCCTTCCCTTCCTTCCCGTCTTAAGCTATGCTATGGTTTGGTTTAATACATTGACGATGACATTTTATGCGGCTTCACTAACACTCGCTCGCCTCTTTTCCACGCCAGAACCTGATACCTACTTGTGTAAGTGTAAACGTCTCCAGTTGCTCCTTTGGGCCTCTCTCCCGTTCTTCCTTCTCGACAAGAACGCCTACCGGAGATATCAAGTTTATGCATCCTAAAACTGTTCTGAGTATGTATGTAGGTACCTAGGTAGGGAGGTAGATACTTGGACTGCATTACTGGGGCATTGGTATCCCGATAATTGCAAAAGGATTGGCCCAACGAATCTGTCTGTCCTGCCTGTAGGTGCTGCCCAAAGTTGTCCAGAAAACCGGGATTGTCTCAAAGAAACAGCTGAGAATGGTTGCTTGTGGTGACGTGACTAGAGACTTAACCTACACTACTAGTAATAGTACGGAATGGCCAGTCACAGGCACGAGATTGGTGATGTACATGGAAATGTATCTACCATACTGTATTTGGCTCTCCCGCCTGTCGTACTTGTATCTTGTTTTATTTTTTTCCCATCTGGACTGTGAATGGCTCGTCTCATGTAAATGTTCCGCTTTCGCGCGAGTTTGCCATCGTCGCGTCCTACGACCACCTCATCAGCTGACGACTCGTGTCATTCTGGCCCCTTGGTTACGTACGCGCAGCAACTGTGGGAGGTAGGTAGGACAAATAGAAAGACAACTGAAGACACCATCCTTCTCGACTTGAACCCGTCACAAGCAAACATGGAACCGAGGTAAGGGGTGAAATGGGTGCTGGATGAGAAGGGACACATACATAGCGGTAGGAGCTACTACAACACCATATCGAAAAGAGGTTGATTTGCGTGGCCGCCAAGGTGACAAATCTTGCAACGGCTGGTGGGCCAACAAAGACTTTACTCAATCGTACTTAGTAGGTAGGTAGTGTATTCTTCCCTATTCTTTCTCTGCGCATCCTTGTCCATATGGTGTATATCCTTTCTTCATTCGATCAAGTCCGCGAGAACCATAAGGCTGTCGATTATAACACACTACAGTTAGCGGCCAAGATCTAGAATCAAAACACAATTGAAACTAATCCGAGTCTCTACTTACTATATAGATACTGTACCTTGCAGGAAAAAGAAAAGTAAGTAAGCAGAAATGGAGAATGGACACGGCCAACCTGGTTGAGTGAGTGGGACATTTCCCCAGGTCAGTTACCGTACCATACCGTACGACCGAATTCCCCAGGACCACACACATCACCCAAAAACCCCAGCTTTTTCAAAACCGCCTATTGCCGCCCTCGAACTCCCACCCCCACAAAACGCAACTCGACTTGCATGCGCTAGACTGTTCACGATAGCCTCGCATCTGCCAATGTGTCTCATCGGCCCGACTACTCCAGGTTTCGCTTCGTTTCCTTCTCCGCCATCTTGGTGTGCCAATGCCGCCCCGTGTCTGTTCGGCTCGGCTAGAATAAGTAATTCGAAACTCCCAACATGTGTCTGGCCTGGGGCTGCGTGGAGACGGGCACGGCACCGTCATTGTACAGATAGGATAGGATAGAATAGGATAGGATGGGATGGTCTTTCGGCCGTGATTTGCAAATGAGCTCTCCATATCTTCTCTAAGCGATGCCTTTTCACATCGTGCCCGAACAATATCCCTGTCACACCGCCGATGGGCGCACTACTTACTTAGATAGAGCAAGACTCACTCACTCACTCGCTCACTAGTAGCACGAGTCTAAGCATACCTACTTGTACACAACTCATCAATGCCATGCAAGCGAGGCAAGCTAAGTAAGATACTCGTCCACAAGACCGCAAAAGAAAGCTATTGGAACAGCCCTCTTGGTCTAATTATCCACACTCAATAATGCGGTAGGTAGACTACGACCCCCGGCCTAAGTTAAATCTCCGACTCAAAACTAGCACTAATACTATGTCCTTAAGACATGTCTAGTTACTCTCCTATGTACGGTAGGTAGTAAACCACGCCAGAAGCCCAACAAGTTCTCGCCCTAGAACTAGATGTGCAGCGCTATCCCGCAACGCTATCCACGAAGCTAGAGCATGTAATAGTTCGAGGTTTGTCGGGGTCCTCGTGTATCCGACTAGCTTGGTAGGTAGGCTTGTTGTCAGGTATGGACCTGCGACAAGTGTCTGACACAATGTCTAGGCTTCGAAGGTCTGGTCTGGTCCCCTACTTACAATACTTAGATACGTGGCTCATAATTAGGGTCCCCCTGAGTTTTTTGACTCAGAGCACATGCAGGTACAGACGCCGCGGATTCATAATCGCAGTCTTACAGTGTAGTGCATGTGTGATTATACAGTCCATTCGGTGGTGAAGTTAGCTCTGGGGAAAGACAGGGCGGTTCTAGATTGATTGTTCCCTTGCCAGCCGGCGCGCGGCAAAAGCATCGAGAATAGGATGGGATATGCCGAGGAAGACATAGCTAGCCCTATCTGATGCACACTTAATACTATTTCCCTCTCCTCGTGGAGATATGTATCATACATATGGTGATTAGGTTCATGCATCCCTCTTGAACAACGGAGACATGTAGTTGGATCAGGTTAGGCAGTTACTTGTATATCATTACTTACTCTGTGGCTTTTACTCGCCGAGCTACTTAACCGAACACAACGCCGTTTAATGCCTCATAGACCAAGGTAAGGTGCTAACACGACCTCGTAGTGCTTGCTCCATATTTAAGACATGGGGAAAGCGCAGATCGTGGACGTAGCGAGGTATCGTGAGTATTAGTTGATAGAGGCTTGCATGGTCGAGCCTATTTACATGTGATGATGCCCGAGACTAGGTAGCTTGATTATTTGTTTTACAGTGGATTGAAATCTAGATTTTGTAATGTCTCATGAGATCGAGATCGTATTTGATTGCTGTAGCTCTGTAGAAAGGAGATATCTTAATCCAAGTCAAGTTGAATACGCTCTTGAGGTTGGTCGAAGGAACTACATAGTAATCGGACAATGTGAGGTTGTGAATAAGAAACCTTTGTTCACTTTTCATGTTCGTGTAAAATGACCATATCCTGAGGTTCCTACTCGCTCCTATTCGTTGCAAACTCATCTTAATGAACATCATTTGTATTTCTGGGGCCGTTTGTTCTAAGCAAGAGGGGATAGATACGCAGATAGAGGATAAGTGTGGGTGGAAGACATTGGTTGTCTTCAAGCTCTTCAGCGGGATAATCACTTTGGCTAACGAATCTAAGATGGTGAATTGGATTCCAATATGCTTGGTTATAAGTAACTCTGTTTGGGGTGGTAATGAACTGTTTAATGATTATATGATTATTACGTTGCTTATGATTGTTACATGAATATCACATCGATTTCCGTTATTCTGCTTTCCTGTTCAAGTAGAATAGGTTGATGTTTCACTATCTGCCTTGATATAGTGATTACGCGCCTCATTATACCGCGTTTATATTAACATTATTAACCGCTTAATGCTTGCTGTAACGGAATATCCCAGCTTTCAGATTGCTAATAAACTCGCATTCATAGAGAAGCTAAACAAGCGATGGGTAGGAATGAAACCGTAAGTGAATGGGATAGATATACCCGGGTAAGAGCTCAATATCATGGGTCTCTGCACGTACGGGTTAAGTTCAAACCTCGGCATCACTTGTGTCCTAGGAGGATTTCATAGTTATGAGAAGGGCTAGCACAGGTTTTGGAGTTTGAAGTTATTCATAATATATTATTCTGCTACGTCTGCAAAGATCTCTTGGCCTTGCTTGCTGACTTTGAATCTATATACAATTGTACTGCTTTTAGTAATATCCGAGCTCGTGAGTATGTCTCATGCCATTGAAGTGTATATAACAACACTGTTCATTATGAGAATGCATACCCTGTCAGGGGTCTTACAGGATATGCCCTCGTAGCCGTAGACAGGCTATATGGTCCGCTGTACGCGTGTGTACAATACCCCTACAAAGATAGCTATTCCTCGCGAACTGAAAGGTTACATCCCTATCATACGAAATCGCGTAAATTATTCTTCTCAACCTTCAAGATCTCAGGGCCATAACAGCGACGGTAATAATTAGCCCACTGAGGAACGACGGAGCTACGGTTCTTAGTGCGCCAGACGTCGGGGCAGGCGATTGAGTTTCTGACGTGGGCAATTCGGAACTTGTGCTGCTGTTAGTAGGGCCGGATGTGCCTGTTTCCGTGGGTGCGCTGGTGTTGCTGCTGCCTGGAACGGATTGTGATGGGGTCTTACTAGGTGTGGGGTCCGCATCTCCTGGCGATGAAGCTCCTGGAGTTGACGTGGGCTCTGGATCTGGGGTTGACACTGGCTCCGACGTTGGCGCTGGCTCTGACGTTGGCGCTGGCTCTGATGTCGGCTCAGGTTCTGGCGTCGGCTCCGGCTCTGGCGTGGGTGTTGGGTCCGGTGTTGGAGTCGCTTCGCTTGGGCCTGTCCAGGGACCGGGGGTTCCATTCGTTCCATCTGGGAAGTCTGCAAAACGTAAAGGAATGTCAGCTCAGTGCGAAATACCTTGATCAATGTTTATAGTGTTGCGCTTCGTCGAAAATAGATATAGGAAGCGTTTGCTTACTGTGATAAGGTTAGCAATTAAGATACATACTTGGACATCTCATAAAGGGGTTAAATAGCTTACCAGTATGTGAACCATTTGTCACAATCTTCATAGCATGTGTGCGTGCCTTGGAAGACCGTGTACGAGTAGGCCTGATCGTTCGCGAACATGACGCCGTTCTCATAGTCCCACGCAAGCGTCTGAAGCTGACGTTTATCCCAGGCCATGTCATTTGACCACGTCTGAACGGGGATGTCTTTGCCGGAGAGCTGCATGATCGATGTCGCCGCACAACCTGGAAGCGGATAGATGAAGAGATCCCAGGCCTTGCCATCATGCAACGTGTATGTCATTTGCCGTGGATCACTGCCGTCAGGGCGAAAGCCGAAGTTGTATTGACTGTAGGTAAGGTGAGCGACCCGCCACATCAGATTTCTTCCCACTTCAACACAGGAATGAGGTTTGGTTTACTTACGTCGGGCAACAGCGAACATCGTACGCAGTAGCATCAAAGTGCACGTCATCATACTCCCACTGTATCAACCAGGGTTAGTATACTCAGAAAGGCATGCCAAATAAGTCAATCGTCACTGATACATATCGACACTCCGAACAGAACTGTTCAAACTCCGAATAATGATAACTAGGCTGAAAGTCGGACTACAGAAGTAACTTACAGTATAGTAGCCGGCATATGCGCTATTCCGGACGGTCGAGTACCCTACGGGACATCCCGTGTAGTAGTTGACGACACCGTCGATCGTGGTCTTTGGCCCATAAGGGGATGTCGTGGGAATAGGAACGTTACAAGATGAATCGTACCAGGACGGGGCGCCAAAGACATCAACAGTGCAGGTAAGCCAATCTGGATATGAGATTTGGCTTTTCAAGTCCAAGTAGCAGCTTGTTGTCACAATCCAGTTGTTAGCCGGATCCAAACACTCTGGCAGCGGCGTGAATTGAACGGCTGGCGGAGCGGTAATGCTGGCAGGCAGCAGCGTGGCCGCTGGGATGAAGTCAGTGGTCGTCGCCATCGCTCATGTATCGCCTCGGCTTCACTTGAAAGGGATCAGAAGATGAGCGACAATAAGAGTAGTGTGGTGCGACATGAGCGTCTCTTGTATTGTGGTGTGCAATATGCTGTGCCGCATTACTGCGATGATTGGTGAGCCTACTGTAGCTGGTGAGATTGCCAAGCCAGTAATCACACCGAGGAACTGGGAACTTTTTACGATACCACAAAGGCTAAGTTTAGACAGCTGAGGCTAATCCTAGCATCGTTACTGTCAAAAAGGAAGGATTTCTTTGAATCTTAGGTAGCGAGGTAGGACTATGATGCGACGTTAGGATCGCATGATAACATCTTATTCAGAACTACGGTCAATTCCTGGAAGGTAATAAGGTTTCTGATAAGATGCTTGCATCTAGGTAAATACTACAAAGGGACTCTGTATGGCAGAAGGAACACTTGAGATATGCCATCTACACTTTGACTGGGGTTAAGCTCAAAGTCCTACATGACTCACGATCCTTGATTATTATTACACGTCGTTAGCCCCTAGCAGCTCAACTAACATTAACATCTTACAACAGCTTTTCGCGATTAATGAACCGACGCGCAAAGAGTGAGAATGCATTTAGCAACCGAAACTTTGATAGTGTAAATGTGACTATACTTGTAACTCATGATATCAACAGCTGTTTGATTCATCAGATGAGTTGTTTCACATAAACTCATATATACATTACATACACTCAAGACAGTCAGCTAACCTGGGTGCCGTACACCAAGCGAATAGTCGCTCGAGTAAAAGATTCCTCCGTATACTCGGATCATTCAGGCATGTTGGCGATAGTCGGTGATTTATGATAATGATCGTCGATTCTAACGATATAATTGTTTCTGTTGTCAATTATAAGTTGTGTGATTGTACCTATTCGTGCCAGCCAATTGCCGGTACGGCAAGGGGCGCTGCCAATCGGTGTGCAGCTGTCATAGTGATTTGTCAGCTGATAGCTTCTCGCAGCTTCGAGGCCACAATCGCGCAACCATCTCAAAGCAAGCGCTCAACCAACATCACATTTCATACCCGCCAGACCCTTACGCCTTCTGCGAATATTTGATTACTGAAGAAGAATATCCAAGACCTTGAAATTACTCACATACAACTGACTGAAGCAAAGTGTAAAATCCAAGATGAGCGACAAGATCAAGCACCTCACCTCGAGCTCCGAGCTCTCAGACCTCTTCAAATCAACGACTTACGTGGCGGTGGACTTCTACGCCGACTGGTGTCCTCCGTGCAAGGCGATCGCGCCCATCTACGAGAAACTAGCAGCGCAACATGCTGTTGAAGGCATCCTTGCCTTTGCCAAGATCAACGTTGATCGCGCCCAGGATGCCGCGACGACGTACGGGGTCACTGCCATGCCGACTTTCATGTTCTTCAAGGAGGGGCGCCATGTTGCAGTGAACGGCCAGAATGTGATTCAGGGCGCAGATGTGAGGAGCCTTGGCGCGGCGGCCGAGAAGCTCGGCGGCCTTGCGCAGAAAAGGGCAGCTGAGGCTACGTCGTCATGATGGCGGGGTAGATTCGGTCTGGTTGTGTTGGGTTAACATGGTCGGAGTGGGATGGCTGTGAGCACAGGGTGTTTGTGTACGGGGATTGGGCCGTGTCATCTTGGGGTGAGAAGATGCATGCATGGGATTCCGGCCTAGGATCGCACGTCTACTGCCGCTGCTTCCGCCATCTAAAGCACGTGAGGTTGTTTCAAGACATCACATGGAAATTTTGGATGGCCAATTGCTGCTGCGATAGCTACACCACAAAGGCAGCAGAGGACTCAGGAACCTCATGCTGATACTAGCAATCATACCTAACCTACTGGTTGGGTGGGCACAGCTGCCGACAGCTGTGATATACTAGGATGTCAAGCTAGGCGGCATGGTTTCGTATGAGATGCTTCCAAACGCTCAGCATCTTCGAGCCTACACAGGTAGAAAGCATATCAATTGGCCATTTCTGTCTTCAGGTAGTGATCAAAGTATGTATATAAGTGACTCACATGATCTATTAACACCAGGTGACAGGCAACTGCATACTCTTCCCCCTGATGTAGTATGAGTCGACATCTAGTACTATTGTCCCTATTTATTGGTGGTGTCTTATACCAAATCAACGAGCAGCAAACATCTCGTCACACAAGTTGAACTACCTAACTAATAGCTATTTGCCACGTAGGGCGAGCTCCATGACCACGAGATCGCAGTCCTCCAATCTCCTGTTTCATGAAAATGGCCTTTGATAAGTAGGCCATTCACACCACATTACGACCGCCAAGACTAACCAATGGCTTCAAGAGACGCGAGCGCTGATCAGCGCATCACCTACACAGAACCTATTCGACTATTCAAGAGAGAATACCGCGAAGGCAGTAATGGCTCGAAATGGCCCCGTAAGCTTAGAAACGACGGCTCATGATGGGGGGGATGAGAACCCCACGAATCCGAGCATCAGAAGCTGTCCGAAGAACACCCTCCAATTTCCCTTATGCTAGTTCGCAAGAATCAGATCGCCGGCCCTTACCACTGGTCGCTGGCCGTCGTACCGGATGGAAAGCCACCCACCCGCATTTACCAAGTCACGGGTGACGCCGAACACATGTATTATGCGCACTCGCTGGACGCACCGGAGGGTACGGGCCATCAAGGAGTTGCGCACTATTGTGTCTGCTGAGCGTGTGACTATGGCGGAGAAGCTTATGGAGCCTTTACCTTGAGGAGTACTTGCTGTACGCAGGTTTATCTAATTACTACTGGCTTGGTATTGCCTAAAATCATCATCAATCTAGATCGAGGAGGCTGCTCAGCCCTCGCCGCCAACCTCCGAGATATGCATCATGAGAGTCATCACAGAATTATATCTAGCAAATAAAGTCAATTCAATGCGTTTATTCTAGCCCTCATGTTGTAACTAAGTTACGTCGTAGAGCGTCTCTCTGCTACCTGTATCTGCGAGGTGCTCTTAACTGCTAGGTGCCTGTCAGGCCTGATTCATACCAAATACGCAATCATCCTGGACTCGATAAGGACGTGCTACCATGTGAAACCAATGCGCTGCTCGCAAACTAGGATAATTCACCAGCACTCCGCCTTACAACTAGGTTCTTTTTGCACTGGTTGAGGCTGCCTTTCTAAGATTTCTGGTTGGTCTCTTTCCGTGCGTGCCCTTTTCACCATTATATTCGCCTGAGCCGTCGTCCACCTCTGCGTCGTCATCATCATCCCCTAACTCTTCATCCAGTGTGGCATGATCCGTCGCCTTGACTGATAGTTTCACACGTTTTGGTCTCTGCGGTGTGGCTTCTTCCACTTCATCTGCTTGTGAATTCGAAACAGAAACGGTATCGTCGGTATTGCGGCCCTGTCCGTAGCAAACTTCGGCCTTGACCAGTACTCTTGGCGTTTTGAATTCATCACCAGCCGAATTAGTTAGCTGGATTAGAGCTGGCGTGACAACCAGTTCGACGGCATCATTCTGCCTGATGCATTTCTATAAGAGAATATTAGAATGCTGAGCTGTATTATGAAGAAGCAAGTAAGGGCTCAAGTTAATAGTGATTATAAATAGATGAGAAAAAGGAATTGTAATCATGCATAAAAGGGGAGCGGGCGGAGAGCACGAATATATGAAGAGTACCAACAAATGAAAAGCATGTATAAACGGCGATTTGTGCAAGCAGATTGATATGGAATAAACGGATGAAGCGGACGATGCTAACCTCGATAATCTCCATCCATTCGTCGTTGTACTTCTCGGCCACTGCAACATCTGCAGCCTGTTCCGTTCTTCGGATAGCACACTTCGTACGAGATAAAGTGAGGCCCTTAGCAAGTTGGACGGCTTCATTGGTAATAGTATCAATGTGACGCTCCGCGTTGCCGCTTTGCTCAGGGTTGACCAGTGGGGTGATTTGGGAGATAAGTAGGTCTCGGTAGGTCTTGACTCTCGCCTCCTGGGGCTCTGTATCGCTGAGCAACTGCGCAGTCATTACCCGCCAAAACTCTCGAGTCGGCCGAGGTGCGCTCGCGAGACCTGTAGAGTTAGCATTTAAACCACTACACACACAATAGCAAGAGAAATACTTACTTAAAACGTGCTCGACAACCTTGCCAATCGTGTTGGTAGTTCCCCATATGAAGAAAGGGTTACAAAGCAGTTGATCGTAGAGTAAGCACCATATGTGAGCCTCAGCGAAACGTCGTGCATAGAATCGATTCCTGAGGAAGTGGCCAATAGGAGTGCTTGATAGTGTTCTCAATTTCGCGGTGACATCGGCTGGGAGAGAAGTGACCAAGGTTGGGTGACTGCAGTATGTCTTGGTGAACCATCTGATGTTATCCCGCAACTCCAGGAATTGTTCTTCAAGAATGATATCTAGGTACGGTGCGCTGTGTCGAATGATCCCAATCTGTTCTATGTCTTGGCGAAGTGTCTCGCATTGTGTTTTAGTAGGCTCTAGAATTGCCTTCACTTCATTCAATTGAGTGCCTGCCAAATCCAACTTTGATTGGGCGGCGTCTAGTCGCTGTTGCTCTATTTCCAATTGGTCTTGGGTTGCTTTCAGTCGGTCCTGTGCTACGTTCAACTTGATTTGAAGTTCATCTCGATCATTCATAGGTTCCTTAGACGTAGTACTGAGAAATTTGTCTAGCTGATTTTTGAGCAAAGAAATTTCATTTCTGAATTCTCTGAGTTCGTCTTTATGACTGGCTAATTCATTGCGAATGTTTTGAGCACTCTCACATGGGTGAATCATCTCCGATGCGTCGTCTGCTGTCGCATCTTGGGGGTCATCTGTAAGATCAACTGCTGTAGGCTGGGGACCAGGTACGGCATTCTCTTCGGTAGAATGTGCGACTTTCTTACTGAAGTGCTGCGCTTCATCGTCACGGTCACTGCCATCGCCGCCCTCACCGACAGAGCGTTGTCTTTTGTTTGAACTCATGCTGAGACGGGTGTTCATCGAAGAGATCTGTCAGCTTGATCACCTAATGTTAACTATCTCTCCTGAAACTGGCCTTTGAAACCACGATGTTATCGTAGGGTAATTAAGCGTTCGAATTGAACACGCAAGGTAGGGTTGTCAGCGAGTTTGCAGATAAATGGGTGCCTAGGTGGCTGCTTGATGGGAAGATTTGGTCTGGGGGATTTATCTACCAATGACCAAGAGAGGTAGAAGGTACCTAGGTACAATGCAAATGAAGAATTTTACCTTGATATATTATTGTAAGGGAAAAAACTGAAGTATGGCGTACTTGGGTACGTAGTCAGAGAGGGAGGTTAGGTTGTAAACGTGGCGTACCCAAGTAAATTAGACAGCCAACTTGTTGAAAGGAAATTCAGCATCTCGGTAAGTGCGTCTTGGGCCCTGGTACGTGCCTTCCCGAGTATCCTATATCACCACAGAAACAAACAGCAAGTACATTTTCTAGGTATCTCTTTGATTTACCTACATAGCTATTTAACTACCTATCTATTGATCAGACCTCTACCCGTACATCCACCTGTTCCTATCTTTTCTCAGAGTTGCATCAGATTCTCGCATTTGCATATCAAGACATTTAACTTCCCGTTCTCAATATCTCCGTCCAGCACCTTTCCTACTGTTATCCCTCTTCCCAGCATCATCGCCGAAGTTCAGTGTATCTGGCCACGCAGCAGCCCTGCTTCAACTCTCGCTACGTCCTTTCCAAGATGGCGCATCGAAGCGACCACAAGGGTGTGGTAGTGATTGGGATCGATTTTGGCACCACGTAAGTCTACCATAGGATGCAGACAGGTACTTGCCACTGACTCCTCAGATTTACGGGCGTGGCGTTTGGTTATGTCAGAGAGGGTGGCAGAGGTCCTAGTGATGTAAAGCCTGAGGCAATCACTTTATGGCCAGCACCAGACCCGGAAGATCCCCATTCTGACTCACCTAAAGTGCCTTCGCGGATATCTTATGGTCAAGATGGAACTGTTGCCTGGGGACACCAGGCAGCTGACAGTGCAGATTTAATCACATGGTTTAAGTTACTTTTACTTGACGAGGACAGTTTAGAACCACACCTTAGAAACACCGCACACATCATTCAAGCTCGCAACAGCGTGGAGAAGACTGGCAAGAGTGCGGTCGAAGTCATTTCTGACTACCTAGGCAAGGTTTGGGACCATGCCCTTGAGGCTGTTACCAGAATCAACGGACAAGATTTCATGACCACTCGCGCTTTTCACCTGGTCATAACCGTGCCTGCAATTTGGCAGGATAGCACAGTTGCACTAATGGAATCCGCAGTCGAAAAGGCAGGGATTTTAATGAAACACCAGGGACGCGAAAACACGACTTACACTATTGTCTCGGAGCCAGAAGCTGCAGCTCTAGCTGTAATCGATGGTTACAACAAATATGACGTTCTTAAAACTGGGCAAACGTTGATTATTGTCGATTTAGGCGGTGGTACAGCCGTAAGATACTTATTTACTCTGGATCTACTGGTAAAACCCAGCTAATACTAAAATGTGTACACAGGATCTTATCAGCTTCAAAGTTAAATCAATGAAGCCGAACCTAGTTCTCGAGGAGGTTGTGGAGGGAACGGGGGGGTTGTGTGGCGCCACTTTCCTCGACGCAGCTTTCTTAGGTTGCGTTGAAAAGAAACTAAAACGAATGAAGCTAAAGAACCGAAAATCGCCATCCTGGTCACAAGTGAGTCGACGGGAACAGAAAAGTGTCTTGAATACCGTGTGGGAGAAAGGTATCAAGAGAAAATATTCCGACGGCAAGCGAAGCCCTCGAATCGAGTTGAATGAACACCAAGGTCAAAAGGTAGAAGTTTTGCTAGACAAGTGAGTACTCAACTATCTGAAGTGTTAAGTTAACTGAGTAAACTAATCATCTATTTCATTCAATAAGATTTGACATGGACGCTATTTTCAATTCTGTGTACAACGAGATTTCACGACTTGTTGAAGGACAAGTTCAAGCCATCATTAGCAAAACAAAAAAACAGCCCCAGGTATTAGATATTGGCCTCGCATACGGTTAATTTTTCTTACCGCTGACATAACATATCTTAGTTTATCATTCTAGCTGGTGGCTTTGGATGCTGCCAGTATATCCATCATCAGCTCTCTCAGAAATACGAAGGCCGTATTGAGATACTCCTCGAGAACGGCGAAAAACCGTAGGGCAGCTATACTTGTTGTTCGGCTTTCTTCTGACCCTGTCTTAGGTGGACGGCGGTTGCGCGAGGCGCAGTTATTTCTGGAGTCGGGCATGTGATCAACCAAGACGCTGTTGATTCCCACATCTCGAGATATTCTTACGCTTGGTTGAAAATGGAGGACTTCAAGTACAGTTGAGGCAATACCTTATGATTAGTAGCCGGAAGCTAACGTCATGCTGGGTAGTCGTCGCATTCATAACATCGAAGATCATGATATTCACGAGCTTACAGGTTGCCCCATGGCCAAAGAACAAATGGAATGGATCATCCTCCGTGTTTGTTGCAGCCATATATATTCCAATTGAACCAGACTACTGATGTCTATTTAGGGCGAAAGCGTTAAATCTCGTAAGCCTCGAACATATGAGTATGACAAGTTCTTTGGTATCGACGACGTCGGTTACGTCTCGTTTTCAGAGCCGATCTACCGTTCGAATCTCGCCAAACCGCCGAAACGGTTGGCAGAGAATGAGCCGGAGCATGATCCAAATAAGCCTTCTGACCCCACGGGTTTCCGGGAGCACGTCGTGATTGACATGAAGACCCCTGTGCCCGTAGAGGAACTGCCTCGACGAAGAGGAATAAGATACCCTCATCGTGTGCTTGAGTACAAGGTTGAGGTGAATATACAAGGGTCATCTTTGATCATAAAGGCCACAGCACACGGCAAAGAAATTGGGAAAAAGGTGATCTCGGGATATTCAAAGTAGATGATGGAAGAAATTCTATCGTACCCAGACCTATCAATGAGTCTAGGCTACGATCTCGATGTGGAAACTAGAAGATTTGGTCAAGATTTTCTATAGAGACTGGAACACGCGGTAATACTCCTCACTGGATGAGAGAAGGATACAAAATGAGTTTCAGGAATCTTATGAGTGATCTACACTCGCGGCTGCAATGATTACATGGATTTCTGATAGCTAGGGATTGTCAGCTTATATACACCGGCTACATTGATTTGCAACAACAGGTAGCTATCGGCTCACTTTATTGCCAAAAGTCTGATCGCGATGCGACGTGTTGGCATAACTGGATGGACATTAGCATATCAAAAAGTCTATAGCAATACAATCTCAACATTATAATGCATTCCCCCCGTCCTTAGCTTCACTTGCATCTTTACTACCTACATGGTATTTTTCTTCTATGAGAACTCCGACAGATATAGGCGCAGAACACGTATACAGAATTGAAGTAAAGTTTGGGTCCAATCCATGTCCTAGCACATGATGTTCATGACTCATAATTAGGTTTATGCAATCGCAAGGTGTAGGTCGATTCCTGGATGCGGACGGAATAATAGTCAAGCTCCCACTAGGTATAAATTTGCTACCTTCTCTACACCTATACATATTCTTCAAGTCTACCGATCAAATCACTCGTTCAGCTATTGGCGTGCGTCGCTAGAATATGTTACTTCCAATACAAAATTACATTCAATACCATCAGAATGGACGTATTAGATGAACTTGAGTCGCTGGCCGCCGCTGTGGTTCAACAGTCCGAACAGCCTGATGAACCAGACCACAACGATATAAAGCAATGGCAGTCATTATTTGGGCTCACATATGCTCAGGTCAGTAACAGCGAAAGAGAATCCATTAACATGATTACTAACTACCAATATTATCCGAATAGTCTCTTCAAGAAATACAGGCCCACCGGTCGAACTTGTCGCGAACAAGAGTGTCGGATTCGCACTGGGAAATTGTACGTGCCGAAAAGGAAGCCCAAGGATTCAGCAGAGAGGCATACGAATACTCTGCGACTTCGAAAGCGACAAAGCCCTCGGCAACAAGAGTCACCCATGCAGCCAGCAACCAAAGTTACCTTTTGAAGCTGGAAGGACCCCTAGGCAGCGCAGAGGTGGTCAAGCGAGCTTCGCGGTCGAAGAAAGATCCCGCCGTCTATTACGGCACAGATGACGATGATAAACCAGCCATATTTGTAAGTGGATTGAACAAGCACTGGCCTCGCCGTCTTTTTCTTGTTCATTCAAAGGAAAACACCCCCATTGCATACTTACCTGACAATGGAATGCGTATAACCGGGTGTATCAAACCCGCGACCAGCTAATCATACGGGCTCTAATGTCGGTGGGTGACATTGAAGTCGGCTTACCACCCTTACTTATTTGTTTACTCCTTTTTCTCGGCAGAGGATGTGGCTAACATTTGACATTGTATTAGTGCAAAGTCGACTCGCTTGCTAGAAGCACTATCTTAGCCTACTTGTCTGAGATCGAGTCGCGATTCCAGCCAACATTCATTAAGTACTCCATAGCTACAAAAGAGCTATCGAGGACCTCCGCATACCCGACTCTCGGAATCGATGCCACGATGCCACAGTATCGCCCTTCGTCGACAAATGATACGATTCTCACCCCCTCTCAAAACCAGTACCCTGTCTGTTACTTCTTTTATGGGACTCTCGCCGATCCTACAGTGCTAGGAAGGCTCCTTGGCATTGAGCCAGTGTACAAGGATGCGACTGTCTATGGAGGCACTCTGTGTATGTGGGGAGGAAAATATAAGGCCATGATAGACAAGCCTCGTGGGGTTGCACATGGGAATGCGTTTTGGGTTCAGAACCAAGCCCAGGAAGAGATCCTCCGTTGCTATGAGACTGATAAATACGAAGTTGTCAGATGCGAGCTTAATGTCGAAAGCAGAAGGATTCGAGGGCTCACGTTCCGATTTATTGGGGACCTTTAGGGGAACGTGACGCCATGGTTCTATGAGACTACACTGATCGCAGCGGCAGGCAGCGATGCATCTTTTGGACTGGCGGGCATCGATAGCACTATGCGACATCCCAGTGTGGAGATCCAACTGCCGAATCACCTGGTCCTGGTGTCTACCCATCGAGAGGCTAATCTCGCAGTAGCGGAGTCCCCTTGGAATACCCGTGGGTGGACTTATCAAGAAGGACTATTCGCACGACGGCGCCTGTATTTCCTCCCTAACCAGATGTATTGGCAGTGTCGTGGCTTTGAAGCTCAGGAGAGTTTCCAATTTCCCTATAAAGCCATCCGTAACGGTGTTCTACGATCATCTTTACCAGCTACGGGTGACACAGCTTCCCATAGCCAATCCAGTCCAGTTTTGCGCGTACATAAGCCATATGTACTTCCCGCATTGCACGAGTTTGGTCGAGGCATCGTTGATCTCGAGCAGGAGGGAAGCGAGCCTGATATTGAATTTTCAGGTCAGCATCTTTGGCTTGGAAACTGTATGTCTCTGTCTCTTTCCTCCGACCGGGCAAGATTCCAAAAGCAGGATTGGGGACGGGTACATATACTTCATACTACTATGTATGAGCCCCTGGGATACATAAACTCTACCTACGATTACTGGGAGGTTTCTAGTCCCGAGGTCAATAGCTTCATAGGCTAATCTACATAGTGGAGGAAACGACGTTGTTCAGATGTGGGAGAGAATTGGGGTTCTCCATGTGCAAGTCATGACCCCATCTTACGCGGGTTTTTTGAGGTGCTCGAGGTTTACGGAATGAAGATGCACGACCAAGACTATTTCATTGCATGAATTCCCTGAGAAGGAGAAAAAGCCAGCACCATAATTTTCGATGGAAAATGACACATCTATTATGTCGCTGTTCGAGCTGGAAAAGGGGCGTGAGATATGATATACCATAACATTGAGCGAAGCTAGATCTGCGGTCAGTTTTCGATAAATCTCTCAGGTGTCTGCCGGACCCGGATGGCTTGCGCTGTGCATGGAGGCTCGTACGCAGAGTTGTTCGATTCGGGGTCGCAGGTATGGACTATGTAGATCATATGAAGAGATTATAGGTCTCGACACTGCGGATGGCTTCTTGTAGCCCTAGATTCTCCTCTGCGTTTTCCTTGTCGTTATCTCTTTCCCCTTGATCAAACCGTCGTCTGGCAAATATAAAATACGCCCAAGCTAGCATAAACACACAAACTGGGACAGCAATTCCAAACACAATCCCCCAGATGCTTTTCACCTTTCCTGCAAGTGCGACCATGCCGAATGCAGCACAAGAAGTCATCCCAAAACCAGCAGCCAATGTGGTTCCAAGCCGTAGTGATTGATCAGTGATACCCGGGGCTGTATCGCTGACTATGAAAAAGCAGGCTGGGATTTTAAGGATCGCTTGCAGTCGGCGAGCTTTCGATACAATTCCGTCGCGACGCCGTACCACCAGTGTTTCGACTGTGCATGCAACTTGGATCATTATGTACTTCCATATTAGGATCATAACAAACTCTCCTAGACACTCTTCCATGGTTATCTATGTCGGCTTTGAATTGATGTGTATATTTCTCGAAATATCCGATGAGATTTGAGGGCGCGAAGTGAGGATATGCCAGGCTTTCAGGAAATGTGTGTGAATACGGATGCTTGTGAGAACTAGCGCAGGTGCTTATTCGACTGGGAGTGATGAATAGCAGACACTTGTTCGAGGACTCCTGAAGTTGGAGGAAAAGTCATGTCGTAGAAATGAGTACTTAGTAGGTCAGATACATCATGTTCTTCGTATGAAGATAAAGTTACCTGAGTGCCCATTCAATGATTAATAAGCTCTCCCACACACTTCAAGCAAGCTTTGTAAAGTTCAACCTTGAATACAGGTAGGTGTCCCGCGCTAAATGAACAGATCCGTGCCGTTGCAGATGCTCTATGCCATCAAAGTTTATGTGGCATACTTATAATGTAAGTTTATGCAATAGCCCCAATTAACTCAGGTAGCTCATAGCATGTTCTTTAGTTTATTGATAGCAAGTTGGTTCTTTCTACCCTCTCTGCGAGCTGAGTGGCTGCGACATCAATTGCATGCGTCCAGGGCATCTGACGCACGTACATCATCACCTCACTCCAGTTATCCCACCCCATCTGCCGCATTCGTAAAGGAATCATGCCCGCCAGATTTGGTGAAGCGGCGGGGACGTCACAGTTGATACCACATAGAACAAGTAGCCAGAGATGAACCGACATGAGATCTGTATCAGTTAAGACGTCCGACCAATCAGGCTGCGTCAAGAGGCTCAACAATTTTTGTACAATCGCCGTAGGAGAGCCAGGGTATGCATGGTACCTGCGTTGTATCCAAATAACCCAGAGCAGCGCCCCCTGACGCAAAGCCTCTGATATCGGAGAAGGCCGGTAAGAGATGTCAGTGACCGGAGGCCTATCCAGCAAGCGATGTGCTACTGGGTTGAGCCAGAGACCTAATAATACAGACTCTCCCCATAAGACATCACCTCTAACGGTTAGTTCTGATTCGATGAGAGAGGCTATTGCGTTTAAATCCATCATGCATGATAAGACATGAGAAATGTTTTTGTCTGCTTTGGATCTCAAAATCATCAGAGTGCGAAGGGGTAGTGGTAGCTCTACCGGAGGCACAACAGGGACAAGGTCTGAGGGCAGCGGAAATCGTGGGATAGAATCATGTAGTAGAGACGTTGTTACATCAACCCTATGAATGGATATTAGCCTCTATCTCATATAGTGAGTAGAGCAATATCCCCCCGTCATGTCATTTCATACCAGAAGATCATAAGTCTGATCTCGTCATGATCGCGCAAGGTAAAACTGTCGCCAAGAGCGGCAATCAGTGATTCTAAGCCCCATATATGGAGTAGTGCCTGGTCACGATCAGAGGATATCAACTAGTCAAGCAGGAGTCAGCTCCCAATCTCTAATAATAACGTAGACAGTTTAATCGCCCTTACATTGAAAGAAATGACGGCAATGATAGCGAGAATGACAAGTTCGGTAGATGGATTCTCCAAGTTGGTACCCGCCAATGCTGTTTCAACACATGAAATAGCATCCATCGAACGCTCGAGGGCCATCATCTTGAGTCTCGTGGGCTTTTCGTGGGGTACGCCTGCGAGTTGACCGGGTCTGATGATCAACTGAGCATAATGACGGAGAAAGGGGGATTTCTGGAACGCGAAAGGGAATATGAAGCGCTCAGTAGAGCGATCTGGACCTTGGTGTTAGGAGTACCAGATGGAGGGGCATAAACGATAATGGAGGATTTTAGTAAGGCTCACCTGTCGACACCGGGTTTCTGCCTTCGTTAAGCATCAGCATGATGCCGTAGGCTGAGAACATATCCCTGCCCCAATGACTTTCTAAGACGTCCAAAGGATGCTGATGCCAGAAAGGGTACACCAAAGCGGGCATGTGCCGCCTATCTATAGAATCATCATTATGTCGGCTACTTTCGGACTGGGCAACTGGTGTGGCGTTATCATTACCGGAGAACTGGAAGACCATCTCAAGCTGCGGGTTTCTGAGGCGCTTCCTGCGCTTCCTGCCAATGTCAAGCATCACATGCTGACGAATCTTGGTTTTGGTTTTATGATCACGATCGTGGACGTGAGTCGGACCAGCATTGTGGACAAAAAGGAGCGGTGTTTGCTTTGAGTTCATGGTTTCAGGTTGTTAAGAGACTAGGCTATCAAAAAATGCTTCAGATGAAGAGCTGTATTCATGGCGCTTCCAAGAAACCATTCAGAGAATAAAAATTGTCTTGACTTATCATGATTACGTGTGTTAAGAGGAAATGAAGACACAGAAATGGCTATGGTAAGTTCAACTCTTGATTAGTAAAGCCGCCGATGAAGAGCTACTCCTAATCAAGTAATAGGTCCCTGGTAAGCTGCAGCCCTGGTTCCGCTCGCGACCTGGCACTAGACCAAGCTCGGCCCAGGGCCCTAATATCTCGTGATTCTCGTCACTACTCGCCGTCGTTTGTGTTGCCGGCGAATGACTCGCGACAATCTGTATAAAACCTGCAACACCGAGAACAATCATATTGCAGAAGTACATGCTAACCAAGACTTCATAGTTCGAGGACGAGTTATCGAACTCCAGGGATCTTGTCTCCCCATCCCCCAGGTTGACCAATCAGCCTTCGTAGACTTCGGTTGGTCCGGTCCACCCTGTCCGCTTGATCCAATCCTCAAAGGTGCTGGCAGTGACGCCCAGTTCCTCGGCCGAGGTGTCCTCCTCAGGATCTAGAGCTCCATAGCATATTTTATCCGTAGGAGCCATAGAAAACCAGTCCATCATGTGCTTGATGTCGTCTCGAAATGCTGGGCCAAGCATAGGGATTGTGAATTCTGCCCATTCGGCACTGGTAAGTGGGTCATGGACTGCCTTTCGCCCAGTAACTCGGGTGAAGATGGCAGCAATTTCATCCATGCTGATCATTGGGCTTATGGCTGGGTACACCTTTCCCGCTGTCTTTTCCACTCCCAGATCGAAGATCCCTGCGCCCATTATGTTAGCGGTGTTATCTACTGGGAGCTAACAATAGAGTCTAGTGGTAGCCAGGTAGTAATAGGCAAACACAAGTTGGCATGGCGCAAGGTACGTACTATTAGTGAATACGCCTACATCATAGGCAGGATCCGTCCATTGCATCTTCCGGGGTCCCGGGATGGGGGCGCAAAACCGGACAACACCATCGCCTACGATAAAACGAACTCAGTTTCTAATAATTATCGAGGTATCCACTGAACCGAAAAGCTCGACGTGGGGGAAAGACATACCTCGAAGCCGACAATAATGAGACCACACATGGTTAGAATAGAAGAGTCCTACCAATACGTCAGTATGTGAGAGAAGATGGGGATTATTATGGGAGTAGTCGAAAATGTACCCGGAATGACCGCAGTCACACAATCAAGTTGACTCCTGGCATATTGCTCGATCTCGTATTTCAGGTCCATGTGATAGATATCCGTGAAACGGCCACCAGTGGCCTTGACCATATCGGGGAGGCTGCTGAAGACGAAATGCTTTACACCACAGTGCTTCGCGGCGTCAACAATAATTCTCCCTTGTTCTACCTCCTGCCGCAGCTCCTCGGGCTGAACCAGAGTTTTGCCGTGGACCGTCTGGTTGGTATTCAGGAACACGCCATAAGCACCAGAAAGTGCGGCTCGCATACTTTCAGCACTGTAAACATCTCCAGATATAAGGCTCACGCGGTCCTTGGCAGCTTCGTATTTGGACATGAATTCCTTTGCCCAGGGTGAGGACGTGTCTCGAGTAACACCGCGAACGATCCACTGGGCCTTGGGATCCCCAATCAAGGCAGAAACGACGCCGTCCCCTTGATTTGAAGTGGCACCGATAACAACAATGACTCGTTGATCCGACATTTTGACGTAGACGTACACTGAACCAAGGGCAGAGGATTTGTATAAAGGCAGAAGTAGGGTTGAAAAAGAATTGTTAAGTAAATCCACGAAGAACAATGAGATTCTGAATTCGTTGCCATGTGGCGGACTGGTCAACTATTTATGCGTGATATGTTGCGCCTGAATTTGACATCCGGCGCATTCGGAGGTTGATCTATGATGGTTTCATGAATCTCATCACGATAATAAGTAGACAGTCGTTAAGAACGATCAGACGCTTGAGTCTAAAAGGGCAATAGGTCCTCCAAATGAGGAATGGATATTGGCCCACATGGCTTCATATGTGGGACAGGGACTTGGAGTTGTTGAGAAGTTGATAAGTATCCTATCTATGTTCAGCTCCGCGTTCGAATGTTCTTCCGATGTGTAGCAGGAACACGACCAGGAATACGGCATTTTCCTTCCATTATTGCTTTGATTTCTAATCTGGCCCTGATTCCAGATTTCTAATCAGGTGAATTTCTAACATGGTCTATCTAGACTTCAATATGTGAATTCTTAGACCCCTCAGACAACCCCATGACAGGTCTCTTGCATCTGTCTCTCTGCCCAGGCCCAGGCTCACTCTATCAAGCTGTTCGAACACGAGCACAAGGAGCCATAGTTCCTCCAGATCAATCCTAACGGTCGTATTCCCGCTCAGACCGACAGGCTAAAAAACGGTAAGGAGGTCCGGATCTTTGAATCCGGCGCCATCCTGCTGTACGTTGTCTTCCGATACGATAAGGGTCATAAGATTGGCTCGAAGGAGTACTGGGGATCCGTGAGCTAGCTTATGTGGCGGATAGGTGGTCTTGTGCCAACTCAAGGATAGACGAACCACTTTGTTAGCGCCGCTCCTGAGAAGTACGAGCACACTCTCTCAGCTGTTATGTAAATGAATCCCACCACATTTATCGTGTCTAGACACCTAGCTATCGAAAATTTCTCACGGAAATATTGCTGGGGACTGCGCCACCGTCGTTGACATTGTCGTCTGGCCCTGGATCTAAGCTTGGTATGGCACGTGACGGTTCACGGTACTGACGTTACTCCGTAGAGGCTTCTGGTCTGAAGACCATGGGTGAGTTTTCTAGCGTCGTTAAGTGGATGACGAAGCTCCTTGATCGCCCGGATTCGAGAAGGGCCGCAATGTCCCTGGACCTCGCTTTAAAGCTTTCACATACACCTCAACGAAATGTCGAAGGAAGAGATTGACAAATTGATAAGACTTCGCACTAGTTTGGTCATAGGGGGTATGAAAAGGGATGTAGAATGAGTTCTACACAAATTAAAGTTGTCCTCAAATGGCAATGCCGCTCTAAAGTGCTTTTAGAAAATTAATTATATGAATAGCCGATGTTCTCTCTTGCATCATCAATTACTCGCCCATATCTATAATGTCGTTGTCAGCTCACGCATTTCGCCAAGAGCAGAATTGGGGTTGATTGACACTTACTCCAATAAAAGTCTAAAGAACCAAACCTCCATATCCTCCTTCCGCATAGTCTTCGCTACCCACTCGCGCTTCAGCATCGCTAGGCGCTCGGCCTCTTTCCGTCCTACAGGGTCACTCGTGAAGAAGCGGATAGTCTCGAGCCAGTCGCTACCCATACCGCCAACATCACTGCCGGCATCGCCGTCTCCGCCATCAGCGAACCGGAGGCTGAGCGGGATATAATGGATCCAAGGCCAAAGCCACTCGTTGGTCCACTCACGGAACACGCCGACCTTGTACACGAGGCTCTTGCTGCGGAGCAGCGTCAGGAAGCGCCCGCTAAAGGCATTGCCGTCCATGTCGAGCAGGTGCCTGTGTGTCCAGCCCTCCTCGCGTGTGCGCGACTCCTTCAATCCGAAGGCGGCTTCCTGCTCCTTGCAGTCATCGTCGTCGCATTGCACTATGTTCGTGAAGCCAACGTCCATGAGATGCTTATACGCGGCGCGTGATATGTTCTGTGGTACCCAGATGATGTCTCCAGTCTCGGTCTCAGTCTGTGATAGAATTGGACTCTCGCCTGCGGACAGCTGCAGCGCTTTGACGACGCGCTGGCGGTGCTGGTAACGCCACGAGCCACCCTGGCTCTGACCGCCGGTCGTTGAGCCTCGCCAGAAGAATGTCTCGTTCTTGGCACTCCAGTCTATGTCTGTGGACTCGTTATAATCGTCGACAGCCATCCAGTACCAGGGTGCTGGGATGAGAATGTCTTGGTTTGACGATGTCTTGGACGATGAAAAGACTGGTATCAAGTCGTGCGTGATTCTAGTCCCGCATGTCATGACGAAGTACCCGTGCGTTGAGGAGAGCGAAGGCGAGTTGCAGATGTCGGTCATGCTCGTCGCATTGGATGGGAAGCCAAGTTCGCCAAAGGCATACTCGGACGTGTCGTCTCTTGGAGACTCCTCGAGATTTCTGGCCGCCGATTGAGGGCCACAGGATAATTTAGAGGGTTGCCACATGGGTTGGTTCTGGAGCTGGAAGAAGCGCGTATGATGGAATGTCTTGAACCCATCTTGATAAATTGAGTTGTGAGAAAATTGGTTCAAAGGGGTCTTGTTCGACCTCGCGCGAGGCATGGCACCGTTGCGAGCATTCTTGACCAGCTGGCTGAGGTCTTCATGAGGAACAACGACGCGGGGCTCGTCGGGCAGGTTGAAGGCCAGATTCATATCGGGTAGCCACTTGATGAAATCTTTAGTCATTTCCGGCACTAAGTCTTTCAAATATCCCCATCCATTCTCAGTCACGAACTTGATACTCCCGTTGCGGATCTGGACACCCCATAATGCGTTCTGGTCTGGCGGATAACCCAGACCTTCAACCGTCCTGGCACGTATCTCAGCGGGCAAAATGCCCCAGAATGGGGTGAGCAGCTCATGGATCAAGTCATACTCGTCGATAAGCAGAGAATTGCGCGCTGTCGCGAATTCATACCAGCGATCGAAATTTGGCGGCGGCGGGATTTGGTAACGACGTCGGTACTCATCAACTGCCTGCTCCAGTGTCTTCGATTGCCTGTCGACCGTGTTCCTCCAGCTCTCTTCTGCCTTGTTAATCAGACTCACAATAGGGTGGATGATGGATCCTGGTTGATTGTTGTTGTTATTGTTGCCGAATTTATCTCTGTTCAGTGGCCCTATCACCATTCTGTTGATGAAAGATACATCTTGGGGAACTAGGCCGAAGCTTAGTAGCGTGATCAGGACGAGTAGGGATATCAGGAGCACAGCTTTCCGGGCGATAAGTCGGCGATGCATTGCATTCCTTTTTGAGCTCCGCCAGACTCGACGGCTAATATCCCCGACGTGTAGTCTTTTCCGCGCGGATTCACAAGGAACGCAACACTGCGAAAAGCTTCTGATCTTTTGATCATTTCGTGAGACTCCATTGCAAGTGTATAAATTGCCTTGGCAGTAACATTATCGTTGATTTCAGCTGTGCCTTATCGGTTCAGCTCATCTCACGGTAATCAGCAGACTAATGGGCCAATAATGATTGTTCAGGCATATCTGAGTCCAAAGACAGTAAGTACAGCGCCACTTGAAATCGCCACATCTGTTACGCGCCGTAGACTACGGTGGGCCACTACCACAAAGTGCGAAAATAAAAAAATCAGGTCAAGTGCGGGGTAAAACCTATTTTCCAACTTTACTTAAGGGGACCAAATATAATAAAGGGTATAAAGTAAAGTTTTAAAAATATAAATAATTATTTAAATACCTATTTTAAAGGTTATATAAATTATTTATAGTTTATATTAAGCTTTATAACTATTTAAGTTATAGCTTTTAGCTATATAGGTCTATATTGTAGTTAATACTATAGGTTAGTACTATAGGTCTGTATTATAATCTGTATTGCAGTCTATATTAAAGGTTAGTATTAAAGGTCTATACTGAAGGTCTATATTGCAGTCAGTACTGTAGGTTTGTATTGAAGGTCTATATTGAAGGTCTATATTGAAGGTTTATATTGTAGGTCAGTATTGAAGGTCTGTATTGCAGTCAGTATTGCAGTCAGTATTGAAGGTCTGTACTGTAGGTTTGTATTATAGGTCAGTACTAAAGGTCTGTATTGAAGGTCAATATTGAAGGTCTGTATTGCAGTCAGTACTGTAGGTCTATATTGAAGATCTATATTATAGGTCTATATTGAAGGTCTATATTATAGGTTAATATTGAAGGTCTATATTACAATTAGTATTACAGTTAATATTAAAGGTCAGTACTGTAGGTCTATATTGAAGGTCTATATTATAGGTCTATATTATAATTAATATTATAGGTTTTTATTATAATCTATATTATAACCAAGTTATATAAATTATATATAGGAAGGTTAACTATATATAAGCGTATATATAATAAGCTATTAATTAAGTTATAACTTAACTGTTAAATAGGATTATTATATAGATTGTAATATAGACCTTTAATATAAACTTTTAATATAAACCTTTAATATAAACCTTTAATATAAACCTTTAATATAGACCTTTAATATAGACCTTCAATACAGACCTTTAATACTAACTATAATATAGACCTTCAGTATAGACCTTTAATACTGACTATAATACTAACTGCAATATAGACCTTTAATACTGACCTTTAATACTGACTGTAATATAGACCTTTAGTACTGACCTATAATATAGACCTTTAATATAGACCTTTAATATGGACCTTCAATATAGACCTTTAATATAGACCTTTAATATTAACCTTCAATACTAACCTTCAATATAGACCTTCAGTACAGACCTACAATACAAACCTTCAATACAGACCTATAGTACAGACCTTCAATACAGACCTACAATACTAACTGCAATACAGACCTACAGTACTAACTGCAATACAGACCTTCAATACAGACCTTCAGTACAGACCTTTAATACTAACCTACAATACAGACCTACAGTACAGACCTTTAATATTGACCTACAGTACAGACCTTCAATACTGACTGCAATACTAACTGCAATACAGACCTTCAATACTGACCTTCAATACTAACTGCAATACTGACTGCAATACAAACCTTCAGTACTGACCTTCAATACTAACCTACAATACAGACCTACAGTATAGACCTTCAATACTAACTGCAATACTAACTGCAATATAGACCTTCAGTACTAACCTTTAATACTAACCTTTAATATTAACCTATAATATAAACCTTTAATACTAATTGTAATATTAATTATAATATAGACTTATAATACTAACTGCAATATAAACCTTCAATATAGACCTTTAATACAGACCTTTAATACAGACCTTTAATATAGACCTTTAATATTAACTGCAATATAGACCTTTAATATAAACCTTTAATACTAACTGCAATATTAACTATAATATAGACCTATAGTACTAACTGCAATATAGACCTTTAATATAAACCTTTAATACTAACCTATAATATAGACCTTTAATATTAACCTATAATACAGACCTATAGTACAGACCTTTAATACTGACCTATAGTATAGACCTTTAATACTAACTGCAATACTAATTGCAATATAGACCTTCAATACTAACCTTTAATACTAATTGCAATACTAACTATAATATAGACCTTTAGTACTAACCTTTAATACTAACCTACAATACAGACCTACAGTACAGACCTTTAATACTAACTGCAATACTAACTGCAATATAAACCTTCAGTATTAACCTTCAATACTAACCTTCAATACTAACCTACAATACAGACTGCAATACAGACCTTTAATACAGACCTTTAATACTGACTGCAATATAGACCTTTAATATAGACCTTCAATATTGACTGCAATACAGACCTTCAGTACAGACCTTCAATACTGACTGCAATACTAACTGCAATACAGACCTATAGTACTAACTGCAATACAGACCTTCAATACAGACCTTCAGTACTAACCTACAATATAGACCTTCAATACTGACCTACAATACAGACCTTCAATACAGACCTACAGTACTGACTGCAATACAGACCTACAGTACTGACTGCAATACAGACCTTCAATACTGACCTTCAATACAGACCTTCAGTACTGACCTACAATACAGACCTACAGTACAGACCTTCAATACTGACTGCAATACTAACTGCAATACAGACCTTCAATACTAACCTTCAATACTAACCTACAATATAGACCTACAATATAGACCTTCAATACTGACTGCAATACTAACTGCAATACAGACCTTCAGTACTAACCTTCAATACTAACCTTCAATACTGACCTACAGTACTAACTGCAATACAGACCTTCAATACAGACCTTCAATACAGACCTACAGTACTGACTGCAATACAGACCTTCAATACTAACCTTCAATACTGACCTTCAATACTGACCTTCAATACAGACCTACAGTACTGACCTACAATACAGACCTACAATATAAACCTATATAGCTAAAAGCTATAACTTAAATAATTATAATGCTTAATATAAGCTATAGATTATTTATATAACTTTTAAAATAGGTATTTAAATAATTATTTATATTTTTAAAACTTTTAAATCCCTTAGGTAAAGTTGGAAAATAAGTTTTACCCCGCACTTAACCTGATTTTTTTATTTTCGCACTTTGTGGTAGTGGCCCACCCTAGTAGACTGCCAAGACCCCCTAAGCCATTTACAACTAACCACGCCCCTAGCTAAAATGAGGCTAGAGTCACAAGGTCAGATTGTTATATGCAGTTGAAAGTTGAAACCAACAGTTAGGCAGGAACCCAACAGGCAGAAGAAGGTCCTGAGTTATATGAAGTCCGAAATGCATATTAGCCCAGGTTATCTCCTAGGTTAAAGACAGAGGGACAGAAAAGAAACTAGAGCCGTAAAGAGTCCTGATAAATTAGCAGTTGAATGTCACTAGGTTCCAGCCCAATTGAAGGATGCGATACCATTCAGCTCTAACTCACCATGTTAAACAAGAGGCGGGTTAGATCTGCAGTCATTGGACTGCCTGCATTTGGCTATCATCTGCACCCATATCTGCTCCACCGTATACCACTCAGATTAGTATGGACGGAATTTAATCGTTATTATCTACGATGTATAGATTTTTTTTTCTTGATGACTGCAAGAGAGAAAGTGTTAAAAAGTGCTAAGACAGCCAAAATCGCAGTCTAAGTGGGATGAGGTTAGTGATAGCTTCGAGGTGTAAGTAGGTAGGTTAATAGCCAAGTGTCTACAGGTTACGAGTATAACAAGGGCAGAAGATACTGGGCTTGGAACTAAGAATTCAGATTACAATGATCAACTAGAGCCGCATAAGTCCTTGGCCAACCAACTCCTTCTTGGCCGTAGGTAGCTTAACTTGACTCTATATACAACTGGTCTGCTAGCCTAGACCGCCTAAGTCTCTACGGTCTGTTTCAAGAAGCAAAGTCTGTATAACCTCACTTTCCAATATTGCCCAATATTGCCTGCATATCTTAAAAGATCATGAACAGCCTGCAAAGGTCCTTCGTACGGCCGAAGTGCAAGGCGAACTGCATGTTCAGCTGGCACAGAGGTTGCACGTGTAACAATACTTCTAAATTCAAGTCACTGTTCATTCAAGTGTATAGGGCCTATTTGGCCGAAGGGAGGAAAGTACATAAGAGTAAAAAGGGGAGACGAAAAAGGGCGGGGCCAGATCTATCATTCGCACAGCATATGCAGCCAACAATGCGGCGCAGTTCGTCTCATCAAGTGTCGAGTATTGTGGGCGGACTTGGTGCCCGCTGGATCACAAGCACACTGAAATTGAACATATCCCATAGTAAGTACCGCTTCTGTCGAAAAATAACTATAGCTGTTGTTGCGGACTACCGTGTATCCAACCTCCGAGCTTTCCGAGACAGATGTTCAACCCATCTGGGGGCCATAACGGCACCCTCCAGTCTCTAAGCCAATCTCTAAGCCAATCTCCTTTGCTGGGCGCTCTTCGGCATGAACCCCGACTTCACTCGCCTTGGAAACGGTCGGCATGCGATCGATGTCGCTCGCACAAGCTGAAGTGTCAACGCAAGAACAATGACAGAACGCAATCATGCATTAGGTGTACCCGCGCCAGAGAAGTATGCTTCACAAGCTCTGCGAAGTCACCTGCGTATCCTGCACAAGTCCAGACCCATGCCATATTAGTATCACCTGTTAGTACTATAGCAGACATAGCGGATAATGGTTGGTTTCGCAGAGACAGTCAGAGCACTGTCCCATTAACGCGATCCAAACCCAACAATGTAATGGACCAGGACTCGGCGTTTCTCCTGCGATGGCCCTTCGCTGCTCATCAAGAGATCTATAATACTCCACCTGATCTTGATTTCGATGTCGAAATACCCTCCCCGATCGACGAACATCAATGGATAAATTCCCCCGACCCGCCCATTCAAGGCCCCATTGCAGGAAACGAACCATTTTCACCGCGTATAGACCATTCTACCCCTCGTTATAGGCCATGGGCTCCTAAACTTCTCGGCTTGAACAATGAGAGGGTATCGGGAGATGATACTCCAATCTTATATACCACGCCGAGCTGTGCAATTGACATCAACATATCAGCCCCTGGGCCGAATGATGGGCCGAATCCGGGAATCCTACTAGCTGAGCTACAGCGAGACCTATCTAAGCAACTTGTCGCGCACGAGAACACGTCTTGGGATCTAATGGCAATGAACATTACCTTCTCGGAGACAATGGCTGGTAGCAGTGAGGGAAGCTTGGGCCATGACAGAAGCTTCAATCCGGTGGCCTCAGTCCTTGCGAGCATATCCCAATTCGTCACTATTTTGCATCATCTCAGGAACTCGCTTCCTAATGCGATACCTACTGTGAGACAAGAGTCCCATCAACAGTATCATGACAACAACTGGATCCCTCTCAGTTGGCCCACGCCAACCCCATCTCAGTCACCATATCGCGACGCTTTCGCGTCGACGTGTGTCTCGCCGTCGTCTAGCACCCCAGCGATAAAACACAGAGCACAAAGCCGTGTTCATTTGTTGGCCACGATAAATTGCTACCTCCTAGTGCTCACTGTTCTCGATAGCATATTTTCTCGTCTCCTATCAAATTCGCGAGACTCTATCACTAACACACAAGGACCTAACGGCCTCTACGTCCCATCGTCCCCGTCACCCGTCCCAATTCAGATTTCCCGAACACAGAACGCAGAAATGCCCGACCTTGTCTTCGCGGGCCACTCCGCCCCTCTCAGCGCCCGACTTCGCACTCAATTACTTGCCCAAGCGGTTGAGTATCAGCTTGAGATTCTCGAGAATGAGCTTGGGCTTCCACAGTCATATTGTGTCTCCTCAGTTCGCGCTGAAAGCCAAGGGGACAGGTCATTAGGGGATGGGATACTGAGCAAGCGGGAATCGCTACTGTTGCTGCAGGCGCTCATGGACTTCGCGCCTGATGCAGATGACTCAGGCTCGTTCCATCACAGAGAGGAAATAAATAGGTCTCCGATAACTGTGTCACTCAGCGACAAGTTGAAACGAGCAAAGCGGGCACCGGCGAATAATTGCGATTTATAATCTAGTGGATTTTCTAGACTGATATGTTTCACTGTCATCCTGTGTACATTGATATTCTTCATTGTTACACAGCAACCCATTTACGGACGCAAGACCCCATCAAATGGCTCTCATAACTCGCTTCGAATCTGCCTACTCCCACGGAAGGGGTGTACTCAGCTACATATACTACATTGGCGAACGAGGGTGGAACGCAAAGGTAGTGGGGGAATTTTCTCGACTAGAATCTCCATGGGTTGATCCACGTCCCTCGCGTTGTTCCAGAGGTTGCTCACAACGCTCGTTGCTTCTGTTTTCATCGTTTTCGTTGACCCCTAGCTCTTCGTGATTGCAGTTATTCTCATTTCGCCCTTGAATGACTAATGAAGACATTGGGATGTCTTTGCTAGAACGAGGAGATCTTGGGTGACTCAGCCTGGGGTGTTCTAGGTTGGTCAGGTTCAGTGAACCGAGTTTTTGATCGGGCACGGTTATAGGAATGGTATCAGTGCACTTCGACCACTCTCCCTGGCCACTTTCGTCGTAAGCAAGACGCTGAAGCTGAAGCGTTTCGTTGCTTATCCATTCTAAGTTCTCATATTCTCTGTACTTCCACCGCTTTTGTGCACAGGTAAACAGGGGATCGATAACGAGAGAGGCAATAATAATAAGAAATCCGATGATGTATGTGAAGTGTAATCCAAAAACGCTTATAGAGACGTAATCTGTACTGCGAATTTTCTGTGGTTGGCTGTCAGCACATAAATGATTAGGAGTTCTGAGAATAGCACAAGGTGGGTTGGGATATCAAGTGATGCCACTCGGGTTTTATATCAGGCATACCTGGTTTTGACATATACTAGCCTGCCCTGCATTAGTCGCGTTGATCTGAAGTCGAGAACTTTCCGGGGTAGTCGACCCATATGCCGTATCGACAAAAGTAGCTTGCAAAACTGCTAATGTAATGTTCCACCAGTAGGTCACATCAAGCATCCATTGATCCTCGGGGAGTGGTCCTTGAATGCCAGTAACAAGGCTCTTGGACGATTCCAGCGATTGGGAACCAATTTTAGTCACAATATCAGTGATATCAGTTTGACTATTGGTAATCATTCTCAGAAGCCATATAAAACGACTGGCGCTCTCATCAGCAGCGTAGGTCTTTACCAGTTGATATGTCTCCAGGTTGTATATTGCTTCCGTATCGACGCCGAAAAGAGGCGCTGCACCTCCCCATGCATCACTGTAGCTGGCCAGGGGCCCACACGAATCTTCACTCGCCACACCTCCTTTGCAGATCTGTACTTGGTAAGCACAGCCAAGTGGTGAAGCTGCTTCAGTTGGCTGGTATGAGAAAGTTTCTTCATTGGACTCTACCTGTACAATCGTGAAATTTGCTATGTCATGAAACCGATACCACGGATCATTGAGTGGTGTACTTGACACAACTCCATTTCCAGAAAGGAAAATAAGATAGGTATCCGCATCCACTCTTTGAAGGTCTCGCTCAGCAATGAATTCTCCTTTCGAGTTTGTACCATTCGTCCTTAAAGATCTGAGTATACTGGGAGTTTGTGTTAGTCCTTGTATACCATAAGGTCGATAGAATGTTTGGCAAGTCGCCATCATCCAGGAAAGACGTACAACAAATCGCAAGAAGCGAGGAAAACCAAAAAATGTTACGAACTCTCGGCTTACCTTAGCGAATAGCTGGGGCTTGCACTGGTGCTTTCCGGGGTATATTGAGATTGGATATCCTTGATAGAGAATGTGTAATTAGTGCTTTCATTTGTGGGTATGATCCAACGGGCGCCACCGTAACTGTAAGTCGTGTAATTTGGAAGACCGTTTAATGTTGTCTTCTTCTTGCGACCTTTCGTTACTAATGGAGCACAATGAAGAACCTGCCTGTATAGCATGCTTCGGTCTGGCTGAAAGTTGACTCCAAGGTCGTAACCAATATCAATAAACCCACTATCCAGAACCAGATTTGACGAACTGAGTCGGCATAAAGTGTCCTTGAATGGGCATGGCGCTTTATTGTTCATCTCTGTCCTTAATATTCGTTGGGCAAATTTTGTGCTGTCAAACGCGCCAGTACTGCTACTGGGGGAGTAAACTTGACTAGCATAATTGACACCATTGGAAATAGTACTAGCCTCCCAAGGATCAAAGATCTGAGTAATTTCGTCAGTTTCCAGAGTAGTAAAGTCCAGAAACCCGCAATGCGTCCCGTCAATCAACACTTCATCTCCAATTGCTGTGGATATGCTAGACGAGAAGCCGCTAGCGAATGCGAAGGCTAGTAAGCAAATAGCAGCAAAGCTGATGGACGGCAGGGTGCGAACAAGACATCTATGATCTAAGCGGCGCCAAGCCCACGAAATCTGCATCAATGACCACAGTGCAGACTCCGACGATGTTGAATTGCGAAAGATAGCCTGGCGTTGGAAATGGAGGGCATCACGAGGTTCTACAACTGAAAGACCCCTGTGGATGACTGAACAAGCAATGCGCCAGAAACGAGTGGCGACGATGGTGATGAAAAACGCTGTGAATGCTATGAGAAGAGACCCGTGTTTTCGACTCAAGGTTAAGGTAGGCCCGAGCACTGAACCACGAGACCAATTCGTCCAGATCCCGAGCTGTACAGTATAACCTGTGATGGAGTTCCCTGGCGTCGACAAGAGTGAATCGGCCATCCCTATACGCAAAAGGAGACGAAGGAGGGGAGAAAGCGGTTTGTTATATTGAGTATGGAGAGACCTGGTTAATGGCGGAAAGGCAGGTAGGTCGTATGATTTTAACAGAAACGAGCTGTCGATCTTGCGGAGTCATGTTGTACATTCGCTCAGTTTATACTAAGGAGATCTTGGTCCAGATGTTACTGGATTGGAGAAAGCAAGCCTATTCGCTGACCTAGGGAGTTCCAGTAGCAACGCTCAATTCAACATCGTAATCCGTTGTTGCAGTGTAATGTAAATCAATTAAGGGGCACATCCAGCAAGGACGTTGACTTGCCACTCCGAGAGTGATACAACGAGTCCTACCTTTATCTAGGTGAAACTTGAGGATACACAATGCTCAGATATATTTTTAGCACTAAAGCTATCGTGACATGAACCATATATCGAGCTTCCGGTGTGACATCTAATCCCAATTGTTGTTAAGACGCCAATGTACAGAGTGAGGTAGCCGGACTACCGTGAAACATCGACTGCCCACTGACCGGCAAGAAAAGCGCTCCTGAATTGAAGATTATGTGTCACATACCGCATTCTAATAATTTCCATACATCGGCAGAGCAAACAACCTTTTGTGGTTTTGCCACCGCAGTCAGCGCTTACAAATGGCGCACAATTTCTATAACGAAGCCGTCACAAAGTCATGTGGGAACCAACAACATATTAGAACGGCTAGTTCCCTGCTGTTTCAGTAATACATATAATCTCAATACACTATTTCTCATGTATTTACGAATGCAAACTTCTCTAATTCTTCATTTCTTCGGGTGTATATAAGTTACGCTACTAAGGTGGCCAACCAGTGTCTTAACCCCTGCGCCTAAGATGGACAAACCAGTATGGTCTTGGCTCGGTGTCATAGGGTAGCGCTATAATATGTTTCTCGCAACTTATATCTACGTTAGATTCCATCCTCGGCATAAATATGGAAGTATATATGAGCAACGTACCATATGTGTCAGCGCCGATGGAACTTATGCCAGCGGCCCCCAAACGATGCCTAGTTACTGAGTTAATAGGGGGCAAATGCAGTGTATCCCCATCCCAAATTACACTACCACGCTCCAAAATGACTGGCCGAGTAGAAGCCGTGGTATTAACAAAGCATTGCTCGAGATAGATGCCAATGTGCAATATTTTGAGTGTCGATCACTCGAGAGGCGTACAACAGTTGGTAAGGCAGGTTTCCCCTGAAATAACTTTCATCATTGTGCACGAAAGTCCCGGACAAGGTTCTCGCCTAAAATTGTCTTACTAATACCAAGTATCTGGTAATTAGAACCTAAAGGTCTATATGTGCTATTGCTGACGCGTATTCAGCTTACTTGCCGTCGTATGGAATGCGGACGCGAGGTTACGCGTGTCGCGTATTCTGGAATGCAGCTATCGATAGTTAGTCTGATATGTCTTATAGAAGCAATTTGGCCCTCCCTTGTTCCAAACTCTGGAATGGCTGTCAAAATACAAACATACCTAGAAGTGTATATAATCCCATTCATCCCCACTGCTGCCAAAGCTTTTATCTCGTGCAACTTCGGTTGTTATGTATTTTGTCACGAATGAGCGTCTTACAGATCAAGGCTTCTGATGTTGCTGCATAAACCTGAGCATACAACCTTACTCCTTCGCCTCACGACGGCAACGCTACAATTTATTCAATTGAGCAATAATTCGAGAAGAAGATAGAGCCTGTTTTGCCTCAGGTTTAGGTAATACCTGCGGACTACTTCACACTTCTCTATTAACTTGCACTGCTTACGGGCGTGAGCTCTTTGCCTAGTTAATTGACCCTAGCGTGGCCGTTGGTCATGATAGAATACCTGGGGCCATTATTCCGCCCCTCGTACTTGGCACACTAACTTGCTTATATTATTTCATCCTACCTATATCACGTCGACATTTGGTTGTTACCTTTCTTTCACCGTCATTGTCTTCGTGACCTCAACGGAACAATCATACGCCAAGCTATTGCTAATAACCCCTGTGACCGTCTTGGCGCTCGCACTAGCGAGATGCGCCCGATTATAGATACCATGAATATGTACCTTGCGGCTCGCTTAACAAGAAGATATAACAACTTATGAGTATTATCCGGTAGCGCAAATCATATAATGATCGTTAATATTTTATTAATCTATTTATACATTATTCTATAAGTCAACATTAGTTAAGTAATCAGTTTAACTTGATTCCACTTTCAAACCTATGCCATAGTTCTGGTTTACATGTCAGGCTCCCTTCTGTATCGTGCGACGAGAGTTTAATGCTGTGACGAGATGGGTAACAAATAGCTCGGTTGGTAATCAATCTCTGCTGTGACTGTTTCTATCTAGCTATCTGCACTCTCGTAGAATCATGATCGTATGCTTGTTAAGTAGGATGCCGAACTGCGCATTTTGAGGCGGTCTTGACAGAGCCCATGGTTTTGCATGTTTCTAAAGCGGATTCTGCCGAAACTAACTAGGTAGCCCAAAATATGTTGGTTAGTACCCTACGAGGGATGTAATTCTTAAGACAATATATAGCAGAACAAACATGAATAGAGAACTAACATCTCTTCGCATTGCGTTTCTCGAGATATTTATTAAAAGGTTCTCAACCAGGAATGGAATTCGCACATGGGGGACGGGCGTTGGCTTCGGCCCACTACATGTTGTCTTGACTTGATTTTAAAGATATCTAATTGAGCCATTGATAAGGGTTCTTGAATAGGAACATTTGTCTTCGTCCAGGAGCGTTATCCGCACATAGTTATGAATACTCCCTAGTGAATTGGAAGTTCTCATGTGTCTCGCAATGATGGCCGATTGGTCGGATGAGTATCCACCAATACGACGTTGTTGGCTATGTGCACAATAGCTAATATCACGCCGCCGAGGTGCATGGCAGTCACATTCTTAACTGCTAGATGTGTATTTACGACAAGCATATTAATGATTCTCTCCGTGATTTAAGAAGGTTAGAAGTGATTGTTTATAGCTATGGGTGATAAAGGCATCATTACGATCCTGGAGGCCTGACTTCAGGTAGTTTTCGTATACTTAGACGACGGGGCTGCAAACATAAGTCTTGTACTATAATATATCTCTGACTACCGGGTATACAATGTAGTTTGTGGCAATGTAGACCGAATGGAAGATTTGAACCACTTAACTGATCATATTGCCTTTTTCTCAGTTCTCGTATCACTTACTGTAACCTACACGTTCTCCTAGGATATAGCAAGCTCTACAAATTAGTCAGAATGCTCTGTTGAGTTGCTACTGTTCTTTTCTTCGCCACCACCGGCATCACCACTCCCCGAGACAGAGATTTCAGTACCTACCTGGTTGCCGCCCATAAATCGACCTAATTACGATACTGAGCACCCAATCCGCCAGATTCATATTTCTTCCTCTTCGTGTGATTTGAATGAGACGGTGATAGAAGTATCTGTAACAGTGCGTTTATATTGGAGGCTGTACTGTTAAGGACGATGAGTGCTAGGTCACGATCAATCGTGAATGTGCCCCTGGACGCTTTTCTTTTGTCCAGGCTGTTGAGAACGCGGCCAACGTCTGCGCTGCCTGGGATTCAGCTCCCTGAAAATCCGGCAAAGCCGGCGAGCTCACAATCCCAGTTACTAAGCTACACATCTACGGCGAATAAATGAATACTCGCTTCTTGACCTTTGGAGCTAGCTATTCAACCTATTTGACGGAGTAAAGCCAGGCGATTAGATTATGAGATTACTGCTGTCATAATACGTTCGATATGGAGAAATGTGATATGTTATTAGAAGACAGGAATCAAGGACAAAGATATTGAGTGTATATAGTTAGAAGGGTTCTGAAATCTCTCCCTCCGGACTTTCTAGACTTTGTGGAACAACAAGAGTCAACAAGAGTTTTACTGTATATCTCATTTCTTTCAAGTCACTTCGTGACTTACGCGAGTACATTTTCTCAGACTTCATTTTGATCTCATGACAAATGAAGTTGCCTCTATAAAAGTTAATTATGCGAAGCATCGGATTTCAACATCATTTCTTACATACGTAGAAGATAATAGAGTCTAACAATTCTAGTGATCTTAATTTCAGCATCAACGAATTTAAACATTGATAACTACCAGCAACCATCATGACTATGATTTAGCAATAGAAAACTCGGAATAACAAACGTAGCAAGTACTACAAAGAAACATGACATTAGAGGGGAAATAGAGATCATGTCGTTTCATGTCAGAGAATAAGTTACATAGGTATCACTGTTCATATAGGCACACAACATGACATAGGTATTTGGTGTCTGTTTGACTTGAACAGCTGAGATAATGTGCAATTATCAGCTTTATTCTGCAGGGGCGCGCTACAGACCGAAGTCCGCACATTCATTACAGCTTCATTTCTAGCTGGCTACAGCACTTGCTAGTCAAGATTATCAATAGAGCATATTAGCTACGGTCACTTCACTCTCGCACAGTAGGTATGAAGGCATGATACATGTAGTCACTCTCTTTCGTCCATTGACGGGTGATGAATTCCAGCTGGTAGAAAATATCATGCGCCTCCCGACCCCTCCAAATCACGTGGGGTAGGCACTTCAGTGCGCCCACTGACTATACCGGTAGCGGAGTAGTAGTGAGGCTGAGTGCTATAATCATATCCTACAGCGCGTTTTGGGCGCTAGCGCTACATGCTAAGTGTCAACTGCCCCTCCTCGCCCTCCTCCATCGTCAGAGTCCAGAGTCTTCTGTCTAGGCATTTTCGTATTCACACAGCGGGGCGGCCTGGACAGGCGGAATGCTTATCCAATCCAAGAAAGAATGGAATAAGATATATCACCTTACCAGCCCCGAAGATACGAGCAAGTCAATGAGTGATAAGACCCCAAAGGCAAAGCAAGTAGCCGCTTGAAGACCGGGTGGGTTCCATCGCGAACAGCTGCCGACCCCAGCATAACATCCGCCCTGATAAACAGTAGTATCACCGTTTGGCCCAGTCAAATGTCGCCGCCGCCCATCTTCTCTGCCTGTCACCTGCATCTGGTTGCAGCTCCATATCTCTGCAGCTCGTGGTTCGTCGATTCTCTGCTTTTTCCGTCTTCCCGCCGTCCATCTCGAGACTAGGCCGGGGCTTAGCTGACGGTTCACGACGAATCAGGCGCCGAACACGGCCCCTCGAGATCAGGGTCTGATCAGGGGCAGCGCGAAGGAAGAAGCCGGTTGGCTGAAGGTAGGCAGTGCTGCCAAGTACTACAAATCCATACTATGTAGGCAGCAAATCCAGCGAGGAACAAGACAGACAGGAGCAATTTGGTGCAGCGCCAGTACCTGCGTTCTACCTCGTGCCTTGCTCCTCTGAATAGACTCTTCAGTATTCCGAACGTCTCGTTCATCTGATACTCTCTCTACTCATCTGGATACTGCCTAGGCGCGCGTTATACGTCCCTGTTCGGTCCTTGTTCGAAGTAAATCTAGTTCCCCATGCAGTGATGCAGTAATGGAATGCGATTCAAAGCCCTAGGGCCCCAAGCGTCAGACTCTCCATCACTTCACAGGTTCGCGGCATCTTCACCATGGGCCTCTTCAGCAGCAGCAAGAAGAAACAGCAGTCCCAGTCTTCGTCACACCCCCAACCTCAACATATTCAACATATTGTGAAGCCGCAACCACCTAATTGTCACGCTAATCCGCCTCCAAATCCTCTCCCAGCTGCTGGTTTTTTACCACCGCCGGCTCCTCCCTATGGCTGGAATCATTCCCGACCCGGTGGTCCACCCTCTCACATTCCTCATCATAGCCAAGACTCAAGATATTATCCCCCAATCATCGTGAATCAACATTATTACTTGAGCCCTCCCCTTCCCCCTCGTCCCTCCAATGTGTACCCAAGTGGCGCCGGAAGCGGCTCTCTGAGCAAGCTGAATTTGGGCTCTACTGCAGACCTAATCCAACTACCTACAAATGTCATCAACCAGATTGTCGATGATGGACTGCCAAGATGGCATGCATATGGCACTCAACTCATCAACCAAGGGGCCGCTTTATATGACCAGATATCATCCAAATTCGATGATGTGATGACTTTGATCGATCGTGACAAGTTCTCAGGAAACGAGAAGGACTTGTTTATCTACCAGCAACCTGACCATGCGACATCGCCGCCACCACCTGATGCGAGACATCGTTCAGCCAACCCAAAGGGCGGACATGGTAAGAAAAATAAAGATCTGCCAAAGGGTCAAGCCAGCACGGCTGTCGCATCAGCAATAACAGGGGTCTATTTCACAAAGGTAGATCTGTACGCAAACTCACGATTGCCTCTAGATCTACCAGCTTTCCGAGCGTGAGTTGGGTTCTCATCCGACTCTGGCAATTTGCTAATCATAAAAGTGTGGTGACAACTTATCCTCTCCTATGCCTGGCTGCACAGTATTCAGAAAGAGTTTACCAGAAGCCTCAGGGGCCAGAACGAGATGCCTTCGTTGAGGCAGACTGGAGAACGGGCACCAAAAGCCATGTCATTAAATCCGTTCCTATGGATCACATGGGTACCATTGTCTTTGCTATACGGGGCACTGCAACTTTCATGGACTGGGCTGTAAATCTGAACACGGCACCCACGGCGCCGACAGGGTTCCTGGACGATACGAGGAATTTCTGTCATGCAGGCTTCCTATCAGTCGCGAAGAAGATGATTGCACCTGTGGCTTCAAGATTACGCCAAATCCTCGAAGAGGATCCAGGACGATGTGCCCATTCCCTTCTTATCACAGGTCACTCCGCAGGCGGAGCCATCGCATCACTACTCTATATGCACATGCTGGCGACATCAAAGGCTGCTTCATCTGAGCTCAACCTGCTCACAGGGTGCTTCAAGAGAATACACTGTGTCACGTTTGGGGCGCCCCCGGTATCCTTGTTCCCCTTACAGACACCACATAGGCCTGAACTCAAGAAGTCGCTATTTTATAGTTTCATTAATGAAGGGGACCCTGTAACGAGAGCAGATAAGGCATATGTCAAAAATCTGCTCGAATTATTCGCCGCACCCGCTCCAACGTTGTCTACACCAACGGCACTGTCCAGCCCTGCTCTAATCACTCCCGCGAAGCCCAGTAAGACGCCAGGAAAGAAGTCAAAATCGAGCTCATCGTCCAAAACTTCAAAGTCTTCATTGATGGCTAATCAGTCGTCAACGTCGATATCGTCACCAGCTAAGAACCCTCCAGCACAGGGGCCGATATGGCGGGTGCCGCCGAGCACGCTGAGCAACGCAGGGAGGATCGTGGTGCTCAGATCCGGCAACCCCCACTCCAAGATCAAGCGCACGAAGACGGTTGAAGAGCGTATACGCGAAGGGGTCGTTGCGCACGTCGCGAGCGACGAGAAGCTTCGCAGCGTCATATGGGGCGACCCTGTCTGTCATGTCATGAAGCTGTACGCGGCGCGAATCGAAGCTCTCGCCGTGATGGCAGTTACTGCCAAGGACCTGTGATTCTTCCCACGTACACTTTTTGGTGTATAAATACTGTACGATTCATGACTTATGACTAGCATGGCGCGGAAGGGATTGTTTCTTAAAGGGATTTCTTTGATGATACCATATAGCTTGCTTCTTTCTCTCATCTTACTTCCGGTGGGTATATGGAGACTGTGTTTCGGATGTAATGGCCTGCTCTTACTGTGCTGCTGAGGGGAAAATATTGAGTCTAGGACCCCGGTTTTCACATGATTTCAAGACTGATGCATTATTGGGAAAGGCCGCTTTCTTTTTCATTGTCTGAATTGGTATTTTTACCTTAGGCAGTTGATGTCTTAGACCTGGCAGTAATTATGAGATGCTTCGCTCTCACGCCCTTGTTTCACTCGCTGTGCGCGTGAACATGTTTGACTGATTTACATGGCGAGCAAGATGATTGATCCCCTGATCTGCAAGGTACGTGCCCCGCGCAACAATCAGTGGGGTCGCCTGTATTAGCCCTACCAACATAACAGTTCCCCTGCCGATCAAATCCTCCCTTGCATCGCCATTGAAGCCCGACGGGCCTATTTAATATCGATATTATCTGATCTATCGCGCCCGACTGTAGTGGCCCGCGTGCGTGCATGCTGTCGCTGCGACAAGCAATATCTACGGGACGGGATTGAATGTCTGCTTGCCTTGTCGCGTTCTGTGACGACCCGCGGGATGGACCGCGTCGATATAAGGATGGCTGCGTCGCACAGCGTTGGTATATCTTGGGTCTCATGGTGTTCATGATCTTGACGAGGAGCAGTAAGGATAGACACGGTTACTGTAGGCCAATGGAGTGCGCAAGAGCGCACGACTTAATAACTGTATTGTCGATCATTGTTGTGAGTTTTCTATGGGTTGTGATGGTGATCGCGCAGATGAGACATACTAGGAACTATTTGCGCTTGAGCTGAAGAACTAGTCAGAATGCAACGAGATGGATGAGACAAGGGCATAGTTGTAGGACATGGCTTAATAGTATCTTGAGAGGGTGTATGGTGTTTGAGATAGTGGTGGGGAGATTGCCGGACTGGTCAGATTCATCTGAGATTGTCACAGGACAGAAGTGCAGCACTATAGCATGACGCTTCCGAGGAACAGAATGTTGTGAAATCAGAAACCTGATCACCTGTGTGTAATAGATATGGTATCGTGACAGAAGTTTTCTGATGATATTTGGAAATGTAGGTAGTCTGACGATTGTTAGAGAGCGTGTACTGTGATTGACACGTTCATGGGGGAGCCATGAGAGGAGAATCTCTGAAGAAGCATCCGGATGGAGCATAAGTCACAGTAAAGAAGAATCATACTGGAAGAAGCTGAAGAAGTAATCACAAAAAAGAAGTAAAATTTAAACGAGCGACTCAAGTTGGAATTATCATAATACTAATCATACTTTCATGCCATCTCTAGAAGGAAAAAAGCCAAGCACCACCCCCCAACCACTTCTGGAAAACAATTACACCTTCACATATCTCCGATGGCAATGATATGTTGCAGAAAGAACCAAAAAATATTGACTGGAGGTATATGCAGCTCCGAAGGAAAAGGGCCGAGGCCGGCATTTATAGGACACCGCCGACAGCGATGCAAGGGATGCCGACGTTGACGAGACCATTCTGTCAAAGATGTCAGTGGCTTGATCGGGTGGGAAGTAGATATCATTCAGTACTAACCTGGTCTTGGGCGGTACCTTGGCAGCAAGCGACTTGCTGGTTGCACATCTTCTGGGGGATGAGGTCTTGCACGCCGATAACTGTCATGGCGGGTTAGCATTGTTCAGCGGTGTTCAGAAAACAGATCCATTTGGATGCTACTTACGAGCGGCAACGTCGAGCTTGGAGCAACCCTTGAGCAGGCTGAAGTCGGGGAGGAGGCCGCCCTGGCCCAAACCGTTCAGGAGACCACCGTCGGCGGAGTTTGTGTCGCTGGTCTGGTGGACCTCGTTACAGCAGCTCATCGTGAGATCCTTGCCGCAAGTATCGCGAGCCTGGGCGACAGTGACATCACCGCCTCCAGGGTATGCGAGTCCCTTTCCGACCAATCGGGAGGAAGGAGCGGCCATGGCGCCAATGGCGAGGGTGAAGACAGCGGCGACGGTGAAACGCATGTTGATGGTGTTTGGTCTTGTTTGCTGGGGGAGTTGAGGATGGATGGTTATTATATAACGGCTGCGAGAGCGAAGACTGTGAGCGTAAAGGAGAGTGTGAATTGAGTCAGAAAGTGTTCTGGATAGTGATGCTTGGTAAGCGAGTGAATGTGGATGGTGGTGAGAAGAAGATCGATTGAATGATGGTCGTGGGCAGGTCTTATATACAGATCAAGGGATCATGTTTTCCCTCTGCCCTTCAAAGTCCGGAGCATGTTGAGCATCGTGATCTAGTCCCTCCGGCGGGCTTCCTCCTTACCCTTTCGAACATGTGGAATGCCGATCAGGTGGTCGATGGACTATCTCGAGAATGTCTTGTCTCGCAACCGTCTATCATCCGCGCCCACCTGAAATTAGACGCCTCAATAGTCCCTCGATAGTGATGTGCAAAAGAATGCCTTCTCAGCCCGAAGGTTTCTCTCCGTGGATCATAGCAAATTTTACGACACCTATCCTGACATTAGTGCTGGCACGCAACGGTGGGGGAATTGGAATTAGACAATACAGATCGTCAATACAAACAGCTGTGAGTATAGCTTCATTTCGAATCCGAGCTGTATCTACCTAGGTGTTATCGCACACTGACACATTGGGTTTCTTTTGTGGCTGAGAACACGATAGCTACAGGAGGCCCTTCCCTTACGTCCGTAGTACTAGACTAAGGGAATCAATCTATCGAGAACTTCTCAAATGCCAAGGGGCAAGGCTCAAATCCATTCAATACTCTGTCTCATAAAAATTTTCGCAGTCTGAAATGATGCTGCTCCACATTGCGTCAGTGACTGACGTAGCCAGATTTCTTGATCGCGAAGAGGTTGGATAGGGGTGATTGAGCAAGCTATAAATATGAAGAAACTTCATGAACCTTCTACGCCCGCGCATCCGCGCGAAACCGAGTTTTCTTCGGAACTTTTCGCTTCCCATCCACCAGCCTGATGTGTGCAGTTCTGCCGGCCAGCCCCTTCTTTTCTACCCTACTACCTCCGTTCCATATCAACAATTCGGGAGCCCCGAGACCATCGGAACAGGGTGATTTGCCCTGTCCCGAGTTCATACTCCACTAGCACGACTCAACCGTCGCAGCCGGCGGACATCGGATATTCGGAAGGCGGGACCTCGTCTAGATCTCTAATTAGGCCTCTTTGAAAAGGGGTTCTGGTAAGGTAGTGTGAGCTCAGCTTCATAACCATGAGTGCACCCGCTATACGACAGACGCGTGTATATGAGAAGGTACCTAGGTATCCATTCCTTCTCCCAGTTTGACTCATTACCGCTCTCAGCTTACACAGATCATGTATGCCTCGATGCAAGATGTGCATCATCTGAGTCTGTATGTCTCAAACATGCGTATCAGCATGCATCAGCACCTAATGAAGATTTCATGTCAGCTTTCGAAGGACCTGCGCTCACCCAGACCATGGTGGTAAGTTTCGATAACCAGTATCTAGGGTAAATTCTCCCCTCAACGAGGTTCCGCGCAGCATGTTGCCGTCGTTTGAACTGTAGCTCTCATCAAACATCGTGAATTAGCCTGGGGTTTTTCGGCAAGCAGCTTGGTGGCTGTAGGAGATTTCTGTCGTGACCCGGAATCATGTCGGCTTCTCCGATCTTAGTTGCATGTGCCTAGATTTCCCTGTCTCTCGCTTTGTATGATTTCGGAGATATCGTCCTTATCCTACGTCCGTATCATGTTGGCGACTTCCACAATCATGGGATACTTATGAAGCGTTTTGCCTCTCCTTCGGTCTGTTACCGCCATCCTAGCTAGGAGAACGTAACACAATTCTTTGTAGGCGGAATTCTGTGACTAGTATATGACCAACAAGCAGAGTTTCGACTTGTACCTTGTGCTGTGCAGACTTCGGCTCCTAATACGTTGATGTCTCAGTAAGGGAAACATGGGCTGGGCACGCAGCAGTCCTCCAGAGGGCTTACCAATCGGATCATCTGTTGCAAATATACGCATATGATATGTTGCTGACGTGATGTATGTGACTGTTCAAATATTCCGTCCCGACCCGCCAAGCAATCAGCCGTGCCTTCCCACGTGCGTTCACTGGGAGGCTGGGATAATTAGTGACAGGCTGAATCTCTGGGCGGCAGGAGTTCCTTATGTCAAATTCCCTCAGTTATAGATTTGTTAACACGCCAGCGCTTTACTCACAGGTATCAAGCAGGTCAGGATGTATGTGTAAAGATTAGATTTGCATCATAACAGTCCTATGTAAGAATCAGTGAAACGTCGTGACACTCCGCTTCATCGGGTCATCGGTAATCCCTGCCTCTTAAGATGAATTTTGCACTTGATTCGCTTGACTTCCTCGTATAATCTACTTCGTACAATGCCGTACAACGTTGGCCGGCCGCGTGCATTAGGTGGTAATATGCAGGTACCTTTGCATCGATCTACGTTCGAGACACCGTAATATTCAACGTGATAACTTTGCAGAAGCTAGCCACCTTGCTGAACACTATCGCTTAAACTGAATCTGATAGTATTATTAGTGTTCAACCCATGAGGTACTCTATAGAATAGACGCCTTCTCGAGTTTCTGTATGGACTGCTCTGTTGTATCTGAAAGTAGTTGGCGGATAGTTACATGGGCTTCAAATTGAGATTAGGTCAATACTACCCGAAATTCGATCATCTCGTTTGCGCAAACGGAAACTTGTTGGTATCCGAGATAAACATAATAATATTCCATGGATTTGTATTGGGAACGTGCATGAGTATCTTGTTTGCTCGACCCACATCTTCATACCAGCATGTCAACGTTTGCTTCGATCCTCGAAAGAGATTTGAAGGCGAGCTGGACGTATTAACACAAGTCAACTTACCGATTCTTACAAGCTCAAACGTTCTATGTAGCACGATTTAGGCTTGGCTCCACTGCCAATCGGCTCAACCTGCCTCGATTCACTAGGGATAGAAACATTCAGAGCATCGTTATTCCAGCTGATTATTCAGACATACATATCAAGGCCTCCTGAGATTCTGCATAATGGTGGCTGATGGACGAAAGTTTTGATTCCATACCCCTCAAATTTGACTCATTCTCAGTTGAAGCGGCAATGCCGTCTGGCTAGTCCCGTCGGGGATCTGCATGTATCCATTATTTCCAACGTCGATTCCCTGTCCTGGGCCGTGATATGTTGAATAATGTGATAACGATGCCGTCTACGGGAGGAGCAGGGCATGGGTACTGATATAACGTCGCACACAGGAGGAAAGGGAGTGTTTGTAACTGCGAGAGCTGAAGACTGTAAAGATATATAACGACCAAAGATAGCCACCTCGCAAATCTGTTGAAATTGGATTACCCTCACAGCCACCACTTCGACACTCGTTTAGTATAATTTGACTTCGCCTCATAAACAGCTGCCATGCGATTCACCACCATCCTTTCTCTCCTGGGCATTAGGTTAGTCATTTTCCAAGCTCCTCACTTCGTTGTCCTACTAACCTAAAGCTAGCCCCACGCTCATTTACGCTCGCCCTCAACAGCTTGAAATCAGCACCGTCACGACAACTGTAACAACTTGTGGTTATGATTGTGCCACCACTGTCACTCTTTGGATGGGATGTTCTGATACCTCTACTCTACCTTGGACTTCTACCACACCAGTAGGAAGTTCCGTGACGTCACCAGTGGAAGGCTCACCTTCAACTTCACCCTCTATCCTCACTCTCACTTATCCAAATGGCACTACTACTCTCACTCTTACCTCGGGTATCACTGCTACGGTCACGGCATCCTCTTCTGAGCCATGGAGCAGCAGTCACTCTACTATCTCAGAGCAGTCAACCGGGCCATGGTTTACCAACACAAGCTCGCCAGCTACCACTACCTCTCCAATCACGCCAATTCCTTTGTCCACACTCAGTACGAGTTCAACTTATAACTCATCCGTGCCAGGCAATGGTGAAACTTCTTGGTACGTAGGCTTCATTTTCATAATTGACGCACAACTAATAGTAGTCTATAGTTCAACTTCCATCTCTGCCTCCTCCAGCTCCTCACCGGTGAACGGGACCAGTCACTCGTTTACATACCCTGGCAGCGTAACAACAGGTCTCAGCAGCACGATGCCTATCTCAACCCTGACCTCAACGGTCACTCTCAACTTGACCACGACTTACTCGTCTTCCAATTCCCCCGAAACCGGTTCCTCAAGTTCGACTCCGATAATCACCAGCACAGCTAGCTTGGGAACTTCTACGATCACATATATCACGTCGTCGGGTAGCGGTATCAGCTCTGAGACATCGTCGACGCTCGCTTCGTCGATGGGCAACAGCACAAGTGTTTCAAGCGCCACATATCCACCTTCCATCACGTGTCTCACATACAGCGTTCCCTATACACACACTGAATGCTTCTCATATTCCATAATCACCCACACCCCCACCTCCAGCCATAGCAGCAGCGACGTAGGGACGGAAACACCTAATACCAGCACCAGCACCATCACTTTGACCATATCTGAATCAACCTCAACTTTCTCCACCGGTAGCACGGGTGCCGTGACGGGATCGTCGTCGGTATCCACCTCGGTCCCTGGATATCCCATCACTAGTCTTCCGTCGCTTAGCACGAGCACACTGACGCCGACCTTCGTCAACTCCTCCAGCACCGTCTTTTCCACCGGAAGCACGGACGCAGTGACGGGCTCTTCGTCATCATCGCACAGTGTTCCCGGGGGTGTCACCACGTCAACAAGCCCGGGCCCTGTGACTTTGACATCAACTCCATCTAGCCCTGTCTCGTCAACGGGGACGACTGATGCTGTGACCGGCTCTTCCTCGCTTACTAGTAGCGCGGCATCGTCCTCGAGCTACGCGGGAGAGAGTACCACATGCGTAGCTGGCTACGGTAGTTCAAGTGTCTGCTTTACGCTGCTGCCTTCATCGTCTATCACTGGCGCCTCGTCGACGGATGCCGTGACTAATTCCGTCCCGACTACATTCTCGACGTACTCGCCGACTACTAGCGATATCCCCGTGTCTTCTTCCTCTTCTTATCTAAGTGCCCCTGACTCTTACCCGACCTATCCGGTCCACTCTCCTCCTAACAAAAGAACTTAGCACAGCGGTGAGGGAGAGGGTTCTGGCCGCGATCAGGACGGCGATCAGAGCGAGGAAGTAAGCGTGACTGGAAGCATCTCATGATGATTTGAGGGCGCAAACACTTCTATATGGCGGTTAGGCGGAGAGAATCGGGGCGGTACACAAAAAAACATCGGATACTCTTTTTTTTTTCAATTCTTGTCGCTCCTTAGACACTTGTTATGTTATTAGTCGTCGATTAAGATTTCTAGGCTTCTTCAGCAGTACACAATTCTACTTTTGGTCAGGCAATATCGATGTCTTCATCGCTGGAGTGACACGCTGATCTATATCCTCACACCATTCACTTCGTCCTTAGCAACTTGCATGACGATGTCTCTAAGACGGAGTGAAGTACGTAGTGGCATATACTAGAGTATGAGCACTCATTCCTCCATTGTGTTCACTGCGTGACCTCGCTAGAAGAGGGAGGTAAATGGACACGCGAGGGGTAGCGTCAGCCGAGACATCGCGGAAGGCGTATGTGCTCGGCACTCCTCACGCGCCATCTACTTCGGTAGGTGGTCTCAGTTGCGGGTGCGACGCTCGCTAATACTTCCTCTGAAGGCATGTTTGAAACCCGCAATGCGTAACTGACGGGCTGTAGAAGCAACCTCGATCGTAGCTCATGGAAGTAAGAGTAGGCGAAGAAAGAAATAGATCATAAGAGCAGCCGATAATACTTAGTACTCGCTAGCCGTCACCGACACAACTGCTCATTTGGCCCTCACCGTCTTATCATGGGAAGAGCGGGACGGGGATTTCTGAAAAAGTTTGGTGGGTATGGTCGTACTTACGTGGCGAGATGTGCTGTGCGAGCTATCCAAGTTTACGATATCAGATCTTGGTCACACGTGCGCTTCGGCGTCTGCACCGGAGCACGTACACGCGGGGATGTGATGCAGGGACATACTTAGATTCAATGTCTAGGATGCAAACCTTGACACTGTCGATAATCTGGGACTGGAGTCAACATAAGTGAGAAAAAAGCAATTAGAGTTATGTATTGCACTGCTCTCAGCTTGGATTGTTGAATGGGTTCTAGCTGTGCTCTTTCTTTACTGGATAGGCTTGGATAATACTATAGATACACTTGATGATAGAAGCAGATCATGTATGCATACATACTGTACATGCAAATGCAAGCAACCAACACTTGGCTCACGTCCTTGAGAGAAAGAGGCGCGGTGAGCGAGCGAGCGAGTGAGTTGACAACAACAACATCTGAACACGTCCCCGATCCCCTGATCCCATCCACAGAGACGAGGACGTGCGGTGATTGGCTGGCTGGCGAGCGTGCCTGGACGGCGAGGGGCGGGTTCGCGTAAGTATGTATGTATGTATGTACTACTTACTGTACATATAATAAGAATTCGAAAGTCGTCAAGCAAGACTTGGGCCGGGTTTCGAAAGGATCGCTCGAGAGACAACCCATGTCCTGGCGGCCCGAATCAGGAAAAGCGTGGATGCGATCGCTGCTTGTCATGCGGCTGGACCGGATCTCTCCCATTTGCGCGCCCTCTCGCGGTGTTTTAACTGTGTGTGATTTCTATGTCGTTTCGTTGGGGGTTTTTTGCTTTGATCTCTTGCAGTATTGTTGGCTGCATGTTTGACTAACATTGGCCTACAGGAGTAGAAACAGCTGACTGGAATCTACACCATTCTCTTACGTACGTGTACTAATTCGGAGTTGTCTATCTTGTCTGTCTTGTTTGTTTCGAGTTAGGATGCATGTAGGTTTTTCCACCTTCGTTTTCATCCAAGGCATTACTACCTATCTACCGTACCTTATGTAGGTAGGTAAGTAGTATGTAGACAGTCTTTTCACTGCTCCCATACTTGCCGTGTCCTCTCGTATTGCTTTGATAATATTAGTTGAGGGTGTAGAGAATGTCGTGATCAACAATCACGACACGACATCGATCCAGACTTGGGTAGCGTGCCCTACGAAGTAAATACCTACCTATGTCGGTCCCCTCCCATCCCATCTCCATTCCCCTCCTCACCTCCTCGCCTCCTCGCCTCCCCACAGTCCCTTTCTGGGTGTGCGGCAAGTCATGCAAGGCCTTTCGATTGGCTACCTGTATTATCTACGGCAGCAGGGATGCTGCGTCCATATACCTAGTCAGAATATAGTGTAGGTACCTAGGGTCTGTGTAGGGGTTGTGGAGGTGAGCCCTGCGAGGTTGGCTGATTGGCAGGCCAACATTATGCAACGGGGCCGCGCCTTGTTCCTGTACATGCCGGTCTGCATCCATTGGCTCGTTCGTCGAGCGTTCAGGTCGTGTCCGTGGCTCTTCCACCTCGTGGCTTTCAAGGGCTCGGCTCTGTCATCATCCCTCTCGCCGTCCGTCTGTCTGCCGACTCTATCTCTCTCTCTCTAGTTGGCCTAGTAGGAGGTTCTTTTGTAGGCATGTAGGTAGCGTACCACCTGGCTTCTTCTCACCCCGTCCGTCCTGCAGGCCCCTTCTCGTGGACCCGGTTCTCCGCCATGTCGGATTTGGGGAGCAACAAAGCAACAGGCACTGTGGTGGGATTTTGCCCAACCGATAGCCGGCTGCGTCATTATCACGATCCATCCACGGGCCGCCACACACCTTGGTCAGAATAAAAATAGGCGCATCTAGCCAGGTGCAAATGGGAGCATGTACCGTTAGGTTGTATCTAGCAGTAGCCAGATGATAGAGGAGAGGAGGAGAAGGAGAAGAACAAGAAGAAGAGAAGAGAAGGGAAGGGATGAGAGGAAGAAGCAGATGGTCTGCTGCTGCATGTTGCAAGCAGTCTGTCAACCCGCGCGTAGATCCGAAATCGTCGTCATCTAGCTCCCTCAACCATCACCAACCCGCCGTCTGTCTGCCTGCCTTGCCTGCCTTCACCTCGCTGATGGCTGCGCATGCGCTCGTGCTCACATTCCCACTCACTCACCTCCTTCTTTTCCTTCCTCTTTCTCTTCTGGGAAAGGTCCTGCTGATTCCCTCTCCCGTCTCCCCTTTCCACATCGCTTGCTTCTTACTTTCTTCCCTCTGCATCTCATTGTGACATAGACTTGTTGAAATTTTGTGTCGTCTCCAACACCACGTTCTAACTCCTATTTGCTATCTATGCGAACGGCTATCGATACAACCGTCGTACGTCTCTTTTGCTGTAACGACAACCCGTAGAATAGTCTGAGATTGGTGTGCCGCCAGTACCATTGTTTCTTATAAGTGGGCGTCTGCAATTATCGACCCTGCCGTCTTCGGACCCCACGGCTTAGAGAGATAGCTTCATCGCCTACGCTGTGCCTTGCGATCCCAATTGCACATCGACTGGCCAGAGGCTGCCGACTGGGCGTCCTTGTCGGTGGACAACAGCTTCTGACACGAGAACAACAGAATAGGGACAGGTCAACTGCATATGTGCGGAACTTACTATAGTATAGTACTGAGACGTCGCCAGCGAATCGCCACTTGGACACATCTGGATGGCCGCTGGGTTGCACCATTGATGATTCGATCCCCGGCTGTCACTACTCACCTTGGCTGTGTAACGATTGCGACGAAGAATCGGGAATGGGTCAACGATGAAACACATCCGTGGCTGTTGCAGGTGAACAATCTCCCGTGATAGCACCGAAAAAACCATAATTTTACGTATCGCGGAGAATATAGCAGATTGCGACGAACCTTTTTTCTTTTTTTTATAAAAAAAAGGCTACCTAGACAGGGAGTTGTGGGAAGAGAAGAGGAGTGAAGTTAGCTTGTAAGAAACGAAACAAACGGAGTAGAGACTGCGATATCATGGATCCGAATGATTATCATGCGACTATGCGGCGGTATGGAGAAGCGCGGGATGGCCGCCGTGAAGACGATGGGAATTACTATAGCAGAAGACATGGCTCCAGCCAAGATGACTTGAACAGTAGTAGAAGAGTCTTATCGACGGGAGGCCCGAGATTTGGCGGCGCATCATCAGCATCGACAGCAGAAGTAGCAGCAGCAGCATCAGCATCGTCGCGGGGGTTGTCAGTAGTAGGAACGGGACCAAGATATGCGCCGACGTCGCCGACAACGATATCATCTCCACTTACAGCAGTAGCAGCAGCAGCGGCACCATTTGGGAGGAGGATTGGCACTGGTGGTGATGTTGGGGTTGAAGCTGAATCTGGAACTGGAACAGAAGAAGCTCGGCGTCGTGGGCGTGGAAGTGGGAATGGAAATGGTAGTGGGAGTGGTAGTGGCAGTGGTATTGGCATTGGCATTGGCAGTGGTGCGAGTGGTGCTGAAACAACGAGGGCAAATAAGAGGCGATCGGATTTGGAGGACGAGCTGGGACCACCACATCTATCGCCGGAGTCAAAATTCAAATCCTCCTCTTCGTCGCAAGGCGATGCGGGCCTTAGTCGTCACCAACGCGACCGCCACGACCGCCACGATTACCGCTCCCATCACTATCCCCATCCTGCCCATCCCCATCCCCAAGCCCAAACCCAAACCCAATCCCGGGATCAATCCCAAACCCAACCCATTCTCCATCCCCAACAAGATCATCATCATCATCATCATCGTCATCATCACCACCATCACCACAACCTTCCTCCTCACCCACATTTCCCAACTTCCTCCGCCTCCGCCTCCACCAACACCAGCTCTCCTAGTCCTGCTGCTACGATTGCTGATCATGGTGGTGACTTGATTACTACCACGAGCACTACCACCAGCGCCAATATCGGCATCGGCATCGGCACCAACACCAACACCAACACCACGACCAGTAGCGGCACTAACAGCGCAAGCACCAGTTCCAGCTCCAACGGCACTATCGCAACAACCTCGCGCAGCAGCCCATTCCCCATCGCCACGACGCATCAGTCTGCCCAGAGTAATAAAACTCAATCCCACTCCTCGCGTCCCCGTACTCGCACCCATGCCCAGGCCCATGCCCATACCCATAGCGATATCCATAATCATACCCGTAATCATACCCACGCCGCTGCTCACGCTCACAACCACGTCCTTGGTCTCGCCCATATTACGCACGTTACGCCCAGCAGCACCAACAGCACCAGCAGCAGCAGCAGTAGTAGTGCCAATAATTCCCACGTCCACGCCAACGCCAACGCCAACACCCACGTCCAGGTGCACGACAGCCGCGCGAACGCTAGCATGACATCTCCGACCGTCGCGGCCTCAAAGCATTTAGATTTTCGTAAGCCCACAGCCGACGCGACCACCACCACTACCAATCCTACCAATCCTGCCAATACCACCACCGACTCTTCTTCATCCTCATCGTCATCTCCTCGTAAATCTACTAGTGCCCACGACCGCGCTACCAACGCCGCCACTACCACCACTTCCACCACCATCGAAGCGTTGACGGCAGACCCGGCAGCAAAAAGACCACCAGCAGGATCCTCGTCGCTGGCATCATTGCCCTCTGCCTTCCACTCACCATCGCCCACCAAACGCCATACTCCCCTCTCATCCATCACGACGCCCACCGATGCAACGCGCCCGCGTCCGCCGCTGTCATCGCCGCTGAGCCATCCCTTCAATCACGCATCGCCGCATCACCACTCCTCCATCCTTTCGGCTCCCTCTCTTCTGTCGTCTGCATCGGCATCCAACTCCGCCTCCCTGCCTCACCTGCCTCCTCTGGCCCCTCCGCCCGGGGCCTTGAGCTCCATCATGGCGTCCTCCTCCGCCATGTCCTCGACGAATGGCAATGGCCCTCCGAGTGCATCGCCTCTGCAGCCGCCCAAGGCCGATTTCCCGCGTCCCATACATGAGAAGTCGTCTGGCCGCTTTTATGATCCCCTGACCGATACCAGTAAGGAGAGGCGACCGTCCGATAGCTGGCAAAAGCAGGTAAGTTCGATTTTGATGATGGTTTGCGGTTTCCATAATGTCCACGCCAGGATGTGCATTGGAGCACTATTCTGTTTCTTATTCATGTCTATCTACCCATCTTCCTTTTCCTTCATTTGCACCTTTATCTAGACAACTGTGCATCCATCCATCTATCTATACACGACCTCCGACCAAGTCTGCTTCATGCCCCGGTTGCATCATCAAAGTTGGTGATTTTTTCCTAGACAAGTAGGTGGTCCGGTCGCAGCAAACAAAGCTGGCCTCAATCATTGTATTGTGGTAGTAGCTAGCTACCTACATCAATCAATGAAAAAAAAAAGAAGCTGTTCAATGCCACCCCCACCTATTGGCGTTGCTGTGAGCCGTGTCACAGTGTATGGAGCAAGTTTGTCTGACTGGTAGAGAGTTCTGGGGCAGTCGCCTTGTCTCATCCAACTGAGAATCTGACCATAGCGCCCATCTCCGTATTCATCTTCCCACAATATCCTTCCCTGGCCTTCCCTGGTCCCAGAAAGGGCAACGTCCTTGTCGTCCAGATGAGAGCTAACCAACCTTCCTTGCGTACTTAGTCGCGGTCGGATGCATATGATTACCCTTCATCGAAGACCGAGTCTTCGCATTACTACAACCACCGTGACCACCGTGATAAAAACGGCTACGGGTCATCTTCACCCTCTGTCAATTCAAAGTTCCCTCCACGGAGCCCGCATCCACACTCGCACCCTAAGAACGGTGCTGATTCAAACAACACAACGCGTATGGATTCTCCCTCCACTCGCCACCGGAATCCATCGGATTCTCTGTCATCCACAAACCGACACACATCCACCCCGGCGCCCTCGCTGCCCTCCATATTGAATCCTGAGCCCACCCCTACCACTCCTGCAGCCTCGTCAAATGTATGTATACAATATGTTTATCCAAGGCCGGTGTCGCCTACCCTTCTCCCCAAATGCTAACATGCTCCAAGCAGACGCCAAGCCGTGCAGCGGAATTAATGTCATTCTCAAATATCCTTTCCAGCGCCGAGCCGCTCCCCAAGCCTAAAGCACCCATCATGGCGGAAGTCAAGAAGGAGAAGGCGCCTCGCAAAAGCAAGACTCGCGAGTCGTTGCTTAGAGATGCAGAGGGCGGCTCTAGGAAAGAATCGCGTCGCTCTTCTGGTCACGCAAAAGAAGCCCCCGCTAAACCGCCTAAGAGGCAAGTTAATGGCCAGCCCAAGCCCAAACCAATATCAGCCGACAAAGAGAAGAAAATCCAGCATCTTCTGGAGCAACTCGATACGAAAGCTGATGATGTTGACCTGTCTGAGCTTGATATTGAGGAGCAATTTTTCACGGGCCGGATAAAAAAGCGCAAGCTCAATCAGGAACAGGCAGAGTATCAAGACAGCCTTATCCGCCGCAGTGATCTATCTGGCTTTTTGTCACGAAAGTTGGTGGATCACATGACGCTTGCCAAACGTCGTTATGACGAGTTACACTACGAGGAGGCGCTACACGAAGTTCGTGAGCGGGAGATATATGCTGAGAAAGAACGAAAGAAGGACATGCAGCGGAAGCGGCGACGCGAGAAATCAATGCAAGTTACTATCGAGCAGAAGGAAGCAGCTCTGGCTAGAGCTCTTGCTGCTGAAGATGAGGCCGAAAGAGCCAAGCACCTTCGCGAAGCGGAACGCGCCAACAAGAAGGCGCAGCAGACGAGGCTGATACTACAAAAGGGTATCAAGGGCCCAGCCCGCGGTCTGCAGGCTCTTGAGCTCAACTTGGAGGGTGGCACCATGTCTTCGTTCCACGCTACAGACCAGGAGAGTAATGGGAAGACGAAGACAAAGGGTCGGACTGGAACGCGTCCTAAAAAGTCGAAAGAACAGAAGCAAGCCGAGAAAGATGCCGCCGAGGCTGCCCAGGCCGCCCTGGACGCTGGCGAGGAGCTTCCCGCCAGGGAAGAGACCAAGATTCGTATCAAGCTGAGCAAGTCTAAGGATAAGGAGCCCAAGGACAAGGACAAGGACAAGGAGCCAAAGGAGAGCGCCAAAGAGCTTAAGGAGAAGGAGAAGGCTGCCGAGGAGCCTCCTCCTAATCCTTTAGAAACCAAGTTTCAGTCAAAGGGTTTCAATCAAATCTATGACCAGATCTGGCGTGATCTTGCACGTAAAGATGTGGTTAAGACTTACAAATTGGCCACGGATTCTTACTCTACTAAGGCCTCCAATCTGAAGAAGACGGCTATTCTAGCTTCCAAAGAAGCCAAGCGCTGGCAGCTGCGAACAAACAAGGGCACCAAAGACCTTCAGGCTCGGGCTAAGCGATGTATGCGCGACATGATGGGATTCTGGAAACGAAACGAGCGTGAAGAGAGGGATATGCGCAAAGCTGCGGAACGCCAAGAATTAGAAAATGCCCGCAAGGAAGAGGCCGACCGTGAAGCCGCTCGCCAGAAGAGGAAACTCAATTTCCTGATCTCACAGACTGAGCTCTATTCGCACTTTATCGGCAAGAAGATCAAGACCGATGAAGTTGAACGTAGCACAGATAATCCAGATATCGCCCCCGCTGCCGACGCCCCCGCTTCAAATAAGATGGACGTAGCCGAACCTACTGGTCCTATAGGCTCCAAGGTGACAGACTTCAACCAGCTCAACTTCGATGCCGAGGATGAGGAAACATTGAGAGCCGCGGCCATGGCGAATGCCCAAAACGCAATTGCCGAAGCCCAGCAGAAAGCACGTGCCTTTAACAAGACACAGGACGACATGGACGAAGATGGCGAGATGAACTTCCAGAACCCCACAGGCCTCGGCGACGTTACTGTCGAGCAGCCGAAGCTTCTGAACTGCCAACTAAAAGAATACCAGCTCAAAGGTCTCAATTGGCTTGCCAATCTTTATGAGCAGGGTATCAACGGTATACTGGCTGATGAAATGGGTCTGGGCAAAACTGTACAGTCCATCTCTGTCATGGCGTACCTCGCCGAAGTCCATGATATCTGGGGTCCTTATCTAGTAGTTGCGCCCGCCTCAACCTTACACAACTGGCAACAAGAAATCGCCAAGTTTGTCCCCGAGTTCAAAGTGCTTCCCTACTGGGGCACGGCTGGCGACCGAAAGGTATTGCGTAAGTTCTGGGATCGGAAACATAACACGTACCGTAAGGACGCACCGTTCCACGTCCTCGTCACATCTTATCAGCTGGTTGTTTCCGATGTTGCGTACTTCCAAAAGATGCGATGGCAGTACATGATTCTGGATGAGGCTCAAGCCATCAAGAGTTCCCAGAGTTCACGATGGAAGTGTTTGCTTGGCTTTCACTGCCGTAATCGCCTCCTGCTCACGGGTACTCCAATCCAGAACAACATGCAAGAGTTGTGGGCTCTCCTCCATTTTATCATGCCATCACTTTTCGACTCCCACGACGAATTCAGCGAGTGGTTCTCCAAGGATATTGAGTCTCACGCGCAAAGCAACACGACATTAAATGAGGACCAGCTTAGGCGGCTGCATTTGATCCTCAAACCCTTCATGTTGCGTCGTGTGAAGAAGCATGTCCAAAAGGAACTCGGAGACAAGATCGAGCAAGACGTTTTCTGCGAGCTTACTTATCGACAACGTGCGTACTATAGGAATCTGAGGAACCAGATCAGCTTTATGGACCTGATTGAGAAAGCTACAATGGGCGATGATCAGGACTCTGGCACACTTATGAACTTGGTGATGCAGTTCCGAAAGGTTTGCAACCACCCGGACCTCTTCCAACGCGCAGATACCACGAGCCCGTTTTCGGCTGGCTACTTTGCGGAGACTGCCTCATTTGTTCGCGAAGGGAATAATGTTCCGGTCGGATATTCGACACGCAGTTTGATCGAATATAAGCTACCACGTCTCGTATGGTCGGAAGGTGGGAGATTGTATAAGGCCGGTGAGAATAATGTGCGCGCTGGTTTCCGAAACAAGTATCTCAATCATCTCATGAATATTTGGAATCCCGCAAACATACAAGCAAGCACGTCGGGCAACGACGCATTCTCTTTCTTACGCTTTACCGATACAAGTCCGCAGGAGGTCTACCAAGCTAGTCATCAAGATTTCTTCACTCGCGCTTCCGACCAAACGAAGAAGAGCGACCGACTGGGCCATATGCAAGCGATATATGATGAGCCGGAAGACCAAAATTATACGCCAGCCCATGCGCTGTTCCAAATCACGGCCAGGACAAATAAAAGAGCGCTTGCGGATATAACCAATGAAGGTGTGCTCAGCAATCTCATGAATGTCTCCCGCTTGCAGTGGCGCGACTCTGGCCTTAGCCGATTGGAGCAGGCAGCTCTGCCGGGAGCATCCGCTCCTCCAGTCGAGGTCTTCTGTGAAGGGACGCGAGCGCCCGTAGCCGAGCGCGAGGACACATTGTTTAACATGTCTATGCGGAAAGCTCTCTATGGACCCAACTCGATTGAAGAGAAGACCTTAGTGGAGCGACGAGTGCCTATTGAGCAATACCCACAACACGCACTATTGCCCAAGCCGGACAACGAGAAACGCCGTTTCACAAATATCACAGTCCCGAGCATGCGCCGCTTCGTTACAGACAGCGGTAAACTCGCCAAGCTCGATCAGTTGCTCTTCAAGTTGAAAGAAGAGGGTCATCGCGTGCTTTTGTACTTCCAAATGACTCGAATGATTGATCTCATGGAAGAATACTTGACGTACCGCAACTACAAGTATTGCCGTCTTGATGGTTCTACCAAGCTCGAAGACCGTCGAGACACGGTCCATGATTTCCAAACCCGTCCCGAGATCTTCATCTTCCTGCTATCTACGCGTGCCGGTGGTCTTGGTATTAATCTGACATCAGCCGATACGGTCATTTTCTACGACAGTGATTGGAACCCAACCATCGATTCGCAAGCCATGGACCGTGCTCACCGTCTTGGTCAAACAAAGCAAGTCACGGTTTACCGACTCATCACTCGGGGCACCATCGAAGAGCGTATTCGAAAGAGAGCAATGCAGAAAGAAGAGGTACAACGTGTCGTCATCCAAGGTGGTGGTGCCAGAGGTGTCGACTTCAGCGGTCGCCGGCCACCCGAGAACCGCAACCGTGATATCGCCATGTGGCTGGCCGATGACGAGCAAGCCGAGCTCATTGAACAGCGAGAGAAAGAGCTCATGGAGAGTGGTGAGCTCGACAAGGCGAAGAAGCGCGGGGGTAGCAAGCGGAAGCGCGAAGCCGTTAGTCTCGACGATATGTACCATGAAGGTAAGTCTGCCCAATCCATAAACTTCATCTGTAGCCTAGTCGTATAAATTAACATGAACATTTGCAGGCGAGGGTCACTTCAATGACGAAAATAAGCCATCGGGTACCGCAACTCCGGTTGAACCTGAGGCGGCTAAGGCGACCAAGAAACGAAAAGGTGGTAGCAAGAAGGCCAAGACGACGAAGCAGCGCCTCGCCATTGCCGATGGGGAAATGGACATCTAATTTATTCATATTTCCTCGTGGTCGTGTAAACTAGTTTAGCTTGTCTCTCTGTCTTTTTCTCCCCCTGTTCCGCGACTTAGAAAGAGAGGCTAGGCTGGCGTTATGTTTGTATGATGTTGAATTTCGCAAACGGAAAGAAACTTGTCATTCTTCCTCGCTTCCTTCCTAATTTTTCCCTTGCTATTACTACTACTACTTACTTACTACTACTATTACGTGTACATCAAAACAAAAGCAAAGAATCACATGAGAAAGGCGTTGATTTTTTCATTTTTTCTGTTTTTTATTTTGTTTTTTTTTTTTTCGTTGTGTTGCGTTTTCCCTGTAGACATGGGGGGTTCACAACGAATCAAACTTGTTCGTTTCGTGGTATTTATTTGTGTTTTAGGATGTATGTTTTTCACGCGGATGGCAGACAAGTCCCATTATGATGATGGATGACAATGGCGATGAATTAGCGGGTGCGAGGAAGAGCGGAGGGAAGAGGAAAGGGGGGAAAGAGGGAGAAACGGATGGAAGGAATATGAGGGAGTGAGTGAGTGAGTGAATGGGAGTGGATGTAATTAATCGAATTAATTAATTACGCTCCATTCATTGCATTCACTGCGCTACCTATCTATCTACATACTTATACAATGAACACAATACGATAAATAGAGATCTGGAATGAAGAATCTGCGTGATATGATGGATTGTGTAGGTGAACTAGATGAGTAAATTACTGCGATGATAAAATAGATGGAGTGATTAGCATTTGCGGTTTAATTTCTCCCTCTCTCTCTCTCTCTTTATAGGTATATATATATACGTAAGTAATTATCTAGAAATACATATATGATAAAGTAAAGGGCTGTCACGGAATGACAAAGGAGTGCAGTACTATGCCACTACGCCACCAAAAGGTAACGACGAGTTATCAAGTCGAAGGCTTGACGTCTCTGCACTCACTATATAGTACTGTACTGTGACAAGGGCGAGAGACGGATTATCACGAACATATAAAATAAAGTACACCGTTAAACTCATCACATCAATCAATCAATCAAGACGGAAACGACCTCTTACCTCTCGAAATTCCTTGATGGTTCCTAAGGTTGAAAAATAATTCCTTTAGCATAGCATAGGATCGCATAGCATAAACAAATCTATTCAATTCAATTGCTGTAAAAAAAATCCACTCACGCAACAACGCGAACGATGTTTCTCGCGCTGATACTTTGACTAACTGACGTCTCTTAAATACCTAGATAATACATACTAGGTACCTACGCAGTATAATAAGCAGCGCCATTCCCCTCTCTCTCTCTTTCAAATCAGAAAGAAAGAGCTCAAGAAACATCGATTAGAGCCCCCTGTCTACCTGCCGCATTCATTTACTTTCCTGCGCGGGATTCTTGCGCTCCCTGTCCCTAATCAATTTTTAAAAAGCAACCCCTTGCCTGGATGCATGCATGCGGCTCTATGTAGGTATGGTGGCCGAGGAATGCCCAATTCTATAGATAAGCTGACCCTGTATTTGGAGCCGTGCGTTCGTTACCCGTGATGCCAGAATTTCGAAAAGCGTTATGGAATTATCACCTCGAGTCGTTCGCATGATATTTGTTGTTCATGTAACGACGTCATTGAGTCGATTTCCGCAACCTAAATTCGTTCCCGAAGAATGCATCTAAATGTCCAAACTATCAAACAAACTTTGAAGACGGCCTTAGACGGCGCCAGCTGCCACCATCTTCTTTCGCAGGTAGTTCTTGTACTCTCCTATTGTGCCATCCCAAGGCTTGATTGTCTTGTTCTCGCAGACAAGAATCTGCTTAGCGATCCTGTCAAGCAATCTGAAGAACATATTAGTATGGGCTAGGTGAATGTTAAGTGTGTAGAGATGCTTACCTGAAGTCGTGGGACACGACGATAACACCGCCAGTGTAGTGTTCAATTGCATCCGCCAAAGCGTCGATTGTTGGAATATCTAAACCATTGGTAGGCTCGTCGAGAAGAAGCATGTTGGGAGACTCAATAGCGAGCAGGGCAAAGACGATACGGCTCTTCTGACCTTCGGATAGTGTGCCCATGATGGATGTCTGAACGGTACCGGAAACACCATACCTTCCCAGGCACTGTCTCCAGTACTGATAATCTTGTGACTTCTCAGGGAACTTGTCGCGCACGAAATCCAATGCACTCTTGGTCAGGTCTAGTTGCTCAGCACTGTGCTGTGAGTACATGCCGAGCTTAAGGTGGGTGTGTTTCTTCACGGCGCCGTCCGTAGGCGAGATCTTGGTTGTCATAAGACGAAGAAGCGTACTCTTACCGACACCGTTGGGTCCGACAAGGGCTGTTCGCGAATCCATGTCGAAACCAAGATCAATGTGACGGTATAGGTCATCCTTGGGATCACCAGAGTACGAGAACGTGACGTTGTCGAAAGCAAGGACGGGAGGGGGCAGCTTGTCGACGTCAGTGAATCTGAATGTAAAGGCCCGGTCTTCCTTGACTTCTTCAATGAGACCGTCTGCAATCATCTTGTCCAGAATCTTCTGACGGGACTTGGCTTGGCGCACCAAGTTGGCGTAAGTACCGGCGCTGGCAATGAATTCCTTGATGTGCTTGATTTCTTCCTGTTGCTTCTTGTAGGCTGTCATCTGGTTGATCTCTTGCTCCTTTCTTGTCTTGATATAAGAGTCGAAGTTACCACCATAGTACATGAGTTGCTGCTTTCGCATGTCGATCATGTTTGTGCACACTCCGTTCAAGAAATCTTGCGAGTGGGAGATAAGCACCAGGGTGCGCTCCCACTTCTTGAGGTATTCTTCTAACCACACACAAGCCTCCAAATCTAAATGGGCAGTGGGGTCGTCGAGGAGCAGGAGAGTGGGTTTCACGAACAGAGCCTTGGCGAGGGCAACACGCATACGCCAACCACCCGACATGTCCTTGGTCTTCTTGTGAATTGTGACCTTGTTGAAGCCGAGACCAGTCAGGATAAGTGAAGCTCGAGTGGCAAATGTTGAGGGGTCCATCTTGTCCATATGCTTTGGTAGGAGTGTTAGCAACGCAAATTAAGCCCGGTGCATGACGCTGATTTGGAGGATACATACCTCGTAGAGATCCATGAGTACCGGGTCATCAGGACCGTTCTCTTCTAGAATCTGCTCGGCCAGTTTGTCAAGACGATCCATCTCTTTCTCAGCCTCCTTAACGACCCATTCAAGAGCGCCAAGGTCGGATGGGGGTGCGCCTTGGTTCAGCAGATAGATGTCAACATGGTCGGGGATAGGGTATTCACGCTCAGCGATAGCCTTCAGCAGAGTACTCTTTCCGCAACCGTTCTCACCAAGTAGACCGTAGCGACGGCCAAAGGTCAGTTCTAGATCTGTTTCGTTGAGGAGGACGCGGCCATGGAAGGTCAAGCTAGCGCTGATAACCTTGACGTCTCTGCTACTCGGAATGGAAGCAAGGACACCAGTGGTGATACGGTCGGATAGACCTTGGGCATCTTTCTGGTCGGCAAGACGTTTGACCTTGTCGGCATCCTTGTCACTGGTTGCTGGAAGGTCATTGGGATCCGGGGGGGACTCATCACCGGCGGCAGAGCCAGCGGCGCTGGCGTTCTTGGATGCCGCCTTGGAACCAGCCTTGGAGCGGGAGACGAGAGTCTTCTTCTCGCCCTTACCCTCGGCGGCCTTCTTGGCGAGTCTCTTTTCCTTGGACGCGGAAACCATGTTGAACAAGTTGAGTTTTTGTTGTATGGCGCCGTCGAGATAAGGAACGAAGGCGGTACACAAAAAAAAGTCGTCGTCGAAAATGTACCCCGCCTGTAGTGGATGGGAGTCGAACTCGACCGCGGGGTTCGTATTGATTGGGATGGCGACGATCACAAGTGAATGTGACGGGTTAGAATGTCGCTCGAATAGGATGGACGGGATATATGATATATGATATCCTCTATGTCGAGCCGTGACCAACAAAGACTTGCTAAAGGCAGTGGTCGATGGATGGAAACAAAATGATTGATGGGAGAGTAGGCAGAGAAACTGGTGTGTACCAGAAAGGAGGGGCAAATAGAGGAGGGCACCCTAGTAGGTACTAATACAGCGCTGGTGGCCACCGCCATCCGCATCCGCTGGGCTTAAAGTTCCAGGGTTGTTCAGTGGAAGCCGTAGTGGGAACTCTGTAGTGTAGTGGCGGGGATTTGCTAAGGCATCCAGCAAGGCTGTCGGGACTGTTAGGGGGCTGCTAGAGGCCCAATGGCCCCCGTAAGACTGAGGTGGCAGTGGTCGGGCTTGACTCAGTGGGGCCGTGAAATTTTTTGACTTTTTCGATAAACGATAAAATTTCTACAACCTTCTTGGCAATATCGTGGGGTCCCGATAAGCGATAAGCAAGTCCCTGTCCGAGAAAATATACATAGTACCTACGAAGTAATCACATTCCAGTTACTATGTATGTAATTGCTGCCTCAGGCATTAGCAATATTCCTCGGCACTTTGTTCGAAACTGGGCATTGACCAATCAGAATGACGTCAATATGGGCTACCTACTAAGTATTTGATATCTCACCTGGGATTTTGGACTTATTACCATGTTACAACAGGCGAGCAATGCTCTCATATTCGAGCATTCTAGCATTGTCTTGATTATAGATTTCACTACGCATGTATATCACGGTGCCACGTAACAGTAGAGACTTGCAAGTCATTCTCAATTTTAACTCTATAACATCTGAACCCTTTCATACTTTGGCGCGAGCACCTTGGTTTGAGCTTCTTACTATAGTGCGTTATGTAATACACAATCTGACAAATATAGTATGTATGCACCGTGCAAGTTGGTAGGTTCATTAGGTAAGCATGAGAGAGAACTCCGATACAAAGATCATAACTTGTACCCTTGAGAATCCTCAACACCCGATACCGGTACCTTCTTTTGCTAAATGAAGCCTCCCATGCGCCGTGACATTAACCGGTCTTGTTCCTAGAGACCTAGCTTCCCCTGTCCCCCCAGGATGAACGCGCTAAACATCATACAACGCTCGTGAACACATCTACCGTCTAGAGTACTCGTAGTCGTTCAGAGTTTCTTCCGTAAACATGGCCTCCTTGTGCTTGGCCAGAGTGACGGGCGCCACTCCCTGCGGCTGCGAGTCGCCTATGCGCGCGAGATACGAGTTCTCGTCTTCGTTCGGGCGAGGTTCGTGGCCGTGGCAGTGGGGACAAGTAGGCGTGTACTGGACAATGATCTGAGGTGGCTGCTGGTACTGGGAACCGCGGGAAGCGGTCACCTGCATATACGCAGGCTTGGTCCACTTCTCCATCGCTGTGAGGATGAGGACAATGAAGTGTAGGACGCTGTGATCGACAGTAAGTATCATCTCGTCTCTAGAGGTGGGCTTGAGAGAGAAATCTTGGCTCCCATGCTTCGACGAGATTCAACTTACCCACAGATGGCCAAGATAATCACGACGGATAAACCCCGCCAGTAGTCTTCCCACACATTGCCATATGTGTATTCTATCGCATTATCAGAATAGTACTGTCGCTGCGCTACCCTGTTATTGCCCCAGATGCCCACGACGGTAGATATCGCGATGATGGCTAAGATGGAAGTGCATTCGAGGCCGATATGCCAACCCGATATCACCTCATTATCGAACTTCTGTCTCATCCTGAAGAGACGGTAGCCATTCCACAGGGCCAGCAGAGATCCCTGTGTTATACCGGGATGCCATTAGTCTCGCTCATGAAAAGAACGCGTTGAACGGCAGAGCTGCCCCAGGAGAGGCGAACGGATTCAGGGTGCGTAACTTACCAGAACGAAAGCGAATATTGCCGATATATCCGTGCCAAATAAGATGCTGACAGGAATTTCGCCAATGACAAGAGATATACAAAGAGACAGTATTGTCCATCGTAAGCCCTTTCTCCAAGGGATTGTCTTGCGTATCCTCATGGCAGAAGGGTCTTGGGACGGCATCGAGGCAAGGACGGCCGCCTTGATATCCTCTTCCAACTCTGGCGGTAGAGTAGACTGACGGTTCTGTGATTCCAGATCCATATTGATGGTGTATTGAGGATAGGGGACAGAGGGTTGGGAGTAATGGTAGTCTCTGTCGCGTTGAACAAGCTGGGCAGGAAGGGGTTGCTCAGAGTTGGTGGCCACAATTGGGATAGGACCCCGAGGTCGATATTGGCCACGGACAGTGAAATGGTTCTGCGTTGACGGCGGACTTGACGATGACAATGCTGGATGTGTATGAAGAACAACCGGTGGTGAGGATGTGACGGTAGATATAGGAGCGAGAGCTGGATGGCGGACGGGCACGGGAACCCGCTTGATTTCACGCTTTGGCTGCGGAAGGTTTGCCATGGCAACACCGCTTGCTATCAGTCCCGGATGTGCTGAATTCTAGTACGCGCAGAAATGGGCCTAATGCCCCTCTTGTAGATTTCAGGCAGCCGTTTAAAGAGTCGTGTGAGAGGTCCCGTGTGTCTTGGGCGGTGGACTCACGCGCGATCCAGCGGATTCGATCGATCAACAACACACTGTGTGATGAGATCATGCACCAGATTCCCATTGACCGCGCCTCTGTTGCTCAGTGCCGAATATCTCATTCATTCATCGCCTCAAGTCGTGAGAGGGTTGAAGGTGTCGATGGTGTGAGCAGCACCCAAGCAGTAGTGTATAGGTAAGCAATTGATCCGGCCCCCCAATAGGAGTCCACACTATCGGCACTGAATTGAGAACAGACAGGAAGAATGACTAGGTATCAGTTTGCAAACCTACCCGGAGAGCTAGCAAATCGAGTTGCATACCTAGTTAATTGAGAGACAAAGCCGTAAGGAGTTGAAGCTCGCTTCCAGGCAGCAGAATTTCCCAGACTCCGGCTTTGCCCAATACAGAAAGTCGTAATATGGTTGAGATACAGGGGTACACTACTGTATATACGCCCAACCACCCAACCAGACCAAACCTGTCACAGCTTGCTTACCCACGCCAACACGAGCCTCTGCACGAGCCGTGCTAAGCTATATATAGGTGGGAGGATTTGCCGAATCTCATTAGCGTGACGGGTGCGGGAGACGATCGTCATGATTTGTTCACGGCGGAATGGAATCCATTGCATTTTGAAATGTTTTCTAAATAGGTAGTACTTCAGACTTAATAGATCTCTTGCAGAATTAGTCTATCACTATCAAGACGACGCGGTGCTGAATCGCTGTTTTGAATCAATCTGCTCGTATCGTGGAGGTCATGTCAGCTCTATGCCGATCCTGGGAGATCTGCACTACTACTTACAGTAGGTAGGCTATGCGATGTCAGTTAGTAAGATGTCAAGATGTTGGAGGCTTATGAAACACAGAATACTTACCCCGTAGTTTGATGTCTGGGTTGTTTGCAAGCTGGATCAATGAAGCAAGACTATTTTCATTCCGTTTTTGGGCATGTCATCTTACTATCTTGGAGTACGTCGGCTTGGTCTGTATTCACTTACTTATTTCATTTTCTATTCGGACTTAGGCGGTTAGCAGGGCTTGCTGATTGAGATAGAATTAGGCAATATTCCTCGCAGGACGGTTACTTGAAGCTATTCGGGGAATTATGTAGAGTAGATAGCAAAACGCGTAACAGCAACGTGGGAGACTTCTAGCCACCCTTACAGCTCAAGGGATAAGCGAATCTGTATCTCCAGAAGAGAGTCATCATAGAACAACCTTAGAGAACCAATGATTGGACAGGCTGCGATTGAATTGGTCGAACAAGAACTGACCGACTCCAAACCCTATGTTCAGAGGCAGTCATCGTATGTGTAGTAGATAGTGTTTCCATGACAACCGAGCTACGAGCGACTTGACCGCAGCTACGAGACTATTACTCCAAAACTACTCCGCCTTGGTAGTATGCTAATAAACATCGAGTCGAATGAACAATCGTTTATGTTAGAGTGAACATGAGAGCCGATGACTACGTGTAAACATGCGCATCCAAGAGCGAGGAGTAGAGGTGAACTTTTATCGTGTCCTTCGGAAACAACTAGCTATTGTTTTATATCCCCTCCTTCTCTAGGTCACCTACGTCAAGAGACGAACTACCGTAATTGTCGACCTCTGATAAGAGATTCCTAGCAGCAACTGGTATGCTCCCTTCAGCGGCATTGATACGGCGATCGTATTCACGCATATTCGCCTTGACGAAAAGACTATCACTCGTGAAGAGGAGATTGATTTCTTCGAGAGATCTTTTGGCGACTTCGGGATAGAATAAGTATATAATCGGTATTGCGACGATGTTTAAGGCGCCGAAGAATACGAATGTGGCCCAACCGAGTCGTTGCAAGAGGATGGGGATCACGAACTGTGTTCTAGATGGAAATAATTGTCAGAGTCTGCATGGTGATGCATTGAGGATATCAATTTATATGTAGGATAAACTGTTCTTACACTCCGGAACCAACTGCCCAGCCAAAGATGGTGAAGCTGTAGCCCTTGGCTCGGATCTCCTGGGGCCAGATTTCGGTCCCATATATCCATGACGGGATGATATTGAACATGGTGAAAAACCTGGCAGAGAAGTCTCAGTAAATGGTACTTCATAACTGTATATATCAAATACATACCAGATGTAGACAAATACAAAAGCAGCTGCACCTGTTCCTAGTCGCACTGCCTGATCTGCATCTACAGATGAAGCGTCCTGAGAAGTCTTGATAAGGGCAGCTACAATGAATAATGCGATGCCTTGTGTAATAAAAGAAACGATCAACGATTTGATCCGACCAATTCTATCCACGACAAGCGCAGCCGCTGCGGTGCCAGGGACACCAAAGGTGTTCACTAGTCCTCCAAGCCAAGCGGACTTATACGAGTCGAACCCGGCGAGGGCAAAAAGTGTTGTTGCCCAACCAGCGATAGCCAGGATTCCAGTCCACTGTTGAATGAGTTGCAGCGCAAACCCCATCACCGCACGCCGACCGAGATGAAGACTTCCCGAGTAGCGCCCGCCTAAAACGATGTTGAGTAAGTTGTTGCGCTTGTGATGGGATGCCTCGACTATGGCATCAAGCTGCTCGACTTCTGCGACGATCTTGGGATCTGTAGCCGATAGATCCCCGCGTACTTTGCAGAGAATATCGATGGCCTCCTGCCGTTTCTTATTCGCAATAAGCCATCTGGAGACTTCGTTAGCGGTTCTTATCACGATTTTTCAGTGATCACGCTTACCGTGGCGACTCGGGTAGAAAAGGCACAGTGGCATCGACGATCAGCAATGGGATGATCATCCATGCGAGCGGAAATCTCCAACGGAACTCACTCTTATATCCACGGATACCGAAGTTGATCCAATATGCGATCACTATCCCAAGATAGTTCGCGACAAAGACAAGCGAGAAGCTGGAGCCACGGTCGTGCGCTTGTGATAACTCGCTCACCCAAGGTGGGATAATAGCGTTGATGAAACCGATGCCCAAACCCGCGATGACGCGTGCGACTATGAACGTGTTTGAGTTTTGACTCCCCGCCATGAGCGCCGCACCAACTATACCAAACAGAGTGCCGACCAAAACACCCCGTTTCCGACCAATCTTGTCGCCCACCCAGCCTAGGCAGAATCAGCAAAAGTTCCGTGTTGAGCACTCTTCGACATTGACATAGTACCTCCTATGAAACAACCCCATATGGCACCGAAGTAATATGCTGCGGCTAGACCTCCTTGTTTAGTAGTATCAGTCACGACACCGTCGTGCCCAATCTTGGCCATCTCAATGAAGCCCGGTGTTGAGCTGACGGTGCCGAACACGCCTTGATTGAACCCTGTGAGTGTGTAAGGCTTAGTATACCTAGGCAATAAATCATACAGTAAATTCATAATGCGTACCTTCAAAGATCAGAGCAGTAGCTGCAACAATGTTAACCAACAACAATAAGACTTTACCGGGCACTCGGCGCCATGGCTCGAACTTCTGGAAGCCGAACATACTGTCGGTCGCTCTATGTTCAGGCTATCGGGTTGAATTTGGGCAAGACATTCATCTAGAGTACTACCCAAAGCTCACTAATGCTAGTCAGCTTATCACAGATTTGCGAGTCTTTGTGGACGTGTCAGAGTTCTTATACTTTTCAAGAGGAGTAGCGAGAAATCGATATCAATAGTGACGTGAGATACAATTCGGCTAAACGCTTAAACGCTTTAACGCTTAAACTCAAGCCGTTTAGGCGTTTTGCCGTTCAAGATCACCGAGTGAATGACTTCCTGAGACTGACAAAGCCCATATCTCACAAATAGTTCGCGCGGGGTAGATGTGGAAATTGTCGTGACGCGATTTACAAGGGCCGGAGCTCTGGCAGATGCGACACTAACTTTGCCATCGCTAAAGAATACAATCTTTAAAATAGAGACAGCAACCACTTCCTATCACAACATTCTGCCTGTTTACGGCTCGCAGCTTCAGCACTATTCTAGGAAACACGTTTAAAGTAGACGCGCATAATGGGTTTGAACACAAATAACTCAGATACTAAACCTCTAGAACTCACCGTGCTAGGCATGAACTCAGGCACTTCGATGGACGCCATTGACTGTGCTCTGTGCCATTTCAGACAAGCTTCGCCAGAAGCACCGATGCATTTCGAGCTGCTGAGATACGATGAGGTGCCACTTGAACAGACCATCAAGAAAAGAGTCATGCACATGATTCTGCACAACAAGACCACGCCCGAGGAACTATCGGAAGTCAACGTTATCCTAGGGGAGGTCTTCGCAGATGCTGCCAAGGCATTCTGCGTCAAGCACAATGTGGCAATCGACTCGATAGACGCAATCGGGTCCCATGGGCAGACAATCTGGCTCGTTAGCATGCCCGAGAAAGATCAAGTGAGGTCAGCCCTCACGATGGCAGAGGGGTCTTTCATAGCCTCCCGCACGGGTATCACGACGGTGACGGACTTCAGGGTATCTGATCAAGCAGCAGGCCGACAAGGCGCGCCCCTGATTGCTTTTTTCGACTCACTGCTCCTGCACCATCCTACCAAGCTCCGCGCGTGTCAGAACATCGGCGGTATCGCCAACGTCTGCTTCATTCCGCCGGACACCGACGGAGTGCTGAACCCTGCATTCTTCGACTTCGACACGGGGCCCGGGAACGTCTTCATCGACGCCGCGGTACGGTATTTCACCAACGGCGAGCGCGAGTACGATGAAGACGGCGCCATGGGGCGCGCAGGTACCGTTGATCAGGAGATGGTCGACGAGTTCCTACGGTCATTTCCGTATTTCGCTCTCGACCCGCCGAAGACGACAGGCCGGGAGGTTTTCCGCGACACGGTGGCGCACGATCTGATCGAAAAGGGTCTCAAAAAGGGACTGTCACCGAATGACATCGTCGCCACAATAACACGCGTCACAGCACAGGCCATCGTCAAGCACTACCACCGCTATATGCCGACGGAGTACGGCCCGCTGGCCGAGATATACATGTGCGGTGGTGGGGCCAAAAATCCCAATATTGTGGCCTATATGCAAGCCGCGTTCCCGGAGACGCGCATCATCATGTTGGACGAGGCCGGGATCCCCGCGGACGCGAAGGAGGCCGTCACGTTCGCGTGGCAGGGTATGGAGGCCATTGTAGGGCGGAGCGTCCCTGTGCCCGATCGTGTTGAGACGAGGGCTGAGTACATCCTGGGTAAGATCAGCCCCGGCCGGAACTATCGCCAGGCCATGAGGAAGGGGGCGGATTTTGGCAGCGGTGCAGAGCGGTTGCCGCCTGTGAGTGAGTTGGTCAATTACGTTGATGGAAAGGTGTTTGAAAACAAGATTTGAGTGATATTTATGTTTTGTATATAGTACTTGATCATTTGGGTAGGGGCCATCCTGCTACATATTTTGTTTCTTGACTTGTTCGGTGACATGCTCTGGATTGAGCGTTAGGGGCAGATAATAGGTATGTTCTTGGCTCTAATGAAATGGCCCTGGCGAAGATATTGATGGCTAGCACTTACACTTGTAAATAAATCGTGGGTGAGTGATGACGAGACTGTTATTAGGCTGGAAGAATGACTTTGCGATAGACCGCCGTGATCGCGAAGCTCTCTGTTGTTCCTTAACGACTACTACTGTTTCGTCTTAGCAAGGGCTAGCTACATACCTTCTATCCGACGCGTTCGGCGCGTACGGTCTTACCCTTGGCGTTGCCTCTAACAACATGTCTACGACGGGATTTCGAATACATAATACTTCAGTCGCACAAGTATTCATAATTGAATAAGTAACCCCTCTCGACTGTATTTCTCATGCTGATCGTAATAGCCATTGTTTCTCTGTTGCGTTGTATCACTTTAAGTAAACAAGGAGCGCCTCGCTTGCTTTCAGAGAAACAGTGGCTTGCCCACCACTCGCGGCTATAGTCTCGAACATCTCACTCCCGCTGATCTTACAGTCCTCATCCGTAAATGTCTGGCCGCCGAAGGTCACCTTACCACCTCGATCGACTCTTGCGGCTGCACTATCTCCAGCAAGTCTCTTCGCTCTGACAGATGAACCTGCCAATCCACGAAGATCGAAGGACTGGCTTGACCGAGTTCCGCTGCCGGAGTAATAGTCTGAGTTGTACAATAAAGCCCGTAACGGGACTCCCGCTGAATCGAACGCTACGTACGCTGCATAATTGGAATTGCCGTCATCGAGAGCCGTAAGCGATGCTGCATTCGCCATGAATGCCGTTGCTATATATGCGCCATAATACGGTGTACCCATGCTATATCTGCCCCAGAAGCAGTATTGGCAGTTACCTACCGTTCCATGATGGAAGTAGGTACGTGAGATATTGCTGTATGTCGCTCGGAGCGCGTAGTCCATAGTCCATAGTGCCGCACCAAAAGTCGGCGAGACCGATGCCGCTCCACCACCCGAAACTTCACGGTGATGTTAGTCACAAAGGGCGGCATGCTAGAACGGACCAACGGTAGCATACATACCAGAGTTGGTTTCCCCAAAGATGTACTGTTTACCCTCTTTCAGTGCCGCAGCAACGTCTGCATCAAAGACATGTATGTTCCTTGAGATACCGCTATGGCTCATAAGCGACGCAATTGTTCCACCGGGATAATTATGATGTGCATAGTTATGGATATACTGCTTCACCGTAGCGTTCTGAGTGGCGATCAGCTCGGCCGCACCCCATTTCGGCGGAGAGTCATTCGAGTTGCCAGCCTGGATGATGTCGCGCCTATTCAAAGCAGATCCCACCGATACCGCCCAGTTGTTTTGAGAAGCTGCATCTACTGACGGGTTCCAGGTGCCACCGGCGATGGGTTGTCTGTTTGAAGGATAATCTGTTTCTCCAGTCAGCTTCCGCCCTTATAATGCCGACGACCCCGTGAGTCTATGGCCTACATTCAGGTTCGTTCCCTAGCTCAATTGCTAGCAGATTACTCATCCCATTCACTGCCGCCTTCGCCGCGTCGATAGTGTTTTGAAGGTTATTTTTACCCCTATTCAAGCCCACGACTACACTTCCGCTATATTTACTCGCCAATGTCATGAAGCTTGACCCAAATGTCAAACTAGATGGAGCATCTGCAGCATTTGCGACGGTGTAGACTACATAGGCCGATGTTCTTGCATCATATTGTGCGCGATCTTGCGTAGTACCACCGATGCGGATAGGCGGCCAAACACCTGTTAGGTCTTTCCAATTGGACAGGCATTGTGTCGTGGCGGATACGTTCGTGAAATATGATGGAAATGCGAAAAACTCAAACGAAATGCCAACGGGCGCGGGATCGACGGGCGCATACTTGTAATTTCCCGTGTGTGCTTGGGAAGGGATCGTAAACGTCACAGCCGATGTCGTTGAAGATGCGACGGCCAATACAGCAACTACTTGTGTGAAGAAAGGAGCCATTGTGCCTATCCGGATCATGTATACGGTATCCAACGGATATTCAACATCTGATCGGGGCACGCATCGTCCTTAACTGGTGACGGCGCTGTCTTAAAGACAAACTGGCCGTCGGGTAAATGCTCACCGAGTGAATGCAACATACCGTCCAAGACAAATTTGGACGCAACAGCACGCCGCTAAGCTGGTTTACTTATAACCCCCAATGCCGACATCTATTTAGGCTGACCACCTGCAATCGCGTCACAGTAGACACCGACCCAGCGCGAACATGTGACACCTGAGCTGTCACGCTGCGCTCAGTAAGAGACAGGTGGGAAAGGAGAAATGAGAAATGAGGCTTGTTACTCTTATATCCTGTATAGAACACCGGTTACCAAGATCCCCTGATCGAGTTCTCTCCACAAGGCGCTAGAAGCGCGCCTACGAACGCTACCGAGACTTTGTCATTTATCTGCTTACAACATCTACGCGAGCAACAATTATCATGTTAACCCTCCTCACCAACACAGTCCCTAGCAAGGAGTGCATCCTTGTTGTAAACCTCCAGATCCGAAGGCTTGCGTCTGAGCTGTAGCGTGAGGGTAAACGCGTTGTTTTTGTGGAAATGTACTGCGAGCAAGGCTATCTCGATCTACCTGTTCCTGCTGATATCATATCTAATAGCACGCATACTTTTGATCATGGATATCAACTAATGGCCGACATTCTCTTCGAGGCCTTTCGTCAGGCTAATAAAAGGGGTTTCTTACAGCCACCTGAGAAGAACGGCGTCCCGGATGATGGGGAGCTGGAGAGGATCAATGAGCAGTTGTTGTTCGAGCCGCATTATCCCAAGCTGAGTCCTCATCCATCGAGGCCTGCACCCAAGGCTGATGACAAGGCTAAAGACTAGAACAAGGAGAAAGATAAAGATACGGATAAGCCCGAGAAATGTGTAGATGCTATAGAAAAGGACATCGCGGACACCAAGGCGCAGACTGTTGGCAACGTCAATGCTGGAAGTACCGCGAATACCACGACTGTGAACATTGCAGACACCAAGACTGGAGATGCTACAGGGAGTACAGCAATCACTACTGACACGAAGGCTGGCACAGTCGTAGGAATTACAGCAACTACCACTGTCGACACTAAGATTGAAACCGTCGCCGATGTCGAAGTTCTTCCAAAGGTGAATACAATCGTGGGTACTAACGTTGGAGCCACTGTTGTCGACAAACAGGCCATCGAAACCATGGGAACGACAACCAACACCGAGGTGGCCACCAAACCTATCTTAGGAAACACGGCGACGTGCCCCTTGGAAATCAAAACTGAAAATGTCGTATAAAACGAGATCCCAGATGAGTCTTTCAAGCCAATGGTTGCAAGCCCGCCCAAAATGGTTTGACATTGATATCTTGCGGCGGATAACGATGGCGTGTTGTGTATAGTGGCAACTGGGTCTACTAGACTTACTAATGAATTACTGCTTATTTTTACGATCATTTTCTTCGTCACGACTAAAAATGCAGTGCAGTTATGTATTCGCTGATCAGTGCTACCGTCGAATTCTCGTGGCCAATTAAGGACAGCTCGGAAAGCACCTGTTACACGCGGCGAACGCTGTGCACGCTTTCGTACGCCCGTGTACGTGTGTAGCCCGCAGTCTTCTCTCACAAGTAATAGATAATATCGATATTACTGATGTGATGCTATTCACAATATGAGACACATGGGGAGGCCTTGGTGATTAGGCCTACTGGACTAAATGAGTAAATTCAGGGCAACCTTACAGATAGAAGTGATCCGAATGAGCATTTGACTCTGACAGCCGTGCCAGGCGATTATATCGTGAGGACAATTCAATTTCTACCCCTAGTCCGGAAATGCATGTTTCCGAGGAGCACTGCATTTTTAGCCCCGAGGAAGGAATGAACTGTTTCCTCTCACGATGAAATAGCCTATCACAGCTGCTAGAATCCGGATTCCCATCGACAAGTTCCCAATGTAGGACCCTGTTGGCCGCCTCTTCAAGGAGTCAATAATTATCTTGAACTTTTCACTCAATGCGATTTAGGTAGATATCCTCTACTCAAGACAGGCGCAGCTTTATGGGATATAATTATGCTTAATAGATTGGATGTCAAGTAAATGTGATAACAATCTCAACTAAAGCGCCGCCTTAGTGAAGCTATTTCTAGGACGTGCCTAGTATGTGGTTCGCCTTCAGCGACGCGGCATTCCGTAGTTTCAACATGGGAAGCCACTCACGCGATGACCTTTGAAATTCTCATACTAAATGAAAACTTGCACATGTAATTTACATGTAGACAGAATCATCCCGATCATGAAATCTCCTTGCTTTCGACAATAGTGCCAAACGCATCGCCAATCTCACTCAGCGCCACACGAACTAGCTCCGCAGCTTCCACGCCGGGAATGTGGCGGTCGCCCACGGCATCTTTAGGAATGATGACGTCCCACCCTCTCTCAGCGGCCTGGCGCGCAGTCGTAGAGACGCAGACATGGGCCTATCGACATGTCGTTAGGGATATCCATTTACCGGCGATACTTTCCTCTTCACTTTCCACTCAAGATCTCTGGGAGTGGTTACTCACCATGTATCCCGTTAGAACGACCTTCTTGCGCCCCGTCTTCTCGAGAATCTCCTGCAGCTCGGTTCCGGTGAAGGACCCGGGCGCCTGCTTCACCAGGAGGCTTTCGCTGTCCTTGGGCTTGAGTTCGTCGAACTCGTCAGCGAGCGCGGTGCCGGGCGTGAAGACGGGGGTCTTGTGGACCACGTGCACGACTGGCGCGTTGGCAGCGCGGTATCTCTCGAGTAAGGCGGCGTTGGCTGCCCGGGTGCTCTCGACGTCTTCTGTCTTCAGGAGGCCCGTGGCGTACTCGTTTTGAGCGTCGATGATGACTAGGGTGCTGTCGCTGGTGGATGCCGTTGAGGGCGGCACGCCGACAGTTTGCCGAAAGCTCTTGGCTGCTTGTGCCATTTTCCCTTTTTAGGCTTGCCTCTGATTTTATGAGAAAGGTATATTCTTATGATTAGAGATAGAATTTGACAATACAAGTGTGACGAAAAGTCAACCTGAGATACTATCTGTTCTTGCACCGCTAAGTATTGTCACGTTCTACTAATATGAGGAAACCAGTCGGCCCAAGGGATACACCATACACCAACCATTTTCAGGATGACGTGCGAGAGGCCCGGTCCAGTTCCCCGCACGATACGTGAATCAGGAAGCAACTACGCCGAAAGCAGAAAACCATTTCTCAAAACTTTAAGATAAATGTACTTCTAGCATCCGTCCATATCACGATTCCCATACGGTTACGTAACGATCTTTCTACGTAGTTGGAATTGTATCGACTCTAACCTATGAACGAACATGAGTTTCGCCTCTACCTTTTCTAGCTTTCGCGAATTACAACTCGTATCTACTATATAATAGCAGAGAGTCCAGGATAGGCACACTTATTGGCACGCTTATTACATTGCTATATATATGCTAATGAAGGCAAAAATAGTGACATACGACGATATCTACTAGAAAATGCAAAATTAGAATGTGAGGTCTCCCATATTCAAACTGAGGCTTCTTGCGCCCGCATATCAAGCAGTGCGGGGTATGGTTTACATGTGGGTAACAGAACGGTAACACAATGGTAACACGATCACATCTGTATCTTCCGGGTTTATCTACATGTACGCTAATTACTTGGTGAAAATAACAACTACCGGCGGTGGACGTGGTGTCTTTGGCGAAACCTCCTTTAAACCATACTGACAGCGTAAAAACCATTTGTATATGGGAATCGAACTCTGACCAAGTCCACCTGGTAACATCGCCGCAAGCCTTCACCTGATCTCGTAGCGCTGCCCCGTCAACTCTGGCCGCTCCGGATATGCTTGGTGGCGAGTTGAGTTTCTGGCTCCGAATCTGAATCAGTAGTGAAGAACACGCAGACATTAATCTTGCTTTCTTTTCCTTTCTCTCTCCTAATAAGTACTCTTCAATCAAGTCTGAACTTCTAATCTGAACTTCTATCACTCACTTATCCCCTGGACTCAATCAGGTTTCCTAGTGTCGCACCCGCAAACCTCATAGCCAATCTGCTTTCAAACACACGGCGGGAAAATCAAGTTTAACGGCGCTGTAAATTTGACGGCATGATGTCGTCTACCAAAAAGCGATCCCGCTGGGGATGTGATAACGCGGGGTCGAGCCTCGTCAGTCTGCCAACAGCCATCACAGTAGCCATGACGAGCGAACAGATTGAAGCATATATCCTTCACGTGCGTATTGAAGAAATTACCCAGAAGTTACTGAACGACGACATTATCCCGGCTAATCAAGATCGCAGATCCCTTTCTCCTGACTCACGGTACGACGCCGTCGGCAGACGAATCAACACGCGTCACCAGCGCCATCGCCAGCGCCTCGAGGATGAGCGCCACTCACTTATCTGCACCGCTATTAGCATCATCTCTGTCAAGGAGTTTCCAGAGATAACTTCATCGGTCAGCTCCTCGGTCCTCGCGGACGCAGCCTAGCTGAAATGAACATGCAGTCAGGTGCTAATATCGTCATCCGTAGGAAGGGGTCGGTGACGGAAGGGAGAGGAAGAGGAAGGGCAAAGGCCAGTGGTCGGCGCGAAATCAACGATAGAAATTTGCTGCAGCTACGAGACCTCGCTGTTGTAAACGGGACCTTACGAGACGACTAGAGTCGTGGTGAGAGGGGCAGGGATGGGTGGAGGGGAGGAATTGACGTAGGCATTAGATGCGATATCTGCGGTGGCGGCCACATCACTCGTAATTGCGCGGACAGAAAACCTATCCCTCCGTGGAGATAGAGCAAGAAACCTGGGCAAGGAGGCGACCAACTGGAAATCTAGTATCGACGGCTTCTTGCGGGGGTTTTATGTGCTGCTGGCTCCAAGCGGAGCTCGGGTTACTTTTTTTTTTTTTTTTTTTTTTTTTTTTGGTTTCTTCCTTTCCAATTTTGCGAGTTGGGAGCTTTTGCATAGTCCTTCCTACCGTGCAAGAAGGGGATAGGTTTTGGTGGCATACCTGGAATTCACGACCTGTAAGAGGTAGCTGGTTAGTTCTGGAAGATATCCCATGCGGAGTAATAATACCTACTGCCTGAAGTTTTCTACGCTGATCTCGTAGGTACGTAGGTATGTACCAGGCACGTGCCTAGGACTATCTCAGCTGTTTGAATCAAATATTGAGATTAGGTAGCTACGCAATTAAGGCCAGGGTTGATGCATTAACGGGTGCTGACAGGTAGACTGCCTCCTTACTGATAGCATGTGAACCACCCGATCAAACTTTCCGAATCAACACAAACGCATGTAATTACAACTGTCTTTCACTTCCAGTTCCTTCTGTTTGTTGCCCGGCACCAACCCCACTAACCCGGCAGTGAGTTGCTGCTGCCTGCAGCACGTTTCAGTCAATATCTGAAAGCTCTACTTCTTCTCCCTTCTGTTGTCCCCTTTCTCCTGCTTCTTCATACTAGCAACGTCTTCTTCGATCACTTTTAGGTCCACGCGGGCTCCTATATTAGGATCTGGGGTTGCTGCTAGATCGCAATCTGCCTTGCTCCAGTTCTTTACATCACTCTCACAGTTCAGAGGTACACGTAAGCACCCATCACATATCTTCATCTGCCGCATCTTCTATCTTTTGCCCCGCACGCTGCCTTCGGAACACCTTCATATCTTCACATTCTGGGCAGCGCGTCTTATTCACGCCTGTACTAACGTTGCCCGAAACGCTGCACAGAAAGGTCGAGTTCAAGTTCATTCACCCAGAAATCTGGAGATTGCCGAATTCCACGATGCCTGTCACAACGAGACCCTCCCCTTCCGAGGTAGGAAAGAATCGGGACCCAGAGATCGCAATCGAAGCAGATGATGATACGACAGTTCTCGAGGCCGTTACTCGCCGCTGCCGTAGCTCTTACGAGGGAGACCCACGGCACCCGCCCGCCCCGAGAATGCGGATTAGAACAGACCCCTCTCCTTTTCGTGGACTGCCAATTATAGCGTCCTCCATTGCTCCTGAGAATTCGATGAACTCGGAATCTCCCAAGAACAGCGTATCAATCTACGACAATGGATTTGTTAACGGGCTTATCCGCGCCTTCAACCAGGATCTTCATCTCATCATCCGACCTGATGATGTCTGGCAGGCCATCCTCTCCCAATTTAGCCTTTTCGTGAACGGGAATGTCGAACGCCTAAGGCACCTTTTCGTCGCCCACAAAGGAAAAAAAGCGTTGGAAATCGACATTCGTCCCATGAGTTTCTCCCGCATCGACTTCGGCATGCTGGCTAAGATTTTTGCTGCAATGATTCAGCATAACGTTGTTGATCCTGAACTGCGTAAGTGGATGATACCGGAGTTTACCACTACAACACAGCACGACAAGACCGTGGCAGCGTTCTCCATGATGGGGACAATGAAAGGATACTTCAAATACGAGCTAAGGGGTGGATGTGGTCTGCCGAGCGTAACTCTACTGGGATCTAGACACGATTGGGAGATGCTTGCAAGCCAAGTCAACAAGTTGTATGATTATGGCGAAGAGTGTGCGCACTGGGCCAATCTGCTACAACCGATCATGCGTTACATGCTAAGGACTTTTGATGAGCCAGATTCACAGAAGGTCAAGGATTTCTGGCTTCGTGTTGCATACCAAGCGGGCAAGGAGGGCTCTGGTATCGGCATCCGCACACTATCCGGTTGGATCACAGCATTCACGTATTTTGATGAGAATGGAAAGGTTGCAAGGCATTATACAGAGGAGGACATACATAAAATCGATGAAAAGTCCGATGCGAGGATTCGCTCATGGGGGGGAACAAACATCCAAGAATACGTGGGATTGGAACGCAAACGGCTAACACTAGATGGAGTGTCGTACCCACTAATCCGCCCCGGACAGATCCCAGGGGGTATTATTCTGTTCCCTATGACGTTGACCGACGAGGAGACGAATCAGAAAAGATACGCCACGGTCGTATCTGGTACTATTGGCATGTCTATCTCCGAGCATGGAACAACAGCCCAGCCAGTTTCGGCATGGTGGGTTGTGCGGAAATTCCAGGAGCCCATGTAATCTTTACCAGCCACAGAGGCTGAGAATGGGAGTCTATCACTGAGAGAATCATCCAACACCTAGTCGTGTTCCGTGGATATTATAGATGATGATGAAGAAGTGGAGCAAGTTAATGAGAATTATGGTGACGAAACTCTTCCGTACATGAAGCCTTCGATAGTTGGGGTAGCAGTGCTGAGCAGGATGAGTTGACTGTACACGGGAAGAGGCTAAACACGTTGAAATGGTGATGCATAGGAACCTAGGTATCTCTGCGCGAAATGCAACTAATTGAGTACAATGAACCGGGAAATCAAGATGCTATGTGACTTATAATAGTGTCAGGAACTCTGTAGATGAGTTAAGACACTTCCCTGTCACCACTTTGCCCTAGCACCTCAGCATGCAAGCCCCAGCTTGCTGCCGCTAATTACCCCTGTAAACAAACTTGCCCAGTCTGTAATACACTGATCTCTACCACGACGCGGGCCCAGAGGGATTTCCATAAGTGTCTCTGCATGCATCGCAACTCAGCTCATCCATATATGGTTGCAGCCCTTCGAATCCATCCTCCTGACCCTTGGGAAAGCCCTCTGGTATCTCTCCGATATCTCCTTGGCGGCCTAGGACCACGACGGCTTTGAGATTGGCGTGCGCCATCCGCTGGTGCCAGAGGCGGAGGAATTTCATGACTTCTGGATGGACAGATCCTGATGGCTCGGAGATAGGATGTGTTTGTTCTGACATTGTTGTTTGGTGGTTGGTGAATGTCGGTTGTGTATGAAGTTGGTCGGTTATGAGGGTGAAAAAGTTGACGTTTGGGCTAGTTTCGGAGTACTGAGCCCATGTGGGGGTTTAGCGACGGGGTAAAGTGGATTGACCCCGCTACTGAGAAACAGCCCCTTTTTGCCCCCTGGTTCTTGATAGCTGTATTTCTACGGCAACAAGGGATGAGTGCTTGAATGACGGTAATTCCGTACTTGGGCAGGCTTGAAGCCAAAATATCGGTGCAGGAAATAACAGACCGAAATTGGTTGTAGGGATTCAAGATTGAGATGTTATAATGAGTCAAGTATCGATCGAAGCTGTGATACGCTGTAATGTATACCAAGTCATTACCATATCCATGCGTGTGTCCTCATCGTCGCCGTTTGCATGGCGGGTGAGCGCCTGATTACCCAGAGTGTCTCCAAACGGGCCTTTTCGATCACGGACCTCTGCAACGTCTGCTCGACCGACAAGCGCACATGGACTGTCAATGCTAGCCGGCTCGTTGGGGCGCACAATGATAGCAGCATCGCAGTCCCAAAACCGAATTACCCAGTCCCCTACAACAGTTCCTGGCGGTGCCAGACCCATACAGTATTTCGTGCCTAGGAACCGTGACACCCTCCCGTCTGGTACAGTTTGCGGCACAGTCTTGGCTGATAGAGTGCTCAGCATGCTCTCTATGATCTGGATGCCGTCCACGTGGGTCCCAGCAGCAGTGAGGTCGTCCAGGGGACCGTTGTCCGGGGACCGGAACGTCACGAAGGACTCCTCCAGGAGGGGGGCAATCCTCGCGATATCGGCATCACTATAGTTGAGAATTTTAGCTGAATAAGTTTCCTCCATCTCTCGCAACTGCGCGAGATCGACTTCTTTGCGGTAGTGCTTGCGCCACTTCGTCTTCCAGGCCGTCTGATGGCGGAAAGAGGCCACGAAGTCGGCGTAAGATGGGCCTAGGTCCAGAACCCTACCTGCTACGTAGCCACGGATGGGAACGAGGTGGTGGCCAAAGAGCTTCGGACCGAGAATAGAGTTCCTTTCAGTCTCGAGTGTAGATGTAGTTATTCCTGTTAACTCGCGCTCCACTTCGTCTTGGAGCGTGTTCTACATAACACATCACAATGAGCCATGTACAGATGCATTCGCAGCTTTCTAGAGTTTCAAGAACTTATGAGAAGGGTAGTAAGAGCAGGAGATACCCTCCAAGCAGCTTGTGTTCCCAGCGTATATCCAAAAAGAACAAAGGAATTTCATTCAACGAACCTGTACTATACCTGCGAATCGAACAACATTTGTGAGTCGTTCATGGCGCAGGCGTGAGAGCTCCTCCTCATCTGTGTCAAGGTGATCTGGCACGAAATAATGCGGGCATTGGAAGATATACAGCACAACGCCACACCATATATCGTAGAAGCGCCTGCGGTAGTCGATGACGAATTCCACATCTTCGCTCCCTATATATTGAATACTTTCGGCGGGGCCGCCGATGTGCTTCCCGTCGTCGACACTGCTGCTGCTCTGGACGGCAATAACATCATTGGCTAGACCTACCAGACTGTAAATTTTGTCCCGGGGCTCAGAGCATATCTGGCCCGCAAACTGTTCAATCAGGTTCTGGAGACGTATGAGGTTTGTGAAGCGTGTACGCCGTGCTTCCAGCATACTTCCCATGCCCTTTGCTATTTTAACAGCTTGCATCTGGTGTGCCCATCGTAGATTCTCCTCGTTGACAAACACCGTTGGCCCACAGACGAAGAAGATCTTCTGCGCGAGTCCAACCTCCTGCACTACCCACAGACGCTGCCAATAGCTCGTAGTCATGACCATCTTATTACCGTGCTGGTTGATGGCTTCAATTCGCTGCAGCGCCTCTATTTCTGCGGCGTTGGAGTGAGCGGGATTTCGGCTACCAGTAGTAGAGCTGATCAATGTGTGCTCGGTGAACCACGTTGCTAGTTCTTTGCTATTTCCTCGATTGTACGGATCCTTATACGGATCATCCACTGCATAGTGGGGGGGATAAAGGTAACGGATTTCATCACCTGTCATGAAACCTAGCCAGGTAATGACTGCGGTAGCGCGCGAGTAGATTGAAGCCATGAGAGCTACCTGGTCGTTCCGCTCATCGATGTTACCTTGGTCGATACAGACAGCATCGATCCAGAGAGGTAGCGGATGGTTCTCCGACCTAAGGTATCGGAGAGCGAGCGCCAAATTGCGCTTAATAGGTATGTCATGCCCATTAAGAGTCAGTTCGTCCAAAGGAAGGCCGTGGGTGTCAGGCTGCCGACTCTCCCAGGTATATGAGAGGGCTAAATATTTAGGCCGTTCCGAGAACGTCACGGACTCTAGTATTCCTGTAAGCTGATCATAGAAGCCCCTAGGCTTAAGGATGAGTAAGCGGATGGCATCTGGTTTAGGTAGTGGTGGGTATTGGAATGCCATATTCTTGCACTGCGATGAGCCAATAGGCCTTTCCAAAAGTTTAAGGGATCACGTCAGATGGTATGTATGCTCTAGCTAGCTATTTGCATCGACGGGCAATTGAGCGGTGGGATCTTCATATACACGATCTTCGGACCTAAGTTTAGCCGATCCGTGACTCCACCAAAATGTGACATGAACTTATTCTAAGACTTTCAATAATATTAGCGTAATACACGTAACATGAATTTAGCAAAGGCGATGCTGCCGGTGTAACAACCGAGGAATAATCATAACGAATGACTGAATGACAATGGGTATAATATAGAGTATAATTAAGGTATAGCCCTGCTTTAACCATCATTTAAGTAGTGAAACTAAAGTACAAAATGGGGAGTACTAAGCTAACATTCAAAACCCCAGAGGTGTAAATCAATTAATGGGATGTAGACATGAGCACCTTCTATTTCAGCTAAGTACGGTCTTTTTCCGGATGGATGCGAAGTGGCTGGTATCGCAGCCGAACCGTTGTAGAAGCCACTCTTGATAGCGTTCCTTTCCTTGAATTCCATCATACCATGCAACGGGACCCCAGCCATAGAAGTCATCCTTTCCATTACGGAATGCGTCCACCGGATTGAATGGAAGATTTGAGGAAGGCGTCGGAAGGGGTTTCTCGAGGAGAGACACAACGACCGCTACATTGTAATCTATCAATACCACCCTTGGTAGAGATTGTGGTGAAGTGTTTCCGCGAGGACTCGGTACAAGCATGATATTCCTCAAAGCTCCATCCTTCTGAGAGAGTCCCGAGTGACGTTGTTTCACGGTTCCCTCAATGACCTCAGCTACCACATTTAGTCGAAATGCTTCGTCGTAGTGATGAGCATTAGGGTTAGGCTGCTCATGCCGTGAATCTTTCATAGTGAATAAGTCCAGGATGGTAGACCCAGCCAGATACTCAATCAGTATCATCCGAACTGGCCGTAAGTGACGTTTACCCTGTAAAATCAAGGGCTGCTCGAAAGTCCACGATCCGTAATAGTTCGGAGCGAAGCCTGGCTTTTGCATGTGTTTCACTGTTTCAAGATGCTCATATGCAGCTGCTTCACAACTATAATCCTGGTCGGCCAGCTTAACCACATCCGTGACTCCACTATAATAGAGGGCATCGTAAATCTTGGCAACTGCGATGTAGGGCTCCTGCTGCCCATTCATGAAGATTTGACAGACCACGACATGAGCACCTTGTTTTCCATTGGAGGAGCTATCACCCTTGGAAATTATTTTCGTTATCTTGAGCGTCGCGATGCGCGATGGAATTGTGGAAGACCAGACTGTAGTCAAGGGGGGGTTCTCTATTACTTGGCGGGTAAGAGGTGTCTCGTCAAGCCAAGTGGCTGACAGACGGCGGCGTGCAGAACGTGGATAGCCCGTATCTGCAAAGCTTTGGCCAAATGGGGGAGGAGGCTTGTGCTCCGTGATCTGTACAACAAATCCTGGCACGTAAGGGTAGACTGGCCGATCAGGATCTAAAGGAGGCATGGCTGATAATTGAAAAGAATCCGTAGTCTTCAGGGAGAATTAGTACAGAGGCAACATAAGCGGCCAACCCTATTGCGAAAGGCAGATCCAGCAGTGTAATCATACGTGTTTCTAGAATGTGCTAACGTTAGTGAGGAGTGCTAAGGCATGTGTAAGATGGGGTTGAAGTTGCCGAAGACAGTGAGCATACATGAGATCGTAACAACACTGTTATTCCCGAAGAGAATCCACAATAGTTAGGTATACGAGTATGCTAATTTCCTCTGAAGCGGTGGAAAACTGGGGTTAGTTTGACGCTATATTCATGGAAGAAGTGGGAGGTGGCCGACGAGATCTGGTTTGCGTCTGCTCGTGAATTCAATGAGAACAGATAATTGCTGACATGAGACCTTATGGGTTAGTGTCTCGAGTTGATGGGGTAATGATGCTGTGATGGTTGTGAAGGGAATCGTTGATATAAATGTTCAGCAGGTCAAAGTGTGCTACCAATCGAAGCTCAAGTGCCTTGGTACTTAGTTATTAGGTAAGTATGTAAACAGGTACCTCTTTCTCTTAAGATCTTAGATGTTAGGTGCGTGTACACACTACATGTACATGTACTATTCACGGAATTCATGGTTTTCATTGGGCTTGAATCCTTTGCTGACCCACACCTCTCAGCGTCTCCCTGCACGCGCAAGTTATGTCGCCCCTTAGTCAACTACTAACAACGATGTGGCTCTCCCAACAACTGGCTTATCTGGATTCGTTTGTTGGTTGGCAGGTTGGAAAGGTTGACCCTGAAAATCATCGTTGGTTCAATAATAGCTAGCTTACCGCCCTGTTAGTTTGGCCGTGCCACTGATCCTATACCCTCGTGGCCGTCCACGAGCACATTCCCATGTTGACTACTTAGCTTAGGCGCTGTCGATTTTTAGCTCTCCAAAGGCATGTGACTACTTTCAACCTGGTGATGTAGGGTGACTATAATTAGATAGTTATCAGAAGCTAACATTCACTACCCACAGAAAGGGAAAGCCATTGAGCTAGGAAGGAATGAGCAGATGCAAAGTGATACTTGAAGTAAGTTTGGCGAAAGCTTATGTGACCATATCCAGCGTAGCACACCACGAGTTCAAACTATGAACTCGATGTTTTGATAATCGGAAAGCTGCTTCCACGGAGATTATTGTACGACACCAACCGTGAGATGGGCCTCTTCATGTTTATGTTGATCATTCCGAGAAATGAGTTCTTCATTAAAGCTCAGGTTGGCCTTCAAGAACCTCATCCTGGAATATAGCTTAGCATAATTGGTATCAACTTTTCAATTCCTAACCTGATAAAAATTGCCCCTTAGAAAAGAAGAAAGATGGATAGAGATTAGGAGATAGTGGTAATATATGAATTGAACTACTAGATTCCCAATGTCTATCTATTCAAACATCTTATGTTAGAATTGTCCCTATTAGCAATTGGGTTGACATATGATGTGCTCAGAGCCCATCATATGCCATATGTAAATTAATTGCTTCACTTTTTAAACAGGGAAATAATTAAAGTTCGAGCAGAAATGGTGAAGGTGCTTAGAGTGTTCGTCCCCTGTCACACTGCGTGTTCCTATTAGCTATCTTGTGTATTCATTATGCAGTGTACCGAATGACAGCTAAATTGAAGACCTGGCCGATTTGTACTGTACAGAGTGTTTCTCATGTCTCACTCATAATCTTTACCAACTCTGCCTTTCGTCTCTGCACTTGACCTTGACTCCGGGGAAGGTCGAGTCCCAACGGGCTGCTGTGCGTTAATTAGCTCTCTAAGTCTTCATTCTCATTCATTGGTCAAGGCAACAGTTGGCACTAAGAATACTTTTACCTCGACCAACAGTCAAAATGAGGTGAGGCTATGTTCTTTCGACTGCCAAGACAGACGATCATGTTGTCATGGCCCACCAACCTCGTGACGACAGCGTAACCCACCTAACTATTGAATCACTCAGCTAGGACTAAAACCAACAACTGATATGTCCCGAGCCAACAGGTCAGAAATGGATCAATACTAATAATTGGTTGAGAGTAGGCAAACATCAGACCTGAATTTTCTAGCTGAAGGATTCCATATCGCTTCTCTATACAATACTCGATGGGCATACAATGGCGCGCCTATACCAACAATAAGAATGAGGCTGGGCTGCTGCCATCCCTTCGGTCTGGCTAATCACTAACACAAAAAAGCCAGTCATTGTATCATTAGAGCACCTCAGCCAAATGCGAGGCTAAGCCGTGATTCTTGCCGACGAATTCAGCTAACACAACATATAATTATAACTGCTAGGATTCAGCCAGCAGAGATACATGATTGGCGCCGTGTGACAGTTGATTACAAAACCTCCTGTTTTGCATTGCTGCGCCATTCCAGGGGGATTCACAGAGGATTGGAGCGGGCGCTTAAATGGTCACACCCAAGCAAGCTAAGAAATCGTATCACGTTGACTTACATACGTTTCGGTAGTTAACTCTACTTTCATAACTAGGCATATGTATGAGGATAAATAGTCACTGCTCCCGCTCATTCAATCTCCAGTAGGCGAGCTCAAGCTATCTAACCTTCATCCATCACACTACTCTTACCCTTCTCATTCTTCTCACTTGATTCATTCATTAGTGGCTGTAACGTTCATCACAAGTCTACTACTACATTCCTACCCTAACTTATTCATAATTTCAAATCATGGCCAACCAAGCCAGTCGCCCGAGAACAATCAAACAGTGCTTCAATGACTCCTTACCATTCATCCAGCATCCAACTCGACTCGTACCATTCGAGTTTAGACCTGGGACTAAGACATCTCAGATAGATGCCCCCAAGTTCTGGATCAGCACCAACGAACGTGGCTGGAGTGAACCCGCACATAATACACTTAGACCGATGAACATGAACGCGCTTCAAGAGCAAGTTAGCTGGCCTGAGCCTTCAATGAGACTTGCCTGTGAGGCAGATGTAGTTCGTGCTGCAGCTCTGTACCTCTTGCACCCCATCAATCAAGTCTTGTCTGCTAGATATCCCAATGATTACAGATGTAACTCAGAGGTCGCGGGCAGTGGGGTCCGCGGCGATGTGTCACTTTTGAAGCTGGGTGGTCGGCGTACATTTGCCATCGTCGAATTCAAGAGAAGCGGCATCATCTCCCCTATGGAATTCGCAGACGCCCAACGAACCCTTACTGGCAACCCTAATACTCACGCCGCAGAAATCTCTCAGCATGTACAAAATGTCATCGCTGCTGACAATGGAGATAACCGGTTCTCGGCCTTTGAAGGCAATTCATTCTCGTTGATGAAGCAAGCAGCTGCTTATGCGGTACAGTACTCTACTCGCTTCGTGGCTATCTTCGGATGGGACTATCTGGTTTTGGTCTACTTCCCCGAGCTTGATATGAACTTGAGAGAACCTGAAGGGTGCGGAAACTATTGCGAGATTACTATGATTCCTAACAACCCACCATCTCCTAATTTGAGGGCGGCGTTGCTTGGATTTCTGTTTCACGCATATGACGCCACACCCTTTACCTTACCTGGGTAATGCTGGACTCTGTTTCAAGTATAGGGCATTGATTTTTCTTCTTTCTGTTATTTCTTCTTATCTTTTCAATTATATCGATGCGCAAGTCTCTTTTAATTCATAGACTGGGTTCCAACTTTATTTCCCTTTTTTCTTGTTTGGAGGCGTGTCGCTTTCAGAAGGTGTGTCTACTCAAGAAAATGACTGTTAAGATATAGTTATGGCTGTAGGTTTTGTATTTCTTTTTTAGTTTCTAGTTTGAAAATCTTATTTCATATATGATCTGGCTTTTTCCATTACCACGACCCTCCGTCATAGGTATGTAGTACTTCATCTATTGCAGGTGTTACATCAACGTAGAATCTATCTGGATGATCAATAAATACATCGATGAATTACTCGGCGAGTGCGTTCCGACTGTGGATTTGTGTATTGTACGTTTTTACAACTAAGCAACATGGGTTGTGGCGGTGTATCGTATTCTATGCAAGATACTCTTCTACTAGGGGACTTTAAGCTCAGATTGCAACCCTCTACCAATATGTGGTAAATCAAGTGCAGCTACAGATGTCTGCGCCATCTTTTATAAACGAGCCTCGTAGTGTGCCTTTAGTTCGACCTGCCCTCACTTTAAGTAGATGTATAACATTCTAACCAAGCAATCACAGTTATTAATAAACCATAGGATGCTTCCAGACAAGCTCCTTGATTCTGAGTGAGCTTCAGTTGGGGTTCCAATTAATATCACGTAGTCCATCAGTGGCTATATGGTTATGATAACGTTTACAAGACTGGTCATGTACACTGTCGGTCAATAGTTCCATGACGGAGGAACAAAGAGATACACTGTATTTAGTCAGAAAAGTCCGAATGTCCTCAGACCTCTGGCCTTGTAGACCTTGTGACACAATGAGATTCTTACTGTACACCTTGTACAGCCCTTCTGACACCCCTGCAGCATGATTGACATATATACATTAAGTTCTATAACGGATGTGAGGACTAATTTTGTGGATAAACGAATCCATTATTGTCTTGATCTAAAAGTAACTCTTATGAGTCATTGATCGTATTCTATATAGAACTATGCCCCAGATTGATCCATTCTACGTTAGATAGAGTAAATTGAGGCTAAAGGACTACTTTTAGTGCCAGTGAAAGCAGAATACCCAGTGTCAGAGGGTTGTATCCCTTTCTATCAGAGAATCAAGTACTATGAAGCATTGAAAAATGCTCTCAATTCGTCTTCACCGTACATCAAGGTAGGGTCTTGATTCCTTGTCGCCTTGAGCTTATTCGGAACCCTTGTGATCCAAACTTGTGATTCCGTTTCCTTGTATTCTACCTCGGGCTCAGCACACCGAACAAATGAAAAGATGGCAATCCGAGGATTATAGCAGTGCTCCATGTACCCCTTCCAACTGAAATCGTCGAACACGAGCGTGCCTCCTTCCTTCAGCATGCGCCAACAAAGCACAGCATCGTGCAGTACATCAATTGCCACATGAGAGGCATCGATATATATGAAATCGAACTCATCTCGGGCTTGCCTGAGCTTAAGTAGGGCGTCGTCGCTGCTCATCTTCATCAACTCGAGCTTGCTACTGTTCTCGCACTTGGAGATGTTACTTCGGAAGCGAGCCTCTAGCGCATTGAAGTTGTAGTTCTCAATGGGTTCGACATGATGGTCCATACCGCCGCCAAAGTGATCGACCGCGACCATGCTGGACTCGGGGTGGTCCATGAGGTTATCGAGAATCCATGTTGTAGAGGCACCTTCAAACGAACCGATCTCGAGGATTCTGAGTTTCTTCCCACGCAGCGGGGTGGTGATGCTCTCCCACTCAGAACGGATTTCTTCAAACCATGGATGCTCAAAAGAGTATCGCGTACGGTTATTTGGGGTTGGCGCACTACTTTTTAGAGCGGCGCTCTCAACGCAAGACATTGTGAACAGATATATAACTGGTGGTGACGAGAATTTGATGCTTGTTTGTACGAATGTTAAGAAGAGACTTTCCCGAGTCAAGGAACAACAGGACCCAAACGAGACTATAAAAACTCAATGCTGAAGGCAATGTCGCCATTTTTTATTGAACATTAATTATAGTCTTTGGCTTTGGGGGGTGTGGGCGCAATCATGGTGCTTGCCCAGGTCAGACCCCCCTATGCGGGGGTTTGACGGAATTGGGCATCTATCTACTTCACTCAAACAAGGTCTAGTTCGGTTGAACGCATATATTGGGGGGCCATGGGCTATACGAAGGCTAATTGCATGTGCTTAGGCAAGGCCAGCCACCGCGCGCGTACACGGTGTTGCCTTTATTAAGCCGGCTATGCAACCAGACTTCGAAAGGCTGCCGAGCTACGAAGTACAAAAAGCAAAAACCAAAAATAAGGCCCATACGACCCTCCCGTCCTTCCAGCCTAGCCCAGCCAAGTACGCCCGTCGGGCTGGCCATTTATCGAGCTCCGTCTATATCGTACAAAGGACAACAGGAAGGTTATAAAAACCTCTCAACTACTACTAAAATCACCCCCTTTATAAGAGGTAAAAAAGATAAGTAAAGGTGGAAAAAACCCTATGCCACAAAGACGCAGCACACGTAGCGTGTATACAGATTGACAAACCGCAGTAAGCCTATTTAGAAGTACAACTAATTAGTGCTTCACTCAATCAAGATCTAGGTTAATCAAACGCATATATATTCTAAAGCATAAGCTATATGATTAAACTTTAAAAGATTAAAACTTATAGCTTACTATTATTCCTTCTTATTTAGAATGACGGAAGGGAAAGGGGCAATGGATTGAACCTTAGCTAAAAATCTTAGAAAAGGTAGATAGGTAATGGGAGAAAACCCCTCCAAAGTCACGAAGACGCGGGGAAGGCTACTAAGGCACAGTAGTCCTATTTGGGAAATATAACCAACTATGTATTAGAGCAGTACTATTCGCACAGTATGACTATAGTAATGCCCGTATCACATCTCACGTACATCTGCTTGCTAATGCAGGATACGGGTGTTGTCACACTCAGGTGGAGAATAATTACATACCACCATTCGATTTATACGCCTAACGACGTCGTATTGATTAAGTGCGATAGGTGCTGTAATTATAGGTAAAAGCTCGACGAATACGGCCAAGGTCTTGCATGGCAGCTATGATAAAGCACGTAGCAACCAAGTCCATTTTGGGGCTACACTAACCCTCCAACCCCAATGATCTGTCTTCATCTTGTCTTTTCCTTTTCCCTGGCTTTAGTGTCTTAGCTTTGACAGCCAGTGCACACACAGCGGTTTAGAAAGGGGGTGTGCTGTACCATCAGACAAGTTTATCGTCCTAACGGCCTCAGCTAAAATGCCTGCGCAGAAGCCATTCAAGATTCAACACGGCCCCTACCAGATAGAGCGGTTTCCTCCTCGTCATCCTTTACAGAAGAGTTATCCTCTAGTGACTGAGTACGCCGGGCTTGCTACTGAGTTCATCTGGGCGGCATACATTACTCTTGAATGGCTGGTAGTGTTTTCACTCCAGCTTGCTAATTCCAAATGGATATGGAAATTGTGGCTACTACTGTTTGCTGAAGCAGCTTCGTCTGTTTCAGAGATCTTATCGTTTCTGAATACCGTGTTTGTACTTTTGGTGAAGAGAGAAGCAGCAGGACCGCGCCCCTCTTACCGATTGGTGGGAAATGTTGCTCCGTCAGTGGACATCATGATACCTTGCTGCAAAGAAGCTGTTGATGTGGTCATGGATACAGTTAAAGCTGCATTGGCTATTGACTACCCATCAGATAAATTTCGTGTGTTCATCTTGGACGACGGCAAAGATGATGTCCTTCGCGAAGCGGTTGAGACCTTGAAAAAGAACACATGTTCTGCAGACTTATCTAGATTGCATTATCTCTCAAGGACCATAAAGGCCGGCCAGAAGTCACATTACAAATCTGGGAATCTGCAATATGGCATCGAGGAGACTGGGCGAATGAGTGGCTCAGAGTACCTAGCATCTCTTGATGCCGATATGATTCCGGACAAAAACTGGCTTAGGGCAATGGTTCCTCACCTGATCTTAGAGGATAATCTAGCACTCGCTTGCCCACCTCAAGTAAGTTCTCGTCCTTTTGGTCATGAAATTCCGCTTAGAAACCTTTCAGCGTTACTACAACGTCCCTGGATCCGACCCATTCGGTCAACAAGCCGAGTTCGACGTCTTTTTGGATGTCTATGAGCCAATGGATGATCGTCTCGACCCTGCCATGTGCACCGGATCTGGGTTTGTAGTTAAGAGAGAAGCCATCGCTGCTATTGGGGGCTGGCCGCTAGTCGACAGCGGGGAAGATTTCATTGGAGCGAGCATGTTCAGTTACAGTGGCTGGACAGTGGCATACATTCGCGAGCAGCTACAGATTGGGCTTGCACCAAATTCCATCAGGGCGCACATTCGACAAAGAGAACGATGGGTACGTCGATTCGCTGTGTTGCTATCTGACATGCTGACCGGTATTAGGTTGATAGTGGGGTTGTTGTCCACAAACACTTCAAGTTCTACATTCCAGGACTCAAGGAGAATGAAAAGATGCCATGGAATTTACGTGGTGTTGGGGTATTAGGACTTATAAGGGAATATGCACCGGTCTTTCATATCCTTGGTCTCATGCTCCTGCCCCTAGCGGTTTTGATGTTGAGCCGGGAAGCCCACTCTTGGTCACATAACTTCTCGTGGCTTCGAGGGGTTCTTGTGACATCATTAATATCCAGAAAGATTGGAGAGAGACTTTTGTTTGGCAATATTGGACAATCCCGCATAGCTAACCTCTTTAGCAATGATGTTTGGACTGCGCCTTGTAAGTTTGCTCACTTAACCATGGTCTAGCGTTGCTAAACCACCAATAGACACAGCAGTGCGCTGCGTTCTTTCGCTGCTCCCGGAAAGCTTTCACACAGTCAGCTTTGTTTCGACTGCAACCATCGTGTCCAATATCAATGAGCGGTCTAGACTGCAACGCATGCCGCTTCCGCACAGGCTCTTCAATCTTGATTTTATGATGCCGGCTATCTACTTTGTGGTCGTCTCGGGGTTGCTATTTTCAAGTTCAGACATCTTGGGCGTACCATTGTTAACGGGAGCTATACTCAGACTGTTTTCCTATTTTTGGAAAGTAGCCATACCGATTGTTTATATCATTGCACCGCCTACAGTACCGGAACGGAGCGAACTGATTGCCCCAGACGAAGAGGGAAACAATCGACCAACTGAGCAAGCCGTCACATTAGCAACTGGGAACCCTACTTTGTGGTCCTGGGGCGACATTATAGAAGTGTGCGCTGCGTGCTGGTGTTTGTCATCATAGTACAATAATCTTGTACAAACGCACTGAGTGATCATCCAAACATGACAATATGAAAGGAACCCATATAATATGATATCAGACTCTATTCAATCGTATTAAGTGAAGTAGCAATTTATTTGGTTTGACAGTAATTTTCTCTTCTCTTTGTTCTTTGAGGCAATACCATGTCACGGTTATGGCCGTGACCAGCCATATCAACTCCAAAGGATCTGAAAATCTCGGGATTTATTAATTTTCTTCCCCCTTTTCACGATAACCATTCAAGCCAATTTCGAACCCTAAGGTTCTCAGAGTTGTGCGTAGGCATCTCGACCACGCCATTCTTCGTTAACGCTTATTTGAAGCACATTGTACTCGAAGAGGAATTCACATTGTGTATATTGAGACCCATTATAGGATCATATGCGCAACAGCCCCTTTTCGGCTATTACAATAACAACACGGTGCGCATACCATCATTTGTGTGAACCTATGTACAACGAGTTTCTTTGTCCACCTCCCCGAAATAGTGATATGATTAGTCCCACATTCAGTTCCGTTGACCTTCGAAGATGAGCATAGCAGATAGTTCAAAAAAGTTCCTCCTCGCTTAATATGCAGACTGCAGTCTCCGAGTGTGGTACTCGATAGCCGTCATGTCCTCATACATCGGCATCATATCTTGAGGCATCAACTCCTTCAAAACTCCGACGGATGCGTTGCGATTAGCTTTGCAAAAGTATGTGATGGAATACCTCTCTGGAAGGATGCCTGTATCCTTTCCCTCTAAATGCTCCGGCACATTGACTCTGTGTAGACCAGCGCGTAAGGTATTGTTCGTCCAACGTTGTAGTGTTTCGCTGACATTCACAATCATATCTGAATGTTCGCCACATTCAACACGACTGAACGTGCCGGGTACCTCGCGGTTCTCGAACTCCAATCCCCCAGTTCCATCTTGGAACAGAAGAGTAATGACCCCCAAATCGAAATGTGGCCAGATCCGATTGACTTTGCCTTTTCTGATCTCTTGAACATCTAGCTCCGGGTAATGAAGCAAACGCATCTCACTCGCATTGCTGGCGTGAGATATCTTTCCCAGGAATGCTCCGCTCGGTAGTCCCATTGCCACCTCAAGCGCCTCCATTATCGCCAGGCTTACTTGTTCGAGTCGCAAGAAAGACTCTTGCATGGCGTCCCGAAAACCAGGAAGAACCTCTTCGCTCGGCCATCTATTTGGATAAGTAAGATCCGATGTCGCTGCCCAGTCAAAATGTTCCTTTGAAAAGTTAGCTACAGGTCGGATTAAGGCGTGGCATGCGAGCTAACCCTTGCATCTTTCAAGTCTGCTGCGACTTTCTTACTGAGAAAACCTTTCTCATATAGCTTTGCTGTATTTTCAGCCCCTAGAGAGCTCCATCCGCGTTGTGGATTCGGTCCAGCAACATTTTGAATTGCTATCCTCTCCTCGATAGGGGTACCAAAGAACGACCGGCTCTACACATGAATTGAGAGATTAAAATCGGGTCTAAGAGGTAAGAAAGATCAAAGGGAAGTGCAGACTAACCCATTGAAACAACCTGTTCACTTCGGAATCAGTAATGCCATGATTGACGAGCCGGACAAAGCCATGCTGTGCTAGGCTTGCAAACAACTCTGAGGCTAACTTCTGCCGCTCTGAATCGTCACCGTTAAGGAAAAGCGAGAAATCTAGGCGTGGCAGAGACATCTCGAAACACTCATATGACCGGAAATGATGACACACTGGACCTATAGATTGGTGCTCCCGAATCGATTGCATTTGGGCTGCATATTTAAGCATCGATGGGCAATGGGTAGTACCGTACTAGACGGTATTTATATTGACTTGGCACTGTGGCTAGGAAAGGCGAAGTCAGTACAAAAAGGAATACGGAAATAAAAGAATTAAAAAAAAAAAAAAAAAAACTAGTCACTACAGGGAGCAGGGATCTACCGCACAACGTGCCATTTACCCTTCACTTGCTGATGGAGGTTCGTCAGTCAGCAGAAGTAGTTGCGTGGACTCGGTTAAGGCTAGGTAGCTACTACTACTATGCATGTTGGGTTTTGGCTAAGTAAACACTACAGCCACCCAGGTGTCGATCGTTGCTGGGAAATTAACCAGGGAGTACCATTGGCGCAACACACTCCTTGGCGAAATAGCTAAAATCAATGGGTAACTACTATGACAAGTATATAACTTACATAGTTAATTTGATTAAGTTTTTATACATAAAATATAGTTTTTAAAACAGTAGAGTAAAGATAACTAAATGTAATATAAAATAACCACTTCTGCACATTTATTTCAAGCATATAATGCACCTAGTTGAGCGTTAAAAATATAACAGACTGACAGGGGTGATGTAATCGCGGCTATCGAGGTAATACGAAGAAATGGCAGTCTCCAATTAAATAGCATCACTATGGGCTTATAAAACTCCTCTCATTAAAAGCGGCCCCTATACTTTATCGGCAATTGCGAACTTAACTCGACATTTTCTGCACGCCTTGAATGAAACAAGCTCGTTATCCATGGCTCCTACAGTTCAAACCATCGCACTTGTTGCGGTTGGTAATCTTGGGAAATACGTTTGTGAAGCACTCGTCGTCGATCCTCGCTATGACGTCGTTGTAATCACCAGAAAGGTCACTCGCTGTCACCGAACATATCACATCGTTTAAATGCTGACAGGACCATATTAGAAGCAAGACTGGTTTTTGCAACGAAATATTCATACAGAAGAGAGCGATTACAGTGAGAGCAGCATCCGGGCCATATTGGATGCAAGAGGAGCTTCCACTCTAGTCTCTTTCCTGCAAGCTGCTGACAAACTCTACCTGGACCTTCACCAGGCATGGCTTACTGCTTGTCTGCAATCGAAGAGCTGCAAGAGGTTTATACCGTCAGAGTGGGCCGGGAATGTCGACGATTACCCGCAGCTTCCCAAGTTTTACGCCGAAAGCAGGCTTCCATTCCGCCGTATACTCCAAGAAACAGTGGGCATCGAGTGGACACTATTCAACTGCGGTTGGCTCGTGGATTACTTCCTTCCACAGCATCTGACACGTATGCCTGCGGAGCCAGATACCGTTCCTATCGATGCCAATGGGTGGCGCGCATGTATTCGGGGCTCTGGCGATGAGTTGCAGTCTTGGACCTGGACCAAAGATGTTGCAGCGGCTGTGGGTGAGCTTCTAGCTGCGCCGAGTTGGGTATAGAGCACCCCCGTTCGCACAAATAAATGACGCATGGATCTGACGAGCAACCGTAGGAGTCGACGACGTACGTAACAGGCCAGTGGGGAACATTCAATGATGTTGTCAGATTGCTGGAAGCCCATTACGGTATGATATGAACGCCCGCATTACTCAACCCGTAACCCCGCAAAACCTTCATTGAGATTAATGGCGTGCAGGGCGCGAACTTGAAAAGACCTACAAGACGGTCGAGGAGATAATGGGGGCTGACGATGACAATCTGGACCTTTGGATGATTTCTGGCGGCGCCGCATGCCCAAGGGAGAAGACGTTAAGTCAGCGAGATCGGTACTTTAGCCGCATCAACTTCGCTACATTAGGCGATCTGCTAAAGCGGCTCGATTAGCAATATCGAGGAGCAAGGCTAGGTCTGCAGTATTCAGCTGTCTGCAAGCGCTGGTATTTGATTTTCATCATCTCCATACCATATGCCACTAAATTTTGCAGGATAGGCTATGTGTGACCGCTATGCTTTAAGGCGTACGCACTGTTTCTAGATTACTGCTAGATCGTGAGTTTATTGATGGAAGTATCACAAATTTGATGAAACGGTGAAGGAGCGTAGATCTTTTTTGGTGATAGATGTGTTGATCGAAAGCAGAAATATTGAAGGAGAGGGCGTTGAGGTTAGAGGTGGGTAAGCGGGCTAGTGTAGATCCGGTGATTACTTCATGTAGTAAGTGCCGGTAGGTCGGTGCAAGTAGGTTAATCGCCAAGTGTCTGAAGGTGACTAAGGTTGATTGATAATGGATAAAGTTTTTAGTCAGGTGGAGAGCTGTATCTAGACTGTATTGGCAGCTGAGTTTTAATTGTAATAGTCCAATCGTTGGAGATTTAGCAAGTGCTACTGCAGATCTAGCTTTACTTTAAAGAAGCAAGCATATACTTATGTTGCAGCATGCCAAGTTCTATTGCAACTTAAGAAATCAATTTCTTTATGAAACCAGTTATCGTTATAATTGCAATGCTCCATTAGGGTAGTAGATAACTCTCAGTGGAGAACTGTATTTGTTTTATACGCCAAGCGAACAAGGATCATATAGGAGCGGATGCTAGCGGGTAGATGCATGGCATTAGCTGGACATCGCATCGCGTACATCACATTTAATAAAGTTAGATTATGTGTACGAAGGGATATTGGACGGGTAGCAATATGTACTGTTCCAACAATAATATCATGGTGGCTAGCCCGTATACCATGAGTGAACAACCAAAAGGTCCGTAGTACGCCATACTGGCATACTCGGACTTCCATGATGCTAACGGGTAGATCCGTGGCATTAGTCGTACATCACGTACATCGCCTTGACTCTAACAGGATATTTGTCATGATAGCTGGCGTAGCCCGCCCCATAGGGGCTTGAATGGCTACTCGGAAGCTATATATGTACGGAAGTCCGGGTAGGCCAGTATGGCTGTTCACTTAATGGTATACGGGCTAGCCCTCATGATATTATTGTTGGAACAGTACATATTGCTACCCGCCCAATATCTCTTTATACACTTACTTAATCTAGGTTTATAAAAAAGTGTTACCTATTTATAAATTTACATAGTTATTCCATATTATAATTATAAAGAAATAATTTAAAATAAAATCATATGATTTATATACCCTTATATTTACTTAATATTTATAGGTATTTTAATATAAGTGAAAAGAAGGCGTTATTATCGGCTGACTAGGTTTAGGGTGATGTATGAATATCGATCTGTAGTGTACAAAACCTGGCTTGCCTGAACGTGCAACTAGCTTGCAGTACGAAGGGGCCGATTTGTTAAGCTTTCCTGACAATTGTTGGATTTTGTTTATGTGAGTACTATAGCCACCCAGGTGTCGCTCGGTGCCGTGACATTTACCAAGAGGTGGTAGCTCACACTTGCATGACAAACTTACGGATGATTTATGACTAAGAAAGAGTTTGCAACAACAGACATGATCTGATCCAACCACTTCTGCACCTTCAATTTGACTATACAGCGTAGCTATCATAAGCGCTAAAAATCTGACGCCATTCCCCTCACCCTTCCCCGCCCAACCACACACCCTATTTGCCTATATATAAGCCGGTCAATGAACGATCTACGGAAAGTGATAGGTAATGCATGCCAAGGTGAGTGGGAAAATGGGTCTTCAAAATGATTCGTTCGAGGGATGTGGGCTTAATGAACAGTCCGAAGCAGAGGTGTGCAATATGTCGACGATATATCGTGGCTGACGTGATTTGTCCTACCAGTTGGAGATCCATATAACCGAGCGCGGGGCTATTTATTGTGGTCCAATGAAGTTTTCCTTCGTGTTACCTGAGGTAGGATCTTGCGATCTGGTTTCCTATGTTGAGGGTGCAATAATATATTATTACGAGACTGAAGAAAAAAGTTTGCGTCTCATTAAGGGGGACGCCCAATAACGTTACCTATTAGATATTCGCGATACTTCTTAACTGTGTGGCGTGATCATAGCCTATGATACCGTAATGCATGAGATTATGGAAGCAACACGCTACTGGGAAATGAAGGTCTTCTAACCTAGGAGATATTTTCACTCCTCTAAGACCAAATTGTAGGTTTCGAGGTTGTTAGCACAGCTGGCTCATCATCCTCATGATGTAAGTACCTGACAAGTAGTAAAGCCAAGTTGAATTTATTACAAACAGACAACATCAGGCTACTTTTGATCGACATAATGCCAAAATGTACTGCAGCAACAGGACGACCAGTGTATGAAACTACAAGTCCACAAGCTATCCAATTCCTCTGACGCTGTAATTGTTATGCGCCTACTGTCCAGATCGAACATTTTTCATAACCTCCTCAGCCTTGAGTTCATATTCACTGAAAATCTCAATCGCCTTAACAGAAAGTTAGCTACATGCTTCGCAGCATAAAAAAAATCCATAGAGGGCGTACCTGAGTTGTTCGCTCCTGACCTTTTCCATTATCTCGCTCCCCAAACGCCTTTCTGTACTTATCTTCGTCATCAATGAATGATACCTTTTCCAGGTGAAGGGTTTGATATTCTGTAGTATTGAAGATTGATTTCTTCTTCAAACTTTCCTCGTCTGCCTCCGTCGTCGCGAGTGTTTTCAACACATCTGCAGGGATTGTGATTGCCTCTACTCCTGAGAGACGAAGGACTTCTTCCACACTGTTCAGCCCAGCCGCTTTGACTCTTGTTGAATACGAATATGTCTGATAGTATTTCTGGGCCTCTAGCGGCACATTGAGATATGGGCCATCGTCCGTGTATCTTCCATGGTAAGCCATTATGAAAGTGCTTATATGGGGAGAGGTAATACTTTTCATCAAGAAGAGCTCGCAGCTCATGTCCGAAAGGGGAAACGTAAATGCATCCAGCTTCTGCGGCAAGGATTGTTTGCTCCAAAGTAAACACGGTCGTTGCCAGTGTTTTGATGTTAATATCTTTCAACTGTCGACATGCTTGGAGACCCTCCCAAGTTGCAGGGACCTTGATGCAGAGTCTAGCCAGGTCAAACGAAGGCTGCAGTTTTCGGGTAATGGCGTATATGCCTATTTACATGGTCAGCCAAGCATTCGACTGTGGGCGCGATACTGACGCTTTGCATTTTCATAAACCTTCTCCGTTGAGTACGCAAAGACGGGATTAGCCATCACGAAAATAGAACCTGTGATGTGTGGAGCTAAGGTTAAGGCAATACTTGTCAACTGCTCGTCGTTAGTACACTCTCAGGTGATTAAAACTTGACTTACGGCAACCTCAACGGCAACTTCCTCATAGGTGACTCCAGGAAACTCCAAGGTGAACTCTTCAGCCAAAATAGCCGACTGCTTCACCAATTCCGCTCGGCGGGGAAGGGTGGCTTCATAATACCCATCAATCTAAGGACGTCAGCTAATCGAGTTCCAGAGACACAGTGGGCTACTGACTTGATTTGAGGTGCAATCAACAAATGGGCCCAGCGATTGCGAGACTATTTAGGAGAAGAGTCAATATTCTAGCCACGCTCTTAGGTGATTGTTGCATTTCTTCTTACGTTCAACATCCTGACTGTCAAAGTCAACCTGGCTATTGGAGCGAAGATATTGAAGAAGGTTGACTGCCATGTCTTAGACAGTTCTCGATTCTAATTTTGCAGACAATGGATGTTTTTCTCTTCGAGATATTCAATCACTGCTGAGATTTTATACAGATAATATTCCCTTTCGAGAAGCACCTTCCGAGGCAAGTTCCCCCCGCATACTGATGTCTTTACATACAATATTTTCCGATCCTACAACATGTAGACTGTGGTCGTAACCCATTCGGGACACTGTAGGTCTGGAGCTGTCATCTGCAGCTATGTGACATAGCTCATGCAGATTCGCTGCACCTACATCACTTCAAGCTAGATACCCCTACATGCTCCACAAATCATCAGCTCTGCGAGAGTAGGTAGCCAGTGTCAATGAAAATATGGGTGAGAGACCTGGAAATGAAGTAGTGTGACGAAAACCGGGTTTAATTATAGGGTCACCCTTTGGAGTGGTTACATCAACACAATTGATCTACAGAAAGTCATCCCATAAGTTATCGCAGAGGACACTTGTACGCGCATTTTCCGCCCAATTTTGTCACTGGTGGAGAGTCCCTCGCACCCGGTCAGCCGCAGAGAAGTCCGGAGGCGCCGAGCTTGATATCTAGGGGTTTACTGCATAGGTGCTCAGTAGCATAATTAGGGTAGCAGATGTGAGAAATTATCAAGAGCTTCAAGAATATAGTCAACTGAAAATATACTTTGTGTATCAGGACGCTTTCAGCATCTCTAATGGCCTTCCCAGCTACCAACGCTGCGTATGACCGGTGTCTTTTCCCAACGTCTAACGGTAACGATTCCGCTGGCGTATGGGGAAAGACGCCAGTCTTTGATCAAAGATGGTCTGCTTTGATTGAACACAATACAGACGATTTCGAGCCTAGCTATGATCGTTTTCAGCAGGCCTGGGCAATATTGTTAAGGAATTATCTACGCGAACACATTGTGGCATTCGTATGCGTTGCGAAGAATGAGAATAGCAAGGATGGGGCGTCGTTTTCCGCCAACGTCGTTCGATATGAGTTACCTGCAACGCTTCCTCTCGAAGAAATCAGCCCGAACATAACTTGGCAGGTAAGCATTGAGGCCCTTCAGGGCGTTCAAATCAATACTGCAATTGACTCCCTTGGTGATCAAGAGGAAGGCTTCAGCGTAGAAACAGCAGCGACAAACACTGAGTGGTTCACATCAACCAATGTGAGTTGGAATCTTGAAAATGTCGGTTACCATGCTGATTCCACCAGAGTCTCCACCTTGTCCTACGTTGTGCAACAGGAAAGGATTCAGATCGCTGCTACCTCAATTTCCGGCAAGACTTCATTTCGCGCAGTTATGCTGAAGCCATTGTCGGCACATTTCAGCTCGCGCTGCGTGGGTTGAAAGATACCCAGCTGATGGTCTATCAGCTTGACCTTACCAGTCGGGAGGACAGGGTCATAATGGCTGATTTCAATCACGATGAGCTGTACGAACAAAAAACCTGTATGCATTACCTGGTTGAAGGCACTGCGAGAGTGATGCCTCAAGGTGAGGCGGTCTGTGCGTGGGATGGCAACCTGACTTACGGCGAATTGGATTCTGTCGCATCAGTGGTTGCAAGACGCCTTGTACGAGAAGGATTGCGCCCTGGAAATCTAGTCCCTTTTGCGTACGAGAAGACCCTTTGGACAGTCGTTGCAACATTGGCAATCCTCAAAGCTGGAGGCGCTTTCGTACCCATTGATGGCACGCAGCCTAAATCGAGGCTAAGAGAGATTCTCAAGAATACCGGAGCAAAGCTGGTGCTCACCTCAGACATATTTGCCCCGGTACTTCAAGGGATGGTTGAGAAGGTTGTTGTTATCTCCGAAAGTACAGTTAATCTAAAGAAAGAGGCAGCTCGCGGCCTCAGCTGGTCAGTCACAGTGAGGCCAGAAGACCCAATCTTTGTCCTTTTTACTTCAGGGTCGACGGGGGCGCCAAAGGGAATGATCCTCGAACACGGAGCTATCTGCACTCACGCAATCACACATGGTGCGTTAATGAGGTACCACGGAGCTCGTGTGCTGCAATTTGCGGCGCACACTTTCGACGTTGCCATCATGGATATCTTCACGACTCTAATTTATGGCGGCTGCATTTGTATCCCCTCGGAAGAGGATCGACGAGCTAATGTCCTGACAGTCATTCAGGAGATGAAAGTTAATCATGCCATTCTAACGCCTGTTATGGCTAACTTGATCGATCCAGCAGACGTTCCAACACTTGAAATCCTTAGCGTTGGTGGAGAGAAATTGAGAGAAGACTGTGTAAACCGATGGGCAGATAAAGTATCATTCATACAGATCTACGGACCAGCCGAAGTTGGGATCTGCATGGCCATTCACATGACAGCAGGAAAGACGCGACCTGAGACAGTTGGGTACCCGCTGCTTAATTCATCTTGCTGGCTGGTTGACCCGGATGACCCAAACAAGCTTGTCTCGGTTGGGGCCGTTGGCGAGTTAGTTGTAGCAGGGCCCAGTCTCGCTCGTGGATACCTAAACAACGAAGCAAAAACAGCCTCTTCCTTTTTGACAAATCTGGCTTGGGCGAAGGGATCCTCCCTCGAAAACGAAAGGTTTTTCAAGACCGGCGATCTGCTGAGATACAACACCAGTTTATTAGATGGTTCATTCGACTTCATCGGCAGAAAGGATGCTCAGATCAAACTAAGAGGCCAACGAATTGAACCGGGCGAGGTTGAGCATTATATTGGCCGAATGCCAGATGTTACTTCTTGTATGGTGACTCGACCGGACGGAGGAGAGCTCGAGGGCCAACTAGTCGCAGTTGTTCAATTAGGTGACCGGAAGCCGTCGAAAATATCGACAAAAGCAATCACTGTTGATAAACAGCGACAGCTTCAGCTTGAAGAACTACAACTTTACCTTTCCAAGTTCCTACCAAACTACATGATACCAACGGCATGTATCACATTAGAGATGATTCCCTTGGTGCCGTCATTGAAGATTGATCGTAACCAGGTGAAGAAATGGCTGATGGATGCATCACCAGCGGATATTGGAACAAAGAGAGAAGACTATTATCTCCAATATCCTCTGTTAGAACAGAGTGAGACAATCGCCTTGCAAGTGAGTTGCAAGATTGCTGATCTGTCAGCCAAGCGAGCCGCCAATTCGCACATGGGCATACGTGGTCGAGACTTCCGAATACAAGACATGGGAATTGATTCAGTAGACATAATGTCTTTATCGATATTTATCCAGAAAGCTTTTCTCGTCAAAGTCCCATTAGCTCGATTGCTAGATCCCCAAACCACTATTCGAGGTTTAGCCAGCACAATCCAGGCTTTGACAGAGGTACCTGAAAACGCTGAGCTACCAGAAACCGCGGCTCCCGACTACGATGAAGAAGCTGAAAGACTGGCAAGATTGTTACAGGAAAAGTTAGATAAGCATGCACAAAATGGGGAAAAGATAGCTACTTCTGCTCGAAACGGTTGTCCTGTCGAAGAACCTGCGATAGTGCCAAATATCCTCCTGACGGGAGCAACGGGTTATCTCGGTATCTCAATTTTAAGGGAGCTTATCACAACGTCCGATGCCAACATATTTGCTTTGGTTAGATGCAAGAGCGAGGAGCAAGGCGTGTGCAGGCTGATCAGTGCAGCCATCAAATCAGGGTGGTGGCAAGACCAGTATCAACCAAGAATACGAGTTCTCCCCGGCGACCTGTCTCAAGAGAATCTTGGACTGAGCAAGGAGAACTCTGAATTGCTCTCAGGTAACAGCAAGCTTCATATCGACACGATCATCCATAACGGAGCCGTGGTGCATTACAGCTCAAGCTACAAAAAGCTGAAGGCGGCCAATGTCGATTCTACTTTTCACCTTCTTGAACTTGCTGCCGTCTCCGACGCAGTGAAGAACTTCATTTTTGTGTCCGGTGGCCGAAAGCCCGTTGAATCTTTCGAACCCGATACACAGGCGACGACAACAATCACGGCTAGCGCCACTGGATATGCCCAATCCAAGTACGTGGCGGAGAGCTTGATTCTCAAGATCAAAGAGCACCCATTATTCGCCGATAAATCCGTCAAGGTCATCAAACCCGGGTACATTGTAGCTCCCATTGACATCGGATGGCCCAATGAAAGCGATTTGATTTGGCGCCTTATCGCAGGCTGCATCGAAACCGGGGCGTACAATGCTGACGAGGCTGATCACTGGCTGTTTATCTCTGATGCGAGCCATGTTGCCCGTGCTGTCACGCATGGCATACATGAGTTGAGAGGCAAAAAGCATGCCATCTACCCAGTCACCGACGGGCTTCGCTTTTCAGATGTGTGGGAACTGCTGAAGAGCTCTTTTGGGTATCGTCTCGAGCAAGCAAATGGAGATTCCTGGCTAGCCAAACTGAGAGAAGCAATTGTTGAAAAGCAAGAACATCATTTACTGTTCCCGCTGTTGGATGTTTTGGAAAGTGATGGCCGAGCAATCGGAACATTGGGGCGGCCGTTTGGAGATGAAAAGGAGGAGGAGGAAGTCCGTCAACGGATCAAGGAGGTAATGACTAAGAATATTCTGCAGCTTATCAAGTCGGGATTCCTGCCTACTGTTTAGATACTAATTCAATCTCCCCACTCCATGCAGCCTACCTGCCTCGTACTCAATTGATTCAAACAAGTTGAATTGTCATAATGTCTCACTGGAGCGGGTAAACAGGTTGCGTGCAGGGCGTGAGGATATTCAGCAGCTAACTGGGATTGGCATCGGTTTCCCCGTGAAAACATACAGCGCAAATTTAGATGATCAAGTAGGTTGAAGTTTTGATTATTAGGGGCTTCTTGATGAAAGCTTCCTGAGAACCTTTTATCGCACTTAGGTGGAGAGTACATACTACCGTTAGACTTGTACGTTTCACGGCGTCATTTTGACGAAGTGCGACATCCTTTCCCAGCATGTTCAGGTTTTCTATCAAAATATACAGTGATTTCGTCTAATATCTATGGCTCCTCCGTCATACGTACAAAATCAGTCTCATTTTGCAAAAATGTTTTAGAAAGCCACCTCTGAGCGAGCTCCTTTCTTCTTTCAGGATTATTCCATTCCTTCGGGCACCAGCCAATGAAGGGAGACCAGTCATCATTCCAGAAATAATCTCCTGGATTCGGAGGCAGGGACTTTTGCGTAACGGGAAAGGGTTTTAGGTAGTGGTGTTCATATACAACTGCCGCATTGTAATCTATCAGCACTACCCTGGGCACACCTGCTGGTGTTATACCCTCCTGGGGGCTAGGTGCCAGCATGACATTTCTTGGTGCGAGGTCGCGTTGATTGATGCCTCCATGTATTTGTTTTACCCAGCCTTCGCATAGTTCGGCTAGAACAGCTAGGCGATACGCTTCATCGTAATGAAACGCGTCAGGTTCAGAATCAGGATGTTTGGAGGTATATAAGTTCCTCATGGATGTCCCTTGGATATGCTCAATCAATATCAGCCGAATTGAGCGCTTATACGCTTTGTTTTGATGAGTTAGGACTGAGTCAAAAGTCCATGAACCATAATAGTCAGGCGTGAAGCCAGGTTTTTGTGGATGCAAGGGTTCTTGAAGCGAACGATATGCTAATGCCTCACAACTATAATCCGAATCGGCGTCCTTAACAACCCAGGCTTCGCCCAGACCCTCAGGAGAGTAATACAAGGGGTCATAGATTTTAGCGACAGCTGTGTACGCTCGGCTGTGGCCCTTAACGAGGACTCGACAGACGACAAGTTTAGCACGGCGATCACTGCCGTTTGCTAACCTCTCTGTGATGGTAAGCGTGGCCGTACGTGGAGGTGCTTTATCGGGGGACCACTGCGTTTCCTCGGGTGGGTATTCCAGAACATGTGCGGTTTTGGGTATCACTTGGACCAAATCTCTGGATGGATCACGCCGTGTTTTCCGAGGATATCCTTTTGAAAGGCCAAACGCGGCAGGTGGCTCGTGTTCTGTGGCATGTATGACCAAACCCGGTAAATAAGGGCATTGTGGGCAATCGGGGTCGGGAGGAGGTGTCCAATCCATGATTTATAGTTCTGTCTTTATTGCAATAAGTCAAGGCGTTGACTTGAGGCAAGTGAGTCCCTATATGACGGCTGTTGAGTGATGAGTGGATGAAACGCACGTGAGGATGTGGAGGTTATTACAGTCATTCATCAGCTTGAGCCATATGACGCGAAAGCAGGATGTGGCTTAATCTTGATAGCTCGAAGGGAATCCGGCTGGGAAAATCAGGTATACACGATGGTTGACGTGCCCACCGAATGCTATTCAACTGGAGATAATTATTATATTGTGACTTGTCAAAGCACGATGCGACAAGCTCAAATTATATACGCGAACGTTGATAGTATCAATCTGCGGCTATCACACTGTATATTAAGTACCAAACCACTTACCCACCTACCAATTACAGGGACAGGGCTCGCTGTAAAGATGAGTAAATGCGGTGCGCCAACCTTTGTTAGCCACATCACTACTAGGTATGGTACGTGCAACACTGTGCCAACTGCAGACTTAGTGCATGACCCAACTATACTTTAGTTTTAGCGGCGCATTTATCTTCTACCAGAATTTTACTTTGGCGGGTATTAATAGTATCAACTTGGAAGCCAACAACCATCAATCACTGGCGGCATTACGCGCCCAGTTATGTGTTAGTTGTCCAGTTTGTCGAAGCTGATAACATCCAGCTGGGTCCATAGCTGTCATTGGTTGTTAAGTGTTAGAGGTGTTAGACCTTGGGTGTTAGTTAGTGGCCCGGTTAGTATGAAGGGCCAGTAATGTCACTTTCCCCAAGCCATGGAATATAAGAGATGAGGGCTATGGGGCTGTTGCGAAGGGGCTGTTGGCCTTGCATGCGAAAGCCTACATCATCAGCAACGCCGTTCTCGAACACGAGGGCCGCTGCAACTTCTGTCGGCAAAGGCACTCTATTTTGTTTCTCAGCGTTAGATGCAAAGTTCTCTCCCTTCTCTTCGTCGTACTTTTAATTTTGCTATTGCTTCCTTATCCCTTAACGCAGCTAACCGCCGCCTTTGGATGATTCTCAAATTTAGAACCAACATATATCACGCCTAGAACTGCCACGCCTCTTCCTTCGAGAGGTCCGTGGTGTTCTTAGTGTCCCCGGCCATATTGTCTCTCTAGCAACAGTCTCTGACAGTTCGAACTTAGGCAGTGTTGGACGTAGGTGGGGCTGTAAAATAACCGTTGGATTTCGAACGTCAAACGGCGTCGTTTTTGAACGTTCAAGAGAGTGTGGGTTAAAATAGTCAGCCAATCCTGTAACCAACAGCCGACCCGAGCGCTTCAATGAAACTTGACGCTCCCAACACAATCGGCCCCTTTATTCAGTGGTGATAGTATTCTTTTCCCGATTGGCCGGGCTGGCTCATCCCTTGAATGCAAGCTATACCACGATTCTCTACTCGAGCTCTCAAGAAGCGAAGGTCTGGTGATCATGGTTGACGTCCAACAAGCAACACATGAGTTTACGGAAAACACATAGCAATATGGGATATATACATCCGAGAGGAAGATAAATAGCCCCCATTGCCGCTCTACATGGCAATAATGAGGCCAGACTCTCGCGATTTATCCTACATTCAGGCATATTAGTATCATCATCTATTCTATTACTCCACCAGAAACCTGTTCAAAATCTCTTTCGTCAAACAGGCTTATATATCTTTTATTAGGTGCTTGATCTTCCAGCCAGTACTTCCACCCTGACATCAACCTTGTTCAAAATGCCCACTTCCCAAGTTCCGTTCCCACCTACCATTCTGGAATCATTCCAAACCGCTCTACCGCGGTACACAGGCGATGACTTTCAGGGCGACCTCCCCGACGGTGGAAACTCGACAATGGAGATGCAGCCGCCTGCGTTTTGGTACAATCTAGAAAAGTTCTGGGAGACTCGAGGTGGAGAAAAGCTCAATCAACATAGCCGTCTCCTTGGACATTTGGAGAAAGAGTTTATATACAAACCAGAGGACGCGATAAGTCTTCTAGTTGAGGGGGACGTCACGCGTGCTGCAGCTATGTATTTACTACATCCAGTCAACCAAGTCTTGTCTGCCATCCGACCTGGCATCAAATGTCTTTCTGAACACACCACCAAGAACATTCGAACCGATGTGTGCTACAAGGTCGGAAACTCTACTGTCGCCGTCGTTGAATTCAAAAGAAAGGGTGCCATCAGACCTCACGAATTTGCGGCGGCCCAGCGCCAGGTCAAATCAGGCACTCGCGACTGGAATAAACAACTTGCATTAGCACATGATACGAGATATGGTACCTTCTTTGCAGGCAATTCTCTGAGGTTGATGAAGCAAGCCAGCAATTACGCGTACACCGAACGAACACGCCATGTTGCCTTATTTGATTGGAATTATCTGGTTCTGATCAACTTTCATGAGACCAATCGCGATGAAGATTTTGTCGGGAATACTTGTCGCATTCAAATCATTGAGGATCCGGCTGAGATGCGTCTTGCCCTTCTCGGGTTCTTGGCTATGGCTGGCTAGATCTCGGGTACAAATTTTGGATGGTTTTGGGAAGAAGAAAGCATTCCATTTCTTCTGCTACACTGTGTATCATCATTTTAGATTTTGCTCATTTTTCTTCATGTTCACAGTTCTCCAATTGGGTTTGATTTGGGCTTGTTCAAGCACTCTTTTGATTATCACATTGTCTGCGACAGTGTATCTAAGTAGGTAGTATAAAAAACAATAGAATGCTAGCTGGCCAATCAGCACTGAATTGGGCTTTGGGATTAATTATATAGATAGCCGTGGACTAGCTATAGGCTCCCAATAAGGAAAGTATCGATGTTAAGCATACAAATCCCTATTAAATAAACTTAAAATAATAAATATTTTAAATAACCTATTAGGGTTATAAAAACCTTTGGCTTACCAATTCCATTTTGGCATTGTTAGCGTAACTCGACTACTATATACAGTTGAACTTCCTGTTTCATTGGTTTAATTTATGAAGCGATGTCTGTATAACCTAACTTTCAGAATTGCCTGCATGTCTCCCGAAGATCATGCGCTGCACCCGTAGCCGAAGGTGAGCTGCATTTCAACTATACGCGCGTGTAAGAATACGGGCTTATGCAGCGCAGAGTTGTATTCAAACCTTCATAAAATACGTTGAGTTATTGAAAGTGGGATAATCTCGCTTCATGAACTAGATCGATCAGACCTAAGTGGTCAAAGTAGATAGCCTAGCTATAGGTAGAGTTATTTTCAAGCCAGTAAGGCCTAGGAGGAATTGGATGGCAAATGGCCTCAGTATTACACGTGTACAAGCTGAATATGCAGTTCGCCTTGCACTTCTGCCGTAGGAAAGGCCATTGGAGGTTGTTCATGGTCATCCAAATGCTGAAATGGAAGGTATATGAGGGTTGTATTCAACTGAACTATATGACTTAAGTGAGGTGGGAAGACCGTCTTATATATATAAACAGTGCCTTCGTGACCCTTCGTGACCCTTAACCTGTACCGTATATATAAAGTAACTCCTTTACCACCTATACTTTTAACATTTCCGCTAAAGGAAATACTTCGTAAATTAGATAGCTTCGTAGTCTATAGTTCTAACTAATTAAAATAGATTCGAAATAACTTTATAAGTTTATAGTATATTACTCCCGTTACTTTTATAGCTTATCGTCTATTTTATTATAATAACTTTATAAGTAATAATATATTACTTCCGCTATTCCTATAGCTTTATTATTTATTATTTAAATAAATAGTTTAAAGTATTATAACTTACTATCTTTAGGGTATATTAATAGCTATAAAGCTACGGTTATAAAGCTTCTATTAATCCCTATATATATTTATATTATCCTTTTAACTTTTTTATTGCTTTTATTTATATTTATATAAAAGCAACCTTATAGGTTTATATTTTCCCTCTTTATAAATAATATAAATAAAAAGTAATTACTTAATAGTTAAAATAATATATTATAAGTATCCCCCTTTTTCCTTTTTAAATTTATTATTTTTATAATAGGCCTTAATATAATTAATTATAATATTAGTTAATAAATAAACTTTTTTATAAGCTTTTTATATATATAAAAGTTTATTTTATATAAAAGTTTACTTTTTTATATATAAAGGAGTTTATCCTTTTATATATATAATAGTTTATCCTTTTATATATATAATAATTTATCCTTTTATATATATAATAATTTATCCTTTTATATATAAGATAATTTATCCTTCTATATATAAAAAAGTTTATCCTTTAAAAAATTTAACTAAATTAGATATATAAATAATATTTAAGCTTAAAGTTAAATATAATTATTAAAGATCTTTTATAATTTTAAAGCTATTTTAAATATTTTAAATATATCCTTTAAAAGTAGTTTCGTTAAACTGTTTATAATTATATCTTCCATATAAATCTATTTTAATTATATTTTACCCTTTTTAACTTGCTTATAAATAAAATACGCTTAAATATTAATATATTAATTCCTATTATATTATATTAGGTTTTTTATAAATATAATAGTTCCTTAATTATTATTATAAATTATTATAGTAATTAATTCCTTTAACTTTTTTATTCCTTTATTTTTATTTTTATAATTTATGCTTAATTTATTATATAGTTAAAATAATTATATAGCTTTTTTAATAATATTAATTATCCCTTTATATTTAGCCTTATAGGTAAAAAGTATAACTATTTACTATAGTTTAAAAAATTAGCTAATTGCTTTATTATTTAAATTGAATATATATTTAAAGGTTAACCTTTATATATTTAAGTTATTACTTTAATTAATATTAGTTTAATTTATAAAAGGCTATATTAGTCCTTTTAAAATAAAATAATATATTTTACTTTCTAATAAGTATTAAAGAATTTATTTAATAGCTACTTTATAAATTAATATAAAGTTAAATATATATTTATTAATATATAATATTATAAATATAATATTAGGTTATATACCTATTATTAAATATATAATATATTTAATTATTAATTAATATTTATATTTATTTCCCGTAGGATAGGTGAATCCCTTTTTAGCCTTTTATAATTTTATAGTAATTATAGGTATATTAGTAGGCTTGCATTTTTCTATTCTAAATTTCATAAATACTTTATTAATATACCTTTATTAATTAAAATAAATGGTTTAATTCCTTTAGTTTTTTTAAATATATATATTAAAGTAGTATTAATATAAGCCTAAATCTATTATTTAAAAATACTTCCTTAAAATTATTTTAATATCTTTAATTTTTATTAAATCTTTATTAACTATTAATAAATTATTTATATAAATTATAATAAAGATTCCAGATTTTATATTTATAAAAATCCTATAATTAGTAAAAAGTGGAACGAAATCTAATATAGTTAAAAAATCTAATAAAGTTTTAAACTAAACCTTAGGTATTTATTTTAAACTATATAATACCCTTTATAGTTTATATATTCGATTAATACTATCTTTAAATTTGTTAAATTATTTAATATAAATATCCTCTTTTATTTCTTTATAAAAAAAGGCTATCTTTATATCCATTTGCTTTATTTTTAAATCCTATATAGTAGCTATAGTAAATAAGATTTTATAGCTTATTAGTTTAACTATTAAAATAAATATTTTAAAGTAATCGATGCCTTTAATTTATTTAAAACCTTTAATTACCTATTTGGCCTTATATTAGGTGACTTTATTATTTGGTCCCCGTTTTAGCTTATAAACCTATTTTCCTTATAATATATATATATCTTTTTACCTTTTTATTAAATTTTAAGTATTATTATCTATTAAAGATTAATATTTTACCTTTATCCCTTTTATTTAATCTTTATTCTTTAGGTCCTTTAAGGCTTTTTTTATTATTAAAGGTTTTATATTTTTTTTATATACCTTTAATATAGTAATTATAGTTAGCATTAAGTAAAGGGCTTATATTTCCCCTATAAATAAGGTTTTATAGCTTTTAATAAAGTATTTATAAATAGAATAGTTTAATATAGGTTAATCCTTATTATAAATAGGTAAATTAATGCTTAAGTTAAGTAAGTTTTTAATTAATAAAGTAATATAATATAATAATTATAAAATAATATTTATTATTATATTTTATATAAATATTATATTAATCCTTTATTTTTTTATAGGTAGTAAAGTTAGTTCTTTAACCCTAATTAAACTTTTCCCTTTATTTTCATTTATTTAAATATTAATTAATACTATTTTTAAAGGGCTTAACTTTACGGTAAGTTCTTTATTAAAGTATATATTTTACTTTACTACTTTAATAATTTTATTATTTATAATAAGAACCTTATAAATAAAGTTATTATTATATTTTATTAAAATATTTAGGGTACTTTTTGGATTAATTTTCTTTTATTTTATATTAAGGAGTAGGTATTAGACTTTGGTACCTAATTATTTAATATATTTAATAAATAGTTATTAGCTATATATTAATTCTTAAAGGGTAACGTTTAATATATTATAGGGGCTTTTATTTTTAAAATAATTAATTGCTTAAATAATCTTTAATTAATACTTTAAAGGGATAGTTCCTTTTATTATTATTAAAAGAAGCTTATTTTAAATTATAATATTAAAACTTTTTATTATTTTATTACTTTTATATTATTTAATAAATATTAAATTAATATTTATTCCTTTTTTAAAGATTTAACGTTTTATATTTTTAAAGATAAATTCCTTAACTTTATTAATATATATAAAGTAACATTTTTTACCTTATTTCTTTAAACCTTATAACTAATTAATAAACTTCCTAATATATATTTAAACATTTTATTAATCCTTTATTATTTTTAATACGTTAAGCTTATTATAAAAATTAATTATAATAAATTAATATTTCTTTCCTTTATAATTAATAATATAATAAAGGCTATAAACGTTTATATAAATAACTTTATTAATATAGTTTTCCTTAAGGAAAGTACCTTTATAAGGTCCCTCCTTTATTTTCCTTAATATATATACTTTATAAATATAATATAGTTTTACTTTATTTATACCTTTAACTATTTTTTCCAATTTTAATAAAAACTGCTTATTAAAATAAACTATCCATTTATATTAAAGTCTTATTTTAGGATTTATAAAATATACCGTTAAAGTAGGTAATATTCCCCTATTAATAAATAAATAAAAAAAATTCCTAAAATATAGTAAAATAATAATAGTATTATTAAATTTAGGAAAACTTATTATATAATATTATTTTATAAAAATTATACTTATTTCTTTATTAAAAAGCTATATAATAAATATTAGGTTAATTTTTAACTTTAAAATATAAAGAATATTTTTAAAGGTAATCTTTTTAAAACCTTTTTAAGTTATAATTCTTTTAATTAAATTTCCTTTTCCTTTTATAGGAATTTTAATATTATCTATTCCTTTAATTATAATCTCCTTTAAATTAAACTTCTTAAAGTTTAAAAGCTTATTTTTATTTTAAATTATATATTAACTATATTCTAAATTTAAAATTTAAAGTTTTTTTAATAAATAATTATCTATAATAGAAATATAAAATATTAATAGAAATATTAATATAATTTTAAAAAAGAAAAAAAAGAATAAGTATAAAGGTTTATATATAATTATAATAAAGCTTTTACCTTTTTTAGCATCCCATTTTAAGGAACTTATAATATAATATTATCTTTATAATTATAAAGTTTTTAAATTAAAAAAAGGAAGGGGGGGGGAAATAAAAAAAGTAAAAGAAAATTGGAAAGGGTATTAATAAAAAAAAAAGATTAAAAAAAACCTTTTATTTCTAAGTTTAAATAGGTTAAAAAGGATAATAAAGGTATTATTAAATAAAGAATTTAATAAAGGACATTAAAAATAAACTTTATAGTTAACTTAAATTAACTATATATTTCTTACTATATTATTATTATTATTATTTTTAAATTTTAAATATATTATTAATATAGCTTTTTTTATTTCCTATTTATTATCCTTTTTATTTTTCTTCCCCTTCCGCTTTTTTTACGCCTTTACCTTTAACTTAAAATATAATTCCTAATATTAATTATTAATATAGTTAATCTTCCTATAATATTTATACCGTTTCTTTTTAACTATTATTTCTACCTTTTCTTTAATAAGCTATATTATTATTACTATCCACTTCTAATTCGATTTAATAATAAAGGCCAGTATATTATCCTTTTTTAATTAAGCAATTTAACCTATATAGGTCTCTTTTACTTTTACAATCGGGACTATATTAACTAGTACCAAAATGTTTATACCTACTAACGTTTAGAATACTTATACCTAAGCCTTAAAATCCTCGCCAAACCCTCGTACAAAATGCACTATAAAGTAGCTATTAAGTAATATATATTCTACCTCCACTTTAATATATCCTTCTTAAATATTACGGATCTCCTTAATTAATTTCCTAACTATTATAAAATTTTCAATTATTATACTATCCTATTGGTTAATTAATATAAATAATAATATAATACCTTTTTAATTATACTTCTTATTAGCCTATTTAAACATTTTATTAACGGTTTTAAAAGTAACAGTATTAACATTTTATAAATATATTAAGCTATTTCGTATAATTAAAATAACTTATCGTTAACCAATTTCTTATACTAGCTATAATTATATTAAAACTTAATCTTTTTATTTTAATAGCTATCCTTTAATAAACTTAAAAACATTATATATATTAAATATTATAATTATATTAAGCTCCCACTTATAATAATTACTCCTTCCCTATAATTTAACAACTAAATTAAATTTAATAATAATCATCTTAATTTCCGGAATAATAATAATCCTATTAATTGCAATAATAGAATTTACTATCGATAAATTAATAGCTATTATTATACCTTGTTTTATTACTATATTTATAATATATAAGTTAAAGGAATAAAATTATAATAAAATAATAGCATTATTATTAAATTAACCTAGGAAATTAAAATTAAAAGGAATTTGTATTAAGCTTTAACTTTTTAAAGAAATATTAAATACTTTTAAACTAATTTTCTTTAATTCCTTATATAAATCTAGATCCATAAATAACCCTAATAATATATATACCATATACCTAAATAAATTAATATTATTAAATAAGAATAATATATTAATATTATTAATATTTAAAACATAGTTATTATTTCTAACTAACTTAAATAAATTAATATAAATATTATTATTACCGTTTAAATCTTCTTTTTAAAGGTTTAATATTTCCCACTATAATATAATATTAATTGCTAAGTATATAAAATCCTAAACGTTTAAGTATTATTATATTATAATAGGTTTAATAACCCTCTTTCCTAATTTTCGTACTATAATTATCCTAAACTCTCTTCTTATAATTTATCTAAAATAAATTTATAAATTAATAAATAATTCAACGTTAAAAAAAGGAAAAACTAAATTATAAGGATAATAGGAAATAAAAAGTATTTTAAGTTAATTTAAACTTATTTAAATTAATCGTTGCTTTTAATATCGGTCCAAAAATAAATCCAATTAATAATCCCTATTACTTATTAATATATAGGCTTATAAAAGATATAGTTTAGCTTAACTTAATAAAAAAGTCTTCGAGCTTATAACCTATTAAAATAAAAGGTATATAAGGGTTATATTTAACTGAATTACATAACTTAAGTAAGGTGGGAAGACCGTCTTATATACATAAACAGTGCCTTCGTAACCCTTCGTAACCCTTAACCCGTACCGTATACATGAAGTGACTCCTTTACCACCTACACTTTCAACACCAAAGATATGCAGGCAATAGTGGAAAGTGAGGTTATACAGACTTCGCTTCTCGAAACAGACCCTTGAGACCTAGGCGGTCTGGGCTGGCAGAACAGTTGTATATAGAGTCGAGTCAAGCCACCAAGGCCAAGATGGAATTGGTTGGTCAAGGACTCATGCAGCCCTAACTTCCACGCCGTTAAAGTTGGCTTAGATTATGTCCCTTTATTTACCGAGCTATCTTAACATCTTTACCACGCCCTTGTCATAAACCCTAGTTTAATGATAAGTATGAGAACAGCATAGTATACAAGTAAAACACACAAATGTATACTGCTTGTTATTGGGAATTTTGCGTCAGCAGTGATTATGTGCTTCAGTTGATTAATATGTAGATAGCTATTCTTAGATTTCAAGTAGGTGCATCTTTTTGATGGGTGCGAAGTCGGTGGTATTCTGTCCAAACCTCTCAAAGAGCCACTTCTGATAGCATATTCGTGCTTGTTTAGTATCGCCCTCCCATTGAGTTGGGCGCCAGCCATTAAAATATTCCATTTCCCAGTCCCAGAAGCGATCTACTGGGTTGCTAGGGAGTTTCGGGATTTGATACTCGCGGCCTTCACCTGAGGTGTCCTTATGGTCACCCGTCGTATCCTTGAGACTATCCTCCACGTTTTGCCACCCAGGAAGCAGAACTGCTTTACCGTAATCTATGAGTACCACTCTTGATAAGGCTTGTGTTGATGTTGCTGCTTGGGGGGTGGGAACCACCATGACGTTTCTTGGTGCGAGGTCGTTCTGTTCCAACCTTGAGTGTACCTGTTTCATGATGCCCTTGAGTATCTTAGCTGCAACCTCTAGGCGATATGATTCGTCATAGTGAAATGCATTAGGCTTGCATAAGCTTTTGATAGTAGTGCCACGGATGTGTTCGATCAAGATCAGCCGAATTGAACGTTTGCACTCCTTATCTTGCAATGGCAGCATCAAATTAAAAGTCCATGACCCGTAGTAATCCGGCGCAAAGCCGGGCTCTTGCAGGCTTCTAGTTGCTTGAATATGTCTATACGCCATCACTTCTCGGCCATAGTCTTTCTCAGCCGCGTCAACCATATATCTAGGAAAGGATATATCGTCATATTTGTCGTAGTATAAAGGGTCATATATTTTAGCCACTGCTGTCCGCGGTTTATCCTGCCCATGCGCAAGAACCTGGCAGACGACGAGTTGGGCACCGCGATCCTCGCCGACAGATATCGCGTCTGTTATGGTGAGCATTGCTGTACGTGGGGGTTCGTTATGAGGCCATTGCGTGACCGGATATGGATAATTTAGTACATAACGCGTTTGGGGTATACTTTTCAGTACCTCGAATGATGGAGATTTGTACGTTGATAGGGGGCGTCCTTTGCCAAACGGGGCAGGAGGTTCGTGTTCCGTGGCCTGTATGACAAGGCCCGGTAGATACGGGCATATAGGTCGATAGGGATCTGGAGGTAGTTCATAACCCATGACCGGCAATATCATATATCACTACGATCTTCCTCTAAGGGGTACGGACATAAAACCATGAATCATGTGTGTTCAGACGTCTTCCCAGGATGAACGCGCTGGACTGTTGCATGAGATTTCCTAAATGATGACGAGATCAGAGGCCGATCGGGAGGCGCATGAGAGGACAGGAGCAATAGAGTGTGCAGTCATACCTGTGAAGAATTATGATGCGAAATTCGATTCAGTTTGATTCCGAGAGCTGCCGAAACGAATACGGTATGCTAGTGGTGAGATGTGTAGTTGATGAGCAAGCTTATTGCAAGCCAGGGATCTGAAGCAAGAAACGCTGAAGTCACACCCTATACAGACAAGTGATCAGTCAGGCCACTCGGTGTTGCAGCTACGAAGAGATGCAACACGCATCGAAAGGTGGGCGAGGACAAGCTATATACTGAAGTGTTTCACAGGGAACATCGGACGCCTCGCCCTCAACGTCTAAACGTACACGTGGGTACCTGGGTAGGTAAGTACCTAGACTAGCACCCGGCCGGCGGTCGGAACAATGGTCTCGGCATACTCCGTGATAAAGCCGCATACGCGCATGCCATCACTACGTAGCCGTGCACATAACTAACGTTTCAAGTGCTACATTGGGTATCTAACAGTTTTACTTGCTTGGTTGGAGGACCAGCTAGCTAATGTATATGTTACGTCGCCGTTGGTGGCAATTCCAGTTGGGAGTCGTGGGGGGGTCCAAGACTATCCCAAAGCCCAATTCAGTGCTGATTGGCCAACTCACCGAGGCCAACAATATTCATCATTGGCTAGGTGCTTCAATGTTGGATGGCTCAGGATCGAGAGCCGCCACGTTGGCCTTCGCCGCCCTTTAGGAAGCGCATAGTTCCTACGACGCCGTGTTGCTTCTTGTCGACAATGATAGCCAACGGTTGATCGCGACTGCGATTACGCGCCCGTGTTAGATGCAAGGCTCCTAACCTGTAACCAACTTGTTGTACATTAGTCGCTGCTGTTGGTTTTTGTGCTCTCCTTACACTCCATTGTAAGAGCTTGTCCTGGCGGCGTCGAGGTCACGTCTCACCGGTTTCTCATCCCTCACATAGCTTGGTTACCTCCACAGACGCCATCCTATATTCATAACATTGACTAATCGTTATATTTTGATATAGCCTTGATTATATTACGCCTACTATCTGTTTGTACCCTTATTATCGGCTTATCTTTAAGTGGTAGCCAGGTGATTATACATTTGTCCCCAAGGCCAAATAACATAATTCCGCATTTGTCAAAACGACGCCGTGAGACGTGCGAATCCCCTACCTAGTATGGTCATAAGACATAAGCATCTTCTGAGGCTACGGTAACCTGTTAGACAACCGTTGTCCGAAGAACCAACATATACTAAAAATAGGACACCGAATCCCCGTGAGCTCTGATGATAATAGTTATGAGCGCTTAAATCGTTCTACAAGCTGATATCCTTTGGCCGGTTGATTTTGGTTTCTGGTTGTGTTATTGCTCCATGTACTGAACATATTGTGCCTTTGGTGAAACCTCGAGCAAGATAAATAGGTGCTGGTATCAGCTTCTTACATGACCATAATGAACTCATACATTCACGCTTCATTATATAACTGTACTTGTCTCTACATACCATCTTCGATTTTCCCAACCACTACTCTAAATAGCCTGATCTTGCCCTTATCCCAAAATGGCCCCAAGTACGATTTTGAACTCACTTAGCGAACCTTTGCCACGTTACCCAGCCGATGGCCTAGACGCTTTGCCAGACATCCAGCCATCTGGCAGTTCGACAAAGGAGACGAATCCTCCAAAATTCTGGGTCATGGGTAGGGACTGGGCGGCGAGCGGTGTCAATGCCATCACGGCATCTCGTCGCCGACTTGTAGCCGCTGGTCTTGAAACGGAGTTCATCTATAAAAAGGAGACAGCAATAAAGCTCCTGACCGAGGGAGACGTAACTCGGGCTGCAGCTCTGTATCTGCTGCACCCAGTCAACCAAGCCCTGTCTGCTCTTAACCCGGATATTTCGTGTCTCTCGGAGCATCATGGAAACACAATCCGAAGCGATGTAACCTATAAGTTTGGCCTCGATCGCGCTTTTGCCATTGTTGAGTTCAAGAAAAGGGGTGTTATCCGTATGGAGGAGTTTAGGGGTGCCTTGCTTGAGCTAAATAACGACAGAGCTCGTGCTCAGGCTCAAATTAATGACAAAATCATGTCAGCAATGGATGAGCGGGGAATGTCCTTTTTCCGGAAAAACTCTCTCAACCTACTTAAGCAAGCTGCGAACTACGCAGTTAAACACGGAACCAATTACGTTGCTATGTTCGACTGGAATTATCTTATTCTAATCACCTTCAACTTCGATACCAGCCCACCCGTTGAAGACCGGGAGATCAACGGCGCTGGGGATTACTGTAGCATCCGAGTCATAGAAGAGAACTCGCCTGGCATGCGTAAAGCATTGTTTGCATTTCTATGTGCAGCGGCTGGGTTGATCACACATTGATCAGGTGGCAAAGGGTATGTATTATTGGCCCACCTAGGCTCAATAAGCACGGCTCTATTGTTGTTGCTCGGATACTGTGAGGGCGTTGAGCTTTTTCATTCATCAGTTTAAGTTGGCTTCATTTTTCTTTGGTATTCACTGGTTGAGAGTTAACTTGGGTTTATTCAAACATTCTTTTAAATTAACATAGCCTGGAGCAATGTAACTAAGTTGTAGTACAAACAATTCAGTAGAGTGTTGACAGTGTACACTATCAGTTCTAAGACATTCTAGCCCAGGTATAATTAGCATATAGTGACCGTGGACTGAGCGATAACTACGGTATAACCAATCTGACCCCAAGTAGAATCAAGTAGATCATCTGAGGCCTCCTACGGCTGATCAAGGTCTGTGATTGGTCGGCCAGAATACATCAGCAAGTTGCATGATAGCTATCGCCTCACATTTTCACAGAGGAACTTAACCAAGTGTGCAATTACACATGCAGCTTCTATTCTCTTGACACAACCATCTTCTCGAACACTTCAAGCGATACATTCGTGTCTACAACTGCCACCGACACTGGATGCGAGACTGTCTCTGGCTGCTCTGCAAGGTACTCCCAGACTGTTACACGTGTAACCTCTGTGCCGGTTGAAGAATGCAGTTCGCCTTGCACTTCGGCCGTACGAAGGACCATTGCAGGCTGTTCATGACCTTCCAAGACATGCAGGCAATATTGGGTGATATTGGAAAGTGAGGTTATACAGACTTCGCTTCTTGAAACAGACCCTAGAGACCCAGGCGGTCAGGGCTGGCAGATCATTTGTATATAGAGTCATCTCAAGCCACCAACAGCCGAGAAGGAGTTGGTTGGTCAAGGACTACTGCAGCCCTAGTTGATCATTACATTGTGAATAGTATCAAGTTCCAAGCCTAAATCTCTACGCTTGTTATACCCTGTTATATAGTAATTTGGGCAGTACGGTATAAGCTAGTCATAACACTCTTACTAAAACCTTTCTTGTTGTAATTATTAGGTTAACATGAAAGACCCTGAAATAGGCTATAAGTTGTAGAAGCTTTCCAGCTAGCATTCTATTGTTTTTATACTACCTACTTAGATACACTGTCGCAGACAATGTGATTGAAAATCAAAAGAGTGTTTGAGCAAATCCAAATCAAATCAAGCAAACTGCGAACGCAAAGAAAAACGAGCGAGATCTCAAAAGAGACACACAGTCTATCAAACGAAATGTAATCCTTGTTACACCCCAAAACCCATCCAAACTCTGTTCATGAGCCGCAGAGCAGCCCTGTTACACACGAACAAGCTGAACATGCGATACGCCTTGCGCTCCGAACGTAGGAAAGACCGTTGAAGGTTGTTCATGATCTTCAAAGAGATGCAGGGAATATAGAAAATGAGGTTATACAGACTTCGCTTCATGAATTAAACCAATGAGACAGGAAGTTCAACTGTATATGGTAGTCGAGCCACGCTACCAATGCCAAGACGGAATTGGCAAGCCAAGGGTTTTTGTAGCCCTGGTAGGTCATTATATTTTAATAGGATCAAGTTCAAGCTCATACATATATATTCGCCCTTGCTATATGTGTAACGTCAACGGTTAGCCGGTGGTATGCACCCTGAGATTCAGCCTGAGAAAAGACCATTCTTACTATAAGATAATTATGGATTGTAGAACATAGGTATTCTTTCAATAGAGAAGAGGATACAGACTCCATTGAGTTTAGTTATTCAAAACTACTGCTGACACCTCAAAATATCGAAACACCTGTCATCTTAAGGTTGTTTGATAGGGATTTGTATGCTCAGCGTCGATACTTTCCTTCTTGGGATCCTACGGCTAGTCCACGGGTATCTACATAGTTTCTTGAGGCTAGCCCTAGCGTGAGACCCACGTAACCTATCCATCTCCTCAGTTAGCCGTGCCTAGCGCGTTGAATTTGAGAAAGGGCAAAAAAAAGGCTTAGTGGCGTGTAGGGGTATACGAGTTTGGCTGGGTGGTAGGAATATCCGAAAACCCACGGGTTTTCGCGGGTACACATAGGTACTCAATTCTGGAAGCCGACTTCCTCTCCTTCACGATAATTAATATATCTATATACAAAAGCTCGTTGGCTGTTTACCAAGTGAAGGAAGGAAGAGTACTTTCGGCACCATGGGATTACTGATGAAATACATTTATCCGCTTCCAGCTCCGATACGAGCACGAACGAGACCCATGGAGGTGCTGGCTGTGGGGCTCTCTCGCTCTGGCACAGACTCACTTCGCAATGCTCTTATACAGCTTGGGTATGATAACACATATCACGGTAAGACTCGACCCTTTCCATCGGCCTTCTGAGAACGCCGAAATCGCAGAATTATTGTGATTTTTTGTATTTATACATTATCCAGGATGGGAACTAGCTGTGCAGCCTAGCGACAACATTGCTTGGACTCAATTGTACCTGAAAAAGTACTTCGGCTCGGACGACGGCAAGACAAACATCACGACGGAAGACTTCGATGCAGTGCTGGGCGACAGCATTGCTGTGACCGATGCTCCAGCAGCCATGTTTGCCAAGGATCTCATTGCTGCTTACCCCGATGCCAAGGTGATTCTAAACATTCGGCCGGATCTTGATGCGTGGTATGCGAGTACGACTTCGACGTTCTGCGGAAACATGGTCCCAAGAAGCCATTTGTTGCTTTCTTATTTTGATGCTGAGCTGTTTTGGTTCTTTCATGGGTTTTTCACGACTCTCTTCCGAAAATTTTACCATGGAAGCTTCGAGAAGAATGGGAAATGGGTAGGAGAGGAGCATATTGCCATGGTGAGAGGTCTCATTCCAAAAGACAGGTTGCTGGAGTGGAAAGTGGAAGATGGCTGGGAGCCGCTGTGTGAATTCCTCGAGAAAGATGTACCGCAAACGCCATTTCCAAAAGGCAACACGACAGACGATTTGGGAAATAGGTTAGCTGCATTGCATAGGACGAGGCTTGCAAGAGCGAAAAGGAATGCTATATTGGTGGGAGCGTCTGTCGTCGGACTAGCTGCCATGACTGGGGTTGGTGCCTTGAGGATCTTCTGAGCGCCTACGACGACGTGGACAAGGGTGAGCGGACGCTAGCATCACTAGTTATCAACCTGTCGTAGAGCCCCAAGTTTGGTTTCTGGATGCCGACCTTCACCAACTAGTTTATTATCTGTATAGTACCCTAAAGCAAATGGACATGGCGGGCCTTACAATGGTAGTCGCCGCTAGTAATTGGGGCATAACAGAGAGCCCAAGCATGCAGGGTACCATGCGCAAAGCCATCTATACCTACCCCTAACTATATGCGGATATCGAAAAGATGTAGGGCTCTGATACTTATAGGGACACGGATAACTCAAGCAACTTGAGCTACCTATGACCCAAAATACTCATTTTAGGGGCCGCTATTCAGTACGGCAAGCAAATCGGGATCTCACAAACAAGGATCCTCTACACAACGCACGGGTTGGGTTATGAAATGACTTCTACGCGCCGAATTCTGGAAGTGGCTACGTGACGACAAGAGGCACGTATTTTGGCAGCGCCGCAGGTGGCGATCCTTGCTATTCATTTCAAAGCGCTGCTGCCAGATTGGCAGAAATGATATGACTTAGGACGGAACCCCCCCTTTTCTTGCACATACGATATTGCCTCCTTGTTGCCAGTTCTGTTATAATACCCCTGTCGGGATACATACCTCCATGGCACGGGCAATTTTCTTGAGAATAACTAGGAAGGCCAGATTACGGAGGACTGCGCAGCTGTGCGATGGGTGTCAGAGTTTACCAGACTTGACGGGCTGGGGCGACGGTCCTAGGTGGAAGTTTATGACGAACAATGTGTGGTATTACTCATTAAGTATGATGCTACGCGTGAGTATATTGTCGAAGAAGTCGCTGGGGTTGTGTTCGGATGCGGGTTGCTAGCTGAATCGTTTGATTGCATGAGATCGGAAACACAGGGCCCGTGCAAAAGGAGGGCAGTGCCTGCGTCCTAGGTAGCATGATTGGGTTAAACGGAATATGTGAAAATGAATACGATAGGATGCAGCGTCGTGTAAAATTTTGGATATCTTAAAGAAACTGTGAGATTGGCGTAAGCTTTGTCATGAAGGTACATTGTACCCGATATATGGGATACATGGCAGGGGTAATATTGGTTATGTAAGTTTACAGCTTGGACTTTCGCTCGTGCAGACTCAAATATGAACGCCGTTGACGACATCTTCACCCCCGTTAACATTCAGCAGATCGCTATGGTCCGGCATGTTGGTCGATCCACCCCATAGGAAGCAGTCTGGAGAGCGAAGAGTTTACCACAATTGTGAAATGTCCCCTTTGCATTAGGGGATACGTCGCCCTCATTAGACAACTTTTCAACCTATTACTAGGTTCCCTAACTTCAGCGATCTTTTCAACGCCCGTGAGTAGTTGGAATACAGGCAACAGGCTGTATTGAGGACAAAGGTGCATAAGGTACTATTCACTCACTCAGCAGTCATATCATAACCACATAGGCGGGGAATCAGTGCCTATCTGCTTCCTTGCCATGTACTCGATCATGCCACCCCGGCACACTGATTGCGATTTAAGCTTTACCGCTAAACTATAGCAGGCTCAGCGCATCGACATAAAATCTTCGCGCAGGAGTTTGGCATGGCACTAGGCAGGAGATAAAAGGGCAATGATATCGCGAGTCATACCTAGTTAACGCTACTCCCTGTCGAGTTGACTAGGTATGCCTGGCGATCTCTGCTTTCCGTGGATCTTTGATGATGCTGAACACAATGGGTGCAAGACCGTTCATCGGGTTGCTGGGTTATAGAGGCCTTGACTTCGGGCTTGGATTTGAAATGGACTTCATTGGAATAGAGAACACGGCCCCCCGCCGCGATGTCTAGCCCTTGATCTGCGGGGGCTTCACGAGGAGAAGCCATATCATAATCGACCCAGAATCTGCTACATGCAACGCACTTCTTCCAGCCTCGTTTATTTAGGTGTTTTGAGACCGTTTGACTCGTTGGCCGTTTGGATTGTGTTGGAAATTCGAGACCCGCCGCATCGCAAAGCTCGACCCAAGGCAACGTTCGCCCGTCGTAGTCTTCAGCCTCCAAGAATGCAACTAACTGGTCGACCTGGGCGTCAGTTAACGCCGGCCGACGGCCTCGAGTTTCTTCGCAGGGTTCGCGGTGAAAACGTTGCGGGTAGTCCCTTAATATTCGGTAGCCCGTGGAACGGCTTACGCCAACGTGTTTGAAAAGCTCGTTATTGGAAATTGGAAGGTTCTTCGCATCCCGGAACTTTTTAAGAGTTAAAAGCTCTGTTATCGTAGGCTCATCGTGTGGCTTCGTTGAATGGCTTTGTGAAGCAGTAGACGGGCGAGTCATGTTGGAAATAGCTTCAAATCGGTGGTTGAATTGGCGGTGGAAAGGGTGGTGAAGCGGTGCAAGAAAAAAGTGAGAGGCTCAACACCTCTGTGTTCAGTGCAGAGTCCCTCACTTTTTTCTTTCACCGCCTCGGGTGGCTGAATAGGTGGTGGGGGGGGGGTCTCAAGTTTTTCTTTCACCGCGTCGCCTATCAAAATAACGAATGACGTATACCCTCCCACACAAACCGATGATACCCAGTTTAAACTCTTTATTAGCGCGAAGTGCGACGGTGATAACGCGCGTTTTGACTCGAAAGACGCGCATAGTATTCGTAGTATTAAGAGTCAGAAACGCTGCGATTTGCAGAATGCAAGGTACTGATGATCGCATCCATGACGAAAGATTAAGATCGTTGCTTTTCATGCCCCTTTTATTTCTTCGTATTAGTTCAACTTGGTACTACTTCGTACGTACTGCCATAATGATGAGCTCGGACCTACGGCCAGGGGCTTGAGAGCTGGCGAGCTTGTTACTGTATGCCAGCTGCTAATCAGAGAATGTGGTGTACCCAGCTGTGGCTAATTGGGGCGATAGCTTATGTTTGAGATTCATGATCTCTGGCAGGGATATTGATACTATGTATGGCCTTGGTTCTAGTCATAAACGGCTACTGCAGACCCCAGAACCACATGTCAAGTGGGTTCTTTGAATAGCGCAGGTAGGGTCTACATAATAGAAATTCAAGAGAAGAGGGTGACATGTCAGCCTCCTGAATTATCCAATTCATTCATTGAAATTCTTTGATGGCTTCGCCACTTTATGCTGACATTGTTGGGGTTTCTTTATCTTCTCGTATGAATGCGACGCCTTTATTCTTGACCATTACCCCCATATGAGCACCAGTCGCAAGATAGGAATTTGGGAAAATCAGAACCAAAATGCCACTCTCCAGAGAGCCCAGTCAGAGAGCTTTAAACTGGGTGAAATGGAATTCCAACAAATCAAGTTCGAAGTAATGCGCCAGCTCCTTTCCCACCCATAACAGCTCTAGTCATTCACCAAAGCCAATAGCTAACGCCTGGCCGATTGAAGTAGTTCTAACCAGAATTCCAAGCGTCCTGCGGAACCCGAAATTGTGCATCTTGGAGGCGCACGCGTGGGAACCGCTTACGAGGTGCTAGACCTACCTGCCCCTGATCGATCCAGGCCAGCGGAACGGCCTCTAACCCAATGGACTTTCAATCCACCACCACCCAATCCTCCCGGAATAGGTATTGCAATTGCAAGCCCCAACGACATCTCAGCGCAAAACCATGCCGGTTTCGATTACGAGACCGAGCGGCCCATCACACAATGGTTTCCAGAGTTTCAGCCGGAAGCGCAGAAAGACAAGAATGACACTCAGCATTTGACGCCAGGGTCGGTGTACCCCAACGTGATCCCATATACGAACAATGAAGAGATTTTACCGTCTCCATTGTCAGCCGGCGCGTCAAGCATTGCGACTCGCGATAGTACTCTAACAAATAGCACAACTCTGCGATCTCCGGCTGTGTCACCCGCGGCATCTCCCATAGACCATTCGGAAACACCCCAAACACGCCCTGGTCAATTCCCCAAGCGCTCGACTTCTCTGTCTCAGGTATCGCGTTATATATTATCACCAGCCGGGAAGCAGTCCGTTAGCAACAATGCGGCAACAAAAGTGAAGGAACAGCATCTTCGACGGACTCAGTCGAGTGCCGAGGTTCCGAGAGCGACGAATTGGAAGGGATTCCCCAACCAGCCTTTTCGCGAACTGCCAGATAGACCCCAAACACGAGAGGCGCCACCACAGGAGCCAAGGATTCAGGAACCCCCAAGAGTTCTAAGAAGTTCCCCAAAGCCACCAACAATAGCTCAAGATACCCAGGTCCTGCCGCCACTCACATATCCTCCACCCAACGCGCCTCTTCCGCCGATTTCCGGGTCGAAATTAGCAGGCCATAGCAAAGCGCGCGACCAATTACACCAGCGAGGACGGTCAAGCTCAAGCGATCGCGCTTACGAGAAGAGTCCTCCCATAGAGTTCCAGGACAAGCCAGAGACGCAGCAGCAGTTAGGGCCAGAGCACCAACTCACGTCAAAAGAGCGATTCTGGCTGCACAGACACTACCGTGGAGAGGCGGTCTTTTTAAAGGCATGGGGACTACAGATCGAGAGCGAGCAGGATCGGCAAGAAGGGCGACGGATTCTACGCGAGCTGATGGAGGGTGAAGCACAAGAGGAAAGGGAGACGCAGGAAAGAAGCCGCATGCATCATCGTTCCGGATCGTTGTCTCGATCGAGCTCCTCAACGGCGCTATCAAGCCGTGATGGCGCTGCGTTGGACGTCATTGCAGAAGAGAGACTCAGTCGAGAATTCCACTTACGCCCAAACGAGACCATCGGGTATGCGGATGGAGGCGAGGACAAGTATTGGAGTGTTGGGCCTGAAGCAGAGCAAAGATCGAGGAGAGCCCGGAGGTCGGACAAGCATGGTAGGAGCGAGAGTACGGATTCCGTGCTTGAGCAGTACCTTGATCTGCGCATGAGCAACAATCACTAAAAATGAATTTCAAATGTTGGATGGCTGGTGACTCTTCCAAGATATCTTTTTAACTTTTAGGCACTGTATATATTTATATTAAGTAATGTTATATAGACCAATTTATCATGCTGCGCATAAACGCAATGTTACTCATACCGTCTCATCCCTTTTGTAGGGTAGCGATAAAAATCTAGGTTCACAAGACAGCTATGAAATCGTTAGCTGTTAGTCACGTCCGGTTTGAATATAGATGTGTCTGGTAGAACCATCATCCACTTGACGTAGCATTCATACAAGCTCGGCATCTCCGTCATTCGTAGACATTTAACTAATGCATGAGCTCGTCGAGACAACTAACAGCTGAGGTCTGTAGTATTAATTAATATCTTGGCATGCAAGTTGAGAAGAACAGCGTCATATGCAGAAGGGGGCGCCAAGTCCTAGTGCAGATGCAAGATGCATAGGGTTCCGCGATGATGTCTGTTGACTTCGGAACATTCCGCTAGCTGTTCCAACAAGCATCCTAATATCGCAATCAGTAAAATTCAATCGCTCAGCTTATTTAGCTGGTCGAATTGATATCTCAAATATGGGTATCCCGTATTGAAAAAGTATGGCGCCGGCAATTTCCCTATGAGGACGAAGCATACTTTCAACGAATGAGAAGCCAGATAATTGATTTAAAACTCTCCTCTTCTACCCGTTTCCATAGGCTCTACATAGGCCTGTCCTTTCGCTCTTCAGGCATACATGGATGGCACTGGATACTCTTGGAGACCGCTGGTTAAACCAAGTACCTAGCTTGGTAGACTGTGCTATGGTAGCATCGTCCCGACCTTCAGTGCCCGCGACTCACTTGGCTACTCTACAGATAAAAGCGTAATCCTTAAGAAGTGCGAGTAGGCGAGTTCATAGTGCAGCTTGATAGGACTGTCACACCCTCGACGAGAGTCCGAAGTTACGCACTGTAGCGAGGGATATTGCAAGACGGTGGAGAAGACTATATGGGGTAAGTGGTTGAAGAATAAAGAGTCTTGATGACAGACACCACAGCTGCTGCAGTCATGTATAGAATACTATCAGTAGAACCTTACGGCCTCTACGAAACTGTAAACGACAAGAGGAAAGCAAATATAGGAAATAGGCCGTCTAGCTAGGCTGATATCGATTTTATGAAAACCCCTTGAATAACAATACGACTCTCGGATCTCGATTGTCAAGATTTGCCACTGGGACTATAACATCGAGATTCTCCATTCATCATATACAGTAACCTCACTAGGCAGGCGGTCATAACCATAGAAAACGTAAGTCTCATAGGCTGAATGAAGCTACTAATAGCGTAACAACACTTTGCCTAGGTGCGGAAGCAAGTCGCCAATGACCCTTCAGATCATGGTGCCAAATGTACAGATGCAGACTCAGGTCCATATTTACTTGTTCAGGATGGGCTGGCTATCGGGTTTCGATGTCCGAAAGATTTTGCTTAATCTATAATCGGATGGTGTTCTAGCAAACTATCTCCCGAGGAAGTCGAGAGCGGGTAAAGTGAGGAGACGATGTAGCATGATATACACAAATTGTGATAGATGTAAGTATCGCCACTCTTAACTCCGATATAAGAACCGATTAAGTACATGCCGCTCGACTTAGGCCGCATCGTGGCGCAACCGCTAACAGAACATTATCTTTGACGACTAGTAAGACCAATTTGAATCACCGTAGTGAAGATCATATTGACTGCCTCTACATATGTTGAGTGGTGGATGTTGCAATTTTCCGTATATGTAGCTCACATACGAGGAGGTCACGAATAGATGACGACGCTACCCGTCATATTGAAGCATAATTAAGACTCCATTTTATATACAACTCCGCCTCTGACTTATTATAGACAAGATTTATTTGAAAGTAGGTTCTTAACAAGCGGAACGCTTTCCGCGCTGACTCATCTATTATGCGAGTCTTTCCGCATTGGGGAACAAGTCGCTTGACCAGCATCCGTCCATAATTGGGTCATCGCACCTCTGCTTGTCTCGATATGGAAAGTCAACATATTGGCTTTTATACACTCGCACTGCGACGAAAGCATGTGCTATAGGCAATAGCGTGGGGCACCTCGGCATCGTGCATCTAACTTGTAAGGCAAACTCTATAGACCTAGTGAACTATTACTAGGATGGTACCGACATTTAGTAGATAGGACTGGGCCATAAATGCTTTATTAAAGACTTCCACAGACCGTTCCTTAGAATTGGTGTCTTCAACGACGTGTGAGAAATCATAATATTAATTAAACATGGAACCAGCAAGTGCTAACCGCGGCTTTTTCCAGGTCCAACCAACGTTGAAGAATCAGTTTCTTCATGATCCAAGCATAAAACGGGTATTCAGATGTAAGGATGTCCTCTTCAGATTATCTTATATAAGTGCTGAATTAGGTCTTGTAGTATTCTTACCAGCGGACATTGCTCGAACTGTTTTACCAGAAATTAGCCACCTAGGAGACGAGGTATTACAGCAGCAGATCTTCGACTGGGTGACAGATGCCGAGAAGAATCACCCGTACATTGCGGGCCGGGGCAGAAATGCCTTTGGCCAGCCCATGAGCACAAGGCTGGTCGTCACTGAAGGCTGGAGGAAATTGCAGGCTTTCAGCGTCGAAAAGGGGTATGAATATCTTCCCAATGCATTCAACTAATCCACTATCAACTCGATATGCTAAACAAGAAATGCAGTTTCGTAAGTCAGGGCCACGAGGCAGGATTGGATCAATACACCCGAATCGTACAATATCTCCGCGAGCTTATCTTCGAGTCCTCGTCCGCAAATGTGGGCTGTCCAGCAGCTATGGCGGACGGCGCTGCCCGGGTCCTGCAGCATCACTTGAGTAATTCGAAGCTCAGTGCGGAAGAGAAAAAGGTCTTTCAAAACGCTTACGATCACCTTATATCACGGGATCCAAACATGGCCTGGACGAGCGGGCAATGGATGACGGAACGCATAGGAGGTAGCGATGTATCACGATCTGAAACCATCGCGACATACTCGCCTCTGCCCAATGATGGCCCCCTCTGCGACCCTGAAGAGAATATCCCCATCGGTCCTTGGATAATAGATGGTTTTAAGTGGTTCTCATCCGCCACGGATAGCAACATGACGATCCTTCTAGCGCAAACTCCAAAGGGATTATCAGCGTTCTACGCTCCTATGAGACGTTACAACCCGTCCCTCGTTTCTGCCACAGGTGCCGTGGGCGGCACAGAGCTCAATGGTGTCACAATATCACGGCTCAAGAACAAGATGGGCACGAAATCTCTGCCAACCGCTGAGCTTGAGCTCCGCGGTATGCGAGGCTGGCTTCTCGGAAAAGAAGGCGAGGGAATCAAGGAGATATCTAAAATCCTGACCATCACACGCATTCGTTCGGCAATCAGCGCGCTCGGATATCTCAGCCGGGGCATGGCTGTCGCACGCGCGTTCGCCGAGGTACGCGAAGTAGGCGCCGGACGCGGGAAAAGAATGAAGCTGGTGGATAGCGCGCTGCATATGCGCTCGCTCTCGGATATGACCATTGACCAGCACGCCATGATGCTACTCACGTTCTACAGTAGTTATCTGCTCGGATTAGAAGAGCACTCTACGTCTGATCGAGCACCTCCTCCTTCCACCAAGGCTATCACACCTCCGTCTGAATATGTCACACCTCTCTTAAGAGTGATTACCCCTTTGCTGAAAGCATATGTCACGAAGCAGGCTATTCCGCTCATATACGCGTGCATGGAGTCCCTTGGGGGCGTGGGATATCTAGAGAACTCCGAGTCTGAATACATGAACATTGCGAGATTGTTCAGGGACGCGTGCGTGCTGAATATCTGGGAGGGCACGACGGATGTGCTTGCGACTGATTTCATCCGGGCGCTAAAACATCCTAAAGCCGGGGCAGATGGTATTAGAGCTCTCGACTGGGTTATAAAGAGTGGCGAAAGCGGCGCGTCCATCGTGAAGCAGTGGGAATCGCTGAAGGCTGAGCTTGAATCGAGTACGCAAGAGGACTTGTTGCCCAATGCGAGGGGAATCCTGTGGAAGCTTGCGGAGATCCTGATGGCTGTTCTCTTTATGCTGGATGTGAAGAGTAGCGATGGACCAGTGATACAGGAGATGTGCCAGCGGTATCTCACTAGTCGGGGCTTCGTGAGGGATGAAAATTCCAGTTCGGACAGGAGCCAGACTAGTCTGGAGTTGAATCGTGCTATAGTTTTCGGTGTTGAACACACAACGGAAGTGCCCAAACTCTGAGTTAGAATTGTAGGTTAGTGCAAGGAGGTACCGCTTTCAACAAAAGAAAGCCGTAATAATGAGGTTCGATTCGAGAAATGATCTCATCAGATACAGGTGTGCTTTAAAACATCACGGTAAAATTACGCAAGACCTTCAAGCGTGACAGTCAGCATCGCCAAAGGATTACATCAATTATTAATCAAAGTTCCCTATAACCCTAATATCCAATTCATAGATCATCAGAGCTCATCAGGCTCGCTTACGGTATCTACAAAGATTCATCAGTAAACTCACCACAACACCAGGCAGAACTTATCGCTCTTTTTTACAGTGGCTATGCTCCTTCTTGAACTCCTTCAACCACGCCTTGACAAAGACGGCTTCCTCCTTCTGGGCTTCGACGACCGGGGCGGGAGGGAGCTCAGCAGTCGTCTCGTTGGGGAATAGGCCGTTCTCGTCCCAGTGGTGCACGGCTTTATCGATCAGGATGTAGGGTTCCGAGGTTGTGGACTCGCGTTCAGGGAGGCCGATTGCGTGGACGCCGGCCGCACGCCATGGATCCCACTCGCCGTCGACCCAGGCGAGGCGCGGGTAGCTGAGGTCGAAACCACCGTATTTGTTGATGGCTTCGGTGTCGGCTGGCTTGGTGATGTTGAAGGCGTCGCGGCAGATCACAGAGGAGTACTCTAGGTCGATGGTGCGAGAGATCAAGGGCAATTCGCCTTCGGGAACACCGCTACCGGTCTGGAGATAACCCCATCTACACATTATGTCAATAATTATCGCCTACTTCATCTTAGGAGTCAATAACTTACTGTGTGCAGTACTGGTATGGCCATAGACGCCACGACTGGGCGATGTTATCCTGGCTGTAGAACTCTGTGTCGAATGTGCTGAAGCACTCATCCTGGTCTTCATTTCCACAAGCGGCACCTCGAGGAAGGTAGTAACCGACATAATTCAGCACATGGTTCGATAGAGTATCGATTTCATCACCATAGCCAGCGACTGTGATAAGCTCATTGACGGACTCTCTCAGGGACTCGGTCTTGGGGTACTTTAACTTGTCGGAGGCTACAATATCGCAGTAGTCGAAAAATTCGTCGGAGCTTTGCGTGGGGTCCCAGTTATAGCTCTGAAGACCATAGATACCACCGTTGATGGTGCTCGCAAAATCGCCATCGTGGGTGACGTTGGGAAGTCCGAAAACATTCTTCAGCTGCCCGACGTACTTGCTGCCCTTCTTGCCGATGAGGATCTTGTCAATGATGTCGGTGGTCTTCTGGGTATACTCGACGCAAGCAGGGGAGCCGTAAACGGCAGCGGCCTCGAAATACTTGTAGTAATCCCAAATAGCCTCTGGCACACCCGAGGATGAGATTGCGCCCCAGTAGTCATCAGGATACAGTTTTCGCAGAAGAGCGACGAATGCGCCGGCATAAGAACCACCGTAAGCAATCCATGGCGTCGTCTTGGGATTGAAGTCTACGTCTTCCAGGCCGGCAAATTTCACATTGTTGGCAAAGTAGGCGGTGTCGGCAAGGGCCTGGTCGGTGGTCAAGAATCGGAGGTTCTCCGTGCTGAAGTCTTTGGTTGGAATACTTGAGCCGTAGTATCGGTGCTCTAGGATGACGCCCAAACCGTTTGTCGCCTTCGCAAGTTGGTACACAATACCCTTCTGCAAGAATGGGAGTCGGCCTTCTCCGTCCGTTTCACCACCACACAAGACGATCACAGGGCCGCCGGGCTTATAGTACTTGGCATCAAACCAATAACGCAGGTTGAACTTGCCATCGGTGTGCGGTTCGTAGAGAGAGTCGTTGTGGAAGTGATCAATGGGCGTCGAGAGGTTATACTCTGGGTAGAGTAACGCAGGGTCGACATCTCGAGCGCGGAGCTTATAAGGGTCTCGGATCTGTTCACCGTCACATGTAAGCTTGATTAATTCACTGGCTTTTGAACTGATTGTGGCCATGGCCGAGCAGGCGACGCATCATACCTGTTTCTTGAGCTCGCTAATAGGCAGCGATGATCTCTGCAGTGCTTGAGCGGCCGACACAAGGCCGAACAGGCCCAAAACCTGCCTATACCCAACCATTGTCACGATATTGATGGTCAGTATGAAGACTCTCCCGAACAACGGACAGACAGCTAGAAAATAAGACCAGGAGAGAAGCACGTCAAACCACGGAACCTATAATATTATTCACGACGAATACGAGGGGCTGGGGCTAGGACTAAGACAGGCCGTCAGCGATTCGAGCTCAATGGTAGGGCGGGCTTCGATCATATCAGGCAGGTGCATTTACCAAGCACACGATAATAATGTCGGGACATGTAAGCTGCATTAGTTTGGGTATGATGGAGACCACCAGAGATGAGGGCATCTCGGGCCTTGAGAGTGTTGATCACGATCAGCACCCACAAGAGCTTCGTGGAGCTAAGATCAAGATGGAAGGTCCACAGTGATTTGACTGGGTCTGGGCTGGGCGAGCTGGGGAAGCTCGATAACGCTTGCAGGCCCCCCTTGCTGACGGATACACGCCGTCGGCATCTCAGCTTGCTTTGGTCCAATGTCCTTTCTGAGAAATAGGCCTTGATAATTGTTCCTGCAATGAGGTGTTCGGGTGTTGCCTCGCGTACACTAGTTCATCTGACAGGTAGTATCCGAGGTTTGTGAAGAATAGATTCTGAACGAGCTCTAAGTAGAAGCCATTCACACCCTACGGCAGGTGTCGGATCAGATTCTTGTGATTCAGCATCGCTTGTGAATCACCCAGCCACTGCGTGCATTAAGATGATGTGAATAATATCATATGTGCGGCTAGCTACATCAACGGGGACTGTTACCTCAGGGGTTATACGGGTTAGTTGCCCTCCTACCAGTGAGCAGTTCAGCTTCTCCATATTGCTTCACCAAGTAAACGTCTTCATGGCGGACTCCGAACTTTCCTTCAATATAGATTCCAGGCTCATTGGTGAATATCATACCTGGCTGAAGCCGTGTTTCCCTGTTCCATTGATTCAGATACGGCGACTCATGCGCTGCGAATGTTCAGTTAGCGGGATATCGAAGGTGAGACACAATACTGTGTAAGTATGTAACACAGCGCACCTTTGATCCCAATGCTGTGTCCCACACGATGCGTGAACCGTTCGCCATACCCAGCGTCCTCGATGACGGATCGAGCGGCTATATCAGCACGAGCGGCAGTGTTATTGGGCTTGAGTGCAAGCGCCGCAGCCGATTGAGCCGCAAGGACGATGTCCCAAACTCGGAGCTTTTCTTCACGGAGTTCTGGATTCGAAGTATCTCGCATATGGCCTGATGGAAATGAATGACTTGCGGTATCTATGCGAACAGGATCGATGAAGAAGCTGCGGCAGATATCTGAAGAGTAGCCAAGATAATGCGCTCTGTATAATGTCAATATGGATTGTGCTAGACGCGCCGAACACCCGTCTGATACGCACCCGACGTCGATGACGACCATCGTGTCCTCCGTGACTTTCTTCTTACCCACAACAAAGCCACCGTGTGGTAGCGCGCCATCTTCCTCGAATAGCACTATATTGAAGAATGGATCAAACCCAATCGACCGTAGAACTTCATTCAGCACATCCCGAACCTCGTCCTCCGTCAGATCGGGCACCAGACACGGCCGCAACAGTGCCTGTGTTGACGGCACGCAGTATCTCCACTTCTGCCGGAGTCTTGATCTGGCGCACGAGCTCAACCTCGGGGGTCAAACCTACCGTTTCAAAGCCCGCTTTTGACAGACCACGGGAGATGAAATCGCGAAGCTCCTCATCTACCACGAGTATGGGCGCCCGTCGTTTCGCAGTGCCATTGAGGCCGGCGAAGAGACGCGATTCGAGTAAAGTCGCATATGGGTCCCAATGCTCCTCCCAAATGACTATATCTAGATCCTCTTCCCGGGACGGGATTCCGAGCATTCGCACTCGTCCCTCTTCAAAATGCGGTGCCAAGAATGCCGTCTTGGCCGATACGTCTCCCGATTGTGAGAGGACAGGTAGTATGAGCATTAGAAACGGCCGCTCTTCTGGCTCCCATGGCTCCCAGTCCGTCTGCGATACATTCCCGTAGTATCTAGATTTTGAGCATTATGAGTGATGAATATGAATATGCTTAGGCAGCGCACATACTGGAAGGTGTAGCCGGGCTCAAGCACGAATGCATCGACGTTAGCGGCAACTAAGGCTTGAGCGAGTCGCTCGCGTCGATCGAGGAACTCATCTGTGTGAATTGGTCTCGCCGAGTCTAGAAACGAGAGATCGGCCTGAACATTCTCAATCGCACATTTTCGAATCGCATTCAAACTTCGCTTGTTAACAGCGGGTTTGTTTAGTAGATAGTAGACCCAGAGAGTGGCAATAGCACTGATGAACAGGCAGATATTTTTCACATCGTCCTTCCGACGACGAGGCTTGGGTACCAGTATATCTTGAACGAAATGTTTGCCAATCATTTTCGAGTTTCATGGTGAATCAATCCAAAAGAATCTCATCGAGTGAGTGCTACCAGCAACTCGGCAACTCTATTTGGCGGGGTTCGTACAATTCACCTCCCTCCCTCCATCCTTCGTTGGAGGTCACTTATTGGCCGTAGAGAGCGAATCTCTTCTAGCTATGGAATACATGGGGTAGGTATTCGGCTTTTAAAAGGGAGAATAACTGCTAACTCTATAGCAGTATGACTGCCTTCATTAACAAGGCACCAATTTTGGTTTTCTTTACCTAGGTATTTTTCTAATCAAAGAGAAAGTATTTTGATGGTCTCAGATCGTGCAGTCATTTTTCAGCTCACTGTCACTTTAGCTGTCCCTCATGATAATCACTCGAAGCTTGGGCGACTAGCATCTGCCACGTCACAGCAGACAGATGTCATATTAGAAGAATAGCACGAGTGTAGGATGCGGTTTGATGGAGTTGTGGTGGTTGCAAGACCCCTATCCCTCGCCTTATCTTACAGAGCTTGATCCCCTTCCGCAGCTCTTGGCTGATCAGTCACAATAACGATCCGTTCCTGATACCTTGGACAAGTAGTGGCACATGCCATCGCGGGGTATGCAGCATTGCGTAGGATCGGATGCACCGGTAACTAATGTAATGTAGTGTAGTGTGATTTTCTTGATCCGGTTGGTTGTGGAAACGTGGCCGACCAGTCAGGACATCCCTATCTACGGCACTACTGCACTGTAGAACGGTTTAGGGCCTTGGACGGATTCCGGTAGTTGGCTTCTGTTGAGCTTACATGACCAAGGTTAGTAGGTAGACGAGTCTAATGCTGCCGAGCGAAAGCTTCTCTGCTAATCTCCGTCAGATCTTCTTGTCTTCTCGTCCAACTGCCCTCCCGACCAATATCGCAAACCTTCTTGGAGGTTGAGCCGTTGCTCGGGAATTCGCTTTCTCTGCTCTGCTGTGGCCCCGACCGCCGGCCCTGACTGACATTGCGCTTCGGACGATAATTCCCACTTCGACTGACTTTTGCGACACGCTTGTCCAGGGTCGAGCTCCTCTAACCCTGGCGCACGCGCCCGCTCGCCCACATCGAACCATCCATACCATCCATACCTATCTGAAACGTCCTACCGCTATAATGTTGCGTCGCTTCGCGAGCAGAGCCGCCCAGGCTCCGAGTTTCTTCTCTTCGTCGCTATCTACTATTTTTCTGGTCTCTGCCGCCTTACCGATGGTTTCCGGGCACGACCACGACTCATCGCATATTGAAGACGGAATGGCCATCTCAACCGAGCCCATAGTACGTGTACTCCCCGATGAACTTTTCAGAAACTGCTGAACTAGCTGCCTACGGATGATACGGAATCTGACCATCTCGACTTAGGATACAACGCTATGGATACACATATTTATTCAGATGGCCGCCTGGGGCGTCATCTTCCCCGTGGGCATGGTTCTCGGGGTAAGGATAACCCATCAATCTTCAATCACTCACATCTCCAGACTCTAATGCGACATTTGCGCCATAGATCGTCAAAAACCGCTGGCATGTTCCCCTACAGGTCCTAGGAACTGCTCTCGCGATACTCGGATATGCTCTGGGCCATATGCACGGCGGCCGCGAATTCCGTGATGACAACGTTCACTCCAAGTTCGCCTCACCCATATCGTTCATGCTGTTCGCCCAGGTTCTCATCGGCATCTACCTCAAACTACATATCGAGCGGGGAGTTTTCGGCAAGATAAGACGCGTCGTTAAATTCGCACATGGTATTCTTGGCAAAGCGTTGCCCGTCTTCGCTTGGACCCAGATGCTTTTTGGTGGCATTACCGCCCTTGGCTTCTGTCAAGGTGAACATGTTGCCCAATGCGCTGCGCACTTTATCATGGGAAGTGCCTTCATCGCTTATGGTATTCTATTGACGATCGTCCTACTTGTCGGACAGATATGGCTCCGGCGCACCGGCCGATCCCAAGAGTTCTTTGACAGCGCCGTCATTACCGCCTGGGGCGTGGTCAATACCTTTACCGAGCATCGCTGGGGCACCAAATGGGTTGAAAATGATTGGCAACATACCACGATGGGCGTCATCTGGTGGTGTGCTGGATTGGTGGGTATATGGCTCAGCAGAGACCGTGACGGTCGCCCTAAGCGAAATATCATCCCCGGATTCATCATTTTGATAACGGGCTGGGCCTTCGGCGGTCACCCCCAGCATGTGCACATTAGTGCCGAGGTCCACAAGGCATATGGCTACACCCTCATGGCCGTTGGTGCAACCCGCATTGTTGAGATATCTTTTGTTCTTCGCGATCGTCCTGCTCTATCTGAGGATGGCAGGGAGATCAATAGTTTCCAGTACATCCCTATTTTCGTGAGTCGTCCAATTCTGCCATGATAGACCCCGATCTAACCTACCATCACAGCTACTATTTGCCTCTGGTTTCATGTTCATGGGTGCCACCGAGGAACAAATGGGCCTCATCGAGAACTCCGGAATGGACCATATCGCCTACATTCTCATCCTCTTCTCACTGGCCTCTCTTCTCTTCCTGTTTACACTAATGCTCATCCATCTCTACGACATCAACACTAGCCAAACCCCTCCCAACAAGAACCTAGATAATGGTCGTCTTGGACCCCGGCTGGGTGGCAATGTCCCGATTCGCGACGCCAATGAATTCGAACTGGAGGGTTTGATGAGCGACGACGAAGATGATAATCCAGCAAAACACACGCAGGGCGACGATGAGAGCCTCAGCAGTACGCTTGGCAAGAACAGCGACGGTCATGCCCATTGAGAGTGATACACAAGTCTTATTGGTCTCAATGAAGAGGCAGAGATGTGATTACCGCATTGCACTATAGACACCAATCTAAACGCACATAGTCCCATTTGGGAGGTTTTTGGTCCGCAGCTTGGATATTGATGGAATCTCCCCTTGGATTCTTCACAGGGGGTTTTGGGAAGCATTTTGGGAGCATTGCAAATTTCTAACTGTTACTGCATGGGAAAGGCGTTGGGGCTACCGCCATGGGACACGAGGGATGATCCTCACTAGATAACGTGTTACTTATGCTGCCAATGAAGAAGTGAAGTAATGCTGTTGGTTTGAGGGCTTTTCCTCTGAAGCGGGCGAGTCTCGGTCCAGTATGTGATCAGCAACACTGATTGTGCGTACTTCAATGACACAGCGTTACGACGACTATTTGCTTCAGCAGGGCATCATAATCTACCTTAACGTCGATGAAGCAGCACATTATCACATCATCTCTATCGTGATCGCAATACTTCACCTTAGAGGCACCGGTGTCGAGCGGCGCGTCACACACTAGTCGAGTATATACTGGTTGCTGTGTCACTGTGAAGTGATACAGACGCGTAGCAGCTTGGAAATAAGTCCGCGCATTAGGGAGTCTAGGGACTACGGCGTTTAGAGATTGGTTTCTTGAACCCCTCAACTCCTGAGTATTCTGTAGGTTCTCAACTGTCACGCACGCATCTAACGTCTGAGAAATAGGTTTTCTGATGTCCAGCAATTCGCACACAGCCTCAGGCTTGTACTGAACGCCGCCCAACGCTATTTCCCTCAGAATGCTATGAGCCCGGGATTTGACGTTGGAGAATCTAGGCTACGTCTTACAGCGTGAGACACATCGTTCGAGAATATGGTTCTCTGCCACACGATCATGTTGTAGCTATCGAGGATAAGGGCATCGAGTATTTCTGCGACGTCGTAGCGTGATACGGCCGAGATATGTTCGTTATTCAGCGATTGACTCAAATACGCGAACGTACGCCCCGAAAAATCCATCACACGAACTACGTGAAGTGGCCGAGGTGGAACATGGTGTGAAACTCGAGATGGACTCGAGATCTATTGCTACCTGAGAGGCCCAAACGCGTCATCTTGTTTTTCCAGGAGCACTAGACTCGATATTGGAGGGGGATGTGCTATTGCTCAATTATGATCTGATGGCTGCGATACACTGCACTGGAGAGATTGCATGGGACACAGAGCTTGTCAAGACACATATAACCACGTCCAGCTCCTCGCCGGTTCACACTTACCTCTTTTCTCGCCTCAAGCACTACCACTCATATAGCTTTCTGCGAAAAGGCATTTGAATCAGGTATCTCAATCATGAAGATCCCATCAATTGTAGGCCTAGCTATCACGCTAACTATGCGCGCGGCCGCCGACTTCAATATCGTCGGGCCCTTCGCGCTCCGAGTCACGCCTAAGACGAGTTCGGGTGTTGATGGTGCGTTCCACGTTCTCACATTCTCACTCCCAATATCCATTCGCCAAATATTTACTTTCACTGTTCTACATGCACTCACGATCGTGAGATTGATGAGGTAAACTCTAGGCTACCTATGGGCATGCCACGCAGGCGCAGCCACCGAGGGCCTCTGCTACGCCGCTGGCGCAGGCGCCGTCAGCGGCTCCGTGTACGAGTTCTACTACAACTACACGTTCGACGAGGGGGCCATTTACCCGGGATACATCAGCTATGTCTTCCCGTACCAGGGTGCCGACGGAAGTTTAGTCAAGGTGCCCTCGTTCCTGCAGTTGTATCCTAGTTATTCGAGCAATGTGAGCATACCCCTCTATATCACTTCCATTTCATTCGTTTTCATTTTATTTCCTGCGTTTGAGATACTTTTGGGTGTAGACTGTGTGTATCCATGACGTAACAGCTCCTGATTCTGATATTTCATTGATTGTAGGTCAATCTGGCGCTCATCCCGCCTGGCTCAGACGACGGGACTTCCATCTCGCTGGACGAGGACTCGGGATTGTTCTACATGGGCTTGCAGCACGACGACACCCGCTGGAATTCGACGATTCCTATCCCCGAGACACCCAGGAATGTCTCTAATTTCCACGTCTGTTACCAGTGGACTGGAGGCTACTGGTACCGCTCTCTGGCGTGGGTGTCTGGATACGAAGGGGCTTCGCCGCAGAATCCGTCTTGTGAGCCTGTCAACTTGGGTATTGAGTCGCTTGGTTCTTCATGAATTGTTGTCGGTTTTGTGACGTTAGCGCTTGGCAGATAGGGGCTTAAGCTCAAGCGTGAACGGGATACTAAGACATCAGGGGTGACCGGTGACCAACACAGAGCTGCAGGCAGGCCAACATCTTCGCACATGCATGCATGCATGGGTTTAGGTATACTGTAATATCCCCGCATAGTGAAATTTTGCAAGCACCACGTTATAATTGAAAAATGATAAGTAAAGCTTCTCTTCGCTCATTCCTGCAAGCGTAGACGACCTTGAACTACCCAAAATGGCCTCGTCTTCCAAGCCCACGCTTGTCCTGGTTCAGGGTTCCTTCCAATTGCCTGAGGTCTACTATAAATTATCTGACGCACTACGAAATGCCGGCTATCGCGTTGTGCAGCCGTCTCTACCGAGCCTTACAGACCAAGACAAGCCCGAGTTTGCCTTGAAATCCTTGACGGACGATGCCCTTGCCATTCGGTCTAAGGTTCAGGAACTAGTCGCCAAAGGGGAAACCGTCGTTATGGTTATGCATTCATACGGTGGCTTAGTAGGTTCTGAGGCTGTTACGGAAGACTTGTCGGTCGAGCAACGAAAGTCTAATGGCCTCGCTGGTGGCGTGTGTAAGTAAACGTTTTCGCAGCTTGCCCAAGCCATCTGCCGCTTCGAACTAAATCTCATTTGTTGAGCAACACAAGGTCTACATATTAATCCCAATCGCTCTAGTACATATGTTCTACTTTGCAGCCTTCATCCTGACTAAGGGTCAATCGGTGCTAAGCACGTTTGGCGAATCCTCAAACAATCTCGTCAAACCAAATGGGCGTTTCGCGCTCAAGAACGTAGCCGACATACTATACCACGATCTCCCTGCCGCCGAGGCACAGTATTGGGAATCGAAAACAATCGACCAATCCTATGCGGTGCAAAGTACTGAAATCACCAACGAGGGATTCCGCTTTGTTCCCTCCACGTACGTCGTCTGTGAAAATGACCGTGGTCCTCCTCCGAAGTACCAGGAGATCTTTGGCAAGACTGCGGGCTCCAAGATTATCAAACTCAACTCTGGTCATTCGCCTATGCTTAGCCATACGGACAAATTAGTAGAGATGATCAATTTAGTTGTGCAATCTGCTGTTGAGGGATGGTCATAGAGTGAAGTGGCCCGACATTGTCAAGTATCATGCACATTAGAGGTGCTTCTACTCTTGCAATTGCTCTGGCAGATGGTGTTAGCTACACTGAGAGCGCAACAGACCTCTTCAGAAGGCAGCGAGGGGTTTTGGTGGCACTTACGAGGCACTCTTAGAGCGATCACCCTTTTGCGCGCCCATGGACATTGCTCACATCACTGTGGAATAGATGAAGATGTGACACTGAAAATGAGTCCCATTCACTTTGTAGCTGCGGAGGGTTCATTGATAGGCGGTGGCGTGGCCGCTGAAGCCACACCAGCACCAGGAAACAGCGAGAGTCAGGCCATAGCAACCCCTTTTCAAATACACTTAACGCTACTGTTGAGAATGACCATGTGGCCTATGCCGACGTTACATTCCCAGGAGGCCTATATATTACTGATAGCCACTCTTAGAAACCCCCCACCAAGCGACTCGTATGTAGCAGTTCGTAGGACCCCAACAGCGTGGCAGCTTTCTCAGCATTCTGAACATATTAGTATTTTCATAGTTGTAATTCACGCCGTTATAAATTCGTTGTTAAACTTGCAGCTCTTTGAAATCCGACAAAGACTCTAAGATGCACTGTTTGAACGGATTTGCAATAAACCTGCCAGCACCATGAAAGCGACATCTGGCACGCTATACCATGACGTGAAGACCAAAATTGCCCTAATTCCACAATTCCGATATCCCATTTCCGAGTACGCGGCATCGTTCGAAAATATTATGCTTTAGCGGCGTAAGGCTAACCAATGATCTTACAGGCCGGTGTTGCCGAAATGCTAGAGTCGAGGCTAGTATTGTTCTTGACTCAACTAGTGTGATGGATACAAGAACCGTCGACTTTTTTCTCCAGTTAACAGGGAAGGGACGCCCCTATTTCCGAAATGCCGAAAGAGCCTCAAAACTTTGCTTTGTACCGAAGATATATATACATAGTATGATGGATAGGTAGGCTAGTTATTTTTCAGAAAGTCAAGAAAGTTTAATAAATATTATCACCGACTTCCCTGAGCATCGTGACTGTGGTGACTCTTGTACCTCCCCGAACTTCACCGAGCTGTTGTCACCATGTCTTCAACCGATGCGTCAGATACAGAGAAAATACCTCTCCCCGGGGAGAGCCGAGTAGGGGAAGGTTACTTGTCCGGACTTACTTTAACTTTTGATGACCTTGCGATTGAGGTCGAAGGAGTTAGTGAGAGCTATGTCTCAACAGTTTCATCTGTTGTCACGGGCTTATTGTCTTCATTCAAAAAGAACAAGAATCACAAAAGAGTTAGTGGCCTATCATTGAAACCCATTTATAATTGCAGATTTGCTAATGCTAAAACGCGTTGTAGCATATCCTCCAGGGCGTGACAGGCCAAGTCCGGCCGGGAGAGATGGTAAGGGAGCACTCTCATATCAATACTTTCCCAGAAAGACTCACATAAGATCCGGCAGCTCCTAGTGCTTGGTAGGCCAGGGTCTGGGTGTACTTCTCTTCTCAAGGTGCTTGCGAACATGCGACAGGAATTTTCCCACGTCACTGGCAAGATGAGCTACGGAAACATCGATCACCAAGCAGCCCACCGGTTCAGACATCAAATTGTTATGAATACAGAAGGTAGGTATTCAAACCCCCAATTCGCGCTGCTAGCTATGCTAAATGGTAGCAGACGATCAGCATTTTCCTACTCTGTTAGTATCGGATGTTATGAAATTTGCGGTTAGTACCAAGGTGGCCAAGAAGAACCTAGAGTCAACAACATCCAAAATCGAACATATTGAGAACAAGACGACGGCAATACTGGATTCTTTAGGTATATCTCACGTAATGGAGACCGCCGTTGGCGATGAATTCATTCGTGGTGTATCCGGAGGGGAGCGAAAACGTGTGTCTGTCGCTGAAGTCATGGCTACCGAGGTAAGCGACAGATTTCCCCTTTCCCAAGCGTATCAGTTAACATAAGCAAAGGCATTGGTTCAATGTTGGGATAACTCGACGAGAGGCTTAGACGCGAGTAACGCATTCGACTTTGCCAGGGTCCTCAGACGAGTCACGGATGAGCAAAACAAGACAATGATTGCAACCCTCTATCAAGCCGGTAACGGTATCTACAACCAATTTGATAAGGTTCTGGTACTCGCAGAAGGAAGGGAGATTTATTACGGACCTGCCTCCGAGGCCAAGTCTTATTTCGAGAAGCTGGGCTTTCGATGCCCACCTAGCGGGAACGTAGCGGACTTCTTAACTTCTGTTACGGTTCCGACGGAAAGAGAAATACTTCCTGGCTTCGAATCTACAGCACCTAAGACGACTGAGGACTTCGAACGAGCTTATAAATCCAGTGTTACCTACGAGAGTATGAAGAAATCAATGGTGACTGATACGCAACTTCTCGCAACTGAGGTTGATAGGCTCGATAAGATCCGCATGGACGAGAAGAATCGAACATTCCATTTCCTTTCTCGAGACCACAGCGTTTACCAGGTCTCGCTGGCAAGACAGATCTTGGCCTGTACAGCAAGGTAAGTCTTGTTATTCAAGTGCGTTCGTCATAAATGGAATATGCACTTATACGGAAACAGACAGCTTCAAATGATATGGGGAGATCGCTGGTCGAACTCTCTCAAACTTGCCTCAAATATTATTATCGCCCTAATTTCAGGAAGTCTCTTCTACAACCTCGCTCCTACCAGTGCTGCTACCTTCGATCGAGCCGGGGCTCTCTTTTGGCCAATTATATACCTCGGGTTGAACTGTCTTTCAGAGACGACAGCCTCGTTCATGGGACGACCCATCTTCTCCAGGCATAAGTTGTTTGGCTTCGCACGACCGGCTGCTCAAGCAATAGCCTGCACCCTCGCAGATATCCCTTTCACTATTGTCGGCGTTAGTATCTTCGAGATCATATACTACTTTCTAGCAGGATTTACCCTAGACGCCGGTAAATTCTTCACCCAGTGGTTCATCTATATTGTATTTACGCTCTGCCTCCTATCGTTTTACCGGATGATTGGTGCCTGGAACTCTCATTTTGGAGTTGCTTCTCAGATAGCTGGCTGGTGTACAATGGTTATCATGGTATACGCAGGTAAAGACTTTTCCTGAGGTCCCACCGGACAACAAGCTTTATTCTGACTAGGATTTAGGATATCTTATTCCGGTCCCGAAGATGCATCCATGGTTCAGGTGGATAGCATATATTGACCCTGTGCAGTATACCTTCGGGGCATTAATGGGCAGCGAGACCGGGGGACTGACACTTGAATGTGTTGAACCCGAATTCATTCCGTACGGAGCTGAATATCAAGATATATACCGTGGTTGCAGTGCGCCTGGATCTACTCCTGGACAATCTACATACAGTGGCGCCGAGTTTCTAAAAGCCCAGTATGGAGACTTCACACAACATGTCTGGCGAAACGTTGGCATCGTGATCGCGTTTTGGGTCTTCTTCGCTATCATGGCTGCTCTTGGATTTGAGTTGAACCTTCAACGCGGCGGTGGTTCCCAGATTCTATACGCAAAGAGGGCATACCTGAAGTCCTTATCCGAGAAACAAGACATGGAGAAAGGAATGATTAAGGAGACTAGCGGCGACCCGACTGACAGTTCTGAAGAGGAGGAGCAAACCAAGAATGGTACAGTGTTTACCTTCAGAGATATCAACTATTTCGTCCACGCAGGTGGTTCTGAAAAACAGCTGCTCCAGAACGTTTCAGGATATGTTACACCAGGCAAGCTGGTAGCACTGATGGGCAGCTCAGGTGCCGGGAAAACCACGCTCATGGATGTGCTCGCTCAACGGAAAGACTTCGGGACAGTCAAGGGCTCAATCCTCATCAACGGCAAACCTCAGGGAATCAGTTTCCAGCGGGATACCGGATATTGTGAACAAAACGATGTCCATGAAGTCACAGCAACTGTCAGAGAAGCCCTTCTTTTCTCCGCCAGATTACGGCAACCTCACCATGTACCAGACGCAGAAAAGGTTGCCTATGTCGAATACATCATGGCTCTGCTAGAGCTTTTCCCGCTTCAACATGCTATTATCGGCTGTAAGTCAATTGATGCCGGGACCATTGGAAACCTGAGTACTGGCATGTTTAAGCTAACAGCTTTCAGCACCCAACTCCGGTCTTTCAATTGAACAGCGCAAAAGACTGACGATTGCGACCGAGCTTGTTGCCAAGCCATCACTCCTTTTCTTAGACGAGCCAACCTCGGGTCTTGACGGTCAATCTGCGTATGAGATCTGCCGATTTATGAAAAAGCTGGCCGCCGCCGGACAGACAATAATATGCACCATTCACCAACCATCTGGGGTCCTATTTGAGACATTCGACGTGCTCCTACTACTCGCCAAAGGGGGTCGTACTACTTATTTCGGCGAGACAGGGAAGAACTCATCAACTGTGTTAGACTATTTTGCTCGTCACGGAGTCCCCTGCCCTGTAGATGCAAACCCTGCAGAGCACATCGTCGATGTGGTCCAAGGCCGTTTCGGTACCGAAATTGACTGGCCAGCGGAATGGGAGGCATCTGAAGAGAGACAAAAGTCTCTGGAAACACTATCAGTGCTTGAACAAGTTCAGGGTCATATCCATAACGGAACGAGCCAGGAAGAGGAAAAGAGCTTTGCTGCTCCTATTCCATACCAAATCTCACAAGTTACTCGTCGCCAGCTTATTTCGCTTTGGAGAAATCCAGATTATGTTTGGAACAAGCTAGGCTTGCATATTACGAACGGTCTCTTCGCGGGTTTCACGTTCTGGAAGATTGGAAACGGGTCGTTTGACGTGCAGCTTCGTCTCATGTCTGTGTTCAATTTTCTCTTCGTCGCTCCCGGATGTATCAATCAGCTGCAACCTCTCTTCATCCGGAATCGGGACATCTTCGAGACTAGGGAGAAGAAGTCGAAGACGTACAGTTGGATTGCCTTCATTTCTGCTCAGCTCCTGTCTGAGGTTTTCATTTTGATCGTCTGTGCCACTGTTTACTTTGTGAGTTGGTACTTCACTTCTGGATTCCCGGTGAAAGCAAGCGTATCGGGCCAGGTTTATTTGCAAATGATTCGTAAGTTTTCCCTAGTCGGTGATGATATGGTTATGTCCCTTCTAACAGGACATACAGTTTATGAATTTCTTTACACGTCCATCGGCCAGGTAAGACACAACTTCATCTGCATAGTGCACGTTTAGTGGACATTAGCCCACTGCCTCTTTCTACATTAATGATCTCGTAGTTGTTTTTGACTAACTCGGGGTTTCGTAGGCTATTGCAGCTTATTCTCCGAACGCATACTTTGCAGCACTTGCCAATCCCATCTTTGTTGGTAGCTTGATTCAATTCTGCGGCATTCTGGTCCCCTATTCTCGCATCACCCCTTTCTGGCGATACTGGTTCTACTATCTGAATCCATTCACCTACCTTGTGGGCGGCTTGTTAGTTCCTGTCGTTTGGGACACGGAAGTAGTGTGTAAAGCTGGCGAGCTTACTACGATCCCGCTACCCCCTGACACTACATGCGGCGAATACATGAGCGACTTCCTATCGCAAAATGCTGGCTACATTACGGATGCGGGCAACACAACTACTTGTTCTTACTGTCCGTATAGCACTGGCGCCGACTTCTTGCGGACGCTCAATTTCGAGGAACGCTACTACGGCTGGAGAGACGTAAGTTTTGCTCGATTGGGGTTCACGCCATGTTGCTAATATCAGTCAGGTCGGCATTACTGCCTTATTCTGCATCTCTTCTTACGCTCTCGTCTTCCTCATGATGCGTTTGAGGACCAAAGCGACGAAGACGGCTAATTAGGTGACCGAGCATACAGCTACAATTGGCCGAGCTATGCACCAACCACCCCCGGAGTTTCTTCTGCATCCGAGTGCATTTAATTGAGCTCACTTGTGAATTTCATAATATCTTTTATGACGCGTTCCTAATAGGATAGTACATATAGAATAATAGAAGATGGCCATGTCATCATGACGACGGGTATAGGGTATATTAGATGATGGTCTCGGGACATTCTGTTACACGTGTAACCTCTGTACCGGTTGAAGAATGCAGTTCGCCTTGCACTTCGGCCGTACGAAGGACCATTGCAGGCTGTTCATGACCTTCCAAGACATGCAGGCAATATTGGAAAGTGAGGTTATACAGACTTCGCTTCTTGAAACAGACCCTAGAGACCCAGGCGGTCTAGGCTGGCAGATCATTTGTATATAGAGTCATCTCAAGCCACCAACAGCCGAGAAGGAGTTGGTTGGTCAAGGACTACTGCAGCCCTAGTAGATCATTATAATCAGAACCCTCAGTTCCAAGCCCAGTTCAACTGCCCTTGTTATACATTCACAGAATGACTGTACAGCTAAGCTAATAAGGGGACCATAGACTTTGATGCAAGTCTGAGTTATTGGATTCAAATTTATTAAGCTTCCCTCATATAAGCGGTCTAAAATTCAACGTATAAAGAGAGAAACTGATTCGATTGTTGTGTATACCGAGTAGTCACTCACGAGTGAATGAGTGAGGGAGTGAGGGACCGAGACGTGGAAGGTGAAAAGACACAGCACGCTTAGTTCAAGATAAGATGAGAAAGGACGTATTTCACCAAGGGTGTACCTCCATTTCCATGCTCCCATGACTTTCTCCGACTTGCATCTCATTATCAAATGTATCTTATCCCTGTTGTTATATATCTCGTCGTACTTTGGGCTCATGCGATAAAGGTAAATGCGAAATGGCCAACTCAGCTTTAAGACCGCCGCAAGTGTGATGAAATTGAGAAAAGGTATATAGCTATTGCATGTTTGATTCAAATGGGCAATTGATTTATTCAAAGCTCATAACATTATGAGCGCAAAAAAGATATGATTGCTGACATGACCCCTCGCTGTTTCACAGCCCAGCATTAGCATCCTACGCCACATTCTCCGCTGTCAGCTTGTTGATGCCAGTTGTACTCTTGTTCGTGCATTGAATATTTACCTAGTTACTTAGGCAGCAGTCACTCTCTAATTATCTCACCAATCTACGAACAACTCATCAGTGCTCTTCAATTGCTACTTACTTAGAGGTAGATTCCGTGGTCGTACAGGCGATCGATCCGAATAGCGTTGGTTATAATCCCCTACGCCAGCGGCCTGTTGTGGTAACCCTTCAACCAATAATAGCAAATCCTGTGAATAGGCTGCCTCTAGAAGATGTGAGACGATTTCCCACGGGCACACAAGCACCCCATCTCGAGCAGGATTCGACACCTCTCTCTACCGCTGGCTATCATGGCCGATCATTATTGGAGCGAACGTCCTAAATCGCCGCCTCCCTCATATTCAGCATCAGATCCCGCGGCCGGTTCGAGCCGCGACCCGCCCCCGCCATATCGTCCAAACCCCGCCGCCGCGCCAGAGAGAAATGAGCGAACACCGCTCATTCGCCGCCAGCCTGTCATTGTGATCCCGCGACCTCCTAGAATCAACATCTCCGTCCGGCAGGCCCCTAGAATCAATATCGTCATCCCGCGACCGCCGAGAATCAATTTTACGACCCGCCTGAGATGCCAAGACGTCCTCACCATCCTTCTCCAACTTGCTGCTGTCTCGTTTTTCGCATACTTCATCTGGTTCCTGGCAACTTCGTGGTATTCTAGCTTTGGTAACCCGACGCTTCACGACGATCTGCCGATTTATAATGTCGCCATCATTGGTATGTTGATTGATATGCTGTGCTTCGTCCAATGTTGCAGCTTGGAAGTAACTGACAGTGTCCTTGAAGGAGCCGGTCCCGCGGGCATCGCGGCAGCCCAATATCTTCACTATTCTCAAGCATCGCGAGATATGCGCTTCAACATCACTATTTTGGAGTCAAAACCAATAGTTGGTGGCATGCTCGCGCTGCATGATTCGAGTGGAGGGCCCGTGTACCCCAATGATGACCCAATGCAAAGCCCCATCACAGCGGAAGACATCGTTGGCCCTGCACTAATGTGGCAGAACTCGCTTTTCACGCAAGACTCGGAAAAGATACTCGGAGATTCGATTTCTTTTAATGAGCTTGACACTGACTTTGTCGGTTTGTACGTTCTCTTTGATTCAATTGCCATTCCCGGTCCTTGGACGTGAGATGCATTGCCCACAGTTGAGGCAGAGACTACTAGTAACGACTAACTCTTGTTCCTTTATCATAGTTACGAGAATAAGGATTGGATTGCGTCGGCCGTGCGACCCTACGACAGATCTCCCGTTACTACATGGGGTCGACTCATCTGGACCTATGGCGCCTCGGTATGGCGGGCGGCTGCGTTCAATAGACACGGAAACTTACGGAAAAGGATGCTTGAAGCGCCTGTGACAACAGAGCCTGGAGAGATATTCAGTGCACTCGGAGTCCTCGAGCCTCTACAGCAGTGGGCAAGAGAGCTTTTGAATAAAACCGGCATAAGTGATCGCTATGCGACAGAAATTCTCGCACCCCAAACCCGTCGCGCTTTCGGTCAGGGGCTCGATGATCTAACGGGATTCGCCGCCATGCTAGCCGCGTCACAGGAAGACTCGGCGCACGCTTACACTGGCGGTCATTTGATCGAACGACTGGAACACATCGTGCGCAAGCTTGGTGTGCCCGTGCATACATCTACACGTGTTCTCGGGCTACGCAACGATTGGGAAGGGAATCAATGGACCGTTCGATATGAAATGGTAGTGGGGAAGGAGATACATCGACTGATGTCTTCGACAAGGTCATCCTAGCAGCCCTTGACTTTGAAATCCGCCTCGAAGACGGCTATGGCAATGTCAGGAACCTTTCATCGTTCCAAGATACAGGTCTAAAGAAAGAATTGGGCGACCCTAGAGATGAAATGTTCATTCCGGTTCATATAACTTTCTTCACCACGAACGTGAAGCTTGCTACATGGCATTATCATGATCAAGCGCTGTTCGTTGATGGCGCAGATGGCGTATACGAGATTGAGCTCGTGCGCAAGACTACGAGTTATAGGGAGACGCAATACCTTTATCGAATCCTTTCCCGATCGTCGGTGCTTAACTACCTGAAGAACAACTACGGTATTCTATGGAGTTATGAAACAAGCGTATGTATTCCATCATGTCGGAGAGAGTTACTTGTGTGCATCATTAGCTGAGGCTCGTCGCGGCGCGCTAACACTTGTTTGAACCCAACAGATAGCGAATTGGCATCCCGTGAGAATCCCTCTGTTTCACATGCCAGTCTTGAAGTATCCGCCAGCCGCAGGCCTGTGGTGGTCAAGTGCGATCCAACAAGCTTGGTCAACGGTTGATCTCAATTGGTTAGCTGGTAAGGCTATTGCAGATGACCTGATCAAGGAGATCTTGGCAGGGAAGTAAGAACTATGTCAATGGAAGCATCATGAGCGCGATTCCGTAACGATCAATGTAATACTGTTGATTCGCTAGCTACGATTCGTGGTGCGATATGTATTGCGATTGGAATTTCAGTAAGAGGGAACACTAATATCTGGAGAAATGGAACATTCTATTTGTTCCTTAGGCACCTTTGTAGTGCAAGGGTGACCCCTACAGGGCATTGTTACGTAGGGCTTAGGCTATACTCGGGCTGATTGTAGGTTGGGTATGTAAAAACTTGACTAAAATAAAGCCACTGGTGAGTTTTTGGGGTCCGGAGGCCTAAGTAGTTGTCGAAATCGGATGAAGTCTCAGAGAAGGGGGATTAAGTTGTTACAGGCCCCGTGCACGCGAGACGAATATATTTGATAAATAATTTGAACGCCTAATAATCTCACTTCTCTTCGTGTTCGTTCCTGTCCGTGCTACTTAACTGTCACGCGACGACTCGGCGAGCTAAGAGCCGTTACCTCTAAGTTGCCACTTATGTTACTTCTACATACTTTCTTCGCTTTATGAAACGAACCAATCAGACCTGAGAGGTTAGGCAGGTAGATCCAATTGAATATAGACCCAAAATCAGCTCACCATCCGTAGCAGTTCTAAGAGGTTGTCACGGAGCGAGAATAAGAGTATAGTTCTCCACCGCTACACTACCAAAAAGTAAACGACATACGTAATTAAGTTGAGACCCCATATCTCTACACTCAACTATAGTATAGTACTGTAACAGAGGTTCTAGTATTGTGAATAGCATCAATACTAAGCCTAGCGTTCTGCCCTTATCATACCTTTACATATACAGCACATATCCGCTCTTCTCGTCTCCGTGGTTCATTGCTTTCCTTTGCCGCCAGATAAGCAACCCATAACATGCATGAACAACCACACATAGCGAAGCAGTAGCGAGATTGATAGAATAACCGGTACGATAATACGGCGAGTCCTGTTTCAGAAACGCAAAGGTAGCAACGATTCCCCCGAACCCACCGAAACAGATCATCCATGCCGAGCCAATGCTTCTCTCTGCGTGGCCTCGGAGGTTCATCAAATACCAGCAGACTACATGGCCTCCTATACCAACGGAACCGATAGTTGTGAGAATTATGGCCGCGTATTCTGCGGAGAAGTGTTCGGTACCATGGACTGTTCGTAATATAGCCAGACCAGTGATAAGCAATGATAAGGCAGGAAATATGAAGGGCGATCGTAGTTGGAATTTATCAGAGAGATAGGCTGAAATGATGGTGAACCCCAAGGCGGCAGCGAAGGGGGGCACTGAGTGTAGCTGCGTTTGAATCGTACTGTAGCCCAAATCTTTGACGATCGACGGGACGAAGTAAACAACAGAATACACTGATACCAGAAGTGCTATTAAAGATTCTTGTTAACGGAAAGCTGAATCGACATAGATGAAGAAGAGCTTACAGAAGTACATTAGAGCGCCAAGCCAGTTTGTGGGCTTTGACAAAAAACTTTTTATATCTACGGTAGTGATGGGGACGGTGTGAGGCTCTTCCGACTCGGTTTTCTTCAACAAGAACTCTCTCTCATTTTCCGATAACCAATTAGCCTCCCGTGGAAAATCAGAAACAAAGAATAGTGCAGCGACAGCAACTAGAATAGTGGCTATTCCCTCGAGAATAAAAACCCATCTCCAGCTTGAAAGGCCTTGAACACCTCCTAGGTTAGCGATAGCACTAGTAAGGAGTCCGCCAAATCCACCGGCGACGATAGTGCTGGACCAGTAGACAGTGAATCGTTTCTGGGCTTCTTCCTGCTTGTACCAGAAGCTAATCAAATAGAAGCTGCCGGGAAAAATGCCTGCTTCCGCGAGTCCTAATAGAAAACGCGTAGCTAATAGTGAGTGATAATTTTGCACAAAGCCTTGGCCGATTGTCACCACTCCAAAAACAAAAACGCATGACGAAAGCCAGAACCGAGGCTTAAGGCGTTTCAAGAGCAGATTGGATGGTATCTCAAAGATGATAAACGGAATGAAAAAGACGGTTAAGGCAACATTAGGTTGTGACCCCTTGAGTCCCAGCTCATCTGGTAGCCCCAGTGTGAGTGCATATGAGATGTTGACACTAACGGAGCGGTTAGCATGTGCCAAGTGTCAGTAAGGATCGGTGCAGGACTAACCGATCGAGGATTGATACAACATATACAATAAAAAGTATAGGCAGCACACGAAAGTCAATTCTTCTGACTAACTGTGCCTCGTCGATCGGGACCGGAGCTACAACATTGCCCGCTGAAATTGAGTCCAGGCTCGCAGAGTCGGGATGGTCAGCTGAGCCGCCGAGAATGCCTTCTTTGGGCTGATGGTCCATACTGTGTCAGATTGAAATGGTGTCACACAATGAACTGGTGGGTTAGTCCTGAGGATAATGCCGCTGCCTGATGTGAGTGAGTCGAATCAGAATCTGGATGATATGTTGTAACTGCCGCCTGCAAAACGTGGAGAGTGCAGTGATGTACTAAGAGGAGAGGGGAGAAACAAAAGTTGGGGCGGGCGGCATTCGGGGTGAAGTTGCAAACTAGGGTCACAATTCGCAATCTGAAAGAGGAGAGGAGCTGCATTAGTGTGTCTGACATGAAATAAGGCTCTGCTTATCTTCGCGCTCTCTCATGATCTGTTTTGGTTTGCTTGCCTACCTCATATACGTACGTGTACGAAGCATGGTCTCTTTTCTCTTGTGTTACAGTCTACTGACTGCCTCTGGGTGGGTGGAGGAGCTAACCATAGTTACCTAGGGATTGAACATGTATGCAGGCTGGATATTTCTCCTACAACTCTGATAGAACTCCTTGTATCATGGTCGCTCTACGTTGAGCACTCCATCTCCTTAGATGCAACCATCCCGAAATGCTTTTCGTCAAGGGGGAGATAAGACATGTGCGAGAGGAGATAGACACTGTCACAGGCTAGCTCTAGTCACAGTGTTGCAGTATGGCTCGGCCGGAATCCTCGCCGATCACCACGAGGCTTGCGGCGAGGGACCTGGGGATATGCGCTTGATGAGCAGCATATTACTGGCAAAATGCATCGGTCACGCCGCGAATTGAAAAAGGGTCAACCCATCCCACTCTAAGACATACACCTAGATCTGTATTGTTGATAGTTAAGATATTATTTATGTTCAAATTACAACGAACTGAACACAGAGCCGAAGTAGAAAAGAATGGATAATGCTAAGCCCACGCCTGCCTTGCCTCCTCCTCCTGGCATCACATTCAACTTCGACCACCCCGCTTCCCTACGTCAGCAGTTCGACATAGGCATTGGCATCTCCATCCCACTTATCACTATATCCGTATTTCTTCGAGTGTATTGTAGGCTTTGGATTAAGAAGACATGGATACTCGAAGACTGTCAGTCGCAAGCAGTTACTTCCTCTGTACATGTCACTGATCCAGTCACTAGGGTTCCTTCTTACTGCTTGGGTGACGGTAATAAGTACGTGCCATCCTCTTCTGACTTACCACAAATCCGTTTTAGGGTTTCCATTATCGTGCAAGCGTCCGCGCGCTGTTTGATATAAGCATTTGGTAATGAAGAAGAGCTTGCCGGGGTAAGGGTAAAGATCAGACTAGCTTCGGGAGACGCCGATAACCCCGCCCCTGGCTCAGCAGGAAGACTTGATGCAACTGACGCCGAGCCCCTGTCGAAGCTACCCCCTTGAGGCAGGGCAATCACCAGCATCTGGTTTGACACCACTCTGATCAGGTCCCCCAGCGAGGTATCGACCGTCCATGCTTCATGCTGCAAAAAGTTCTCCAATCGCCTGCGAACCGCGGAATGCAAGTCTGCTTGCAAGTCTGCTTGCAAGCCCCCTTCGTTTCCGGGCTTAATACTGAAGAAGGTGGCTTGGCCCGTTCCATTCCGGGTGTCTCGGGCAACTTCCTCTAATCCAGCTGGACCTTCCAATAGCCAGACAATAAATTCAAAGAAAATACACCCCATGGACCAAACGTCATAGAGCCTCGATCTGGGCGTGTTAATAGAAACCACGGCCTCGGGGGCTTCATATGTCATAGTTCCAATCCGCGTTTGCGTTGGCTGTGATCTGCGACTAGTTTGGTATTGGTGGCACTGGGCCTGCCCCATGTCGGAAATCTTCAATGTCCCGATTCTGCCCTGACGCCCATCTTCGGGGAAGATAAGAATGTTTTCCGGTTTGAGATCACCGTGCCGGAATCCTCCATTATGCATCAGGCAAAGGGCATGCATTAGACCCGTAAGTTGCTTGAGAACCTCCAACATGAATTCCCGGTTCAGCGGGCGCGGGTCCTTCACCCAAAATTCTCTCAAATTCCCTCCATTGGCCCATGGAAACAAGATGTAGTGTCTGTCACCTCGCGAAAAGGAACCGCTAAGTGTAACCAGATGGTCGTGATCAAAGTCGGCTAGCTTTTCAAGTATCAACACTTCCCGTTCAAACAAATTGACCGGCCCGAAGCCATCCGGCATCTCCGAGGTTGGACGGAGCTCCTTTATGGCTAAGAGCGTATTATTCCGATTCATCTATAAAGGATTAGTCTTCGATTGGTAATACTGATGGGAATTGCTGCAGCCTTACAGGAAATTGGGTGCTCCGATGACTGGGATGGATCTGCACCTGGTACACATCACTAAAGAAACTTGACTTGCGCGGTTCATGGCTGAAGGGTGGTTCAATGAATGGCAGAATACACTTGAGCTGGAGGTTTTGGGTGCGGCGGTCGTGTGAGAATACTGGAGCAAGAAATTTCCACTGCTCGTTATAAAACGTTCGCAGCATAACCATATCCCACGGTGAGCTGTGGAAGGCGTTGAAAGCAGGCGGATGATTGCATTCTCTATCGACATTGTTTATCTTGCAATTATGAAGGTCAATATCCCGAGTAATCGGGAGGTGAGCGTCCGTGAACTCGTACTGTTGCAGTGATTCAAGAGCAGGGATGATTTCCATGCCAGTAACAGCGAGTATCGCGAACACTTTCTTAGCTTTCATGATTACAAACTCAACAAGTGTCTGTATTATGCTATTGTCCTCAGTCAAGGATTTGATAACCCTTTGGACACTCTCAGCCGTGATTAAACTCTGAAAAGAGTCTAGCGGGAGGAAGTCTTGGTGATCAATGGCACTTTCGACGTATGCTTTCACAATAGATTCCCTAAAGTCATTCAGTATCGGGTTTGTATAACGTGGATTTTTATCTCCCGCCTGAGGCAGCAGTAAATTGTCAGGAGCCTCGCCTTGGCGCTTGACCATGTTGTCAAGGCTGTCAATAGTGGCCCTGTTCGAGTCGCTAGATCCCGTAGATAAAGTATTATCTCCGATATTTCGAATAGAAAGCAGAGCTAGTGATTTGAGATGGGCGGCAATGTGTCTTGTCATAGTGTCTAGGTTTTTCTGGGAGGTGCCTATGCAAGAGTCAGCTACAGATTTGAGCTGACTTGATATATGTTCTTCATCCGAGGTATTACTGTTACTGTCAAGTTTTCCTGCTCGTAGCACTACCTTACCACCCCCTGGGTGGTGGAAGATATCCAAATTGCACAATAGACAGACGCCATAGTCCCGACTTCGAGTGATAACACTGTGCTCAACCACCGAGGTCAACTCTTGCGATGTAAACTGATTCGGATGGGCCGATCTTATGTGGTGCCCAAGATCGCGTTTGTGGGTGAATTCCGAGCCGCATAAGTCGCAACAACAAATAGTGGTTTGGTGAACGGTTTGCGGCCATTCATGAGTGTGGTTGCTTTCCATATGTTCCCGCCATTCTTGAAACGACCCAAACTGCTGGCTTAGGTATGCACATTCTTCTGATACGCATACATATGGCTTCAGATCCCCCCAGAAGTGCTGTCTGGTGTATGTTAGCGCCCAGAAATTTCTCACTGGAGACGTGATAGGTTAGACTTACTTCCACCGATGGGGGCTGTTGAGATTTAGATCTTGAAGCGGTTCAGAACACCAGGTACAGATACGGGTCCCTTCGTGTGGCTGGGGAGGCCGTAGGTACAGTTCTGTAGAAGAAGAGGTTATAGAAACGCTTCCGGAGTCCTCGAAGGGAGTTGGTATATCATTAGGAGATGTAGCGTTTAAGTTACTTCTGGGACCAAGTGATGACTGCTCCGGTGTCTGCTGCTGGGTGAATTGTTCACCCTGCCGCCTTCGCTGGTCAAGGATTCGTCGCCGTCGGGAGACTAAAGAAGCTACTAACTGGGTTTTAAGAGCTATAGGAGTTTCGGGTAGCAAGCCTCCGACGAATAGATTCATAATTCGCTCGAAAGGAACATATTCGTCCTCCGTATTACTTGACTCTACTCGGTGATGAAGCATGGGTTCCCTATCACCGCACCGCCGTGTAGCGGGAGCTAGAAGATCAAGCCTTTCGATACCACCCTGTATAGCATCAAGAGCGGCTCTACTTGCTGGTGACAAATTGGAAGGTCTAGAAAGACCCGTAAAAACATAGAAAAAATGCTTCAATGTCTGTCTCGGAGATTCGAAGTCTATAACTGTTCGATCGGTGGTCAGCAGCGCTAGGCATTGTTATAACACATACGCTTAGGATTATTTACTTCGTCTCAAGTTAGTTTCAATCAGCTGTAGTAGTTGAATGATAAGTTCTTGTAGTTTTTGTTTGTTCCGTAAACGAGCATCCAGGCCAACCAAGGGATCTGCATTCGCGCCAACGGACCCAGCCCAGAGTTGAAGCCGCAGCTTGTAATCAAAAATAAGCTCTCTCCCTGCGGTCATAGTTCTGCGACTATTGACCTGGCTAGAAGCCCGTTTCTGTGAAATGCTTAAAAGATTCTCGAAATGATGATCGCATCGCTCCACGGATTGAAAAATCGGATACTCGTTACCCTCTATGCCCGACATCGCGATAGAGATGATGGATTCCGTTTGAAGTGATTAGGTGCCAGGGATGGGCGACGGGGCGGAAATTTGGAGGATATTCCCCTCAGCTAGAGAAGTAAGGGATGGAAGAACGTCTGATTGGTTCGGTAACGAAAATTCAATAATCCTGCAGGTGCGCCCCCAACACAGCCTCACTTCGGCCACCCCGGTGATCGTAGCCAAAGCAGGAGTGCCCCTTTAGATGAGCGATATGATGATAAGTCTCGCAGCCGCAACATCATTAATGGTTGTTGAGACAAGCGACTTGGTGTCGTCGTTTAGTCCTATTTCTTATGTAGTTAAAGACATTACTATAGAACAGCTTTCATGAGTTTGCGGTCAATGCCACACCAACTTGATAAAACAGTGCCAGAATGGCGTATCCTAGAAGATATCCTGCCACTTTTCAGCGCTGACCTCCCGTGGTGTGTTGCTGACACTGGATCGCGGGGCTTTTGGTCTACGATTATCCGTTTCTTGCAATGGCATCGACCACGGCAATCGGCAGCCATCACGACGGCTATTGAGAACGAAATAAACCTAAAAAATTTTCGGGCAGACTTAGCCACTATAGATGAGTACCATCCACATTACCAGCTACCTGATCACGTCTATAAGACTTGCAAGAAGAAACTGTCGGAGTTATTGTTAGTTCTCGAGAATCTAGTTGAAGACAGCGTAATTGAAGTCGCTAGTAAAACACAACCAGAAAACCAACAAGTCGCTAGTAAAATACAACCAGAAAACCAACAAGTCGCTAGTAAAACACAACCAGAAAACCAACAAGTCGCTAGTAAAACACAACCAGAAAACCAACAAGTCGCTAGTAAAACACAACCAGAAAACCAACAAGTCGCTAGTTCCGAAGAAACTCAATCATGGCTGGATTTACAATCTTGGGCAGAGACGCCTTTTGTCCAAGCAGTCACACAGTTCCTTCCGTTGAATCATATCTCAGCACAGGCACCACGTCTATCACCCCGAGCATCAATTGACCCAGAGGCTGCACGCTTAACTCCTCAGTTCCAGAAACTTGAAATACTTAGCCTCATCGTTCAGGAATGTTCGAACCCCAAGGAAGATATCACTAGCTCGTGTGTCAAGTTCATAAAACTGAAGCAGACGCCCAGTCAGTTCCAGGAAGTTGCAAAGAAAGCCAATGTCGCTATGAGGTGCCTTGTTGATATTGCAGAGAAAGATTCTCGAAATCAATTCAGGATACGAAAGACGCGGAAAATTCCAATTTTGAATTGGAAAAATCCTATGCCATGGGAGACTACCTATCGACTCTTCAACATGCTCTTAGACAAGACCTGTCTTGGTCATGAAGCTAGATTTCAGCTGAATGGTTTCAAGATAGATAGTGAGGGTGAAAACTTACCTTTAGATGTCTTCATCTCCTCCTGTCCGCATAAGGATCCGCCTGTGGTATCGCCCTCCTGGCAAGAAGGGCGATACACCTATCACATGGAGTATGTTTCACCGTCGCAATTATGAACCCATGGGCTCCTATTAATACTATCATTTAGTGAGATAACCCCTCCCCGTGGTGAAATGACGATTATCAACGATCTGTGCTTCTCCAGCCCCAGCCATCGGCAAAGCGAACATTTACCCCCGGTGTTAAATATTCGTGTCATTGATTTTGACAAATTAAACAACGCCTATGAACGATGGCGTCCGACCGAGCACTCTATTCGTCTTGGCGCAACACCAACTATATCACTTGCTCACCTCCTCGACAATGGATTTTTGAGAGATGTTCGCGACGGAGGTGTATTTAATGTCGGTGATAAGGCAGTTCTGGCATTGTCGCTTGGCCGTTGCCTCTTACACTGCTTTCAGGGACTTTTAATGCAACAGGAATGGTCGTCGCACAATATTCACTTTCTTCACCAACGCACTACCTCCACTGAAGCTATCTTCAACATCCATCATCCTTATGTAGCTTGTCACTTTCCAAAGACAAAGGAAGAGAGAGAGCGTGTTTCAGGGTATTCGACGTTTCTCCAGAACGATGCGCTGCTGAGATCTGCAGTGAAGCCTAAGGATTGTGAGCTCTCTCTCTGGTCATTTGCAAGGCTTCTTCTTGAGATCGATAAAGGACAAAGAATACCTCTGCTTAGTGAGCCAGAAATCTTTCAATCCTTTAACGACCTGAACAGGTATAGCGGATTCCATTATTCAAGAGCCATTGATGGCTGTATGAATTTCACGAGCTCACTCCACCGAATAAAAGGGGAGAACCCGGATCTCTCCGATGTCCGTGAGGTTCTTTATGACGAAGTTTTGCATCCCCTCGAAGAAAATATCAATTCTTTCTCGTGTGATATTCTCAGTGTCATTGCGCGACGTGATGTTGAACTCAATGGCTCAAGTTCGGAGCCGCTCCAAACTACCCTCGCTATTGAAGTCAGACACGAAGCCCCGCAAGGATCAACGACGGAAAGGATCGCGCTATTAGACACTGGGGCAGATGCGAACATGATGACAGAGGCCTGTGCCGGATTTTTAGGATGTACGGTATCCCCCTATACCGGCAGAGGCTACGATACAGTGAATGGAGATATCTCGCCCACACGAAAAGTACAGGTTGAATTTCGCTCATGCAAGTCAACAAACTGGCACCGAGAAGAGTTCCTCCTCCTAAAAAGTTCACCATATGATATGATATTAGGCAAAAATTTTATCGACAGATATGATATCTTCATATTTCAAGATCACCTATTGCCCATTCAAGGTACGGCAGCATTATCAGCTTCCCAAAATAGTTTCAGCTCAGCTAACATTCGACATATTATAGAAAAAAAAAAAAAAGGATAAATAATCCAGGAAGTGACTTCTGAACGAATCAAGACAGTGATCGAGGGTTACGTGATCTGTTGACATGTTTGTCAAAAGAGCTCTAATTGAGGGCTTGAAATTCAGTATATTAATAGAAAGTAAACTTTTGATAAAGCTCTGTATGTGGCCTTGCTTTTTAAGGGAGGACCTCTACCCATCTGTATTCTAAAGCTTTCGCTCAACATTCCCTTGTTCGTATACAAGACTTTTATCGGGTTTCATGATCTTTATTCCTGAGTGAAAGTGAAGTCGTGCGCAGGTTTACTGTCCCCTGCTAGAGGTCTCTATGCGCAACCCCCCTCAGGTCTCTGTTACAACGTTGCCGTTTCAAAGCATCTCTAACGGGGAATCCGTAATCAACTGGAATTTCATTCTGGGGTTTGAATAAAGTAATATATTTCTACCGAGTAGGATTTTAGGTATTTCATGCGCTACAAGGTGTATCCGTACTACCAACAAATACAACTTGAACTGCGGCGAACCTGCGGAATATCAGCGCCCTATACTAGATATGGATTCGATGAGTAACACTATCAAAACTTACGCTGAGGAGGCCATGAAGATTTCCACGCGGCGGGCATTGGACGTAAACAGTAGAGCTAGAGAAAAGAGAGACGTAAACACCACAATAAGCCCCAATCGTTTCAGCATATTCTCGACGAAGTAAAGAATGGGAATGGAGACAAGCGGGAATGCGGTCGACAATAAAGTAGTAGCTGACGTAGCAAATCTCACGATAGTAGAGCTTTTATAGTCAAAAAGATCTTCTTCGCCTTCTCTACCGTGTACGGGGCTTTTCCATCGATGCGCCCATCGGTTATGAAAGAAACCAGGTATTACACGGAAAAGCCAGCGAGTAAGAGGATCACTATCGTCCGCTTGCTTTTGCAGCGCTACGAAGTCAACTTGTTCAACGTCCCAAGTACGTTTCTCGAAACCTCGTAAGAACATGTTGCCATAAGCTGGTCTTTGCAGCCATTCCCGAAGAACTCCGATATTACGTTCTTCGGGGCGCGGGAGAGCATTGAGTTGAGCCTGTGTAAGTAAAGAAGCATCTGTTGAGTTAGTCGAAGTTCTGTCCTGAGTCGATAGGCCGTCAGCTTACAGTACTTTTCTAGCTTCTCCCTTACTTCCAACAGCTTCGATCGTTGCAGAGAATCGCCGCCTGTTCGAGAACTGTCTTCCATTGCTTTCCAATTACTCTGATATGACTGTCTGACAGGATCTGTAGACTCCTTATCTTCTTGATAAATCTCCTGCAATTCTTGCTCAAGATGTACTATTTCGGCTTGCATGTGGAGTAGACTCTGTAGGTTCAACATGCGAAATCGGCGGAAGATTGCCGTGTCGCCATAGTTGCCCATCAGCGACGCAAGACCCCGATAGTCTGCGGTCTTGCTACACATATTAGAGTCCTGGTTGACTGTCATCCTCGGACCTATCATAAAAGTGACAAGTTAGATAGAGATATGGAACATAAGTCTTTCGAGAACTGATTTAGCTGGAGTTCGACAACGAACGAAATTGCTTACCTATACTACCCCTACTAGCGGGAGATACCACTCAATTAGACGTATTGTAACAGTCGTTTCTAGTACTTCAAGTACAATAATGATCTGGGTAAGAAATGAAGTACTATTAAATACTTTGATTTTATTGGACCGCATCCATAGCCACTATGCAGATTGTGGGGTTGCTTTTGTCACAATCCTCCAAAACAGAATTAAGGAAATAGAACCCACCAGCCTCACTATATATCAGTCCGTAGAGTGGCTGTGTCCGCATGATCAGCGGGGATTCCAAAGTTTTCCACATCATGCGTTTAATTTCCATTGCCATATAGATTTGCCATCGGCGACCGTCCGCCGGGAGGATGCCACACGTTCTTCTTTAATTCGTCCGCTTCAAACAAGAGTTAAGTTACACTCGAAAGGCTGAGCTGCATGGTGGCTAGCCAGAGGCAGTGAACCTCGCCCGACTTTTCTTCACCGAAATGACGTGGGCTTGGATATGAGTCTACAAATTAAACTAAGGCCCATAAGGCTCTCCGTCTTATGTAATGCATGGATATTAATCCAACCCACCCCCAGGTAGACAGGGGCGGGCTACCCTCGGCGGATCGTTTAGATACACCGAACATGCATTTCTTCTCTACAGCCGTATGGTGGCAAGGCAGATTTTTGGAGAGGCAGTGAGCACTTGGTGGCGCTCATTGGGAGAGGAGTAGCTTTGATTCGTAGCCAGCGGCTTTATCAAAAGCAGGCTATGACCAGCCACTGACCAGGTACGCTACGGGCAGTTATTTAAACCTCCCTCAGTGCGCAGGGTGCCAACTATCTAAAACATGAAGACAGAAGATTCTCGGCAATAGAGCATCGTTGAGAATGCGTCTTTGCTTTTTTTCATCAGTCGCAAGCATATCATATCACTACTTTAAGCCTCAGACATCAAAGGCTTGCTGCAGTCCATGCAATAGGAATTTCAAGCGTACAAAGTCTCGGGCGCCTTCGTGAAACGTAATAACACATCAGCAATGGCTTCTGGGCCCATTGACAATGAACACACGATGGAAGTGTCATACAAGCTCGACATAGATATCTGGAACCACGATAGATCAAAACCTTACGAACAAATTGGATATCTCGATACCCAAGCCGCTGCGAACTTCATATCACAGGAAATGTCAGACTTTCTAGGACATGAGAGAATGCAATACGATGGACCAGGTTTCTTCGGAGCGGGGAACCCCGATGTAGTTCCAATCGGACAAATCAATAACGTCTATTTCACTTGGAAAAAGTCGCCAACCCGAAAGTTGCACCAAGAGACGTTTGTTGTTCTTAAGGAGCTGCCGTATAATATTATTCTAGGAATGGCATTCCTTAAAACCCACAAAGCCTTGTTACTCAATGCGGCGCTGTTACCCCTAGCTCTAAAACCTGCATCGAAAAGTAAGTTCCGGCTCCCCACCTTACGCTATATATCGCATGTAATTAATCCAATTGGCGCCATAGTAGAGAAAAATATTATGCAACAGAGCAGAGAGGCTAACAAGGCTCAACAAGAGGCCGATGAAGAAGCGGAGAGAGCCAAGGGACGGGAAGAGAGAGAGAGACAGCGACAGAAACAAGCACAGGTGCTTCAAGCTAAGGATCAGAGCGTTGTCCTTACGAAGTAACAGGAGCCCCTGCAGCTCTGAAATTCTTTTCCTAAGGGAAAGGATATTTGACATCTCCATTTCCTTGATTGCGTATTCTATTTATATTTTTCATAGCAAAGTCGAAGGCTCTAGTCGTGCGTAGTGGGATAGAGGAATAGGACAAGACTACCAAATGTCAAATGTCTCATGAAAGCTCTGTGAAGTGTGGTGCTAGCTTAGTTAGCATTCCCCAAGTACGTATACTACTGTACGTTGTAGCTCAAACCCCACCCGTGACAGCTGCGCATGCGTCACCATGCTAAGCGTAGCGATAATCAATTGAGGTGTAGTGCAAGGACCTACGGGAGGCTTTGTTATTAAAGAACTCCTTTTACTTTACTGTATTACTTTAGTTAATAGCATTGATCGACTATCAAAGACAGTATAGTTGTAGCAATTGTAGCACCTTCCACCTATTTGGATTTATCCACAAGGCCAAGTGCCCAGAAGTTTTGGCTGTACATGAGCATACTTTTCCTTAGTAGTGGAGGTAGTATTCCTAGGTAGGTAGGTAGGTAGGTATATCTGACACCAACACCTTTCGCTGACTTGCGGCTCTATCTCTTAATATCGTCACGCAGCACCACTGAGCTGGGCCCACAAGAAACTCTTCTGGCGGGTAGTATTTGTACTTGAAAAACTTCCGTCCTTCTCTATCTCACGATTAATATACGCTTAGCGCCCTAATTGAGCCTTGCCTCATAGTGAAACGCCATTCGTAACACGTATTGTCTTTACAACTAAGAAGCTGGCTTTTGTTCCTTAGGGAGGGGGCAGTAGCTAGAAAAATGATCGACAGACTTGAGTGATCTCACTATGTTGAGAGTGATTAACAATAAGTGCTACTATTGTGCATGCATGGTGACTGGCTTGCCAGACTGCTTCCTGGCCTGCTTGCCACCCCTGCTTCATGGTGCGTTCTAGATTATCAAGGGCCCCTTCTATAACACCAATTTTCGGGGCACACACGAGAGGCATTCGCATTGAAATTCAGCCACCCACCACCCTTTTACTGTACTTATCTTGTGTTTCAGTAATGTAATTTTTATCGTTCTGTGTATAGACTTCACTAGCAGGCAGTCTCAAGCTGGTTTTAATAGCTATTCCCCCTCGGTTAAGAGGCGATGGTAGCTTAATACAGGTAATATACACCTATTCGCTGAGTGCATGCCCTAGAATATTGTAGACAACCTGCTTCCCAGCCTGCTTCCCAGCTGAACAGACTTGCATGAAGCAATATTGGAGGCAATGTTTGGGGTAAAGAAATGCACCTCGCCGTCTGCCCCTATTATGCTGGCTCGTTAAAAGAGAGATAAGAAATTGACTGCTACTGTATTTTGACAGTAATAGCATTGGCTCTAACACAATCGTCGGTCGGCGTCAGACAATGTTGACATCCCATCATCTCGGAGAAAGCATCTTTTAGTGCCAATCGTGTTTGTGGTGGCTGACGTCTTCACCCTAGTTGCAGCCACCGCTGTAAAGTATGTGTACTCCAACCAGAGCTACCTCGTCAGTGATCTGATGATGGCTTGACTCCAGTATAAACGAAATTATTGATATAACGGGTATCGGTGGTATTACAAGACCATCCAACCAAAGTTGCCTCGTCATCCACACCCTTGACTTGACCCGATCTATGTATGACCCCTCCAATGTCATTGATTGGATAAGATGAGTGCAGGGTTGACCGTTAGATAGGTAGCAAGAGTCCTATAGAGGCTTAGAAAGCATGAGTGTTACACGTGTAACCTCTGTACCGGTTGAAGAATGCAGTTCGCCTTGCACTTCGGCCGTACGAAGGACCATTGCAGGCTGTTCATGACCTTCCAAGACATGCAGGCAATATTGGAAAGTGAGGTTATACAGACTTCGCTTCTTGAAACAGACCCTAGAGACCCAGGCGGTCTAGGCTGGCAGATCATTTGTATATAGAGTCATCTCAAGCCACCAACAGCCGAGAAGGAGTTGGTTGGTCAAGGACTACTGCAGCCCTAGTAGATCATTGTAATCAGAATCCTCAGTTCCAAGCCCAGTTTATCTGCCCTTGTTATACCTTACCAATTGAGTAGTCATCGATCCTGCCCGCGCCAATGCTACCAATTCTCCATGATGATGTTGGAGATCTGTTCTTATTTTCGCCAGTGTATTTTCAATGTCGCATTGACTTGTTGGAGATTCTGTTCCATGAAGGCCGGAGTGTAAGTCGGTATATTTGGCAAGCACGTCTTTTTGCTTGATGATAACAGCTGTCGCTACAGCCACTTTGTCGCTGAGAGCTGCGGCTTCCTGTACATCTGCAAAAACCATTTTATAGTCATCTAAGTACGTCTCATCGATACGCGATGAATATACTTTCGTCTCCTAAGAAGTGGTAAGCTAAATTTTGATCGAAACTCTGGGAAAGATAGCTTTACATATCGAGAAAGCTTCTGGCGCAGACTCTCGATATACGATCGCCAGTTTCTAGTCGCTGAAGAAATAATAAAGAGATGAGAGGTAAAGAGTTGCATCGCTTTGCAAGACTCTCGAGCTGAGTTCTTCTCTTCCTTAAGTGCAGCTTCTATCCGCTGATTCATGTAGTCCGAATAGTTCAGCACGAGCCACGTGGATTGCGTCGTGGAGTGGCATCTCTGATATACGCCAGTCTGTCCCAGCGACCAGGGATTACCTCGACCCCGCCAATTCAATTCAAAGTAGCGGATGCTATAACATAATTCTACTTGTTTAAAAGTTAGAAGAATGTGGTCGCGCCGGCACCCTATAATTACTACGGCGGGGTCGAACCCTGGATACTTCATTCCCTACACCAGTACCTATTGTTCTGGGTTAATCTTCAACGGCTTGTTACATATATGAGTTAATCACGTACTAAAAGTACCCCACGCAAGGGTTTTCTTCGCCAATCCTATACTCGTAGAGGCGTAAACGGTAGTAAAATGCCCAACTATAGGCTTTCAGAGCAGGTACGAATCACTGCCCAGGTAGCCAATCAGTATGATTAGACGTCGTGCAATCAGATGCAATATCTATGAACTATGAGGTCGAGCTCCATCGTGGAGCTCCCCGCACAAGACAGCCGATGGAGAGAAGCTGAGGGATCTGTCAAAAGTTGACAGAGAGTAGTATGGTGTTGAAAGGTGGGGTGATAGTAGATGGCCGATGTTACATACGAGAAGCCACTCGATCGATCCTGCATATGAATGCTGGAGGCTCTTCCTATCGGCACAAGAGATCTCTCTGTCTCTAGCGGCACATCAAGCTTTGCCAAGGTTGGTGGTGGCGGCCCCGCGTCGACCTGCCTAAATCTACAACATGTACGTAGGACAGTCAACCTCTTGTTACCTAATATGTATATTTTCCTCTTCCTTTTCCCTCACATTCTTGCACGAATTAGAACCGAGAACCGAGAGCCAGGAGCCGTCACTAATGACTTTCAACGCTGACAGTCGAGGACCGGTAGCTTTTCTTGGCGTGTTAGCTTCCCGGACTGATGCATGATCTGTCACGGGTGGTTGAAGAAAAGACCAGCCCAGACCTGATTTCTCGTTCGATTGTCTCGAAACCATGATACACATGGCTGCCCATACTCTTCAAATATCAAGATCTATTATAATGAATAGGCTATATGTAATAAGCGGGCTTCTAGAATTAGGTAAGCTCGTTGTGCTTGACAAAGCTATGAGAAAATACAAACTTTACTAGAGCCAATCAGCTTCCATGTAAATGTCAAAACTCGGCATCTAAGCTGACGACAGTCATCACGGTTCCGCCACTTACAATTCGGCTTCCGCTTCAACGCCATACATCGCTACAATTTCTTGTTTGGGAACTTGTTCATACTTCACAGAATAGTCGAAAGGATTGCGATAATCTGTCATGTGCTTTAGCAGCGGTAAAGGCGAGTCCGATACAGTAACAACGTGACACTGTCCTTCTAAGCGAGTAGCGCAAGTCGTTCGATGATATTACGATAGATGCGCTTCAGTATGGTGATAGTTAGGAACAGAGGTCGTGACCATCGGCTCAGATCGTTCGACGGCCATACCGATGTACGCGTTGTGGTGTTATGGCAGTTAGGAACAGGTCGTGAGGTCAGCTCAATTATTTAAATGACCAATTCCCCGTCTGAACAGAGATCTAAAAGTTTTCCAGATCACCATCAAATCTCAGCGTTCTATCGTTCAGATTAAATATCAGCCATTCGCCACCCCTCGACTTGCTCATCCAGAATCGTTATCTCTATTCGTCAGAATGCTCACCAAAACTAGTATTGTCTTTGCCTTCCTCGGCCTCGCTGCCGCTATGCCTTCCCCTGCGGTTGCTGAAGAGGCTACTTCTGAGCTTGCGGGCCGCGCTAGCCCCTCGTCCGAGTTTGTCACTTGGTCCAACGGTGACTGTACTGGGACCGGGACACGCCAAAGCATCACGGATAGCGGTTGCCATTACCTACCTGGCCAGAGCCTTAGCATCCTCTCTTTGAGCCCCAACTGCGCTGGTATGTTTGCTTGCAACCATAGCATTTTCCAGTCTTTTTGCCCTCTTCCGTTCAAATTGTGACTGACATGGTGCAAATAGTCCGTACTTGGCAGAACGACAATTGCAGTGGTGCTTGGTCTCAGCACGTAACCCTTGGCGCGTGCTTCCATATCTCGGACAAGTTCGGCGTCTCAATTATCTGCTAGTTCTGTGATTGCACGAGCAGCTCAAGATGAGCGGGCACACAAGGAAATTTGTCTGGGAGATGTATGGGACCAAGGTCAAGACCTGTTCAACTAGGCTGTCCATTCTTTACTAAAAGAAATCTTGTGGTGGCAAGCAAAGGGTTAAGGCTATTTCTATTTGTCACGATCCTAGGGCTCTTTCAGACAGATAAACTTGCTGTATTTACCTCTAGCCTACGCACGAAGGTTTCTTCGAAATGTTCGCGGAATCACTGTCGACATACAGTAATTACCCACATGACTAGAATTCTCGCATAATCCCAAGTGAATCCGCTGCCGTCTAGAGAGATAATAGTTTTTGATATTAATGAAACGTAGCGGAAATTTTCGCTCATAAAGGTGAAACGAGTTCACTTGTATATTAGTTACTCCTTCCCTGTGTCAGACTGTCACAGACCTAAGCGAAGCCTAATTTCCGACCTACAACAAACTTCAAGCAATAGTGTATAATAAGCTAAATAAGGGAATAAGGGGTAAGAATTAGAACTTCCCTCCGGGTGTAATAATAGAACAATTACTTGCAACCACAGCAGGACAGGACTGTGACAGACTAAGTTACCCTGAAATGACTTCCCACTTGCAATCCTACTATATGTCAGTAATAACTACGTGATTGTTCCATTTTTCAATATTGCATGCGTGGACATGGACATTAAGTTCATATAAATCCCTATCATAGGAGCACAATATACGTATATACACATCTCATGATTGTCCAGCGGTATTCTCGGCCATCCCCTGTCCACTCAGCCAGTGACGTTGAAGTAGTTCGCGGCAATGGGGTTGCTGAGCCCTGCAGCAGTGATGAATTTCGGCACGTCGAATCCGAGCTTCTGGCTCTGCAGCATGGTGCTGGCCGCGCTGGGAACTTGCCAGTTGGCTGGCTGCACCCAGAGCAAGTTCGTGTAGCGGTGCGGATGGGGGGGATTTTCGGCGCCTGGGGCAGGGCCAAACCAGGAAACCGGACCTATGATCATAGCTATTAGAGTCCATTCTTCTCAAAAATGCGCGATGGAATTTATTATTGATTCTGAAACAACAGGTACAGAATCTTACCAGTTGCAGTGGTTTTCAGAGTGGTAATGCCCGCGGCGGATGGAGCGCCACTGGCCTTGAAATCACGGAGCACGGTGTGGAGGTAGGTGGCGGGCTTTCCGGCACTGGGGTTGAGGAAGTTGGTTGATCTAAAATCGTCATTTCCTTGTCAGCGATAAAACCGGAGGGTCATTTGTTAACATGTGCCGAAAGGTGCGGGATTCATACGCGTCAAGGTCTGTGATAGCAACGTTAGTCTTTATAAGGGAAGGTTATGTATTCAGGTCGTGAGAATAGACTTACCAATCATCATCCAGATATACGTTTCGTTTGCAGGTCCTGAAATACCGATAGTAGGTTGTCGAGCGGTGTCTGCCTTGGTCAGTGCCTGGCCGCCTGTTGCCACGTTCTTGGTGCCAAACGTGACTTCGAGCTTCTCCGTAACGGCCGGTGTGAATCCTGTCGGAGTCTGTGCAGACGTGACTCCTGCTAACAGCAGAGCGGATACGATGTTGGTGGCTTTCATTTTGTCTGTTTTTTGACGTTCACGGACTCTGGAGTAAGTTGCAAGTCTTGCAAGAGGAGGGATTTGGGGTCACAGTTCTCTACATTATATTCTTGTCATTGATTCATATGGAACTCCCCGTGTAAAACGATCTCTCCGCGCTTCATTGCCTTGTATTTCAATCTACAGCCGGCCAATCTGATGCGGCTCAAATAGGGGGGGCGAGGTGGCTAAATAGAATTTCCTGTTCTGGTGCGGTACTTTGACTGCTTTATCTAATCTACCGGCTTGGCTCTTTACTGTTTAAAAATTTGGTATTTCGCGATTCCTTTGCAAGCAGCTGCATGCCTTAAATCGCTGAGATGATCGGTCTATACAAGATCGATGGATCTGCCGATTGGTGGGGTGCATTCAGCTACCAGAAACCAATGGAGGATTGGTCGCTCAGATGACTTGATACAGAACCACTAGATTACTGCATGATTTGCAATTGTTTCATTTACAGAAGCCAATAGATCTGTCAATAGGATAATTTCGTTGAGATGGTGAGAGGAATGCCTCTTGTGAAGATGTGAAGATGTGCATCCGTGGAGAAGTATGAAGGTCACGGTTTGATTGTTAACCAACGTTTTCATCGCCATGAAAGTGATTATATGCCTAACATCGTAGATGACCTAGTCTAGACCTAAAAACTTAGATCAGTATAATTTATTGTCATTTTTAAGTCAGTATCTCAAGAAGAGGATAGTGTATATTTTGAAATTATAAAAATTTGAACGCCATTGGGGACCTGTATCATATAGGACATTACTCTTTATCCAAGGCGACTTGTTAAAATTCTTACACTACGTCTCACATTGAGATTTGTTTGACATCTCAGAGCTTTCAGGATCGGTACCGAAATTATTTGCGCCGAGAATTGCAAGTAATGCGATGATTAGAGACGAGATCCCGCACCAGTGTTTCCTTTCGGAGGAGTGTGCGCTGCTCATTGCATTGTGTAAGAGTCCTGACGCTCGTTACGCGTATCAACGTTCCATTGAAAACATGTGACCCGAAATCTAGCACTAGAGAAGGATTATCGATAGTTAGGATGGACCGCACAACTTCATAGCGTAGGGGCTGAAATTACTGTGTCCGACGTTGATGAGGAACTTGTCCAGATGATCCTGTCCTTTGAACAGCATTGATATTAGTACTTACATGACTGCGAAGATCTGGGATGGCGCTAGCAGCTACTCTGCGGAATATTCCGGGGCACAGGGGGCACGATAATTTGGGGACGTGATTCACTTAAGACACGGCGACTGCTTCGTCCTACTCCTAGCTTTGACGGAAGATGTCGAAGTCGTTCATGTTGGGAAAGGATTGGGTTTTCAGTGATTATTGCTTATACAAGCTTTATCCACGTTTGATGTACCCGGCTGTCAGGCTGAGCCGCTGGACCATCTCTCCTTGTATTATTTCGTGAACATAGTATTGCCCAATTACGCGGCATGCGTCACTTTCGACGTGCCTTCAAATATAGGGTACGTTGGCTCCGTACAGGATACAAACGATGTCGCCCTCATTCGCATTCATTGTCTCGGGCCTGATACCTCGAAGCCTTGCCCGGCGTGGCTTTTAAGGTGTGGTTTTGGGTTTATCACTGGCAAACTGGTGAATTGAGTGTGGCGTTGATGAGCAACATATAAAGTACTAGGTAAGTACGTAGGTACCTATGTACATAGTAGGTATTGCTAGCGTTCATATACCCCACTTCTGCCCACTAACCTACCTAGACCCTGTCGCCTGTCTGGGCCGGGTCGAGATTCCCCTCGCTAGACCCTGTTGGTGTATTAGACCTTCTTGTCTCGGCCGATGGGGATGCTGTAGCCCATGTCATTGTCATCATGTTCTTATCACATTGCACAGAGGGAGGTAGCTTGATGTGACGCGAGCTGCTGCTGCTGTTGCTGCTGCTCTGGGCAGTGATATGCGCGCATACATGGGTAGGCAGGCATAGGGTAGGGGTAGCTGTTGCCGTACCAAGCTGTGTTGTATTGAGAGAGACATCGTCGCTACTCGAATGTTTTGCTCCTCTCGTCAATATCCACTGTTAGCTACCGGCCTTCTTCATTCCTGTCGGTTGCCTTTGCCCTCGTTTCTTTGGATGCCTTATCAATTGGCACTTCTCTGGACAGTCTAGTTTAGCCAGACAATTCCTCATATACTTGTTCCCTCGGTAGATATTTAACCATACAGCATCGCATCATGAAGAGCCGGTTGCTGGTGCTGTCCGGCCTTTTCGCTGGTGTGGCTTTGTCTCGTGACGGCTCGGGCTCCGGCGCCGTTCATCCCTTCGCGAGATACAAGGCCCTTACTGCAGCCACCACCGAGGCGCCCGCTGCGCCCACGCAGTCAACGCTAGAATGCTTCCAGGTCGCTGAGCCCGTGCTGACGGATGCCGGCCTGACACGGCGCGACATAAGCCAGTCACCGGCCTTCGTAGCAGCCGATCAGGCGCCGATTGGGCCTGAGGATGATGAGGAGCTAGTAGAGGCGGCGTGTACGGTGGTGTTGATGCAGCATGTGTTTGAGAATAGCTATGGGGCTCCTTATGTCGGTATGCATTGGACTACTCAATTCGTATTCCTTCAAATTGCCCTTAGGACTACGCGCAGAATCACAACCAAGCTGCGTCAAATGGCTTTAAGAGGCGGTGATTAGTTCCGTACTGATATGTGACGCAGGTTCATATACCCCTCCACCATGCGATTTCGACCATGTGACCATTAATTTCACAACCACCGTCAAGGGTAGGCAATATGATCGCACAGGCGTCATGTACCTCACCGACAACGAGGTCTGGCGTACGTCGACGGCGGAGCCAACAAGCTACGGAATCCGGTGGGAATGGCTGAAGGACATGACGCCTTTCTTGTCGCTCTGGAAGAAGCCACAGACCTGTCAGTACTTATTTGTATCTCTCATCATTATACATAAAAAGCGGTAATGACTAATCCCGTATTTTAGTGGTATTTGACCTTGAAAACATTGTCGACAGCACTTATACAGGTCTTCTCAGCACCACGCTGACGGCGACATTCTACAAAGCCGCGGGGAAGACCAAGGAAAGCCACCCACCCGCTGACTTGATCATCCCAATCTCTCAGCGCATCGGCAACGGCGGGAAGCCTAGTCAGTTCGTGTATCCAGCTTCGCCCGCGAGGAACACGCTGACCAACTTCCCGCGCAACGTGAACCGCGCTGTATTCACGGTAGACGTGAAGGGGCAAGGCAATGAGGAATTCTGGTGGAGCAATGTCCCTCAGAGCGCAGCACACGCTTTCGAGGCCACATACGGCGAATACCCGGGTTACTCACCCTTCCGCGAGGTCCAGGTGCTCATCGACGGGCATCTCGCAGGCGTGTCGTGGCCTTTCCCCGTGATCTACACAGGCGGCGTGGTACCGCAACTCCACCGACCAATCGTAGGGATCCAAGCCTTCGATATCGCCGAGCACGAGATAGACATCTCGCCCTTCCTGCCTCTCCTCTGCGACGGGAAACAGCACACTTTCGAAATCAAGATCGTGGGCCTCGTCGACAACGGCGCATCAAGCGCCTCGCTGTCCACGACCACAGACGATGAGTGGTACATAACAGGGAAGATCTTCGTATGGCTCGACGACGAGGGCTCCATCACCACAGGGACAACAGGTGTTTTCGAAACATCCTCGCCGAAAATCTCGCTCAAGCAACATCTCACGCAAAATGCTACGGGCTTCAACGAGAGTCTCGAGTATGATTTCTCTCTAGAGCGGAAAGTACACATCTCTTCACAGGTGAAAACGCAGAAGACCAAGGGCACTGTGTCATGGACGCAATTCCTCACGTATACTAACACCGGCGGCGTGGCGAGCTACGGGAACTATAACCTGAACAAATTCCTGATCTCAGGCACTGATTCCGCGAGTGGCCCGGGGGTGACATACGCCACGAAATACGCGTACCCATTATTCGCTAACAGCACGTACAACGTCGGCGCCGACGGAAGCGTGAGTCTCTGGGCACAAGTGGACCAAGGGCTACAAGTAGAAGTTCGCGGCAACGCCGTGTTTCCCACCGGTATTGAGGGTTTCGTGGCCACAGGCGCTTTTAAATCGGGGATGGGAAAGACGGGCTCTATCACGAATACATGGCGCAATGGTACGGCGAGTTATTACCGGCCTGGCAATAATAGCTTTAGCAGAGGCGTGGGGCAGACGCATCAGGTGTATTCGTTCAGCGGGATTCGTTCTAATGGGGGTGTGCAACAGCTGTATTTCCGCGACGTGAGCGCGTTTAACGACACTGTCACGGCGGATACTGCTGAGATTGCTGGGAGATGATGGTATGAGACTTGGGTGTAGATGGCTACCTTTAAGTACGACTAGGATATAGTAATATTGGATATCATTAACGAAGCGCGCAGACATAGTATAGTCATGACACGGCGTATTGTGAAATCCCCTGCATACGATACACACATCCGCGGTATGTACTATCGCTTGTAAAAGTCCCCCCTACCACCTCATCCTACCCTCTCCCCCTCTCATACCTCTAACTATCGACCGCCTCTCAATCCACAAACCTCATAGCGCCACATCGCGAAACCGAGCACCGCGCCCCAATCCGATCAGGATGCCCCTCGAGCCCCTCCATCGCGAAACCCGACGACCCCGTGTAATTGCTCCCGCAGACGTCCTGCGTCCCCGCCTTCGAGCACTCGCCCATGTAGTGCGACGGCGTCGGCTGCGGCTCGTCGAAGGTGTACGGCGCCTTCGCGATGCAGCAGCAGCAGAGCGCTAAGGTCTTCACGCGCGGGGTCGTTGCGCGGGGTTCGAGCTCGGGGACGGATGGCTCTGTCATTATGGATGGAGTGGAGGAGGATATAAGGGTGGATGTGGATGTAGGCGTGCTTGCCCAGGGATTCGTGATGCACGTTGTTGTTCCGCCTTGGGGGAGCGCGGACGTAGCTTGGATGAAGAAGAGTGAGGAGAGGAGGGCGGTGTGCAGGGGGAATTGCATGATGAGGGCTTGAGATAATAGTGTTCAAACTGGGATTCTGTTCGGTTTGCTTTGTGACTTGATGCGATGCGCTGCGATGCGATGGATATCTGTCCGTGACGACGAGCAGCGATCCGACTCATGATATACACACGACGCCGGCGTCCCACCGACCGACTGACTAACTGACTGACTACCTACATACCTCAGTACGTCTCGCATCATACCTCGCTTGGCACGGTTGGCGCCGGCAAAGAAGCCTTCGTCCGCCTCGTGCGATGTCCAATAAATATACGAACTTGGCTAAGACGAGGGTTGCGACTGCGACGTCGACGGTGCCCGCATTTGGGTCCCCTTTTTTACACGGGCGTTGCCTCCGTCCGTTGTCGTGTTGTGTTGTGTTGTGTTGTGTCGTGTGGTGGTCGTATGCCGGCCACCGCAATTTAGGCACAATGGAATTTTTGTTTTTTTCTGTTCGCATCCATTTTCGTATCGAGGCCTGCCAGCTTTCTCCTCATTATTACCTTGGTTTATTTATAGACCGAGGCGTTATTTATTATCAACGGAGGGATTGACGTAAATGACCTGATAGTGAGTGTAGCATTTGCGAAATCACTGACTTGGTATTAGCTGACATGAAGGAAGGAACGAGATAGATGGAAGCGGTATAACTGGTTGTGTCGAAATCGCAATATATTGAGCTCGCTTGTATGGTTTCATTTTGTAGATACCGAGCTACAAGACGGAGGGGGGTATTTGAACTTTGCTCAATTTGATCGCAATGCTCTCTAGGTTTTGTATGCTTTTGGTGACCGCCCTTCTCTCCTCTATCTTCCCCTCTATCTAAATCCAACATATCACATCTATTCCATTGTGACTATAGGCTTGACCCTGTGAATCCGCTAGAGGCTTCCTTCAGTCTTCTTATTTATTAGATTCTAGGTTCAGCTTAGCTACGCCGTCAGTGTTATCAGAGGTAGCAGCATTAGGCGTGGCGTCGTCTTGGGTCGCGCCTGGGTAGCGAGTGCCTATCTTCTTGACTTTCTTTGCCTTCTTCTCCGGTGGCGGGTAAGCTAATAATTCGATCTCATGCCATTCTTTCGATGCATTGTATTCTTCTTGAATGGGTATCAAAATGTCACATAACGCCTTGATGACGGCAGGTTTTAGGAGCTGGGGTGTGAGCTTGGAGCCAATTAGTACATTACTGTGAGCCCGAGGGGAGTTGAATAGCGAGACTTACCACGTCATTTTCGTAGTCGCTGCGAATTTGGGCAATGTCCGTGTAAACAAGAGGCTCTAAACCGTCTCGTTCTCGCAAGACAATAAATTCGCGCTTTCCTTTGAGCTCAGCTACTGGAAGGAAAACATTTTCGACATAGGCCAAAAGACCATTTCCTTCGGCAACGCGCGGCGCCGCTTCTGCTTTCTTGATCTGCGCTAAGTGTTAACAGCTTTCTATGTTATACTACTTCAATGTGACTATGTCTCAAAGATAAAGGGACTCTTAAGACCGACCTTTTTGGTGATGACATCCGGCGGGTCTAGAAGATCAATTTTTGAGTTCTCATCGCTTGAGCTCACTGGAGGATGAACGCAAGTCAGTGGAAACCATCACATGCGACAGAAGGGATAGTTGATGCAGTGTCCCCTAAAGAGAAACCCCCTCTGAAGTGGCAAATGCCTCGGTAGAACTGAATGCATGCTTCTAAGCGCATGCATTTAGAACAACACAAAGATGACTAGCAGCCGTCGGAGAAACAGTCGCGCATTTAGTTGAGAAGGTACCATGTACGTAGACTCACTTTTGCCGCCTTGAAGACCAGGAATCATATCGTTCATCAGATGAGCACGCTATACTCAGTTAATCTCCAGTTCAGGGCGCAAGCTTGGAACGTGCACTCAACTGACCTGTTTGTACCCAAGTTTCGGCAGCCACTCTTTGGCGGCAGTGAACAACTTTCGCTGGTCCAGACCTGAACTACATCAATACACGTATTCTAATCTCGGACCGAGGCGAACTCACCGCCAAACTGAGCGTCTACATCCAGGTATTGCTCATCCAATACTTGCAAGATAGGGTAGAGTAGTCCACTCAAGGGGCTGTTAGCGGACTGCTTGACAACCTCGGCGCCAGCCTTTTTCGCATCGTGTTCCGATGTTAATGAACACAACTTGTAAACATCCATGATGTATTCGGGGCTCTTCTGGTAAGAGCTACCAAGGACAAATGTCACTTTGTCGGTTGACACGCCACAGGCCTTCAGCAGTGCCGTTATGGTGAACTTGTAGTACTCGGCACGCCGGTTAACGAGTTCGAGGGGTGCCTTCAAATTGTCGAGAAAGCCGTGAATCTATCCATAGTCGTCATTACCGTCAGTCATTATCGCCGCGGTCGTACATGAGTGGGCATCGTGTATAGAAGGGCGCATACGTCGGCAAGGAGGATGACCATGTCACAGCCAGCAGCCACATATTGGGCTATTTTGACCTGTTCCAGCTAGTGAGCTTGGCGTATCGATCAAGCGATGATGATTGTAGTCACCGTACACCAGGCACTAAGTATCCGGCATGAGGTCGGCCGGTCTGTGTCGTACTCAGATTAGTTGGTGTTTGTTCTCCCAATTGCTATCTTCGTCTTTCTCTGACTGGCGCGCAGATTCCGGGCAACACGTACTGTGGCAGTTCCTGCAGTAAGACAAAACATATGTTAGCATCAAAGCGAGCGATGCCCAAGTCGCCAATTGACCTTACCCCAATAGATCCTCGGGTTGCGCCCCTCGTTGATGGCGGCCTCGATGATTTCGGGATTGAGGAACTCGGCAAGATTCTCTTTGATGAGGGCAAGCCTCTCTTCGGTGGATTTGGCAGCCATGGCAAGACCCTGCTTAAGAAATAGAGCGGAGAGGGAATCGCACGAAGCTCGTTGTAGTCGCGTAAATGTTTATATTCAATTATTTGGCTTGAATACTGAGTCACTCGGGATACGTGCATGGCTTCGGGGCTGATCGGCCAGCTTTTTGGAGGGGCAGTCAGATGGACGAGGGGTTCGATAAGCCGATAAGCTGATATAAGCGGATAAGATGGATCTCAAATAGGTACCTGTAGGTACCTACAGGGCTGCGAGGGGTTCTAGCCACTCAAGCCCAGCCAAGCCAGTGCCCAGCCGCGCTATCTTTCCAGCGCATCAGCACTGGGCAGTAGGTGGTATGTGCCCACCTGTAGCGGCCATATGTACCTGGATACCTGGGTAAGTACCTAGGTATGTACCTTATGTAGGTACTTCAAGCAAAGCAAGATTTCAGGCTTCAAACAGAGGATCTACATCTTCGAATAGACGCGGGACTGCAAAGGTCTTGGCAATAGACATGGAATATACTGAAGAAAGCAGAAAAATATCCGAATTATACTTGCTACCAGGAAAAGAACGCTGACCGTAATCCCGCCACCATGGGAGGCTGTATCATGCCAACGTAAACATGCCAATCATTCATCATCGTCATCATCATTATCGCGCCAAAAAGCTACGGGGTACAATTTAAAGAGTTATCTAACCGCAGCACACAGTCGCCTCTTCGCTGACCCCGACAGTCTTTGCTGCCGGCATGGCTGTTACTCCTACCACTACTCTGGCTGTCATCCAATCGCACAGAAACTTTCCAAACCCGGCGCCGACAATGATGAGGATGATGACGTACCCGTTGAACGCCATGGCTATCAACATCAGGATGTACGCTATTCCGAATGCTACGGCATCTGTGGTCGTTTCATGTCAGCTCCGTTATGATCTAGACGAACTGCTGAGTCCATCGAAGAGTAGCGTGAGGAACAACGTCGCCTCGGCTCATGCTGTATGCTGAGATAAGACTTACGGATGAAGCTGCGGATTAACTGTTGCAGCGCTGTCGCTCTGAATATCACAGTCTGACCAGCTAGTCGAGTCTCCGCCGAACAGCAATTATCTTCTAACTTCGCCATGGCAGCCCGCTCGTCGGCATGCTGTTGGAACTGGCGAAGAATGAGGTCGTCATATTCCTTGCCCAGTCGGCGGACAAACTCCAGGAGTATCGCTAGCAGGAACACGCCGATGCAGGTCGCTGCCATCATCCCCTCGGTCTTAATTTTCCATGATTCCGCGAAGAAACCTACAACTCATCAGCACCCGTCTTCTTCGCCGTTGCCATAATCTCGGTGCTCAATCTTGGCTTGACGTACAGGCACCGATGGTGTTCCAGTTCCATAACATCTAGCGACCTATTAGTGAAAAAGGCAGATAGTGGCATGAGAATCACAACCACTAACATGAGTCGTGCAGGACGAGTCGTCCATGCTCATGCCGCCGCCATGAGACATTTTGTCTGCTTATTCTTTTGAACTTTCTCAATAGATGGGCGATGACGATTCCAATGTTCGGGGATCGGAGGCGATAGTTATACCAGTCCACTGCGGCCCGCTTCGTATAAAGTCTAGTTTATAGTCCGTCACGTTCGACTCCTCTCTGGCGATGGCGTGTTAATCTCGTTGTCGAATTCCAAGAAATGAGGCTGGAAATGAGCACATCAGAGAGAATTGTTCGAACACGGCGCAATATTGAGACAGATGATGAACGAGTTGATATGCGCAGGTTTACGAAACATCAGCTGTCAGTCGGTCGGCCTGCGCGTGCGAAGGTTTCTCGGGCCAAGACTATCTAGAACCAAGGGATCCAGTGTCCTAGTCCCGGGAACCAGTGTCGAACCAGTGTCGCTATCGGCATTACGAAGACGGCGGCTCATCCGATGCAGCGTTTCGCCAAGATCCCCTCACGGTCTTCGCCCTAAACGGGCCTGAAAAACGTGCTCATTTTCTCTCAACAGCCCACTTCTCCCCTCACACTATCGCCGCCGCGAGGCCATACAAAACCCACGCCGGGTCTTTCGCGGCTCTTGGCTATAGAAATGTGGGTGTTAGCCACCCTATGTGCGCAATTTTCGTATCCACTTGGGGTATACGGAGCGTGATGTAGATTGATGCTAGCCACCGAGACCGTGGTCTTGGTCTCATGGTTTCGACATTGGACGCATCATGGCCTTTTCTAGTATTATAAGTTCCCGGGCGTTGCGAAGCAAGCGCCCCACGAGCTGGACGATGTTAAACCTTAAAACTTGCCATTTGCCTGGGAAAGGCGATCACGTCTGTCCTACTAGTTCTTACGGATACGCGACCGCATCTACCTGACGGTGAATTCAACCTTAAATAACTAGCTCAACAAGACTAGCAGTACTCAATCTACCTGTCCGCCTGTGTCTCACGGCACTCGTGTGAGCGACTCAATTGAGTTTGCGCTAGGGAAAGATGAAGGTCCAGCCAGGGTTACGGGCTCACATTCAAAATTACAGCGAAGCAGACAATTTAGAACCGCATTGGGGCTACTATGAAAGAGTTATCCCCTGCGTGAGCGACTCTGGGTCGTGCGAATACCTTGACCAAATCTATGGTTCACACGACTTGAGTGTCCTTTATTCAGGCATTCTATGGTCAATCATACTCGGCATTCTGCTGTTATGGACGATAGGAAAGAGAGTCTGGGCGCCATCGCGGGCTGATGGTTTGGTACCTGGGGGCATCAGTTCTGGCAAGTCGTCGGTAACACGATTCTCAAATGCGTTCTCCGCATACCTACGAAGCTCATTACTTCCCGACGCGCCTCGATTCATCTTCGGCAGGACGACTAGATTACAGGTTCTTATCCTTATGATATTATCCGCCTACTTGTTGATATTCAGCTTCGCCGGTTACACCTTTCAGAAATGGATTACTCCCGTCAAAAGCTCTCCGGGGCTATATAACACGAGGTCCACTCTAGGCCCATTCTCGAACCGAATCGGAGTTCTAGCCTACGCTTTGACACCGTTGTCAGTTCTATTAGCAAACAGAGAGTCAATTCTCTCTCTGCTGACGGGCGTTCCCTACCAGAGCTTCAACTTCTTGCACCGATGGCTCGGGTACATCATCTTCATCCAGGGCTCTGTTCACACCATCGGCTGGACAATTATCGAAGTGCGGCTATACCAGCCACAGCCAACAACAGCTCAAGAATGGATCAAGGATACTTACATCGTCTGGGGAGTGGTGACCATGATTTTACTCCTGATGCTCGTCGTCCTTAGCACACCGTGGGCTATCCGTCTCACAGGATACGAGTTCTTTCGCAAGGCTCATTATGTCCTGGCCATCGTCTACATTGGAGGTTGCTGGGGACACTGGCAAAAGCTCAAGTCGTTCCTGCTGCCAAGTATCCTGATTTTCTTCCTGGATCGCGGCGTTCGTCTCGTGCGCACAATGTTGATGCACTATCAGTATCTTCCCAACGGCTCCATGGGCTTCCAGGCAGCCCCAGCATCATTAACACACTTCGCTGACACCGAATATGGCGACGTCGTAAGGATGGACTTCGAACAGCCTCATGGGCCTTGGAATATCGGCCAGCACTTCTATCTGTGCTTTGCCGAAAGTAGCATCTGGCAGTCGCACCCCTTTACACCGTTGAATCTCCCCCAGACGCGCAATGGAACTGTATCCCACTCGTACATCTTCCGAGCTAAGAAAGGCGAGACGAAGAAAGTAGCTGATTTAGCGCTGCGAAAGCTAAACTTATCCCCAAAGGCAACGACGCCAGTGATATTGACCGGGCCTTATGGGGAGTCGATTGCGGAGAACTTGATGCCCGAGGATAACATACTGTGTGTCGCGGGCGGCACGGGCATCACCTACGTGCTCCCTGTGCTCCTCGACATCATCCAGAAATCCGCCGTGCGCGACCGCAAGATCCAGCTCGTCTGGGCGATCCGCAGGAAAGCGGACCTGTGCTGGGTAGAGCGGGAGATCGTCGCTGTTAACAATGCGGCGCGAACGCACGGGGTTGAAGTGTGCATTTATGTCACGAGGGAGGCGGGCAGCAACGCCTCTTCCATACAAGAGAAAGTAGAGGGTCAAGAGGTCGATCTGGATAAGACCTGCGGATCTACTTCGTGCGCAGCTGTCAACGCTCAAAGCCCGATGTCGCTAGATATTCAGAAGCTCGGGAGTAAAGGGTTGGACAGACATCCTGATCTGAAGGCTCTTGTGAGCGAATTCGTCGAGGGCACGGTGAGGGGCCCGACGAAGGTCTTTGGAAGTGGGCCGGGAGGCATGATTAGCGATTTGAGGAGCGTCGTCGCGACGTGTAATTCTGGCGCGAGGGTGTGGAAGGGCAACGAGCGGTTTGATGTTCGTCTGATTTGTGATGATAGATTAGAGTGGTAACGACTTTATGGATTAGCGTTTTGGAATTTCATAGTGAAGATATTAAGCATTTTTCTCTCATCCGTTTAGTTCTTATTAGAGAATCGTGGCAAAATCTTCGTAGTCATTGGATAAGGTACAGTTAAGCGGCTTTTGCGCTGATTGAAGAGTGTAGGTGCGAGATTTGACCTTCGCATCATTGCTGCATTGAATAAGTGTCGTCTAATCATCTTGTGACAACTTGGCGTTCTCATGCCTGCCTGTTGGTAGGGCTTGTGACTGGTGCTGATGTGCTTTTCGACGTAGCTATGTCCGTTCTGCCGATTTATCTATCACTTTCCATTTCATCTCTTAAAGACAGTGCTTTAAACAAATTTAAACACTAGTAGCTGGCTGTGAGCTTCCGCCAGGGGACATCCGTAGTGAATGGTCTCCCGCAGTGGAGCGGGCTACGGGGTTCAACCCCCTTTTCCCCTCAATGTGTAGAATTCTTCACATTGCATGCTCCATCTCATTTAAGCCACGATGAACTCTAGACACTCGTTCTTGGGCCTCATCACTGAAAACTTTATAAGTTGTAGGAAATTGTATCAAATGCTACAGTTTACGAAGACAAGGGATGTATGTCCTCGGTGAAGAAATGCGAAAAGAGCGAAAGGGCACTCAAGGAAGAAGACAAGGCGTAAGTTTGGGAAATCAATTTGGCCTGACTATCCAATACTAGGCTCATTTACTTTTGTTAATCAGTCACTTGTTCCATCATTCTGTCATCAATTTCTATTGACAGTTTCCCCAGGAGCCATTAGCATAGATACTAATTACTTGAAATCCCCAACACCAGATGCCTCTACCCCATCACCTCTCTAGATCCTCATCCTCATTTATCCTTTGGCTCCTCTTTAACTGCCGTAATGATTTTAGTAGGTATACAATCAGATCATTGACGAATGGCTCACCTGTCGAGTCCTCAACTGGTTCGGGCTCTGGGGGCGGAGCTGGGCGGGGAGGAAGCATACTACGGTTTCGCATGTAGGGACAGGCTGGATTTCCGCATCTCCATAATCTCGCGTGTCTGAAGTGTCGGTCCCCTTTTGGGACCGACCATCCGCACTCGTCGATGAGCTGGGTGATTTCGACGAGAGCCATTATGTATTGTGTGATTAGGGTGATTTGGTTGAGTGTTCAGTGTGTTTAGCTGAGGATAAGATGAGAGGGGTTGGTTTTCGAGGTGTTGGAGAGTCTGGAGATAAAAGGGACTTGAATATCGGCATGAAGACGGATGTCCTCTTTATATAAAATTTGACACGGGAGGCAGATCATGTGTCTGTGCAACAACGAGGGTCCTTTATGATGTTTGTTGTTGCACGAAAGTCTTCAAGCTTTGAGTGCCCATACTAGGACTCTATAGAGAGGGCCCCTTGGATGTAGTCCTAGTATCGCCACATCTTCGATCATGAAGATCGCCTTACGTTCCGTGTAAGCATCTTGATAGTGCCGAGATCAGAAGTAGTATTGCCCGAGATCGAGATTGAGGCTCAATATCAGAAGTACTCTGGTGATTTGACTAATCTGTTTGGTCAATGAGATAGATATCACGCTGAATACGATGCGAACCATGTCTGAAGAGCAGGAACGCGTCAGCATCGGGTAGTATTATCTCGAGATCCTGTAGTAGATGCACTTATGTACTAGGCTTCTGACTATCATGTGTTAATATCATCATACCTCAGATTGTCTGTGTACTTTAAAGAGCTGGTGATTGAGGAATTGATAGGTCCACTGTTACCTGCCACAATGAGATATACTAGCACACGAGAGACAGAACATGTGAGAAAGTATCCGAGATGAACACTAAAGCCTTAGATGATTTGTGTACAGTTGAACTTGTGTTGACTATAATCTAGACATGTGATCTTTTGCGTAACCATGTGAACATGCCTGTACACAAGGGAGGCTCTGTCATGTTGCAATAGGAGTACAAAATAGGACGGCAGTTTTACTACTGCTACATGTACTCCTTTATGAACCTATAAACGACGGTTCCCGTGTCACCTTAGAGCGATGAGGTTTGGTGTGTTCTATTATTTACCGAAGTTAATCCGATTTCAACCCGAGATGCAAACGAAATAAGAAGTGAATGGTTATTGCAAGTATGTAAGAAGCAAGGTAAGCAGAAATTTCCATGCCTCTTATCCTACTCTTCAAATTGAAGAATGGGTGAAATACGCACAAAAGGTGTATGAAAAGACTAATACATGAAATTTCCCACTATGTACCTAGACTTTTCGAGCGAATATTGAGGGGATTAATACGCTGCCCAATCTTCTACGGACAACTACCTCGTCTTCAATTGTACGTTGTTGCTGTGTGGCACAAGCAACTCCGTGACCTGCTTGCGCCACTGAAGTTTTTTTCTTTTTTTCTTGAGCGTCACACAAAGAATACAAAACTATTGAGCCATTAGAGAGAACCGAGGTTCAAATTCATGTTATATGTTGATATTGTCAAAGCTAAAGACTCTGATAGTTGTGTGGCTCACGTCATCGAAGCGCCCATACCCATAAGAGCATAGAATGTACGATCTTCCTAAGAATTTTTCCAAAGTGTCGCTAGCTCCTGTACTCTTAGTGGCACTGCCGGCAGATTCTTGTGCAAGCTTCGGCAGAAAAATCGTTCTTCAGATGGGTAAGTAACTAAACGATTCGCCAAATCTAGGAGAAGAATACCTGTATTCAGATGTATCCTTGACAATGAATGCTACCACATCATAAGTCCTGCTAGCAACTCGAGTTCTACGATCGATGAAATAAGCTAATATAACAATCTAAATAACATAGCGAGCGGTCCTTAAAAAAACAAAATACTACTGAATCTGTACTCGTATGTAGACTGGCACGAGCTACCCGTGTACTAACCATAGAAATGAACGTGTATGTGTGTGTGTTCGCCCGTCACTCCTATCAAGCCAGACTTCCCAATGCACTCTCATCATCCTGAATTGTCCATGTACTACCCCTTTTCAGCTACCTGCGGCCTTTGCGATAAGCCTCCAAGTTCCTTATCCGTAGATTTAATCTGCAAAACATATTCCGTTTGGCGGCCCATGCTGAAAATAACATGCTAGACAGTGAGGTTGGCAATCAGCCAAGGACTGACAACTCCATCCTACACAGGTGGGGTTATTGCTACTCAGCAAGCCAAGAGCGCGTGTTGGCTTATCTGCTGATGTAGCCGAGGGGGAAACCGATTGGTCTCCCGTGTCTGGGATCACGGAGGGGAAAAGAAGCTGCGTTTCGTTGACCACGAGACATCCATCTGGATATGGCGGCCGTGCTAACTCAGAGACACTGGCCGGCACGTCTCCCTCTCCGTGTGCTGCCCATGCGGAGTACTGTTTCTCAGCAAACTGCTTTACTTGGTCTGGGTCTAGCTGGTAGTAGTCGATGACGGTTCCGTTGGGAACAAAAGAGCGGACCACGCCGTCGTCTCCGACAGAGACGAAACCGCTATTGTCCTTCAGCAAGGCTTGCGTTACATTACTGACAGGACCTGGAAGGTGGCGGCATGTGGTGTTGCCGCTTGGGGATGTTCTGGAGAAGGCATAGGAAGTCTGTTTACGGGTATTAGCGATTTGATATTTCTCATTTCTGGTTATATGGGGCGTTACGTACAAAAGAAAGGATAAAGAATGCAAGGGTAGTAATAAACTTCATCATGATAATGTCCGTTAGACCACTTGTTTTGGTTTCGAGTTGATGATGATTTGTATATATCTAAGAATGATGTTGTAGTGACCGTGCTTGATTTGTATTCTACGACTGCTTGGGCTCCGGGATTGCTGTTTAATTTATACACTAGAATGCTCACTGGGGGCCTGTCATGGTGTATTCCTGTCCAGAAATGATCCTGCTTTCCCTCATTGATATGCTTCTATGCCATACCTTGGCTATCCTATAACCAACGGCAACGTCATTCGCAGATGCGCATAATCATAGTCTACGGAGTACTAGGCATTTTCTTCTTGTTGAAGTGCTGTCTCACTTATTTTGTTGGTAATGAAGGATCGTCTTTTGCGAATCCGTTAATCGTAATCTTTATTTTGAGCACTTTTCAAGCTTACCAGTATTGACGAGAACATATGATTTTCTCCTTGTGTGTGAAGCTCTATCGTACAGAAGGATTGGGACGAAACCAACAGCATATCGACCAAAAGGATGGTTGCCAGGGTTTTAAATAGAAAGCAGATCCCGAGCATCCCGTTCAAGGGAAGAGTTCATGCTTCATAGATGTCAACAAGAGAGTGTTGCCTTAGTGTACGAATCGAATTGGATTATGGGATTACATATGCCACCGGGAAGCTTACAAACAGCACCGCAATAATAAAGCACGCTTTACCCCATCCCATCAACCAACCGTGGTTCCTTCCGGACTCTACACCAGCATGGATAGCATGAATATTGATCTGCAGCTGCCTAATAAAGGAGAGAGGTCGTCATCATGGTTGACAACAGGGGACGCAGTTGGCTGAATTAACAGATCTGATTGGATGCCGGGATTACATAATTATCAGGGGTGGTTCCAGGCAGCACTGCGCCGCAATATAAGAGCGCACCAAACCCCATCCCAACAACCAGCCAGGCTTCTTCGGTTCCTCGAATGAACCCATAGCAGAAGACGCCACGAACATCGATTTGACACTATTCTCTACCCCGCAGCTATTCGTTTCAGATTGCAGCCATGTCAGCGCAACCCACCCAGGATAGTTGCGGATCCTGGTCATGCGAAGACTCTGACCAACAGGAACTGAGCGCCATCATAGCCAGCTTTAAAATGGACAATTATGGCGTCATCTCATTGGGAAAGGATGGTATTCTGCGGTCTCTCACGGCCGAGCGGGACGTTATCGGCGCCGCGCCTCTCCGCCCGAGCCTCATCGCAGCGTTGCATGCCAGGTTCCCGAAGGAGTACGCTGAAAAATACCTCACTGCAGAATGGGATGGGGTCGATGGATTTAAGACTCCTGAATCAGCTTGGTACAACCCCGACAAAAGCATCTTGCCCGCACCATTGAGCGAGCTGAAAAAGAAAGAAACTATCGAGGAGTTGGAGACACTGAAGAAACAGGAGTCCCAAACCTCTGGCCAGCAACATGAAGGATAGGGCTCGTGAGTTGATACGCAAATTCGGAGTGTGATATCATCGATTGATATGCCATCCGCAGATGACGCGTTTGCCAGGGGTGGGCCAACACCGCACACGTGGTGCAATGGACGAACCAAGTTGGCGTCGTACACTTAGTATTGTGGCAAGGAATTATTCTTAGGAACTTTCGTTTCATTATCTAAATGAGTTGCTGTTAGGTTGTTGCTCTAGTGTACCTAGCGCATTGTTTCGTAGGAGGGGGCACAGCATCCGAACATTCATTACGATAGCAACAACAGAGAGTCGATCACTTCCAAGCCATATGTCATCTTATTGTCTACTTACGCGTTTTTTCTAATCCACCCCAAGATATTTCAAGGTTGACAATGTTCCGATCACGCCACGCATGAAGGCAGGGATCTCCATCTCGCAAATGCAACAGGCTCTATCTGCTAGGTCGTCGGACTCGTGTCACTCCGAAAACCGACAACACGGAAAGCTGCGAGAAAAGCTTTGATTTCCTAACAATTCACTCGCGATAGTTGACGTTTTACCACCAACTAAGACCTAGCAAGCTACTTTATTGATAAATAACTAGTTGGCTGGCGTTAAAGGGGGGCATATCATTTACTTAAAGAATAAGACAGCAAGAGAGAGAGCGGATGGAAGTTGATTTGAACTACCGAATAGCGAGTGTCTGTTACGGATGAAATCAAATGAAAAATAGTAAAAGCAGAAGGCTAAAAGAGTGTAAACACAGAATGTAATCATATGCTTGTCCGTCCAGCCCACTCACACCGTGTCAATATCCCTCTTTCGATCCAAGCCCCTGATCCGTACCCTAATTCAGCAAACAAGCACCACTCTCAGGTCCTCCTGGGAAGTAACATTGGTAACACGGAGTAGGCCTATATCTTGCACATTGACCGAAAGTGAGACAAGGTGAGCCGATGCATTGTTGTCTCTCATCAAGAAGATGCAGTGGAACCTGAGCATGCGAATGGGACGTCCGTGGCACAAGATGGCGCAAGGGGTAAGGTGAATCAGGGGGGTTGAGAAGCTTTTCTTTGTCCAAAACTTGGCGTCCATCAGTGTACGGTGCTTTAGCTAAATTGCTAACCGCTGCAGGAATTTCCTTGCCCATGTTCTGCCACTGACGAAGTTGGATTTCAGCAAACTCTTTTAGTTGAGTTGGATCGAGCTGTCGTGTTGAGCCCAATGAGTCAGCTAAATGCAACGTGATTATGCCCCCCCTCCAATGGTAATTCAAAACACTTGAATGGAATGAGAAGTGGCTGAGATGACTTACCTGATGGAAATCGATCACCGTACCATTGGAGGAGAAGCTTCGCATGACACCATCTGGGCTTACCATTAAAGCTCCGTCCTCATCGGTTTCCAAAGTGTGCGATATAGTCCGAACTGAACCTGGGACATAACGATCCAGCGAGGCTGTGGTAGAGAGATTCAGATAGGCATGGGTAGCCTAAGGAATCAATTAGTACACTTTAGTCATAGCAAGAGCTGTAAGTACTGACCAGTGGTGCGAGGATCGAAATAATCAGGAACGTGAAATGCATGATGGAGGTTCTAAGGTGTGCAATAACTTAGATGTGTTTAAGGGTCGCCAGTCAGTGTAGATAGTTGTAGACTTGACCGTCTAAGCAAGTCAATTCTTATAGAGTCTAGTGGCGGACGGACAAGTTTACCTAAAAGCAACCGGAAGGTCGGCGTGAAAGACAGCGTAGAATTTTACTTGGACGTAATAATATATTAATTTCAGACTCTCAATTTTATGAATAATGCTCGCTGTCACAGCTCAGTGGTAAGGTTGATCACTGCCTTTCATGATATCATGAAACGGATTTGTTTCCGTGCCGCCTACGCCTCCTAACAACACCCATTGCCTGCTAATCTAAGTCCAAGTTTTGCGTTATTTTACAATGGCTAATATAAAATACATTTAGTTATACCACAACTGTACCGCAACCAAAAAATATTCAAGTAGGATGGGAAATAGTTGTATCGGGCAACATAAATGAAGAACCCTCTGTAAAATAGAATACAAGCAACGTAAATATTGTATCACCGAGTAAAATGAATGTAAGTCTTCAGCTATCATTACCATCGACGACTACAATGGCACCTAATCCTTGCTTACCAACAATCTCTAGTGGTGCTGTGATGCTTAATGCGCGGGGATCGGTATGATGCCTTGTTATACCACAAATTCAGATCCTCCAAGTTAAAAATAAGACTTTTCGCAGCTGATTTTGTGATAGCACAGCAAACCTGACGCGTGTCCATCTCGGAAGATCATGCGATCAACTTACTACGACAAAATATCAGAGCCTCGAAACTAACAATAACATTGGTATGCTTTGATAAGACTAATGTCTAAGGGGCTAGAGTACTATCTATATAAGGCAGTGTTTCCTCTACAGCGGTCAACCAAAACCCCATCACCATCATCGTCATCACCTCCGCCACCACTTTCATAATCACAAACACCAGTCAAGCCTTCGTTTTATTTGACAGACCAGAAATTACAGACTTGTGCACCCTATTTAGCATTCAGCACGCATTTCATCCCCAAAATGTACCCATCTACTCTCATCTCTCTTTTCGCAGCGACTCTTGCCTCCGGGATGACATTGATTCCCGAAGTCCTCGGACGTGCCGTTCCCAGCACAACTCCTGTTATCGACACATGCTGGAGCACAGGCGAAAACTGGGGGGCCGACTCGGGGCTGGCCAAGAATTACGCTGCGCAGGCATGCAACAACGCGTTCGTCGGGACCAGCGGCTCACGAACATGGCAGCCCGGTGACGAGATCCAGCAATGCTACAATCTGGACAGTACCAAGAAGGCCGACTTCACCATCATAAATGAGAACAGCGCTCCCGCTACCCTTACTAGCGGCGATTGCTACACCTATCTCACCAAGCAGATCAGCGGCTGTGGACAGGGAGGCTACCAGGAACATGCTGGCTTCGAGTTCAAGTGAGTATTCAATCTATTCCCATTTTCCATATGTCGGTATGCAATTGCTCACAGCTGGTCAGGGCGGACCCCAACTCCGGCCAGTGCGCGACCAACTGAGGTTCGCAAAGCTTGCTTGAACAACATAGTTTACGGGCTTTAGCAACTACCTATAAAGGTCTTAACTTGAAATGACGGAAATTTTTCAGGGGTGCGGTTGCGCAAACTGGTTGACAGATTGATCACACTCTTTTACAATGCCCGGGCAGTTTTGAGATTATCGTGTATTTCCTAAAACACTTCCCCTTTTAAATAGGCACTCGCTTCGTATTTATAAATTCCATCGCGATAAAGTTCACCTAAGCCTAGGCCTCTCTTTCGCTATGCTTCAAAGTTAATTCAAGTTACGGAATAGAGCACCATCAGGTATGGTTGCAATAGTAGAGGCACATCTTCCGCCCTCAGCGGACCGACTACAGGATCAGCTAGTCCGGCCTAGTCACGGCATCGTGAAGAGTAAGAGGGGCAGCATGACTCGGCGGCTCAGCGGCTCCGTTTCCCTCAATACGGTGCACCGGTGGAGTCAATGTGCCGAGTGTGCCTAGGGCAAAACAGAGCATCAGCGGCTACGGGGTGGGGTGTAAAACCGACGGGGCCGCCGCACCGCCACGATCAGTCAGCACGGGCTCCCGTACCGAGTTCCTAATATTGCAGTTCTTGACAACAGCTTCTACTGCCTTCCTCAGTCCTGGGAAGTCGTATTTTTCTTGCAGTCTCCTTACTGTCTTGGTTGTTCCTTGGTATCCATGTAATGGATGTTCGTAAAATTCTGTAATCAACTTATCGCATAAGGCTTAGGGTAAACAGATCCTCTATCGATACATCAGCTTATCTATCGTAGACCCCTTTTATTTCTATAGTTCTACAAGTTCTTCCTAATTGTAGAACTGCTATAATTGTTAAATCTATTCCTTTAAATGATCCTTAAAGATAGCTTAGATCTATAGGCTTCGGTCCTCCTATAAATGTAACATTTAAATGTTTTATTTTAGAACCGGCAAGTTCCTTCCAGTCTACCATTGTTTTACTACCTAACACGCTTTCCGAAGATTGCGGGGCAGGGTTTATGTCTGTAGGGCACTAGAGGTTAGGAATAGCCGAACATTCTTCTGATCCTAAAAGCTTATTCTAACTTCGTATTGGGTAGTTCACGCACACGCCCGACGTTCTACCCTATTTTCAAACCAGTATTACCAATTGACAATATCATCGAAAAACCCAAAGTCGTCTGTTTCCTGACATTTAGTACTGGCCTCATAACTGGGGACGACTTTTTGTAGAGGGACTTGCGCTCGTCTATGAAGCCCCTCGTGTCCACTCTTCGGGAGACGTCCGCGCGTTGTTCTATCCCTTTTCCAGAACACTTCCGACCATTGAGTGACCGTTTCCTCAATCCGCAAGCTACGCAGCCATTCGATGCCAACACTAGATCTTAACCACGCCGCCTCTGCTTGGCATTTCTGGGTCGGTTTCGCTGTTGAGAGTAGATTCGCAAGTTTGGGGAATTCAGGATGCAACCGGAACTTCCGCAGCCACTCAACAGGACCTTCACTCCTGGTAAGCTCGGGTTCCTCGATCATGGCCCAGATGCCATCACGTGGGGGCTCCCGGTAGTATTGAGAACTATGCAGCACCCCGGCACCCCCACACGCCTTTTTTGCGAATGCTAGTGACATGTTTTCGAAGAAAGTCTGCCGCTGCACAGGATCACGATGGATGCATCGCATGGGGTTTGAAATGATATTCTCGTGATCGTATAGCTCGCGTGGCCATACGTCCCAGATCGTGACTTTGTTCAAGCTCGGGGCGACAGTCCGGGCCGCTCTCGACATGTCGCGGGAGTAGAACATCGCGGTGCCGCACAGTGGCCCTTCAAATCCCGGCTTCGTCTGGTCGAGAAACCACTAAATCAATCATATTAGAGACTGCGTAACAATAATATTAGATAGGGAGTCTTCACTTCTATGGTATACATGTCCACGGGGCTACATTCCCTCTCCACCACCGGAGTGTGAGTAAGTGGCGTTTGGCCGGGTCCTGCTTTCGTACGACTGCTATAAGCCACCACGGATAGCATTAGCAAGCTTGCTAGACCCATGAACTTAAGCGGGATAACCAGGCTTTTTGAAATTAACATCTTGGTTTTCCAAGGCCTTTAGGGCGTGTTGTTACATCAGTGCTGGTATAGAAGTCTCAAATATGACTTCTCGCCAAGCATGTGGAAGACTGCAGCAGGTAAGATTGTGAGCTTTAAATTGGGTGGTTTCAGCAACGACGAATTTCAATTTAAAAAAAAAATCTACGATTGAAAGGCGCAGCTGTAGCTCTGACCACCTCTTAGGATGAGATCCTGAGACAATCAGGAAGTGATCCTTCGGTGCCAAGCCTTATTCCGGCTCCGGTAAGAAGAGTCGCCACCGTCGAAAGATGCCGATCCTGGAAAACGCACACCATTATAGTCGCGTTAACATCTGAACACTTTCGTAGGAAAGAGTCCCGGACTAAAAGATGTTAGCTAGCATTGAGAAACTTGTTCGATGTTGTTATATGTCGGGTGCAGAAGCTCCTATAGTATAAAATAAGCGCTGAAGAAACACATGCTCGCAGTCATTCTTCTATGCCAAACCTTCCTCAGAGCCTTCCCGCCCCCACCGCCAAGAAATTACAAGAGTCTGCGTATCTACAGATCTACATGTGTCATCTTCTCACTGCAACATCGCATTGGGAATGATTGGACTATTACGAAGACTCCCCAGTTTAACGTTGTACTTTCTGACAGAAGTGACATCCAAGCATGGCGCGGTACGTTTCGGGTCGCTCCCGAGGTCACTGGGTATTGGAATATCTTCAATGTTATCAGCTATCATCTACTATCATGTGGCTGTGTCTTGCAATGTCTTCATGCACGTCATCGCACATTAGTCCTGCCTAGGTACGTACGGAATACACTCTCGATGTGTTCTAAGCCACTCTTCTATTTGCGGCTCACCTGCAGAGGCCGTAGATTCTCCCTCGAGAAGCCGTATCCACATCTGTACTTCTATTTCTATCTACCTAGCCTACTTAACAACGAATCTAGAGTCACCTTTGGTGCCCAGCGGCTGCGCCGCAAGAACCACAACTTCCATCTCTTTGTAAATTGTTTAACTTCTAGGGGTATGCGCTCTACAACAGCCCCCTCTCCAGAAAGAAAGTGAATAAATTTCCATCTTGGTCCGCCGCTCGCGCCCTTTGGGGCTTATGAGGCTCCTGTTACTAAGTACCAGTATATGATGGCTGTCTTTTGGTACTTAGGCAGTGCCTAATTGGGTAAAGTAATGGCCTCTCCAGCGAGTTTCTACGGTCTCTGCAGGTGGGCCGTTCTCTGGCCGTTCTATTTGCTGACGCTGCCAGTCTAGGAATACCTACTTCATAGGGGCTAGTGGCGACGGCGCTCCAAGCCATTAATTGGGGGCCAAATTTTGCGTCTAAGACAGCGTACAAGGGGCTCAGTGTGACGATCTCGCAAAATCGGTAATGGATTCGGAAGTCATCACCGCTGTAGGTGATTCAGGCGGATGTCTTTGATAATGGCGATTGATCCGAGATTGAGGAGTGGCAGGTGCCTCCTGGCAGTCAGAATACTGGCTGGGATATTCTTGGCAGCGTTGAAGTGTCATGTATTCAGGGTCGAATAGCATCTTCTCCTGCTATTCCACAGTAGACCTACGCTCGTTGCCTCCATTCCAATTGGGCAAGGCCGTATGGCAGCATAGGCACTACGATGTAGGTACCCCAAAAGCCCCCCCAATGTGAAGCAGATGCGCGACGGCCGAGTAGAGCTGCCTCTGATAGCGACATAGAGTCGGGGTGAAACCAAAAAGTTAGCTATGTGGAATTGCTCCTAGTGTCATGTTATTGCATATATTTTACGACTAGTTGGGGCCAATGAGTATTAAACAAATATCGCGGCACATCGGCATACCTCAAATAGGGAAGATGAAGAAGCTGGATAAGTCGGGGAGAGAATTCAATTAACTGGCGGAACCTTATACCATGAACAATGAAACTTGCCAAGACAATGAGGAATATATCTAATGTAGCTTGATACACTCAGAGGACTACCTTGTCGGTGCAACATTTTAGTGAACACTTTGTTCGACAAGAGATGGCGGAGGCTTCCGAGGTGGGAATGTCGATTCCCACACTCAGAAACTTGGCGAGGGTGGCATCCTGGTTCTTGCCAGCCAGTATCGCCAGGCCTAAAGGCCGCCCATTGAACTCGAGATACGAGAGAAGCATCCCAGCGATCGGATATCCTATCTTCCAGGTCAGAGTCCCTTTGGCTTGAGGTGTACATCAATTGAAAGCGAATGAAAAAACTGCAATGGGTCTCCTTACCGCTCCCAGCTGCCAGGGTCGTAATAAAACTATCTGCTGGTCCTACGATCACGTCCACACCATAGTGCTGAAGGATAAAGTCCACCCCTTCGTCCCTACACACCTTTCTTACATGCCCAAGATTCTTTTGGTAGTCGGCCTCAGCCAACTAAAGCTCATCAACTTAGATTATTATATCTTGCCTCGGATGATCTGTACCCTGTAAGCAACTATACTCGGAACTAGTTCCGAAAAACTTACGGTCTGGGAGCTCTTCATTCGGACACTGATTGTTGAAATTGATAACGTCTCGAATGCTCCGGGTGCTGCTTTTCTCTAAGTCTTTGAGATATGCAGTAAGATCTACTTTCATGCTAGCTTCTAGTATCCTGTTAGTGAGGTGCTGTATCAGATAGCTATGAAACATACTGGTAACTAGAACCCTGCTATCGTTCCCATCAAGGTCTAGCTTCTCGATGGTAGGGAGCGGAACGTTAGGAATAAACTTCTTAACCTTCGACTTAATACTTTTATAATTTAATTATAACTATATATAGAATTATACTCTATAGCTAATTTTAAAGTTTAATAGCTATAGCTATTCTTTTTAATTAGTTATTATTAATTGTTTGTTTTGGAGTTTTATATATAAACACCGTACAATGCAGCCGGCCCGCGATGAGGTGGCCCGTGAGGCGGGGGGTTAGCTTACGCCGATGGCAAAACGGAGGCCCGACGGCTATAAGGTGGACCGCACCGCCACGACCCGTACGATAAGTCAGCATAGACTCTCGTACTGAGCTCCTCATATTGCATCATTGTTCCTGATATCACTAAGGCTATTCGGAGATTAAAACTCATATATAAGGATGAATTATTCTTTGAGTAGATCGTTCACTTGTCAAGTTTTGAGGATCCTGTAGACAGTTCTTATCCCTTACCACACGAGCTTCGCCATCACCTATCTTCTACCCAATCACTCACTCGCTATCCATCTACCCATGTGCCACTGGTTTTGGAAGCCATAGGCTAGGGCGCCGCTTGAGCTAACGAATATGATTACTCCCTTGAGCCTCTCTAGTCCACGGTTTCCAGACCTTCTCGAAACGCGGGTACTAGATATCATTGCGTCTAGTAGTTACGTAGTCTAAGCCTGTAATACGCAATCATTAAGTACCCAACCTTATCATGTGTCTTTCAATTGCAATAGGGTCACAAATACGGATGAGTATTGCGGGGGTCGGCTGGGTAAGGTAACCCAATGTGAATAACCCTCAGTATTCTCAATGTTTCAACTAGGCACTGGGATTGTAGGCTTTAACACTCATGGCAGAATATGTTAGATGCAGACAATATCGAAGCTTGGGTCCGTCTTAGCTACTGATTCCTGATGGTGCCTTACAAAGGCACACAATACATTTACCTATTTTGTTCAGCTACAGTGAGACGAGCATAGTCGTAAATAAACGACGTCCGCATGTAGGCCCCTACTGTAGGTTCAAGTCTCGCTACCGACCCATTTACAACAGCGTCAAGGGGCCTGCCCCCAATATGTCTACGCGACACCATTGGTTGATAATCCAGGGCTTGCGCATATTTGACCTGCCAAATGAAACAACAATGATAGCATAACTTTGGACTGCTAGATTCTTTGAATTCTCTCCGTTGGGCGCTAGGAGGGTTGTATTGGGGTTTGCGTATGGGATATATTTTCTCCTTTTACTCCCACATGCATATGATAGATCCCGAGAGTGAGAACATTTCAGAAGGCAACAGTCTGATAGCGTAAAAACTCCAATTCATTGGTCCTACGTGGAGCCTTACATCAATCTCACATAATGTGGAGAGACGTGGCTTTCGGTACTTGGAATTATGACCAGTCATAGTGTGTAATCTTTCCGTTCACGGGTGTAGCATGCATACAAATGCAAGTATCCGATGTAGCCAACTGCATTTGAGACCGGAGTCGCAGGAAGCCTTGGGGACTACGCTACCCAGTTCTCTTTCGTGATATAAGGCTGGAACCCCGCATTCATGAAGAAGATTCTCCTGCCTTTCTCACTTCCAGCCACACCCTAACTGATTGCCTGAAATAGCCGAAATACAGCTAAGAACCATTAACAACATCTTTCAACATGGGCGTTCCAGATTACGTCCTCGATCCTGATGGTGATGTAATAATCACTCTCCGCAACTTCGACGGGCCATTCCCTCCCCTGCCATTTGAGGAAGAGCTAAACCCCTGCGGAACCTCGGGAAATATAACCTGGTGGTCTAGTCTTGATGATGATGCACAGCTGTCTGCCAAACGGAAAAAGGACAAAAAGAAAAAGAGGCCTAGGCGGCTGAATGAAGAGAGAATTGTGGAAATCCAGCCTGTTGCACAAAATTCTTCGACTGTTCACGAAGTGCAGCCAGAACAGGATCCCGAACCGGATCCCGAGGTACCTGCTGCTGACGCGACAGAAGTGATCGAGGTAATTGATGCCACCAATGTCGCATTTCCGTTTCCAGAAGAAGTTGTTGAGAGTGAAAAGGAAGACTGCACACCACCTCCCGAACCGTGTGTACTTTTCCAAGTGTCCTCAGCTCATCTAAGACTTGGATCTCGCTACTTCAAGAACGCGTTAAACGGGCCTTTCAAGGAGTCACAGCCGGGCACTGATGGATTCCGACATATCGACGCGGAGGGTTTTGATACTTATGCGTTTTTGACAGTAATGAGGATACTTCATGGTCAGAACCGCGAAGTCCCTAGAAACGTCAAGTTGGAGATGCTAGCAAAGGTTGCTACAGTCGTCGACTACTACGAATGCGACGAAGTACTTGAACCATTCACTGAGATATGGTACCCTCAATTTGGGGGGTTACCAGCCCCTGAAACCGTTGATAAAAATCTCATCATGCTTCTTTTCGTTTCTTGGGTTTTTAAGTGGTCGGAAGTATTCAAGACCGCGACGAAGATAGCCCGAAACCAAAGTAAAGGACCACTGAGTACTATGGGCTTGCCCATACCAGACCGCATCATTTGTTAGTACAAATCTAGACCGCCTTGGCTGTTCTTTGCTGAAACTCCACTAGCTGTTATCGATCACCAGAGACGAGATACACTTCACGCTATCAGTAACGCGCTCAAGAGTCTGCTTGATCGCTTTCGTCAAGAACAGCCCCATTGTTCCGAAGCGTGCTCTTCAATGTCGCTCGGTTCTCTTGAGAGGCAATTGATGTATCAAAAGGGCCTTCAGTTCCATCCATCTTCAAGTAGATCTTTGGCAGGTTATAGCGTGGCATTTGCGATAAAAGCTGTTCAGGGACTCAAAACCCCCAGTTGGAGAGATGGGTCTTATCTTCATAGCTGCAGCTCCAGCCTTGAGTCACTTTTGAAAGGGCTGATGGTTAACATCAAAGAATACGAAGGCTTTGACTTGGAGTATTTCGAGTATGGAGGCAAAAAGAGACAGCCATTTACGTTCAGGTCACCGCTAGATTCTACACCAAGTAACTCAGCAACACATCCGGGCTCTATCATGGTATGGTGATGGGGGTGCTCGGCGGCTGGGGATTAGCCATGATATAATTTTTCCTTATGCATCAATGCTCAACGACGGGTTTCACATCCTCAATTAGGTAGAATGAGAAATAAGAACTAAAATTGAAGGATTTTCAGGTTTATTGGCATTGGAAGCCTTCATCTTCCACAGCCGCGTCCAATACCCTATCGTACATTGTCTTTACATCATCATCTTCCCAGGTACTGCCATCGTACTCGTGAGCCCATGTCGCCTTCTTATGTGAGTGAGATTATCCCTGTAGTCGTCCTTTGTTAAATCTGCGTGCAGTTTAGGTACGGTTCTCCACTAAACTACACCTTGCCCTGACAATCCTTCATAACCTTTAGATATCTAGCCTAGGACCTACTTGCACCTACCTTTACCTTTGCACCTGTTGCCTTTAATCAATACTTTAACCATCTATAATTCCATACGCTTATAACTTGGCGCTTTTCTTACCTTGCTGTTCTTACAATTATTACGAAAAAATGGACCTATCTGGAGTCATATGTTATATGTAAGCCAATTGAATTTGGATGGAATTACCCTACTAATTTAGTTGTATGTAGTATAGCAAATACGTTGGCAGATAACCGGCAAGTAGTTATAGACTGATAACTGTACAAATAACCTTGCTCTTTTACATGCCTGACCATTGAACTATCTCCACTCCCTCGGGGTAACTTCTGCCCTAGTGCTTCCTTGCCCCTGACACAATGACTCCTATCACTGTGGAAACCGGGCTTGTCACCTCACGATAGAACTCACGTCATCTTGCTCGTCCAAGTCGCTTTAGGAATCCTTGGCTTAATCCTTACCCATATGTGACAATTTCAGGCAGATCAACTCCACAACTGACTGACTCACACGGCCAGCAACACCCGGATATATGAAGATGCTAGCTGGCTCGTCGTGAAAAGGTCATGAGACTACTTTCAATCAAATTGAGATGTAAATGTGATATCAATACCTTTCATTTCTAGTTCACTCTTTTGCGATGTCTACCCCACAGTCCACCGGCACCTCGTACACCCACGAGCCAGCATGGGATTCCGGCCATCTCAAAGTCGGATCCATTCACGAGATCTACTATGAACAGTACGGCAAGAAAGACGGGCTTCCTGGTAAGACGAGTTCTCCGAATGATTAATTGTTTCGCATCCTGATACCATTCACAGTGATCTTTCTTCACGGAGGGCCCGGTGCCAACACATCGCCGCAGAACGCCAACTATTTTAACCCTGCAGTCTACAGAGTGGTTCTGCTGGACCAGCGCGGCGTAGGTAAATCACGTCCGAAAAACGAGCTGAAGGAGAACACGACGCAGCACCTCTCCGACGACATCGAGCGACTGCGCGAGCACCTCGGCATCGCGAAATGGCACATGGTGTTCGGCGGGTCGTGGGGCAGCACGCTAGGCCTGTTCTATGCGCAAGCACACCCGGACAAGGTCGGATCCCTCGTGATCCGCGGCGTTTTCTTAGCGACTAGGGCCGAACTCTACGGGCCCGGAGCAGGCGACGCCGCAGCCATGTTCTTCCCGCAAGAGCGCGAGGCCTTCCTCTCCTTCCTCCCCGAGAACGAACGAGCAGACCCTGCTAAGGCGTACTACGATCGGATTATCTCGCCCGATCCTGCAATCTCTCGCCCGGCGGCGGTCGCGTGGAGTCGTTGGGATATGACGACGGGGACATTGAAGCCTAATACAGAGTCTATAGGGATGCTGGATGATCCTGAGTGGTGCTATACGCACTCGCTTTTCGAGAATCATTACCTCTTTCAAAATGGGGCTTTCATAGAGGACGGGCAGCTCTTGTTCCCTGAGAATATGGCGAAGATCAAGGATATCCCAGGTGAGTGGTCTTCCGGATATGTAGAACCTGCGCGAAGTCAACTGATGTCCTGAATAGGGGCTATTGTCCAGGGGCGCTATGATGTGCTCTGCCCGCCAGTGACTGCTTGGAAAGTGCACAAGGCGTGGCCTAGGTCTTCAATACACTTTGTTTCTGATGCCGGGCATGCTGCTTCTGTGAGTATAGCTATCACGCACGTGTACTATAGAACCTCGCTGACTTCTCTAGGAACCTGGGACGGCCGCAAAACTCACGCAAGTGTGTGACGAATTGGCGAACCTATGAAGTATGAATCACTTGTATTCAAGGCTGGAATCTTAGCAAAAGAAACTATGTCGGTTGTCGATTTAGGAATTTATTTAAGGGTGATAGGAAATGGGTCAGACTGAAACTCTTGCAGTAATTACACCAGGACTACATTCACTACATATAAGGCAAGATGTTTGCATTTTAATCTTTGTCACGATATCCTCGGTCAGGAAGTCGGTAGATAGCCACATCCGTTAGGATCAGACGGAATTCTATTCAGCATCTTGGAACTTTTTGAGATTGCATATCAAGATAAAGCGAAGTGTAGCCTAATACTTCCTTTCGTATTGCGATGTGACTCCAACTGTGTGAAGCATTGATGTCAAGATAGTACCACCAAGTGAGCTGATTACATTGCCAACCTCGCTTCCGTAGTCTTGAAGAATCGAGGAACAATAGGATCGATTTCTTCAAAGGGCAGATCATGCCGCACCATCTGCGCAACCCCTTTTCCAAGCAAGAAGCTCATCGTCATACCGCCACCATTAAACCCTGCTATAATCCACTGCCCCTTTCTCCCCGGCACCTCGCCTCCGTGTGGGAATCCATCGGTCGTTGAGCCCATTACTAGGCAGATATGTGTCAGCATTGAAAATGGAAGAGTAAGTCGCGATAGGTCATGACGATGTGCAGGTAGACTTACTTCCAGTCCAAATCTTATCAACCTCCGTCCCACTGTCTTCCCACCCCCTGAAATTCCTCTGCATATACCCTTCGACACATTTTCCGCGAAATCAGCATCTATCAGCTGTCGCGAGCGCGTCCACGGCTGTCCCGCGTATTCACCCCACGCCTTCCGCAGCGCCGCGGCATCTTTCTCGTTAGCATACACGTCGTAGCTGCGACGCAGCTCAAACTCGCAGTCCAGGCCCTCGCGCTCGACGACGTCTTTGTACGCGTCGATGTGCGCGCCGACGAAGGCGGTCAAAATCTCTACTTCTTCGGTCTGATCTTTCTCGAGAAGTTCCAGAATCGATGTCGTCTTCACTTTTGCGTGGCCGCCATTTCGTCCCGTGGCGCCGGAGCACACCTGACGAGCCTCGAGGAGGAGGATAGAGGGAGGACTGCCCTCGCCTTGCGATAGATGGTATGCGACTGAGACGCCTGAGATACCGGCGCCGATGATGACCACGTCGGCTTGTGAGGGTAGGTCCTCGGTTGAATGGTGCGAGTCTAGAGGGTGGAGATCAGTCCGCCAATACGGAGTGGTGGGGTTGGGCACTGGTAGATAGGAGTTTGGGGCAACTTGATCAGTTGAGGAAGACATTGTGCCTTTCTGGTGCAAAAGTTCTTGGTGATGTATCTCATTTACGTCCGACTAGTCGCCATTTAAGTACATTAGCAATTGAATATCGACTCATAGACTTCGTAATCTGTCGATGAGCAGGGCGCGGGTGCCTAAAGGCGTTACATCATGCTTACGCGGCAGTCCTAGTCTTCATCAACACTTCTCAGGGAGGTTAATGAGCCCCAACTTCTTTGCATGTTAAGCCTTATCGTGACTCGCAAGCTCATGACGCGATACTCTACACGACCTGCTTCGGAGGATATACAATCTGCAGGATTACCCCTCTCTTTGGGACCCTTGTTGTGCAAGCGGGTTGGATACCGGAGCTAATGAACTACCTAGGGCTACTTAGTTGTGGCCCACCCCTTTTCCCAACGACTTACCCTAAAACACAACATGTTCTCATTCATCTAATTGCCTAACTTACAAGTAGCTTTCATTAGGATTACTGCTGCCTAAATTGCGTATGCTCCACATCCATTTACATGACAGCGTCCTTGCGCTGAGTCGAATCATGGATTCTCGACAACGGCAGCGGTCAACACCTATGACCTTTCAGTGAAAAGAATAGTTGGAATCAATCTATTGCTAAAAAGAAGTTAGTAGTTTTATATAATGATACATATTTTCTACACGTAATACAGCTAATCCCCAACACTCTAGATCTAAGGGCGCCAGAGGCGACCTAAAATGCAACCATTAGTCTACCTCTCACTTAATCTGGATCATATGGGATAATCTCACGTCGTTCAAAAGGATACCGTTTCTCTACCCTTCGAGGTGGCATGGGAGGATTTACAGGACCGGGCTGACCGTCATTGTATCTCCCGAGCCCGGCTCGGCGATATCTGGAGCGCAGGCCCCGACGCCCTGGCCTTCCGGCGCCGCCGCGGCCACCGTTGTCTGGAAGTTGATTGCCCATGGCTGTTTGTAGTGAACATGTTAGTTGATATTTTCAACCTCAGAACCGTATATCATAGGGAAAGGGAGTCATGATGATCAATAACTGGGGGTTTCATGAGAGCAGGGTGAGAAACGTACGTTTGAACGTGTGGTCCGGTAGCGGGTTGACGGGCGGGACACCGATAATCTCTGCAGGTTGCCGCTGCTGTTGTGGTGACATCTGCGACAGCCCTTGTGGTTGTTGGGTAGATTCGTTAGGAAGATTTGCCAGGATAGCCTCGACTTCATAATCACGATCAAGCGGGGCATCGTGAAGAACTTTCTGAAACCAGGTTAGAACCCGCTGGTCCGTCCAGCCGAAGTTGCCCTTATCCGTTATCCCCATCGCGCTGAGCTGTTCAAACGTGTATCTGTATTTGATTTCGTGCGCCTGCAGACGCATGACTACTTCGATGAGCTCCGGGTCGACGACGTCCCTCGCCTCTTGTAGGTGTGCGCCGTAGGTGTAGTATTCTTCGTGTGGCGGCTGGCAGCATTTAACTAAAGTTGGCGTGGGTGGTGATGCTGGGTAGCATAATGTGATGAGGGTTTCCATCACCTGTTTTTTTCCTATTAGCTCACTCTTTTAAAATGAAGGACGTTTATTCAATTAAGGAGCGATGTTTAGACAGATTATACTTACTAAGCCCACAGCCCAGAGATTCGTGTGCATGCCGTAGTTACCAGCAATGCGGTGTAGATGCACCTGGTCATCATCGGGGTCAATGTAGTCCCAATCCTCGCAGAATTGCTCCTAACAGATCATTAACTATGTTCCTTATTGGTAATTGAGAAGGAGACGAGGTACTTACGGGCGCGTAAAAGCCACGTTTGCCGTAGTATCTAAGTCTTTCATAATAACTACGCCGCGTGTTTAGCATTTCACTCCAGTTCTAAAGCGATTAGAACTTACAAGTTTTCTTTCCCATTCAAAACTTCAGTAGCTAACCCAAAGTCTCCAAGCTGCCGAAGTTAGTTGACCTGTCCTTCCGGCCTTGTCTAGGATGATTGTAATTCATTACCTTAAGAATTGGCGCGCATCGATGCTCAGCATTTGTGGCAATATCTCCAATGAAGACTTAGGACCTTATATCAGTAGTGTCCATTTGTACCTTATGGTGATCAAAACTTACTATTCCTAGGGTCAAAATCAAAATGGCAGATACGCCTTGGCTCAACATTATGCTCTGGAAGGGGGACATTCTCCGTGATAGGAGGAGGAAGAGTTTTGAATTGTTCAATACTGTCGGGTGGATAGGCTAGCCCAATACACATTCTGACCACTATATGTCCTGGGTTAACTTAGCTCTCGCGAGATTGCCGCCTCATAGTATAAATGAAATGGATAGGTCTCGGCACAGAAGACTCACGGCATAAAAGAAAACGCCAAAGGACTACGTTGGGGACAGTTTCCCCGTTTTGCCTCACTTTGGCTATAAATTGCGATAGATCCCCGTTCTCTAGCATTTCTGTTACAAAACAGTTGAGCCTCGGTTCTCCTGTTGCTACTCTCCGTTTCCTCCTGGATGATGAGTCTTCATTAGATTCGTCGGGTGATGACTCTGATCGTTGCTGTCTCTGGCCAGTTTGGGTATCCGTGGACTCGTCCGAATCCTCGCTATCAGTTTCAACCTCAACCTCATTTTCGAAACCGTTATATAGGAGCTGAACAATATGTTCGGCATTCTTATATTCCTATCTTCATATGTCAGATTTGGCTCATCAGCCAGAAGGCTGTGACTGGCTTTAATGATGATAACTTGCATTTACTGCTCAAAAGGGGAAGCGGTTAGCACATGGTTGAGTTCCACTTCTGTAAGAACAGGGGTTTGTTATGTAGAATGTGGACAGACTCACACATTTCTGTTTCCCTCTCTAAATTCTCTACATCGGCTGAGAATAGCATTTTCACAACGACAGATCTCCATTTCCCCCCACCGTCGTTATGCATTTCATCAAACACTGCCGCCATCCCGTTACCACCCCACCCCAGAGTTCTGTCATACTGGAAAGTTTGAACCCTATCTTCAAAGTAATCTCGCATCATCCGAGACCGTCGCCAGGGGATTCTGTACTTGGATGGTACAAATGCTTCATTGGAGTACAAGTCGAGATTGTATCCCTTATCATTTACTTGGTACATATGGTAGTTTGGCTGTACGGGGGGAAAGAATACTGGTCCATCCGGCTCGCCGGACAGAGGTAATTCCACATGTGCGTCCTGGTGCTCGGGATTGCGTTCATCGAATGGTTTGCCCAGACGGTAGGTTCGAAACACATTATGCAACCGGATCCGGATTTTATCCTGCTGCTATAGTCTAATGCATGAGTACCGTTCCAGCCACAACGATAACTTCCCGGTGTGGGAAGCATTTTACGATTTAGGATACGGGCGAGAAGGGGGGAAGCCAGGAGGCCGCTTAGACATTACTTACCCGTTGAGATGGGATGAATGAATGCATCTTGATCCTACGGCCAATGCGATCAAAGCCAAAACAGTAATAGTGAGCAGCAAGGAGATAGCCAGTTCAGACTGCCAAGTTTAAAGCTAGCGGCACATGCTTCGGAATGGGAATCAAACCAAATATAGACTCAATACCTGTCCGAAGGCATTGGCATTGGTAGTACTTGGTTACGAATAGCCATAGAGGCTGAGACACAAAGAGAGATGCAGTGCCTTGGTTAAGCTATCAAAAGCTAAAGGGCTCGAGACAAACGTTGTAATGACAATGGCCCGCATCCGGGCAGTACTTATATGCTTGACTAAAGAGCTTCAATAGAAAGACTTTCGGTGTAATATCAGAAATTGCACGGCATAATCCAACAGTTACATATTGACAATGAATAGACCCCCTTTTTTTTTTTTTTTTTTTTTTTTTTTTTCCTTTTCTCAATCCTCTTCACTTAGGTCACGCTGAAAGTTCGAGCTACACCAGACGTAATTTATATCCATTCACCTATGTTCTTATTCAAGCAGAAGAGCCAAGAGCCCCGAAAGTTATATCTTTTGGTGCGATGGTACTCCGTAGTTGAATAGTTTACCTAAGGTAGGTCGTGTAATCGAAATGGGATCTACTGTAAGAGCAACTATTCGCACTGTCTCCCAAAAGTGAATTATTATTCAATTATACTACTATGCGTGCAATATTATGCATTAATTCAAGCAAATGTAAGAAAGAAATAAAGTACTTAGCTACACTCTTGAACCACGCTAGACCAGGATGATCCCGACCCCACCAAAATTTCGATTTCCAGGGTCCATCTTTGCTTCGATACTCGCCGCCGACATCGACCTCAAATTACATTGTACCAATCGAATCGCAAACCAAAAAACAACACCGACTTCATACACACAAGGAACCTAATCGCCAACAGCCCAAAACCCACACATACCACCACACAAACCCCCATCAATCTCTCAAAATCTCAAAAAAGAAGAAACGATAAAATGCCCTCCGTCAAAAACCCCAACGGCCCCTCCAAGAACCGCCTCGCCGCAGCGCGCGCCTCAGCCCGCAAGACATCAGCCAAGCAGCTCTCGCGCAAGACGCGGGAAGCCCAGCACAAGATCAGTAAAGCGGACGCGTCGCGCGGCGCGCGCACAGGGCTCTTGCCGACGAGCGGGCCGAACAAGGCGCTCAGCGCGAAGAAGGCGAGGAAGCTGGAGCGCAAGATGGGGTATGCTCTGAAGCGGAAGATGGAGGCCGAGGGGGAGGTCGAGATGAAAGGTTCGTTGATCGATATCCCACTTTTCTCCGGTTTGGTTTTATTTCGTACTCCGTGGTGTTTTTTTGGTACTTTTCTATCTGTCTCCGGAAATGAGTTAGTTGAATGAAGTCGAGTCGATGGGTGTGGATGGTGATGGATGTTCGCTAATACTTGTGCTTGTCTGCTAGATGTTGCAGAGACGAAGGACCAGAAGAAAGGGAAGCAGGGAACGGCTACCGAGGACGATATGGCTGTCGACACGGACAATATCTCATGAGCGGGTGTAACGGAAAAAAAAAAGGAAAATGAGAGAGATATAACATGCACTAGCACGGAGAGGAAAGTGGCATTGATCAGCTCTAAGGTCACGAACCTAACGATTTTTCCGCCGGGCACGCGATTTATTACATGGTCGCTGTGTTAGGATCGTTCTATGGTCAAGAGCAGCCGAAGGTTATCATGTCTGCCGCTTCAGGGTTCTCATGGCTGTATATCAAGCGAGCCTAATGAGGTCAATATCCGACCATACGATCACGACTACCGTCGCATGAGGCGTTGTTGATCGGTGGCTCGTCAGGTCAGGCGTGTTCTGTGGACAAATCCAAAGTTATGAGAAGACGGGTCCTGCCTATACCAGCACCGTCTGGGGTCATGAAGAAGACCAATCTAGCGTCTTTCAGATAGGTAGTTGGAATCTGTATGTTGACATCAATGTATTGACCAAAACCGGTCTTCGCAGACACCCTATATAATACATGATATAATGTACAGTAGCCTCGCCTCCAAGCGTAGACTCGCCTGTCTGTCTGCCCGTCCGTCTATTATGTGTCTCGATGAGCTGTGTATATAATTCGTTACCGTTAAGAATATATGCTGCCATATATATAAGTGTGCGTATATAAACGTTGCGAAAAGACTTCTGGCCTAGCCCATTGAAAAAAAACAAATGCCGTAACTGTGAGGTGGTGGAACGAAGGATGGGGTATCAATGACGACAACAATCGCATCAAACCAACTCCGAATGCTTCATGCAAATATCTCTCTTCACCTCCGCGCTGTATGTATAGAATTCGCAAAAACGACACCGCCTCGCCGTGTGTAGCCATTGCCTGAGTGAATTTTTCTTTTGTAAATACTTGAAACTCCGGGCTGGTTAGTTTCGCAGGGTCGTTATGATCTGTGGCAAGATCTCCTCTGCTTACCTACCCATATATATCTATAGACTCCCATTAGCATTGCGTAATGCTTGGTGTCATGAAATCTGGTCGTGTTCCGTGAAATAATGTGATATGATGCTGCATTGTGAGCCAGCTGGGGCCCAATTCGCGGTTCATGCGTGACCCTAATATCGGGCGATCTCGCGCATTTTTGTCATTTATATGCAGACCGGTTCCGTCGCTCTCAGCTCGAAAACATGAGTAACTCAGAAAAAGACCCATTCTTGGAACCATGTACTCCAAGGACGGCTCATAGTATTTGGCGACCTCAGCCTGTTTTGACAAAAATTGGGGATGTTTCGTGTCCTGCTGCCATCACACTCGCATCGGCAACCCACACCGCCCTCAATCTCGGGTGCCCAAGACTCGTTAGCCTTGTTCAATGTCTTCGACTCGGGTAACTGCCCTCCAGGCGCATTGGCGGGGCATTGGTAAAACGTGTCATGTCTGTAGCCAATGTCGGCAAAGTGGTGAATCTGGTGCGGCTGAGCCAGCATATTTACGGCCAGTGTATGGATTGGCGCATCCCCCCACTGATTTGATAGTTAGTAGTGAATTATTTCACGGTGTTTTGACAAAATCGAATCAAAGCATTAGAAAGATGACATTAATGCTGCAGTCATGGAGAAATTAGGGGGGAGGGAATCATGAGAGGAGCATACCCTTTCATAATAAAAGCCACCATCCTGATCGAGCATGCGGAAAAGCGATTGATATCTTTCGCTACGGAAGAAATCCAAATCTGCAATTTCAAAATTACTCCAGTAATGACAGGTGTTCCACCCATCTCCGTATTTATCCCGGTGCGAGAACCAGCTCAGGGAGCTACGGAATGGCCAAGGGACCCAAGATGGGGTTATTCCGGCTTTCCACATGGAAGTCGAGGCGATGTTTTGAGACTCTTTCCAGTCTGACACTTTGCGGAAGAGAGTTGGACATGTGCGTTTCTCCTCCCACAAAGCTATGGTATAGCCGTAGACCTTCTTGTGACGAGCCATTTCACGGAATGGATCGTAGGTGATGGCGCAGGAGAAATCGACATCAGGTTCCAACCTCCAGTACCACCTGTATTTCTTGAGGGCCTCGACCTGGTAAAAATATCTGTATTCGTAGAGCGTCAGCATTAATTTTCTGTGTACAATTGACGCTAGAATTAGGAGTGGAAAGCGTACCCTGAAAAGAAGCGACACATGTGGTGGTATGTTTCCTTGCCGGCGTACAGAATGCCGGCTTCACCTTGGGCTTTAATGCTGGCCTTAGCATCGTTCTCATCTATCCACTCCGGGAACAGCCACTCTTCCTTTGGTACATATTCGAAGATGGTCTCGGCACTTGTGGTGGCGTTCAAAACGTCGATGAATTCTTTGCTCCATGGCTCGTCGTTCAGAAACACAATAGGGTACTTGAACCACTGATTGAAATGGCGCTCTAGACTGTCGACAGAATGGCGAGCCTGTTCAACCTCCTCATTCCGGGCGAGCATGACAATGGCGGCATTCTCGCGGGGAGCGTTGACCTCGGGTTCCTGGCAGGTGGCGTAAAAGGGGGTGTCGAGCTCACGGCTGGGGACGGGGACTCGGAAGCGAAGGCAATGGACGACGACTTCGAAAAAGACGCCAAGGAGCACGACCCATAAGATGGGCGACTTGTGGAGGCCGCGTCTTCGCAGGCGTTGCAAGCGCTGCGTGAATCGGTGATGTAGCATTGAAGCGTGTTGGTCGGGCGCACACACTGGACGGCCAAGTGCGCTGGCTCGCTGGCTCGCTCGCTCGCTCGCTTCAGATGGCGGACGAGGACAAGATAGGATAGGCAGTATTATGATGGATAGTATACCATGGTTTTCAAAACATTGCGCGCCAATAATGACAAAAACCCCGGCTATGAACAAAATCAGAACAGTCTGGTTGCCCGGGTCTCTCTTTTGGTTTAATTGAGTTTTTGGTTGTCGAGCATTTTCCTGATCGCGAAAGCAGATAAAAACGGTGCTGACCGCCGGTCACTCTGGCTGATAACAATTATAAGGCATGATGCGACCCCGGGGAACCCCTGCCAGATTTCAGATAGGGGGGGATGTTCGGGGTATCTTTAGCACGTTCTAGTGCGGTTAGGCAGTGAATCAGCGCCACTGGACCCTACCTACCTAGGTACCTAGGTACTGTACTGTAGGTATAAAAAGCGGGGCACCATGCTGCTATAATGCAGCAATGCATTAAGTAAATGCGCCGTGGCAGTGCTTACCCACGAACTGCCCTGCACGCATGCACGCGCTTGCGTCCGCGTCCCCTCCCTCGCTGATCCCCTAATCACATAATCAATCCCCTAATCAGAGGACTGGGAAGCACCGGTAGTTCTAGGTTACTACAAGTAGGTATGTAGTTATGCGGAGATGGCACCTTGAAGACAGAAGAAGAAGATGATGATGATAATGAAGATGAAGATGACGATGCGCCATTGGTCCACTGCACAAAGGCGGGTTGGGGCTGGAGAGAGGAAGTGACGAGGGCGCCGTTACATTCTGTTACATTTCTCGGCTAACGCAGCTGCCCAAGCAGACAGTACTTACATAGTACTTTACTTGGTACTAGGGTAGGTACCGGGTCGACTGTAGGTAGCATCCATCGTCATCTCTTCTCTGGCGTCAGACTTCTGAGGCCAGGCAGCCGAATATCCCAACATCTCATCCAATCTCGTGCCAGACCTCCGACTTCTTAATCAGCCAACCTCGTATCTGCTTCGCCATGTTATAGCCTTGTATTGTAAAACATGTCATCTTAGGGGATCCCCCGCGCCTCGACACAGCTCGCCCCATCTTCTCTTCAACCCAATTGAGCCCTCGATTGAGCTGACAAGAATCGTATAAATCATTTCCGGCCACGCATGGCATTCGCCTTCGATCGTCAATATTCTCCTCCCTCGTCCTGCTCATCCCCTGAAGTGCCTATCCCTTATTATGCGCTCATGATCCAATTGCCTTATTGCCGACCAAGAAAGACACAATCCCCTCACGCCCACTCGATGCGAGGGTATGTCTCGTTGGCTTTCTAAAACCTACACGATGCGCTGGGATGGCACGTCGCTCCTCCGCCGTCGACGAACCTCCTCCATCCTCCTGATCGTCCTCGTCCTGCTCTTCGCCCCCTACCTATGGCCCTTCCTTTACGACTTCGGCGATTGGTTGCGTCAGACCAACCCCTGGTCGGCGCAGTACAGGGTCCAACAAGACTTCGTCTCAACCCAAGATGAACTAGAATGTCTTTTCGGCAGAACACGCCCTACTACTACTACGATTACCACCGACATTGAGCCTATACCAAACCATGTCCACTTCATCTTCGGTCTCAGAAATCCCTATGAGGACCCTCGTGTCGGCACCTTCGACTTCATCTCCTATCTCGCCGTACGCAGTGCTATCGTCGGTATGCGCGCCGATAATATTTCCCTTCACTATACCTACCTCGCCGATCCGCCCACTCCAGAGCCCAACAAGGACCCCTTATCCAATCGCTGGATAGACCTTTTGAAGAATGATATCACACTCGTCTATCACTCGCCAGAGGAGATGGACGCCTTGAAAAATCAACCTGGCGCCCACTGGCAGGCCGCTCATATATCTGACGTCTTGCGCCTCAAGTTACTTCAAGAAGAGGGCGGAATATATCTAGACATAGATGCCTTTGGTCTTCGTCCCTTTACGGACCTTCTGCGATCACCTCGCGATATCATCATGGGTCACGAGGGAGGGGACCGCGGCGGCCTCTGCAACGCTATCATGGTGGCCCGCAAAAATAGTACATTCATCGATCGTTGGGCCGCCGAGTACAACAACGTCGATCTTTCACGAGAGTGGAATTTCCACAGTGTTGTCCTCCCAAAGCAGCTCCAGCTGCAAAATCCTGAGGAGATCTGCGCTTTACCTCCTTCAACCTTCTTCTGGCCTACCTGGACCTGGCACCACGTTCACTGGATGCACGAGCCCCTTACACGACAGCAGGCTCGTCAATGGGATATCGAGATAGAACGGAACGGGGGAAGTTTGTTCGGTGAACAACTCGCCTACCACGCTTGGAGTCAGATGTCATGGGATCGTTTCCTCAGCAAACTCACGCCCGAGAAAGTCCGTACACGTGATACGCGCTTCAATCTGTTAGTCCGGAGATTCTTGCAAGATAATGTAGGCTCGGTCTGGCAATAGTATGGCCATGACAATAGGACAGCCACATCTTAGCATGTATCATGTTGATGATGGGCATAGACATTGAAAGATCACCGTTTTGGTGTTAGAACATTGTATAACACGTTTATACGTTTACAACATGACGTTTGGGCGCGCAATTGGATTATCCCATAGCAGCTACAGCGGTTTCACGCGGCGCTCTAGGAACATGTTATCATAGTCATATACCTGAATGATTCCCCCTATTTGTAAATACTAGATACCAATTCTTCTTTGCAATAAATGGCACAAGCCTGCATTGATAAGACTAGATATATATTCCTTCTTTTATATAACTTAGATTGTGAGTTGATACACGATGCCATAGGAATTTTAATGATACGTCGAGATTAGGGTATGTTTCTGTTTCTAGTTCATAACCTCCTGTCAGCGCATCGCTAGATGCATCTCCTCCCCTTATGGTAATTGTAACAGCCCTGTACATAACAATTGTTACTTAGCGGGTGATAAGGGATATCGAGATGGATTAGTTTTTATCTTATAAATAGACGCCACAGTACAAAAATAGATCTACTTATGCCGTTACATATAGCATGATATATAGCTTTACTTAGAGTTGGCCTGTTAAAGGTAAGGCTAGGTAAGTCGTTTGTTAATTATAATATAGTAGGAATATGGGTAACCTTATTTGACTATAAGAAATGGGAGCTCTAGGTAGTAGTTGAGTTTGTGGTAACAGGAGGCCTTGAGAAATTACTTTGTAAACTTAGCCGCCGATGAACTTGATATATTATATGGGACAGGTGGTGGTTAAGATGTGCTTTACCTGCTTGGATCCTGATAATACTGATTTCGGCGACGAGTCCGAGTTTTTGGATAAGGATGGCGTGTTCGTCGGAATGCGATATATTGAAAAGGCCAGTTTGGCGTAGGCAGCACGAACGGCCATTGCTTGAGCATCTGCGCTCGGGCTAGCAATACCCATCGTACGTCCGTTGTTGGTTCGAGGTCGTACCGGGAACCACGGCACGGAGTTCCCTACCACAGGTAATCTATATCCAAAAGGAGCCTATAAAGGTCTGCCGGTTCCGTGTCAACTTCATTCCACGCGGTGTCATTCTTGCCATACAGATTCTACAGACGGTTATCGAGGTTCTCAAGATCTTCGCAGATCACTTTCGCAAAGCCCAGGTAGGCGATATCAGGTATCCTCTAGAATCGGCGAACAAGACTTACGTCTCAGATCGGACTACTCTAGTCTCGAGTGGGGGTTAGAGTCGGGGACATAGAGAACCATCTTGCTTTCACGACATCTGCATTCGCCCACGGTAACATCAAGGCGGTTGATAATGTCTGCAGAACGTTTCACATCAGTCGTAAAGCTTTAGTTGACTTGAGAAAGGCTGCTTCCCGCAAGTTCCCACGTCGCAGTGATGATTGGATCTCCACTGGTGATGCATTTGCTGCACTAGTCTGGCGAAGTATTCTGGTCGCGAGGCACCGCGCGGGAGTTCTCTCCACTGATGCTGTCGCCAAGTTTGGCCAGCCAGCCAGTCGACTGCTGAAGGTTCCTTGGACTGTCCAAGCGGTACTTTGGAAACGCATTCTACATCATGCGGACCGATATGCCATTTGACGTGCTCAGGGATCCACGTGCCGGCCTCCGCACCGCTGCGAGCCTTCACTCCAAATTCAACATATACGATATGGACTTCGGACCGGCATTTAGGGACAGCTGCGTCAAATCTTCCCGTCATCCGGAAAGAGGGGTTATAGTGGGCTCTGTGATCGTGATGCAGATATGCCCGGATGGCTCTTGCGAATTCACCATTACAGAGTTCGTTGAAACTCTTAAATGTCTCGAAACCGACGCCCTGTGAACTCGTTATACCGGCAAGCGAGACAAATCGGAGGCGATAGACAAGCCCTTACGACTCCCAGCCGGCCAGGTTCTTTCCAATGGCACAAATACTCAAGCTCAACACACACTCAACGACTTTGTCAATCCCCGCTGGACAGCCCCAAGGGATGACGCAGCAACGGTATCAAATGTAGCAACAATCACTCGACCTTGTCCGACCATCCTATCTAGCAGCGTCGACGCACCCCACGTTGGGTAAATTGTGATCCTCGAATTCAACCGGCCGAAAGCGAGAAACGGTATTTTGAAGCAGTTGTTGCAAGACCTAGAGCGGGAACTTTACCATGTCTATGACAAGGCGAGTCGGAGCGAAGTGAGGGCTCTCATCATCGGTAGCACGCACGACAAGGTCTTCTGCGCTGGGGTAGATCTCAAAGATGAGGGCTTACTTTACGTTGTCAGCAGGGATGAGAAAGACGCCAAGACCTATGTCATGTCAGCAACACGATAGCGATGATGAATGTGACAACTATGAGCCAGTGGTATTCATCGGCATACTTCGTGCGATGCGTGCGAATCTGATACCCAACTCTGATTACTTACTTACGGTGGTATATTATGGCAAAGTAAGCATAATCAAGCAAACAAGCTTCACGATCAAGTAACGCATGGTTACGTTGTCTGTAAGCCAAGACGACGAATCTCGATCTCGTCTGGGTCTGTCTGGGGTAACAGTGCGTCCCGCCCCCAGAACCTGCCTGCGCCTGTGCCTAGAAATTCTGGAGCCGACCTACAGTGGGGGAGCAAAAAAAAGGTACCATCGTGAATTCGCACCAAAAAACGCGAAAACTCACACTTTTCAATTCCAACTTACTCAAAATTCTAAGTGATAATAAATTATTAAAAAATCTTTATATATAATACTTAATAAATCATTTCTTTTATTATAAGTAAAAATTGATTTGTTATAATAGAACATGATTTATAATATATTTTAATAATAGTAAAAATAAAAATTTTATATATTATATTTAATAATAAAATTTAAAGCTTTGAAAGAAGAAAAGAAAGAAATTCTTAAAGTATTTATATAAAATAATTATTTCTCTATTTAGAATTATATATAAGTAATGTATAAGTTGTTATGTTAATTTTCTAGATTTTTTAAGAAATATAGTATTCTGCGAGTGGTTTTTCAAATTGTACCGTTTTTTTTGCTCGGTCACTGTACTGGTGTTGGGACGAACCCCACCACACCACCAAGCTGCGATGCCAAGGCGGCAATCAGCAAGTCAACTTCGCGTGCCATCATTCGATCGATTATCGATACACGCCGCCTGTATCTACTACATGCTGTGATTCTCCAGAAGGGCGGAAAAAAGAGAGGAAGAGAAGAACCAATGTCTGACGCACCAGAAGGCATCGTCGAGTACGCGTACGACAACATCACACAATGGTATCTGCAGTGGGTTGAGGGCCAGAAGTCCCCGCGGGACAGATACGCCAAGAGGCTCCTAGACGAGATGCCGCCGTCGCCATCCATCCTAGAACTCGGCTGTGGCCCCGGCGTTCCTGTCCTGCAACTGCTTCTCCACAAGGGAGCGCGCGTAGTCGCCAACGACATCTCGACGAAGCAGATCGAGATGGCCAAGGCCCGCTTCCCCGCCGCTGAGCTCATTGCCGGCGACATGACGGCCCTCAGTTTCGAGCCCGAGAGCTTCGACGGCGCCATCAGTCTCTACACGCTGTTCCACCTCCCGCGGGCCAAGCTCAAGGACATGCTCGTCAAGATCCACAGCTGGCTGAAGCCCAACGGCGTCTTTGTGTTCAACCTGGCGACCGTCGACGAGGAAGAGATCCATGGCGAGTTCTTCGGCTACGGAATGTTCTGGAGCAGCTTTGACGTCGACGCGAATCAGGCGTTGCTGAGAGAGATCGGATTCGACTTGCTGCAAGTAGATATATTCGAGGCTGGTGATGGGAAACTGGAAGAGGATGATCCGGACTTTGGCGCTGAGTTTATGTGGGTGGTGGCACGAAAGAAGGATTCTTCTCACGATGAGAGGAATGCCGATAAGGCTTAGGCGAGTCGTTATAAAAAAAGTCAAACGACCCTGGGTGACGGCGGCGTGAACTAGGCTTTGTATCAAGAGTTTCTACTTCCACTTTCTGTTGTGGCCTGAGGGCAACCCCGGCTGCCTTAGATTCCCCTTCTCAACTAGCGACTTCACCAAAATATGATAACGCATCACTTTCAATATCTCATCAATTGGTTTATCCCATTACAGGTTAAAAATCCTCTAATGATCTGAGGTGACCTTTAAATATATTCGGTTGACAAATAGAAGGGGGGAAAAAAAAATTAGCAACAGGGCTCTAACTTGAGGTTTCACTGACCAGTTCACAATGTGACCGTGATTTAAAAGTCACCAGTCGTGCTTATCTTAATTCAAGTTCTGTCTTGGAGTAGAATACGACGTGTAATACAAAATATTTCTTTTGTAGCTCGTGTAAGTATTATTATCCTGCTCTAGTCAAATGCAATCCAAAGGACACGGATCTACCGAATTTAGCCTGCCAATGCAGCTTAGTCGCAGAGGATTCAGTTGAGAACACGACTATGGGTGAGTTATGCAACAACGACTCGTCACCATAAACTTTGATTCATTATAGCCACGTGTCGCCATTTTTTTTACGCAACAAAAGGTATTAAGCTCAGTCACCAACTGAGGATGGCCGTCTCCTTATACGATACCCATCGCCAGCTTTCATGTCACAGACTGGGATGTCAGTGAGTATTTTCTTAATACTATTAATAAAAAGTGGTTAAATTGCTAACCGTGTTAAATTAATAATTAGTATCTACTCTAATAGGTGTCATTTATAAATTTAAACAGAATAGGGAATGGCATGGCATGGTTAGATCATCTTGTTAACCCTTTGTAAGTAAGCAAGCTACCCCCCAATCTCACCTTCTTTATCCTACGTAATGGTATTATCATGTTAAGGAGGAGTGATCTCTTTCTTAGTTTCCGATGATGGTGTGAAAGCACTTGTTAAGAGAACAAGGCCATTAGGGAGGGTAATCAATCGCTTTGTCTTAGGATTCTTATTGTGAGAATCGTGAATACAAATATTCGTTCGAAAGTCGCTGAATTATGCTACTCACGTTTGAGTATTAGACTAAATGTCAATATCAGCAATTCAGAGTTCAACAGTTCTATTCAGACAAAGTTCCAAAGTTCAATATTCAGCAGTGAATCAGTTCGTTGCCCTTGGTAACTCACTTCTCGCTTTTCCTACACATCACTCCACACCTAGACTTCACTCATATTACACATTCATTAATCACATCAATCCACCATGGACACTTCCAAACTCAAACTCCGCTTCAAACTCCGCCCCAACGAAGAAGTCGTGACATTCATGAGCATCCCCCCACGGCGCTATCTCCTCGTCAAATCTTCCAACACCTCTTTTCTCCAAGCAGTCCGCAAAGCAACCCATGAAATGAACATGCCTGTTCAGCACGTATATTCTTCAAATGGCACATTCGAAGGATTCCGCGCTCCGCATTATGTCATCGAGGACGTGCGATGGAAGATGGAAATGGCGGAGAAGGGAATGAGTATTGAGGCTAGTCCGAAGCAGAAGCGTGAAGCAGATGATGTGGATGATGAGATTGAGAAGTTGATAAAGGAAATGGAGGCGAGAGAGAAGATGAAAAAGAAGGTGGAGAGGAAGAATGTGAAGAAGTTGAGTAGTGAGGAGTCTAGTTGGCTTGAAGACGACAGCGAGGAGATGGATTCTGAGGATGAGGATGAGGATTATGTGCCTAGTAGTGATGGTGAGTCTTCGACTATTAGCGGCGGGCACGCTACGCTTCGTTCAGGGCGAACGGTGAGTTTGAGATTGAAAGAGTGATAGTGAGATGAGATGTGTATGAGGCCACTAATCCGGCTTCGTTCGTGATTCCTTCACTTCATCGAAAAAAAAGCAATTAGTCTTACATGAATAATTTCACAATAATCTTATACACACCCGTAGAGTCATTCATTTTTGTATTCTCATATTCTACCAGGGTATCACTTTCATTTCTCAATACAACCCAAGCTCGTATATACACTACCTATCTCCTCCAGCTCCGCTACATCAACTAAACAGTATATTAAACCATTTAGAAAACCCGTTCCTGTGATACAACAGTCAGTAAACATTTGGTCAACGCTAAGTAATTCGTAATATTCAAAGAAAGATAATGAATCGAGAAAAAGCGCTGCAACAAAGCAACGTGTAGATTCGCATCGTACATACCTCGGCGGACTCGGGATATAATTCCTCGTATACTCCTCGACCTCATCCAGATCTTGCTGTAAATCAACCTCAGCGGGCTGATATACTTTCGTCCGATGTATGACTTTCCACGCGACATATAATATCGGGAAGGCGGCAACAGAGGTATACCTAAATGCCGTCCAGAATTAGCTTAGTCCACCAACCCTTTTTCTCTCGTACCCCAATTCAGAGACAGGGAAGCATGTGACTTACGAGAAAAGAAAACTAGCCACGTCCCGATTCCCCGGTAGAAAAACAGTGTACCCTCCTACGAGGGTGAATACGAACGTCGCAACAAGCGCATAGTACGCCGCATACGGCTGCAGATACCCTTTATACGGCAACGAGTCGCGACTGATGCCCTGCGCTTTCAACGCGCGGTGGAAGCAGAGGTACGTGCAGCACACGACGCAGTAATTGACGAGTTGCGACGCGGTGATAAGACTGACGAACCAGCTGAGTACCACGGAAGTGCCCTGTGACACCTGGAGGAACGACAATAGCGCGATGAGCAGGACGAGGATAACGCAGTAAATCGGCACGCCCTTCTTAGTGCACTTGATGAAGAACCTGGGTGCTTTCCCTTCGAGAGCGAGTCCGTAGAGCGATCGAGAGGCGCAGTACACATAGCTGTTTCCAGCGGAGAAAGCAGCCGTCAAGACGAGCGCGTTGACGATATGCGGTAAAATGGGAATACCCAATCTGTTCATAGCAACGACGTAAGGCGAAGCCGCAGCACCAGGTCTGTTCTCTTCATACGCAGCCTTCAATTCGGCGTCGTTGTACGGGACTAGCACGCCCACGGCCAGCGATCCAAGACAGAAAAAGGTCGTCAAGCGGTAGAACACGGCATTGAAGGCCTTCGGCAGGACCTTGCGGGGATTCTCCGCTTCTCCAGCGGCCATGGAGACGTAATCGGGGCCGGCGACGGCCAACGACGCGAAAATGAGGCACTGCAGAAACCCCTGAAACCGGCCGAGCGAGCCCGTAGTGTAATACTCGGCGAACGCCCCAGGCTCGTACCAATAGCGGAAGCCGAAGCGGTCGTGCTGGGGATTACCGCCTACCGCGACGATGAAGGTGAAGATAAGCAGGCCGACGATAAGCAAGACTTTCCCCAGGGCTGCCCAGAACTCGGTTTCGCCGTACCACTTGATAGCCATGAGATTAATGAGGGCGTAGAGCACGAGGACGATAGCGATGATGCCGCCGGCCGGCACGATGTCGCTCCAGTAGTGGATGATGACGTTGCAGGCCGTCACCTCGAAGGGCACGAGCGCGGCCTCGAAGATGAAGAAGTTCCACCCCGCGGCGAAACCAAAGGCCTCGTCGACATAGCGCCCCGCGAACCGGATGAAGGGCGACGAGATGGGCAGGTAGGTCACCATTTCCGCCAGACAGAAGGTCACGGCGAGGATGACGGTGCACCACAGCGTGAAGGCCAGAAACAAGCTGCCCGGGCCGCCCTGTATCAGCCCCTTGCCGATTTGCACGTACAGCATGGTGCCGATGGTGCCGCCGATGCCGATTAGCTGAATGTGGCGCGGCTTGAGCCGTCGGTGCGTGCCATCCGTCTTCCCCAGCTCCACGGACTCGGCATGCTCCGACTCAGCCATGCCCGGCGTAGCAATTTTCGGCATATCAAGGTCGCCGTGGTTCTCCACGTTCGCCGCCATCCCAGGAAGTTGGAGGGGGAGGCGGTTCTGTCCTCTAAGGCTCCCCCTTTGAGGTAGTCGAGTAGTTGCGTTAAGTAATCGAGCAGAGTTCTGCACAGAAAGTTAGTGAGCCCCACTGTCTCCCTTGGTGCAAACTATGTTCGCTGCAGGATTGTGTGCAGTTAGGGGTTAACTGTTCGTGCTACCTCAAGGCGTCAGTAATCGCAAGACATGAAGTGATAATGCTAGCAGAATTGGCTGTCTTCTAATGTTTTGAGAGGAAGGTAGAGGTCTAGAGGCTTCAAGAATCAGAAGCTCATAGGCTGCCTTTCATAGAGGGGAATGAACTACGTGAAAAGGAAAGGTACGTCCGGGTTTGGGTACGCTTAGTCTTATTCTACTTCGCTCATGTATAGTTGCACAAACTGGGGCAGAGTCTCGGGTATAGGGAGTGAGAGTGCTATCACATCAGGAGGCCCGTCAAAGATGCATCTAGAATGGGTGGAATGCGCCTACAGCGGCCTGTCTCGGGCTTTATTCAAGCGACCAGTCACTAAGCCCTAGGTATCTATCTTCCATGCAGGATCAAAGAGCGATTCCAGTGGCTTGGCTCAAGCGCGGCTCCGAGCTGGTGGCAACATGGTAGCATCGGGTAGAATCAAACTAACGTCAGATAGTCCTAACGCTGGCTGAGCAGATGCCAATTGGAAAACTGCCAGGGGCGGTGCCTAGGTAAAAAGCAATTGCATGGTGAGATGAGCCAGTTTTGGCTCATGAGACGAGGCATTGGAATCTTTGTTGGACTGTTGCGGGTATTGTCAAATGTCCTGTACTATTTGTTGAGCTCTGAAGATCGTGGGTGCTATGGTAAACAGGATAAAAGTTCGCGATCGTAGATCCACAACACACTTGGCACACCTGAAGGTGAGGTGAGATTATCCCTGTACTCAAGGTGGGAGTGACTTACCATCAAGCTGTATGATAGGCGTCGCTTGCTAATCACATGAGAGACTTGAGAGAGTTCATCAATACATCTACCAATGAACAGGGCGCTGCAGGTCGCTTTGCAGATATCCCCTGTTCAAACTGCAATTGGATACCAAGTTTTTCTCATATTTCCTCCGGATACAACGTAGTCTGCCTACGTCGTAGCATTTCTTCTATCCCTTACCTCGCGTGTAGAACGTTAACAGCGATGCTCAAGCACAGGGTACCACGCAACGAAGCGAGGGATAAGATTATTGAGTGTGAATGGGCGCGCTTGTATTTTCCATTAATCGCGTTTGGCGCTCTCAGCGCTCTAGAAATAATGGCAGAGCAATTGCTGAGGAACTCTGAGGAGCCGAAAAAGTGCGGAAATGTGGGCATGTGTGGGTCGAGCCAACGGCGATGAAAAACTAGGAACTTGGCAATAAGAGGATTGGGGCACTTTAGTATCGTGGGGATCGGGAGACATGGTGGCGACGCTACGCGCGTGGAGGTGGAATTGGCCGAGATAAACCTTCTTCGTGATAGGCCCCCCTCAGTGTATCTGATCTAGAACTGCAGTTTAGCCATCAAAGCTAATCCCGTTTCGTCCTGTCTCGTTTGCCTCGGCTGCCTTTAAGATTCACTAAGGAGGATTTTCATCATCCTGTCGAGTCCCAGCCTCGGCCGGGCAACGGGAGGTGGTGAACGAAAAGAAAAAAAAAGACACAATCATAATAAAAAAAAAATAAAAAAAAAGACGCCTGTTATCGGTTGAATTATCCTGTGTGTCTCAGTGCATGCAAAAGACTCGAGTCGCAGCCGGTATCCGAACATGATCATAATCGGTCACTAAACCACCCTGTCCGAATTGCTTATCATATTCCGCATATCGATTAGTGCTTAGATTTGAAGAAAACAGAGACCCTCCCTCGAAGCGCCTGGCTGACAGCATCGCTTACTTGGGTAACAAGCCTATTCGATTGGAACAGAATTCCTAGTTCTTGACTTGTGAACCAGCTTGCGCGGTCCATATTGCCTGATCCAAGAACAGCATATTCGTCGTCGATCGTGACCAGCTTCAGATGCGAGTGAACCGGTTCTTCCGGAATCTGCTGTTGCTGGTTTTCTTGAAGTGAGTGAAAATACAATATCTCTAGAGACCCTGGTCTTGATGGGCGACCTTCCAAATCAAGGATACCATTGGAGTCTTCCTCCCCGCGAGTATTCATAGGATGCTTCACGAGTTTTTCATACCGTTTGACGAATGCTCGCAAGCACCACGAAGTGATAGTGCCCCCCGTCAGTAATTGTTCCAGAATCATCATCCCCTTGCTTGTCACAACAGTTACGTCGATGCCTCGAGTTAGCGCTTCTAGTAGGGCATCCATGACAGCTGCAGATGTTAGGTTGGGTGTTTGTATGTATATTTTCTTTTCGGCCATAGCTAAGAGGCGGAGAATAGCACAGTTCAGAGGAGTAATTGGTGGGCCTGGAAACTGCTGCCAGGGGAAAGGGCGAAATTGGGGGTTGGAGTGGTGGGATGAAGGCAATAATATTGTTGGGATGTTGTCAAGTTGCAGTGTTATCAAGTGCGTCGCTGGACTCTGGATTGAGGTGAAGTTAGCTGTACCCGGACTTAGTATGCTATCAACCTCCTGCTGCAAGCTGCCAATGGCCGGCGGTTCTCCGTTCATCTTCAAATCCCTATCCCAGACACTACAGTAGAACCTCAGTAGGGAGGCGACGGCGTCTCCGGTGATTTCAACACAGCCCTCCAGCCACGACTCCCATGACACATTGGCGCTAGGAAGCCAGGCCCTCTCACGGTCGATAATAAGAAATTTAGGGTGCATGACGCTGAAAGGCAGAAAGAACAAGGTTTTGACCCGTAACTCGATGAGACCTGCCTCCAGTAGCTGGGGATCGGGTAGTCCTAGCTTCGATACCCATTTTGACCGGGGATATATGTATCCATCTCTGGACCTTGTGTGAAGCAACTTCTGGAAGAAAGATCGGGATGAAAAGCAGATTTGGACTTTCAAGGGTGACAGCGTTCTGCGATCTGGATGCGATGTGCGAACGTGCTCTGCTCGTAGCGTGGCGAGCTGTTGCAGCGTCTCTCGCAACGCGTTGAGAGTAGACGACTGCGCCCAGAAGCATGTCACTAGAATTATTTCGTGTTTCGCTTTTAAAATCGCGGGTAGCAGCGATCGAGTGTAGATGGAAGCGCCTGTGCCTATTTCGAAGGACGCTATGTGAGACACCGAGACTAAAGATTCGGGGTCAGAGCTTGGGTACGACGGTAAGTCAGCAGAGCGTGTGGAGGTAGCTCGTCGTAAATCGGCGACCCATGGGGCCTTGAAACGGTCAATGGAACACATTGAATAAATATGTCTGTGATGTTACTTGTACTACGGCTGCATCATGATATATCAGACGGAGAATGAAGCCAAACGCAAGCTTGGGGGCAACAGGTATTTCGAGAAGATAGTAGTTACAAAAGGAATACGCGACGGGTCTTGAGGAAGAAGAACTTGGAGAAAAGAGAGTCGGATGATATTATGATCTAGGCGATGGTCTAGGTGATCTATGACTATAGGTATGAGATGGTGAGGGTATGAATGTGATATGTGGTGGATGAGATAGATGAGAGGTGCTGATGTAACATGGAAGCTCACTGGCGTTCCCCAGATCCCAGTAGTTGTGGCGCATCAGTGCAAGTGGCGGTGGTGGCTGAACTAATGATATGGACAGAATATGGAATAAGATAAGATTAGATTAGATGAGATAAGGATAAGGATAAGGATAACGGACAGGCCTGCCTCAGTTACGCCTCAAAGCTCATGTCACATCCAAAAATTAATATAATTAATTCCACATAACATGCCATCAGGTATAGGCAACTTATCCTACCAAAGTATTTTACATATTCACCGACTCAAAATAGCATTCTTAGAGACTCAGTCTGGCCGATTTATAATCAAGCTCTCATGAGTGAATTTGTACACCCGTAAGCAGAGATGAGGTGATGAATAGCCGGTATTCAGCAAGTCTTCAATTATGGTACTTGATGAACTATGTCTATGCCAGATTCACAATTATTCTGATTATATGAGGCTATCTTGATCAAATATTTGCAATGCTACGTGACCACCGATTGTATTTGCGCTCTCAGCGACAGCTAAATGACATACCTAACTCACACTGCAGTGTATCTCCATCCCCTGAAGTCATGATAATCAGTAGTGCTGTCTCTCTCTCTCTCTCTCTCGTGTTAATAGTACAATAATAATCTAGCTTCAATACCATTGCAGTTTCCACGGAATACCATGTACTGCAGAATGAGGAAATAATAATCATCATTTGAGACACTGTAGATATATGCTTTCGGCTTCATTTTATTATTACTAGCCAATTGTATGTAATGATGATTCCACATGCACTGCAGTAATCAAAGATAGGCTATCTCAATTTCATAAGCCCAGAGGCATGTTGAGAAGTTAAAGACCTACTGGAAGAAGTTTATAGTACTATCAATACTATTCCATGTTGGACTAATTGCCCTGTTCGTCGTTGAATATAGACTCCTCACTATTCACAAATCAGTATATGTTCCTGTGATTTGATATATAATCCGTCATTAATGCCTGTTCTGTCACGTACGACCATAGCCACTGGAGAACTCGGGGTCCCGTCCGCTCCCCCATAGATAAGCCGGTGAGCGCCGAATTAGTAGTTGGGTCGGTGACGACCAGCGAATCCTCGGTGTTGTACGTTTTTTTATTTTTATTTATTTTTTCTATTTATTATACATTATTTATTTATACAATAATTTTTGTTCTGTGATTCTTCCATGTCGATTCTTACATGGGGAAGTAGCTAATGCCGAACGGGAACTGCGAAGGCTGAGAAGGACAAAACACCAAAACCTAAGAATTGGCCTCTCCGAACAATGCCTGCCACTCTTCCCGGCGCATCTACGCAATTTGTCAGGTAGCACGCATTGACTTGAGCATAACAGCAGAGATAAGTCTTATCCCTGACACCCACAGCTGAGCTGCCGGTATCTGAACTTGCTTTTGCAATCCCGTCTCGTGTCGGTGGCGAGTTCGATAGGGGGTGACTCACCCGCAACACCATCCATTCACGAGTACGAGGACGAGCATAGAACACCTGAGATTGTCGAGCGCCTCTATTTTCCAATTATATTCTCTTTTGACTTAGATGTAGACTACGCTGGCCATTGGTTATGTTTTCCTGTTCATGCTATAGCCTATCCTAAATGTATCAACACGCCCAACCTAATCGCATGATTCCTGTCGATGATAAATTGTCACATCTTGAGACAGCCTTGGCTCATGCCAGGCCCCTTCTAGGTCCCATCAGTTTTGTGCTTGATTGCCCGCACCCGAGAACTGACTTCCTACTCCAAGTAGGTCCGTCTCGATGGAAGAGACCTCTGGCTTCTTCCCACCTTTCTTGTGACCCTTTTTGGATGATTGACGAGAATTCTTGGAGGATCGGCCAGACGTCGTGGTAGATTGGTTGCCGTAGGTGGCTTTGGTGCTTGTGGTGTTGACTTTGTATGAGTTCCTGAAACTTGTCAGTATCTACTGTTCTATGAAAGGAGCCGCGGCCAGTATCAACCACTAAATTGAGGTAAGAACAACATACATCTTGAGAAAGATCTTTGAGGGAGTTTGTACCGTGATATTAGTAATTATGTGATATAAGTCACTAATTTTCAAGCCATACACCGATATTGTGTTCGTGGAAGTGGTACGGAGGCCGTGGTCTGGAGAGCACATGGTAAGATGTGAAGGCAATGGGGAGGCCGTATTTATAGAGGTATTATTTTTAGACCAACCTGTTTTCTCTTACTTTAATACTTACTACCAGATAACTGCTATAGAGGGTAAGAACATCATAGACAGGGAAGTCTGGACATCGATTTCTCGGTATTGGAAGGCTTCCGATAAGCCCACCAACGACGGACGTCTTTACCACCACACCTGCAGGACTTAGACAGCTACTCTTCAAATTTTAGTCCAATTCACGCCCTTCAAAGGATCCATGGATGGGAGAAGTCATCCTCATCTAGCTCAGAGTATTCGTTACTTGATCTTATATAGGCACTATATGCGAGGTCTAGGGATTACAAGAGTATCTAGTACCGCTCCCTATAACTTGAATGCAGGAAGAAACTTGACATACCGAAATGTCTATCTGCCTTACCGTATCCTGATTGTACGCGCACGATCGCACATGGAAACATGAATATTGTTGCGTTCTCTACAGTACCGTACACTTTAGGTGGTATCGCACGATACTACTAAGAATTTCATTGGATATTGTCCTTTTGCGCGTCTCTGTATAGGTTCCCAATATGACTTTCTTGGGGATGGGAGACGTGGCCCCACGCTTGGCGATAGGTGCTCACCGACAGCGTGTAGGTAGGTATTTAGTTTCCATAAGGTGGCGTCGAATCCAGCCCCATGCTACTATGCATATGCGCGGCAACGGGATAAGCTATATGACAGACGGTCGCCTTGGACGTTGATTGGCTATTGTCCTTTTGAACGCCCCCTCCATGAGCATCTATTGGCTATTGTCCCTTTGGATGGCCATCTGATACGTTCAATCTCTACCTAACCCGCCCTGGATCGAGGCTGGCAAGGCATATCAAGCTAGTCATCCTAGTATATGAGCCGCTGGCTGAACCCTTGGGCTTCAGGATAACTAATCTGTGTGTATACAGAGGTTCTGCTGCTGCCATTATTATGGCATTAGGTCCAGACACAATTGAGAGGCAGCGTCAACTTCATTCAAATCGTTGCTGGTCTACCTCTAACAGTACCTTATATCAGGTGGTACCGCTCGTCCCTGCACCCTGGAACTTGTCGTGACAGAGATCTTCGTGCTTCCCCTCCCATCTCAGACTTCGTGTTCGAAGCAGCTCATTCATGATGGAAAGCGGACAGCCCAGCAGCCCAGATCTCTTTCTTAATGTCCCCTTCTCCAAGAAGTGGGGGTGCCACAAAGACACTATTCTCAGACTGTACATCGATGAGGACCGGCGTCTTGAGGATGTGGTCGACATCATGAAACGTATATACCGGTTCGATGCTAAGTAAGTTGCGATCAACTGTCATTTCGTCAGATTTCGTATATCATCATCTCACACTCACAACTGATTAATGATCTCTATCTGCTAGTGCTCGACAGTACAAATATCATCTCAAGAAATGGAACATCTCAAAATCCATTTCTTCTTATGTCAAGGACCAAGCAATCCGGACGCTCGGGAAAAGGCTCCACGACGGCACATCTGTCGGGAGCATTCGTTACAAGGGGGTGGAGATTAATAAGCAGAAACTCAGAAGATTTATCAAAGACGATGCTCGACTAAGTGTTGATCTCAAAATGAGTGGTTTCGTGTATGACAGTGAATCTAAATCATGCGGAAACTTCATCAACTAATCGACTTGCAGCTTTGGTCGTTGGAGCCCACTAGAGCACAGTATGAAGCCGAATTTAGATCATCCCAGCCCTGGCGCCAGTGATTTCTCGACACCAAGCGATTTTTCCGTCTTCAGCCCTCCAGTTATCAGGGACCATCCCAGACCAGAAGCGAATGCTGCCTCGCCGACTAACGCGCCGACTCCAACCGCGCAAGCCATTTCTGTGAAGACCCGTATTGATAATTCGAAACTCCTTCTACAAGGAGATATTAGGAGTTTTTTGAAGGGGATGCCATTTTCAGATAGAGTGTGAGGACTGTAATGAGTTTTTAACTGCATCGTGCATTAGCTAATGAGTTCGTTAGGGCGGCAACAACTTGGCTTCACCAATTTTGGATTTTTGCCTTCAAGACATCGAAATATTGGGGGAAAGGACCCCAAAGGTGGACGGCAGATCTACTGAGAATGACGGAGCTCTTAGAGCGCCATTCATTACCTGGCACTCCAGCTTCGTGGGAGTTGACAGGCGAAGATCGAAGACCATCAGACAGAAGCCGGTATCAATGCATTGTCCCAGATACTGATCATCAACAATACAAATCTCCTGAACCGTCGCCATTGTGTCGTTGGTGCATCCATCTCTACAAGATTAACCGTGAAGGAATGTGGCAAGGTACCGGTTTTGACGTATACGACTGTTATGATTGGCCGAGATGGGCCAAAGCTCCTTGCACTGTCATGGAACGTTTAAACAGTGCCTTGGAGGACAACTCATTCTCAGATATAAACAATCACGACTTACCGCTTTCGACGAGTGTCATAGTAGAATCTGCCAAAGCTTCCCCAGATGCGATGGCTGTGGAGGCCATTGGCTTCGCTATCATGGCTCGAAACAAGGAGCTTGTCCATGACTTGCTTCAAGCAGCCAACCTCAGGGACCTCGATCTTTCAGCCATTCACCCTTATCACCTCGCGGCCAGCTATCTCGATGGGAGTAGCACATGCTGCGGAATATTTCATGAGCTGTTAAATCTTCCCAAAAGGAACGTCTTCATAAGACTCTATGTTAATAATTTGGGTCACACGGTACTAGATTCTCTTATGTTGACGATTTTAAAAGGACATACATCGTGTACGCCATTCATGGCTGATGAGCGCCTAATGAACATGGAACAATTCCCTGGAGAGGACATAGACGTCTGTGGACGCTGGGATGCCGATGCCTCATGCCTTCGAGTACTCAATACCCTTGGTTCACCAAGGATTCCTTTTTCCTGGAAGCACATGTTTTGTCATACCTCGATTCAGGCTGTTTGTCATTCGGTCACTTATTTGTTCTCATTTTTTCAGACACCCGACATCAACACCCCTAGTGGACTCTTTACTAAGTCCTGTTTTGCCTGTGGGAATAAGCTTGTGCCAGGACCGCTTCACACGCTTGTTCTGACAGCCTCCCAACTGGCCCAACGTGGTTTCCAGGGCGAGAATCTCTTCGGAATGGTAGCCTGCCTAGTTTTCCTGCTGACGAAGGGTGCGAATCCCGCATTTAGGGCTGAAATATCTATAGGTCTGTTATTAGGAGTTGATGATCAACTTGAATGTCGGCACGATCCCCTGGATCCTCTGGAATTAGGGGAGAAAGTATCGTCAGCGGCTCGCAATTTTTGGCCAGAAGAGACAAAACTAGGCTGGGATTGCTTCATGGCGGTATTAAGATTCGCCCAAAGGGAAATGGCTCGCATTCGTGGCCGGCTTCTTTTGGACGAGAACGCTCACAGTGAAACTCCCTTCATATACGGCAATCTCCCACTAGGACTTAGGATCCTTTTCTGAAAGAAGATGGTGTCATGCAGTTATGGGGTTGCGATTGATGATGAATTGTAGAAGGAGGGGCCGACTTAGTCCATTAATTACTAGACTACACACACTCTCTCTGTCTTTCTTGTTGGTGCGCTCAAACCATCCCTCTTGTAAATGAAGTTTTCAGTACCCAGGACACGAATCTCTACCCTAACCTCCAGTACATTCTCTGTAATGAAGCAATGTGGAGTAGTATTTTAGTCAGCAAAAAGGGTTAAGAGATTTTCCGGATTTCGGGATAACTCTGTACTGTATAAAGCGACTCTATGGCGATGACTTCATGATTTTCGGTACAAGCAAGCAGACCTCGGCATAGCATGCTAACAATAAATCGCCTTCTTTTCTCTCTAATCAAAAGCTCTCTTAGTGAATGAAGCTGTTTTCAAATACCTACTGAAGTGTAGACCGTATCTATCTTATTAGGTGTGGATGTCCTAGACTAGGGCACCTTTTACTCTCATCCACTTCACTAATCTACGTACACCAATTATGCATTGTCTATGTCGTTAGGTATCTAGGTATAGAGCTGGGTACCTATAGATACTTATGCAGATAGAACCCTCTACGTCTTTGCTAGCTTATCTGAATGTGTGACCAATTATCTGTCAATTCTTAGCTTGGGGTTTCAGTTCGCTTTGAATCAGGATAATGCTTCATTGTAAGTTCATATGGTAAATCACAGATATTAAATACATCTACACCTCCGCAGATCCCCTTCATCAGATCCCATCAATATGCCAAAAAATCATCTATACAAATTGAAATCGAGATCACAAGAATGTGGAGAACTGACTATTCCGTAATTTTTCATGCTGCAGCTCCAGGCTTGATAGAGATTGGGTAATAGAACACCTCTTGAGGATCAAGCTGCGCCTTCAGCTGCTGTAGCTTAGGCATGCTCTTACCCCAGTACATATCATGCGCCGCCGTCCGGTTCAGCGAGAGATCCGGGTAGTTGATGTACATGCCATAGTCGGGCGCGGCAAGGGACTTGATCGTCGACAGAGTCCACTCGTCTACCAATTTCATTGCCTCCGGCGGCACGGCTTTCGTCGTCGACCGGTAGAAGAACTGCAGGAGATACAGCTTGTCGCGATGCGCGTACGAGGATACGGCGTGGTCGGCATTCCATACCCCTGAGTTCTTGCCGCCTTGGAGGTCGAGCTGGAAATACCACGCGCCCGAGACGCTCTTGGCATGGTCGAACCAGTAGTTGACGAAGTCTTGTGCTGCGTCTCCGCTGAGACCTGTGAGTTCTAGGCTCTTGCCATAAAACGTCTCTTGCTATAGACAACATCTCGTTAGCTCGGTTCACTTTAAGATCTGCGAGACATTAAGGACGAACCTCATTATGTGGGTGTGTCTGGTTCAGGCTCATCGTCGCGAAGTGTGACAAACTGCCAGGCCAATCCGTCGTGCCTGTCGCGAGAATGTTGCCTCCAGTCTTACTCAAGAGCGGCGCGAGGGCATTCTGGAGTCCTGCCTTATCGCCATGGAAAATCCCCTCTAGCTGAGTCATCCGCGGTGTTCCCATGATGCGCATGTTCAGTTCCGCAGGCATTGTGTTTATAGTATAGTCCTCAAGCGCTTCCAACGCTGCCACTGCAGTCTCCTTCTTCAACGGCAGATTGACGACGAACCAGGTCAAATTCGCCGGCGGCGCGAATGTGTTGAGCTCAAAGGAGGTGACTACTCCGAAATTCGACCCGGCGCCGAGCATACCCCAGAAGAGGTCCGAGTTCTCCGTGGCCGAAGTGTGGACAAGCGTGCCATTTGCTAACACGACGTTTAACCCGATTATCCAGTCGAGGGCTAGTCCGTGGGTATGAGAGCTCAATCCGAAGCCGCCATGGAGCGCATGGCCTCCTATTCCAACACTGTACCAACATTAGCTAGATGAACAATTCTGATGAGGGTAACACGTACCCCGGGCAGGTACCATGTGATATGGCGCGTTTCCCTTGAGCCCAAAGTTCCACGGCAAGATGACCAAGGCGTGTACCCGCCTCTGCTGTAGCAATGTTCGTCTTAGTGTCTAGCTTGACTGCGAACATCCGGTCTAGTTGTATGACCAGATGACCATCCTCGCCTCCTAGTCCATACGATGCGTAGCTATGGCCGCCACACTTCGGCGTCACCTTGTATCCCGATTTAGCGCCGCAGAGAACAGCGTTCTGAATCTGTTCTGTCGTTGTAGGTACCGCCACTACGTCGGGCTTGTAGGCAAGTAAGGAGTTGAATGGTCTTGTGTCCCTCTCCCAGTCTTGCGAATCAATCGCGTCAATAGCCGTTCCCGCCTCTGCGAGACAGTCTACTAAGACTGCGCGCTTATTCAGCACTCCCGCTCGCGACAGTCCAGCGAAGAGGCCCAAGCTGAAAATTGCCGCTCGCATCTTGATAGCCTTTGTGTATGGTATAGTTGATGGTCATGACATCCTTATCTCTCGAGTCGGGGATACGCCCCTTTTGAAGTCCTCCTTGTATATAGAGACAACGACCGCCTAACCGACTTCTCGGACACCATGAGCCGCATCGCACGATTTCCTGCGTGGGTCAAATGGCAAGTCATCAGAGGGTGGTCATACCTAACACAGGATAGATGAGCGCATCGCGCTTCTCACGGTAACACGTCCCGATTAGTTAATTTCTGGCCAGCCTCGATCGTCAGCTTGCGGGACTTACTCTGGCGCCGACTTATTCGTCTCCCAGGGACCCGCAGATTAGAGCTCTGAGATTATCGCATGGGTCGTCAGGCGCTGGGAGACATGTCCCGACCTCCAAGGTACGTGCCCATGGCTATACGTCGACACGCTTGTGACTTGGTTTATGCGCCCGCAATACGGAATACAGCCTATACGCCCGGGGTTAAGTCGGCAGTCATATGCGCGGCGCCTATCTAGACGCCTCAATAGCCGCTCAAACTTGATCTGCGAGACCACGCTGCGACGTCACGAGGCTTTAGAGTAACAGAGGGTTGGGATGTCTAGGCCACCCCTTGTGTGACTGTATTCATTTCTTCAAATCAATCCTCGCCCTACCCATGCCCATAGGATTATTAAATGGCCGACACCAATACAGCTGGCTTGGTGGTGGTGGTTGAATACCGACAGAAAGCCGTAGATATGATCACTGCCAACCCTGTTTATCGCAGTTAAGTCAATTACCCGGCCCTGTAAGACCGAGCTGAGATCGCCAACGTGTAGCCCTGCCCGGTTATCATACACATGCCCACCAATATCTGGGGCTATCTGGGGTTATCTGGGGTTCATTTATGGGAAAAATTACCGGGTGGCTTATGCGATATTGCACGCACGGCTATTTCCAATGCGATTCCGTCAACAGCACTATGTCCGACATTTGCCCAGTCTTCCACGCGAGTCGCAGCGCAGAGACTAGCGGTCGCGTGTCAACAGAAACACGCCATTGTGTCTCTTCTATTAACGCCGATGAGACTGAAAATACAGCCAAGTCAGACCACGGTGTACGTCGATGACAGACAGCCATAATTCCGACGGAGAACAGACATCCCCGCATTCCCAGTCCACTGGGCCCCCCCTTAATCAAGCAGCGGGTGAATGTGCGATGACGGCCTAATTACATTGACCCCGTCAGCCTCCAATTTCAACCCCTACATCCCTACTTACATAGTATAGTAGTTCCACCTATCCGAGGGATACGTGACAAACGTTCGGGAGATCGTTCCGAGCATTTGCCCTTTGCGTTCGCGGAAGCAAGCTCCAACGACCTGCGCCATTCCTCAAACACACGCTTGAGACAGACGCCGTTCCCACACTTCCTCGCTGTGATGGACCGGGAGAGGCCGAAGTGATGCTTGATGGAAAGCTGAAAGGAGCCTAGGGCTCATAGCAGCGCAACGAAACTCTCCGTGGTTGTGATGAGATGAATCTGACGATGTAAGTCGAGGATAATCGCCTCACCTCACTCGGCCCATTAATTTCTCATCTTTTCCCCCTCTCATTATCACCGCTATCGAGTCACGGCTCTTGGCAAACGAGATAGCTAGCAATCAAAATGTCGTCACTCAAGCTCGTCTTATCGGCACTCCTTGGACTGCCGGCCCATGTGCTCGGCGTAAACCTACTCGCATCGCATTACACGGGGAAGATCTACTCGCTCTCGTTCAACAATGGCTCTCTCACAGTCAATCCGTCGCCCACCAGTGTCGGGGTTTACCCAGCCTGGCTAGGCCTCGACACGAGTAACGGGGCCAAGACCGTTTACTCTGTCGACGAGAGCTGGTTCGGCAGCGGTGTCCTCGCGTCTTTCACCGTGGGCGCAAATGGTGCATTGACGCAGACGGGGAGGCTCACTTCCTCGGGAGCCAGCGTACACGGCACGCCGTATGCAAACGGGAAGTTCTTCGCTACGGTTGAATAGTATGGCATTCGACGACATTATGAATGATACTAGGACTCACGATGTATACAGTGACCCCTCCACCCTAACCACCTACGCCCTGCCCTTCACAACAGGCGGCAAGGCGCTGCAAAAGCTCAAATTCAACATGACTTCCCCCGGGCCCAACCCGCGGCAGAACGCGCCACACCCACACGCAGCACACGTCGATCCCACAGGGAAATACCTTCTCGTGCCGGACCTCGGCGCCGACTTAATCCGGATCTTCAGCATCGACAGCAGCACAGGGAAACTCACACCATGCGCGCCAGGCGTGACCGGCTCCGGCGACGGGCCGCGCCACGGCGCGTTCTGGGCGCCCAAGGCGAACTCAACAGAGGGACTCATGCTCTACACGGTCAACGAGCTAGGCAACTCAGTGACATCATGGAGCGTCTCGTACCCGGCGAACGCATGCCTCGCGCTCACGCGGAAGCAAACGCTCCCCACGCACGCGTCCAACACGGCCCTCGCAAGCGGGTCCAAGGCCGCGGAAGTCCACGTGCGGGACTCCTTCGTGTACGCCGCGAACCGGGCGGACCAGACGTTCGGCGCGCAGCAGGACTCGCTCGCGACGTACGCGATCGACGCGTCGAGCGGAGACATCGCGTTCCTCGAGGCGACGAATGCGCACGCGTGGTTCCCGCGGACGTTCCAGATTAATAGCGCCGGCACCCTCGTCGCTGTGGGCGGGCAGACGAGCAGCAATGTCGCGATCATCGAGCGCGATCCAGCGAGTGGGAAGTTGGGGAAATTGGTGGCGAATGCGGCGGTCGCGACGCCGGGACGGGAACAGCAGGAGGATGGGCTTAGTGCTGTGATTTGGGTTGAGTAAGGGGCAGCATACGTGTCTACGCAAGGTACGGGATTGTCACTTTGTTCCGGGAAATATAGGTTTGGCTACCTAGGATCGTTTGTATATATATACTTCGTTGCTTCTAAGAACTTGGGAGAAAGCAAATTCAAAAAGGGGTGAGATCGAGTCAGGGTAAGGAGCGCCTAGGTATGGCAGTATACTACCTATCTGCGATCTTCGTAATCCAAGTCTATGATGAAAACGTACTACTCACTGCACGGCCCGTATGTCACGATATTCGGGCGCCGCGCCCGTTCATCGGCCCGGTCCGGTCCTTTCGCTATCACGGGTACATGCCCCTACTAGTGTGTAAATAATCCGGGAGGGTATCAGACCAAATGTATTTGGTAGGCAAGTATGGTTGTTGTCCGTCAATGGTATGAGTGAAATAAGCCTGATTCCATCTACAATACCTACATGTCCAACTCACTCGCACCATCTGAAGATGCCCAGGAGAATACAGTGGGTATAATCAGCATCTACGTACAAACATACCCAAGACAGAGTTCTTACGTATGATATGAAGCCCGGGTAATCGGACTGCGAGGTGGAAGTAGGTAGATATAATAATCACGGTAGGTACCTGGGTACTTCGATAGAGATGCATCTATAACTTGAAAGTCCTCTTGCTCGATATTAATACGAATGTTTCACGGGGAAAGGTTGGCCCTATTTCACATCTTGTCTTGTCTTGGATTGTGTTGTATTGTGCTGTGCTGTGCTGTGTTGTGTTGAAGGCAATATGAAATCTTGTCACACTCTCGTCTCATCTTGCATCTGCTTCCTTCCAATTGAGGCAAAGCGACACGTTTCCCTTTCGTTTCCTCAAGACTTATTCTCCTTCTCCATCCCCTCCTTCTCTCAACCATCACAAATCGAGTCCTCGCGTCTGCGTGTCTTAAACTGCAATGATTTGAAATTTTGCATGTCTGGATTTGATGTCCCCCAGTATTTACTGATCGCACTCCGTCAGAGTTAGTTCACGGTTCAGCAATGTCGTATTCTGCGCCTTCAAATATCAGGTGTATCATTTCCTCTTCCGGTGCCATAGCCTCATTGTACGGTATTTATACTGTCCCGTCAGAACGTAGTGCGTCAAACGCATGCCAAAAATAATCCACCCCGGTTTAAAACTTCAACACAGCAACGTGTCGCATGTTCCCCATTTCCGCCGCTAGAAGAGAAAGCACCGAACTCCTTGAGATTAACATATTCACACCCGGCTCTTATCATCTCGAAGCAAAAAGCCACAGATTATACTGTGCCACTGATACTCAGCTCCCGGATTTCTTGCAAGACCTGCTCTACCCTCTGGTCGAGGTGACCTTGTGCGTATTGGTCCCTAGTGTCGGCATCAAGATATTGCTGGACCTGGGCCATCCTGCTGTACGCCTCGGCGCAGAACCGTAGTTGGATCTTGACGAGGGCTTCAAAGCTCGGGTCTAGGTAGGGGACTCGCATGTCGATTAACTGGGGTAATTCACTAGACAGCTGATCGTTGAGTTGTTCGTATGCTGCTTTGGCCATTTCCATTTCTTTCTCGGTGCGGGGCAGTTTTGTCACATCCTTGTCTGGTTTCTCGGCTAGCTTTTTGACCTTGGCTCGCAGGGCATCGTAGTCGAGTAATTTGTGACCGCGCTTCTTGATACCTAGATACGTCGTTAGGTTGATGCTTTAATGGGCAAGAAACGGCTGCGACTCATACACTCATTCACGTCGGGGAAGTAGGCGCAAAAGCGACTAATGGGTTCTAGTACAGTTGTTCTAAAAATCGTCAGCGCTGCTTCACGTCACTCCTGTCATACGTCATCTTTGCTGTTGTACCTGTATGGGCCATCCAACGCTTTGATCGTCTCGGCATCTAAGTCTTCTACGGCCTGCTTGTAACTCCTACTAACGCCGTCTCTTGCGCCAGAATCGCCATAAAAGGCATCTATTGTCTCGGCTATGCGCATCTGTGATGCCGTCATGGCTGAAGGCGCATTAGTCGCGGGTGTGTATCGTAGACTTGTAGACTAAACAGTGTATTACCTCGCAATGAGTCTAGGTATCCTCTCGCTTCTTTTTGCAGGCGCAAGGCGGCAGCCTCCATGGTGCGGAACCGCCTCTCTTCGACTTCGTAATCGCGGTCGTTCGTCTTCTCGACATGGCCTGTCTTCATCATGACCTGCGTGGTCGCACGATTGACGTTCTTCTTAAACCCTAGTCGCGGAGAAAGTTAGAACAAGCGAACCCATGAGCACCCCAAACTACAGTAATGCGTCATCATACCTGCCCACGACATGTTGGCGGTGTTAGGGCGTGATTGTCTATAGTAGGTATGTTTGCGAAAGCTATCGGTTCGTGAAAAGGATCGGCGGAAAGAAAGATGTGCCAATGGATGATGGTACTAAGAGCTGGCGGGTCTGGGCTGGGTTCGGTGTTCGCGATGATAAAAGGAATCGTGTAAATGCCAGAACCAACAGTCGTCGTCGTGTATGGATGTTCATGCAAGAGAAAGATAGAGATCAATGGTGGGGAGGAATTGACTGATGTTGGTGGCTTGGCTTCCTGTGAGCGGAACCCGGGAGTGACCTGGGGTCCGACGAAAATGTGAGCGACGTCAGCGAGGGGCTGCGCCCGGAGCCAAGCCACTAACATCCGCTACAGCATCCGCTACAACAGCCATCATCACATGTGGCTAAGTACCGTCTAAGTACCTACTCTTCTTGATGCTCTCTGGAAGCATCTACAACTGTACCTAAGGTAGGTATCTTTTTTTTACCTTGGTCAAGTAGATCAATTGACCTATAGTGTATGCTTGGATAGTTTCAATCTCTTGCTAATCGAACTAGATCCAGCTCATCAAAGTTGTACGTTTCGCAATCATCCGAAAAGCTAGGTATTTTCTTGTAACACGTGTTAGCCGTCCGCTGTTGGTGGAATATGGCTGCCTAAGGTTACCTAAACCGCTACCTACAGTACATTGCCACTGCTAACAAGACTTGTGACCGCCACATTTACAGGGGCTTCCAGAACCCTTGTACCCAGATCCCAGCTACTCTGCGCCACAAAAAGTTCGCTAACTAGGTAAATCTTGGTGCTTTTTTGTCCAGATGAACCTTGATCACACAACCAACGTTCTTGTGTCCATCATTCGACAACGACAACATGTATCGCGATATCAGGTAGCGAGTTGCATACCGTAGAGACTTAAACGATGGCTTCCCCTCGCTTCCTGGTCGTCAGCCTCGGCAATCAGGCGCCTTATTTCGACTGTCTGCACTCCGCTGGCCACTTTGCGATCGCCGCCGCCCAGAAAACCCTGGCACCCTCGCAACCCCCATTCGCGACGGAACGATATGGCAAGAAATCGTGCAAGGTCTCGTCGGCCATTCCATACACCTTCGTGCAGAGCCCTACCATGATGAATATCTGCGGTCCTTGGGTTCACGCCACTTGGAAGGAGCTGCTACAGAGACACCACCTCCAACCCTCAGAATTAGGACTAGTCCTAGTACACGACGAACTCGAAGCCACCCTTGGTACCGTCAAGATACGAAAATGGGACGCCAGTCATCGCGGGCACAATGGCGTCAAGAGCGTCAAAAAGAGCATGGATCCGCTCAACTATCCGCGAGGCCGTTGGTCTCGCATCACTATCGGCATCGGTCGACCCGCGGAACGAACATCAGATGTAGTCTCCGATTATGTCCTGCGCAAAATGACATCGCGCGAAGTGAAGACGATAGACACCGAGGTCGGACCTAAGATCATCCATTGCCTACGCGATCTACAGGATGAATGGGAGAAGAGTCCTTGACAGAACGCAGATGAAATCCTAACTGTTCATCAGCGAACAATCCTGATGGTGGTAGTCGCCATTTTCACTACTCTCCCCTCTTCTTCTCTCGAGTCTACTCTCATGATCCCCTTTGCTGTTCCGCGTGAATTGCAACTCTGTGCCAGCGGACCCAAAGCATATCTACCGCATTAGCTGGTAATCAACGTACCGTGCACCGGCTATTGGTGTCCCTGCATGAACTTCAGAGAATTCGAATATCGTCTGGCCCAAATATAGTGAACTGTGCAGTGCTAACAGCCAAGTTGCTGAAAGCGGGCATGCCTTGGTCTTATTTCTCCAAAGTATTGGTTACCTTTCGAAGGCAAGGTATTTATTTCTAGCATGCAAATCCGTGATCCTCTAGAAATGCAGTCATATTCTCATCATGTCCTTGAAAAGTGTGGAAACGGCATCGGTTTTCCACCGTGGCCCATCCCCGAAACAAATAAAGCTCTCGGCCAGATTCTTCATAAGCAGACGGACGACGCTAATCAGCTCTTCACTCATAGCGTTTTGAGACTTTCTGACACAGCAAACCTCTATCGTCCTCTCGAGACGAGAAAAGGCGTCATTGCCGAGCTGTCGTCGCACATGTTTCTCCACATCGGTAATAGACATCCATATATCCAAGTCGTCGACTTGGCCCCCCAATGGACAAGCGCCCAGCTCGCTGCATGTGGCATCACTGTACCCGTAATCGCGGTAATAAACCTGCTTTTCAGCTATAGACTGTAGCATAAGCACATTCTCCACGGCCGGCCAGTGCTGTATATGCGTCCATACCCGGTCTTCAGCCTCTTGCGGCGTAGGACAGCTCCCGGGCTGGCAAGAAAACCACAGCGCCGGCGATTGCGGCGTCGTGATAGCGCGACAAAGCGCGATGAGATATTCCGTGCATGCCCAATAGAGATGTCCGCGGAAAGTATACCTCCCTTCACCTAGGAACGGCATGATGAATGCTGGTGGCGCGGGCGTGTCGATCCAGATCCCGTAGTCGAACCGTGGGCTCAGACGCCCTGCCAATGTGCTTCCCCTGGACCAAGGTTTCGAAGAGTTGCTGTATACTTGATTCACAGGGATCTCTATCTTCAGGGGTTGCATATTTGATCTTGTAGATCGCCCGCTGGAACTTACTGAGGAACCTTGCCTGGTGTCTTCCTCACACATAGTCTTTTCAACTACATTTAGACCCGAGGCGTCAACCCCGGCTACATCTGCGGCGGCGCGCACAGCTTCTAGTAAACCATCCTGGTCACTGCGCTGCGTGGCTCTCACTATGGTTGCGATGGCAGTCTTCATCTTCTCATTCTGCTCGCGTGTTTCTTGCACCGCTTCGGCCTGTCTCTTTCTAAAGCGTGCCTGGGATTGCTTCCCACGCTCGCGGCGGCGCTGGTCTTTGAAGTCAGAATTTACATGGAATTAGTTTCATAGGATTTAGGGCACTAGTCTTACCCGTAATTCTTCCTCAGCAGATCTCATTGCTGATCCATTCAAGCTGCTATCCCGTCCCGCAACCTCATCAGCCATAATTGGATTACGTATATAGTGAAAAGGTAATGTACAGTTCGTCTCATCAAGTTGATCTGATAGTCGGATATGTACATCTCGCTCTCCCCCTATTTTGTCGAACGAAGAAGGGTGTGATTTGTCAGCCACGGCGCTTCTTGGCGCGCGGTCTAATATCTCTCCGATCACGTAACCCGTTAACCACTACGTAGCCTTTCTTACGTAAACTTACCTTACCTGGCTGCAGAGTTTCAGGGATTGGGTTAGGGTGTATGTGAGGAGAAATCTTATTAGAAACTTGGCAGTCGTCAGCAAGATATGGCAAGTTTTCCTTTAACATGTGAGTTCTGGAATACTGTTTACTTGCTGGAGGAACATTCAGGGAAATTTTGATGCTTACCGTCGAGCAGGTGCGAAGGTTACGGTTACTGTACTGTACGGAAGGCACTACTCATACAGACTACATAAGATATCTAGCTGAGCACACGCTGTACTAGAATTTACCCATCTACAATATCAATGCTACTACCACTTTTGACCCGCGCCTTCTTTTATACTGTTACACACGCATATGGTCTGAACACGCAGATCGCATACCGCGGCAGGTGTAATGCGGGGCAAAAAACTCATTTATAACCTTCAGAGACTTGCAGGCAGCACTTAATTAAGGTGAGGTTATACAGGCCTCTCTTCATTGGACGGATCAATAGGACCTAGGTGGTCGGGACTGGCTGTTAAATCGTATATAGAGGCACCGCCAAGGCCAAGAAGGAACTAGTTGATCAATGACTTTTGTAGCCCTAGGAGTTTATTTTATTACGAATGGCTTCTATCCGGTCTTGTTATACTGACTGGCATATGTGGAACATCATATGTTTGGAGTCTGTAGTTGGTTTAGTGATTTTCACCGCCGTTGAAAGCCTGTGTAAACCTAGACATCATGGCGAAATCTTATAATAACCATGATTGCGCGGTAAAAATCAAGATTTGTTCGTTTAGATAACTGGCTATGAACGACTTGGAAATAAGATTTTCAACGTCAAGCTTCAAGCTTAACTTGCAGTGCGAAGAATCCCTGGGCATCATCATGTATTGAACTTTCTTAAGGCTTGCTTAGGTAGATATTAACTTACAATACTGTGTAGGTATTAATTATTGTAGGTACGACGATGAGGTAGTCGTATACCTCTCACATTGGATTCCCTTATCAAGTATCTCTTACTACGATATTCATATTGTCAATGGAACTGCTCCATGCAAGATCAGGGTCAGACTTTTCCCTCTTCCAATCCACACACTTTGTGACCTCTCATCTCCTCCACTCGTTACCCTAACTAATCCTACTTTATAGCAGTATTCCAAGATGAAGGCGAACCCGCATTAATCAATTACGCGTCAATCATATCCAGCAATCTCATGCTATAGCAACTACTCTTGTTTTATCAGAGATGAAATCTTGACTGGCATGTATACAAGGTTGCCTCTTCCCCATTATGGATCCTCTATCTCTGCTATTGATTCACGCTGCGATGGACTTCGTAGTCGTCCCAAAGCAGGTTCTTTCATGTATACTAAAAGTAGGTACGATCATGCACTAACAATATGGGGTCGCATAACCTAAATACCAACATAGCTTACGTAGGTAGTTTCCAGTAGGGTATTTGAGCAATCGTCAAGTGCGGAATGTCCTAGTGGGCACCTGTGTTTTCACTCTTTCGTCGTAGTAGTGATCCAATTCGGATGAGATGATAATTTCTACGGCACGACTTCCAGCTTAGCTTCATGCCATTTGTCCAACTGCATTGATACTAAAGGTATGGTAATTTTTCTCTTAGACGACCTTGATGATAGACTTCTAATGACTCTAGTTGTTGCTGTACAGCCATACACCTCGGGCATTGTGCGAACCACTACCCATGCGTAGTTCAATCGCGGTGGAAAGGCACTGAATAAGCTAATTACTCCTAACTTTCTTCACCTTATAGTTTGACTAAAACTTCATATTAAGTACTCCAGAGATTATTGCTCTACTCTTGCAGCTTTTCGGTCCAAACAGATTTTAAGCTTCAGGAAGTAAACCGCCAGTTGTAATTATATTTTCCAAGAGTATGAGCTTGTTAACGCCTAGCCAGAGCATTCGAGTATTCACCTCTCATTCCTACATACAAAAGTTCTAATTACTCTCTCCGTACCAGTAAGAGCACTGTAGGCTTCACCACAAGTTTGCGAATAAACCGAATCAGCGAGCGCTTGATCAATTACAGAGAGGAAAAGCAAGACGCGCGTCGAGAAACGACGTGTTTAAATACAACGCAAGGTAAATGCATTCTATAACATACCTATATCACACTACACAATATTTCATCGCATATACTATGACACCGCAACACACATTTCAACAAAATTCATAATGAAGTTGCATAATGACGGTAGATGCCACCAGACAGCCGAAAGGCCCGAATAGAAACGAGGGTTTCGCAACGTCAGGCAGCAATACGCATCAAGGGCAACAGCGACGGTATCTCCGGTGGAATAGAAGCTACACCAGCTGCTCCCGCAGGAGGCAGCAGAGATAGCAGCCGCGACAGGGTTCGGCAAGAAGCAACACCAAGATCATCTCCAGTAGAGTGCGAAAAGATCAACTGCGACGGCCGTACATTTCAACAGAACCACCATCTCCCCGAGAAGTCGGAACGTACGCGGTCAAACCCCAGCGCACAGTAAAACCAGTATTAAAGCACAAGATGGATCCCAAGCACAGAGCCATCATAAACTCCATCCGCGACCGCCTCCTAGAAACCATCGACATAGAAGTCCGACTCCAGACCCTGACCCTACGCGCGCGAGGCACATCAGCATGGTGGCACCTGGGCGCAGGCGCGAACGGCCGGGGGCAAATCCCGCCAAGCGACCTCGAGACAGCGACCTCAGCCGCCTCGACAGTGCTACGAAACATCGATCTGCAAGAGACATTCGAGGACGACGCAGACCTCCACCTCGCGCGCGCGACGAAGGCAGGCGTAGAATACCTAGCCTCGCTCGCCGCGGCCCTCGGGGAGATCCACGCGAGCCTGCGCGCGCTGCACGAAGCGCAGACGCAGAAGGACCGGCGCGGCTACGACGTCGCCTTCGAGAACTACGTGCGCCATTCGCAGGATGCCGTGGTCGGCGCGTATAAGGGGAAGGCCGGCGGGAACAAGTCCCCGCTGAGCCGGGTCTGGAACGCCGAGGACGTCACGCTGGCTGAGCGCGTCGAGGCCGGGGGCGAGGTCTCGTGGGACGAATATATTGAGAACTCTCTTGTCGAGGGCGATCCGATGGAGGTGGATGAGGGTTAGTAGCCCTTTTTGTCTGCCTCGTGCGAGGTCGTTCGGGACGCGGGTGGGGGGGGAAGAAGAAGTTGGCTTCTTGGGATTTGATTGAATCTTTTGCGGAAGTTATGTAGGTATTTTGTATATGATCGTTATATATGATGACATATACGCGTGTGATCGCGAAATTTGGGGGGGGAGGGGGGGTTTTCTTCGTATTTATGGCTACAGGGAATGACCGGAGGGAATAGACTGGGTCTGAAGAGTTTGGGCACGGCGTTCGCTTCATCCAGCTCGATGGGATATTGGATTGGCATTGATTTCCTCGGTCGGGGTTTATTGTTTATTATTGGATTTATATGGACACTCACCTCTAGGAAGCTGATTTCGGATTATGACGGAAAAAAATCTGATAATTATTTTTCGCCATGTATTATTGTGCCATATATCCATTTCTCTTGATATTCCAAGTGATTGCTGGAGCAGGTCGCGATGAACTGTCTAAAGTCGGAGCGCACTTTCCACCTCCTGCTTATTTCTCTCTCTCTCTCTCTCTCTCTCTTTTTTTTTCCTTTTTTCTTATTGTAGTAGTTAGGTAGTCACGAATATTACACCATTATCATTAGTTATTTCAATTCGAGTCTGCCGAAGAACGAAGCATCGCTGCTTTAGTGGAGCTTAGGCTTGGCGACCTGCTGTAATAGGCAATCCCACTACCTGATCTACTCGTTTTCATTGGCTGGTGGATTCTGGGCTACACGGGCCTCATCTGATCTCGGGAATCTTCACCAGCGTACGAACGTGTGGGGGGATGGAGAAGAGGAAAAGCTGGTCTTGAGAAACGGTGTTACAATGGGCGAGTGAAGGGATAATAGATCAAGGATCGATTTGGAGATATCAGTTGATTTAACTGTCCTCTGTATAAGGATGTGCCTGGGAGACAACAGTCAAGGAATCCGGTGTCTCTCGACCTCATTCAGCAGTGACGATGATGCGGGATCACCACCACATCGGTAAGAAAATAAATATGAGTCACACATCCCCCAAGCCTTACAACAATTGATATAAGTCCCACCGCTTCTAGAAGCCGAGTCTCGGTACTCTCTAATTGAAAGAATAAACCCCTATACGCAAGGTGAAGCTGACCTTACCGCCTTGTCGAATAGAAACGCCAAGCCTTTCCCCCCTTCACGCGAAATCTCCACAGCATGACGAGACTCCACTCGCTTAAAATGATGCTTCATGCGCATGCGTACCAAACGTGCAGAAAAACGAATGTTTCCTTGAAGGCTTTCATATTAGCTAATGCTGTATTTTCTATGTCTCGAGAACGAATGATCGGCTCCTTGCCTTTTCTGTCCATTTCGCATAACCGCTGGGCGAGTTGTAGTTAGTCTGTCCCGGCTTGTATAGCGTGTACGGGGTTTCCGGAATCTAGCCGATGGCTGTCTGCATGAAGATGGTTCGGATATTGATTATAATCAAGTGAAAATGTTTTATGCCTTTGCTGTATATAAAGGGTGGTTAGTATACTCGTGATGGCCGGAGGTGCGTGCGTTTTACTTCTCATTGACATTCTCACCTTCCATATACACGTCAAGAAAAACGAAGCAAAAGCAATATGGCTAAAGAAAAGCCCCAAAAGGCTGAGGAGCCCGAGGACGCCTCGCAAAACCACAAGCGGAAGAAGTCCACGGGGACCATCAACCTCCTCGTCGAGACGCGTCGCCAGGCCTCAGACGACTACGCTCGAGCCCAGCGCGCCGAGAAAGCATACCGCATGCGCAAGAACGCGACAATCGCGAGGTCCACGTTGCGCGATACCAAGACGCACTTCAGCGAGGGGTTCAAGCATCTAGGGCAAGGCTTCAAGGGTTTATTCACCGTCATTCGAGCCGTGCCGTATCTCGTCGGGGAGAAGCAGGAGATCTCGAGACGGAAGTCTGAGGTGAAGAAACGCGCGCGCGCCGAGGATATGCGGAAGAAGCTGGACGAGAAGTTAGCGAAGAAGTATGCGGGCGTGGAAGAGGAGACGGAGGAAGGTGAGGATGGGGAGAAGAAGAACGAGGCCGAGACCAGTGGGGGCATATGGGGGAAGAAGAAGTGAAGGGGGGACGGTGAGGGAGTGGTGAAAGAACTGTAATGACTCGGGTATGGTATCTTCTCTCGTCGGCTGTTTATATCGGGCTTCCAACTGACATTCAAGCAGGGCTAGCTCCCCAATTTCTTTTGTCCTATTGGCGTTGGTGGTTGTTTCGATACAGCATTCTCGAGAATATCGGGGATGGTTAGTAATGGTAATAGACGTCCATGGAGTTAGGGGCATGATGAATGATCAGACGAAGCATATGAAGATGGCGTTCATCTGGTTCCTTGCTTGCCTATCTACCAGGTAGACAAGGAACTTCTGCCCCCATACCCCTGGCATTACAATTGTTGGATTGGATTGGATTGGATGGGATAAGATGGACTAGTGCCATCTTGCGTTCAGATACCTTTTGATAAGAAGAAAACAGGACATCGAACTCTCAGAGAAGAGCCATGTATCCTTCGAACTGATGATCATCATCATATGCTATTAGCTAAGCAATACCTACACACCTACCTACCTAAGGGTGGGATCAGACCTTCAGCTCCTCTAGACTTGGTTTGTAAGTTCCAACAACAGTACTAACACCGAAAGTAACGCGTCCTAGAAGAGAGATCACGCTCACAAGATGAATGTACCTAATTACTGTAAGCCCAACCAAAGGGTACCTGTTTTCATCAAGGCGGTACGTACCTTCCCATATAGCTACATACTTCCACCCACTATTCCATCGCCACAAACATGTGACCACACCCTACAACCACCTCCAGCACCCCATTACCTCTCCCTTATAAACTTATTCAACACTCAGGACTCCCAACCGGACCCCGTAACATAGGACGTATCCCTGGGTTGACTCGACGGTATGAAACAACTGCAAAAGCGAGTCTCCGTATTGGAGCGGGCTGGGGGCATCCCGCAACTTGACAATTAGAGCTCGCCGACGGTGTGGTTTTTCGTAAGGCTTGGAATTCGATTCCGGGTCTAGCTTTTTTCTTTTTTTCTTTTTGTTTCTTTTCCGTCTTATTTGTTCATTTGATTGTATCCCATTCGAACTGTGCTTGGTGTAGAGAACGATGGATGTCTAGGTGAGTGGTCTTGCCTTCCACCTTCGATGCCATCACCACTGAAACTACTGCCTACCTACTTACTAGCCAACCACAACCTAATCGTGATTTTGATGTGATGTTATGTTTTCAATGAAGCTATTCGTAATATCCTTGATATGCATACCCTTCGACTTTTCGCTTTGCTTTGCATACTACACCGTTATTTTCATCTTACCCTATTGTATGAAGTCTTACACATTTCTACCATCACTCAGATGAGTCTTATAGGCAGCTACATGTGTATGGCGCCTCCAAAGTTCGTAGCTTGGTGGCTTTCACGATGCTTCATTCTGGTGTTTGTTAACGCGCACCAGTAGTAGGTAGTACATAAAGTAGGCAGCAGCAGTCACACGTAGGTAGGGAAGTAAACACTGTAGCGCGACAAAATTGAATTCACATCTTGAATTTTGTTTCACGTAGTACCTACGTACCTTGTACCTATGAAAGAACTCCCATTTCAGCGCCACATCATGTGAAGCCGTAATCTATTTATATACCTAAGGCAGAGATCTGAACTTTGAATCAATTTTATTCTCAATACAGTAATCTATTAAGGCTGTAAAGATCCTTGGCCTACTAACTCCCTCCTAGCTTTAGTAGCTTAATTTTGCTATTACATACAATTTGAATGCTAATCCTGATTGCTTAGATCTTATTGATCTGTTTCATAAAGCCAGTATATATCGGCTGATCGATAATCCACTCAGATAGCTCCTGATGTGCTCCCAACAAAGACAACTTCAACAGCAGCGAAAGCAGCAGTGGCCGAGAATATCTCAATCCTCTTCGCGTTGGTGAAAATGGCGAGTGCCGCTGCGAAGATACTCGTGAAGACAACTACTAGCCCAATCCTGTTGAGCATGCTCTTCACGAAGTATAGGACAAGTATGGCCACGGTCGGTAATGCTGCTGAGAATATCGCGACAATCGCATCACCAACCCGGGCTATCTTCCTCTCGTCATAAATGCGGATATTGCGACCCAACAGCTTATCTTCGGACTGTATGGAATACCTAGTCAGCGGGGCCAACATCAATCATATCTTCGAGATACGTCCCTTTGTGCGCCGGCCGATCACAGCAGTGTAGGCCGTCAGTAGCTTCCCGTTCAAGAGCTCACTCAGCCCGTCTTCGCCGTGACCAGAGGTTGGACGCATAGTGAAGTACTCTGACACGTCTGGGATTTTCCAGGTGCCCTCCTCGATGCCGTCCAGAAAATTCCCGCCTTCCAGAGCGATCCACTGTCTGAGGCCTTCTAGGTCATGATTGCTCGGCTGAGCGGCGTCGGATCCTCCAGGCGAAAAGCTTTGCAATGCCTCATCTGTACAGTCCATCGTCAGAATAGCGACCAAGTTTCTTTTAGGGCCATTTCACTTCTTTACGGTATTCTTTCAGCTTTTCCCCAATCTCTCGTAAAATGTCGTACTGGATTGAGTCTTCATTCAGTTGTTCTCTCATATACCGAAAGTCCGACCTAAAGGTTTTGCGGAAATCGTCCTCCTCCTGCTCGAGTTGCCAGATGTCTTTCAATTGGCTCTCTAGATCTTGCAGTTCCGATTGTAATCGGAGAATGTTCATTATGGACAAGAAACGGAACCTTCGAAAGATGGCGGCGTCTGGGTTTGTTGCCATCATGTTCGCTAGCTTCGAATAGCCAACGAACTCCGCCCCTCCAGCTTCTGCAACAGCCATTATACTTTTCAGCACAAGATATGTTAACTCAAATCTAGATTGGTAATGAAGCGTTGTTCATGAGATAGGTCCGTGTCACTTGTTGCAGATGGATGATGATGCGATCGTGGGGGATCAGCAGAAATGCACATTGGCGGCAAGCTCTTCTATTGGTTGGATTTGGGCACTCACACTGCGCCCGATTTCACCCCGCTTGGGGGGGTTTTGGATCTTACACCTCATCGTCAGCACAGTCATTTCTATGCTATGCCATCGAAGCACCTGCTAAAACATCAGAAACCCTCTTAATGGACCCTTTAAGCGCGACGAGCTCTTTGATAGGGCTGGCCTCTGTCTTGAAGACTTACAAGGACGTGCTTAGCCGTTCAAGAGACCAGCCGGGGTTGAACCAGCTAGAACAACAGCTGAGACACACAGCGGCTCAATTGCGTTTGATATCATCTATCCTGTCCTGCTCACCCCAGCTGCCGGAATACTTCCTCGAGGATGTCGAAGAAACCTCAAACAGGGTTAGAGCAGCGATAAAACGACTAGAAGCCGTCTTTAAGAATTACAATGAGAGCTCAAAACCATTGCGCCCGGCCAAGCTTGTTCTCGATAAGAGGACAGTTGGGGATATTGCGGAGTTAGATAACACGGTCGATAAACTCTGCAGTCAGTTTAAACTGTACGTTTTATATTCCTTCCCTAGTTTCATTTAGAGACACTAGAGCAAGTTCTAGGCACATGGCATTGAACACGAGGCAGCAGATAAACGTGCTACATTCTCTCGCAGAAGCCACGGCGAAATACTTCGAAAGTAGTTTGAGTGATTTGAGGAATGATTTAAACTCCCTCGTGCGACTGTTGGCAGAGAAGTTTGAACAACCACTTGAAAACTTCACGGACTCGAGTCGTGATATGGGCGAACGCCAACGCGACTTCGAAGAGCTGCGGGAAGCCCTTCGAAGAAATCTCGGCAGCACTACTATGCGCCCTTTTGCGTTCGACCCATTCTGCTTTCCTTTTGTGATCGTTTCGCCAGACCGCCAAGAGTCGGTCGGGGGCCCGGTACAAGTCAAATTGGATACTGGCGCCCACGATAGTTGGGTTGGCAAACACGTACTCGAGCGGCACGGTCTTGATTTTGACTTGACTGATGATCAGAGGGTTTTCATCGGAGCTGGTCGTGGTGGGTTCCGTGCTCTCGGGAAAGTCACGCTGATTTGGTACTCAGAAAATCAAGCCCTGACCAAGAAGACAAACTTCCTCGTCGGCGAAGAACTCCCGTTCGATGTCATTCTTGGCAGTGACTATCTCATGGACGATCTGAACACGGATCCTTTCAAAACGCCCATTCTCCCCTTAAGGTCGATTCTCACGAGAGGTAGGCTCCCTTCTTTTCCAGATTTGCCACAGAACTAAGCGAGATCAATCATATCAGAGGAACTCCAAGAGCTGGAGAAGACGCAGCGTGAGAAAGGCGCTAAGGCTGAGGACATCCGGAAAATCCAAAAAGAGCAGAACCTGAAGAATTTCGAAGAGAGGAGGAAAGCTAAAAGAGAGTCGCGGCTTACTACGCCTGCTTATCCCGGCACTTCTTCCAGCTTCCTCTTCCCCTCGTCAACCCCTACCAGCATTTCCAGGCGCTCAAGTTTCGCCAGCCGGTCCGTTACACCGGGGGCATCGCGATTGTCTAGCAGAGAGCCTAGTCTCGTGACGGCAGATATTACGGCTGAGGATGGGTCACAAGCCACTGATAATAATTCTACAACTCCAGCTGAGCGGTCCGTAGCCTAGGAATGAGAAGAGCATAATGGCACGGTCAATATTTTGTGACAGGACCCCAGGACCACGACGCCAGCTGAAGATCCACAGTGCTTCTGATATCATTACTAATCGAAAGTAGACGGCATGATCTAAGTGTAGACTACAGTTCAGCACTTCAAGCGGCTATTCGAAACGAGCATCCGAGTATTATCAAGATACTGATCGAGAACAAAGCCGATTCCAATGCAGAAACCGATTGCAGTACTCCATTAATGACAGCTGTAACCATCGGCCACGTAGAGATCGCGAAGATATTGCTGCAGAATGGTGCTTATGTCAACAAGGTCACCCACGGAGTTCGGTACTGCGCCTGAGCGCAGCTGCTAACAATGGCGATTTTGATATGGCCAAATTGCCCGTGGACTGTCAAGCCTACGTTAAGAAGGATATAGCTCATGACATTGCGCTTGCATGAGCGGCTAGCAATGGTCATCATATAGTGTGCATTTTCTTGCTGACAACGGCGCTGGTATTTGGTAAAAATACAAGTTAACTTGCTTTAAGGTGTAATAACAATTTCCAGTAACGACTAAGCAGCCCAATGTAATATCATGACGACATAATAAATGACTCGGCACTAATAATATATATAGCTTCTGGTATCTTCCTAGCAATAAGTATATCAAGGTACCATGGATTGCAACCATAGGAATGCTAGACTATGTCTAACTATGTATTATGCCGAGTCTCTTTGTCTATAGGCCTGGGATCATCACTCAAGGCCAATTCGTTTAAGGATCGGGCCACAACATGAATTTGAAACTGTTCACAATAAAAAGAGTCAAATGTGAAGCGTTTATTGCTATGTGAGACCGTATCGAGGCATGATGAGAGAGAGGAACGGAGTGAGATGGTCGTTAAGCAGGGTAGCCCAGATTAGATAAGCAGTACAGCACTAAAAATCCCAGCTACTCACGCGATCTGCCTAAGACTCCCAGCAACAGAGGGATATGTGATATTCAAGGCTGTCTGAAAGTCAATCATAAAGCGGTTCATCCTTTAGGATAGAGGCGAGGAGAAAATACAAAACCAGTAGTAGGTAGGCAATTGGCGCAATTGGCATACCTAACGTATACAACCTGTGGCGCAAACCATGAACTTGAGTGAGTGAGCAACGTAGATCTCAACAAGCACAGCGACACACATTCTTTTCTCACATGCGTAAGAGACGTACTGCTCCCAATCCTCTCACCTACCTTTCCACTCACTTACTCCCTCGCTATTGTTGGTAAGTATGTACTCATTTGCATTCAAATACTACGCATGTGCTCACCAGCTAGGTATCTATCCATCTCAGCGGGGTACTCACTCCCCAGGCTCTGTAGTACATAGCTATACACCCCTCTTAATACCACCTCATACCATAATATGCTGCATCGTCACCAACAGACAATCCGTCTCAGGTAATAACACCGAAAAGATACCTACATACAAGGTATGTAATCCATTGGAGTCGAATACTTTCCTCCCTGGACAATTTGCCAATTTACTTGCCCGCCTACCTTCTCGATGACCGTTGCCGTGATTACCGCCTTGAGAGATTACGACCTCCTGGTTACCTAAGTACCTACGGTAGCTGATGACATCCAGTAGGTACATATGTAAAGAAGCTGACCACCGCCAGAGAACAAGCAATGTAAATACCTCGTGCGTCCCCCATCTCGCTCACTCACCGGGTCACACTGCTTACCTACCTACCTACCCAACATCCCAGACGTACAGCACCACCCTTCACTCCTCGAAAGTCAAAGCACAAACTCAATCTACACCCCCATTTTCCAGAACAAATTACAAACTACCAACCTACCTACCTACCTAGGTACCCTGTCTTCATAATCCCGCAAAAAAAACATACTAATCCGCAATGTAATCAATCAATCAATTTCACAAATCACAAATGAGCCCGCCTATACTAAGGAGTACGAGAGCTAGGAAAGGCAAGAACGAGCACGTAGGCCGCGTTGAATAGCACTAGTGTCGTAGAAAAAGGAAGCACGGCATTCATCGAGCGCGTTATCAAATATACACGGAAGACAATTCCTCGCCGAGACCTCCGTAGCGAACGAACGAATAAACGTAGACCGTCGTGAAACAAATCGAAATCAGAATAACGAACTTCGAAATTCTAAATTTCGGCATCGATGATGGATTTTTTTCTCTCTTTCTCTCGGTGCGGTTCCTAAATTAGTCAACAAGACGCCTCCAAGCTGTGCGCCAAGTCAATATAAACACAATGCTCAGCCCCGTTGGGGGGCTTTAGGTTTTAAAATTGCATCACATAGTTGATAAACCCATTTAACCAGCTTTGTTTGCTTTCTTTTTTTTGTTCGTGATTTGGTTCATTTTTCATTCGGTGCCTAAGACGATGAATTGTGTGAACACAGGTCCTCAGAGCCAGTAGTGACATAAACCCCCAACCCTTATGACCCCATTGCCTTTCCCTCGAAATTGCGCGGAACGACAAAGGTGAATGCGATGATCGAGTTTCCCATACCCACACGCCGGTTCTAGTTGCAAGTCCATGGAAGGATGAATTGTGTTTGGTTTTGTTGTTGGTGTATCAGAAAAATGCAGACGGATGGAAACAAGACGATTTAGTAACCGAAGGACTCGAGAGTCTTGGCTGTCTTGCTGTCTACTGTGGCACTCTTCTTGGCCTCGCTGAGTTGGCGCTGAGCGAGCTTCTTGCGCTCGTAGTAAGCGGTACCCTTGGCCTTGCGGCGCTCCTCCAGACTGTGAAATGTATTAGCCATATTCCCTTGAACCGAGAACCCCGCAAATTCTTGATGACTTGGTTCGTGTATCCACATACCGAGCAACAACATCCTGGTATTTCCAGCCGACTTCGTGGCTCAGTCTGCCGACAGTGCAGTACTTTCGGCCGGGCTGTAGACGAAGGACACGGAGAGCCTGGGGAACAACCATCTTCTTTTGCTTGTCGTACGGGGGAGGGACACCCTCAAAGACCTTTAGGCGCTCCAAAGCAGCAGCACCTCGGGCAGTCTTGTGGGGAATCATGCCACGGACGGCCTTGTAGAAGATTCTTGAAGGGGCACGGAAGTGGAAGGGACCTAGGTTGCGTCAGAAAGTCTCGTCTCGGAAAGGGAGTGCCTGATATCGACACGCAGATCGGAGTGTGACATACCACCTCGGGTAGGGTTGAATCGGGTGGCCTTGCGCAGGTAGGCGTGGTACTTGACTATAGTCCAACAATCAGTTCCAATTCTCTTTCTCGACTGGCGTGTAGGTCCAAGCTCTTTCAAAAATTCCATCCTTCCATTCTAACTCCATCGCAAATCCAAAGCCAGACCGCATCTAAGCACTTCCTAAAACAAACTCGAAAGAACAGATCGCTGGAGGTGACGTACGCTTGGCGCGGAAGAACTCGCCCGAGATGTTCAGTTCCTCGCATCGGACGATGGCGATCTTCTGGCCGCTAAGGAGCTGCTTGGCGACGATAGAGGCGAGTCGGCCAAGGAGGTGGCCTTTGCCATCGATGACGACCTAAAGGAAAGAAGAATTTGAGTTAATTATTGCTCGAATATTGGTGGATTGAGATTAAACGTCTGTATTTATCGAAATATATCATCCCCAATTCCCTCCATGATTCCCCTGTAAATCACCCACAGCATTGTGCTGTAGTCTGGCAAGGTAGGAATTCGTAGAGTGGTCGCAAGGGGAACGACAGGCCGATACAGGGTTTGGAATTGAATTTCGAACAGCAAAAGCCACTTACAACAGACTCAAAGGACGACATCTTTTCGGATCGTCACCGCGACGTGGTAACAGAAAGGAAAAGAATGATGGAACGGGGAGGAAGAAATAGCTCGAGAGCGCAACCGAAGAAGTCTGCGTCTGTAGGAGCTATTAAATTAATCCTCTGCTGTGGTCGTTAGTAAGGTCGTGATGTGTTGTTGTTGGTCGCCAGGCGGAGGAGAGGAATGCCACCACTAGAAAATTATCGGCGGAACGCACAATCGTCCAGTGTGCCCGCTGTAGAGGGCCGCTAGTCCTGGCTTGGAATGGTGGGGGCGGGCGTGGAAGCGAGAGGGATTTTTGTGGCCTCATAATCTAGGGCTAGGCAGACCTAGCCTCCTTCAGTGCTCGTGCATGCGCCACAGAACAATTGTGGCTTATCTTGCTTACTTACTCACATAGAAGCTTACAGTGCTGCCCAGCTGACAACCCCCCAACGTCGTTGCTTATCATGATGCTGACGATGCTGACCATCGAAGGCTTACCTACAGTTCTATTCTACAGTATTCAGTGCCCGGATACAGCTCATCATTAGCGCTGACCTTCCGATAATACAGTGTAATACAGTGCTCGCAGCACGCATATGTACAATGCTTCAACATTGCACGTTGCACGTTGTTAGGCATCCAAAGCCGGGAGCGTTGAATACATGCAACAAAAAGCTGACACTTCTTTCTGCCTCAGACTTAATGGTACCTACGTAATGGTAGCTTGCTTACTTAATGAGGTCGGACCTAGGTCGACCTAGGTCACGAGATGCTCCCATAGGCTACTCCTAGCACATATATGTCTGATGTCCTATATTATATGTCTCGTGCCCTATCAACAGCCAGCCAACGCTACCAACCCCGGCAAGGGAAATCCTGGTAACTGGAGGACATCGTCATCGACAACGACGACTGCCTAGTTGCCTACCTCAGTGCTTCGCCTTTCTATGTGTCGTCCTACCGAATGCCTTGCCTTCCATGAACGCAGCCGGCAGTTCGTTTCTTCATGCACAAAGACACAAATCGCTGAGCACTTGACAAAGTAAAGTTTATGGCTGTCAGTTACTATATAACATGCCTTGCTAGAGAAATGCATCGATGTGAAGCCTGAGTCTGAGATGGTGATTAAGCAGGGAGTGCCGACCATGAGCTGCCTGTAACCAAGGACGAGATATGGAAACGTATGAGTCTAAACTCTTGTCTAAGTATGTCGTTAAACTTCGTGAACATCTTCGCGAACGCGCTCTTCCGATGCACCCATTTCAATGGCATCTTGAACCTTTCATGTATTATATAAACGTACTTTGCATCATCCTAGTGGATAGAATGGTAGATTGGATAGGTTGAGTGGGTTTGAATCGGTTCCCCCGAATACATTACCGAGATGCCATTACCCGCAGTGTAAAGGTGCCAAGTGATATCATCGGTTTTGCCTGAGCGCGTCAGGTACCCTCTCATCTATTTCCTTGAGTATATCCTGAACATAGTTGACCAGGTCTTTCCGTCTTGCCCGGATGTCAGGATCTCCTCCAGTTTCAACTTCGTCTAGTTTCAGCAGCACATGCTGCATCACCGTCTCACTGATTTTGCGGTGCTCCTCTTCCAGTTTTTTAGCGTCTCTAGGTGGGTGGTGTATAAATTCCTTGCACAATGGCAGGAGCTGCGCGTCAAAATGGGATCTGATGGCCTCCAGCTTTTCAATTGCTCCAGAGGGCACTTGAGGAGACGGCACCCGGGAGGGGTGTCTCGAAGGGTCAGGGCTTGTCCATTTCCCGTCCTCGTCGTTCTGGCCGGGCACCTCTAGACTGCTGCTAGTCTCTCTCGGCGTCCGGTTCTTAGGCTTCTTCTTGCCATTCTTATTCTTCCTTTTCTTCTGGGGCCGTGAGTCGTCCCTAGAATCAGTACCAACAACTTCTTCAAGCGAGCCACTACTGTCGTCATCATCCGAAAGTCTTCCCTCCGGTACCACTACTAACAATTCGCTGTTGTTCTTCACGCCATAGTCGCGGATAGGGATATCTGGCTCTTTAAGGTTCCTACCCTTGTAGAGCATCTTGATACGGCTAGCCCGACGACTACTCAAGTCCATCACCAGTCCTGCGCGGTCTCGGACATCTCTCACCGTCAGCCTACCATCGCTGATTGAGTAGGCAGGAAAGTGTACGGGATAGGTAACCGCTTTATGTTTGATCAGGATGACATCATCCTCCTCAACGGCAGCAGTGCGCGGTGCTCGACGGTTTTGCGGGGCATAAGTCGCTTCAGGAGCCTGTAGTGAGGTTTCTAGATCTTCGGACGTGATGTAGCTATAATCAGCGTCGGTGACGTGCGGGCCGTCTTGGCTGCTAGCTTGCGAAGCAAAGGGCGATAGAGCCTCGGAAAACGAGGGCCACCCGTACCGCGCCATCAGAATAGGCAGTGTCACAGCAGCAGCGCCTACGAGGGTCGAGTAGACGGTTGTGGGCGATGCGCCTTTGGATTCGATGTACTCGTTGGACCCGGCGACGGCGTCGGACAGGTGAGCGAGTGTGGTGACAAGGTAGGTTTGTAAGGCCGGTGGTAGGAATGCGGTGATGTTCTGGAAGGCACCAGAAGTTGCCGAAAGGACCTGACTGGAAGCCACCTTGACGAGAATCGGGTCGTCCTGGGAATTCCAGGACACCCGGCCTAAGTAGGTAGCTAGATATGTTATTTTGTCACTGCAGAATGCAAAGTGGATGGAGCACCAGAGGGGTCGCAGTGGCCACGGTGACTGCAGGCGACCAAATAGCAGGCGAGAACGAACCCTGTTAGCGGTGCGAATCAAGCAGAGTCTCTGGAGCGGAGGGTCACAGCTGCGCAGCGGCGCATTGGAGGGACACACGAGTGCCGAGTGGGCGAATAGCAAGGGACTACCACGGTTGTTAGGTGTTAGGCCACCTCACCTAATCTGTAGGTATCTGTGGGCAGGAGTTAAGTCGGTCGGTGCCGGTGTTGGGATTCGTCGACAGACGGCTTCACTCCAAGGAACAGCCTCCTCAGTCCCCCAAATGACCAGAAAAGGGCCTAGTTCGAGGCCTAGCTCGACGTTTAGCTCAGAGTCAAATCGTGGGGCAGCAGGCCAGAGGGCTGGGTGCTCGGCAGAGGGGTAAGGGAAACGGTAAACGGCTCAATGCTCGATAGCTGCAGTCTGCAGAGGGCCGACTAACACACTAACGGCGGGCTTCGAATGGGGCTCGTCTCGAATGGCGACTCTTTGGTCGGTCAGAGGCGTGGGAGAGACGTAGGAGTGGTCAGCGGTCGAATTAGAGGTAAGCGATGGCTCGATGATGCGTTGTCACTGCAAGACTGTGCGCAAGGTATTCAGGTCAGCTGGTGAGAGGACACCAGCTTCTCTCTGCTACGACTAGATTCCCTGCTCCAAAGCGGCTCATTGGGCTGCCGACAAGACACACGACGTCAGGGTGCAACGACGTACGACAAGAAGATTGACGACGTATGTCGTGCTGTAAGATTTGTACTCCCCCAACGCGACAAAACAGAATTCAAGCAGAATTGAAGATAGGCAAACAAGACGATACTGATAGGGGGTTGCCAGTCGACTCACAGCGAAGGGGATCGCGTGAAGGATTCGAAGAATATCGGACACCTACCTAAAGACAGGTTACCCCGTCACATTCGAACCGTGGTACAACGGGTGAGGTGCGAAGTACCTATGTACCTACTTCACAGCTGTTGCGGAAGGGCTTAGGGCTGGCAAACAGATGGGGAACAGCTGGCAAAGTGGCTCTCATCTTGGCCGAATTGGCATCTTCAGCTGATGACCGAATGTACAAGCAGGTAGGTACACATGTATCACCATCAGCCAGAAAAGCGGCCGAGCTTATTTGGGGGCCAAAAGCCGTATCTGCATATTTGTATATGGTGCTATTGGCCCATTGGGCAATTGATTTTGATGTACATACTCTAGCAGACGAGGTATCAAGTTTGTAGGCGACCTCCGGCCGTAAGGACTTGTTTTCTCTACCAGTCTGGAGGCAGCTGTAGCTTTGCCAGAGTTTTCAGTCAACATTCTATTTCTATTCCCATGCTCCAATAGTAGAGATTCTGTAGAGATGGATAGATGGATAGAGTTGGAACAACCTAGAACTAACGAGACTGGTTTCGGTTAGGCTGATGTGTAGATCTGGATCTGAGATGCCCGGCCACAGCTCGCATAACCAGATCTAAACTCGACCAACCCAAATATCTTGTTCTGTTTTTAGCACGTAGGTAACTCATTCACATGAGTTTATCTTCTACTACCAAGACTCATAAAATACATTCAATTCTTCTACACAAAGTTCTGCATAGAATAAGGGGGAGGATTATAAGTTGGCCGTGTCATTGGTTTACTTAGCTAATTCGGAGATCTTGTGATGTCTCTTACGTCATCCTCTTTTTAGCTGGACCACTTGATAAAATCAATGTCAGCGGATCCAGGCACGGGTAAACCGAGGCTAGAGTCTCTGCTGTATTTTCAGCGTCGAAGTAACTAATAGGTAATCTTTACTGTGAAGGGAGGGAGTGACAGGTATCTATGGGTTAGGTAATGTACGGCATTCCAATACATACCGACATAGAGACTACATAGTAGATAGGTAGCAGAACATAGTAATAGTCATTGTAGGATTTGTCTACAATGGCCGCCTCCGTCATCATCTGGAATCATGAATGTCGCCTCTTCGAGGATATAGCCCAGCTACATGGGTACTTGTGCTTACCGGATTAAGCAATGGACAGCCACTATCCCGACGGTCCACACCGCTACGGTCTGCCGTCCCGCGATAACATCATCGTCACAGGCGACAGATTTTGACAAATAGGCACCGGGCTCTGACTGGCTGACGCAAACCTGCGACAATCCCGAGTCCAGGGTCTTTTCTTTTCAGACACACACCACACAGACCACACTATCTACTGTGTGTAGGCGGTATTCAAGTATTTAAGTGGTGGTTGGTCGCAGCGGCGTTTCGTTAAAGGTACGGTCGGCCGGCAATGCACCTCATTCAACAAATACCCCGCTGTGTCGTGCTCGCTCGCCGTCCAATATCAACGCCCCTCCTCCGGCCCCATCTCAACTACAGACACTCTCTCAGCTCGACTCTGACCAGCCATTCCTCCTCCTCCTTCTCCATGAACTTCCTACGCAAATTCTTCCATACCCCCACGCCAGAAGAAATGTCCGCCGCCAGCACGAAAGCCCAAACCATCATCAAGGAGAATGCCGTCGGTACGTTTGCTTGCTTTCTTGCGCCTTGACAAGCTACATTCATCCATCCCATCCCATCCCCCGCTGCTCCATTGTCAATCTTCTTCCTCCACCATGCCGAGCTAACGAGATATAACTAACTCCCTTTTCGCAGCGGTATTCTCCAAGTCGTACTGCCCGTACTGCCAGGCTTCCAAGAAGCTCCTAGACGACCTAGGTGCCAAGTACTTCGCCATCGAGCTCGACAAGGTCGACGACGGCGCCGCCATCCAGAACGCCCTCGAGGAGATCTCGGGCCAGCGCACCGTACCCAATATCTACATCGGCGGCAAGCACATCGGCGGCAACTCGGATCTGCAAGCTAAGAAGGGCGAGCTCAAGGGCTTGCTCCAGTCTGTCGGCGCCGCTTGACTCGGCGATGGTCCGGACCACACCACCTCAGCGAAGCTGTAACGACATCGTCGCGAATATTCGGATGTATCGTGTCGGACATAAAAAGATCGCAGGCAATGTAGGCGGACTTGGTTTTACGTGCTGCGCCCGTTATTATAGTGCCAGATAAACCATGCGATAAAGGAAACTGTTGAAGTTAACCTTGTCTCTCCGTCTATATGCATCATCCCTTCTTCGCGCGCACGTGTGCACACATATAGAAAATAGATATCTCGCATTTCCGAACCTAGTTATGTTACTTCTTTTCCTGTAGCAAACCAGTTATATACGTAGGTATCTCAGTGTAGTATCGGCGTTAGGCAGGCTGTCATCATTTGTGCTCATCATCTTGCCTATGTAGTCGCTCTTATGGGTTTCTCACAGTAACATTCGGTAACATCAACAAATTGGGTAAATTTTTCACCAAGGTTAGCAATGTAGATAAATTAGTTAAAATTGTAAGCAACATAGTGAAGTTCATGTAATCAATGTAAGCATATCAGCAAGCATGTCAGCAATGTAGGTAAAATAAATGTCATCAATATAGGTAAAATCACTGAATTTGGCAATATAGCTACGAGCTCATAAGCAATGATCACATACATTGCCTAACATCTATGAATAATAATGTTACCCCTAAAGTCAGCTTGTCGCTCCTCTTGTAAGCATGTTACCACTATTCTCAGCGTGTTACCACTATTGTCAGCATGTTACCCAATACCATGTTATCATATCACAAAACAACAATGAAGTTGTTCGCAAACAACAATACCTTTCATCAACGCACAAGTGTCGCACAATCAACCTACGTTAAGCAGATATACGAATATGATGTTTCGTAACAGCGTGCGAGTCTAGCAACCAGCGACTTGTACACACATAATGTCCCACAACACGCTCCTCGTTCTAAAACAATAGAGTTGTATCAAGTATTCACAAAGACTATAAAAGAATCCCTTTGTTCCCTCTCGGCTGATAAATAGTAGCTTACACAACCACAGCACGTAACAAGCATAGATCCTACTAACCACGACCTATGGATAATTATGATGGCTATCTCCATCACCTTGCTCTTTACACAATTACTCCATGTCTGTGCGTGGATGTACTTGGGCTGTAGGCCGAGATATCGCCAATACCGCGATGTAAGTAGCCCGACTTATAGAATGCCTAACCGCCGATTCTCTAGACTTTCGGTTATACCGGAGGGACAGGAGGATATTGAGATGATGTAAGAGAGAAAGAGAGAGACAAAGAGAAACGAGCGCGTTTGAGGGGCTCATTAGAGAAACATAGTTAGTATTGGAGATAATGATGATTGATTGATATCTGCTCAATTTGTGCGTAATATGTGCTTGCGATAAGAATTCTGACCTGCAACGTGATAGTCAAGAGTTGGGCTAAACCATCTTCCAAGATACCGGTAGATGAATTTCGGACCCCGCGTCTCATTCTCAGCGTAATGACCTATGAACCCTGGGACTATGATCTCAAACACGGTATATATGACCGGAATCGATTGATCGTATCTAGCGCCGCGCTCATGTACTCAGTAATGGAATTAGGCACAGCCACCAAGTTCCTCTAATCGGCTACTTATCTATTTACGTACTTTAGAGTATGATAAAGATCTAATCTACTCTGTTACGACTGCGCTTTCGGCCGTATGACAGGCCATTTCATAATCTTCGGAAACATGCAGGCAATATTCGAAAATGAGGTTACACAGACTTCGCTTGAAACAATGTGACCTACATGGCGGTCAGGACTGGCAGACCAGTTGTAAGTATGTAGAGTCGAGCCAAACCACCAATGCCAAGAAGAAATTGGCTGGTCAAGGACTCCTGCAGCCCTACTTGATCCTTGTAATCTGAATACCGGTAGCTTCAATCCGAAAGTCCAGTCATATGCCCTTGTTATATCCGTACCCAAAGGTCTCGATACTATCGAAATTCAAGTGAATGGGTTTAACAGACTACTCAACCTTCCTATGTCTACATATGTACAGGCACAAGCACAAGCCTCGTCTACTCACGCCTGTGCGCTGTCTGAGGCCTCAATTTTATTTGTGGACCCCAGACAGACTTGGGTGTATTTTTAGAATTTGTACATCCTACAGATGTTTGTAGGATTTGCACCGCAGTAATCTCAGCCCCAAATGCTCCGTACATACCTATCCATTTCATAATCATCATTCAAACTTCACATTGCCGTCGTGCCATGCAACGCCATTACTTGCAGCAGAGACCGAGAGCGAGCTACGAAGGAGGGGACTAACAACCGATCAGACTCGACCAATGCGTAATCATCCGCGCAATGTCTGTGACAAAAGCCCTTCTTCTCGTGGCGCAACTACCGGCCCTAGCCTCGTCGGCCTCCATAAATCCCTATCATATCGACTACGGGTACTGGAACGCCAACGTGAGCGTTAACAACGTGAGGATGACAAACACCGAGTTCTATTCGCGCGTATGCATCGTCTCCGCCGAGTACTGGGCCTACCCCGGAGTGATCAACCAGTGGGGCACACTTCACTCTAACGTAATTTCGACAATCGGGTTTGGGCAGCCTGCATCGTTTGACGATACGTCATTCGGGGCGAACGATGTTGACGGGCAAGGCGATCAGCGTAAGTGATTATCTCCCGAAGATTCATGTTGCGGGTTCAAGGAGTTACTGCATTTAAGACTCGAGCGATGAGGCGGGGCTGAACACTGTTGGAGGTAGTTATTCCTTATTCACTCACTCGCGAACTAACGAGGCGTACAGCTCTGATAATGTGGCAAACCGTTACTCTGAACGGCGTGGAGTATGACATTGAAGGAGAGGCGATGGTGGCAATGAGCTGTGGTGAAGCTCCCGAACGGCTGTGTACGGGTTCCGCGCGTGTCGACGCGGCGCTTCGTGTACCGAATGGCCCAGCTGCGCCACATATTCCTGCTACAATAATTAGCCTTGGGTTTTCCCAGGAAACAAACACCGCTACACCTGCTTGACATGTAATGGTAGTAAGTACTGGTGGTATTGTTCAAGGTTTAACTTTACCTTATGTTATGAGGGAAGGATACTCCATTTGATATCATTATTTGTAGAGTAACACGACCGCGTTCATTTTATGAAGAGTTATGATACCACAACGAGGCAAAAATGGGTTGACCCTAGTTTGCGAGGCCAATGTTAGGCCGTATGTATTCGTCACCGTTGAAAGCAATAAAGCAGCAGGTTGTTCAGGTGCCAAGACGAAATCGAATTATGCCAATGGGAGGTCGACGTGTGATCAATACCGGTTCTATTACTTGTGCTCTATGTAGTCTATCACCCTTCTCTTCGAACAGGAATCTATGTTATCCCGTAAATTGATTACTTGATCTCTATGCCACCAGTTGCACCAAAAGCCTAGTCTCATTGTTAATAACTACACTCGCCTGATGTTAGGGTACCACGACAATGGAAAACATACCTTCTTGATGTCACCATAAACGGCAAATTGAAGGGCACTCATACCCCCAACCATGACTAGTCGAGCGCGAACACCAGCATAGCTACCACGGAGCCCTGTTTCCCTGGTGATTTTCCACAAACGACGAAGAGTACCCTCCCCAGCTTCGGCCTTACTTTTATTGATCTTACTCAGCACGGTGTCGGCTGGTTGCGAGACAAGTGTTGCAGCGATACCAGCAATGAGGCCTGAGCCCAGATTGATTCCCGTAACCGCGGCGCTGGATACAGTCGACTTGTCAACCCGCTTGTAGATTTGCTCGAGAGCGTTCTCGTAGACAACGAAGGTCGCCATCGTGTATGGTACCCTTTAGATGATTAGTGGTGCTGGGACAGGATAAGTAATCCGACAGTTACATACTGCTTGAGCATTATAGGACCCAGTCCGGAATACAAGCCTTGAATGCCCTCTTCCCGAACAAGTCTTGCGAAACCATCCCAAAGACCGACCCCGAAACCCGGCTGCGAAACCAGTCGGATGCGAACGGCCTCGAAGGGGCAGAGAACGATGTCGCCGGCCATTTCAGCTATGGCGGATGAACCTAGGTATATGGCATACCTATTCTTGGACGCCGTCTCGTACCCCAATGTATCGATAGCACGGGTCTTGAAAAACTCATAACCACCAAACTTGAATGCACCTTGCAGGAAGTATCCTAAGACCGTCGGGCCGAGTCCTGTAGCAAGAGCCCCAGCCCCCTCTGCGGCCACAACTTGGCGCAGTCCCCCGTAGACGCCCTGGTTATACACAAGAGGATTGACCTGAATCCTCGTCTTAACACTAAAGCAGCATCAGCAACCGAATCGAGGGAATACTATGATGGATATTTAACTCGCCGGACCAAATGTCGTCGATGCTAAAGAGAGTGTCTTCGCCCAATGGGGCGAAAACAATAGGCTTACATGTCGATAGGCGTGAGAATGGCGTGGGTGAAGGAGCAACAGACAGCACCGGCCAATGCGTATCGTGAATAGAGCGCTAGGTCGTTCGAACTGCTCAGCGTTTTAACTAGCGATGGCTTGGGCACATGCTGGGGTTCGACTGCAGCAACAAGAGACGACGACGACGGCGACGAAGAAATTGGAGAGTGACCACTCAGGCTATAGATGATATATATAAGTCTCTAGAACAGAAAAAATGAAGATATATTTATTTCCTAACTACCTCTGACCGAGACCGCCGAGCATCCCTAGGATTCCCCGGTGTTTGTCGACGCCGGAGCTCTCCACGGGGCCCTTGATTGCACCCAAGACTCTCAAGTGTTCTTTCTTCAAAGCTTCAAAATCCTCGTCGAGTTGCTTATGCCATGGGTAAAGGACGCACACCTGGAACGTCAAGGCCGAGGTGGCAACGAAGAAGTTGGTGAATGAGATGGCGCGTGTGATAAACATGTTGTCTAGTTGGTAAGGCGGTCTCGGTTGATCTGCTGTACGCAATCGGTCAGCCCAGGACCAAGTGCTAAAGTTGTCTGCTGGGCAGGAAGATGGCTTACCTTGCGAGTCGCGACGACGAAGGCACTGCTAAACGTATAGGCAAACGAGTAGTGTGATGAAATCGAAGCAGGGAACGCGTCAACAGTCGGTACGTGGTGGTTGTTCACTTCATGTTTCGGCTGGAGACTTTCTACACCACCAAGGAAAAGGAAAAGGACGCGACGTTCAGTCGGAATGATAGGATGGTTTTGGGAGAAAAGAGAAAGGAAAATTTTTTTATTATTAGGTCGAAACAGGCTGATTATATATACCCGGTCGATTTACCTCTTTTGGTGAGATTACAGCCCGATTTTAATAAACACGTGAAAGCGACCTGACCTGCCTAGGCACGGCCGGTGTCAGGAACGTGGCACGGAGTATCCTGTACAGTCAGAGTCATATTGTTGCACGAAGTATCATAAAGGCCATGAGAGAAGGTATTCATACTTTCTCTGTGACTTCATACTTCCTGTTCTTTTGTTCTCTCGTTCTTCGGTCCTAAGCAGCCGGTCATAGCATCTCACCCCTTGAAACCAAGCGAGGCCCAGCGAAACGCAGCGATCGAGCAAAAATCTAGGCAAGGGATTTGGGGTATGTACAGGTGACAGCAGCAGCGTTGGGCAGAAAAGTTCCGACATCCCTCGTCCAGACGTCCCGAAAGTGTGGAGGTCGTAGCATGGGTGAAGCGTCCAGAAAGAAGATGAATTTGGGCCAAAAAAGGAGAGGTGGGGCCGTGAGAGTCCGGTTCTCGGCGAGAATCGAGGTTGGCGCCCGGAAAGACACGAAAATATGGCCGGGAATGAACGGATATCCCCACAAAATGACGAGCGCTGGCACGCGTCAGGGGCTTTTCCCTTGCCTTAACACGCCGGGTTTTCTCCATTCATATTCTCCAACGGAATTTCTTATCCAGCTCAAGATCAGTGAAGTGATTTTACGATGCATATACTCCTAGTACCATCGTCATTGCGAAAGGACAGGCTTACAACACGCAAGTGGAGCGTGGTGTAGATTGAGGGCTGCAATGGAGTTGAGCGTCGTTGTATTAAGCAGCGAGATATTCAGGCACCAGACTGTAGATAGGTTTCTCTATTCACTCTGGGACCATTGCACCAATAGAGGGTATCATCTATCCCCTTAGAAATTCTCAAGCTAACACAGTCAGCCGAGCTCGTGCTCGCTGTAGATTCTCGCGAAGTAGATTCTGTCTCGAAGACCGTTGGTCGTCAGATTCCCCACGCCGTTGGAGACGCCCTTGGCGAAACCCTCCCATACACTATTGGGTAATACGAAAGCATCTGACTAATCGTAGAATTCCAGCTGCCCCACTGGCTCTGCCCCTGCCTGTCCTCGCCTCTAAAAAATTAGATAATGTGTTCTATAAATAGCTTACAAAAGGCTAGCGCTTCGCGTATGTCCGTGAGGTTCGTCGTCTCACTTCTCTCCCTCGCACAAGTAGTGTGCTCTGCCGTGGTTACTGGAAGGTGTTTCCTTCAATACACCTGGATCTTGGTCGGTAGCCTTCTTCAGGGGCGCGCGTACATAGGCCTTCGGAGTATAGGCTCATCAAGAAACCCCCAATAGGCCCGATGGGCTTGATTTATGATACTACGAAAGGCGCAGAATAGCTCATGAGCACTGCATAGATGGCATCGAAACCAACGAAGGGTATTCAAGCTAGACGGCGAATAAACTCCACGTGACTTACCAACTCTGGCTAATCGCCGCCCTGAGCCAACTTCGCCTCATAGCCTTTCTCTCTAGCAAGATCGCCTGTCTCGCCAGCATTGAAGAGTATCTTTACACTCTCTAGTCGAATTGTATAGTGTAACAAGGGGCTGCTTGAACCGTCTCTGCGTTTCATCTCGGCGCTTTGGCTTAGTAGAAATTGGAAGGCCTCTATCGGATTTCCGCTTGTATTCTCGTAGCCATCCTCGTGAATGACACACAGTAACCTAACTGTCCAATTAAACGAATGTGACTTCTAAAAGTCTTAATAATACCCCTATTATTTAGCACCCAACTCAAGCGTGATGAAGTAGCCCATGTAGTAGTTCGATCCATGATCCCTTGGTGGTACACCGGAAAGAATGATATCTGCTTCAACAACTCTCTAGCCCGTATAAAGTTAAGTAGAGGCCTAGAGTAGCACGCGGAGGTCAGAAAGGATGCGACTAAACTTTCAATGTGATGAAGTAGTATCGTATTTAGTATGATGTTGTTTCTATGCTAATCCAACCGGGCACTCAGATTGACGTTCGGCTTGCTGTTACCGCCGTAGCCGCAGCACGGCCAGCGCGACGGCCAAATACAGCTCCAGAGGTCAAGCCACTTCCCCCCGGATAATTATCATAGAATATACCACCCAGCATCTCGCCAGCAGTATACAACCCCGGAATGGGTTGATTAGTAAACGAGGAAATAACGGCAGATGTCTCAGGATCAACTGCTAAGCCACCAAAGGTAAATGTGACGCCGCATGTAACCTTGACAGCTAGATACGGGCCTTGGTTCAAGGGCAAAGCCCAATTCGACTTGGCTAATGGTAGGCGTTTCTGAGAGGACTGCGTGGAAAGCGAGTCTTTGACACTTGGGTCCCAGATCTTGTCGGGATTTTCTCGCCGGAATGCCGCTGCTGCTTCGTTGTACGTTGTTATCGTATCGACAAACTGGGATGTGTTGACTAGGCCATGATCTGCTAGCTTTTGGGCTAGCTCTTCGATAGTGTCAGCTTTGATCTTCTCTACGACTTCGTCGCGGTATTCTTCGGGTCGAAGCCAGGATATCGTTTGAGAATCCCAGACTTGGAATGCGAAGTGGCCTGGTTGCGCAAGGATGGCTTTGCCAAAGATGGCGTAAGTGTAGTTGCGCAGATCAACACCCTCGTCGACAAACCTATTACCGTCCCTGTTCAGCATCAGACCGAGAGGGTATCCCGATTTGGTGAACTCATTGGAGATGACTCGGTCACCACTGTTTGCTGGGGCATTGGCGTCCCAGGCGACTGAGTGGCAGCCGGACCAGTTGCCAGCTTGTTTTGCTCCGGCTTGCTGAATGGCCATGTCTAAACAAGCGCCATTGTTGAAAGGTGTCCCGCGCACTTTGGCGAAGTCCCAGGTAGGTCCAAGGTACTGTGCTCTTAGTCGGGGGTTGGCTTCGAATCCCCCAGCCGCCAGAATTACAGCACCAGCACGAATCTCCTGCACATTACCCTCAGGACCCTGCGCTATCACTCCGTTGACATGATTCGAATCAGGGTCTATCATTAGACTCTTGGCTGCAGTCGAGAATTCAATCTGAACCCCAAGTCTGGCAGCGGCTCGGCGATGGTCTTCAATCAGGCCTTTGCCACCATCCTCTGTCTTCAGTGCGAGTCCGCCCCAGAACTTTATGCGCCCGTCGACTTCATACGCCTGCCGGTTGAAGGATAATTGGAAGCGTACACCGTGCTTCGCCAGCCACTTAACGGTTTGATTAGACTCACGGACGAGAATGCCTGCCAGTTCGGGATCAGCCCGATCAAGACAGATGCGCTTAATATCTCCCGCAAAGTCAGCCTCTGTGTACGGCTTCACGTCGATCTTGTCGCGCTTCTCGTCCGGGACATTGTTCACGATAGGGAGGAGATCATCCAGACCATCGTGAACAGTCCTGAACGCTCCCGCTGTAAAATAGGAGTTACCGCCGGCCCAGTGTTCTGGAGCGGCATCGATAAGTAAGACTTGGCGGGCGCCACATTCGGCAGCGGAGATTGCTGCGCTGAAGCCAGCGTTGCCGCCTCCTACGATTAATACGTCAGTGGCTAGGGTCGAACTCGGCATTGTATTATGCCGAACAGCCGAGGCGAGAGGGATCTGTTAATGAGGAAGGACAATAAAGGATTAAATAGGAGTGAGGCGACTGTTGGTTCAGAGTAGGTATTAAGCTCTCATGATTAAGCTAGAGTTTATATGTCTTCTTAGACCAGCGCGGGGATATGCCACCGTCTATGTCTTTCTGCTGTCGGAACATCCGAAAGACCCATTTCCAATGGTTAGAAGATCAACCCCAGACTCAACTGCCGGCAACTTGAAGCCCGAGGAGCGCGCTAGCTTTCAGTAGTACCTTTTTGGGCTAGCATTAGTTGGTGTCAATCCTTTCATACCGTCACCTCAATTTTCTCTTTATTAACTCGCCTAGAGCAAGACTTTAACTGGTGATCAATTCTATACTAAATGAATTCACAATGACCTCATAGGCATTTCCAATGTGTCTGATAAGCGTGCCTGGGCTTAGGTATTGCTGGCAATACAGCGCTTGACATGCTGGGGAAAATGAGGGATAAGATTGCGCTTGATCCGGTACAATATCGCGCCGCTATAACGCAGTACGAGTCGAGAACGGCGAAGTCTTACGAATACTTAAGGAATCACGGTGCTTACGACAGCTCTGAGTGGCGAGGAGTCACTATTTGGTGCGCGCCTCATATTTCCCGCGACCATTGGGACGGGGCAATATACTGACTTGCGATGCCTCAGCTGCATGGCTCGCGTGCAAAGTGAGCGTATCAAAGGGCGGTTTATTCGGTTTCTAGCAATACAATGAAGAAGGCAGAATATGAAATGGGAATACATCGAATGTAAGCAGGTCTTGAATTCCAAGGCTATAAACGCGAGATGGTGTGTGTAGTAAGGTATTCTGATCATGACCATTGTAGCCGACGTCGAACAAGAAACTGCTGGAACAGATGAAGCGTCCTTCATACTCGACTGTTCCTGGTGCTATGACCGGTTCATTCTTCGAGGCTGCCAAATGATGACCTCTGCAGTTAACGAATACATGAAGGCGCGTGTCGCGCAACGCTTCCAAGCTACTAGAGGTGGAACCGAATGTGAGTGCCCCGGATCTCTTGTTGACACTATTAACTGACGTGCCGTGGTGAGGAAGACCCATGGCTAAAGAGGAAACACACAGGGGGGATTTGGGGTCATAAGGTTGAATGGACGAGGCAAGGGCGTTGTTGGACAATCGGGGAGCGAGAAGAGCTTGCCACAGGACTCAAGGCAGCGTGGAAACATTGTTCCCGGATGGCTCTTCAGTTCAGCGAATGAGCTGTTGACTGTTAGGCTGGGGCGATGCATACTTTTAGTTGTCTATGACACCTGAGTTGTGCTCCTAAATACTTTTCATAGCTGTTCTGTATGCGAATGCCTACAATCTGGTTCGATGGGGAACTTTCTTTTTAGACTTTACATTTCCACTCTTATTATTTGTCCAGAATCGCCTTTATTTTCTTCATAACACCCTCTGGAGTCCAATCATCCTCATCCTCTTTGTCTTGGATTGGTTGCACGTCCCATTGTACACCCACAGCTTCGGCCGTCGACCTTTCTTCCGGGGTAAGATTGTCGCCGTCTAACTCGTCTAATATCTCCTCCATCAGAGGGAGCCAACGACGTATCCAGAACTCTTCGGGGTCTTGAACTATTAGAGGCACCCCATCTTGGTCCTCATGTGCGACCTCATCGAGTTCAGCCAACACTTCGTCAAACCGAGTTAACAAGGACCTTTGCTCCGAAATGATTTCTTCGACCTCCTCGGATGAACGAAGTGACTTGTGATATCTCCAAATAGGCAGATTAAAATTGCAGCACGTATGCGTTAACCCTAATCCATCAAACGTCATGCGCCTGAGGATTGTTATCAAATCCTCTTCGCTGAAACTGTCTCGAAAGGTCCCGGTTAACCCTGCACACCATTGCGCGAAGGATTGTATACTAATTGAATTGAAGGGGTTGCGGTAAAAATCGAAAAATGCCTTGAGAGGAGTGCAGCCACCTCGAAAACATGGGCAGAAGCAGGTGTCCCTAACTTGGATTTGCATCAGCTTATCAACAAACCACTGCCACGTCTTAACTTGCTCATCGTAATCCTCATCCTCATCGTAATCCTCATCCTCATCGTAATTCTCATCCTCATCGTAATTCTCATCCTCATCCTCATTTTGAATTTTGTTGTCATATAGAGTCCCAATCGAGCGTAAGAGGAAATGCGCTGGTGTGGCTGCTATATCACTGGTCTTGGTTTGGTTGGCCCGTGCATTCAACGGTGTCCAGTAGTCAGCGCCGTGCTCTATCAGCCATCGCACCTTCCTCACGTCCTGGCTACACCATGTAAGAGGTACCTGTCCAAATCCGTCGAAACTGTCGACATCTCGGAAACCAAGAGCCCATAATTTATCGTAATAGAGTATTGTAGGACGATCTATAAAGTAGGCCGAACCATAAAACAAGTCGTACAGATGTGGAGAGATAAAAACCCCCTTCTCCACCAGCAATACGTGCACTTCTAATGTGTAGTAATCTAAGACTTTTGTTTCGTATAGCCCGAAATTTTCAGCTTCTGCTTGCGTTAGATGCTCTAATGCAAGGAGTTTAAGCTCGCCTCTGCGTTGCTTTAAAGCAACCAGCACGTCGTCGAGGCAAGAATCGTCGCTCCAGTCGATGTAATCGTGATCGATGGGAGCGCCTGCAGCTAGAAGGATCTGGGCCGACACTTTGTAGCCGAAATGGCAGGCGCATGCAAGTGGTGTGTCTGCGATTGTGTATTTATTGAGCAATGACGACCCACCTGCCTCTACGATCAAACGAAGGCATGGCGGGTGCTTAATAGCAAAATGTAGAGGTGTATACCCGAAATCGTCTGTTTCTTCGAGGGATGGGGGGTATCTCCCAATAAGTTCTTGGACGAGCTTCTCGTCACCAGCTCGAGCCGCAAGGCTTAGCGGTCCACATCCACTAGCTGTTCGATCCGTCAGCCAATGCGCGAAAGAGCCAGAGAGTCCGAAACAAGTAGTTCGAACCTTCAGCAAGTTCTGAATCCTCCAAAAATGCTAGAAGAATTGTTACACCACCATATATTTTCCGACCTTTTTGAACCAGCGGTGTATCTGATTCTGGCACAAGACGCTTTGCCAACGCTACATCTGGATACTGCCGGTACGCACGACACAAATAAGATATAGCTGGAGTACTTTTGGTTTGTGAGTAATGGATATGAACCATCTCTTGCTGTGACGTGGATCACTTACTTTCCATGTCTATCGTAAGTAGTCACTGGCACACCACATGCAAGCAGGTTCATCATCATTTGTAAACTCGCGTCAGCGATTATAGGAGAACCCTAGATGTGTATTTTAGCCATGGAGAAAATCCATAGTTTAAGAATACCTAGGAATCAATGCACTTACCCGACGTACTATTTGACTCATTTCATGCATTAGTGACGCCCCATCCGAAGCGATATCTTTCGGCGACGCTTTTTTTCTCCTGTAGAGTTCAAAGATTGCATCATAACAGCACTGCACTGTTCTTATTGCTGTTTCGTCCCAATTGCTATTGAAATCCAGGAATTGTGCGACTATAAGCATAACATTGAATGCAGGGGCAGTTCTCCTGTCGACTGTTGGATAGTAGGTGAAGCCTGGGCTGATGCTTCGCGCCCCAGCACCTCGAGCACTTGTTAGTGACAATGCGAAAGCTGTTTGAAACAAGTTCCTCAAGCCAAAGTATTCAACCGTAAACTTGCTAGCTTGCGTTTCGTTATCGATTTGTGATAATGGACAACCAGGCAGATGTCTTTTGGTGCGCGACACCTGATACACAAATGAGAGGTGTCCCCAGTGCTGGCTATGATGCGCTGTCCTTCGGTAGGGTCGACATAAGCAGGCCTGAGATAAACCAGGGCGGGTGGATTGTATGGCATCGAGTTTCTCAAATGCTTTAATTGAGCTCGAGAGAAGGCTTGGTTTAGAAGCTAGCAACATTGCATTTTCGATTGACTAGAATTAAAACAGTGTCAGAAGTTCTCGTCCTTGGTACGCTCATGGTATGCTTTGTGAGACAACAAGGAGTCCAAGATTCCCAAATACACCGTTTGGTGGTCAGACCTACATCTAAAGGCACTGAGGGTCCCCTGTTTGCTGCCCCCGGAATCTCGCGAGGTGCCGTTAAAGATACGGAAGCCCCTATACTGTGCGTTTGTAGGCTAGTCTGCGACCGAGACAGGGAAACAACTAGACTATGGACTTCCCGTAACTGGTTCGCTGAAGTGATGGCGATGTTCCTACCAAGCGTCAGCTATATTTCTCGGTATATTGTACTGATATTCGTGATGTTGTGGTGATATTCGAGTTACCTACAGTTCCGTAACTTGCAGGGCCGTCTGAAGGGAACTGTTGACTTTGGCAAGTCGGTTTTCGAGGTGGATGATACGGGATCGCTCGAAAGGGTAGGATAGCTTCTTCTTGGTGGTTTCGAATTTATGTCGCAAGCCGGAGCTGGATGGGACTGGTTGGGACAGCTCTGACAAGAGCGCGTGGAGAGCGCCTAGTTCATCGTTGCAAGATTTTACCTGGCGTTTGACTGTGGTCGCAGGTGCAGGCCAATTGCTCTCTAACTGTGGCAAAAGATCTCGAATCGCCAACAATAGCTCTCTCATCTCTGTAGCTCCTTGTTTAGCCGATATTAGATCTTCTGATCGCCCTGTCACGGCGTCCAAGTAGTTGATCAACCTTCCAGCGACTTGGAGCCCGAGGGATATCACGCCAGTTACGAGACCGGCAACTGAGAGTGGATCTGCCATTCTGGGCACAGATGAAGATCAGAGAGCAAACAGAGATGGTGAACATTACAATGCGGGGCTTGTCTGGGGAGAAGAGTGGTCGAGAAGCCCAGATAAGAAGGATTACTTGCCTGCAACATGCAGGCTGTAATGTCACCCACGTGACCATGAATCGCTTATTCGTCGATACAGTGGCGCGTGTTGAGTAGGCATTCAAACAAGGCAGATTTTATTGCAGGTGGCTGCATGGATTCAACCCTATCAGATTTATCGATGGCTATGAGGTGGCGGAGGGGAGGGGAGGTAGGCTTAGCTATGCGGGCTACATAATTGACTGGTGAATGCCTATCCAAATAAAATTGTGTGGTAGGCTGTGAAGAAGTAGAGTTGTAGTGATGTGGTGGATGTGTGGCATTTCGTGACTTTTTCATCTCATTGGGGGAAATAGTATTCTGTTATGGTTGGTATCAAGGGCCCTTCATACTGGCCACCAAGGAGTGCAATCGTGGTTTAGGCCTAGATCTTATACTACACGTTGATCTTGGAACTAGAACTTGATTGATAAGCTGACAAAAGTGGCTAAAGAGGTAGTATTGAACCCTATAACTTCCAATCTGGAACTGCATCAAGTCTTAGGCGTCGGCGTTACGACCGTGGCGGTTTGCACGGGGTGTGGGATGAATAAATGTTGCGCGGCTTTGAAGCTGAGATGCTTTGTGCACAACTCGCATCGTGACGAAGCAGAGACGAACGCTGAATTGACCATCATGATAGGCCTGGGTGTCGACGCGTCGCCATTGCTGCCGCCAAGACCACCGAGAAGAGCCTTTACGAAGTAAATACTCATTAAAGTAGATAAACGACTCGCGATTCACAGTATTGCGCTGCCTGATGGGCATTACACAAGGGCGCAGAGTCCCTAGAACGACGCCCCGAACTTTGCCGAGAAGATCGCGACGACTGTAACCGACAGAGGCCTCACTGCGGCTGCGCCACCATTACTATGCTTCCCTTCGAGACGTTATAGGAGTGCTGGCTCGGTATCGACGCGTGTCGTCGAAGCATCATGATAGCTTCCAGATGCGAAATTGGCCTTTTATTGTATACCTTGGACTCGATGTCGTCTCCCACAACGTGCTGTAATCTTGAATGGCATCTAATAACGTGGCGACGCCAGTACTGTTGAACATGATAGCGATGGGATTGGTATTGATGTTATAGAGTAGAAGATTTAGGTCACTGAAGGAAGCCACTGTGAGGGGTAATATAGTCACGCCCACCGTACCTGCCAACAAACCGCGAGATTAGCGCTTAAGGTCAAGACAGTCGGAGTGATCAGACAGTCGATTACCGGTGGAGAGGACAGGTAATCGAGCCGGTTGACTACATGGCATTCATTGGTAAGAACCAGGGTAACGAGCGCATCTACATTGTCACGGGCGCTTCCGGTAATGGTGTCACACACGGAGTGTTGGCGGGTAAGCTCATCGCACATCTGGTCGAGGGAAAGCCGAATGACTGGGATGAGCTGTACTCACCGAAACGCTTGGGAAGCATGATCAAATCGCTGCCCGAGATGGTGACGCACGATGTCAAGGCCAACATGCAATACAAGAGGTTTTTGATGAGCGATATACAAGACCCAGAGTCGAGTCTCCTGCGGGCTTTGACGCCTGTGGCTTGCTTTGGCCTACGCTTATGGGAGCCTTGAGAACTCGATCAGCAATCGAACGTATGACTCTGTGATCTGTGTCTTGAAGGTAACATGTATGCCGAGAAGAAGTCGTTCCGTTCCATATCGCAGCAGATGAGCTCTTAGAAAAGCTGTGAACAGCCAAGTTGAATAAGGGGTCAATGTTGATGCATAGCAGCTATCCCCTCCTGTACGAGGCTCCGCGTGGGGAAGTTAGAGCGCTATAGTAAGTCCTATCCGACCCTACTTTGTAGGCGACAGTGACAATGTCCCAGCAACACAGGTCTATCAGAGTTGGGGTACGGAGATCATCCCGTGTACTAGACGGGTATGTCGCCTTGGGGAAGAGTGAGGGGTAGGCGGAGTCAATAGGGGTGCACCAAACTGGAGGAGGAACGAGTATGAATCTGGAAGACGAGAGAGCGTCTCACCTCACTTTCTTTACCACACACTTTGCATCAAGTATCTCGAGTGACGTTTATATCTCCTTTTCACATACTGGCACTACCCATGACGTATCGTGGGAAGAGATCAATCTTATGATTACGACGCTGCTGAATTTCGGGGTATTATCGGCGTATACAGGATCCACAGCTTCGCGGGGTGGAAATAGCGTCCCTCTCTGAACTCTTCGAGACTCTCTACTACTAATACAGTGAGCTCTTACTACTGTTCTTACATCATCTGCCAAAGTACAGAATTGCACAATGTCATCGGCCATGTCAAAGCGCCTCGAGGGCAAGACAGTCCTCATAACCGGTGCTTCCTCCGGTATCGGACGAGCTACAGCTTTCGAGTTTGCCCGCACTGCGCCAAATAACCTCAAATTGGTTCTAACAGCCCGACGGGTGGACACCCTCAAGCAGATTGCAGATGAAATCAACAAGGAGGTAGGCAGCGGCGTCAAAGTGCTCCCCGTCCAGCTTGACGTGAGCAAATCCGCCGAGGTGCGCGCGTTCGTGGGGCAGCTCCCTGGTGAGTTCAAAGAGATCGATGTGCTGGTGAACAATGCGTGAGTTCCCCTTCTTCTCTGTATACAAGATAACCTGCTATCTCGTCCATCTGCGAATTTCACGATTAGGCGCTGCATGTGCGTGGGAAGACCGAGTATAGTGTAGCGAGGCTGACAATCTCATAATGACACAGTGGTTTGGTGAAAGGTGTGGCCAAGGCCCCCGAAATCGCTGAAGAGGACATGAACGTCATGTTTGAGACCAACGTCACTGGCTTAATCAACATGACGCAAGCCATCCTGCCTATTATGCTGAAGCGCAACAACGGCGAGGGCGCTGGCGACATCATCAACATCGGGTCAGTCGCAGGCCGTGAGCCCTACGTTGGCGGTGGCATCTACTGCGCCACCAAGGCAGCCGTTCGGTCTTTCACCGACAGCTTGCGAAAGGAATTGATTTCGAAAAGGATCCGCGTCATTAGCGTCGACCCAGGCCAGGTCGAAACTGAATTCTCGATTGTCCGGTTCTACGGCGACAAGAGCAAGGCCGATGCTGTCTATGCGTAAGTTTGGGTCCTCCTACACGTCGATGCTCCTTCTCATGTGCCCATCGAATCGCGCGACAAGTCTTTTGTATTGTACTGACGGTGAATAGGGGTTGTGATCCATTGACACCCGAAGACATTGCCGAGACAATTGTTTTTGCCGCAGGACGGAGGGAAAACGTCGTGATTGCGGATACCTTGATTTTCCCTAACCACCAAGCCGCTGCAACGATCATGCACAGAAAATCAACATAGATGTACGGAGTAGATTCACGAATTGCTAGGATGAATAGTCCTTTTCAGTCCTAGTGCGAATATCAAGTCCTGGCATTCGTGACAAAAGGGGGTTAAGTCCGATGCAGATGATAAATCCGCTTCGGTTCCACTGTACCGCATGAGTGACAGTTACCTACGCCGAACACATGTTCTTCTCTTCATCTCTTGGCGTATCCTTTCTAGAGCCTTGCTCCTTGCTCTTTGAGCTACAGGGGGTAGACGGCTCGAAGTTAAGCGGGATAGGGAGAAGCTAGTTCGCTTCCACCAACAATTAGGTACCTTGACCGCTGGCTACGGAAATGCGATGGCGCAACTTACGCGCAGAATGATCAGCCGGATTTCTCTGCTAGGACACTATCTAACACGTTGAAAGTTGAAAGTAAGGTACCCAAGCTTGGACCACAAGCAGTGCGCAACTAGGAAATCAATTGTAAGCAATGGTACTATCTGATCGCATGTAAACCAAACTAGAAAGGTATCCAGGCCCATGACGGGTAATACAAGCTAGAGATGAATGGTGAATGCCTCGCACTCGTCTTCGTCTATCAAAGAAATCGGGAACTGCGGTAGGCCTTATGACTCTATGGTCTATGAAGAAGATGCCTGCGCAGCCAATGCCTTAGTGCCAATTCGCACCAAGTCTTTATTTTCCAAAGTATCCTTCTCAAGACCGTTGACAACTTGGTCAACCAACGTAGCCGCTATTACCTTAACCTCGACTTTCGGTATGCCAAAGAGCATTCGCCCGTAATTCTTAGCCGCTCTGGTCCAGAACCTTGGGTCCTTTGGGTCATCGATTAGACCAGGCTTCGCTACAGATGCTTCGATAGCGCCATTTGATTCTTGTGCGCATTTGAGAATGCGCGTCTCCGCCTCGCCCTGTGTCTAGTCATTAGTCATATTCATTTCACCACGAGACCAGACGATAATGTTGCATTGGTTTACGCACCCGCATAACAGAGTAGTCAGGCAATATAAGAGGCTTTTTAGACGGATCGCGCGTCGCCGTATGACCGCTAACATAAATGAATCTGAATGTTCCATTTGGCTTGTCGCGGCGTAACTGAGATATGGTCTCGATTGCAGTGACGGCATAATCTCGGGATATCTTGCAGGCTTCCTCCCAGCTCATCGATCTCAGTTTTCCAGGCACTATGGCAATTGTCCTTCCAAGTGTAAAACTCGTTAATAGCGGAAATCTCGCGCGATATTGAATGATGAGCAGTGTAAAAGCATACCAGATACAAGCGTCGGCTTCCGCTATTTCCGATTTTATGTCATCGGAATAATTCTCGAAGTCTTTACATATGACTGATTTGAATTTCCCATTTGACTCTACGCCTGCAGGTACAGACGCTTCGCGCCGACCCAGAGCAATGACAGACGTGACTCCGGGATGCGCGAGAGCTTGGCGGATCAGCTCAGTGGCCAAAAAGCCAGTAGACCCAGCTATGATGAGCTTCATGTTTGGTGTACCGTATATGAGTGCTAAAGAGAAACTGGACACCCAGGTTGAAGGAAAGAGGGGCCGAACTCACCGTTTTATATCATGACAAGGAGAGTTGTTGTAACATATGATGCTATTGTGGAGCTTCTCTTGCCGAAATAACACCTGGGGTTTTCGGCAATCATTCCCATCGGTTCTCGACCTTGTAATCCATGGGTGTCCACGTAAGTATACCGGTATCTTGCTAGGAACACTGAAAAGAGGGGATTGCCAAACTTGGTATGGGCGTTGGTAATTTGCCTATTTTATATGAGGATCTAGCTCCTTATATTGCATACAAATGTTTAAGACTGGAGGTCGTGGAATCCGAAAGTGGAGTCCTTTATAATTACTATGTTTGCCTTACAGGGCGAAGACATTTATTTGAACCTTGCACTACGACCTTTGGACGAGATTTTAAGATTAATAAACATGCCAGTCGTCGTTACTCCGCGTCGAGATCAGACGTGATCATACGCGCCACATGCTCCGCCAGCCCGTAGGCTATGGCTTGGGTGTTGTAGCGGGGTAAGATGGGCACGATGCTCGGATCGCAGACGCGCAGGTTGTAGATGCGCCCCTTGTCATCCATCACACCGTCTGCATGCCTTGGGGACGAATCCCTTAGCGCCATCGAGAAAGATCCTCGTGTGAATGTGACGACGTCTTTCCGCCCGCTACGAGCAGGCTGGCCGGCGGGTCCGTCGTCTTCACCTGCTACACGAGCTGCTGAACGTGGCGCGCCGGTACCTCCACGTCGGCTGCGTGCGAGAGGTATCGGGGGTCGACTTGGACGTCAGCGGCGGACGATGATTGATGATGTTGTAGTGGTGATGTGCGTCGAGCCCCGCGAAACTCACGTAGAGGCTGTCGCCTGGACGCAGAAGCGCGTTGTCTTTTATGTCAAAGGCCATGTACCCCGGGAACGTGGAGTAGAAGGCGGAGGCTTCGGTCGACGAGGCGAGGACTGAGCGCACCAAGGCTTCGTGAGCGTCGATGAATGCCGGCATCGCCTGGGAGCAACACATCGAGAGTTTCGAATCCGTTCCGTGGTATGACCGGGCCGTCAGGATCACGTAGACGTGGTTCTGGAGATTTTCGCCAACGTGTGCGTTGTCCACGACGACGTCAAACCCTAGTCGCTGTAGAAGCTCGGGATTACCCACACCCAACAGCTCCAGGACTCAGGGGCTGTGGATCGCGCCGGCGCTCAGGATCACCTCCCTGCGGGTTGTAACAATGCCTTGACAGCGCCTTCCACATACCGCACGCCGACGGCCACAAGGTCGCTCTGCTGCTGTCTCTGTCGAATAGGATCTTCTCCACGTAGGTGTCGGCCCAGACGGTCAGGTTGCCGCCCAACCTAGCCATGGGCATGAGTGTCAAGAGTAGTACATGTAATCCCGTTGATTGAGTAAGTATAAGGTTAAGTTACAGTACGCCATACGGCAGGATGAAGGGTTCTTTATACATTCCAGCATGCGGATCGTCAAGTATCACCGCCTTCCACTTCTGACAATGAGCTCCATCTCGTAGTGATAGATAAGATGCACAAACGAGATCAACATCTCCAGCTCGGCGATCCACCGCCCGCGGCAGTCGCTTTCTCAACCGTGGCTAGATCTGCCATCATCTCCAGCCAACCTGGATTACACCAGAATGAGGAGAGTATTACGAAGTACGCACCCAGTATGATGGGAACGTCCTCGTCATTGCGAGTGCCCGATCATCCACTGCTGAATGGTGCGGAAAGCACGCTGGAATGCCCTTACTGCCACATGGCTCTATACGTGGAGGAGATGAAGCATCGGGAAAACTGGAAGTGAGTTAAGCGAGAAGATGCAGATTGTCACATAATTCTAATATAAACAGACGCCATGTGTTTCGCGACTTAAGACCTTACGTATGCACTTTTTCCGATTGTACTGATCCAGAGCGACTTTTCACCACACGGCGCGACTGGAAATATCATGAGATGCAATTGCACCGCCGAGGATGGATTTGTCGGCAATGCAGTTGCCATTATGAGCTAAAATCGGAAATGGTTCACCGCATTCGACATATACACAATCCCAACATAGAGAACCATGTACTTGCTACGCTTTTGGACGTAAGCGAGCGGCCAAGCGATGAGAGCAGTCAAGGCAGATGCCCATTTTGTTATGTCACTAAGAGTACGAAGAGTTTATTAGATCATATGGCAGAGCATATGGAAGAGTTGGCACTGTTTTCACTGCCTCAGAGCATGGTCGAGGAAGTTGAAGAGGAAATACCTGGCACCCATTTCGCGTCACAGATGCAAGGAGACTTGCCTGATACTAAAGTCCTACATGAATTTTCTAACGAACCCACAGGTGCGCGAGGGGAATCTTTTGCAACAGTGAAAGGTAAAATAATGGGGATTAGCCTTACCTTGGCTGAGGAGAGAGTTGGCGAGGAACAAGTCAAGAAGGGAAAGGTGCGCGGATCAACACAATTGACAGTGTATTTTTGTGTAAGTTTGCCCCAATCCAATGAAATCTATTATTTGTTTCTCACACACCGAAGTGCTATTGCGGGAACGGCCCTTGGAACCTCACCGTTACTTTAGAATGCGGGCTGTGCGCACATAGTTTGTGTGAACATTGTAGGGCCGAGACGATTACCCTATAGTTTCGAGAATTTGACCGCTTGGCGGGCCCCTTTTTTACATAGCCACACCTTCTAAAGCCTACTTAGGTAGGTATGCATCTCCATAGGTCATCAATTTCATCACTTTTATTTAAGCAGCTGCATGATGCTGGTGACTGTATATGAGGCCTGGCGAATTGGTGAGGCGTTTCTCAACGGGGCACAAGCCCTCGGCATCATCAGCAGAACGCGCGAACACGTTACTTTGAGTAAGGTTACCTAGGTACACGACCCTGCGAATGGCCTTGAATGCATCCCCGGCATTCCATGCTCTCTGGAGCACGACAACTGCTGCTACCTCATCGCTAGCCGACTCCCCGGACAGATCCTAGAAAAGGCTTAGTCTGCGTCACTGTCAGCTTATCTGCATCCTGGTGAATTTCCTATGTACTTCGACTTTATGACCTAACTACGGAGTAGTTGGAGTGCCAAGGCTGACCTGGATCCATAATAGGGTATGGGGTAGGGGATTACAGACGCAAGTCACCAACAGGTTAATAAACAGAAACCATTGCGCCTCTAGAATGTACAGACACCTAGATAGGAACTACCCAAACCGACCATGGCCAGCAACCGACCGCAAGCTACCCTAGGCCCAATGTCTTGTTAGGGGTTCATCATTGGATACTCCCAGTCGGCTAGACGCGACCGTCTGATTCACCATGTTCGGCACGTTGCGTCTCGCGCCTAATTCGGAAACCGTAGACTTCATAGAAAGAACAGACGGCAGGTCTTTCACTGGCACCGTTCCACCTCATTCTGCGTGCACCCACTGCCGATCCAAAAAGGTATGGATACCCTCCGCTTTCAGACGAGATCACTCGTAGGCCTTGCTCACTAGACTACCTGTTTCGCCCGTGGTAGCTTCGATGTGGTGGACAGAAGCCAATTTGTAATCGATGTAAGACTTCTTCGACAAAGTGCGTGTATGCCCCTGCAGCCGGCAGGCGACGAGCTCATAGCGGGAAAAAGCGCAGTCACGACGGCGGCGTGGTTCACGAGTCTAATTCGGCAGCGGAAGACTTGAGCCAGACTGACATGACAATATCTAACCCGCCCTCGGCTGCTGAGCGAGTTCCGCCAGTGACAAGTAGCAACGTAACAACTGAGGGCACGTCAGAGACAACCTGCCAGGGATTGACTTCCGACTCGCCGACAACATGTCTAGATTCTGAATCATTGAACGAGGCCCTCGAACATCAACTGAGTTCCCATTCTATTGACTCGGAATTCCACTTTAATACTGAGACTACCATTGGGGCTATCGACAAGCCTACGCATGTTATCGGCAGTGACGCCGAGATTGTCCGAGATTCTCTAAGTTGGTCTTCAATACACTTTGTGTGATATCCCGAGAAAGATGAAGTCGTTACTAAGTACTCATGGGCAGTCGCCACGGATTTCACTGCCGGCCTAACTGCGCTATGGTCTATACCCGCCTCGTTCACAGATGGCCAGGGGTTCGCCACGTCGCCCAGACTAGACTCCTTCGGCTCTATGATGGCCACAACAAACACGGTAGCACCAGTTTCATTCGAGTTAGCAAGCAATTCGGAGCCCGAGAACAGGCTCGGTGGCGGTGCACAGTGTGCCCGCCAGTGTCTCTCGACCACCACGCCTTTACTTGAACAAATCGATAACCTTACGCATAGCATGGCTCCAGATAACCTAGAAAGAGTCCTCAGCTGGCATACGCAAGCATGCAATAAGTGCCTTCAGGTATTGAAATGCGAAAGCTGCTACTCCAGCTCGGAACAGATGATGTTGATACTCATGCTATGCGACAAGCTCATCATGCTTACCAAGAAACTGTTGTGGCATACATTAGACGAAACACAATTTGAAGGCGCATTTCGAGTTCGAGAGTATGAGTCGACAGACCCTTCCGAATTCATTGGTATCATCAGGCTTCTCTGTAGCAACCGCGTGAGGGATATAGCCAGACTCCTAGCCCGTATCGAAGATAGCCCAGCAGTCGCGGGCAAACAAGTGCAACTCATCATGATACGCAACATGGAACAACAGGTAGCAAAGACTCTTGGCGGAATACGGGAGTGTCTTGGTAGTTTCATAGGTTAGGTAGCTTGTGAGCCTGGAAACATCTAGTATTATCAATCGGCGCCAAGGTTCAAACTGAAGAATGCCGGGTTGAGAGTCTCTGCGCCCTTATCATTTGCGTGTTTCTGATCCCGCTTTTGTCACATGTTCATCGGTGACGGCGGTCACCAAAATCGACCTTGATACTGGCCTCGGAATTGAGACTAGGGCTAGGTAGTGACTCCCCTGCTTGGAGCTGCAAGGGGCACACACGTTGCGAACCCAATATTCACCGACACACGTGGCCCTTGCTAATCAAATGCAAATATCCAGCTGTATCGCCACTTTGCTGCTTTATGGATCGGGATATTTACGCCGTGCTTTGCCACTACCCGCTAGATCTCCTGATACATGCTGCCACGGAAATTATATCTGCCCGGGTTGTTGTTGGGTTATGGTAGCAGACTCTTCAATATTCAAGGCAATTTTACCCGGTAATCGAAGGCTGTACAGCTATTTAGATACGACAGACCGAGCATATCGACGCCTTCAACTCTGTAGACTACGCTTGCCGCATTCGCACAAGCCACCAGGGCATCATGTTACCCCTCATACTGGCCATTGCGGTTATGAGACATCTTGCGATCAGACGAGGCCCGTCTGCCGTTTTCTCCTGAGACCCGCCCTTGTTCGACGTCTATCACAGCTGCGCTTGGGACGTGCGACCATATCTCCAACCTCGCTCAAATAAGACCCGAAGTTTTCAATGTGAGTTCCCATGTCTGAGTCTCTTGGCATCGTCACAAGCCGCCCATCACCCCTATAATTAGGGGCTGTAGAAGAGCAACCCTACAGCTTTCCAGACACTTCCCACCTTTACCTTCCCACTCCTTTCCCATTGCTATAATAATAGTGGTGGCAGCGCCTTGCTCTGAACTCTTCATCCAGTTCCACACTTAAGCGGGAAGTCGTCGAAAAAAACCTCAGAGGCGTGATGGGCTGCGCTAGAAACATTAACCAGTCTCGAGTTGAATTCAGGAGTCGGTGCCTTTAGCATAGAATCCCTCAGTAGCCAGAATAGAAGGAAACGGCCGAGATAGTTCGTTGCTAGATGCATTTCACACTCATTCACGGACTCCTCGTGTTGAGGGATGTCCATGACCGCTGCGTTGCAACAAGTCCGGACGGAATCCATTTTCGATGTGTCGAGCTCGATCAGCTCGATGCGACTGGGCTCTAGAATGGACTCGCAGGCCGCCTTGCCCTTTTCAAGTTCACGAACAGCTAACAAAACCTTGCCGCCCGTGGCGGCCAAAGCACGTCCGGTCTCGATGCCAATACTCGACGAACAGCCGGTGGCGAGGAAGACCTTGTCTATTAATGTTCCTTCGCACTCTTCGTCTTTGATGATTTGCAACGCGGTTGGTCAACTGTCCCCAGGTCCTGCAGGCTTCATGTGCGACTCCCTGTAGCGAGACATGATGAATGAGGGTTGTCGGGAACAGATTATTAAACTAGGTAGGTATGAGGAGTGCTGTAGATGAGGGTTTTGGATAGTGTGGCTAGTTCTTCCGCTTCTTAGTGAGTAATCTCATAATTGATGACATAAACGAGCGGATGGGTGTGGACTTTTATAACTAAAGATGGTGGAGGATAAGAATGAGTGAGTTTAGGGAATTGCAAGTTTGATGAGTTGAGAAGTTGAAAGACTGGGATTTTTTTTTTGTTTCAAACTTGAAGTGAAGTGAGTTGTGGTAATTATCAAGCTTATTGAGTTAATGAGTCGCTAGCTTGTGACACTCAACTCAAATGAGGTGTTATCGATATTCCAACAGGAGGTATCTGTAATTGTGAAAAGTTTTGAGCAGAATTGATATAAGTAATTGAGTCACACTCTCTTGCCGAGTTCAACCCCAAAATGCCATCTGCCCCTCATTATTTCCTTACGTGCCGACCCACTCCCAGTCTTATACTCATAAACCTTATCTCATCAGATAATTAAAAGTGTTATGAGTGAAAAAATTTCATGTGGCTGGCTACCATCGAACTACGTCGTGATTTGTGACATTAGCTTGAAGAATCGCCGCTGGATCTCAAACAGGAAATTCACAGCACAGCGATGCCGATCCGGTATATCTGCAAACCGGGAGTTACGGTCGTACACACCAGGTAGCGATTCTAGATAGGCATTCCATTTAGGAACAGGCCTCTCGTTGGTTTGGATTCTGTCTGTATCAGGTAGTTTGAAAGCTGCGGGATAGCCCCTGACTTACCGCTATATCATATACACGACTGCAGATTTAGCTCGGTTCAAAACTACTAGAATCATTACGCCATACTGCTCTATCAGTCAATAAATCTGAGATCAGTATGCTGTTAGTTGCTGACCAACACTTAGCACTTCAACTTGCTGGGCCGTAGTTTACGGTCTTTGTCTTACGTGAGATGGATGAGCTGGCCTTCAGACTCGATACGTAGGTGCTTAATGTAGATGGGGTCAAAATCAACCCTTCTTCTAATTGGACCACTCCCGGTAGGCTACCTAGGCAGATTCTTGGGGTTGGAAGATAAGACATTTCGCCCTCAATCACTCCCCCGGAAAATTCCCTCTCTAGACGGCCCCCGCAGTCTCGCCTAGCTCCTGATATCGCCAAGACACTTTTGATAGGGCCGAGTGTAGGTATGGTGGACCTGGCATACTATAATAATATGACCTCGGCACAGCAACTGCAACCTAAGCCGCGTGGTTGGGAGGCGGTTGGATGCAGAGGTACTTTGAAAAATATTTGATTGGTAGAGAAAGAGAATCCCAGATTAGAATAACCACTCATCCGGTATCATTTTTGCTAGCCAATTGAGTGACTGCGCAACAGCGAGTGAATATAGTTCTGGTACATCGACTTCGAAGTCTGCGGCTTGCGGCTATTGAGGTACGTCGAGCGAGCACTGGCCCTTGATGCCACACTGACCGAATGATTCGCCCAGACATACGAACAAGATGACATATGCCTATTGATTACGTTAGGAGCAGAAACCTTCAGCCGGATCAAATTGCATCGTCGTGACCCACAATCGATGGCGCTTCTGATCATCGTGGTTAAGATGCGATCAATCGAAATTTACTTCTCGCTCATAATGATGCGCACACCGCTTTGATTAACGCTGCCGCAGCCCAATTACCTCAACGCATCAAATTCAGGACGGTCCTTGGTACTTTGAAACAAGCTGTTCCGGAGTCAAAGTTCCTGCCCTCAGCCTCCACGCTTTACGAGCAGCCTAAGAGAGAGGGGAGAAGAGTGTGGGGTCTGCGGTGTGCTACAAAATTCACATTGTTTAGGTTCATGAGATCGGCTGCTGTCTATATGCAGGCTTACAGAGCTGCGTTAGAAACTTTCAAGACTCACATTTCTGCGGTCAAAAAATAGCGACCACCTTACCATCGCCGCCCCATCAACTGACTAATTATCATCATATCAACATAGTTGCCTGAAGTTTGGGACTTAATGAAACAGAAACCTAGCAAGGCCAAGAAATGAGGGGTGGCCAGTGTACGTTTTATTTTCAGCTCGAAGAAGCTCAACATGACTTGGGGAGCGCTTAAATCAAAGATCTCTCATATCTGTACCAGACACCAGCCAAAGTCACTTGATGCTACTGGCTGAACGCTTAAGATAAATAAAGTTCTGGTGCAATTAGACGCCCGAAAGAAAGCTCAAGCCACCATATATCAGAAACATCTATAGACAATACTGGGGGTCATGAGTTAGGCTTGTGTGACCCCTATTTTTAGTAGTTGACGGTCGCTTTTGACCCCTGAGCTCGGGTGGTGGTCTGGGGTGACATTGGGGGCCCTATATTTAGTGGTTGTAGGCCTAAATCGACGATGAAGCTGAAATATCACTTGCATGCGATGTCGGTGAGGGGTTGTAGCATGAAAATAAGAGTCTGTATGAGCATTGCAGTTAACCATTCAGAAATGGCTATAATATTGGTGTCAAGCCCGAGGCGAATGTTCAGTTCGTTTCTCGCTTCCGCCTGTTATTTTTCTGCTACATGCGTCTGGATTCTAGCACTTCATTACACCAGTCTTACCCCTCTGTACTGAATCAGTATTCGACATGAGTACCTTCGCAGCCTCAGATCCCAGTACGAGTTACGAATACCCGGTTCACGTAGGTACGTGGATTAACTGGTCACGCGGAAGGGTATTTGGTGCCACACTTACAGTGAACCGACGAGACGCCGATCTTCTAATCGCTTTCACATCGTTTTTCATCGCATACGTTTCGACTCGTACATGGAGGATCTTATGCTTTATTCTTCACAGAGTTTACTCGACGCCAGGTCCTCAGGATTCCGTCTATCATCAACGTCAGGCGATATTGCGCAATTCATCATCTCCCGAAAGTGCCATACAATTGTTATTCTTACTTTTTCAGTCCAATTATCTCAAGCTGAGATGTTTTCGCCCATTGCCAGCTGCTGCTGTTGCCGCAGTCTGTATCATCGTCTTTACGACGGCGGGTGGACTTTCTTCACAGGTTTCAACTGCAATTGGTACCCAGGTCTTACTCGAAGGAACTCGATGCGGGTATATCGATGACCCAAGCCCCTGGGTAGATAAAGACAGATATTTTAAATACGTGTCTTATCAAACCCAAAAGACCGATAATGCTGCCAACTACGCCCAGCAATGCTACTCAGATAATACGACGAGTTTCTTGAACTGCAACCGTTTCATTACCGATAGGCTTGGTAGCAACATTGATGCCGACGCACCTTGCCCCTTTAATGCATCCATATGCCGAAAAGATACTGGTAATCTACGGTTGGACACGGGCTTTATGGACAGCAATGACCACTTAGGTCTAAACGCACCGGCCGACCAGAGAGTTTTGTGGAGGCATGTTCTTCACTGTGCACCATTGCAAACTACGGGCTACACTACAGACGTAAGCACACCCAATAGTAGTTATACCCTATATCATTACGGCGTATACGGTTCGGAGGACGAGTATCATAATTACACCTACCTTGCAAATTCATTAGAAGCTGTGTATAATGATGGGCTTCCTAGGAGAAAAGGATATGCGGATCATTTGGTAGAGTAAGTTCGGTCCCTGCCTCTCTTCCAATATCTCTATCACAAGTTTCTCATGGCGTGTCCACCCAGGTCGATGCGCGCCGATGTAAAAAATGGGACCACATATTTATCTGGTTCTGATTTCATACCGATTGATGCGCTGTTTCGCCAGGACGCAGATACTCATTTGGCGTTCCTCTCAGGGAATGGTGTTTGGTACTTGGATACTTCAACGGACGACTGGTATCGCATAGCAAAAGAGCCAACTAACGTCACTTGGGCTGGTGCCGATCAAGACATGATCACACAAGTTTATCTACCCTCGGAACCCGCATCGCCAATGGGTTGTGCAGATCAATATCAATTCTGCAACACTGGTATCGATGGCATCGACGGGTGCGGCCCCTTATCTAGCCTGCGGGATGCAGTAGCCGGCGCTGCACCCCTTTTCAATACTAGCTACGCGGAGTTCTCGACTTATGAGGCTGAATCAAAGCCGGGATCACTTCTTGCATATTTCGGAAATGTGTTCTTCTCTTTCGATATAACTGTAGAAAGCATCCTGAGCCAGCTAGGTGGTCACGGGCTGCTATCCCACAGAACTCTGAGTGGCGCGCATCAAGGCCCAATAGCATCGAATCAATGGCAGCAAGATTTCATGCAACTATGGGCCATATCACTCGCATCAACTCAAATGGCCTTCATTGATACTGCAGTTGGCCCTGCAGACGATTCGCTGCTCTCTCTCTGGACAGACTATGCAACACCTAACAGCAATAAACTGTGTAATAGCCAGGTACTCAGAGCCTCTCTTAAGACCGTATATCGTAATAACTAACTAAGAGACTACAGAAAATTCGAAGTACGGCACACGGATCGTTCAGCCTCTTCGGTCTATTTCTTATATTCACTCTCGGCATAGTTCTCGTTCTGATTTCGTATTTATTACAACCAGTGTCTGAGTTCCTCTGTAAAAGGAAGGGGTACAAGGCATTCGCTCACTTGGAATGGACAACAAACTCAGCTTTACAGCTCCAAAGGCTGGCACATGAGGAGATCGGAATGGGCACTTGGAATAAATGCCTTGACACAATCCCGGACACCAGAAAGGGTGAGCTTCTGGGTTCCCTAGACACGACCGACCTCGGGCACCCTGTTCTCCGCCCTAGTGCACAGAAGACTGTCGCTATCCTGGACAAAGCCCCGAGTTTTGGAGAGACCGATACCCTGAATTCTTAGGCTGCAGGAACCACGAGCCCCTCATCGGCCTCAAATAAGCCTCTTCCGGAGGAAAGGACAGGTCATGAGGAACAAGCGATTAGACTCAGCTCGGGGATAGAGAAGACTCTTAGCTCTAACATGCATTGTAAATCACTATTTGCTTCAACACGTTGGGTTTATGAGTGGAAGAAACAGTGGGCTTTATTGGCAGACTAGGGTATTATGATTATACGTATAACCTGTATTATGGTATCTCTTTATGTTGATCGGGTTCAAAATATGGACTAACGAAATCGTGACTCTTCTTTTCAAGTGGACCCCAGATTATCATTTTCAATGTGCAATGTTGAACACTCTGTACAAGACTGACTGGTAATTCGGTTCCACTTATCCTGGTTCACCTAGCCGCTCCTTATCACAGCTGCAAATGAATGGCCAAACGCGGAAGGTAACATTACTATTTTAATTACTAATTATTGTCGCAGTCGCATTCCCCCCTCCAGTTATTGTTCATGGTAGGTTCGAGAGTATATGATTTCTCGCCAATTTCTGTCAACACCAATAGTGTAACTAGTAACCAAACACTATGATGAAAGTCGAGTTCGCCGAGATTCTGCTCCCGTCTAAGGGCATCGCCGAGGATGTTGAGTTCTGGACGTCTCCCACCCCGGGTCTTGGCTTCCGCATGGATCAGATCTATCCGGCCGATGACCCACAGGTCGTCACTCTGAGCGGGCATGGGTTGCGGTTGCGTCTCGACAAGTCAGCCGCGAGCACAGCTCCAGGCACGGTTCGCCTTCTGTGCAGCGAACTCGACTCTCAATTGCAATCGCGCGAGCTGGCGTCACCATCAGGCACGCGAGTCGAATTCGTTTCCGCCAAGGAGCCTATGTCACGGCCTCCCACGAAGCATGCCTTCATCTCCTGTCGGTTGAAAGACAATGCGCCGTGGGTTGTGGGTCGTGCGGGGATGCATTACCGCGACCTGATTCCGGCACGCCTCGGCGGTGCCATAATTGCCTCGCACATCCGCATCCCCGATGCAGGACCCGTGCCGGACCACGTGCACTATCACACCGTCGGCTTCCAGCTCATCTACTGCCATGCCGGCTGGGTGCGTCTTGTGTACGAAGACCAGGGAGAGCCGTTTATTCTGCGAGCTGGCGACTGCGTCATTCAGCCGCCGCAGATCCGGCACCGCGTGCTCGAGTCCTCGGGAGGTCTTGAGGTTGTCGAGGTCGGGGTGCCCGCTGAGCACCTCACCACGATCGACCACGAGATGGAGTTGCCGACGCCACACCATCGCCCAGATCGCGAGTGGGACGGCCAGAAATTTGTGCATAGTCGGCTAGAAGACGCCGTCTGGGGTTCTTGGCGCATGCCAGGCTTTGAAGCCCGAGACACTGGCGTTGAGGAGGGCACCAAGGGGGTTGCTGCTGTACGCGTTATCCGCCCTGTTGCGGGAGAAACCCAGGCAATATCAGCGACAAGCCATGATTCGGATATACTGTTTACCTGTGAGTCCATAGCAAATAATGTTGCTACTTCCTACATTGGAACTCATACGACTAACATCCCTTCAACATTTGCAGTCGTGCTCTCCGGCTCGTGCACCCTGTGCGGTGAGGGTCAAGGCTCCCAAATCCTTAGTGAAGGAGACGCCTACACCCTGCCACCCGGTCTCAAGACTTGTGTGATCGATTGCTCGGCGGATCTAAGCTTGCTAGAGGTCTCATTGCCTGGTCACTTTAATACAACAGTACATCCTCAGGACAAGCTACCAGCCTAAATCGATGGCCATCCATCTACGCTTTTCGTTAAGTACTGACATTTAGACATATCCGAGTCTTCTCGAATTCTTTTCCCTCCGTCTACCTAACTGCTGGTTCACGGCGTATTAGTGGAATATCGAAGAAAGATTCTTATCATGTGATATGAGATCCTCTAAGGTTAGTGGACAGATTTCGCTAGCATCTGAAGGATAGGAGTTACGTAGTATATCTTGAATAAGTACCAATAGCATCTCTGTACACCTCCCTCGCTCTATCTGACTAGGAGGAAAGCTGTTACTATTACAATGGCCTACAATCATCATCTTCGTTCCGATTAGTCCGTCCTTGGCAAAGTCCCATTGCATTGTGCTGTAGTTGAATACAAGACACTCGTCTTACTAGTGAAGTGAGCTGAACAGGGAAATCTAATAAGAATCTGCGTGCCGAATCCAAACCTTTCTCGCTCACAGAACCTTTCTTCATTCTAGCTATCTCCAAGTGTGTCTAGCATCGCCATTACAATGCCGTGTTTCGCCTTCTTTCGTCGTTCAACCGACGCAAACAGCTCACAAAAGAACAAATGGGATGTTCTAAGAATATATAAACACTCCATCTCTACAGTCCTTGATGACTCGTCGGTCTCCTCTTTCCCCGACATTAAAGACGACCGCCCCTATTCACAGCCTCATCCACGCATGCTGTGGCGTAGCCCAACCGGTATTTTGGAGCCGCGAATTCTGAGCTATCTCAACCAGAACAAGGAAACCATCAAATTCAGCAAGATTTTTGATCTTTTTTGTGGAAATGGCGAATGGTTGAAAGATCTGAAACCGGTGCTATTAGAAGCTGACATTGATGCGAATCTGGTTGGGTACGACCTCAGGTCGGACTACTCTGTGTCTCCTAACCAAATCAGAGATTTCAATGACCTGGCCAGGAGACTCCTAAAAGAATCTTTCGGTACTTTCGACGTCGTCCATGTCCGAGTACGTATGGTAGACGATGACCCGGCAATCGTGCTATCTGGTGTCATGAAATTGCTGAAACCTGGCGGTTGGGTACAATGGGAAAAGCTTGGATCTGAACTCGTCCTGGGCGGGGGTTACATCGGGGCGGCGAAAACCCCTTGCAGAAAGACGACCCAGCCCACTGAGACCCGAGAAGGTGCACAGCACGTGAAGCCTGATATTGTGACGGAGCTTTGCCAGTACTTGATCGATGCAGAGGTCACAGAGACTGAGATGTTTTCGGGAGTTGCGCAGGAGTCGGGGCTTGGGAAGGTGATGTATCGAGAGATCATTACTACGATTACCGGACGCAAGCCGTTGTAAACCAGTCTTGTTATCCTCGGGTATCAAAAGCTAGTGTCGCTGGCTTCATTTCCTATTACAATCGTTAGTAGTCTGGGGTTTTCGGTTCCTATAGTCACCCAAATTGCAAGCAGCTATCTAATATTACAAAATGCAAAAGACATTTGAGGTCAGAACTGAGAGTTGCATGAGGCATACTGAGTCTTGGGATTGCTACTATAATCCTAGAAGAGCCGCTTAACTAGCTTCAATCAACCATGCCGCCATGTACAATAGGGGCAGGGGGTCTGCCCTTTGGGTATGTCATGAATTTTTCTAGTTGGGATGATTTCTACACTTCACTCTTTGCACACAATATCAGGCACTTAGACTAGTGTCGTTTTCACTATTTTCAATTCCGACAAGTCTATCAGGCTAGCTAGGTATCTAGCAGCGTATATGAAATATCAAATGTGCACTATTTCGCCGTGGTGTCTTCCCCCACAGCAATCTTATCCTGGTATTCAGTAAAGGTCTCGATACCCTTAGGGATGCCATTCCACTGCAAGCCCTGCTCATCCATGAGTCGTGCGCGGGTCTCCATGCAGCGTGTCCACGAGGGCAACGCAACCATGCGCTCATGCCAGGCCCGAACATGAGGAGTATCTTTCCAGATCTCGTCCCATGGCAGGCTCAGAACCTCGGTCAGGCGAAAATTCCATGGCATAAAGGACATGTCGGCGAACGTCATCTTGTTCCCAACAAGCCACTGTGCATCAGCGGGCTTCTTAGATAGCACACCTTCCAGGACGCCTAGGACACGGCGAGCCTCGTTCGCATAGCGCTCGATGGCGGATGGGATCTTCTCAGGGTGTAGGTGTACAAACCAGCCAGCCTGGCCATAATAAGGACCCTGTCCGCTCACTTGAAAGTGTAGCCATTGATTACACAAGTGTCTCTCGTTGAGCGACTCGTAAGACAAGCGCTTCTCGGTGTCATACACCTCAATGAGGTATTGATAGATGGCGCCCGACTCCCAGAGAGTGAGCCCAGTGTTCGGGTCCTCTATAGCTGGCACACGGCCATTTGGGTTAATGTCAATGAAAGGCGGTTTCTTGACATCATCAAAGCGAAATGACACTATTTCGTAGTTCAGACCCAGCTCTTCGAAAAGCCAGACTGCCTATGTGGAAAACGTCAGAATGAGTAATGATTTAAGAGTATGGCTGGATCAGTCTCTCATCTATCAACTCCATAGATGCGGACTAAAAATGAGACCCAATACCTACCTTCCACGGGTTTGGCCCAGGCGCTGGAGGAGAACGTTAGCGCCCTGCTCCGCTGAAGTAACTGCTGACATCGTGGGAAGGGGTCACTTACGGGTTATCCAGACGCGGATGGCCTTTTCTGGGTTCTTTGCCATTTTGTGAGGCGTAAGAACTATACTTTAGGTATGAATACGATCAAAGCGTAGAGCTGATGTTAGAAATGAAGAGGTTCTGGGATGATGAGTGATTTGGCAAATCTTTTATCAAAACTGTAAGCCTGGGGTGTTTGTGCTCTGTGTATATTTGGTATTTATAGTTGGTATTCATGCTTCGAGCCCCATTGAGGACCACTCGGATGTTCCGGCTTTCGCGCTGCATTGCCCGCAATCCTGTTAGTTGCCGTGTGTGCCATGCCTGTCTGTCAAGCGTTAGTCCAAGTGCTACCGCCTGGCTACTCGCGGGGAATAATCTTGGCGATTTCTAGTATACATAGTATGCAGATGCGACCGATGAAGGGCTCACATAACAGATTAGAGACATCTACCGCCTCCAGTAAGTGAGGCTTAGAGTGGAGATAGGCGCCAATTGAAGATAGGGCCAGAGGGACTAGCTCTCAGTTGGGGTACACCGACATATTGATACTCAGGTAGAGATGATGTACGGCCATCTAACTGCATCACTCTTCTCAAGAATGATTCGATCAACAACCGTGCAGGCACAGCCAACAGTAGAACACATGCAATAGACTCAATATCATAGATTGTTAGGTTCACCGCCCCTTCCCTGAGTCTCTTTAGTAGGTACGTATGAGTGACTCTTCAGCTATGTACCTACTGCGTTGAAGTTGGTATCTGTATAGTTATGATCCTAAGAGGGTAGATATCGACAGCATGAAGTAGCGCGGGTTTCTCCCAGCTTCCATTATCCTGATAGCACAATCCCGCTCTGAGACTGTACCGCCATCTATACAGCTAGCTCCTTGCCAGACGTTGACTTCGACTCTCTTCAGTGAGTCTGAAGTGGAACAGGTAGATGGCATCGCAACAATTCAAGGAAGCCTGAGTTTAGAATTGCCATACGGCACAGCAAAAAAGAAGGAATTTTGTCTAGGTATATTACACATCATGCCCGTCACTTGAAAGAATACTCCAAATGTAGAGAATCGAAACCATTCTTAGTATTCATTCTTTAAAAACATTTTGTAGCTTTGTGGTGCCTAGTAAATATGCATGCGCTATTTCAAGAACTAACCTATACCCTTCTCGACAACATGTTGTGTAAGTTGTTGCTTGATTTGACTTCTTCGGGAGTTCACTCGGCATCAATATTAGTATTCGAGACGGGGTGGATTTCTATGATCATAGGACCAGGAAGAATGGTGTTTGATCAAATGGAGCAAACGTTGGCATGTTTTGAGGGCTGATGTTTCCCATGATAGCAGTTTGTGCAAAAAAGATTCATCAAATATCGGATATAGCTTCTCGAATCAAAATTAGCTGTTCATAACTTTCATTCAGCTTTATCTTTTCACCTGATGATTGGCATTATTAATGATTCATGTAGCGTTATCCCATAGCTGTGTGTGGCGCGAGCATTCTAAATTTGATTGGCAGTAGCAATGAGGCTCCAATGAAAGAGGACATCTCGATAACCATGTAACAACAACACATATTCACGCCTTTATCAAAGTTAGTAATAGCCCCGCTACCAACGTATATTCCTCTTGACATGTAATCTGCCACTATCTCTTGTACATCGTAGTCAAATACTCAATCACGCAGCATATCAACAAGGAATAATCCGCGATACCCGTGTAACTTAAAGTCGTTAATAATGAGTCATGTCGCAATGGCATGTACTCCTTTTTATTCCCGCAAGCCCATTGCAGGCAGCATCAAGGCCGCAGTCTTATAGCCGGCTCCTTTACAGCGTCAACAATGCTACTCGCATTTGGCGGTAGAGTATCGTGACATACTGCCACCATCGTAGCACCTGTATATACCTTTCGTCTTCTTCTCTGCTGTTGATCATAGCCTAGGGGCAATTTCATAGGATTCTCTCTGCCGGAACCTATCCCGGCAAGCTATTCATTCACTATGGCAGCAGTGACGAGGAATGAGAGTCGGTGACTTCATAACGAAGTTGCGTAGTCGGCCCAATGACCGGGGTTAGGCCGTGACCCTGATTTCGATATTACTAATCATGTACCCAACGGAACCAACGGAACCAACTGAGCAGGTGGGATACTAACATGTAGAGATACTGGCTCAAAATGTGATAATGCGGCAATGTGAGTTGCCAATAGCGCCAAAGTTAGCTTCACACGATTGTTCGATGTTGGCTGCACGATGTTGGCAAAGATGAGCGGTTGGCAGCCGAGGTACCGTATGATATGCCTGATTACTAGGTCGGCCGTTTCGGCCACCCCGCTTTCTGTTGAACATATTCCCTGATGTTCCTAGCTGTTATCCCCGACACGGATGTAGTTAGCCCGATGGAATGGGAATGCGCCTGAGCAAACAATGGGTTATCTCGACGGCGAGATAATCATCACATCTCGCGCATATCTACTCGCGCAGCGCGAGGCGCGAGCGAAAGGGATTATCCCGCTCGTGTGGAAATACGGTCTTACATAAGCCGGTACCCACGATCCCGCAGTGATGACAGGGATACGCAAGTTGGAGTGCAGATGGGAATACAGATTGGTTGAATATATAGCGCCCGTTAGGACTATGGGACGCAGAAGGTTGGCGATGGAAGTGGAGTCCCAACGGGTAGATATGAAAGCCGTACATAACATGCACCTACCGACCTTGCCAAGAGACTTCCTGTTATTCTATGAATGATAGGGATTATATCTTCCGAGTGAAACATATCAACCAGAGGATTCCCAGGATGTCAGGCAAACCCGCGTCTTCACTAGCTAGTAGAGTCGCAGACGCTCGCTGGCGGAGATACGCCCTGCCGCAGCTTATCGACCAAGTAGCTCGTGAAGATCCCGACTCTGTATACGCATCATGGCCAGTGGTCCCGAACTCATACTCAGCTGGTGTGCGACACATCACATACGCCCAGCTGGCTAACATCGTGAACGGCTTGGCGGGGTGGATCGTGAAAGAAATAGGACCTGGGGACCAGAGTCAGGCTCTGGCCTATGTAGGTCCCAACGATGTGCGATTCACAGCTCTTATCTTTGCCGGTATGAAGACAGGCCACAGGGTGAGTAGTGATGTCGCAAGTGACGGGAGCTGAGCTAAATGCAACTGTAGATATTCCTTACCTCGCCGCGCAATAGTTTGATAGCACATCGGAAACTCTTCAGCGCAGTAGGGTGCAAGACGCTCATCACGTCGGATCCAGCAACTCCACATGTACATGCGATTCTGGAAGGGGTCGAGTCATGCAGAGCTCTTACGATCGCGAGTGTTGATGATCTTCTTTCTACGACGCACCGAGTATACGTAATGGAGAAGGCTTTGAATGCGCCGCTGAGGGATGCCTTGAACATAGTGTATGTTTTCCCAGACTTTGAAACACGAGGTCAATGTGGTCTAATACAGCATCTCTAGTCATACTTCTGGTTCGACGGGGATACCCAAGCCGTTGATCTGGACTCAAGAAACGGCTATGCGACACATCGAAGCTATTAGTCGGGACCCGCCTGACGGACAGATATCAGTTGATTCATTCATGCGCGGCAAGCGGTTATTATCGACGTTACCGCCATTTCATGTAAGCCTATATAGAATCCAAAGAGAATTTCATCGATGCCCATGACAGTGCTGACGAAGTTTAGGGTGCTGGCCTTATGCAGCATTTACTGTACGCCACTGCCTTTGGAAATATCATCAACATCCCAGCGGCAACGGGGCCGATTGTGACGGCCCAGGGCGTCGTCGATGCCCTCAAGCAAACACCTGCCGATGTGGTGATCATGGTACCGTCTGTCGTAGCCGAGCTTTCCGAGAGTCCGGATCTGCTCGAATACTGCGCTAAGAACATTCAGCTTATCTTGTACATCGGCGGCGATCTACCCCAAGCCGTGGGCGACCGTGTCGCTTCCAAGGTCCGACTGCGTTGCTGGTGGGGAGCATCTGAGATAGGATTTCCGCAGCAGGTATTTGTACCTGAGCTGGAATCGAGTGCAGCTGGTTGGCATTACATTCGCTTCGGTCCCATTGTAGGCGCCAGGTTTGACCTGGTCAATGACAATCTCTACGAGCTCGTGATATGTCGCGATGAGAAGTTGGTCGAGACCCAAACAACTTTTACTATAGGTGGCTTTGAGAATTTCACGGAATACCGTACCAAGGACTTGTTCGAACCTCATCCCGATGTCCCAGACGCGTGGCGCTGGCGGGCGCGGGCAGACGACATTATCGTCTTCCTGAACGGTGAGAAGACGAACCCGGTATCGATGGAGCAGCAAATAGTGACTCGCAACCCGGGCTTGATCAGCGGTGCCATAGTCGTCGGCGCCCAGAGATTTGAAGCAGCATTGATCATCGAGCCAGTTGGTACTGGGGGGTCCCTGTCGACAGCTGAGCAAGCCGCTCTGATTGAGAAAGTGTGGCCGAGCGTCGATGAAGCAAACCGCAGTGCGCCGGCGCATGCACGGATTGACAAATCGTTGATCCTAGTAGCAACTCAGCCGTTCATTCGATCTGGGAAGGGCACCATTCAGCGGGCTGCGAACGTTGTGCAGTACACGGATGATGTTGACAAGTTATACGCGAACGCTGATGTCTCCGCAGCTAGTGCCCTGACTACGGATGCGACAGATGTAAACGCACTTATGCGGTTGATCCAGGATACTCTTCGGAGCATGGAAGGTGTCTCGGGGACAGATGAGAACACAAACTTCTTCGACAGCGGCATGGACTCTCTGCGCGCGTTACAACTCGTGCGAGTCTTGCGAAAAGCCGTCGGCTCTCCCAAACTTGCGTTGTCGACCGTCTATCAGAACCCGACTCCAAGGCAACTCGCCACAGCAATAGCATCAAATTCAAGCGATCGTTTTGATCAGAAGATCCGAGACCAGCTTTTGGACACATATCGAGGCCTTCTGCACGAGATCCCAAAGCTCCCTGGTACTACAAGCACTGAGGAAGAAGGTCCAGTAGACGTCCTTCTGACAGGCTCGACTGGGACACTGGGTACATCCATACTCGCTGCACTTCTCTACAACCCAAAAATCCGCCATATTTTCTGCCTTAACCGAGCCGAAGACGGCGGCCGAGAGGCGCAATTCAAGCGTTTCGCCGCTGCTAATCTCGAAACAGACACGATCGACTGCCGCGTCAAGTTCTTGCACGCGGATCTGACAGATCCAAAGCTAGGTCTCACAGAAACAACCTACGCGGACCTCTGCAGTCGCGTCAAGATAGTGATTCACAACGCCTGGCCCGTCAATTTCAATCTCAACCTGCTGGCCTTCCGGCCCTTACTCGCGGGCCTCGTGAATCTTTTCAAATTCGCAGCTAGTGCCGCACCGCGCACTATACGGACTTTCTTCGTCTCAAGCGTCAGCGCTGTAACCGGTTTGAGCACCGGCGCGCCTGAGGAAATCGTGCCGGACGACAGCAAGTTACTCCCAAGCTCCCTAGCGAACGGATATGCGGGGAGTAAGCGCCTAGCGGAACTCCTGTGCGACTCCGCGGCCCGACATATTGGCATTCCTGTAGCTGTACTGCGCATCGGCCAAGTCGCTGGTTCTACGGCGCCGGGTGGCACGATCTGGAATCGCTCTGAATGGCTTCCTAGTCTCGTTGTCAGTTCAATCTTGCGATTGAACTGCTTACCTGATAATCTCGGCCCCCAGTTCTCCAACGTCGACTGGGTGCCGTCTGATCTGCTGGGCATGGTCATCTCTGAGCTTGTCTTGGCTGGCGCTGATACAGCACATGGTGATGGTGCAGAGGTCTTCAACGTGCGGAATCCAAATACGGTGCTCTGGAACGTGCTTATTCCGACCATTGAAGGGATCTCGCGGGAGAGGTCTGATAAGGAGGCTATGCAAATCGTCTCGCCGGAGACATGGCTGGAGGTTCTGCAGGAGACTGCGGAAACAGATGAGAACGAGGCTGGTGCTGGGTTGATGTCGCTTGTGGCGAAGAACCCGGCCCTCAAGCTGGTCGATTTCTACCGCGAGTCCTTGTGGCCGCGTCACTCGGAGAATGCTCAGACACAGTTGCCGATGGATGTGACTAGGGCTGTGGCGGCTAGTGATACGCTTCACAAAATGCCTCCTGTGAGCTCAGAGTGGATGAGGAAATGGGTTAAGGAATGGTTGAAAGATATAGACCTGGTTACTACTTCGCCGTTGTAAGCTGCTGTCATTTCATGAAAATGGCTCTTTTGGGCCTATCTAGATCGATAGACTCGATTGTGGTAGCTCGAGGTTGCTAGGCTCGCTGGTGAAAAGCTGATGCCCGTGCCGGCTGTCACCACATAGACGCCTCTTATCAATTTGATGTATCGGTAGATATGCTATAACAGTACTGAGCGCTATTTAAAACCGAGTGACTAGTTTGAGATCAGCTCTCATGTTAGTAGCGGAAAATACCGCTATATATGTATGTACGGCGGTGATTTGTTCGATAGATCCGGTCTCGGCCATTTACTTGACCAGAGGAGCGATTCTGAAAGGCTAGATACAAATGTGAGTCGAGGTATTTGGTACATAAATCATACATGCGCTGAGCGCCTTGCTATGCTTTACCCATCCTAGGAGCGTGGCAACAGCTCATATGACACGAGTCGCTACGGTGCCAATGGGCCTCTCTACAAATTCCATAATGCCATCCACGATATTCTTACGCGCGGGCTCGGAGGCCACTGCTTTGCCGGCTAGATAGTTGAGCCAAAGCAAGCGGGACACCCTCTCATCTACCACTCGGCCAATTGAGCCCATACCGGTCTTGCCGTCATCGTATGTCACGGTCAGCCGTCCCACGGCATCTCGGCATAGAAGCAATTCCCGGGACTTGGGGACCTTCCCGCGGTTGAAGAGCGACTTGAAGTCTTTCATAGCTAGACCGAAGGCTTCATCGCCGAATTCAGGGTTGTTGCCTTGCGTGCGAGCGGTGATAGCGCGGACAAAGCCGTCTCTTAGATGGTGGAAATCGGTATCGCGAACTGGAATGATCCTAAATAGAGACCGGGGACGAATGTCCTTGAGGATGGAGTTCCAGAGCTTTTCGCCGTGCTCGGGGTCGAGTAGTGCCTTGCGTAGAGTTTCCTTCTCGCTGGGGACCAGCGTCGTGGCGATAGGGTTGATCTCCTTCACGAGCCGGGCCTGTACCGCGGCGATATCCTGCGTCGCCATGTAGTATCCGACCATATACACTTCAAAGCCCAGAAACGTGACCGTGCGCACGCCGAGGCCAACCAGGGTGTACTCGACGCCGTTAAGTTTCTCCTGGCCCTCCTCAGCCCCGACAGCTAGATCTATTAAGCGTGGGAAAGTAGGCACTGTACTGTTTCCTGTGGGGACAATCTCACGGCCCTCGGCATCGTGTAAGACGGTCTTTCGTTTGACCCCAGCCTCGGTGGTGAAAGGATCGGCCTTGTCAGGGAGTCCCGAGTCGAGCTTTTTGGGCTTGCGCAGCTCAACGGAGAGGAGATAAGCAGTGTAGCAAGAGGCGAAAACGCCTGCGATAACGCCACAGAGGAGGAAATTGCGTCGTCTGACGTGGTAGTTGTAGGCTTTGTCCCTCAAACGGTTAAGGTTGAGGTTCTCAACAACACGGCCGGACGACTGTTGCCGACCGCGCAGAAAGGTCCGGCGCTGAACGGGAAACGGGTGCTTTTGTAGACATCGTACGCGGGGCGCAAATGGGAGCCGTGAACCCGTCGCAGGAGACCGCAGAAGCGGCGTCGAGGGCAAAGAGCGTACTGCTCTCATCGTGGACGGTAATGATTATTGATTACCACGGCGGATTTGTAGCTGGCTCAGCATCTATGGCGCGACTAATTCTCGAATTGCGCACGTTTAGGGATCGATCGGTCGAGTCGTTCTCAATTGCAACTTGGAATCGGCGCAATTGGAGCTTTCGTCGCAAAGGTGGATGAAATTCCATAGCAATGTTGATGACGATATGTTGTCAGCTCCGACGACATGCGGAGCTCCACATCTTGATAAGCGTATATTGAACGCTTACATGCATCTCTAGTCAGTAAAGCAGCACATCCTCCAATACGATTTATACGTACCCTGCTACAAACAACATTTTGATGAAGTGCACACCACGAACATAAATACTGAAGGCTCTGATGCCCATTCTCCTGTCAATAACATCTAACAGTATCTGGGTAGTATCCTATCTCGTCTCGGAATTGTATGTTACCTACCTAAACATCCTATGGTCGTTCCTAAGGCATGTATTCGCGGCCGGGAACTCGGACTCGGGCCCGAATCTAGGCGTGCGGACCCGAAACCCGCACTACTCAACAGCCATATCTCCTAGACCAAGACCGATGTAAATCGGGGCTATATCACGGTGAATTGGTATGAAGTCGACTTTCAATTCTCCTCATGACTCTGGAGCGAGGCAGACGATGAAATATGCCCTGCGAGGCGCACTGCCGATCTAATGGGGGGCAGCGATGCTATACGTAAGAAGCTGAAGTCTCAGGATATGACGAAGAGATCAGCCTACCGCTACAGAATGCACGCTGTGAAATCACTGAATATACGAGCCGCCATATCACAACCGAGATTATACTATCTGCCTTATTCGTGATTAGTTTAGCGGGGATTTGTAACTGGGACTCGGATCCGACGATTTGCACATAGTCCGTGTCATGTTGGCATATAAAATACCTCTAGTCCCATGCAATTCAATATCTATCAAGCAGGATCAGTCAAGCTACCTTTTCGATTAGAGATAACGGGCGGATATGGCGACGGCTACTCCCAGGATAGCCATCATTGGTGCCGGACCTGGTGGGCTGATGCTTGCAAGTATTCTACATCACAATAACATCTCCTGCACAATATATGAGCGTGATAGCAGCGCCGTTGCTCGCAGCCAAGGCGGCACCCTCGACATCCATGAACACTCTGGACAGCAGGCTCTCAATGCGGCGGGCCTCCTAGATAAGTTCCGCGCCACCATGAGGCTAGGGGGTGAGGCTATGAAGGGTAAGTTGTTTGGCGATATTCCCACTACTTGATCTACACTTTGTCTCCCTTTTCACATCCCAGGCTCAATGCTAACAGCCTCATTATAGTCATTAAGAAGGACGGCACCGTCTTATTCGAAGATAACGGTGAGCGCGAGGAGGAAGCCCGAGAAGACACATCGGATCAAGAGGGCGGGGAAGCCACAAGCAAATTCATCAAAGGACGACCGGAAATCGATCGCCCAGCTCTGAAAGACCTCTTGATTGATAGTTTACCTGCCAATACGATCCATTGGGGCAAGAAAGTGACATCCATGGCCCCCGTTCCGGACTCCAAGCAATGGCGCGTCGAACTAGACGACGGTTCTCATCCCGCGCCTTTCGACCTCATAATCGGTGCCGATGGCGCCTGGTCGCACACGCGCGCGCTGCTCACGGACCAGCAACCCTTTTACTCGGGCGTCACTGCCCTCGATGTCTGGGTCCATAAAGTCGACGAGGTCGCGCCCGACGTATCTTCGTTCGTGGGCCCGGGAAACTGCTTCCTGTGGGGTGAAGACCGCGCCTTGCTGTTCCAGCGGAATGGCCAGGGCAATGAGGCGGATGCTCGATGCTACGCTTGCGTCAAGACTGACTCTAGGACCGCGCCTAGCGCTCATGCTCTCCTCGGCGAGGAGAATGAAGGGGTGGAAATTGATTGGGCTGATACGCGGGTGCGAGAGAAATACGTCGACAGACACTTTGGGGATTGGTATCCCGAGGTGAAGCGCATTGTCCTCGCCATGACTGACGAGCCCGTGCTTCGCCATCTGTACATGTTGCCTGTGGGACTTACCTGGGAGTCTCGTGCTGGGGTCACGCTGGTCGGCGACGCGGCGCATCTTATGACGCCGTTTGCAGGTGTCGGTGTCAATGTCGCTTTGATGGATGCGCTTGAGTTGGCGCAGGGTATCATTGGCTGTGTGAGGACGGGAAGTGTGGATGGTGAAGGTCTGACGGCTATGCTGCAACTGTATGAGAAGGGGATGTTTGCCCGGTCGAGCGTAGAGGCTGCTCAGACGGAAGCAGCCATGCATCTTCAGTTTCAGGAGAACGGCGCGGAGAAGGTGGTTGAGATTATGGGTGGTGGCTTGCAGCCTGATCAGATAGTGTTTGAGTAAGCGTAAGGAGGTTGTATATGGGAACCGCTTGTATTGTAGATCTGAGGGCTATTGCAGATCTTGAATCTTTTGTGCCAATATCTTGTTCGAGGTCACGGACATTCCATATCTCCGTCAAATTAGGTGCTTGATCTTTCAGGGGAAGATATATTCTCCTCTACGATTGGATATGATGCTATCACTCAACCGTAGTCATAGTAATAGAACTACATCCTCTAGTAGCAAAAATCGACTGATCGATCGTAGCTGTAGATCTCCATCATTTATCGAAGGAAATGCGAGAGAGAGAAAAAACCTTCCCCAAAAAGACAATACGCCCAAAAAAAAAAACACGTATCAAAACGTACAACACCGAGGATTCGCTGGTCGTCACCGACCCAACTACTAATTCGGCGCTCACCGGCTTATCTATGGGGGAGCGGACGGGACCCCGAGTTCTCCGGTGGCTATGGTCGTACGTGGCAGAATATGGACTTGTGATGCCTTATATACTTACGGAACTTGCCCAGGAGGCTCTGGACATGTTGAAGCCTCAACGTGGACTTCTTTGTTGGACGAAGAGATAAGCCGCATTGCGCAAGTGGAGAGATGTTAAGGCTAGTAAGCTTTTTGGGTATATTGAATGAAGTAGAGACCATATGACTTTTCTGGCGATTGTGTGCAAGAAAGTGATAAGATCTATTATAGTATCACATGTTGTTGCGGTATCCTAGATGTGTACAGTATTCATACAGTATGGTTCCACCAATTCCTACGGTACATGCAAAGCAAGCCGTAGCTTCTATCGATAAGCCTCATTGCGCTCTCGCCGTCATGAACAACAAATCAGTCCATCCAAACAACAGAACAACCCTCTTCCTACAATCATGATCGTTTGAGATGAATCTGCGTCTCGGCGATTGACGCTGGCGGTGATCAGATTTCCATTTGTCTTTTCCAACATTCATCACCCTTGATCGGAAAGCGATCGCACGCCCGTCATGGCGACAGAAGACGCTCGCTACCGTCAATCCACCCAGTATCGGCTGTGGTCATTCTCGCCCTCGCAGCTCCAGACAATGCGCGAGAAGACCACCGAGCTTGCTGCCACCAACATTGCCAACCGCTTACGCGCCTCTGAACCACCCGTCGACCCGCTTCCAGACTTCCTGACCCCCGCCGACGAGGGCATGTTGCTCAATTTCTACGTCGTTGATCTTCTGCGCGCTGCCCAGTTCTTGGAGCTCTCCTCGGAAATCCAGGCCACCGCTGCCATTTTCTTCCGCCGCTTCTACCTTACCAACAGCCTCATGACCTATCCCCCCAGGGCCCTAACTATGACCTGCATCTTCTTCGCCTGTAAGGCCGAAGGCTTGTTCTACAAAATACAGAAGTTTGCCGACAAGTTCCCCGGTATTACGGGCGAGGAAGTTTTGGCAGCTGAGTATGTTTTGTGCCAAGGGCTACGCTTCGCCTTCGACGTGCGGCATCCCTATCGCGCCTTGGAGGGCGCTATTATGGAGCTCAGGAGGCTGGGAGGCTTTGACGAAAGCCGCCTCGCTCGGGCCCATGGTAGAACTAGAGACATACTGAAGTTTAGCCCGCTCCTCACTGATGCGTACTTCCATTACACTCCCAGCCAGATAATGTTCAGTGCGCTAGCAATGGCAGACGAGGGCCTTTTGCAGCGACTACTCCGTGACGCCTTTGCAGGTCAGAGCGAGAGTGCCAAGAACCAAGTCTTGGAGATAATACAGAATTGCAGAGCTATGCTGGAAAGGGAACCGCCTGAAAGGCGAGTAACATACTGGGATGCAGTGAGTTTTCGCCCCATGGAATTCCGCGGGGTACATTATCAATATTAATCAAATGGCAGCCCGCAAGCAAGGAGACGATGAAACCTTTAAACAGGAAACTTAAAAAGTGCCGAGATCCGGATAGGGTGGATCTAGTTGCTTTACAGAAGGCTCGAAGGGAACAGGTCCTGCAAAAGGTCAAAGCGAAAACAACTACGAAGGAAGATGGCGATGTCTTTGGCCCTAGCAACGGCGTTAAAAAGGACGACGAACGCGAAGCTAAGAGAAGAAGAGTCGCAGAAGGAGGCGATATGTTTGGCCCTCCGTTGTGAGGCCTGGTCTCTAGGATTTCAAGGTTGCTCCAGAGTGCTACAGAAGCACGCTCCAACCAGCACTCGTATCAAATGGAGAGGCGACATAGAGACAGAAAGAGACTTTTGATAAGCCCAGAAATGCTTTCTTCAAGTCTGAGAACAACGCCCTTGAGCTATCTTGCTAGAAGAGGAAGAGAAAGTATAGTGATCGGGTCGTGTCGCGGTGATAAGAGGCAGCGCTCGAACTTTGCCACGAAAGAAGGACCTATTCTTCCAGGTCGTGGAAATGCCATCCTACGACAAGGCCCCAGTCAGATGGATTTTCACAAGAACATAAAGCGTGTCGTGTTCTCGTTCTCATGATGAGACGACGACTATCTAGATGGATCACATCTAGAGTAATGATTAATACCCTACTGGGACTAGGAAGGGATTTCAGTAATGATGGTCGAAAGAGGCATGCATCATGAGTAGGTCGCGGTGTCCTTTATACCTGTTTCCAGCATCGAGAATGTATCCTAACGTGTGATTAGCTCATCCGCCCGACTATGAGTTACGGTATGCCCATGCTAGAATCCTTCAATTTGAAAAGGGCGCCGGCGGACAGATGCCTTTACAATGAAAGTTACAACTGGTTTTACCTACTTTACATTGATCTGCATGCGATGTGAATGAAAAGAGCTGCTTTTGCAGCGAACTTGATTATAATTGATCCTATATTAGACCTTGCAGTCTCCGACTCATGGGCTTGGATACTTCTACTGCGCGCGTATGATCGTCATGTCTCACCTACCCACTCGGGACCATCAATTGCTATCTCAATCGCCGCCGAGACTTATTAGCCTTGCCAAGTCTGTGCAAGTAAGGCAGGTCCTTCGCGATGATACGTAACATCTGCCCCAAAAGTGTCATAGGCCAAAGCTACCCCGCGATAATCAGCATGATCACTGCGCAGGTACAGTTAGGATAGTTATCAGTGACTAGGGTATCTGGGACATTTCGTAGATAAAACAAGATGGCTCCCCCTCACCGACAGGAAAGAAATGGCATGGCTTTCCCCTCACCGTCGGGGAAGCAATGAGACTAAAAGTTTCTCCTCGTCGACTTAATAACAAAACTCCGCATTCTTGATAATAAGAGGGTATCTGGGTGCTTCGCACATTCTCAACCGCTACTGTTGAGACGACAGACTAACTATGGGAGGAGCATGACTCTTTTATAGTCTCTAAAAAACTAATCATTGGTTCTTATCATGGCCGACATCGAAGCGGCTAGTGATCAGCGGGGGTCAAAACCAGACCTGGCTTATCAAGGCGATGACTTGACCAACGACCTCAAGGCGGAACAAGAGCAGCGCAATGTCGGCACGCTCGAGAGGAAGCTGAAGTCGCGCCACGTGCAATTCATGGCGCTATCGGGCGCCATCGGCACGGGCCTGTTCGTTGGCAGCGGCCAAGTGATATCGCTCGCGGGCCCGCTGTCGGCGTTCCTGGCGTACCTCATCACGGCGTTCAACGTGTACTGCGTCGTGCACAGCCTCGGCGAGATGGCGACGTACCTCCCGCTCCCCGGCGCCGTGCCCGTCTACGCGGCGCGCTACGTCGACGAGGCCCTCGGCTTCGCCGTCGCCTGGAACTACTGGTGGCAGATCGCCATCGGCGTCCCCATCGAGGTGACGGTCAGCGTCGTCATCGTCGATTACTGGCCCAACGACGTCCCCACCGTTGCGCTCATCACGCTCTTCCTGTTCGCCATGGTCCTCGTCAATTGTCTCCCCGTGCGCGTCTACGGCGAGGCCGAGTTCGCTTTCGGCGCCGTCAAATTGACGACTATTGTCGGGCTGATTCTGCTTATGTTCATCATCACGCTCGGCGGGACCCCTAGCGGCGACCGCATCGGCTTCCGCTATTGGCAGGACCCGGGCCCGATGAACGCGTACCTCGTCGGTGGCTCCCTGGGCCGCTTCCTCGCGTTCTGGAAGGTCTTCATCCAAGCGACGTTCTCGTACGGCGGCAGCGAAATGGTCGTCATCGCGTCCGGTGAGACGGAAAACCCGCGCCGCAATATCCCGAAAGCCATCCGTCGCGTCTTCTGGCGCATCGCGCTGTTCTACGTGCTCGCCATCTTCCTTGTGACTCTGTGCGTGTCGTCTATGGACCCGCGCCTGCTCGACGCCATCCGCACGTCGGCGCCGGGCGCCGCGGCGAGCCCGTTCGTCATCGCCATTGAAAACGGCGGCATCGCTGTGCTGCCGTCTATCATCAACGCCGTCGTGCTCACCTCCGCTTGGTCCGCGGGGAATTCCTTCTTCTACGCCTCCACGCGCGTGCTATATTCCGCCGCGCTCGACGGGAAGGCACCGCGCTTCTTCACCTACGAGCGCTGGGGCGTGCCGTACGCGTGCGTCGCGGCTACGACGTTGCTCTCGCTCCTTGCGTATCTGACTGTCAGCGAGTCGGGCGAAAATGTCTTCTTCTGGTTCTCGAATCTATCTGCTGTCTCAACGCTCATCATTTGGTCTTCCGTGTGCATCACGTATCTGCGCTTTTACTACGGTCTACGGCACAATGGCATCTCGCGCGATAGCTTGCCTTATAAAGCCCCGCTGCAGCCCTATCTGGCGTATTTCGCGCTGTGCTTCTGTGTCGTAGTGGCCTTCTTCAATGGCTTCGACGCTTTCTTCCCGGGCAAGTTCAGTGCCAAGACGTTCGTCCCGCCGTATATCGATGTGCCGATCTTCTTCGGCCTGTTCCTCGGGTATAAGTTTATTAAACGGACCAAGATGGTTCCTTTGGGGGAGATGGATCTTTGGAGTGGCAAGGCTGAGGTTGATAGGCTTGAGGGCACGTGGCCGGAGGTTAAGCCCAGGAATTTCTTGGAGAGGATTTGGTTCTGGATTGCGTGATGTGTAGATGTATTGAATTGAGTATTATTCTCACACTCTTACTCTTGATATCCTTGGTCTTGTTCCTTCGAGGATCCGTGCCTCCTAGCGCTGGCGAGGTCATTTCCCCACACCAATCCCATCCCCAGCTTGGGTTATTTTAGATCGTGCGGGGTGCATAAATAGACGCGATGCCCAAGATTCTAGTGTCGCCCTAGTAGATGAAGTCTAAATCTAGTCTAAACCCCATTATTTTACATCATTGTATATTGAAATGGGTAGCCCGGAGAAGTTCGACATTTTCGTCTTCAGCAAAACCGTGGGCTACAGGCATGACTCCATCCCAGCAGGTATAGAGGGCCTCAGGAACCTCGGCGCTTCAACCAATTCATTTAACGTCACGGCCTCAGAGGACTCATCCCTGGTCAACGCAACCTTCCTCTCGCGGTTCAAAGTCGTCGTGTTCTTATCTACCAGCGGCGAATTTCTCACCAGCGAAGAATTACAAGGTCTGAAGACCTTCGTCAATAATGGCGGTGGCTTCGTCGGCATTCACTGTGCTGCGGCGGGAATGTACGGAGAGCCGTGGTACGGCGAGCTCGTCGGCGCTTATTTCGCGGATCATCCGGAGCCGCAGCACGGTGTTGTACGGGTGGAGAATAAGGATCATGTTATAGTGTCTGGTTACCCGGAAGAGAGCAAATGGTTTGATGAATGGTATAATTTCAAGTCGAATCCGCGCGATAAAGTCACGGTGCTGTTGTCGACGGATGAGTCGCTGTATCAGGGCGGCACGATGGGTTCCGATCATCCATTGGCGTGGTGTCGCGAGTTTGATGGGGGTAGGACGTTTTATACTGCTCTGGGACATTTTGATGAGGCGTACCGGGATCAGGCTTTCCTGACACATTTGTTGAATGGCATTCTTTGGGCTGCGCGGGTTGTTTAGTGATCCGGGCCTCAGATGAACTATCTGTGAGAATGTTGATGATTAGTCGATTCATAATTAATAGTATCAATTTGATACTATAAGCCATTCATCCCATGAATCACACGATTTCGTATATTCTCAGTTGACTTCCTCTCATTCCTTGCTCCCCTTTTCTCTCTTTTCCCGCTTTTTTATTATCTTTATTACCATTCATACTACTCACAGCAATTTTCGTGGCTCAGTTTGTTAGACCCCATGTACCTTCTTTGCAAATCCTGTCAGCTGTAACCCAACCTATTGCGGTCGGTAGGCAGACGTACAGGCAGATTTGCTCGGGGCCGAATTAACTAGGCGAGCATGTAGGCCAATCGCGGTTGACGCATTGTGGCTGTGAAAGTTGATGAAAAGCAGAGAAAACCAGCCGATCGCATCCTTTAAGCTTTGATTTTCCACCTCAACAACAAAATCGAATACAGTCATCACAGCCCATCATATGGATCCACTTAGCGTGACAGCGGCAGTGGCAGGCATTCTGAAGGCAGCACAGGAAATTGTAAAATTGTTGAGGCCGTACGTCTCAGCTTCTGAGCGAACGCCGCCTATCGTGGCATACGTACGCGATGAGGCGGAGAGCACCCGAACGGTGCTGATCGGACTCCAGACGCTCGTGCAAGTACTGCCCGGCAGATTTTCCCTGGGGGGAGCGTTCATAACTATCAGCCAAGTTGTGGCAATCTTGACAAGCGGGGTACTGCTATTTGGCGAGCTCGAGGGTGCTGTCCGAGGTTTGGTCGCAGCACCATCTGCGTTACATCCCGAGCATCTTAGCGTTCGTCGGTTCTCATTGACACAAGATCGCCTGCCGCTATCGGCGAATATCCGATGGACACAGAAGGAAGCGTCGTTAAAAGTGTTGCTTGAGCGGTTGAAGGGATTCAAGGTGTCAGTAACGGCGGTTTTGACGCTGTTGCAGTGGTATGTTTCCCTTTTTACGTTGAAGAAATAAGATTGATAACAGCTGACTCCAAAGCGATTCAAACAATCGTGCCGAGCAGTTGCAGTTGGAACTAGTTGCAAATGTTGAAGGCCTACTGCATAGCAATCGTGAGCTGTCGCGGCGTATGATGCACCTCGAAGATGCATTCAACACGGCAACGATTCGACCCCGCTCGACGCGGACTATCGAGTCAGTGTTGACGCTACAAACGGAGAACACAATGCCAGCTGTAGAGGCTCAGAGTTCATTGGCGTTCTTTCTACCTGAGAGCGCTACTCCTCTCTCTTTTCATGATACTCAACCGGGGTCAGAATTTGAAAAGGATCTTAAGTCATCACGCGTGTATCGCCAGGTACGGCGTGAAACGATGGACTTTTCCTTTCGCAGTTCTGTCGCACGCACACACGCCTGGTCCCTGCTTTCAAGCTATAGTCTGGCCGATTTATCCGTACTCTCAGTCATTGCTCTACCCCTGGATCTAGAAGAAGTGACAAATAGCCATCACTACATCGATATCTCCGAACAGCCGCTTGCTTCTCCCATTGAAGAGGAACCCTTCCCTAGAACACATGAGTCATCGCTCATAGAGAAGAATTCGGTTTTCCACGAATGCGTCAAAATCTACCTCCAGCTGGTGCAAATCTCTGGGTTCCAGAAGCTATTTGACTCAGAGCGTCAATTGCAGGTAGAGGGAGGCATATATACAAGCGCAGTTGAACAGGGAGTTGACAACGAATGGATATTGCAGCTGGATTTATTCAGAGCTCTGAAGAGTATCTTCCACTCAGATGCGGCCTATGGGTTGCTTGCAGACGAACTTGGCTGGAGTCTAGACCAACCCTATCTCCGCAATCTCAGCTCTACCTTGCCATTAGCAACAGGAATGCGCATATCCGCATTCTGGAACCTATATAAAAGCTCAGAATTCAGATCGCATCCTCGAAACAACTTCAATCTTCACTACGAAATCGGAGACAGCAATGTCAGTTTTCTCAATGTAAGGTATCCTGCTGCAAGTCGATCTCAGGGACCAAGCACTTGATAGTGTCTATTTTCTATTTTTATTTCATTTAGTTCAAACTGTATTTAGTTTTCTTCTCTCTAGACGCTTGTTGACAGCACTGACTTTCTCTTGTGAGTATAGGTACTTTCCTGTATCAGCAAAATCCTTGATCGTCTTGCTAGTGATCGGGCGATGGATATTCTCAGCGACAATGATATTAATACGATCTTGTACCCGATACAGCCTTCTATGCTCCAGATTGAAACTTACGAGCCCGCTCTCAACAAGCTCGTGGCAGCAGTGCGGAGTTCGGTCCGAGATTTACACCGTTTAATCAACGCCGTGGATAGGCCAGAGAATTTAGCCTCAAGGCCATCCCTTCGACGAACTCTGCGTGAAACAAGCACTTTTTTGTCATTTTATACAAGTTCACAAATTGAGCTTCTCATCACTTTTGAGAAGATGCTACTGGCCCCTAATACAAGTCACCGCCTCTGGGCCAGCGCTGTTCGCCAATGGTGTGCTACAGCTGAGTCACACTACAAACTAGCCATTACCAGTGGAATTTGGAGTGGCTACAGCTATCTGCAAACTAAGTTTTTAAGGGCACCCAATAATACTAGACAGTTTGACACTGCGGAAGCGCAAGGAGATGTGTTCGCTGGTGGCCCGTGGTATTACTCGACTATCAAAGAAGACCTAGAATTTACATTTCCGAGGATAGCTGAGTTATTCCAGGATCTCCTAAGCATTGCTATAGACGATTCGTATGAAACAGCGGCCTTTCCAATGACCCAAAAAACGAAATGCTTACGACTCATCGAGGATACCAGTCTCGTCTTAATCAAATGGCTCGAGCAGATGGAACAATATGAGCTATATAAGACCTTGAATACGATGATCCCAGGTTTTGCAGACTGGCGCTACTTTGGCTTCCTTGTTCAGTCTGAAGAATTAGAGGTTCAAGTGAGCAACAAGAATGACAATATCCCAAAAATGGTAGGTTCTTGTACCCAAGCCATTCCCCAAATCCCCTCAAATTACAAAATACCAAATAACACATCCGTTTGCCCCATAGGTCCAAGTCTGCTTATTTGAAAAGGCTCTCTTTTGCCTCGAATATGAATCGCCGGCCTCTGGTAGGGGAAAATTATCATATAGGGCTGCAATATCCCCTATGTATCGGCTGACGAGCCGCGTATATCTCTCAAATGTGAGATATCTAAATTGCGATATCCTAGGTAGTAGTTCTAAATATTTTGACCTCTTTCCTCTTCAAGACCTCGCTGCTAACTATAGATCTCGGGATTGCACTAGGACCATATAAGGTCGAGTTCTTGGATTGCAAGGAACGCGTACGCTATTGCATCAAACTTTTGGACTCGTGGCAAATGGCGCGATGGCATGACGCTTTGAGGAAATTAACGCAAAATGCGTCACAGTTTGCTGAAATAGTTTCACTAAATCAATTGCAGCAGATACTTCACCGCATGAGATAGGCTGTTAGAAGTATGTGTTCCTTGATCGATTAGACTATAGGTATATAGCACCTAGGTATCGGGTAGGTTGAATACAGGGGCAAGGGTTCAATATTACTAGTTTTGTTATCTCAAGTACTTTGGGGAGACTTCCGCCCTTTACCTAGTCAACTCCTAAGCTGTCTCCGCTTCTTCGTAGTAACTTCTACCCTAGTACTTTATTGCCCATGACAATCCGAGAACAGGAGAAGCTGGAAGGCTGCCAGCCACGATTAGCTGTCTAATTACTCGAACGCGCCCAAGAACAAGACTCTAGAACATATCTGCAATTGCGAAATGTTTTCTCAAGAAGTGGGCTCGTAACTGTGAATAGTCAGCGCAGTTGATGCAACAGATACACGAGATCCAGAACCTATTTGCGGCGTCAGGTTCCTTAATCATTACCCCTATCAAGAAGAACGATAGGGATAATCCCAAATTGGCTATTCCTTGCATGGATATGCCTTTCCGTGAAGCCAGATGCCATGTTTTTCTATTTAGTCTTCACATTTCTTGTAGGTGAGCAATGAGCTTACTGAAGAGTTGCCATCAAAATGTTAATATGCTAACCGGACGAGGGATAGAACTCTCTGGCACACGAGGTTCATTTGCTACACCTTCATTACCACTGCCGACGTGGTTCTGCAATTTAAAAGATAGTTGACTTAAGACTATATCACTCACTTCTCTGCGAGAATGTTCAATCCTGCTTAATCTCTCAATTACAAATGCCAGGTTCGGTGCTGGGCTTATTGACCTAACACCCGTGGGTGTCTAGCTATTCCCCTCAAAAACGAGTGTTTTCCAATCAAATGTAGCTTCCCACGCGGCCGCAACTTTAAGACAATCAATATCCCTGAACTTACGGCCGATGATCTGCATTCCTACAGGCAGCTTCACATTTGAATCTTCGATGGCGGGAGAAAACCCCACGGGAAGGGACAGGGCGGGATGCCCAGTACCTAGTGTGTCTGAATCAGCCGGATGACCACGACTCCTTTAAGGAATTATTTGAACTTACTGTTTAAAGGGCTGGTGTTGGCTAGTAGACCGGTTGTCATTCCCATGAGCTTCAGTGGCCCTATCTTATACCCATCTTCTGGCGTCGAACCGGTGGACAAGATAGAGTAGGTGTTATGAGAATATCAACATCTTTCAGCGCTAGATCATAAGCATCCTATCAAAACGTTAGCCTGTCTAAGTTCACGGAGGAGCAGTGGAGATTTGCATACACCAACTGCTTTTAACAGATTCATGCATCTCGCATGTAGTTTGGGTCCATATCGTTCCTGAGCCCAGAGGTACGCAAGATACATGTATGATGCACCGGGTCCGAGCGCATCGAATTGAGCCTGTGTGAGCTTGTCGCCTACGAGCTCGCATCGATCCGGGAAGTACAAATCTTTGCGTCCGTGTCTTTCACCAAGTAATGCTGCTCGGGGGCTCAAAGAAGGTACGGATACCATCCAGGTGCTCGCACCCTTTGCGTGCATCGGCACTGAGACAGAGGAGACTGTAGCCCCAAGTTCACTCAGCTTCAGAGCAGCTGAGCGAACACATGCTGAAACGTTTTTATCGTGGCCAGGAACCTCGAAGCCTTCCATCAGCATACCAATCTTCATCCCATCAAGCATATTGCTCTTGGGTAGCCGGGCTACTCCATCTATGTCTTCGACATACTTCAATTGGCAACCTCCAAGTTCAACAGGGGGTTGTCGGTCATCCCAGCCATCTGGCCCAGCAATGGCCTCAAGAAGGAGAGCACAGTCTCGAACGGTTTTTGCCATTGGGCCGACATGATCTAGTGTCGCATCTAAACTTAGAATGCCGGTATACGGGACCAGTCCCCATGTCGGCTTCAATCCGACAATGCCACAGGCTGATGCGGGCATACGAATGCTGCCTCCTTGATCGCAGCCAAGGGCAAGATCGACGGCCCCAGTGGCCACAAGCCGGCCGCTTCCACTACTCGAGCCAGCAGCGCTATAACCCTTCGCGTATGGGTTGTGAACGGGCCCGGTGACTGATGTACACGAGATTCCCTCCATGCAAGCATTCTCGCAGGCTACGCATATCAGCTATGGATATATGTCGTGATCAAGTAAAAGTGCAAAAATAGAGGTCTTACAAGCTTTGCCTGTTATTGTAGCACCGGCATCCATGATACGCGTGGCCACTGTCGCATCGACTTCGGGAACCCATTCAACCATTGCCGTCCCATTCGTACACCTTACTCCAGCAAGAGCTATGTTGTCCTTGAGAGCTACCGTTCGGCCCTCTAGTAAGTTGCTCTGTGGAGAAGTGCATCTTGCAGTTACCTATTGGCATGCAGTGAGTTTTATCATGTTATAACTCGCGAGTGCTCACCTGTGGCAGGGAGCAACGTAGTATAGCCTACCTTAGTTGCCCAAGCGCCGGACTCATTATCTTCGGGAACATGAATGTCTTTTCGAGGGTACTTGTCCAAGTCTGGGCGTGGCTGCACTTTCCGGTCGTCGGGTAGAGAATCAATTGCCGCCTCAAAGCTGGTAAGCAGCGTACTGTAGTCTTCTACGAGAGATTCGCTTAGATCAAGCCCAGCTTTCTTAAGTATTGGTTTGAGATCGTCCCCTACAACCCTGTTAGGGCCCGATTCAAGCTGAATGAGAGACATTGCAATAATGGTTCGGCTCTTTACGCTTCAGTAAAAGACATGTACACTCAATGAAGCACTAGAAAGAGGGGTCCTAGGTTGACGGCTTTTGTGGGTGGGGAAGACCGACTGGCTAGGCCGAGTAAAAGGCGTTCAAGGAGATTAGCGGATCATCCGCTGGAGTTGGAGAATGTAGGATTCTCCCACCGGCTGACATGTTCTATGCTGGATTCTTAGAAAGCGGATCAGCTATAAATTCTGTGAACCTAGGACAAGCTAGGAACGTGCTATGCATTTTACATCCGATTTGAGCAGAACAGGCAGATTGGATATTGAACAGCCTAACAAGATCTAGCTGACTGTACACGGGCTGACAGCTCTTATTATAAAGGGACTTGCCTGCAGTATATACCGAAGCATGATGTTCACGTAGAAGATATGATGTTGTCAGAAGGAGTGGAGACGCATACAAGATAAGCAGAAGAATGTTCTATTCAGGATAAAGAGAGAAGAACCAAAGGCCCAGAGGTCCTGGAGGAATCTAGTGATACATCTAGTCGCAGGCTTGAGTGTACCCTAGTCTATCTATTTTAGAAGATGTAGGAGAACACTAGCTGCATCTCCAAAGCACTACGGCAGACTGTTCCACTTTTCATAACATCTGGATCAAATATATAGACGCGTATTAATGATAATTCTTCTGGGACGTAATACCCAAGACTGCTTAGAAATGCCAATGACGAAAGCACCGCTTGAGTATCTTGACGCAAATCTTGAAAATAGCTGTATATCAAAGCCCGAGTTTCTTTCCTGTTCCTTTTGGCCAGAGCGTTGAGTTCTACTACATAAGCCCCGGAATTGCGTTACTATGGCAAATATTTTCTTACACTATGCTCTGTTTGCAAGGATCAAGTTAACATTGTCGGTGTTCTTCCTGTTCGAGAACTCCATCCTCATAGCAGGTAAGCAACACTAACAGAAGTCAGTGTACATGCCCACAACATTAATTATGATGCCAGTGTTTGTTATAACACATGTTAGGGATCTCATTAAGAGACTGCTTGATTGACGGCAGGGTCAGGCATCAATGCCGCAACGCAATCAGGGCTGGCGGCTATCTATCAGCGGAAGCGGAAACGAAACCGAGACCGAAAGCGGAAGCGGAAGCGGAAGCGGAAGCGGAAGCGGAAGCGGAAGCGGAAGCGGAAACGGAAGCGGAAACGGAAGCGGAAACGGAAGCGGAAACGGAAGCGGAAACGGAAGCGGAAACGGAAACAGAAGCGAGATCTAAAGCCAGAAACGACGGCAATCATGATAGGACCTTATGAAGATTCAACTTCTGAAGTAATTAGTTAGAAACAGATTAAAGAAGGACTCAGTAGACTTTTTGTTATGCATACTGAGAGTTGCTCAGGCCGAAACCGACACAGCCGACAAGCGGGCAGCATCATTGTAGGTATTGTCAGATACAATTTTAGGAGTAATAGCGACAAAGGCTGTGCTTCAAGTGAAGCGCCCACTGATTGTTTGCTTGAGAACGGGGCTGTGTGATTATGGTCATCAGAAATATGAGAACTTGCAGTGTGCATTAAGCAACGTCGTCAATTGACGAGATAATCTGACAGGCCTCCAACATGCCCCATGAGTGGACAGCCGGGTTTAGATGGTCGGTAGTAAAAGGATGTATACCCTGGGCAAGCGTGTCTCCACAGAAGAGCGTATAAATACGGCATGGGGATGATCTGTCAGATTCGTACCTGTATTTTACCAAAATCTATCTCTTTAATACTTCAAAAATGTGCTGGACGACAATCGAGCTCCTATAAACCCATATGAAAGAATGGGTCATCCAACTGAGTCCCACGACAATACTGTTCAAAATGCAGCTAATCGCCGTCAAGAACATCATGATCCACCGCCTGCCTATTCAGAACATGCGCATCGGCAACCGCAAAATTCCCAGCGAGCATCTCTGCAACAATTAGCGAAGCCAATTGTCATCCCCGCCACTTCGGCAGCATTAGGATCTGCTTTTCTCAGAGCATATCCACCGAGCCTTGAACCTTTCCATATCTCGCGCAGAGAATTTTTAGACATCTTGGACGGTCTGAATCGTGTTGCTGTACAGAGCCCACCACTCCGGGTTCTTGGTCTAGTCGGCGAAGCCCTCGGAGTTGTACCCTTGTCAACTGCCCAAATCGTCGGCTTCGCAGTCAATACTGCATCTCAGATAGGCGGTTATGCACTTTCCAAGGGAGCAACGGAAGCGTACCTGCGCAAGGTTAACAAGGAGACCTTCGCCCCACGTGGGCTCAAGCTAGAGATTGCCAAACTAGAGGCTATGGCACGGATCAATAATCTCCCCATATTGGATTCTTCAGGCGAGATCAGGGGCGACGTGAGATTGTTACGGCCACTTCTAGACCCGCAGGAGATGCAGACGAGAAGCGCTACACAGAGATGGCTGGAGGCATTGGAGCCTTGGATTGCGCCCTTGGACTACGAGACTCTGCCGGCCATCAACACGGATACAACTAACTTCTGGGGAAAGATGCATACTATGGCGTCCGAGCATGAACGCAAAAGAGCCGAAGAGAGAGTCTTGAAAAACAGAAGTAAGGCTGCTGACAAGCATCAAGAGGGCATTGAAAAGGCTGAAGAAAAGAGAGCGAAAGATTTGGCCAAACTAGAGAGAAAGGAGCAGAAAGCACGCGATAATAGTCGTAGCCGGAAGGTAGATGATAAGCTGCGGAAGATCGAGGAGAAGAGAGAGAAGGCGGAGAGAAAGCATGACGAAAGAATGGATAAGGCGGCTGAGCGCTCGACGACGAAGGACAAGGAGGCCAAGGCCATGACAAAGGTGTTATGGCTTATGATTCGAAATTTGCACGATGATAGTGGCATTAACAGCTTCGGAAATATGGAAGAGGCTTAAAACTTCCTGAATATCAAGTTAGATGGGATTTAATTCCTCACGATATTAGAGAAATTTTGTTTGTCTTCTTTTAAAATACTTCTCTCACGGATGAGCCAGTGCCATCCTAAGGAGTGATTAGTTGAGGCCTACTCAGATCATCTATTAAACTCCAGGTTGTAAGCTCTATGTTTACCCCTGGACATCTCTTTCTTTGTGATCGAGGCCTCAGTAAGGACATATAGCTCATATGTAGCTACGTGTGGTTGGGTTAGGAGGTACCACGCCGTACCTAGTTAGATAAAAGTCGTTGCTCTGCTGTGGATCCGATCTTCTCTAGCCGATGCCTCGACCCGCAAGTATATCAGTGTCTCCAACTGTTTGCGGCGAATAGCGATAACATTTGTTATGTCGAGCTGCATGAATGTGCAGGGCACGCGTGGCGTTGGCATCAGCGTGCTGAATGAATTCGAAAGCCAGCCCGTCTCAGCGCATGGTCCCTTCACATCTTCTTTTTAGTACTGATCGGAGAACGGTCCAACTTGGGCTTTCTAGTACACAACTATCTCTACCTTTTATCCCTAAGCGACCTACCTCATCATAACTTTGAGCCTTCAGGACGCTATCACCCTGAATTTTGAAATGCCACAAATGAATCAATTCATGGCCTCTCTGTACTGGCCGTACTTGGTTGCGAGTGGTGTGGTTCTGGTTTCGACCGTGGCCATCTACCGGTTGTTCTTCCACCCGCTTGCCGGGTTCCCAGGACCAAAGCTTGCAGCTGTAACGCGAAGCTATGAAGCATACTATGATGTGGTCTGCAATGGCCAGTATACATTCAAAATCGCGGAGATGCACAAAAAATATGGTGCCTCCTACATCCGTCACCGTCGTTGACATTGTCATTAACTAATAATCTTGTAGGGCCTATCGTCCGTATCAGTCCATATGAGCTTCATATCAGCGATCCCGACTTTTACGACAAGATATATAGCCGTGAAGGAGAGTGGGATAAATACGCGTGGGCTTACGATGCGTTCGGCGCTCCCCTATCGACTATTTGCGCTATTGATCATAACATACACAAACATCGACGAGCTGCGGTCAATCCTTTCTTCTCCAAAGCTACCGTAGCCGCTAAGTCGGACATCATTTCTCGCCTCGTCGAGCAGCTTTGTACTCGTATAGACGAGTTCGCTGATGAGTCTAGCATGACGAAGCTCAGTCTCAGTGCTGCAATTAGCGCGCTTACACGGGATGTTGCTACCGAGTTCATATTGGGAAAAAGGTATAAGAATCTTGAGGTTCAAGACTTTAACCAAAGTCTAGCAATCATACTCCAGAATTCGGGAAGTCTCTGGCGTATAACGAAACATCTGCGCTGGTATGGTCCGCTTATGCAATCAATACCCATGTGGTTAGTGGAACGGACAGCCGACCAGGGAGTTCGGAATTTCTTCGACTTTCTCAAAGTAGGTAATGTTTCAACACCATGAGACGAAATTCCATCTAATTTCCAAATAGGATATGGTAGGCATCTGCTCGACAATAGATTCGGCGTTAGCGAGTGGAAAGCCAGACCCCGACGACCCCAAAACCATAATTCACCAGATCTTGGACTCTAATCTTCCTAAAGAAGAAAAGAGTTTCAAGCGTATTTGCGATGATGTCGAAACTATAACAGGTGCCGCCTTCGAGACAACGGCAAATAGCATCCGCATGACACTTTATCATATATACAGTGACCCTGAGGTTGTTGATCGACTCAGGGCTGAACTCAATTCTGCACGACAAGGCAACCGGGAATCTAGACTGGGCATTTCTAGCCTTGAACAGCTGCCTTACCTGACTGCAGTCTTGCTAGAAGGTTTACGAATTAGCCCAGCGACAGCCACAAGGGCAAACCGAGTAGCATCTAACCGGGAACTATCTTTCGGGGGCCGACGTATCCCTGCAAAGACCCCCGTGGGAATGACTACGTATTTGATGCACCGCGATCCAAATATATACCCAGACCCCGAAGAATTCAAACCTCAAAGATGGTTGGACTTACAAGAGCGCTGGAGACTAGAGAAGTTCTATGCCCCCTTTTCGAAGGGACCGAGAAACTGTCTTGGGATGCAGTAAGCGTTTATATTCTTCTTTATACGAATAACAGCGACAAGGCTATACTTACTAACATTATACGCTTACTAGTTTAGCGTGGGCAGAACTGTACATGACAGTCGCTGCAGTTGTAGAGCGTTTTGATCTCACCTTTGGTAGTTCGGCACTTGACGACCTTAGGTGTACAAGTGATCAGTTTATCATTGGGACCTCTGGTAGGAATGGACTCCCAGTGGCTGTTCGAAGAGTCAAAGGGTAGTGTACGAGAAAGCTACTAGATGTCCAATGAGGACAAGAGGCTACATTTTAAAGTAATCACTGATAAGATTCTAAGATGGTTTTTCGTTGTTTCTCGGACGTAGGTGGGACTCACGGCCCCTGCAGTGCGCACGAGGGATTAAATTAAGGTAGTATTAAGTGCTTTAGCTAGCTAGATTCTATTTAAAGAACAATTAAGCAGTAGTTATATAAAATATCAAGGTAATATTAAGTGCTATAGCTAATTCAGTTCTATTGAAGGAGCGATTAAGGGGTATATAGAATATATACGTAATCTTCGGACCCTAATTTACCCGCTCCTTGACTCCACCAACATTTGACACGTGCAATTTTCGGGGAATTTATCAAGAGTATACCAGCTGCCAGAGGGAACTTAAGACTGGCCATGAAGCTAAAGCCAGAAGGCAAGTCATCTGTTCCATGGTTATAGATTTTATCAGCGCGATACCTTGTAGACGACATGTCTAATTTTTACATAAAACGCAACAACTAACACGTTCAATCATAGAACCTCTTCTCGATGTTGAAGGGGATGACTTAAGTCCTCTAGTAACGGAAGATAAGCAGTATCCGGAAAAAAATGACGATGATATGTAAAGAGATTTATATATGAGTTGTCCCCTTTTCTGATAGTTTTGCTTAGTTAGCTAGCATAATGATGCATCACGATTTTGTAGTCTAGTTGAAAAAATCAGGGTTAAAAATTGGCCCGCCATGCTTCGGTCCTGGCTCGATGTTGGTAGTAGCATTTTCAGAGAGAGCTAAGTCCATATGCTCAATACAATGACTCGTTGGTGGTAAGTCATACCCCGCAGGTAGGATGGAACATTAATCTCCATGCTATTGTCATGATATTGCCACCCATAAGTTTGCTTGACAAAAATGATCGAGTGGCAAAATTCCGTTACAGCCCTTGGCGATTGCAAGGAAGGCCCAATAGGTTTATTGTATTGAGATCAGTTTCGCATTACTATTTACGACACCTACACGATGAGATATCGAGGGTGGTGGATGTCGGCAAAGAGTGTTGGTTCAAGGTTGCTCTATAGTTGACCGAGATGCACCGCGCCGCAACTCGTCTTTGGCGTGGTATGGAGTCGTCTATTCAATTCTAGGTGTGCCAAGAGAGTTCTGATGTAAAGCCCTGTTGGGTCTTGCTACCTAACTGACCTCATCTGGGATTAGATTGCGTAAGGCTTTCAAGTGTGCACGTCACAGATAAGCCCCTTGTATACGCAAAGGGTTGTTTACATACTTCCACGAGTAGCTTCAAGCCGATCATGGTGTTACCTAGAATCTCTTATGCAAGTGTATAACAAGTAATGGATTCTGCCTTATCCGGGTCCAAAAGTTTCATTTTCATTAATGGCTAGATCTACTGATTCTTAGCATTTAGTTGAGCGGCGAAGCCGCTAGAACTCAGTTAGACATGATTCTCCTAAGAGCAGCGTGCAACACAAGAGCTTTCCCCGCCAAAAAGGTCAAACCGCAATGCCTATCATCTCAACCCATTGAGATTAGGCTTCAGGCTCCTGAGCAGCTTTCTTCGCAGCTGCATCCGCATCTTTGTTCCATTCTCTACGAATTCTCCAGAACTGGATTGACAATCCTTCGGCCTGCCATCTCTCTACCTCGCCCAGCAACGCTTCCCAGAGATCCTTGTTCTTGACTTCTTCCTTGCCAGAGGTTCGCCAGCCATTCTTAACCCAGGCCTTAACCCACTGGGTAGCGCCAATAGCCACGTACTCGGAGTCAGTAGCAATGACGATATTGTTGAAACCCTCGACGGTCCAATGTCGAAGTCGAAGGGCGGCAATGACAGCACGGAGCTCGGCTCGGTTGTTGCTTTGAATGCCTGCGTCACCGTAAGGCCCCTTGTTCTCTAGACGACCAGATGCTACCTGGGCTGGTTGACCCGTGAAACCAGGGCCATGGACCAAAGCCCATCCAGCTCTTGGATTAGCCTTGCCGTTGTTCAGGCACGCTCCATCGGTGAAGATGAGGATACATCGAGGATCGGAACGGTGGATGTACCTAATGAGGTGGGGTGTTAGCGACAATGTCATGTTTTAGGCTAATTATGTGGCTTTCAAGACTATCTAACCTGGTAAGTCGTGCATAGGTAGCTTTGCCCAGGAAGAGCTCAGTAGGCTTGATCGTAGATGATGGTGGTATGAATTCGGTAGGGAAGACGAGGCCAGTGCCTCTTCGCTTCTCGAGGACATCAATCATAGACTGTTCAGTAGCAGTAGAAGGGCCGGCAATGGCTGATGGTTTGCTGTGTTGGGAAGCGGAGAGCGTTTGCGTCTCTGAAGGACGTGACAAGGAAGAGGATTCCTTTTTAGAGCCAATGCGTGCTTCTGACGCGAGACTCAGATCACGACACATTGTCTCAGCTTCTGCAGGCAGAGTGTTGTTACCATCCGGATCATCGTGGACAATGCTGGCCCCGAGGGCGCAAACGACTAAGCAGCGTCGCCCATGGACAGGTCGACCATCACGGCGCTCGCCAGGGCCTTCGTAGAGACCATTGCTATCTTCGTCACAGGGGACGAGACGTTGAGCTCGATGGTATCCGTGCGGCATCGTGATGACTCTGAGAGGCGGATAGAGAAGGATATCTGGGGTGAAGGAGATGGTTCTGAAGTTGGGGAAATAAGTGAAGTGTGGCGCAGTCTTAGATCCTAAAGATTGCGTTTGCAACGGGAAGCCACCACCCGTTTGCTTCAGCGGGGAAAGAGAGACGCAGGGAAATAGGTAGAAATGGCAGGAAGGTGGTGGCCTATCTGTGGCTATCCGACTTTAGGCAGGTACGTTTTGTGTGTCTCAAACGACGTTCTCACGAAATCTTCACAAATATGACAAGAGGAAGATATATCTGACCTGTCTGAATCACTTCAAGCTATAAGGTAATCTCGGGGGGATACATACAGTTGGAGTGGTGCCCTGGTCGTTGGAGTCTGCCGATATGCGTCAATTTGAGTGAGGCCTGAATAGCTTCACTTCCTGCCACCTGAGACATGCAGCTCCAAGTCTCTTAAACACATATGATGCTGCATCGGATTTTGTTCTTACAATAAAGAAATCAGCAAGGCACTGTCTTTCTCTGTATCATTTATCTGAAGGAAAAGCTCTAATTGATCAACAGCTGGTTTGACACACCTCTCCCTCGCGATGTTTTCCTTTATATCAACGCCGAAATAGGATCTCAAATGATATGCCCTTGGGACGAGCAGCGTCTAAGAGAAGTCCCAGGGCGTGTCATTGGCTTCTACTTGAGTACTGACTATGGTAAAAATAAAACCAGTGACATTTTCGTGACGGTGTCACGAGGTACTCAGTAGTTAGCTTGTCAACCCCCTTTTTTGTTGCTGCCCCTGAGTGACTATGGTTCGGGGGTGGGGGATGTCACGCGTCAGGTAGTTACAAGAATCAGGACATCACGAAAAGTGTATAGAGGAGCAACCGTACGCTACTCCAGTCTAACATTAATTGTTCTTTGTTGCTAGAACTATCCGTCGGCCGTTGGTCATTCGCGTTTGACACTCCTAGTGATTCACCGAATAAGTCACGTGAGCGGGTGTGGTTCGGGATCTATCCCAGCTTATCCTTGCACTTGGGTGGCTGCCTCACTCTTTGCCTTGGGCGGGGTAAGGAGGACAGCCTTGAACTGTTGGTTCGACGTATCACCTATAAATTAGTTCTCATTCATTTCATTGGTGCTAATAAACGTTGGGAGCTATGTGTCGCCGATTGGCGTTTGGGGATGGCCTGATACATGACCGAAATAAGCGCCAAGGTTGACTGCCCTTCCTTCTGACGATCTTGAATTTTGTCTATTAATAGGACGTTCATTCACGTAGCTGCCTACACCAGAGAATAATTTCAATAGCTGGAAATAGAATGTGTGTTTTGAATGCAAACCCACCCATTCGCCGAAGATGCCTGGCGTGATAATAGAACCGATTGCCGGTTGTATCAAGTGGCTGCCTCCAAAAGAAGATCTCGTCCCAGACGACCCTGAAATTGATGATGGTTGTTGCAATCATCCTGTGGTTATCCTTTCTACTGTTCCCCGCGCAAATAAAGTAGATATTCTCATTGTGAGTAGTCTTCGGGGGCCTTGAGAGAGCTAGGTTAGGTTGACGTAACTTTTGTGAACACAGATTACCTCCTTCGGAGGGCTTGATCTTGAAACGAAGTACCCGAACCAGCAGTCTGCGAGACTGGATCACCTTCCGATCGCACCTAGCAAAGCGCACCCTGATAATGGGACCCTACTTGTCCTGAAAGATCCTCTATACGAGTTGAGGAAAAGATCATATGTGAAGACTAGGGCCCAGTACACGATTCTTCTAGCTTCACTACAGCCATACAACCGGCATGGTCCGGAAGTATTTCTCTCGAAAAAGTCTTATAAAGCCCTCGTCAAGCACATCAAGTACTCCGAACCAGCCTACCTGCCATCGCTTGATGCAACTAGGATTAAGCGCATACAACCAACTTCCTCTACAGCCAATTATTCAATCATTCCTCAACGGACTGGCGCCGAAGAAGATTTGGCATTCTTGCAGCAATACTGGAGAACGGAGTACGATCGCGCTAGAAGAGTCGAGCCCAGTCCCCAGCTTCTAAGGGCCTATTCCAATACCCACGCTGTGAGGCTCACTGCCTCAGCAAATGACACGCAGCCACTGCTTGGGGGCGAATATCGTCCGCGCTCTTATGGAAATTATCCCGTACTGCCGGTGTCACATCCAGTTCACACAGGTCATGGAAGTGGCTCATCGACACCCGCTGGCTGGGAGAATATCCGAAAGTGTATCAAGGTAGTCATGTGGATTTGCTTTGCTTTGCTTTTATCGTATGGGTTGTATCGTGGCGGTTGTTTGATTGTTTCTGCTTTGCCCCAAGTGCTTGATTGGATGAAGAAGATGTTTCAGTCTATCGAAGTAACAGTTCAGAAGCTTTGGTCGTCGCTTTCGCACTCCATAGGTTTGGAAGGCTGAGAATATTACGGGTGTGGTTAGAATGGGTTTCTTCCTTGTTATGCAAACCTTCCTGTGTTTCATATCTGTTATTTTATTGGATATCACTCCTTTCAACTCTAGGATATATCGGTAGCAACAGCTCGTCAAAATCTAATCTCCGTTGATCGGTAGTGATGGACCAGGTTTGTTCAAAGTTGACCTTTTGCGTACAAATGTTAAAGTGTTGGTATAGAAGCCTTTAAGACTGGAAGCTGCAGCATTCGAAAACGGAGTTTCCTATACCACGTTTGCCCTACAGGGCAAAAAGGTTCACTTAAAGCTCAATATTGTCACAATCGTTGGTTTAGGGTATAGCTTGATTGGTACTATGGACGAAGATTTTAAGCTAAGGAAGGAAAAGATGAAGCTAGAATATAGGTGTGTATGGATATATTATCTTTGAGATGTCTTAAAATTAGCGAGGTCCAAAAGATGTTGTATTGGGTTAAGTTTCTACCTAAGCCATCTTCAGTGAGGTGCTAACTGTCTTATCGCACTTATGAATAAGTAGGTACTTGGTCCAGTCTTCATCCGCTTTGCATTCCCTCACGGTGCTCTCAATGCAATGTGTTCCCTAGTCAGTTGAACCACGATTCTCAAATACTATTTTAACTCAAAGCTTACTTGGTTCTGAGAACATGAATCTCCCAGTCAGAACACTTCTGGGACGATTGTTCTTCTCAAAGGCCTTTTGAACGATATCGACTAGCATTGCATCACTACCTTTATTTCTCTTATGTCAGATTTTGACCTTATATGGTGAGTAGTTTTCCGTACTTACCCGCTGCGCCGATGATGGTTCCAACAACTGGAAGTTGCTCGGTAGCTTTAGTCACTCTTGACTCGTAGGGGATGCTCCCGACTAGATGACCTTAGCACGATGATGTCTCGATTTCTAGTGAGCGCAGGGCATACTCGGAGCAACAAGTTGCGGTAAGCCTTGGATAGAGGCGATGTAATTCCACGTAAAAGGGCCAACGGGAGCAGAGGGGCTGGTCATAATTTAGCGTCGTTGGCAGGTAATCAGGAGAGGCTTTTGTTTTACCTGTTCGGGTCGTCACGGTACTTGGGGACGCTGTTTCCACAGGGGATGAGCATGATCGCTGAAGTGCCTCCATTGCCCACAGGTCGTAATATGGTCTCTTTAAACTATCGTCGATAGACCTCGACATCCTGTAAGGACTTTTCTTTCATACACACATCAACCTCGGCGTCACGGTCCCTAAAGTCGATTAGTTGGCAACGAAATCTCTACGCAGTAGCTATCAATACCATTTCCACCGCATGTAGGGGCCAACATATACTGGCTTCCCAAATTTGGTTTCATATTCCTCGCGAAATTCCGAGTACTCGTGATAACCGTCATAGTAGAAGGGATTGTAGGCAGCCTAGAAAAGTGAGATATAGTCAAGGTGTCTCAAGTCATGCCGGCGTACCTTGTCAATAAATTCCTGTATTGTCTTACCAGCAGCCTCACCCGGCGGGCAGTCCTTCCACCGCTCCGCGATGCTCATACGCGTTACATGCACGCCTAAATACGATTCAAGGTCACTCACAAAGCCTTCAACAAGTTTCTGTTGCTCAGCATTCGCCATTGGGAAGAGGTCTGTAGGATATAGAATTTCTTTGGGCATCTGCACTCCTTAATTAGCTTACCCACACACAAACAGAGAAGTACCTTACATGATCATCAGTAATCAAAGCTCCAGGATTCGATATGCTTCTGTCAACGATTATCTGCATGCCGGCAATGCTTCTTGAGAGGATTCCTACAGTGTCCATAAATATTCAACGAGGTCAGCTTTAGGTTACCTAACCGTCTATCAGGCTTAACGAACCTGCAGGCAGGGTAAACCCCTTCCATAGCTTCGGGTGTCCAGGTGGTTCTGAGGCCAAACAGGCCGCACCATGCGGCAGGCCATCTTATACTCCCAGTAGCTAATGATCCTCAGTAAAATAGCTGCAGATCTTGTCCGGGGTCACTAACTGTCTGTGCCAATTGAGTAGTCAAGCCAATCGTATGCAGCAAGACTCGTACCACCACCCGTCGTGCTTCCCGAGGGGCTCTGGTACCCGTCTCCCCGTGGGTTAAACGGAGCATGAAAATCGATCCACTGATCTGTAGCTTCTTCAGACGACGCAAACGAGCACATCTTCGTCTTCCCTACGAATACAGCGCCAAGACTGATGAGTTTCTCTACATAAGCTGCAGTTTCGGTCTCGGGCTTCGCCTCGTATAACTCACACCAAGCCCGGTTGGACTGTGTTGTGGGTACGCCAGATATCTTATAATTATCTTTGACACTAAATCTCATTCCAGCTAGTGGCATTGAGGGTGATTTCTTGCTGTAGAGACGGCTTGGAACTGCAATAGCCGTCCATACTCCCTGCAAGCGGATATCGAGTGGCTTGAATGAGTTGCGTTCTGGGCCAGAGGTTCCAAATGGAATGAATGACGTGATGAAGCTGCGTTGCTTGTCTGGGTATAAACGCCAAGCTTGAGACAGTTGGAACCCTTTGCTTAGTAGGTAGGGACCATCGGGAGTTTCACGCGAAGTATTCATCACCTGCAAGATTGTCTTCGGCACCCAAGAACCAGAAATAGGGGTTCCAACTGGGGTTGACCATTGTTCTGCCAGCCGACCAGGAGCTAGTGAGTCCCCCTGTATTATGATAATATCTGAGAGAAACTGTGACGAGAACACGTCGTCGTTTGTCTCTATGAACGAGCTGATGACACTTGAAAGTGATTTGTCGGATGGAAGCTGATTTGCAGAGACCACGATGACGGGCTTATATTCGCTTGGACCTAGGTCGGGACTAGCGCCGTACGCGATTTTAACTTTGCTAGGTCTATCATCGAGCTAACTCACAGCAATGGTTAGGAAGCTTGTTCTAGACGCGGGGTTGGATAACCAACATTGACATGAGGCACAGCAGCATATCTGATCCCGCCTAAATTAACTGTGGCAACTGGAGACTGGCCGGTACTGAGTTGGCTGGATGCCATGCTGGTAAGTGAGCGATGAGGAGCGTGGTCTCCAAGCATGCCAAAGTGACCTCTGAGTTTACCGTCAAGGTCAGAAGGAAAACCAGGCTGGTGAGAACTATCGGAACATGTACCTACTAGTAGAGGAAAATCACTCGGCTGAGGTCGACGAAGCGGGCTTATCAGTCAGGTCAAGATGAGGCAAGGGAGCGCTTATTCATGGTGCATACGGTATGTAGGTCTGTCGGAACCTAGATATACGGTGGGCTACTAAGACACTCTTTGACAATAAAAAATAGAGGTTAAGTGAAGGGTAATTCAAGTAATATATTAATAATATAACTATAAGGCTAACCATTTTAATCTTAATAGAAGTAAAGAGATATAATAAATAGAATAATTATAAAACATTAAAAATTACTTATATTTTAAAAAGGGTATAATAAAAGGGGTAGCTTAAGTAAATATAGCATCGTTTGGGGGGAAAGGAGTACGTTTCTCAATACGGCGCCCTAATCCGCCCATGGCAAAACGGAGGCCCGGCGGCTACAAGAAAAGGGCAGGACTGCCGCAACGCCACAATGAATTAGCAAACACCCTTGTACCGAATTCCTGATATTGCATATAACTACCTTGCCATACCTCCAATGATTCTGCCTTACTAGTCTGAACTTAGTGTTATGATAGGTAGGCCATTTTATGCATACAAACCTTCACAAAATAGCTTGCGTGAGCTGAGCTTTCTAGGTAGTTATAAGCGGCAGTGCCTTCTAGACAGCCAATAAAGTACCAGCCACGCGCAAATTGGGCGTAGCTATGAGGGGAAAAGGCTGTTTCTTTTGCCAAACTCGTCGCCAAGTACTAATCTCTTCTTTCCTCCTAATCCTTTCTTTATGGATCCTCTATCCGTAATTGCAAGTATCGCTGGCGTGTCGACAGCGGGTATCGCGCTGTCGCGGGCCATCTACGACATCATCTCTTCCGTGAGAAATGCACCGAAAGAAATATCCGACATCGCCAAAGGCCTCTGTGACTTGTCATTCATCCTCAGAGAGCTACGTCGAGTGTTAAAAGACGGCCAGGATGTTTACCGTCGGCAGCTTATTCGGCGTGTCGCTTCAGCAATTAAACGGGTGAGCCGGATACAAGATGAGATCGAAGATCTGCTCGATTTGACAGGGAAAGGGGCTAAGCTAAAATGGCTTTTCAGAAAGTCAAAGATCCAGGGGTTGTTATATACGATTGAAAGCTATAAGACTGGTATTAATATGATATTGCAGACAATGATGCTAGCTGTCCAGCTGAAGCAGCTTTCCAAGTAAGTGAAGAAACCTGCGTCGATCGGTTGCATCACTGATATTGACTGGGACTTCATAGAGAAGATGAAAGGAGGAAGAAATCGAGTACAGTGGGTTTCAAAGAGGATGAAGATACCAGGAACGAGACAGTCTTTGCCCGGCAGCAAGTAGAGAACTTCGTTGAGGTGTCGTATCACTCACTACGAGAGCTTGCATCTGAGCAGCGAAATGCTACATCGCACAGCGAGTCGGAAGAGGAAGAAGAAAGCAATGATCACTTGGAACAATCTCGGGTTCAAAAATACGAAAGCCCGGATCCGCACTACTTGGACAGTGCCACATGGCTCTATGACCTCGTTTTCTCGTCGGTAATTGAACAAAACTCGACCTCTAGCAGCGCGTCTACTACACGGCCACACGGTCTCTTAGACCAATCGGCAGAAGAGATTCCATCAAGCCAAGCTCTTACATATCAGCGCCATTCTCCCCCACTGCAACTTCAGTCGTTACATAGGCACCCGCCCGCAGCCTCCAGAGTGGTTAATGAGTTGTTATCGGAATGGACGACTCTAACTGAAGGCGAAATCATGGCAGCCGATAAAATCAACTGCAAGCAAAAGGATTCCAGGCTCACGCCGGACTCCCATCCATCCAGCGGCCAGGAGGAGGTGATCAAGTTCGAGAACGCCGTGGGGACGAAATTCCTGTTACCGTTCCGATTGGTACATAAATGGAGTGTGAGTATCCCTGACCGCTCACAGCACCAGACGTACAATTATCCGTTGACGAATAAATGATACAGAAAATGGAGGCCATGATCAATCAAATGTTTGTCCGCGATGACTTCCGCTACCTTGCCTCTCGAGGTGACTACGACATCGTAGATATGGACAACAAGGTTGTGCCACGCTCAGAATGGGAGCATACCGTCGAACCGGGAGACCATTACAAAATGATGTGGCGCCCTGATGATAGACGCAGAGAAGCGCCGGCAAGACGAAGGCCAGCCGACGGACACCTTCCGGCGACATCGAAGAACCCTTCTGGTTCCAGGGAGAAGAAGGCCAAGTCTTCGAAAAAGGGCAAGGAATACGTATCCATAATACCCTGGTTCTTGGGGCTATAGAGAGCGTGAAAAGATGTCCTTCGAGTTCACTATGGCCCTGGGCTGTAGCCGGCGTCAATTTCCCCGCGGAGGCTGCTGCCTATATTACAAGCTAACTATGGGCACATGGATTTATAAAATACTGGTAGGACGATCAATTGGCGGGCATCTCATTTCATTTTCTGCGAAACGTGTTCTACACTCGAGTCTTCTTACACGGGGTGGGGGATTGGTTGCGACGATCTACCTCAGCACGGAACGGGTATAACCACCGGCGGCGACTCCAAAAGGATAGGTAAGGGTACAGTATAAGCGAGACGCCAGCAGTAGCTGGCTACTGATATATATAGTCGATATAACAATATAAAGAGTATTAGGCGTACATGTCCTTCAATTGTTATATAAGATCAGGCTCTCCAGAATCTCTCCCCATGAGAACGGAACTCTAGGTATGATTCAACATTCCTATGGTACTTGGTTATTTTAGCCCTGTAGCGCCGCTCTAACGGGCTCTAGTGAGTGCATTAGGGCGCGCAATAGGCTACCTAGCCTACCACCATAGGGTGTTTATCATCAGAGATACTGGTATATCTTGACCATTGACATTTCACTTAGGTAATTTCAGTCATGTATTTCGCATCGCGTATCACGAGATGTCTTGTAAGCGCTGGTGAGGTACGACATCCGCTTCTATTCGTATATATTTCTAATCTACTGAAAACGCTTGAGTCTATTCAAGATGAATCGCTTGCAGGTCCCAACGGTGCCAATAGCCTGTTGAATCATCCCCCTAAATATACCCTGTAATGTATGATTAGCCCAAGGAGCTCAATTCGCGCTGCTCACCCATTATATCATCGCTCAAGGAATGCAGGTCGCCCAGATCTTCCGGATATCGCAAAACGGCACATGTTTCGATCGCTGGTCGTGCATACTACTTAGCAGCTATGCGGGTCCGGAGTAGAGGAGCAAAGCTCAAATACCGCTCATCGCCGTTTCTTTTTCTATTTGCCTTTCCCTTTCGCCTCAGATTGTTTGCTCGACTCCGCGGGTCCGCCGCTCGCGGGGCCAGCAGGGATTTTTTCCCAGATCGCGCGTATCTCTGCCATACTCAGGAACACGGGACGTCGGTCAGCCCCCGTGTTGCTCTATGTACGAATCAGCGTTTGCTCAGAAGCAGAGCGGTGTGCTCATGATCATGCAGTGAATCCCTTACAGATTTCCTGGATGGTAAATGTAGGGTAAGACGTCGTAGTAATATTGGCGGCGGCTGCCCTTGCTGGTCTGGAGGTCCCGGCGCGCTCGTCGGGTCCGGTGTCAAGGGGTGAGCTATGGGTCCCACCGACGCTCCACGTCTTCTGCCGAAATCAGGGGTGCTTGGCTCCAGAGAGGACGGAAATAGAGGTACGATGAATTCCCTTGCCGAGGGGTCGAGAAGAGACCTTGGCGATCTTGAAGATGCTGAGGGTTCCCTGTCGTGGCCATGCCCTCTAGACTCTTCGCCTTTTCCATTGTCACCTATTGTGACAGACGCCGATGATCGACCTTGATGACTGTGTCCTTCAGACTCCTTGCCCTTCCCTTTTCTATCTATTATGGAAGATGCTGATTGTACTGCTGGCGCTGCTAGTGCTGCTGGTGCTGCTGGTGTTGATGGTGTTGATCGTACTACTGGTCCAAATCGTATGAATGGTACTGCTGGTACTATTCGCACTACTCGTTTTAGTGGTACTGATGGCACTGCTGGCACTGCTGGCACTGCTGGCACTGCTGGCACTGCTGGCACTGCTGGCACTGCTGGCACTGCTGGCACTGCTGGCACTGCTGGCACTGCTGGTACTGATGGCACTGCTGGTACTAATGGTACTGATGGCACTGATGGTTGTGATGGCACTGCTGGTGCTGATGGCACTGATGGCTGTGATCGTACTGATGGCACCGATGGTTGTGATCCCTAATCGTATACTCTAGACTCTTTGACTTTTCCTTTCCTATCTAAGATGACAGGTGCTGATGATGCTGATGGTTGTGATTCCGGACCGTGTCCTCTAGACCTTTTGCCTTTACCTCTAGTGTCTACTGTGACAGGTGGTAATGATTGCTGTCCTTGGCTGGGTTCTTCGGCATTTTCGCCTGTCCCCTTGGTGTCCACTGTGACAGATGTTGATGGTTGTAGTTCACTGGTGTGTGCTTTGGACACTTTGCCTTTCCCTTTACTATCTTTTGTGATAGCTGACGATTCTGATGATTGTGGTTCCCGGTTGGTTGCTTTAGACTCTTCGCTTGTCCCCTTGCTGTCTACTGTGACGGATGTTGATGATTGTGGCTTACCCCTGCGCGCTTTAGACTCCTTTCTTTCCCCTTTACGATCCTTTACTATGGATGATGACGATTCTGGGACCTGTAGTTCACGATTGGGATCTTCAGACTGTTTGGCTTTTCCGCCCTTAATATCACCGTCGCAGGGTTTCTAGCCCTTGGTGCTTTCCTCGCTATGCGGTTTTTCGTCGTCAGGCTTCGCATCATCAAGCTTTATGTCATCGGATTTCGCGATGGTAGTGTTACCGTCATCAGGACCCGCCTTATCAGGCTTCGTATCATCAGGCTGTCTATCCTTAGGCTCTTCATCAATTCCCTCACCACCGACAGTCTCGGCCTTGGATTCCTCTAACGCGGAGTAGAAGGAGTCAGCTGGTGACACTACTAAACACCTTTCATCCTCATCTCCTTCCGACTTCTGGGCCGCTATCTGCTGAGTTGCAATTCTTGCTCCGTGGGCTCGTGCTGCTTTTTCTCTTGCTTCCTGGGCTTTATTTCTTTTTTGGTCCTTTTGCTTCTTTTCCAGCTCTTTCATTTTTCCCCCTTTCCCCATTGTGACAAAGTGAGATATTGCTAACGAGTGCTGGTATTTCTGCTGCTTGGGATAAGATTAGGTAGGTAGAAGTAGAATGTCCTAAAAAGAAGTACTCGGTAGTCTTTACAAAAAGCTTCGTTACAATGCGAGGTTTAGTACCAACTTGTGTGAATCTGCGAGAACCTGATAGCGTTGGTGCTTGGTCGGAAGGTGGTCAGAAGGTAGTCGGCAGAATCGAAGACCGTCCGTACTAGAAGGGACGATGGTGTCGCTCTGGGTGCAATTACTCTACGAATCATGGACCATGTGTTTCCAGGAGAGTAGACGGAAGGTGTGCTGCTATGACGCTCTAGTCCATGAGCTATATTATTCCAAAATGGATCATTCAAGGAAAGCAACGCGATTGTTCTTGCATAGAACAGGAACGATACCAAGAATCGCCAGTCATATCTGGGAACTGGAGCCCGTGGGATAGGCACAAGGGTTGTTTATAGTTCAGAACTATACCTATGCCAGGGCCTTGTCCGAGGTGAATGATGCGGGCCAAGCTCAAGGTAGCACGTTGCTTTTTATTTATACATAGGGAGTCCTTAGACAAGGTTCATCTAAAACTTCAAGATCAGGCAGTTAGGGACACATGTATGTTTTTGATGGGAATCTACTTCACTCAAACAAGCTCTACTTGGTTGAACGCATATTATATTTTGGGGGGCATGGGCCATGTGAAGACCGGTTGTGTACGCTTAATCAAGGCGAGCCACCACGCGTACGCAAGGTGTGCCTCTGTTAAGTCGGCTACGCAACCAGGCTTGGAAGGCTGCCAAAGTATATAAAAAGCAAGAAAAAAAACGACGCTCCCTTCCTCCCAGCCTACCCTGGCGCGCCCATTACGGCCGGTAATCCTGCCGATTGGCAAGGCCTAGCGAAATGCGCCCGTCGGGCCGCCCATCTATTGAACAGGTCCGCAACTGTCGCGAAGAAGTGGGTATGCCGTATAAAGACCGTTAACCTCTCACTGGTTAACGGCGTCGTTTTTCTCCGTGACAGCAACGTATGAGGAACGGCTTTAAAACCTCTCAACCACCACTAAAAACATGCACTTCATGGAAGATGGAAAAGGTACGTTGACGGAGGAAAACCCCCAGCTAACGGCGGTCCTTATAAGGGGCTGCCAAGTGGCTCACGCGGCGCGGTAGGCCTTTTTGGGAAGTAGAATCAATTATTCCCAAGAATAGAAAGAAGCAGAGTGCGCCCGTCCTCAGGGGGAGCTGTTAATGAATAGTAGTGCATAGTAGTTAGATGTAGGAGATGTAGTAGATCTAGATTGACTTAATCACTTCGATGGGAGGGTTTTTGCCATGAACTACAACAAATAAAAGCCTAATCACGAGATCATCAACGACTTCAAGGATCGCCAAGTCCACCTGGTGTAGAGATACGTTTGAGAGGCTATTATGATGTTATGCGCTATGGTTTCCGCGTTTTTAAGTCCTCGTTTGAAATATCTCCTACAATAAGATAACATTAGAGTTACTAAGGACATACCGTGACCAATATTCCTGGGACGTGAATGCCAGCCGAGCTATTAGCTCCTATTAGAAGGGGTGTATAGGGCAGACAGTAAGACTATCATTGCGGCACAAGGTCTAAAAGGTCAGAAATCTGAAGGCATTCAGACTTCTCTGACTATATACAATGTATCTCTTTGCTCCCCCACCCTGAGGCCCCTGACAGCTCCTTTTTAAATCATGACATAAAATTGGCGTAGAGCGTCCAAAGAAGACGGGTGATATAACAGAAATGGGGCGTTAAGGAGACCAGCTGTGCTTTGTGAAGGACAAGACCTATATCTGTTATCTCATGTCAGAGGTGGGGGTCCCGGAATGAGCAGAAGGCTAGCCACAGTCAAGTAGGTATTCAAAAGGGCAGTATAGTGCTCAATAGTCATTGATTCCCCAACGTCTCATCTCTTCAAGAAGGTCCTGGCACCACTTTCAATAGCCAGCAGGTCTAAGATAGCCACCCTAGGGGGTCTATATGACTATTATCCCTGACATCTCAGATGTATGAATGCAATCAAATGACGAGGAGGATGTAGACAAAACGACTTGGATTTAAATGCGGCCAATCTAAGTATCTAAGGAACACTCTCGCCACAACCCGCTGTAGCAGACGACCCTCCAATTCTATATAACCAACGCCCCAGATACCGTCCGTACCGGTTTTCTATGTCGAAGTCCTTGTGGATAGGCGCGAAGGTGCCTTTACTTCTTCTGGTCAGGAGTGACAGATGCCCGGAGTGCGTCCATAAGATTGGCGGGGCGGATAGGTTGGTCGTCGTCAACCTTCAAGCCGCGTAGGATGCGAGCCAGCATACAATAGGCACCGATAATGATCAGTACCTCCACCAGTTCCGCATTGCTGAGGACCGTAAGAGCCTCCTCAACGGTCTCATTGGTGTTGGTAAAGGTTGCCAACTGCTCATCCACAATGCGGAGGATGAGGCGGTCGCGCTTGGTGTAGGGCCCCTCTCCGTTCACCACATCCTCGCTGCTGCAGCCGATGGCTTCAATCTTGGCGGGATCCATCTCGTAAAGCTCGGAGACGGGTAGGTTGACATCGTACATGTACTTGGCGCCGACTTTGGTAGCGACACGAAGAACAATGAGTTGCTGGAAGTGAAGAGATAGTTAGCAGTGGTCAGACAAAAGCTGGTAGGACATAAAGCGTACCCAGTCAAGGAGGGGAATGGTTCGGATCTCTCCTCTGAAGCAACCACCAATGAGGCCCATGACATTAGGGAAAAGGCCAGGCGAATGAGCAAGGACAAGGAAGATGTTCCTTCTGAAGTCGTGCACCCTCAATCTGCTGGCAATTTCCTCTGGAGCCTCGTTGGGATCCACGTAGGGAACCAGGCAAGTGTGCCGGTAAGGGTCGTCGTACTGCTTTGAAGCCATTGTAAGATGTATAGGTGAGATTGTAGTAGTTACTAGTTGTGTTTGAGAGGATGTCTTGGATTGAGCTGTGATGCACAGAGACTAAAGGAACGACATGATCGGTCCGCCACCTAGGTATTTATACATGTGAGACATGTGAACTTGGTACGGCAATCATCGAGCATTTTGCATACGAAAAGCGCTCAGAGATGCTAATACATGGGGCATTCTCAACTCTCAGACCTGGATTTGCATAGAAACTCCGGGAGAAATGGCAGAGTACTGTCTCTGGTGTCAGCATTCTGCATAGGGCACACCCATGTCACGGAGTAGCCCAACTCTGCCCATTTTCAGATGGTCAAGCGGGGGTGGAACAGTGCACCTCATGCAAGATGCATGTAAGAATGGCCCCTGAACAGGATAATACAGGCACAATCTACGTCGCATCGACGCCAGAATAAGTGTTCAGGTCAAGCATTGCTCAGAGGAGCACCGGAGGCGATCTCGTCTCTTAGGTCTTACTCCGATACCCGTGACTAGACAGAGGACTTGCACTGCATTCAAGCGCAACATTTTACTCCCAGATCCAGTTCGGCGAGAGAGGGTTTGCTGGCTCCGATACGGACAGACAGACAGTCTTCCCCACCGACGAATCGATACTGGCATCAAACTTGATTATGCATAGCCCTCAATTGTTACACTTGACGCGTATCGCATTCTCATTATGCGAATATCGTTGTCAGATCCGGAGCCAGTTTCGTGACTTTGCATCGACTTCGGCCGACTTGTATGTACGGGTTACTACTCTTGAGCCGGAGACACACGATAATGCTTCATTCCAGAGTATGTGTTATGGGTCGTGTAACAAGTGTAAGAACGTCGTTGTTTGAGCAAGTCTGTCTCACAGTTCATACACGATGATCTAGATATATTTAGAAGCGTCTGGCACCTTGGTTTCTGGTCTGGACTTGACATTCATCATCATCATCATCATTTAGACATTGTTCACCATCAGCCTTACCAGAAGCACCAGAATTCCCAACGCCACAATGGGTCTAGTCTCGAAGTTCGAAAGCCGTGCATCGCACAATGACACGAGAGGATGTCCTAAGCCCACCCTGGTACACTCACTCTTTGAGGCTCAGGTGACTCGAAGCCCCCATGCAGTTGCGGTCGAGTTCGAACAGACATCCCGCGTAACGTATCGCGAAATCAATGAGCTATCAAACAATGTCGCCAGGCAGCTGGTCTGCGGACGAGGCTCCATCGTACCGATCCTTATGGAACGGTCAATCAACATGGTCGTTTCACTGTTGGCAATCCTGAAGACCGGTGCAGCATACACTCTAGTCTCGCCAGAATCACCCCCTAGCAGAGTTCGATTTATCGCAGAAGATACCAAGGCGCCATTCGTGCTTGTTGATCGGGCAATGCAAGGACAATCTGGGGTAGCCACTGAGATCGTCATTGAGGATCTGATAGCGCAAACCAAGACTGCTGATTCAGACTTCGCCGGCAACCTCTATGTTCACCAGTCTCCTTCGGATATCGCTTATGTGATCTACACTTCTGGAAGTACTGGTCGTCCGAAAGGTGTCTTGCTATCACACAAAGCAGCTGTTACTGGTCTCAAAGCTCTCCCGCGCCCAGACAAGTCGGAACAGATGAGGATACTCCTTTCCCACTCCCCAGCATTCAGTGCAGCGCAGCGAACGATTCTGGGTACTCTGTCTCGCGGCGGTGTGTTGTGCCTTGCAAGCAAGGAAAGCATCACATCCTGGCTTTTCGAAACGATTAAGAAGGCAAATGTCAGCAGCCTCGAAATCACCCCCAGCATGTTGCAGCTTCTCGACCCCACGCAATTGCCATCAGCTATTACGAGGATTACTCTCGGGGGAGAGCCTGCTGGACCATCATTGGTCAGCAAGTGGGCAGAGAAGGTTGAACTCTACAGTGGTTACGGGATCAGCGAATGCACTCAGGTTAGCCAGCCGTACAAAGATATACGTTCCGTTCCGATACTGACTAAATGGAATAGCTTAACATGAGATCTCGTATTACCGTTGACGAACAGCAGCACTTACTTGGAAAGCCTACTGACAGTAAGCATAACCCCTTGTTTAGGACTGGCTATCAAAACTGTATTTGCTAATGCTCTTCTTCAGGCACGAACTGCTACATTCTACACCCCGGCACTATGAACCCCGTTTCAATCAATGAGCCGGGAGAGCTCTGTCTCTGCGGCGATCAACTAGCTAGTGGCTACCTCAATTTGCCCAAAGAGACTCAAAAGGCGTTTGTCCCCAACATCTTTGGCAATGGCCGCCTCTTCCGAACTGGAGACCTCGTTTCGCTAAGAGAAGATGGCTCCATGGTACTGATAGGCAGAGTCGATCATCAATTCAAGGTGGATGGACAACGCGTTGACCCCAATGAATCCAACTACTTCATTGAGTCCCAGCCGCATGTCGTAAGATCGTGTGTGGTAGCCGCTACGGTCCGGGGCCGGAAGAGCCTTGTCGGTGCCATTGTATCTGACAACAAACTCGGCTGGGCAGATCTTGTCAAGAATGTACGAACTGCCATTCGAGACGAGCTTCAAGATTATGCCATTCCCCGTTACTGGATACAGATGGAGAAACTTCCAGTGAACCCCAATGGGAAAACAGACATTCGAAGACTTGCCGAAGAGATCGAGTCAATGGGCGACGACATGTTCTTGGCAGCAAACTCGAAATCAGCCAACAACAAATCTGTCAAATTGGATGCCGATATCCGCGAAATCCTGGAACAAGTCCTGCGGGTTCCATCAGATCTACTTAACCCGGCCGCTACCTTTCAAGAGATGGGAGGGTCATCTCTTGACGCCATCGTGTTGGCTACAAAAGCCCGCTCTATCGGTGTGAATCTGGCTGTCTCTGACATTTTGAAAGAAGACTCGCTGCATGAGGTCTTCGCCAGTCGTCGTGGCGCAGTACAGGCCATGACCATGACCCCCAAGCCATTCTCGCTTCTTCCCGAGGGGGTGAAGATCCCTGGTATGCCTGAGCTAGAGGACGCTTACCCAGTTACCCCTATGCAAGAAGGTATACTAGCAGACAGTCTTCTTGGGAATGCCAATTACGTCTACCAACGAGTATATGAGATTCACTCTGAAATTGAAGTTGCCCAACTCAAGAATGCACTGGAGGTGGTTGTTCAGAAGAATCAGATACTCCGCACATCCTTCAAACCATGGAAGCGATCGTTTCTACAGATGGTTCACAAGTCTGTACAGGTCCCTTGGACATCACTGGGCGAAGGAGACTTAGCTACCACGTTAGAGCAGCTTCAGAGCAGACACATGGAGCTGAGCGGTCCGTTGATCCGAGCAACAACTCTTGGCGGTCGATATTTCATTCTTGAGATGCATCACAGTCTCTTTGACTACTGGTCCAGCCAGTTTGTCTTTGTTGATATGGTATCATTGCTGAAAACCCAGACATCTATCGACCGCGTGCCATTCAGCACTTACGTCTCCTTCCAACAAGCCCGAGCTAAACATGTTGACACGCAGAACTTCTGGAAGAAGTACTTGGCCTCAGCACGGGATACCATCATCGAATATCCGGAAGGCAAGCCAGGTTCTCAGCGACTTCAGATAACAGCTGATCTAGGCGAGTCACTAAGCGAGTACTGCCATGTGAACCGCGTAACCCTAGGAACAGCTGTTCACCAGGCTTGGTCTTATACTCTTGCTAGTCACTTCTCAAGCAATGATGTCATGTTCCTCACTGCAGCCTCTGGGAGAGATGCAGAGGCAGAAGGAATTCTATCTCTTGGCGGTCCTACCCTCTGCACCGTGCCGTTCCGTGCCTATTTGGAACAGAAACTAGACACCCAGGCCTCCTCTCACGGCAGAGAGTTACAGAGCGATCTATGGAACCTCGCGAATCACGCCCATGTTGGCTTCCGCGATGTCATGTCCACTGCCCAGCTCAAGACTGCTGCTCTCAACACGATGGTCAATGTCATCACCAAGATGGAGCAGGTGGAAAAGGGAGGCCCGCTTGAGCCGCTTATTACCCACGTAGATAACTTCACTCAGTGAGTTTATTACATGTTCTTTTGGATACACTAGACTAATCAGGATTAGGTATACTACGATTGAACTTGATGAGTCCAACCCCACAGAGATCAAACTTCTCATCCCTGTCTCAGCAGATGAATACGCGGCACGCGACTTGCTTGATACCTTTGTTTTCATCGTGGAAAAAATGGTGGCAGATCCTCAGGTCCTTGTGCGCGATCTCATTTCCACAGAGACGGACGCGGAGCAGTTTGGCTTGGCTCATTCTGCTTTCGAGCGTTGGGCGGTCCAGGAACCCGGCCGTCTCGCAATCAAGACCAAGCAGACCGAGCTGTCGTATAGAGAGCTAAACCGCCGTGCGGAAAGCTTCGCGCATCTCCTCAGGAAGTCCGGAATCAGGCACGGCGACTTTGTTCCCGTGTTCATGGAGAAATCCGAACAGACTCTGGTTGTTATTCTAGGCATTCTCAAGGCCGGAGCAGCATTCGGTAAGTCATGGCAATATATTTTTCTTCATGTCCCCATTACACTAGGCTAACGATTTTGCCCAAATTCAGTACCCTTAAGCTCTCACAATCCTCGCGAGAGAAACATGTTCATCATTACAGATGTCGAGGCTTCTTGCATCGTTACCGATAAGGAGACCAAGGAAGAATGCCAAACCTTCGGTCTCCCCATGATTCTTCCCGAGGATGCTCCCCAGCATCCAGACCCGAACCTAAAGGGTGTCCCGGGTCTATCACCAGACAGCATCGCCTATGTCATCTTCACTTCAGGGTCAACAGGTACACCCAAGGGCGTACTCGTTCCTCACTCTGCTGTCGATGCTGCCACTCGAGGAATGGTTGAAGCAACTGCAGTTACAAAAGACTGGAGGGCACTATGGGTTTTGAACTACATCTTCGATGCTTCTTATTACGATGTCTTCACCCTTTTGTCTTCCGGTGCGGCTCTGTGCGTTGCGCCACAAGACGATATCCTGGGAGACTTGGCTGGATATATCAACGAGATGGGTGTTGAGCAAGTGATGCTGACTCCGACAATCACGAAGCTGATTCGCGGAGGACCTTCAGAAGTACCACGCCTAAAGGTTTTGAACGTGTGTGGTGAAAAGATCGATACAAACATCCTGGAATGGGCGAAGTCTGTCGATGTCTATAACGGGTAAGTCTTTCTCATACGGTTCTCTCGACCAACATGGGGTACACCTGATCTTGACTAACGCAAATAACAGCTATGGGCCAACTGAAGCGACTATTCTCATGACTGTCTCCAAAGTCCAGCCCGATGGCAATCTCAACAGCATCGGCTACCCTCTGAAGCATGTATCAGCTGTTATCCTGCCGGCTGAAGGAGATAGCCTCGAGGAAGTCGAGCGCGGACAAGTTGGAGAGTTGTGTGTTCTTGGACCCCAGCTCGCGAAGGGGTATCTCAACCGCCCGGAGCAGACGCAAAAAGCTTTCATCCGCGACGCAAGCGGAGCTGCACTCTACCGCACAGGTGACCTTGCTCACTGGGCAGACGATGGATCCCTTCTGTAAGTAAATCCTCTTAAGCACCATGAGTCCAATTACTTACAACAACCACAGCTGCCTGGGACGCAAGGACTACCAGATCAAGCTTAACGGCTTCCGTATCGAGCTTGGAGAAATCGAAAATGCTATACTTCACACCACGAAGGTCAATGCAGTAGTTGTTTCCGTTGCCGAGCTGCACAAGAAGCGCCAGCTAGTGGCTTTCTGCATTTTCGAGGGCGACCAGAAGCCGAGTGAACACAAGCCGATGCCCGCAGAGGACCGACTAGAGAACGTTAAGGAACTCATGGATGGTCTCCAAAGCATCGCACATTACATGATGCCAGCACTATTCCTACCTTTCCATAGTTTCCCTACTCTAGCCTCCGGCAAAGCAAACCGAAAGGAGCTTGTCAAGATCGTTGAAGAAATGGGCGCCGAGGAAGTCGGCGCATACCTGCCAACCGCTATCCACGCCACTGAGTTTGTGCCTGTCTCGACAGAGAACGAGAAGGTCATGCAAGGAGCATGGGCTGCAGTACTTGATCTACCAGAAGAATCCATCGGCGCAGCGTCTGTGTTCCTCGGCCTTGGAGGCGATTCCATTGCTGCTATCAACGTCGTCGCACACTGCCGAGCTGAGAAGTACGCCATTTCGGTCGGTCAGTTGCTCGCACATCCAACTCTTGCCGAACAAGCCGCATGCCTCAAGCCCATTAAGGAGACCACTGGTCGTGTTGATGTCAAGTACGAAATCCCGCAGTCGCTGAAGCAGGCCGTTAGAAGCACCCCCGGCCTCGATGTGGACGACATTGAAGAAGTTTACCCTTGCGGCCCTGGTCAGACTGAATTCCTCACGCAAGGTGTGAAGCCTGAGCAGTTCTGGAACCTTGTTGCCTGTCGTGCCCTGCCCTACGATTTCGACTTGGATCAGTGGAAAGATGTCACTCGAAACTTGACAGCAGCCAACCAGATTCTGCGCGCGTTCTACTTCCAAGCCGATCCCAACGACGCCACATCATGGTACCAGGTAAGTCAAAATCATCATAGGTCTACGAGCGCCCACTAACAATGTCTAGATTACCCTGAAAGAGCCTGTACTCAACTGGGAAGAAAAGCGCTACTCTACTGAGGAGGAGAAGACCAAGCTGATCACAGAGCTGCGCTTCGGCCGCTTTGAGTTCGGAAAACCTGCCGTGAATTACCTTGTTCTTACTTCGCAAATTGATCAGTCCCGCACCCTCTGTATCAAGGTCGATCACGGATCTTACGATGGCACCTTACTCCGCATTTTCGATGACCAATTCAAAGCCTTCGTAAATGGCAGCGCTGCACCATCCATCTATCCTTTCAAGCACTACATCGACTGGCTGCACCATGAAGATCGCGAGGAGCACCTGAGTTACTGGACTTCGCTCTTGGACACCTATCAGCCACCCACCGCCCGCGATCTTCCTTTGGACCCTGTCAGCGACCGACTAAAGTTCTCCATCCTCGACTTCGATGTCGACTCAGTTGCTGAGAGGCTCGGAGTCACTGCATCGACCATGTTCCAAGCCGCATACGCTATCGTCGCAGGCCGACTATTGAACACCAACGACGTGCTCGTTGACAACTTGATCACGGGCCGTAACGCAGGCGTTGACGACCCGCAACTTCTCAACGGCACCTGCGCGAACTTCCTCCCCTTCCGCACCGGCCTTGGCGACGCATCGACTTCTCTTTCAACATTCTTGAAAGATACTCAAGGCCAGTTCTGGGAGTCCACTGAGAACGGCGCAGTCGGGCTGAGCGACATCTACAGGGGTCTTGGCCGGGACCGCCAGGTACACTCGGCGAAGCTGCTCTACTGCTTCCAGCCTTTCGAACCAGCTCGCCCGGGAATGACCGTCAACCACATGCGCTGGCTCGTCATGGCCCAGAGCAAGGTGTTCATGATCGTCAACTATGCTCTGATGGTCGAGGTGCAGAAGACTGTGAACGGATACAGACTGAAGCTTCAGTGGGATGGCAATGCCTTCACTGATGGAGAGATTGATGGACTGCCGAAGATGTTTGAGGCTGTCTTCCGCACAATGGAGGCTGGAGGGGACACCAAGCTTGGCGCTTTGATCGCCGCCTAAGCTCTTAGGCACTTTGCAATGATTTATGATTCAACATTTCGGGAACTTAGAGGGGGCTTTTTGGGTTTCATGTTATTCTTCTATAGATTGGTAGATTGATGGGTTGTTGAGTTTATGGCGTTGGCGAAATGGTCATGGGTTTTTATTAGACAGCTTCCTAGAATATTAGAATACTAGAATATTATTTACGATTATATTAGTGAATCAGTCTCTTTTTCATGCATACCAAACAACTATCACGCAGGTAGGAATACAAGACTACCTAAGAACCCGACCCCTGAATATATCGGGGACCTTCCACGAGCTACGTTGGTAGCAGCTAATTGATATATAGGATCGCCTAGACATTCTAGATTCATGGTTAACGAGGGGTACACTAGCCCAGTTGTTATAAATGGTCAACTACACTCGTCTCACGGAAAGTAACAACTGATCATGGGGCAGTGAACCTCCCCCTCCCCTCTCCTAGTTATCACAGAATTGATCAGGCTTTTATGACGAAATAATCGTGATGGATAGTTCCTGTATTTCTTTATATTATTTCCCCTCTAGAAAAAAAAAATAAAAGTGTCGAGCCATCCCTGCCGGACGAGCAGCCGATTCCGTGACCATCCAGTGCTATCCCATTGTGTTAGGCTTTAACGAAGCCGTAACATACACCGTAGCTTAAAGGTATTCATTGGTTATAGTTATAACATCTACACTACCTTACTATTGGAGGCTTGTTCTATCATTCAAATCATACACTGACACTCTCTGAGTTGGTCGAATCTAGGGATTATGACTAGGTATAGGCCGTCTCCATAATGCTCTGGGGGTGTTCAGCATCGAATAAAATACTATTTTTAGAGCACAACAATAAAAGGCGATTGAATCTCTATTTTTATGAATATATGTTGACTCCGATATCACGCCCTTCCAAGACATTGCTATTAGGTAAGCGAACCCAAGCAGGGGAATGACGAAGTATTTACTCTGGATTTACTCCGTACTTTTCGTACACTACCGAACTATGATATATCTTCCCTGTATCTCCTTCCTTAATAAGGTTTATGATGGACGTAACTCCTACATCCTATATATCTCATTCTGAAGATGTGGGCTCATGTACGTGGATGATGCGACTACCCAAAACAGAGCTTCTTTGCACCGTTCCCACATCCGCTCAGTCATACTGCCTCATTTCCTAGGTATGTTATAGTGATTCTGTCTCAAAAATAAAGACCAAAGTTATAAGAACACTAACCAGACGCTTGAAGATTATTCGGCTCGGCACTGTCACGGGTTGCAATGACGAATCTTCACTATCTCATGACAAGCGCACGATCTACCGTTCGAGATACGGTAGACAAACTCACCTCTGAACTCCGGCATGTCAATCTCGCTCTGCATGGGAATCCAGAGATAGCGTTCCAGGAGTTCGCTGCGCATGATACCATTGCCAACTTTTTAGAAGGACTCGGGTTTGATGTTCGTCGCAGTGCCTATGGATTAGCGACCAGTTTCGAGGTCGAATTCGGCACCGGCGGAAGTCTCGTCGTATTTTGTGCCGAATATGACGCTCTACCCGGAATCGGTCACGGATGTGGTCATAATTTGATTGCGACGTCTTCCATAGCGGCATTCCTAGCCACAGTAGAGGCTCTAAAGCGTAGCGGGCGTCCCGGGAGGGTCCGTCTGCTCGGAACGCCGGCCGAAGAGGCCGGAGGTGGGAAAGCCAAGCTTCTAGATGCAGGTGCGTTTCCAAAAGATACTGCCGCTGCTATCATGGCACACCCAATGTGTGCGCGACAGATTTTCTACGACGTGTCACAGGGTTATCAGGGGCTGGCAGCGCTGAAATTCATCGCGACACACTTGTTCAAAACCGAATTCCATGGAAAGGCGGCACACGCTGCTGCCGAGCCCTGGAATGGAGTTAATGCCTTCGATGCCGCCGTTGCCGCTTACAGCGATGTCGCACTTTTACGTCAGCATATACAGCCCGAGGATCGCGTACATGCTGTGATGGAGGTGGGCGGCACCGTGCCAAATGTCATCCCGGAGTACACACGAGGTACGTGTCCAAATCACAGCGGTGATATCATCTCATGATTACTGATCAGCTTTGAAACTAACAAATCACAGTAAGCATAACCCCTATCTATGTCGCACTGGGGAATGAACTTACAGTTTGAACCTGGTAGATGAGCTGGATGGTTCGAAGCCCAACGATTGAAAGAGCAAACCGACTGCTCGAGCGTGTCAAGGCGTGCATCCAGGCCGGCGCTTCAGCAACTGGATGTCAAGTCACGTATCAAGAGTAAGCTCCGACACAGACCGGCACCACCTCTGAATTAGTGCTTACAGGACTAGGTCACCCTCCTATCTCAACTTGACCGCGAACAAGACGCTCAGCGAGGTGTACGTTGAGGAAATGGCCGCCAACGGTCAAAAGGTCATGTTACAGCAGGAGAAGCCTATGAACGCATCGACAGACATGGGAAATGTAGCTCATAGTTTCCCAACTTTCCACGGTGCTTTTATCGTCCCGGCAGGTGCGGATGTAACTCTTCATAGCAGCGACTTTGCCGAGGCTGCTGGAACCGAAGCCGCTCATACGGTCGCGTTGCACACTGCCAAGGGAATGGCAATGCTGGCAGTGCGTGTTCTCCTTGATGCGGACATCGCGCGGAATGCGAAGCGAGATTTTCGGGACAATCATGACTGGTGATATTGAATAAAACAGTTCATATGACTTTATGCACAAGACCTGATGGTAGGACTTGGGATTGAAGCTTTTCACAACATAATAATCTACTTTTTTTCCAGAGTTCATGCGGATTTCTTCCTAACCGTGGTGGCTAACCTTGACTCTGAAATCATACAACTAAACTAGCCTAACTTCCGAGGCCCGCCAATGTATCCCAATACACTTGCACAGCTAAAGACACACCAGCGTCGAGGAAAATTTGATAACTGTTTCTAAGCGAGGGCTGAACAATATTACTTTTCAAATACGAAGGTGTGTCTCACCCAAGTCTGCAGGTTATACAAGTACAAGGATACGAAGGCGTTCAGCGCACCCAGCGCGTGTGACAAATCCTAGCTTTACGTATGTTTGTTTCTATCACGTCGCGAAAGATGTTGAGATTTTTTTCACGTGATATTCAAATCACCAAGTCATAGCATAAAGTATTGACAGAGAACAGATTCTTATTGACGAAAAGGAAGAGATGACTAAAGATAGTTCATGCTATAATAACATTTAAACCTGGCTGAATTATTGAAACATGGCTTCCAGGGGGGTTTTTCCTTGAAGGCATTGAGTCAATAAAACAGGAGAGAAGAAGAGGAGACCCAAGGAAATCCGGATGTATAGGGAAGGAACAACAACGACAACAACTCCAACTAGTGGTGGCCCACAACAGTCTATGTATCTAGATCTATCAACAAAGAAAACAACGAGGTTTGGAATTTTAACAGTTGCCTGAGATCTCACAGGCGATCTTCTCGGCGAAGGCATCTAGCACAGTGTTAGTCAATCTGAAATCATTCATGTATGCGACGAGGTGCATGAGACTTACAAGCTACGGACTGAGGGTGTCCCGCAGGAAGGAGAGGGAAGGAGGACAAGTCGACAACACGTAAGCCGTCTACGCCCATGACGCGGGCCTGGGAGTCGACGACAGCGTTTTTATCGCTGCTCTTGCCCATGGCGCATGTGCAAGCTGCGTGCCAGACGGTGTTGAAGTCTTTGCGGATGGCCTCCTCAATCTCAGCATCGGTTTGGACTGATGGGCCGGGGAAGTACTCGTCGCCAATGACAATGCTTTGCATAGCGTCGGAAGCGTAGAATTCACGGGCACGCTTGAATCCGGCAATCATAACATCGATGTCAGTCTGGTCAGTGAGGAAGTTGGGGTTGATCTGAGGGTGGACGGCGGTGTCAGGAGAGGTGATGGTCACGGATCCACGGGAGCGCGGCGCGCCAAGCGTGACAGCAAGGGAGGCGTAGTTGAAACCATCGAGGGGGTCAGTGTGTCTTGAGTCTTGGAAGTTTCCAAGGAGCGCTGCGATCGAGATGTACTCTAGCTCGGGCCAGTCAGCTGGGTAAGCGGCCAAGGCAGCCTTAGTGCGGTTGCTCCAGTTTGTCTGCAGTTCCTCAGGGGTCTTCTCCCAACCGAGGACTTCCACACCAGTGCTGGTATAGATACCGCTTGCACTCTCGTCAAACAGCCTGGCCTGCTCTGCGGCAAACTCAGGGTCATTACCAATAGCAGAGAATGTAGGGCCATTGACGCGGTATGAGACGCCGTAGAACACATGGTCTTGCATACCCTGTCCAACACCAGGCCTGTCCGCGACGACTGGGATGTTGAGAGATTGCAGGGCCTTCTTTGGTCCGACACCAGAAGCCATGAGGATCTGAGGTGAGCCGAAAACACCAGCAGAGAGGATGACTTCCTTGCGGGCAGAAAGAGTATACTTGAACCCCTCCGTATCTACCATGACGCCTGTGGCCTTCTTGTTGGCGTTAAAGACAATCTTCTTAGCCAGAGTCAGAGGGTAAATGGTATAGTCAGGGTGTCCCAGGGCGGCGCGGAGGAACGAGGTTTCAGAAGACTCCCTGTTCATATTCTGGGCGTTTACAGTAGAAGCAGTCCAGGCATTTCCAAGCAGTTTTCCGCTCATGAAGCCATCAATTCCAGGGATTCCAATTTGCTCAAACGCCTTTGTCGTCCATGTGCCGAAAGCAGTAGCGAAGTTAGAATAAGTAACGGAAAGGGGTCCGTTTCCATTACCCACAACCTTCTCGTCAAAATTAGGGGTAGAGTTCGAAGGACGCAGGTTCATGTTTGGTGGCGTAAAATTCATGCTCTTCTCGAAAAAGGGGAGAAAACCATCGATTGCGTAACTCTGGTCGCCGACCATATCGGCCCATTCTTGGAAAGTGTCCGCAGTAGGACGCTGATAGACCATGTAGTTTCTGCCAGAGGTGCCGCCAAGAACCTTGCCACGAGCGTAGTGCATTGTCTGGTTGAAACCGCCCTAGCAATGAAATCAGTTCATACCCTATGTTCAAATTGCATTGTAACTTACAGCTTGTGGTTCAGTGATGTAGCCCCAATCGACTAAAGGTTGCCAATCATGAATGCTCTTCCATGAGAAGGCAGTATCAGTGCCTGGAACCTGGCTGAGGTTGCCATTGCTGATTTCGTAGAATGTTCCCGCCTCCACAACCGCGACACTTCCAGCGTTTTGCTCAATGAGCCTAGTAGCCAAAGCAAGACCGGTGTTTCCTCCACCAACGATAACATAGTCGTAACTCGCGTCGTCACCAGGAATCCCAAAAGACGAGCCTAGTGGAACGTCTGCTTTTGCCCAAGAGGCGAGCAACAAGGCTCCGACCGCCGTGCGGCGAGCAGCTGCCATAGGAGAGGCACCCAGCATGTTGAAGTCGTTGTGAAGTTTGTTTTGATAGTAAGTATTGCAGATATCTCTGTGAAATTGGGCTGATGAGGGAGAAATTTTGAGGGAAGAAAACAGGAGATATCTACGCTTTTTATACACAATGAGGCTCCAGGAAGCCCTTCACTTCTTACATCGAATGTGGAGGTGAGCGAGTCCTCGGGTACCACCGCCATGGAACCCAAATTGCAAGTTCCATGATGTCACTGACCCTATGATCACGACGGCTGAATCCTTCAACCTCTGAGGCATTAGTAATAGCGTGGCCTTCATGATTGTGACTCACCGATTGGAACATCTCAAGATGCTCGCAAGCGAATATCAGTCATCGGCAGCCTAGGGCTCGGCTAGGAAGGACTTGTTTCGCGTTGAGACTGTTCTATTTGGGGCTTAGAGAGTATATCTCTTTACCCAAAGGAGTTTTTTGCGACACGGCGGCGTATCTGTCGGAAGGATTCTTCAGTCTTTGCTTTTTTACTGTGTCTCTCTTGGGAAGACAAGATAAGCATGAGCCTCTCAGGGCCCGTTTCTTGTATCCCTACAGCCAGATTAGGAGACAGGTACCAAGGCTGAGCCTCGCCTTATCATCAGCTGAGCAGCACTTCGAGTATACACGGCTGGGTCCCATGACCACAAGCGATAAGGCTGACACGCGTAAGGGCGGAGATGAGCTGAAAACCGAGGCGACACGGCCCAGACAATCGGTAGGGCTCTGTCAAGGCACCCATAGAAAAGGACCAGGCATGATAGAGCACAGGCACGACGTTCATGCTCCAGTAGCTGTCAACTTATTATTAGCCATACGCTGACGATAGAGATAATGCCCAGCCACGTGGGGTTAGGTATTTTATGCAAAAGAGCCGTATAGCTATGTGTTGTATGGGGATGCTATAATCAAACAAAGTCGCAACATATATCGCTTGATATCTGGATACTCTATGGCCTTATTTGATGCGATGTGATTCATCTCTCCTCGCAGATACATAGAATTTCCGCACAGCGTAGCAGACAATGCTGCATTCAGAGCATAGTAGTTTATCTGGCTGGCCGTCGACCATCATGGCACTTCAAGATCCAGACGTCAATACTCAAATGTATACACAGTAGATACGGTAGATAGAACGTGAGTGCAAAGGATGCGAGTGTGGTAGTACAGAATCCTTGTTCCTGACTAAGCTTGACTGACCTAGCTGACCGACTGACCGAGTGGCCCAGGCCCGTCTACCTGGATTCCAAACACTTACCACGTCCCTTGTACGCCACAGCTATCCCGGTCTGCGAGTTGTGGCTAGTCTCATTCGTATATGGCGAGCGCGCATAAGAGAACTTTGTGTTCACAGTCTATAAGGCATAGTAGGAATCGTAGGAATCGTCCCGGATAAATAACTGCTTGGTGTTCTACCCCTAGGGCAGGGTGCAATCTCGGAGCTTCAGGAGTTGTTCTTCTGCTGACTCCGGGCCGGGGACCGTTGCATGCTTGGCGAGTTGGAGTTGACGTGAGATGTGTTGCAGTGTAGGGGGGGTACCTACATCAGACCTGCATATGCTCGTGGATCACGCATTGCGGTATTGAACCGTTATACGCTGTCGTCGCATTATATCGCTGTATCCAGGATAGGTTGGATCCCGTCTCCGAGTCGGACCTCATCTCGCTTAGGGTTGTATCTCCGCTGATTCATTGGCTGTCTCTTGGCCCTCTTGTCCCTCTTGTCTTGCGCGAAACCCGCGGATATTTCGGACATCTACCCACCAACCCCCCACCCCCCTCGGTACATGGATGCGCAGTTCAGGGCCCTGAGCTAGGTGTGGTCGGATCCTTGTCAACTAAGACCAACCGTCCATCAGGCCCGCTGCGGCTCACTGTCGTCATGGTCATGAATGTCCCTGTTTAGAGACGGGCAGGGCAGCGCAGGTGGCAACGTCGCGCCTCGTGTCACCTCACTCGCTATCTCGATCATACGTAATCACACCTCCCCCTCTTCTGTCTTATCCGTGGAAGACATCTCAGTTCCCTCACAGTTTCCGCCTCGAAAAAAGATGTCGGTCGCGCCGTGGCTTCTGTGATATTGAACCAGCAATGTACACTACGTTCCAAGCCGGGGCTGCCACCGTTGCCGAATTAGGTCAGCCTCCCGAAGTTCCGGCACCCCAGAAGTCCCGCCGAAAGAGAGCCCAGGTAGCGAGGGCGTGTGATTGGTGTCGGGTACATCGTATTCGATGTGACAATAGCCACCCGTGCTCGAGATGTATCGAGAGAGGCGGCGAGTGTACCGTCCAGGGCAAGACTGACATACGCAACATCTCTTCGCCTCAGGCTTACCGCACCATCGAGCGTTTAGAGCAGCGAGTGCGCGAGTTGGAACAAGAACTCGAGAGCCATCGCAACCCGACGCTGCCCGGCGGCTCGTCTCGCGCATCACCCCGTACCCCTGCTAGCAGGCTCCTGTCTACCCCCCCTGAGGGGGCTGGCTCTCTAGAGCCTCTCATCAGCGAGCAGATAGACAGAAGTGGCATAGCAGTGCACGAGGGGATTCGCATTCGTACGGCACAGTCTCAGTATGAGACGTGGTATGGTCCTGGATCTCTGTACTACTTCATCAGGCGAATGAACGATTTTCTGAACTCGACCTTACGACAAAGCCGTTCAATCAACCGGATGCTGCCCGATGCCGAGACAAATCTATTTGATGAACCGACCCAGAGCGGCATTGGCAGCCATAACAGTCCGGCGGCTCCCGTCGTTGGGAGTGGCTCAGTTACCGCCGGAGACGCGCTGACACCAACACAGGAAGAGTACGTACTGTCTCGTGCCCTTTTCAATATATATGTTGCGATGTTCCTTTTCTGTTGTGCATCACTTGTAAATGTACTTGGCATATATCAAACCTTGGAGAGAAAATATGTTGACTCTCGATTTTTCAATAGGTATTTTATTAGTCTGTATTGGCAATCCTATCATACCATCCTCTTCGTACTTGACGAGGCTGCATTCAAGGAGCATTATCATTCGCTATGGACAACCAAGGGCCAGGAACGCAAGCCTTCTGCGCTTGTCGACATTGTCATTGCGTTATGCATGCAGTACGGCATGGCATCAAAACCAGGTTTAGGGCAAAGCGGTATCTCGGGAAGTCCCGAAAGCGAGGGCCGTGACCCAGTCGTCGCTGGTCGCTGGTATTATCAACGCTGCCAAGCCCTCCTTGCGAGCCAACTGGAAAGCCCTACCCTGATCACGTTGCAGTGTCAGATCTTATCAGCATCATACCTCTGCGTTGGGTGTTATCCCAACATGGCGGATAGCGCCTGTGCTTTGGCTGTGAGGACCGCCTACATGCTAGGCCTGCATCTCGAGCCACCGTTAGACATGCCAAAACGCCAGAGAGAGATCCGGAAGCGTCTGTGGTGGGCACTATACGTCCAAGATAGTAAATTCAGTATGAAACTGGGCCGTCCATTTCTGTTAAATCCCCCTAACGCTACCTGTCACCTGCCAGGAGATGATCGAGAAGAGGCACTGTCTTCTGGTTCTTTCTTCACTCCGATCGGAGACGGCGTCACGTGGCTCACCTTCAACGTGGAGAATATCAAACTTTTTCAGGAATTCCGTGCAGCGTACAAGGCGTTCTACAGGGGTCCGGGGGCGGTTAGCATTTTCATGGACCAAACCGGCAAGGATGCGTCCGTTGCCATCGAAGCCCAGGCGAATTTTGTAGTTCCATATCTAGAGCGCATCGAAGATTGGGTAAAAGGGGTTCCTCAGACCCTCACAACTAAACGTGCTGGCAACGGAGTTCCATTCTCGACTGATGGCTCTGCCTTTGAGATCGAAGAATTCGCGTCTCTCTGGCTCCAGCGACAACGGCTTCTGCTGGAATTGATTTTCCATCATCTATCCATCAATCTATATCGTCCGTTCATCCGTTTCGGTGCGTGGTCAGCGGACACTCCGGTGGCAGACAAATACGCCACACAGTGCGCCGCTCACGCGATAACCCTAACCCAGGCCATGCATCATGTTAACAAATCAACCTCCATTCTCAAGGGATGGAATGAGGCGTTCCAGTGGCAATGGAACGCCGTCATGTCACTGGTGGGGTTTGTGTTTGCTTACCCAAGTCATCCTCTAAATCCGGCAGCGCGGAATGCAATCGACCAGTCAGTGTCGGTTTTCGAGTCTTTCGGGGGGTGTCTCTCGCCTGCGCAGAAAGCAGTGCCCATCATCCGCGACCTCAGCGCACAGGCCGATCTGCTCTCGAAGCAGACGCTTGGCCTCGAGAGTTCCGTCTCCAGCGCGCAGGAGCAGCCTCTGATAGCTCTCGGCGACCTCCGCTTAGACTTTGAGAACTCGACTGGGAATACTAAGTGGGGGAATTCGGGGGCTGCTCAATACGGATTTTTGGATGAGCTAAGTAGCGCCGCATTCCACGGCATGCTGTCACAGTCTATGGACATGGCGTACTCGGTCGACGCTCAACACTTCGAGATGCTACCAATGCCGTGGCCGGACGTCAATAGTTATCAAATTTCCCAGTGGACCTAGCACATTGTCGTGAATTCATAGATTAAAGTAGAAGTAGATTCGTACGTGTCGTTCCTTTCGATTATTAGTCGTTCCTTTGTATTGCAGGGAATGTTTCAGGGGCGGGCTATCTGATTCATTTAGAGCGTGCGCAACTGAGTATCTGGGTATGAACACATTAGCTTTCAATCAACACATTCTTTAGCACAAACTCATCTTTCTTTGTGCCGAACATGTCTTGCTGCTAAGCATCGCAACATCGAAAATGCTGTACTTTAAATTCATGCTGCTGAGTTCTTCAGGCGACGGCAGACAATTAGGTTCTAGACCGTTATGTATCGCATCGCGTTATTGATTAATATGCCTCGATTCATGACTCGGTGGTGGCCCTATTCATAACGCAGTACATGTCACGTTTAGTATAGCAGCACAAGGGGGGATAATGAAAAAAGTAGCTTGGATTCATTAGCTTTCTATATGCGTAGCCGCGCTGTTTTTTACCCCAAATTCCCGCAAATGCTTATCTATGACCGTTCAAATGAAATTCCACCCATTTACTGGGCTGTCAAGACCGCTCTCAGGTGGATGTCACCACGCTTCAGCTTCTCAAATGCCTCCTGGATGCCCGCTTCCGTCATGGGGAAGGTTTCAATTGTTGGCCTGATGTTGTGCAGAGCAGCAAATGCAAGCATCTCGCGGTGAATGTTCCTCGATGCGACGAGAGATCCCTGGATAGCAATTCCCTGGAACACGATGGGCGAGTAGGGGATCTCCAAGTTGCCGCTCGCTACTGAGAGTGGGTAGATGGCAGATCCGGGCGCCATGATCGGCAAGATCTGCTCCCAGTTGGGCTGGAATGAGGTAGTCACGAGTAGTCGGTCGATGGGTGTCGAGACCTCGAGCTTATCCTTGCCCTTAGTGGCAATAAACTCGTGGGCGCCGAGCCTCATAGCTTCCTCTTTCTTCGACTCAGAACCTGAAAGCACGACGACTTTGTTGCCCATCTTGGCGGCGAATTGGATGGCGAGATGGCCCAAGCCACCAAGTCCCATTACTGTAATTGTCTTGGTCAGGTCGGGGGCTCAAGGGATGAAACCGGAGAGTAGAAAGGGCTACTTACCACCAATGGTCTCGGTCGGCTGAGTGTTGTAAGCCTGCAGAACAGCAAAGACCGTAGCGCCGGCGCATTGCAGAGGAGCAGCGTCAAGATCGCTCATGTTATCGGGGATCTTGTGGAGGAAAGCCTCGCGGAAAATTGCGTGAGAAGCGAAGCTTCCCTGGTCGAGGTCCTGGTTGCCGTAGGTGCAGCGGTGAACACAGTAGGTTTCATTACCGGTCAAGCAGTGACGGCAGTGGCCGCAGCTGTCGTGTTCGTAGCCGAAACCCACGCGGTCGCCGACTTTGAGGTAAGTGCAGTTAGGGCCCACGGCTTCGACGACACCAACGCCTTCGTGGCCGAGAACGATGTCTTGGTTCACCTGTTTCGACCGATTAGCTTGGATCAGGGGTAGAATAGCGTGTTTCTCACATAGTGGAGATCTGAACGGTAATGGTTAGCGGCTGTCTCTATTATCTGCATTGTAGGTAGGATTGAAGCTCACCTGTGCCACAGAGACCCGAGGCAGTGATTTTCATAAGGACTTTGTCACCCTCAAGAGCATCGGGCTTGGTGGTTGTGCCTTGCACTGGGATGCCGGTCTTAGAGCCCTTGAAAACTGTGAAGGAGACCATGGTGAAGATGGTGAGTGTTTAAGGTTTGATGTTTTGAAGGATGTGGTGGTTGTTGTTGTTGTTGTTGCTGTAGATGTTGAGACTCAAGTCTGATGTGATGATGTTGTTGTTGTTGTTGTTGGTGATGCTTCTTCCAATTTCATATCAGACAAGTTGTCATTGCAATAGATATATATATTCGAAATGGTGTGCACTCTTTCTCCCTTGGGAATATCTAACCGGTCCATCGGGAGGGACTATCTCCTCGCATTTCCAATCCAAAGGAGAATAGTTAGGCCTCAGCGTTGACGATATCCAGTTTGGTAATTGAGAAAAATCGGAGAGGCTGCATGTTGGTGTGCCTTGCATACACAGATTGGTCATTGCTACACAAGTCCGAGCAACATTCTGTCGGTGAGCGCCATCACGCTAGGGTGTGCCGAAGCTAGGGATAGAATGTTTCACTCCTCTCGACAACTTCGGGCAATAGGAGTTTGCAACATGAGGGCAAAAGAACTGAATTTGTCGATTCACTCGGAGTCTTCAAGATGTTGGTTGACTATCATAATATCAAAGTGTCTTCCGTGACTCCTGAGTGAACGAATGCTCTCAACTCCGGAGCTCCATGAGACTCCTTTGGGGATAGTGCGGCTCAGACTCCGGAACCCCTGTTGATTTCCTATTTGGATAACCACTGGTGATTGCTTTTGGAGCCAATGAGGAGCTATGATGTCTTACTTCTAAGCCTACGGTATTACTTTTTGTACCCATAGTGCGTAGGTGGCTCAGTAGGTAAGTAAGTACCTACATCTAAATAGAAATGTGCCTAACTTTATTACCTCAACTTCTGTGCTTCTTAACCAGTGCTGATGATGCCTTTCATTTCACTGTCTCTCTCCTATCTGTCCATCATATGGTCTCTAATGTTTTGTCGTTTGATAACAGCTTTAATCGGACAATTTTTCATGTTGTCGCTGCAGTGTACTTAGGAAATCTATCAAACAGCGCGTCAAGGGTTACATCAGATTCCTAATCGGGGCCCATCAACAACTCCGGATCAACGATGCATGTCCATGAGAGCGGAGTCGCCCGACCGTATTTCGCAATGGCAAAGCAAAATACCAGTGCTAGCAAACACAAACACATGTCTTGAAATGCGAATTGCGGCCGCTTGCTGACGTGCTACTTGATTTTCCACCGAATCTCCTATCAGACCACCGGGGCAAATGTCAATCCAGTGGCTTTAATGCAGATGCGACACATATGCCGCCACTTGGTGAGCTTTGTGGCACATCTACTCTATTGAAGTTAAGACCTTACACTGACATATTCGGAGTATGCATCTATTGCCGACACTCGTAGAATCGAATGCTTAGAGTAGGGCAACCGCATGCCGAAAGTCCTAATGATTCAGATGGTTAAGCTATTAGTCAATTTAATGGGCGACGCTTAGTCACGAGGTCTTAAAGGGATACTTGTGCGGGTGATCTTCTCGTCGACATGTCAGCGGTGAGGTCAAGTGACGTTGGTAACAATAATACTATCAAGGAAAGGAAGAAGATCTTCGATGAACATCTCACCCCTATTACAGTTTTGTAAGTACACTTCAAGCGACCAAGTAGTTTCTCGGGTTGGTAAACCTAAGTGAAAATATTGAACATCGGTTGAAAGGACAGTAGGGAAAGGCTGTCAACTTTGGGTATACCTTGAATTCCTCCCCGCCTGAATAGCTGCTGTGCTGTTGTATTGTGGCGCGGAGTAGTGGCACAGTTACACGTAGAACCACAAGTGGCTGGTGTATGCAAATGCCGTTCAAAATGTACCAACAGTATCACAGAATGTGACCATCTCCGCTCCGAGTATTTCTCAGCTTCTTACTACTTTGTCTAGCAGTAATCATGGTATCACAGCTCGTTTTCCCTCAGCATGAAATTCCAAAGGTCGTGTTTGCTGTCTATCTGACGCTAGGAAAGAAGTGACTTGTAAGTCCTATAGATGGTCCTGGTCATGTCCCCTGGCGGTAGTGAATGAGCGCGCGCTGAATCCATTGCGCTACACCAAGTTCTAGAATCCTACTCCTGCTTGAACACTGTCTGACACTTCCTAGCTTCAATCCCTACCTGCGCCGGTGCGCCTTATGTTCTATCAGCGGCTCTCAGGCCGCAGTCCTGGTCCATACGGGAAGCCACTTCGACAGGAACACCTTCACATACCCATCCTCGATGATCTTCGGCGGTGTCCGCATAGTAGCACTGTCCCGCTGTAGCACCCTGGTATCCCATGAGATGCCGTCAGAGTCATAGCCGTTGACTCCGTTGATACCATTGACACCATTGATACCATTGGTACCGTTTACGCCATTAGTACCGTTAACCCCTTTGGTACCATTAACTCCGTTGGTACCATTGATCCCTTTAGTACCGTTGACGCCGTTGACTCCGTTAACTCCCTTGACCCCATTGACCCCGTTGACCCCGTTGACCCCATTTACCCCATTGACTCCATTGCTCGCCTTGACCCCGTTGGTTCCGTTGGTTCCGTTGGTTCCATTAGACTGGTGAGCCCCATTAGTCGCGCTTGGCTTGTGGGCCGCTTCCTTGCTGAGGCTCGACTTGTATCGATCTTCAAAGTAGTCTAGGAGCTTCACAGCCGGGTTGTACTTCTCATTACCGCGGGCGGCATCCTCCCTCAGTAGTTGCAGCCACTCGGTGAATGATACGGCCTCGAAATCTAGACCAGCATCCTTGAGGGCCCAGAGAAGCCTCTTCCAAGAGAAGGTGTCGGGGTTCGACATGTTGTAGAATACTGGCGGGTTGACCGGATCCAATACATGCGGCCTCGGTGATGCCCGTAAAGTGTCATCAATTTCCAGGAACGCCGTGGCTAAGGTATTTACTGGAAGCCATGAGACGTCCTCACTGAGTACTGGCAGTGCCTTCAAGGAGAGTACTGATCGGAACATGGATGGCACGAACTCGGCATCGTTCCACTGTCCATTTTCCAGGTCGCCCACGACTTGCCCAATTCGCAGCACATAACTGCGTGCCCCTGCGCGGGCCGCATTGACTACCATGTGCTCACCGACCAATTTAGATTGAGCATACCCCATAGGCGTAGCCTGGGTGAAGTCATCAATGGGCTTTTCCATGATTCGGGCTGGCGTCGGCGTGTTCTCTGCCGTTGAGATAGAAGATGCGAAATAGAGCCGAGCGGGTTCCGGGCGGCGGACTGCGAGAGAGAGTGCCAGGAGCCAGTGTAACCCAGCCAGCTGAGGCTCGAAACTCTGTATCTGGATATTGAAGTTCACGGGCCAGGCCATGTGGACAATTAGTGATACCTCATTCTTAAACTGTTCGACGAGTGTTTCCGAGAGGCCGAAGTCCTCGCGGCTGAAGTCCACAGAGATGGCCACAACCTTCTCAGGAGCCGACAACTCGAGGCCACGTTGTTTCACGGAAGCTAGGACTCTGCCCATTGGGTCTGATCCTCGAACGAAACAGTATACCTTTCGGATATGTCTCTTCGCAACCATCTGGACGAGAATGTGCGCACCAATTGAGCCAGTGGCCCCGGTTAAGATCTGCATTCATGTCAGCTTGCATTCAAGTTTAACTTGGCACGGTGTACTTACGGCAACTTCTCCAAAGGCAGAATACTTGTTGATAAGCTCACGCATGACGGGAGTTCTGTCTTCTTCCTCATCTCCTAGACCCTGGGCGAGGCGGTACAGATGAGCTGCCAGCAGCTTGATGTTTCCTTTCTCGTAGATGACGTTGTTGCTCAACCGGTGGCCGCCTAGATACAGAGTTTTCTGGATCGTTCGTCTCATCTGAATAGAATTAAGACTGTCGATTCCAGCATTGAAGAAGTCGGCATCAACTGAGTCCAACTGGATGTCCATCACTTCTTCGTACGTCTTCTTGAGGAAAAGTTCGAGATCAGGCAGACTCAGCTTGAGAGTACCTTCCTGCCCATCATCAAGCTTGGCATACAGCTCGTCAATCGTGTCCGCGAAGTGACGGTACACTTGCGCACGGATGATGCTACCCTTGTCCGTTCTAGGATAACTCACATCCGAGGGTATCACAGCGACCATGTACTTGCTGATCTGGGAGAAGCCCTCGGCGCGCGAGTTGGCATCGGCGATTGTGGGCCATACAGCGTCAAGATATTCGTCGTCCGATATGCTGTCAGCTGACTGCGCCCTGAAGAGTAACACGCCAGGAAGCGCTCGGTCAACGCCCACAACAACCGCTTCGCGAACGAGCTCATGCTCGCGAATGCAGCCTTCGATCGGTAATGGCAGGACCTTCTCGCCGTTGCTTAAAGTAACTCGGTCATCCAGACGGGTCATATACTTCCACACGTCGGGTATAGTTGGGTGCGGGACAAAAACATCCCTTGAACGCCAAGGCTCGCCAGAAGCAGATTTGAAAAGCCCCGGATGACTGCGAAGAATGACGCACTCATATTGGTTGTCCCCGATCGGGTCCATGATGACGTGCTCTCGAACGTTGGAATAGATGCGCACATAGTCCCATGAGTCGTCATCTTCTGCGCGTCGCATGGTGTCTCCCAAGAGCCCTGCTTCTGTGAATCCAAAAACAACGCCAACATGAACCTTTTCTTTGACTAAGCGGTCTCCAAGCTCGTCTGGGGTTCGCGCGCCAGCAGCTGTGACCATTTTGGCCGACTTCAGAATCTCCATGCCCCTATCTGTCTCTGCCAGCAAGCCGAGTGAGTAGGGTACGACATGGATGACCTCAGGTTTGATGGCCTCTGTGGCTATCAGAAGATTCTCTGTCGTAATCGGCAAGCGAGCGCTATAAAGATTCGCCGTCTTGCGCATGTACATGGCTTGTAATGTAGTTGATAAGCCATAGATGTGGTATAGCGGAAGCACGGCGAAGTTGTGCATTCCAGCACCCTGCAGAGGATGAGTCAGGAGACTCTTGTGGCTCAATGAAATGGGCTTAGGTAACCCCGTGGAGCCGGAACTGTGCATTATCAGGGCAATATCGTGGGTTTCACTGTCCCGATCGACCTGACGCGCGAAAGATTGCCCCTCATCGGATGGTGGTGACGAGTACTGTGCTCGGCTGGGGATAGAGATCTTCGTCAAAGACTTCTCTTGCTCGACAGCCGCGAGCGTGTTCAGGATTTGCGAAGAGTCTCCATGAACAATGGCGCCACAACCTGTTTGTTTCAGGAGGTTGACAATGGCCACGGGTGCAAGACGTAAAGACAGGCACAGAACAGTATAGCCGAGTCGGCTCAGCGCGAAGAATGTGACGATGTAATCGACATCAGATTGTCCGAAAATTCCAACTACCTCTTTTGCGCCCTAATTCAGAGTTTAGTATCCATTTTAAGTTTCTGCGAGGCTTTCCCAGTCTTACCGGCTTCAGGCCTTGGGCAATCAAGTGGTTCGCAGCTCCATCAATGAAGGAATCGAGCTGTTGCCCAGTGAACTTCTCATAGTCGCTCAGGTCGTTGTCATTTCTAGGGTATCCCAAGATAGGGACTTGGTCAGTATCCGCTGCACGATAGCGGATGATGTCGTCCAACACCTTCAGCTCCCCGAAGGTGCTGTACAGCTCCTTCACTCGTTGCTTCGTAAGGTGCGCCATTTGGTTGCTTAGAGATCAAGGAGGTGCTGAAGGTGTATAGAACCTGATAGAGCGCTGACCTGGTCAGTTTTTTTTCGATGACTTTCGAGGCCTGAGCTGTTGATAAGAACTATATGATCTGTTGAGCTCTTTCGTAAACAGTTTGCCACTTCATTCAGATCGTTGCGCAAGTCTCCAACATGACTCCGGAATCTACTCAAGTCCGAGTATCCTACACTTCCCCTTTTGAGACCGGAACTCGCTTTCAGAGAAAACACGTCTGTTGATGCCGTTACATTTCGTCTATGTCGTCCTCCTATGGGTAAAGGCTGCAACCTGCTCGTGATACATTGGAGTAAGGACCCTTACTCCATACTTGCAGGACCCTGACTCCATTCTAGCAGGACCCTGAATCCGGAGAACGAAAGATCGGTGTTTTCCTGCATCGCATTGCATGAGTATCCCACCTCACTTTCGCCCCAGACGAGTAAGTGTCTATAGAAGGCCGCGATCGGAATGGCAAGAGCATTGGCGCGTACCGTCCCCCAAGATTCATCTGATAAAACTGCAAGAATATGCGAGAAATTTTGTTATTACGTGAGACCCACTGATATCGGAGACCCTGGCATGTCAGCATAACTCGCATCTGTTTCATTTTCCAGATGTGTAAGCGAGAATCCTACCTTGAAGCAGGGAACAGGGCCAGCACCAGCACGGATTGAGGTGTACTCATCCAACGTCCGGAGATAAGAGGGTCAGTAGCTTGTCCAACAGTCTTTCCCAAGCGCTGACCATTCGCCCAATTCAGTAGTTCGGGCATCTTTCGAAGGTGAAGCTTCGTGTCTTGCACTCGAGGTTGAGGCCATTCAACTCAAAACAGGGGCTGTCTACACAGCAGCAATAAAGCCCTAAATTATCGTGGTACCACAGCGGAGCCTCCTGGTACGCGGCCGCAGCCTGAGCCGATTTGCGTATTCCTGTGTATCGCCCAATGCAGAAACTAGGATTTGGAGTCACCTGAGATGCATTATTTCGACCGCAAGTCCGCGATTGTATAACCATTACCTGTCTTGTGCAGCCGGCGTCTCAACGATCGACCGCTCTTGGACATGTCAGAAACAAGACATGCGATGGATGCAGATCAGATTATCGTGAACTCAGTCAAGATGCTCATATAATATCACATCTAATGCAGGACTGCTCCTGTGCGAGTAAATCATATACTATATTAAAATTTGCACACGACGACCTTATACTTTATCAACGGGACAGGCAATTCACAGCGGCTTTCTATACAATATCAAAGTGATTGTTGCGCAAGCGTCCTACGCCATGTCTCGCTCAGCTTCATCGCCAGCGGAAAAGACTGCGAGCTCCTCGGGTTGGACCCCAGAGGAAGAGTATGTATACTGCCCAATGTTCCATCCAAGTTGTATAACTGGCTATCATTCTTACCATTACCTGCATTGTCTGACACATGGGTTGACACAGTGCGCTATTGAGAGCCGCAGTCGCTGAGAGTAAGCATAACCTACCATTTACAGTGCGATCCTAGTAAATTGGTACTAACGCTTCTATTTTGAATAGGAGGACAATCTCGTAAGACCATAAAGTGGCAGAGCATAGCCCGTCAACTTCCCAATAAAACCAGTCAAGAGTGTCGCAAACGGTGGTACTATCACTCCTCACAACCTCTTCGCCGAGGGCCGTGGTCTCGAGAAGAGGATACGAAACTCTGCTTAGGAGTTCGTCAGTTTGGCACAAGATGGATCAAAGTCGCAGAACTGGTAGGAACACGGAACGGTGACCAGTGCTACAAGCGATGGACAGATAGTTTGGACCCTCAGATAGACAAGAGCCCTTGGACGGCCGAAGAGGTAAGCAGACAATCAATCCTCCACAGACGACTCTTGCTTGAAGTGTCTTGTTGACCAATAGCATAGGACTCAATATTACTCGAAAGTGTCCAGAAGATGGGCAGGAATTGGAAGGAAATCGTAAGCGCGAAACTGCCCTACCGGACAGGGCTTGCAGCCAAGAACCGGCATTCGCTTCTCCAGCGGCAGATCCAGAATGGTCAACTCGTTGCATCTACCCACTCGGATGAGTCGGAAGATGGGTCACCACCCCCAGCCTCCACTTATCCACCTTCACCGGACGGCTGCGACAACAGTATGTCAGATTGGGCAGCTCAGACGGGAACCCCAAGTGATCACCATGAACCCAGCTTCAACATGTCAGAGCAATACGATGGCAGCATAATAAATCTCGACTCCTTCTATTGGGAAATGAGTCCTGATTTCAACAATAATATGGAGCAAGTAGAGTTCTTCGAAAACGCCGAGCTCTCAACGGCGGATTCTCTCTCCACGCTCGACTATCAGGCATACTCTACCTCAGCATCAACGTCGCAGGAATGGCATTCGGTAAACGGCATGTTCTCCGGTGGCGATAATACTACCCTGCTTGACTGGGATCCAGCTTCTCCAACACAACAAGCACAGGAACTCTTCGTTGCCCCGCAAGGCCAGGAGTATACGACAAGAGACGTTATCTTAAAGGCAACTTGTTATGAGGGACATGCCGAGTTTGCGATGGAGGAGATGGCAAAACTTGCCAACGGATTAACACTAAAGGGCCGAGTCAAGAACTTCAGTTTTTCGGCGCAATAGGTCGGCTACGGTGCACCAGATTTCTAGCCTCTTCATAGGTCCGGCGTCCCCTTTGTTTCTTAGACATAGAGGAAGAGAGCTTAGATAGTTACGTTACATAACATGATGTATATACATTAGATCATCGACAAGGTCCGTTCATAGAAACGACTATGCATTTAAGCGTTGAGAATTCCGAATCGGGTTCCGCCTCCATGTAACATCAACGTACTGTTATATTGACTCGATGGATCTCGTAATGACATCCTTTTGAACTCCTTCCTTCCATCGTGAGCAATATTCGTTTCTCTTGCTTCGTTTCATGTGTTTAGTGACTAGTAAATCCGATTATCCTTCTCTACACCATAGCGTCTTCATTGAATTGTCGTCGCGTTATAGAATGACATAAACAGAGCCGCACCAGCTTATACTCCGCATGTCATAAATTACCGAGTATTCTTACTCTGGTCTGGTGAATCCGATTGACTCACTCAACCGACAGAGGCATACTCGCATAGATAGTATAGAAATATCTAGCTATTTTCCTCATAATATTATTCTTTTTCATTTACTTGACTAAACTAGCGTTTGACGCTGATTATTCGAAAGCGTAGAACAAATCTCTTAGATCCAGCATCTCATTTACTATATACTTGTGCCCGCGTCGAGATTTGCACCTCGCATTCTTCCTGCTCGCGCACCGTTGACTATCAATTTTTAAACCCTTTCAATCAATAAGGCAGGATGTCTTTTGTCATCACACAAGGCTCCGATAAGGCTATCCATTACGAGACCTCTGAAATCCCCGAACCTCAAAATGACGAGGTTCTAGTCAAGTTCCTCGCTTCCCCCGTCAACCCCCTCGACCTTCTAGTTATAAAGGGGGCTTATCCAGTGCGGCCAAAATTCAGTCAATCCGGAAACCCTATTCTAGGCTACGAGGGTGTCGGGGAGGTCATCAAATGCGGCAGTAACGTCACACGCTATCAACCCGGCGACCTGGTCATACCCAGCACGTTCGGCGTGGGAACCTGGCGCTCATATGCCGCTCTAAATGCGTCACTACTACTCAAGATCGACCGCCCGAACGATATTGTCTTCGCAGCGCTGCTCAGAATGGCCATCGCCCCGGCGTATTTCCTCGTCGAGGAGATTCGCACCTTGAAGCCGGGCGAGTGCATTATTCAGAATGCCGGCACATCAACCGTGGCACAATACGTCACGCAATTCGCGGCCAGTCGTGGCGTCTCCGTCATTAGCGTTATCCGTGATCGCTCCTCAGATGAGACGCAGCGCGTCAAGAGTGCCTTACTCGCGGCCGGTGCTGAAAAGGTGTTCACCGAGAGCGAGCTAGCGACTCAAGCTACAGAATTGAGGAAATCTAAGAAAATCGCTTTGGCATTAGATTCCGTGTATGGAGCCTCCGGTTCCTTACTTATGAGTGCGTTGTCAGACGGTGGTACTTTTGTCCACTTGGGATTCCTAGGTGGTAGCACAGGCAAATTGGAGTTAGGGCCCCAGGATCTTTTCGGTCGAAGATTAACCCTCAGGGGGTTTCGGGGCTCGGATCATATGGCTGCTCGCAGTGCCGAAGAGCAGACGAACTTGTTGAATTATTGGATCGCTATGTTAAATCGGAACGAGCTTCAACTCCCTGTACTGGGACTGAACCTCGTAGAGCTAGATTCCGGACCGGCGAGCGGCACAGCTGCCCTTAATACAGTGCAGAGGGCTCAGGAGAGCTCTATTGGTCAGAGGAAGCAGATCTTCCTTCTAAAGTAGTTTTTAAATCCCGCATGAGTCATCAAACGCTGAACGCACTTCTGTTTATTTCATCGTCCGCCAATGGTGAATAAGTTTGTTTTCCTTTCCCATATTAATCGTACTGGATTGGCTCTTCGTGTGATATTACAGGAGGGGATGACGGTACCTAACAGCCCCCAAAAGCAACTTTAGCTCGCTGTGGTGAGCAGATGATGGATCAATTAAGCGAGCAGCTATCCAAGACACACCATTCAGAGAGTCACAGAACCATGCCGACTCCAACCCTTTGCCAAGAGCCCCTGAAATACGACTTCCGCCAGGAAATAAGGTTCCATTAGGATAGTAGTGACAGCGAGGGTGTTATCTAACTTTCGAACACGTGTAAAAAGGACCGAAGTTAGCCCCTTCATGTTAGATACACATTCCGGAGTAATAGTATTAGATCCCTATCCATTCGTTCTATAAGGGTATATATTCACATGCCAACACCTATTCTAAAGTCTTCAATGTTAGCCCTCTAAAAAGAGCAAGGATTCAGCAAGACCATTATGATCAGTGCGATAGTTAACACCTAATTAGCATCTAATCACTTTGTAATAACCACTGAATAGCTAGGCGATGGCGAGCGCATAACAAATCACAGCTAACGTATAATCATGGCCTAATCACTAGATAGCTAATGTGAATAGAAAATGAAGAGGCACTAAGCTAGCATTGAACCCCTCGGAGGAGGTTTATGCTAGGGGTAGCTACATCATACTTTATTTACGTGTATAGAATGGCTACTTCCCTCCACCCCAAGGAATGTGCAAATTTTGAAAATCATTCGACTACTTCATTTGGCCCCTAATTGCCTTCTGTCCTCCAACTCAACTGGGGTAAGCGAAATATTTACTCTGGAATGTCCACCCCTGACGAATCCATGACCCAACTGCCCCCTGTCCGTAATCGAACTTTACTCTGGAAAGAATTTCCCTGACAGCCCCAGCATTCAACTACTGTTCTCTCGATACAACAAAGTCCTTGTTAATATCCTGATTGTGAAATGGGCTCCTTGTGAGCAGCATTGCCAACCTTAACATCCAGCACTTACAAGGACTCGGAAGAGAATTGGACAGACTTGGCCACAATTGAGAGTGCTAAGAATCGTATACTCAACTAGAAACCGTATTTTCAAAAGAGGTAGGATGGTACAGAAGGTGCAGTGGCAAGCCGGATGATTCACGTAAGCGCTGCAATAGTAATTCCCTTGACTCAGCAGCAATGTCCAGGCAATATTTCCGATTAGCGGCTGACAACTAAGCCAGATCATCGTGAGGATCAATATCTAAAGCTGTTGGCAGGGTATTGGGTCCCACCGGTTTACGGCGTGACCTCGACATGTGATTTTAGCTTGCGGAATAGGTAGGCGTGTGAGAGATCGGTATACCCCCTCTCGCCCCTGAACAATGAGGAGAAGCTCAGGGATCAACAGTATTGACCCCTCGGATACTATTCACTTATCTATGGAATTGCCACTGTATATCTACGGCCCATACTTACTCTGGAAATAATACCCCTGAAAGATATGAGTTACTTGATCTTCAACTTCATCCATGCTATTGCCCCACGCCTGGTATACACAAATTGTAAATTGCCATTAGGCTCTGTTATCCGTGAGGCCGCTGACAGCTCCACGAGATGGTAGGCGTACGTCACCAGGTTCTTGCCAGGGGTTAGCCATGCCAATAACTGCATACGGCGTATATCAAGCCTGTTTGGGGCTACCCAGTGATTCTCGACTATCCTAGGTCCCCAAGGGGCGAGGTACATATATACGGTACCCCCAATATAGCCACACCTCGGGTAGATATGATCTCATACCTTGACACGTTGCGTCAATCTTGGTACCGATCTGGCTCGGTCCCGACGCCACGGAGGACTAGAGAGCGGGTACCCAACGACAAGGGCTGTACTTCCCATGCAATGGTAGTGTTCCATCGCCTTTCCGTCTCACTCTTTTACCCGTAGGAGCGTACTTATGCACGACAGCTTCCTTGTGAGTTGCTCCCGGTAGCCGGGACGAAATACCTTGCATAGAGTTAGATCTGAGTGCGTCCCTACATTCAGCTGATGCCCATGCCGCTGAACAGGGATTGACAGAGCTCGGATTACTCTTTACGTGCTTCTATTATGAGAACTTAACATAGGGCTGAGCGTTAATCCCGTGTCACACGAAAGATCTGGCATGCAAGATTTACGAAGTGTACACTAGGACGGACGCCTTGTAGCCTAGCTTACCCTTGATTTCAGAAATATTACGTATCTCGTGCTTCGGAAACCTCGCTTAAGAGAATGAAATGGATTCACGAAGCAGGTAGCAATTCAAAATTGAATGTATAGCGAAAGTATAGAAAGGGGGCCGATGATCTACGGGCGACACTTTGTCATCAATATCCTTTCCATTGAAGTATAGAGTGACAGGCCTTGATCTATTCAAGAACACTCTGCTTGAAAGAAAGAGTAATTCCTAATGTTCATATCAAATGCGTTAGGATCTGGGAGGGGGAAAAGGGCATATGTGCGTATAACTGAGTGAGAGCATTAACCCCCTTGAACTGCCGCCCCTTTATCCCCTCTACATCCACAACCACAATGTTAGTCCTCCCATATTCCTCTCCAATATAAGACTCGACGAAAAAAGACAGATAGAAGTAGAAAAAACATAGATCAAAACGAAATGGAGCAAAAGATTGATTTCGCCCGGACTTGAACCGGAGACCTTCAGTGTGTTAGACTGACGTGATAACCAACTACACCACGAAACCACGTATCGCTCTGTACTCGCTTGAGTTGAATGTCTACGAAATTAAGTGTACCAATATTCATTGCCCAAGCTCCCTCTTCCATCACTCTTAATCCCAGTCATCAATCCGTACGCTAATCACACACATAAGTTAAATCCATATAATTTTGTCTTATTATCGAAGCAGTAGGTTTCAAGGAGCCAATGCCGGACTCAAATACGACGTCCCTAAGTACACTCAATACCTACGGAGCAGTTACAAGATTCGAGCTTTGATAGCTTTAGGTTACGCAGAAGCTAACGGCGCCGCAGTGGCGATTTTTAGAGGCTCTCTTTAGAGAGGAAAATGATGGAGTTGGGATTATTAGGGCGGCGTGATGGAGATAGAAAGCATTGGGGAATAAGGGGAATGTGCTGCTCAGTCAGCGGGTGGCGAGTGTATAAACGCGGAAATAATTACATGACGCGCAGGTAGACCGTCGTTGGTTTACCGTGCATATTTCGCTACCAATTTAGACCAAAGGGGAGTTGCAGGAACACCAGGTTCGGGTATTTAGGGGTCTCAGAGTAAGTTATGTTCAAGAGCCAAATAGTTCCAACAGATGATTCTAGGTGAAATCGTGGGATCACTGCGCTAGGAAGCCCAGTTGTATCCGCGAGACTGTGACTTGTTGTCCTTCGAACTTGAGGTGCTGGTGATCGCTGGACTGACAAGAGTTGCTAAGAGCATATTTGCATCACCTGAGTACTGATACTATGTCATACACTATCTACATAGGCCGTAAAAGAAGCATATTAGATTCAACATTCGCTCAGCAGACTGATGCCCAAAACTCAGATATGAGTTCGTCGCTCAAATTGCCCTCATAAATCAAACATCATGGCTTCTCGAGTACTCATTGGACAAGATTCCTTCTAATATGGCATATTAGACGATGTTTAGAGTCATCTCATGTCCGAAGAAATTGAAGATCAACGGAGCCTCAAATGGTGATGTCGTCATCTCACTTATTCACCTAAGATATAACTACACGACCCAATTCAGAAATATGATTCTATAGCCTAGTCTCGAAACGCTGGGTTTGTCACTGAGATGAAGATATTCATCTAGTGGGTTTCGTGATTACGGAGGCTCGGTACACGTGGATACAGATGAGTTCTTACGTGTTCTGTTAGAGTGCTACAGATAGGGGAATTCGGTTGTCATAACTGGCATGGCGATATTTTTTGCCTATAACGCTTTGTCGTCGGGAGAATGAGATCGTCGTAGGTTTATAGAGCCTCGTTTACTTGTAGATAAATGGCCAACCAACCATAGTAAACAGATAAGCATTCATGTCTTATGAGGTTGTGAGAAAGTATAGCTATCTGAGGAGAGAACTGCAGAGGAAGACAGCAGATAAAGAGTAAATGAGAAAGCTCGGATCAAGAGTAGGGAAACACAGTCATTCGAAGGGCAATGTGACACGCAAGCTTGTCAAAACTGGATTGATACGCTATCCTCGTGACGATATCCATGATGCGTGCTTGTTAAGTATAATGTTCAAGACGGTAGGCTTGTCTCCCCAAGACCCAGTGAGTCCTATGCCCGCAAATACTCCCCATTCTTAAGCACTTTAGCATACCGCGGCGCTGATCTCATCTGAATACTATGGTCCAGTACAAGAGCTTGTCATGTTAAGCAATGAATAACTAGGTATACAGGTCGACTATCCGGTTTCCACCGCTAGCAGGGATATTTCTAGAATCCTAATAGACCGGTAATAAGTTGGATCGATTTTGAATTGGTCGTCGGTTAGACTACATGGGGTTTTATCATGATGGTCCTTGTGCTGGTATGGAATTTCCATTAAATCCCGAAAACAGGTCGGACACACTGAGCCTGCGGCCAGTGGCCTGTGCAGCTGGGCCCGACTCTAGCGCAACGAATGCCACGGGATCAGAGGCGGCGGCTTGTGCTCGGGCATCCCGCGTGCTGAGTGCTTGGGACCACATATCGGTAATGAGAGTGGCATTTGTCTCCCGGTCGCTTTCATCTTCGGCGTAAGTCCATAACCCCAAAACCTGGGGAGTGACGGCCTCTCCACTTTCGAGGTGTAGCTCGTGGGCGGCATAGTCTAGCTTGAAGATGAGCAGGCCACCGGCGAGCTCGAAGTTGCCAACGTTGTCGAGGTCGAGGACGAAGTTCTGCAGGCCCTTCCGATTGAGAATAAAGAGACAGCCGGTCTCGCCTACCTCGCCGGGGGCTTTGCGCTGCGAGCAGATGAACATGGTGCCCTCCATGGTGGTCCGCTTCCACTGCGAGCCTGATTGGAAAGTATAGACCACGGCGTTGGCGGCGATGGAGAGAACCGATGTGATGCTGGGGAGGTAGCGCCTCAAGACGCCGAGGTTGAGTTCGGGGTTGGTTCGGCCGGCTAGCGCCGCGGGCTGCACGGCGGTGTTGGGAGCCATGTATTGGGGCGTGTCGGATTCGTAATCGGAGACCGGGGGATGAGTCTGTTGTTGTTGTTGGTGGTGGTGTTGGTGATGTGGTTGACGTTGGTTCTGTTGCTGTCGGCGTGCCTCGTCTTGGAGTTGGCGCGATCTGGTCCTCCTGTGGCCATGGCCGTGGCCGTGCGGATGTGAGAGATGATTGTTATGTTCGGGGAGGTCGTTGGGGTTCAGGTGGGAGTTGGAATTGGAATGAGAATGAGAATGGGAGGGCGGGTTTTGTATCGACGGCTGATGGTTTTGGATTCTGCGAGGCGCCGGGCGCGACATGATGAATGCGTATACTTTGGCTTTGTGTTACACGTTACATTTGTCGCGTGTCTCATACCAGCAACGCCGCTGATCCCCCGCCTGGAGACAATCAAATAGCAATGATCTGTGCTCAAGCTGACGGCAATCATCCAGGTTTTCAACGGAAGCAACAAAAGAGCAAAGAAAAGTCGGTGTGTTGGCAAGTATTGAGCCCCGTGGTGGGCTACCAGCGGAGAATGAGGAATACCCAGTCAACTTGCGATGAGGTTTCGAGCATCAAACCCAGCCAGAGGAGAGGTCGTGATGCACTGCCGGACGCGATAGAGGTCTACGTAGGTATGTATCGGTACCTGATCTGCCGTAGCTATATGCCTGCTATTCTGGTGTATAATGACCATTAATGGCCCCTCTAGATTGTATCGTGTACAAAGGAGGCGCTGCCCCTCCACCTGCACTCGCCCACAGTTCGTGGGGCTGGTTATAGCTCTAACAGCAACCACCGTGACCTACCTATCCACGGCAGCTTCGATTCAAGGGGCTTTTGGCAAAACATCCTCGCCTCAACCTAGGTTTACCACGATCATCCAGTCTTGCTGTCTTGCACGTTGTGTTGCTGTATATACGACTATTGTGCCATTATCATCCATTCGATTTGTCCGTCTCTCTGTTTCTGCTTCCCTCGTCACTTGGGTATTTGGGTAGGTATTCGGCACTGCCCCGCCATCGTCATCGACATAACCACTCATTTGCGACAGTCGTTAGAATCGCCATCATTGTCGCCGCACTTATTCATTATCGGCTTGAATCATTCAATATGCTGGCAGAAGTCCATACTGGCACTTCGAAAGCTTTGACTTGAACTGATTCCCTTCCTCCCATATCTCCTTTTGCCCTGTACATCATCATGTCCGCTACCGAACCTGACCAACACTCCCAATTGCCTTCGGCTGTCGATCCCCACGACCTCTCCGATCTGACCTCAACAACACATTATTCCCTCTCGCGCGCCGTCCATGCTCGCAAGTCCGAATACACAAGGCCGCATAGGATACGCATCAAGATAGGCACCTGGAACGTTGCTGGATGCCCTGGCACCGACAAGGACCTCGCCAGCTGGTTTGTTGATGGTGACGGCCTCGACCCCAAGCTCGACACCAGCTTGGGCAAGCTCAACCTGTCCGAGAACAGCATCGAGACGAGCAGTGCAAATACCCATCACAAGGCGCCGATAGATTCAGATCAACCAACGTCGACGTCCGACAAACAAACAGAGCCGCCCGGTGACACGGAACAACCTACCATTCGAGCTGTGGGTGGCGATAAAATCAGTCTTTACGTTCTTGGGCTTCAAGAAATCGTCAATCTGAATTCAGTCCATCAGTCTCTATATGGAGACCCTGGTGCTGTCGCAAAATGGCAGGACGCCCTTGAGGCTGCTCTCCCCAGTGGTTATACACTTGTCGCATCGCAGCAACTCGTCGGGCTTCTCTTGCTTATATATGCATCGCCCGAAGTGGCAGCCACTATCTCTAATGAATCGACGGTTTCCACAGGCACTGGTCTCCTCGGCTATATGGGGAACAAGGGCGCCGTTACTTCTCGTCTCCTCTTAGGCGAGACCACTCGTCTAGTCTTCTCGAACTGCCACCTTGCATCTGGCCATGACCAAACTAGTCTCGACCGGCGATGCTGGGATTACAACAAGATCATTACACATACTACCTTTGCCCCTATTAGCCGCTCCGGAGTCATGGAGGAAGAGAACGAGAAGATAGGCGACGGAGATTTTGCTTTCTTTTTTGGTGATTTAAACTTTCGTATGGATGGTCTTCCTGGAACCGATATCCGACACCTTCTCACATTACATGCTCGTGGCGAATACGATATTACTAATACTAATCGGCAACTTGGGGAAGATGGCGTGTTTGTCCTACACGACAACGATGATCAGAATTCGGATGGCACTTCAACGCCGGGCATGGTTTCGCGAGAAGCCTCATTCGATAGAAACGACAGCGATGAAAGCAGTGAAGAGCTTCCTGACCCTGATGAGTTCGTGCTAAACCCACACGACGATCCGGCATCCCTACAGGCAACTCTTGATTCCCTCTTGCCGCACGATCAGCTGCGACAAGTAATGAAAAACAAAAAGGCATTCCACGAGGGATGGCGAGAAGGGCCCATCACTTTCCTACCTACATATAAGTATGATGTTGGTACAGTTGGGCTCTTTGACACTTCGGAGAAGAAACGGGCACCGAGCTGGTGTGATCGAATACTCTTTCGAACCCGAAAAGACAGGGACAAGTACATAAAGGAGCATCAAGACGAGATTGATGCGAGAAATAGAGACGAGGACATGAAGAAACGTGGCATCGACGAAGCTGCAGATGACGAGAGCGTTTTATTTGATTACGATCCCACTAACGATACAGGTGGGGACAGCCAGGCACCAGGAGTTGCAGGGGACGTGGGTTATGATTATGACGAATATGACGAGGACGAAGCAGATAACTCAGAACAAGCTGTCGCACACGATGGCTTCGTAGACGAGATCAGCTTGGACTTATACACTAGCCACCAACGAATTATGTCATCAGACCACAAGCCATTAGTAGGCATTTTCACGTTGACGTATGAAGCCGTAGTGCCGGAGCTCAAAGCCAAAGTTCACGCTGAAGTGGCAAAAGAGCTAGATCGTGCTGAGAACGAAGGGAGGCCCGGAATCACCATCCTCGTTGATGGCAGCGAATCTGTTGCTGCGGACCGAGGCACTGCCTTAGACGGCAGTGAAGGCATCGATTTCGGAAGTGTGGCCTTTATGCGGAGGGCGTCACGCTCATTGACTATCGCGAATACCGGTCGCGTACAGGCCAAACTCAATTTCGTAGAGAAGCCGAGCATAGGGGATGATGAGATGCCAAAGCCGAAATGGCTGGAATTCAAATTCCGGCCCCCACATAACGAATTTACCGAGAGCACAGACTACTCGCCTCAGCACGAGGTCTCCTTGGATCCCGGTGAAACTGTTAACGCAGTCATCGAAGTGGAGGTTTCTGACCTGAAGCACTTGCAAGCATTAAACGAGAAGCCTGCTGCGCAACTAGAAGATGTCTTGGTGCTACGTGTCGCGGAAGGACGCGACCATTTCATTCCTATACGAGCCTCGTGGCGACCCTCTTGCTTTGGCAGGTCTCTCGAAGAACTAATTCGCATTCCCAACGGCGGTATCACAAAATTTATCGAACAGCATCCCAAGACTGGTTCAATACCGTACAGTCTTGACGTGCAGACCTCATCACCTACGGAGTTGTTCAAACTCATCGAGGCTATCGAGTCTCTCACAGAACGCCTTATTGCAGATGAGAATATGGTAGAGGACCTCAACATCCCCCGTGACAAAGCTGGCTGGCCATTTGACAGGCGAACGCTCCAGACAAACAAAGATGAGGACTACGCTACACTACGAGGGCATATCATGGACACCTTAGAGAATGGCGGGCTGATCCTCGAAGCACTTACCGCAGATGTCCCGGCATTAAAGCGGCTGGAAATCGTCAGCGAGTCTTTACTTCTTTTTCTAGAGAGTATGACCGACGGCATCGTCTCAGCGCCACTATGGGCTCGCATCGAGCAGAATCTACCACAAATATCCAATACAAAAACGCTCGACGATGTCGAAGATATCAAGACTAATATCCTCGATATGCTTTCCACGGCGCCGTATTATAATATATCATTCGTTTTCCTAACGGCCATGGTCGCGAAAGTAGGCAGCGAACTCCTGCCGTTGAATAAAGGCGAGCGCGAGGTGATTAATACGCGAAAGGCGAGTGGATCGATGGGAAGACGGAGTCTGAGTTTTAGAAGGAATGCCGGGGGAGGAGTCGATGAAAGTGCCATTCAGAAACGACTTGCGTGGGAACGCAGGGCTGCGGAGGTTTTTAGTACGGGGATTTGTAGAACGGGGGCGCTGCAGGGGAATGGGAAGGAGAAAGAGAGGAAGGTTGTGGACGATAAGATGAGGAGTGTTGTTGAGATGTTCTTGCGGAGGGATGGGGCGTGATATTATTTTATTTACTTACTTACTCATTTTTAAGGACGGGAAAGAGATGGTGTGAAGTGGGTGTGAGGGTTCAGTGTATACCTATGTAGATGGAGATAGAGTTGTATTTATTAATTTTGTATTAGTCTGTCTGTTGATGAATAGAATACTTACTGGGACCGTTCGAGCGGTTTATATATATACCTATTCCTAGTACTACTTACTTACCTCTTCGTCACACTTGTCTTCGCATAGTTGCTGTCGTGGCGGCATTGAGATGCTGTTCCATATGGATATTGGAACGGGAGCTTTGGGTATACCTAGCGTATAGGAGATTAATTCATTAGAATTGAAATAGAATATCTTTTATTTCATCGTGTTATTTATGTTATGCGTTGTGTTGGTTAGCCTTGATATCTACATATATCTATATCTATCTATCTATAGAAGTAACTGTAACTGTCTATTTAGGGTGATAGTATGTGCATTTCTTATATTGAGGATGGTCGAGTGGTGGCTATGTGTATGAGTACTTCCGGTAAACCAATTGCCTAGGTGTGTAAGTGGTTCGGATACTGCCTACCTGCGTGTTTATACTTTATACTTAGTATGGACGTGAGTAGGTAGGTAGGTAGGTAGGTAGGTAGGTAGGGAGGGAGGGAGGTAGTTATATAGGATATATATATCTAACGCTCTCTGATGTTATGATGTAAGTGTACAGCAGTAGCGGTAGTAAATGAACAAATGCATGAGCGGATGAGCGGAAAGCGGGGGGCAGGCGTTTAAGGCAGGAAGCAGTTGAAGTTGTCTCACTGACTTAGTATTAAACTGAGTATTCTACGCCGTGCCGAGTAACAACTAAGTTATTGTGCGTACTTGGAACACCAATTTAAGTAGAGACTTGGTTTATTGAGATTCATTTCATGCATGCATACTACGATGATGTTACTTACTTACTGTGGTATTTTGTTGTTTACCTAGTTAAGGAATTATAGAAGATTAGATATAGGTAAGATGGTAGGTAGGTGGATACAAAGGTAGATACCTAGGTAAGTAGACAGGTAAATAAGTAGACAGGTACACAGACAGACAGATAGGTACGGTGGGCAAAGGAAGGTAAGGAGCCACGATGTTACGGATCTGGGTTGCGCCGGGAGGGCTGACATGCAGAATGCATGATGCATGTACGGAGTAGGTACTGCATGTGTATACTACCTACCTACACTACCGCATACACTCGAAAAACTCGAACAACACTAGTAACGCCATTGCAGGGATGCTCTCGCTAGGTTATCTATATTAGGCAAACAACTTTATTAATAAACGCTATTAAAAGTTACTCCTATTAGATGTTAGTTGGGCTTTATACCCTTTTATAAGTTATAGAAAAGCTAATAAGTGGTAAAATTGTAGAAATAATGCTATTTTTACTGTTTTCGCTATTTCTGCTGTTTTTTTTGTTTTCTTTATTTTTGTTGTATTATAGTTAATTTTTCAATAGCGTTGAGAAAACGTTGTTTTTGCTATATTATAGCCAGTTTTTTAATAATGTTAAAAAAACATTAAAAACGCTATTTTTAATCGCTTTTATAATAATTAGTTTTCGATTAGCCCATTTAGCCTTTAATTTAATTAATATAATCCTATTAATCCTTTTATTTAAATAGCTTAGCTTTAGGTAAAAGGGCTTAATATAGGTTAATTATTACCTATTAAAGCTATTAATATAGTTTTAAAGGTATTATTCCTAATAAAGGAAGGTTAATATATTATTATTTTTAAAAAACTATTAAATTTTATTAAAAATTAATAAAGTTGGTAAGTAAAAATAGTATTATTGTAGCCTTTTAAACAATAATAAGGTTAAAAAAGGCTTTTAAAAACTTATATTTAAAAAAATAGTTTATTACTTTAAGCTAAGTAGTAAATTATTTATTTTAAAGTAATAAAGGTAACGAGAGTTAATTTTAAATAGGAAAAAATAGCACTTTTAATTTTATTAACCAATATTAAAGTTAAAATTATAGGAAGTATTTTATATAGTTAAAAAAGTAAAGAAGTTAATTAATATTTATTAGTTTAAATAGAAGGCTATTATAATTTTTAATAGCTATTACTTAATTTACCTAATAATCTTTACCTTTTTAAATAGGTAATTTTATAGCTTTTTTTAATATTATTAAATTAACTATTAATAAATAATTTATATTTTAATTTAAATATTTATAAAGATAGTTAAATATATAAATAATTTTTTATAATTTATTAAAAGGGTTTTATAAAATAATTAAATTTAAAAAAGTATAATATTAATAAATAATCCTATTAAAGGGCTTTCTTTTAATAAGTTTCTTTATTATTAAATTATTAACCTAAATAAAATTCTAATGCTATTTAAGTTTTTAATAGGTTATATATATAATTATAAAGGTAATATATTTATTAATAAAAAGTTAAATAAAAGTAATTAAGGAAAATAATAAATAATATTAATATTGGTAATTATTATAAATGGGAAATATATTAAAAAGTTAAAATTAATTATTATTTTTTATAATAAAGGCCTTAAAATAAATAAGGAAAAGCTATTATATTATAAGGGTATTAATATATTATTTAATAAAAAGGTATATAATAATAATAATTTATTTAAAAATTAAATTAATAACAATTTAGCTATTTATATTAAAGGGAAGTTTAATTTATTAATTATTAATATAATTACCTTTTATAAAATAAATAAGGTTAAAGTAACCCTTTATAGGGCTAACATTACTATTATAATAATCCTATTAGGTTTTATAGCCTATCTATAGCCTTTAAATATTAGTTTTAATAATTCTTTTAAAATTTAGCTTTAAAAGGAAATAGATCTATATATAAATAAATTAAAAAAAAAAGGGAAGTTATTTAAAAAGTAAACAATTAATAAAAAATAAATAATAATTATTTATATTATTATAAATATATAAAAATAAACCTTTATTCCGTTTAATTATATAATAATAATAGGATTTTTTATAAGTATTAATATTTTAATTTATTTAAATAGCTGTAATAATTTTAAAATTAATATTAAAAGTATTAATTTTAATTAATTAATTTTTAATAATTATTATTAATACCTAAATTAAAAGGTTAAAATAAAGTTTAAAAAGATTAATAAAGCAATTAGCAGTTTAAATTATAAATATATAAATATTAAAGAAGAAAAAATAGCTTAGTTAAAAAATAGCTATAAGTAATTTAAGGTAGTAGAATTAAAGGAAAAATGCTATTTTTAAAGCTTATTTAATAATAAGATAAAGGTAAAGCTAATTAAACGGTTAAAAGATATAGATTATATATAAAATATATTAAAATAATATTTTTAAAAATAAACTTTATTTTTACTTTATTATATAAATATAAAAAAAATTAAAGCTAATTTTATAAAAATAAATATAAAAGCGTTATTTTTAATAGCTATATAATATAAAATAGTAATAAAAGTTATTTAATATTTATATAATATTTATTTTATAATAAATATATTAAAAAATATATTAAATTATATTTTTTTATATAATAGCTATTCGTACTTTAATATTATAATATAAAGGTTATTAATATTAAGCTTTTAAAAAGATTAATTACTATATAGATTTTTACCCTTTAAATTTTTTTTAACTTATTTAAATATATATATTATACTTTATATAAAAATTATTATTAAAATAAAGGTATTATTACTTTTACTTTAATTATTTAATTTAAATATAAAAAATATACGTTAATTAGCCCGCTTTATTTTAAAACGTTAAAAATAACCCTTTTTATAATTATTATAAACCTTTACCTCTTACTTTTTTATTTCTTTATTAACCTTAGCTTTAATCTTTTACTTTAACTATATATTTAAACTTTTTATAAAGTTTATTATTAAAGTAACTTTAAAACTATTTATACTATTATTAATTATAATATTTAAAAGGTTTTATAGCCTATAAAAAGATTAGTAAGGTAAGCTTTAAGCTATAAAGTATAACTTATTTATATAAAATTAAAAATTAGTTAAAGTAAATATTATTAATATAATTTTAAGCTTTAATTATATAATCTACTATTAATTAAAGTTATACCTTATATTAATAATACCTTTATAATTATTATAGCAGTTTATTATTATATATTAAAAATAGCTATTATAATATTAATTATAGTATAACCGGTAAAGGCTGCAATAAGGCCAGCGGAGTTTAAAGATATAGGTTTTGTTAAATATAAAGATTAACCTTAAAGGGTTAAAGGATAAATCAACTGGAGTTACCTAATTAGCCCTAATAATAAGGTAAAATTAGAAATAATTTATAGGTTATCTTTATTAATATTCTAAAGGCAGGCATTTTTAATAATAAATTTAAAGTATTTAAATAGTAGTAAGGGTAAATAAAAGTAGGTAATATAAGTATTATAATAATAGAAGCAAAGTTAATATAAAAAAAACTAGGTTAAATCGAAGTTCTACTTATATTAAGTTAAAAAAAGCAATTATTACACCTAAAAGGGGGTTAAGATAACTTTAGTTCGGTTAGATTCAGATAGGCCTAATATAGCAGTTGCTCCACTTATATATATAGTGGTGCTACTAATGTTGTTCAAGTTTTTTGAGTGTATGCGGTACAGTGAGGAGTGTCGGTGTGGACGGTTGGTCGTACCGGTAGATGTTGGTCGAACGGCTACTTCGTATGTGCCTGTTGCTATTGCGATGTTGTGTAAGTGTACGGCAAGGACGGAATGAACGGAGGAGGGGATTTAGTAGGTAGTTTGTTGGTTACTGCTGGGGCGTAAGTACAGTAGTTAGGCGGGAAGCGAAGGGTGAAATGGATCGATGGGTCATGGAATGGAAGCGAGGTCGGAGAGTTTCACCTACCTATCTGACTTGGCTCATTGATCCATCAACCTCGGCCTTTCCGCTTGACCGTGGTGAGTGATCAAGATGTAAGTAAGTATTTAAGTTGACCTGTCTTGGCTGATATCAACCTATTTGCCTTGCCTAGCCTACTATGGAGATAGCAAATCATCTCGTCGAGTTACCAATTCCATGTAAGTGTAAATAATATTGTATCCCATGTACGGTGGTGGTAATCCATGCTCCCACGCCCAAATACCCAAAGACCAAAACTCGTTCCACTTTGTTATTCCCACCTTGTCATCATCGTACTTTTCCGCCTGATAGCGTGACTCCACCAGTCCCGACGTGGCGGTACGAGCTGTTGCCAGTAGTGCAGAGTAAGTAGGACACTAGTTACAGATAAAGAAAGAGTAGAACTCGAGAGCTCGGACCTATGGGTGCTAGTGTTGTCAGGTTAGGCAAGATGAGTGAGTGAGTTAGGCTTGACAACTCCACACCATACACCATCTATCTAATCTATCTTTAGTTACCTGATTCTGGCTAAATACCTAGATGTGATTCGGGCCCGATAGAGATCATGATGATAAAGTAAAGAGGTGGTATTGGTGTTGGTAGTGGCATTGCAAATGCCTTACTGATGCTTATTACACTTGTAAAAAGGCGGGGTTTACTGTCGGTCGAGTTGTTGCGCTTTACACATCCCTTGCGCTATCCTGCAATATTCTACTGGTTATGATTGTTGGCTGTTTCGGTGCGACTTGACTGTTATGTATGTATGTATGTGTTGTCACGACTTAGGGGCATCCCGGGAATTTGTAATGGTGCATGATGGAAGGAAATCATGCGTCTGTGTGTCTGTCTGTCTGTATGCACAGGAGAGATCGTCAGAGGCTCAACTAAAGAAAAGCAAAGTACACATTACACATAATTGTCTTCCCTAACAGTAACATCATGAATCGATCGATACCTAGATGGTAGGCCATAAAAGAATCGCGTCGCATCTCATCGCATCGCAGCGCATCATTTCGCTGCATCCGCGGACGCTGTGAGATTTTGTCCAGTTGGTTGCATTGCCAAGCTCAATAGAGAGCCTTCTCTCTCGCTCCCCGATGATGCTGGTTTGGGCCCAGGTCGCAATCGCTTTCCGCTCTTTTCTCACTTCAAACATCGTTTGTTTGGCCCAGAATACCTACCTATTTCGCTACTACGGACGGGTTTGTGCCTCGACTTTTAGTTTTGGGTAGGTACTAGGCCGCGTGGGAGACAGAGCCCGGAAAGAAACACGGACGCGACTCGCTTCGCCGTCGCCTCAGCCGGATAGCCTAGCTTCCATTGCTCGCTACGGTAGATCTGTGACTGGTCGTATGTATGTATGTACTTAGCCTCGGGGCCTCACTGACTGAGACGTGAGTGAGTAAGTAGACGCCCTGTTTTCAAGCAAGAGAAACACTAGGACTCCGGCTGTGGCGTTGTCCACAAGACATCAGTCGCCCACTAGGTACACGACACCATGCTCTACAAATGCGCAGCGGAAAACGGAGTCAAGATGTCGAAGGCTATGGTCAAGGATTGCAAGCTTACTCCCTCCTACTTAGAGTAGAAAGCTTTCGTCTGTCATTGGGCGGGAGCATATCCTTATCTCTGGGCGGAAGCAGGGTTATTCCCTTGGCGCGCTTTCGCCTGGCACACCATGGTCGTAGAGCTGAAAAACGCATGGTGCGCTTCTCGTTTCGGAAAACGTTCCTCTTTTCAAAAGGTTCTAGGTAGGTATCTAAGTATCGTACCGGTATACCGGCATCACTCGACAAGGTCAAGGACAAGCGTCGTATAGGCAGTTTGGTAGGGTCTAGGTAGTTCATGAACCCCTCTAGTGGAGGAGATTTCGTCAGAGCTTACCTACTTACTTGAGCAGCCATCAATCTGTGCTCGCTGGTAGAGCGGCGCGGAAGACATACATGCCCGGGCGCAGTGTACCGGGTAGCAATCCGCCAACCCTACGCGGGAGCTTATGCTTGAGCGCCTTCTCTCTTTTTTTTTTATTTGCCTATGGCGTTGCTCATGGAATGTTTAACTGGTTGAACAGCCGACGACCGGCGTTGAAAAGCCAACCAACAACACAACTGCGTCAGCCAATGCACAGACACTTGGCGTTGTCTGTCTCAGCCCGTCCTGGCTTTTCGCCCTGAAGGCTATTCCTAAAAGGTTATTTCAACAAGTAATGCTATATTTACTTGTCCTGGAGCCAAGTGTTTCGCACAGTAGCTAGCTAGCGCCCATAGCCTCGTGCTGCAAGACATGATAACAGCCAGAGCTAGTTATTGCCGAAATCCGAAGATGAGGGGGAACGTCGCGAAATGAAGAGGGAAGTCGATGATGATGATGATGATGAGCGTGAAAGAAAAAAACATAATTTAGGATAGGGCAGGTAACAAGATTAAATATTTGATCGTGCAGTTAACTCATTCATTGTTCGTCGTCCTCATTCGAAGAGGACGGGGACGGGGTCCAACTAATCTTAAATCAAGAAATGTGACCACATAACGCTGTGGCGCAACCGCAACGCTGTGGTGAAACGTACCGTCTCACCGCGATCCGTGGTTTTCTCTCTCTCTAACCGTAGGTAACAAGGCGTTTGTGTTTTTAACCGCCCGTTTAAAACTACCATGACGGAAGAGTGAGTTGTCTACGTCTAGCGGTTATAGTATGCTATTACCTATCATAAATGGCATTGCCGTTATCATATTTATTGGTCGAGGGGGACGGGAAAATAATATTATTCAATACTATGCTGGATGCTAAAGATCGGACTAGAGCTCTAGTACAGCACAGCTAAATGAACAAGATGGGTAGGTACACTAGATAGATATCCGTAGGCCGATCACGAATAAGTAGTCTGGGAACATTGTTATTGCGCAGGCATACATTACACAGGTAGGTAGTACATATGAAGGCTACGGCTGTCAAAGTTGCTTTGTTCTACTGTTATTAGCGATCGAATACTGCTTGCTACCCTATTATATGAACTACCCATTCTCTTGCAGACGCCGCCCAAATGCGCGCGATCAGCCAGCAAAACACTCCAAATACCTACTTACCCATCACACCTCAGCAAGCCCGAAATGTCTTCACCCAAGCCGCGATCGAAAGACGCTACACTAGTCATTGATCTCTATCTCCATCGGGCGAACACAGAGAAAGAAAGAGGGTTCTTATCTATCTAGTGTCGTCGCCCACTAGATGCTAAACCGCTATGGCCAGAAACGGTTTTAGACCCAAATCTCGTGGCAGCCCGCTTTACTTATGATCCTTCCATCCCTGTTGACCACATCGAGAACGCCAAGCGAAACTAATGTAGTGGCCGCGAGACATTCTGATCAAACGAGGCGACGGGCAGTAGGTAGGTATATGTACACAAGTACTGTAATCTCATTGTTAAGTATGTACCCCATGTTGTGTAAACATTTCATTCGCAAATTCATAGGTAGGTATTCTTATGAATGTACTACCGTAGGTAGCTGAATGTTCACTGACTTGTCAAATCGAAGAGTGCTGTTTGGGGCCGCGAAACCTCGTCTTTTCTAACCTAGCGATTATAAGGGTTTACTAATTCAGATGTGTCTAGCTCACGAGTAATTATATCGAGATATCTCCCTTCATCTGCTCTTTATCATTAACTATATGGTGTAGTTACAGTAGCGTGGCGTACCATTTTAGTCCCAAGCTCAGCTGAATTGCTTATCCCCCTTCCCGTCGCATCACAAGGGGGTCTAGGGCCAAGGGTGGTATCGGGCGTGATATTGTACCTGAAGGATTTCATCAAATGCATGGCCTGCATACCATTCAGCGTAGGTACATCTAACAGCTACCTAACACAACATAAGGGATAAAGGATCAATGTACCACCATGATCATTATACACGACTCCATACCAATACAATCCCATCGCCCACAGGCATGAGGTGCGGAGCCCCGTCTTATCCATTGGGGGGACATTGGTATACCTAATGTGTTTTTCCCTGTCTTGCCTTGTCTTGCCCGTAGTGCAGTGAGTTTGTACACTATTTAGACATGCCCGGGCCCCCCCTCGTAAGACTCCCATGATCCTTTCACTCCCTTCCCTTTCATCAACTGCTATTGTATTTTTTCATCTTTCCCCGTTTATCCCTTCATTGGAGATATAACACCCACCCCACACAGTCGCACACCCACGCCTAAGACGTGTGTTGTGCTGTCTTATCCGGTGGTCCCTCCCCTCATCCCGCTTCCTCCGACAACCATTCCATCGGGGAAAAATTGACGACAACTATCCGTCAAGATGTCTGGCAGTGTGGATGTCGTCCCATACAATGGCATCACAGGTGTAGCCGACCCTGGATATTCCACGGGTGAGAGCAACCTGAACGTGTTCTACGAGGTACGACAAACGGACAAAGATCTGATATGGTCGACGCTGACTTGTAAACAACTAGAGTGGTGACTTTGCCTGGATCCTCTCATCATCGGCACTCGTGCTTCTCATGATACCGGGCGTCGGCTTCTTCTACTCGGGACTTGCTCGACGCAAGTCCGCCCTCTCGCTCATCATGCTATCCATGTTGTCGGTCGCAGTGGTGTCTTTCCAGTGGTTCTTCTGGGGCTACAGCTTGGCCTTTTCGCACACCGGCAGCGCGTTCATCGGAGACCTGAGTAACTTTGGATTAATGAAGACGCTCGCTCAGCCTTCCGTAGCAACCCCTAAGCTCCCTGATCTTATGTTCTGCCTGTTCCAGGGCATGTTCGCTGCCATTACGTGAGTAGCTGCACCCTCCCTCGATGGTGGTGTACATCAGGGCGAACTGTAGTGGAGATACTAACAAGAACATTAAGTCCTGCCCTCGCTATTGGTGCGGCTGTTGATCGTGCGCGCATCCTACCTTGCATCGTCTTCATTTTCGTCTGGTCTACGATTGTATACGACCCTATCGCCTCTTGGACCTGGAACCCGAACGGATGGTCGTTCAAGCTCGGCGGTCTCGACTTCGCTGGTGGCACACCAGTGCACATCTCTTCTGGCGCTGCAGCTCTCGCTTTCTCCATCATGCTAGGCAAGCGCACCGGATACGCCAAGTCTGCAGGTCTTCCATACCGACCTCACAATGTAACGCACATCGTGCTCGGCACCGTTTTCCTCTGGGTCGGATGGTTCGGCTTTAACGGTGGCTCTGCCCTCGCGTCCAATCTTCGTGCCATCATGGCCTGCATTGTCACCCACATTGCCGCTTCCGTCGGAGCTATAACCTGGACCCTCCTTGACTACCGTCTCGAGAAGAAGTGGTCCGTCGTCGGTTTTTGCTCAGGCGCCATCTCCGGCCTCGTGGCTATCACACCAGCCTCTGGTTTTGTTGCCCCTTGGGCCGCCGTCATTTTCGGCGTCGTCGGTGGAATCGGCTGCAACATCGCCACGAAAGTCAAGTTCCTCATTGGCGCTGATGATGCCCTTGATATCTTCGCAGTGCACGGTATCGGTGGTATCATTGGAAACCTACTCACTGGGCTTTTTGCCGCGTAAGTATTCCGACTCTCCTACTATAGCAACATGTTAGACTAATGCGCCCCGTTAGTGACTACATAGCAGCGCTCGATGGGTTCTCCGTCATCCCCGGTGGCTGGATCAACCACAACTACATCCAACTCGCTTACCAGCTCGCCGATTCAGTTGCTGGTTTCTCGTACTCGTTCGTCCTGACCTGCGTCATTCTATTCTTGATGAACTTGATTCCTGGCCTGAGCCTCCGCGTCAAGCCTGAGGAGGAGGACATCGGCATCGATGACATTCAGCTCGGCGAGTTCGCGTACGACTACGTCGAGCTGCAGCGACACACCAGTGACATCATGACTTCGCATAGCGAGAACGAGCGTACCGGCTCTTCGAAGGGCAGTGTCCCGGAGAAGACTCCCGAAACCATGGTCTAATTCCACAACCACGGACGAGTAGAAAATGTTTTTTGATGTTGTTCGATCTTCTCGGCGTGAAGATTAGAGGATATACCACTTGTTTTTTTGTTGCGGGCAATGCCCCAAAGTGTCAATATAAATCTCGCATAATACCTGTAGTCAATTATACCAAACCCTGAACAAAGTTGCAGTTAGACAGACACACACAATCATTTGATCACACCATCCATGCTGCTTGCCTCTCGTGAATCATAACGACCTACCTACGACGAGAGTAGCTTAGCTTGTGTCACATCCAAGTTCATCAGCTCGAGCAATGTCCTCACTCTTCAACCGAGTCGCAGTAGCAACCACTCCGTCTCAGACATGATTGCCCTGCCACATGGAAGTGAAACCAGATCTCATGCGCATGCCAGACAGGCGAGCGAGACTGAGGAATTGATTCAATCGTCAAGGCAACCATCATCTGTGCTAATGGCGCAAACCAGAGCAACGCACTTGACACTGGAGACAACAGCGACGGCGCGACGATGGGCGATGATACCCGACAACGACACGAAACAAAATAATTCAGAGAAGATGAGATGTAGTCGGACAGAGGACTAGGCAAGTACCTAAAACGGTTGAGGCTCTTTCCCAAGCGCGTTAAAGTTTAATTAGACCGTGCGTGATGTAATTGTCGCGGCATTTACGTAAAAGTTTGTCTTCTCTTTGCCTCCTTCCTTCCCTTCCTTCCCTTCCCGTCCTGCCCATCCATGCTCCTTTCCACGCCACGCCAAATCCCAAATGCCGCAACGGGTAACGCACGCCATCCCGTGATCGTGTATTTATAATTAGACGATTGTATGCCGGCAGTGTGAAAGTGAGTGGAAACGAGACAGGGTTGGCCGAGTCGAATGGTTCGCTTGGTGGTTTGAGGGTGGGATGGCATGGGATGGTATGGTATTACGTAAATGTAATTTGACTGCTGCGCGGGAATAACCTCAAATGGAAGAAGTGACGCGCTAAGTACGCGATAAAGGGCGCGGCACTCACTCACTCACTTTTACCACCAGCCAGTCGCCGAACGCGCGGATGTCTACGTCCAAAGTCAAGGCATAAGTAAACTTGATTAGATACTACAATATACTACACGACCATTCCCGCTATCCATAACATCATCATACAGCCATCTCCATCCTCACAACTCCCACACCCCCAATTTAAACCTCAGTCTCAATCCCACCATCCTTATCATCATGCCTAAACAGCCCACCAACATTCCCTTTAAGTCTCGTGACCTTGCCCCCGATATGATTGACCTCTCTCGCCGCACGCCACTGCATGATGCCGCGATGCTTGCGATGCAGCTGTTTATAATGGTCCTTGTAATCGCGCATCTGGCCCCTGAGCCCTCTCGTCCCGTCTTCCGAGTCGTTATGTCCCGGCGCGAGGACGCTGGTCGCCGCCTCCGTGACCCCGTCGACTGGGTTCCGGAAGATATTCTTTACCTTTTTGAAATCCGAGAGCGAAAGATTCGTAGATGAAGATGACGCTGACGATCCTTTGCCGTCGTCTTCGTCGTCTGTGGAGGAGGGCGTTGAATCATCGTTGGTGTGCATTCGTAGCTTCTTCCGACGCGTGTCGTCGTTGTTTTCTCCCTCGTTACCTGTCGAATCTGTCTCGGAATCTGTGTCGTCGTCGATGTCCCCTTCTAACCCTTCGTCTGAGATCGTGTCCAGACACTCCATCACGTTCCTCATGTCTTCGTTCTTCGACCGCGCCGCATAACTCTTGTGATACCCCGATAATCCACGCCAGAAACGCACGTTCACCTCGATCTCGCCGAGTAATTCGTCTTTGCTGCCCGATCCGTCGAATTCACAGCATGTCTGCGCCCTGTGAAAGCTTTTTTTGTTGCCTTTCCAAACTTTCAGGCATTTTGTCTCATCCTCCTCGTCTCGAAGCTCATGCAGCCAGAGAACCGCAAAAGCAGATGTCTTGTCAGACCCGAGTGACGACTGGCGAAATTCAACGACCATTGCTGACGAGTATCGCTTTCGGACAGCCAAGAATGCGTCCTGGGGTTCTTTGCCCCCTTTTCCTTTCCATGCTCCATCGCTAGGATACAACTTGATCCGCCCAGTGTTTGTCCTGATTTTGATTCGGTGACTGGTAAGTCCATTGTCGAAATCGCTTTTCGGTCTCACTGGCCCTCGAATTTGTAGAGTACCGTAGTCCCACCCACTTATTTGAGGAGGGAGTTTGACATTCACACTTCGCCAGACCATGCTGATTCGTGCTTTACCGAACCCCACGCCTCCCACGAGTGAATAGTTGCCCATTACCTGACTTCGGTCTTTGAATATTTTTGAAAGTGGGAGATACACCAATCCTATCAGGGCATCATCTTCTCTTTCCCGCGCATCGCGCACACTGACGATGACTTCGGTGGCACGCCAGTCACGAATAAATCTCTCTGTACCGGCATTAAAGAATGGCTTGGAGTTTTTCGGCTTCGTGCGAGTCTTGAAGATCTTTTTGTGGTTTAGAATGATAGTGCAGTAGCTGTTGGGCATATCATCAGCATGTTCGGCCTCATCTTCTTGATCGCCAGCGTCGTTCTTATCTTCCTTTTGAAGTTTTCGAATCTCAAGCCCTGTAATATTGTGTATTTGTACGCTGAGAACGCCCGAGATAAACTCGGTGCTGGGAGGCGCCGACACAATCACTAGAATGTCCTGGTTAGTCCCACATGTTCTTCGTCAAGTAGTGTTCCGATATTAGAATTAAAGAATCAGAATAATATAGTACACCCCGTGAACAGCGTCCCCTGTAACTCTGACTTACTGGAGTTTTCAAGCTCATGATAATCTTGTGTCTTCTGTTGCTTGACTTCTTCATCATCTGGAGGCTTGTTGGCTTCTCTCAGCTTCCTCTCGGCAGTCACGGAGACATGTCTCTTAAGTTCATCCTTCGTCCGTATACTCTCATTAAAAGTTTGCGCCTCGAGCTGCTGTTTCGTGATTCGTGTTTTAGTGAAGTACCCAACCGACCAGACCAGGGAGCCAGGCATATCCTCCTCAACATTCTCGCCACTAAAGCCATCCTCTCGGCTCTGCATCTTATTAAGTGTCTCTGGCTTGTGCATGAGGTCCTTCAAGTCTACTTCCACCCGCCCTAGATCGTCGTCTGCCGTCCATTTATCCGAGTCCCAGAGTTGCAATCGCAGTTTCTCGTCGGCATTGACCTCTTCCGGCGTAACAAGTATGCTGGCATATTCATGCCAACTAGGTTCGTTCTCGCCAATCGCAATACGCGTCGAGGCCACGGCTTTACCGAATTTCCCCCAAGAAACAGTGACGTAGGCATCGCTGCTACCTTGGATAGGACCGATGCCAGCATCACCTTGCTTGAAGCCGCTTGCGCGTTTGATGAAGATCCAAACCACACCAACAGCAGTTGTGTCTTTCTTGAAGTCCTCGCCAACCAGCATATCCTTCAGATTCAAAGTCAGGCTCTTCGGAGCAACATATTCAGCCAGGGCAGCATCAATGGCAGAATTGACGAAAGACGAGATGAGAGGAACATCTGTTAAGCTGAAGCTATGTTTGGATAATGGCATGCACGAGATGCTTGCCTTCGGCTGGCCAAGGAATGTCATGGTGCACAGTTCAATGAAAGGGGGGTCGGGAGTAAGTTGAAGCCGAAGTCGAAGCGTCATAACGATGCCTCGAAGCTCGACCCATACTGGGACGCATATACCACCCGGAAGATAGAATTTGAGGTACAGGTGCGCATTCTTCGCTTTGGTTCGGAAGGACTTGCTAGAACTGCGGCTTCGATAAGCGAGGGCGAGTTCTAGGTTGACGAAGTCCCCTTCTTCCGCCTCCATGCCTTCGCGCAGGGTAGCCTCATCCTGTTCCTGCTGCTGTGAACTCTCATTATTTCTCGAAACTTTTGAATCGTCGTTGCTGTGGTCTTCACTATTTACCTCTTGTGAGTTCCCAGGATCAGTCCGATCACTTTCGGAGGCATCGTTGCCCTTGTGCAATTGCCCGTCCGATCCGACGCTTTGACTTGCTGCACCAGTTGGTAACCACCGCACGCCAAGAATACGTACGCTTTCACTTCCTTGGCCCATATCATCCACGCTCACCATTTTGATAGCTTTCGGGAGAGATGCCTGCATAACATCCTCGATCTGGTCCACGAGAGAGGTGAAAAGGTCTGGGTTGACTAGAGGCCAAATGGAGCCGATGAAGCTGTTGAGCCAATGTGCAGACTCGGGCAATTCTTCGTCGCTCTTAACAATGGCCTGTTCCTGCCTGAGTGAAGCATCCCAAGTTTCATCTTCAAATATCTCGCTAGTCTTTTTATTTACCCATTGACCCATTCCTACAACAGTTGCCGCCCCGAGCCCCAAGAACACAGTAAAACTCAATAACGTTGAAAAGGAAGGGAGCCCGTGACTGTTGGTATCGGAAAGTTCAGGACCTTTATTATGAGCGAAGGGTACAGGTAGGATGAAAAAGAAAGTTACAAGCGCAACGATTATGGATAAGCCAGTATAGACGGCGTTCTTGTAAATGACAGCGAGCTCCTGCTTTGTGCTCTCGAAGTCTGGCGGTGGGAAAACACGGATCATGCCGTTGTGAACTCGTTGAACTGTGTCTTGCTCCGTTCGTAATTTTTCCTCCGACTTGGAAGCACCCGCGGGGCCACTGGCCGTAGTGTGATGTGTTCCGGGTTCAGGCTCGTTTTCGGGTACGGAATCAAGATCTTTTCCGGTCTGGTCGTGAATGACGATGGGCAGATGTGTTACCGGGTCAGTAACCTCTCTGCCTTCGCCCTGCCTCTGCTTCTTCTTCATCGCTTTCCGTTTCTCTCTCGGATCAGATGTCCCTGCAGCAGCCTCAGTCGCTGATTTCTCATCAGCATTGCCCTTGCGCTTTCCATGCTTCCCCGCATCTCTTTCAGCAGTTTGTCGTGAATCTTGGTCTGAAGACGACGGCCCTGTTTTCTGGGTTTGGGCAGTGTCCTCATTAGACGTAGCTTTGAACTCGGACTCGGCGTTGCTGAGGTTAGCGGAAGGATATGGGTCGTGACTGTTCTTTTGATACTCAGCATCCTCGTCTTTGAAGATGGCTTTAGCCGAGCGGAAGGCTCTCTTCGTTTTCGAATCATCCTCTGGGCCTCGTTGGGCTTGTTCTTCTTCCTGGACTTGATCACCTAGCTCTTTCCGGTGCTGCCTGTATCCCTGTACCGTCGGGATAGGGTGTTTTCCGCTGTGAGGTCCTCCGTAGACCCTGCGTGGTGCGGCATCACTTTGATCGAAGGCATCTTGGTCCGACATGTTGGTACCGCATTGGTGATACAAGCGCGGTATCACCCCCAATCGAACTTGTTCGTCCCAGTGGCTACGAGTGGACGAAGGCCAGTGATTGTGATGATGATTAAGGCCAATGATAAGACGAAACACCTATCCTTACTCAGAAATACGGCGTGCTCGAGAGAGCGTTCACCAGACAAACATTAAGTGTTATGTGACATTGCGGAGGATACGTGGGACACTCAGCCCACTATATGAAAGTTTCTGTTGCATCAAGAGCAGGTTTTCACGCAAGTCAAGGACCGACAAGGACCGACAAGGGACACGTACGACAGGTACGGGATAGCCAGTCGAGCCAGTCGAACTTGACGATAGTCGGAGGTCCAGACGGCACAAGCAAGTGCGGAGGTGTCGCACGAGACTGCGATGAGGTCATTCAGAATCATGGGCTACATGGGTTTAGTGGAGGGTCAACGATTAGTGGCCCGATGCCGCAATAAGATCAGTAATTATAACAGTCTTGGTGGATCCCATCCCCTGTGTGCCGTATTTCTGTTGAAACACCCCATGGCCACGTTCTAGGCGGATGCAGGGCGGGCGAGGGCGGGTACTGAGCAGAGCTAGGCGGGCTCGGCGGGAGTCTGGCGGGAGGCTCCAGGGCAGTTCCTGTCAACTCCACCCTCTAATCCACCAACAGTCCACTAACAGTTCACTAACTCAGCGCTACGGGCCCCCAGCTACCGGCTACCGGCAACGTGTCGACAGCTTCTATGGCAGCTCTCCAGTAAAGTCCCGGGCGAGCTGAGCTGGCATAGCTCATAGCTCGGAGCTCGGCACATTACATCATCGCCGATGGATTCATGACCAGACTCATCCAACACAGATCCAACAGTAGGTCTGATCAAGTAAGTATATTCGCATTCATATGGTACTACTACTACTTGCATTAAGCTATTTGTTGAAACACCTTGTATCGATATCTTGGCTTCAAGTCAAGTTCACCTTAGGTCAAAGAGTTCGCATTGCAATATATGTCGGTGTTATGTAAACCCGCGGGACTCAACACATAAGTACATCCAGCTATATTTATTCTCAACCCACCCTCGGCCGGAGTAAATAACACCAAATAAACACATCCGGATCCGTCCCTCTCTCCTTCGGCGTGGCTATCTTCCCAATGACCCGGACCTCGAACGGCAGATCCTCTACCGCAAACCTCACAGCGGAATAACTCAGCGAGATCCACACGGCGCCATCTCGATCCCTCAGACCCGCCCGCACCCACCGCGCCATGGCCAAGACAGCTTCGTCGCAGGCACAAGCTACGGCGTCGGCCGTGCTTTTGTCTAGCACGATATCGAATCCCTCGCCCTCATATTCGTTTAATCCATCGTGTATAGGTAAGTCTTGCGTCGTGAGTAAGCGAAACGGGGCGGTGACATCGGCAACGACGTATTTCATGATTACATCCCCGAAGGCCCATTCTTCCATCTCCCGGCCGCGGTCGAGCGCCAACGGCTCGTAATCTACGTTCGTCACGTCGGTGTACCCTTTTTCGCGCAGCCGGATGTGCAGGTCACTTGTTCCCGAGCCGAGGTGCAGAATCCGCCTCCTTTTCGATAAAGAATGTTCAGGGGAATGGGAAGAGGAAGAGGAAGGGGGATTTAGATATGGATCTGATACGAGCGGGTTTAGATACGGCTCTATGAACGGGATGAACGCCGTCGACGGCACGAGCCATTCGAATGCTGTTTCCGATGTGAACCGCGAATGCCAGTAGCTTTGCTTTTCGAAGTCTGCGGCCATTTTGGAGGTCTAGGACAGGTGAAATAAGGGTAAACTCAAGGATGACTGGAGGGTACGTCTTATGAGATGATGTTGTCAGTGCCTTGGTAAGTTAAAGGCAATGAGCAGGTCTTAGTGTCAAAGTGCGATGCTTCAATATGTGGTAAGGTTGGCGATACCCGGCGGCCGGAGCTATAAGGCTAGAACCTCGCTCAATGGGGTGGAAGAGTATACTCAATAGCTGAATGGATGACGAAAATGGTATAAAGATTCTTTCAATTGAGAAAAACTACCTAGACTCTTGCGAGATGGGTACGGTGGGGGCGGCTTTTCCAAAAATTTACATAGCTTGTTTGTTCGACTAAGTAGGTAGATAGCATTGCGCAAAAGAGCTCAAGACCAAGACAAGATATTTCTATCCAGATTATAGGCTTCCAGCCTTAGATCTAAGGGGTTAAGAGAACGATCTTGATGGTGTGTAGCGTTTTTTAAGATGACGCTGGCTGAATCCGGGTATTCAAGATGGTGTGTGACACCGACACATTCCATATAATATTTCTATTTCCACGGGCATGAGGAGTGTGAATGCTCGTCAAACCATAAAATTTGGCACCGTGCCTATCTATCTATCAAATTCAAGTTCAGCTATCATCTAGTTAAAACCCATTACACCTGATCGCAGTAAGTCTCATCGTGTCCCAACGCTCGCTTACGCCATGTGGATCTCCGGCCTCCGCTCCGGCTTCGCGATCTCGTTCCGGTCGGCCTGTACCACGCGATGCCGGTATTTGGGTATCTGTATCGGCATAGATGTACCCGGATCGCTCGACCGCCCCATCTTCCTCAGCGCTTCGGAAAGTCGACTGCGCAGAAAGCGGCGTTCCGCTACCTATGTGTTTGTAGTGTTGACATATCCTGCCCCAGGCTGTTAGTTTTGGTGCTTTTCCTGGCGTTGCCATTGCCATTGGTTTATAGTACATCTGTAAATCTTCTTCGGTAGCTAGAAATGATGGGTATAACCCTTGCTTTTTTATGAGACGCTCCATTGGGGGTTATGGCTGAATTGAAAAGGTAGGAAGAGAGTGTCACGTCTTTCACGATCAGATTTGTAGATTATTCGTATTAAGTCATATCTTATTCTGAGCAATCAGTTGACACTTGGCCATCATTGCACTCATAACCTAACCTAGTCAAGTCTGCCATTCATGCAAGCGATTGCTAGATGTATTTAAGTGTCCGAAAATACCTGCAAGCCATATCTGTATTCGATTTCCAATCTCGATGATATGTCATCGACAGTACGGTGATTGTACCATCCAGCTAACTCTGCACATCTTAGGGCTTGCCGTGGCGTTATCCTGAGTGGAATCGAACAGCAACTACAAGTCCTGACGCGTTGAGCCGAATACCTCTACCACGATTTCAGTAATGGTGCGTTCTCGCAAGTGATCATCTGAGTGATCACATCTGCATAACGTTAGTCTAATGGCATGGCATTAGATTGGATTCGAGCATTCTCTGTCGTAACCTCTCTCCATCAACAGCGCTGCGGAATTGGTGTTTGCAGACTACTGTGAACTGCCGGACCAGTGGAGTGATTCATCATGTCCGTCTCTGTAGTTCGCCGGCGATTAAGTCTGCATAGCCCTTAAAATCTGTCGCAGTCTTTAGCATTCTTAAGTTGATAGTACGAGGTTGATACAGATAACATCAACTTACCGTATTTCATATGAACCAGCCCTCGTCATATACCGCACCCATTTTACGCTGGGGTAGTTACTCTTCTCGAATACCTTTAGATACCGTACTAAAAGCCCAGAGCTTGTAAACATCAAAAGGCTAAAGCTCAAACTAAGAGGCGGCCTTGACCAGGCTTTTTGATTCGTCATGCTCGTGAGCTCGGCTTCGGCGCTCAGAACAAATTCGCTTTGGCCCGTAAAACGACCAATCTTCCAGACGATATGATTTTCACTGGGCTCATATTTTGCTTTGCCCTGTGTGCAGCGTTCGGTAATCCGGGCGGTGTTAAGAGGCGTGGGGATTCGGACGACGACGTTGGTGGCGAACAGCTTGCTGCCGAAGTTGGCCTTAAGTCCTATACTATACTCGACTTTCGTTTTTCCAACTTCGTTCACTATAGCGTGCACCTTGAATGGCAAGTTGACATTTTCGGTAGCTCGGTAGCGCATGAGCTCAAACTCGCCATCCGGAGGAACGAATGATATGATACGGTCCGAGTCAAACTTGCCAAGTTTCACGCACTGGTGAAACTGGCAGTCCTCGAGGGTGACACTTCCTGCAGCTGCTTTGGTGGCTTTCGTGCCCAGTCTATTGCCACTGGGCAGCGACTGGAGACCATCCTGATCCAACAATAGACGATCATTGAGTCCAAACTTGCATTCCGGGGTGCCGGATAGATAGGCGCGCATGATGATCTGACCATTGACGTCGGCGCGAAGCACGGCACCAGTCGCCGACATGAGTAGGTTGACATCCTCGATAACGTCGACGAAGGCTTCGTTTTTCCGGTATTTCACGTCGGCTTTCCTCCACGATAGCGCACCAGTGGCCTGCATGGTGATCTTGGCGGAGTCTTCGGGGGCACGTTCGGACTTGACACCCTCAGTGGTGATGTACATCTTTAAGGTGTCGGTCTCGGTGTTTTGGGGATATCCGAAGTCGATGATTTCTAGACGTTTTCAATAGGCGCAAGATTAGCAAGAGCTGTTCACAGAGGGGTCGGTCGATAGTAGGTAGATAGGTGAATGGATAGGTAGGTAGACAGAGGTGGGCAATACCATCGAGCAGCTCGTAGACGAGGACAAAGTTGTTCTTAACAGCCTCCTCGTCGAACTTGGCAAAGTAGCCACGGCCCAGCTGGATGAGGCGGTAGAGGAACTCGAAGACTAGGGCGGCATTGGCATTGCTCTTGGTGATGGCGACGAGGTAGATGTTCTCGTGCTTGACATGGCTGAAGGTGGTGCTGCCGAGGGTCAGGATGGGCGAGCGGACTTGAGGGTTCGAGATGACCTGGATGCGGAAGACATCGGCGAGGCGAGGGCGGCAGTCGTTGCGAAAGGCGCGGAAGATGAGGTTCTCGCCCTTCTGGTTGAATATCAGGATGCCGGACAACATGGCGCCGACGTTGAGATGGACGCGGGCTCTTGATCGGGCACGGCAAAGCTGGGGTGGGTTTATAATTCCGATTCTGATTCGGATGTCGGGTCGGTGTCTGAGTCTATTTTACGGCCATGCCATCGCCATTACGACGTCGCGCCCATGCGTGCTGTCCTGGTCTGGCCTTGGTGGTTTGGTGGTTTGGTGATAGGGAGGAGCCTACCCCCTACCCACAGGAGCAATGGGTGCACCGCAGCTACCGATACCTACCTATGCTAACCTTAGTGGGTATAGTCACCTATACAGGTGGGTTACCCTCCCCTGTCTTAATTGAAAATGCCCCATATCGCTTTCATTACAGCGCGTCTTAACTCCGCCAGCAATCGAGAAATATCTGTTAACACGACGAATTCTCGAGAAGGAAGTCATTCACACAGTATTTAGATAGATAGATATATAGGATAAGGTGTCCAAACTAGTCTGGAATCATAGTATACCTACAGACGGGGAGTGCGCTGTCCAGACCGACATGCACAATGTTAGGTGTTCCCCCGTGGGGTGCGTTACGCTAAGCGGCAAATCCATGGTGCAACACTCCGGCCGTTGGACCTACCTGGGCCTCTTGACATTGAAGAGCTATAGAAACTTTGATGATATCGATGATAAATATCTCTACGTTTGAAACGCTGGTTCGCTGTGATGCCAACTATATAGGTATCTTCAGGTCAATGGCCGCAAAACGAGGTCGAAGTGCCCCTTCTCTACAAGGGAGCTACAGCAAGGCCAAGAAACCAGAATCAGCCTCAATTCCAGGCCATCACCAGCGTTTTTTATACTCGAGCTTCGATGTTACATATAACGACGAGTTTGATGACATTCTTCTGTACCCCTGACTTTGCACTGCTTTTCTAATCTTCTCGAAGGTGCAATAACTACAGCAACAGTAGGTACACTCAATTGTATCGACACAGTCCATGTAGCGGTGTGCGGCGAATTTCACTGCTTTTTTAGCCTCTGCCAGAGGAGTGCTGTTGTGTGTTATGTGTGGTTTGGTGTGGTATGTGCGGTCGTACCGGATTGCACTGCATTTTTAACACTCACCAGAGGAGCGGTGTCAAACTGCTCAATACTATTGCTGCTCGCGGGAGACAGAGATGATTCAATTTAACGATGTCAGACAGCATCTGCACATCAACAAATAGACAAATCTGACAAGTATCATCAGTAGAATATTGTACGCCAACACTTGGATAAATTCTAGTCATTTTTAACAGTTGGCGTAAGTCAACCTTTGAATCGAATGAATAGTACCATGAAGTCGCGCAATGTGTAATCTACATAACTACATCTTGAGCTCCAATGTCCGTTGTGTATGTTCGCGGGTAGGAAATTCAAGATGCGGCTGATGGACAGGACAAGCTGTCCACGCCACCGCTGCAACATTCCTCGTTGATCTTTCCATCCACTACGCCGAGCTTATGACAGTTTGATAAAAGAGGCGGAGATGGAATCTGATTTAGAAGCATAACTCTTCGACTACAACGCTAGATTCGCCACCACATCATTGGTTTCCCTTTTTCTTGATTTCATTCCTCTCGCCTTTTCGTTTCCATCCTGCCGCCTCTCACCACCCCGAGTAATGACTGACCGATTGATTGACCGCAACTATTAAACCCTATCGGGAAGAAGTTGGGGGCTGAATGCCATCTCTAAACAATTCGACCGAGAGTTCGATGACAAGTGCTATAATTCAGGGCGCACGCATCTAATCTTTTCAAATTTTCAAGTCTCTAGTAAGGATGTCGAACTGACCTATTGAAGTCAAACAGGTCGAGGACTGGGCGAGAGCGGCGGCACTCAATTTCTCGGATGACCACAGCTAGGGGTCCTTTTTTATCTGTATCAGTACCACGATTCTAGTTGTCATATTCAGATAATGTCATGTTGCCTTAAACTCGATGATAGCATTGATGACCCGACAACATGGACGACATGAAAATAAGACGAGACTGCACTGCACTATATATAGGAAATTTCTGACCAGAAGCAGCCATTTACCACGCCCTCGATTCAGACTCTGAAAGGGTAGCATACGATGATACGCTGTGATACCCCCCTCTCCTCATTCTGCCTTTTCCGACCGCCCTGCAGCCGACAGTTTGTCTACTGAATGAAGCCTTGTATCATTATTAGGCGCTCTGGATAAGTATGTACCGTATTTTTTCTTCTGTTGGAAGAGGTTATTTGACTTTGCAAGCACGACGAATATGCCCTCACACCAAGTTGACGTTGACCCTGAATGGATCGATCTCGATAAAATCCGGAATTGGATAGATGTGTGTGCTACAACACATGGCGAAAGGTGTAGAAGAGCTTCATTTCCCGAACCCGACCATTCCTATAAGCCCGACATCTCTCGGGGACTTGATACCTCTCAGGGCCCCGACACTTCCCAGCAGCTTCTTGGATGGCGAACACTGAGACGAAGATCACATGTAATGCCTGGAGGTCCAGCATGGCTCATTGACGTCCAAGATGCATGTGTCGTGGCAGCAAAAGCACAACGTTACATTGCTTTGAGCTACGTATGGGGTAATGTCGAAGGGACTGAAGCAAGGCGAAGCAACTTGAACATGCTTCGGCGTCGTGGTGCCTTAGGTAAACGATCCGACCAGATAATCGTACCCAAGACCATCAGGCATGCAATGGAGCTTGTCAGTCTCCTAGGAGAGAGATATCTATGGGTTGATCGTTTCTGCATATGCCAGGATGACGCAGAAAGCAAACACTCCCAATTGAGTTTGATGGGCAACATATTTGAGGGGGCATATCTCACCATTGTTGCTGCTAACGGATGGGATGCCAATCATGGCCTCAGAGGCATCAAAGGGGTCACAGAGCCTCGTAATGTGACCTCACAGCTCATAGCGAGCCCGGAGTATTCAAGCTATGTAGACCGTACAAGGACGGCATGGGTAGGGCGCAGAACAAGATTGCGTTAGGATTTCCGCTAAAACTTGACAGTATTCCCGCGGATGGACGTTTCAGGAAATGTTGCTTTCACCACGCAAATTGTTATTTCTATACCAATTTGTGCTTTGGGAATGTTCAGGCACGGTTTGGCACGAGTGGACTGGCGTCATAGGAAACCCCCTAAGCCCTTCGAGCCCGACCATAGCACCATTTGTTGGGAAGCGTTCGTTGGAAGCGAAGCCCCTGCAACAATACTTAGACTCTGTTCGCCAATATGTAAGTTGCATCACAGCCTCTAACCTAGCTTAACCCAAACATCTGTCTCACGTGAAGTACTGATATAGCGAAGAATGCCAGAGCGTTGACTTTCCCTGAAGATGGGTTGAATGCGTTTTTGGGGATTACGACTCGATTCACGGTCTGCTTCCCCGACGGGTTTTTATGGGCCTTGCCCATTGCGATGTTTGATAAGTCTCTCCTTTGGCAACCAGCTGAGGATATGACTCGGAGGCAGTCTAAACGGAGCGACTCTATCCAGCTCCCGAGCTGGTCTTGGGTTGGATGGCAAGGACTCATCCAGCACGATTACTGGGACAGCCAAGGACGAGCGATCCATTCGTACCCGAAATTTAGGCCAATGTGTATATTCGCATATACTGATAATAGAACTACAAAGACCGTGCAGGTGACGCCCAGCATCCACTATATGGAACCCCTGGCCAGACAGCCCAGCCCGATACTTACAGTACACGGTCCTGTGGCGAAATGCAAACTGCAAGGCGGTGGCCAGAATATAGGTATTGACGACCGAACTGCAGAAATCAACAGCCAAACTTGGGGTTTCGGCTCCCCCGAGAGAAACATCAGACTGTTCTTTAAATGGATTCGTGGGATAGACTCTGGCGGCGATGGACCCCTACGTGGGATGATGTTCATGCCGTATGGTCTATTTTCCGTCACTGGAACGGTGGAGTGCGAGTTATTGATACTTTCATCGACAATCTCTCCGCTCTCTGAGGAACCGCTTTGGAAACACATTGGTAGGTGTGATCCACGTACGGTTGACCTCAAGAGTCAGGGTTTATACGACTAAGCAAAAACCCTGCCTCACGACCACCCCCTATCACGACCACCCCCCCTGCCTACTAATTACCCAACTTCTGAAGCGATTTTCTCAACGAATACGTTATTCGCGATGCTTTTTTTGGTGTTTTCAATTAGATCTATTGTTTCTGACCTTAATAACCTCTTTTGTATCGGTATCCTTATATTTTAGAACGTATCGATCGGCAGCTTCGTTAATATATATTAGACGATTGCGTAATTTGCGTTTTACCTTTTATATATACGTTATACGAACGAAGTTATCGTTAGAACCTATTTTAATTAATTTTTACGTAACCTTAATATTTTTTTAAAGTTTAGCTTTTAACACTTTAATTTTTATTTATAAAAATGTAATAATTTTAACCTTTTTATTAAAGGCCTTATTAGCCTTTATAGAAAATAACCTTTATAATAGATTATTAAACGAAAGGAAGGTTTAAATTAATTTCTATATATTAATCTATAATTGTTAACTTTTAAAGGGTATTTTAATTATAATTTTTAAAGTTATTTTTAATAGATTAGGTATAATAAATTATTCTTTAACTATAAGTATTAATATTATTACCTTTATAATATCTTTTTTTTTAAATATTATAGTTATATTTTAAAAATAATAATATTTATTAGTTTTTTAAATATATTTTAACTATTTTTTATACTTTTTTTAATATATTTAGCTTTATTATATCTTTATATATAACTTTATATATTATTAATATATTTCTTTTTAAAGGTTTTATTTTTAAATAGCTTATAGGTATTTTTTATAATTTATTTTTTAACTTTTTTTTTAATAAATTAAAAATTTTAATATTTAATATTTAATAATTATAATATATAATTATAATAAAGTTTATAAAATAAAAATTAAATCTTATTTAAAAGGTAAATTTAAAAAAACTTATTATTAATATATAATTTATAACTATTATATATTAATATATATTATATATTATTATAATAGCTTTAAATATAAAGTATAAAAAGGTTTTATAATTATTTTAATATTATAAAATTATTAATTTATTTATTAAATAAATATTTAAAATATTAATCTTTAAATAAGCTTTAATTTTAATTTAAAAATTATTAACTTTATATTTATATACCCTTTTAAATTATTAATAATAATAAAGTATTATTAATAATATTAATAACTTTAAAAATAATAATTTATTTACTTTTTTTAATAGCTTTTTTAAAAGTTTAATATAAAATAAAGTTAATAACTATTTAATAATTATTATTAATATTTTAATTTATATTTATTTTATTAATATTATAAAAATAGTTAAAAGGGATATTTATAATTTTTAAAGCTTTAAAATAATTAAAAAAAAGGTTAATATTAATTATTATTATATTATTAATATATATATATAATTAATAAATTATATTTTAATTAATTTAACCTTATTATTTTAAGTTAAAAAATATATATATTACTTTTTTTTAAAGCTTTTATTATTATTTAAAGTAATTAATATATATTTAACTATAAGTTTAAATTTAAAAAGTAAAGGTATATATCACGGGTAGGTTAAATCTTAAAGGTCAGGTATAATGTTATAAATCTCTTCAGTCTTATAATAGGTATTTAATAAAATTAAAGCTTAAAGAAGGGAAGAATTTCCTTCGAAGCATATACGGGAGGAGTATATAATATATATAAAGTATATATACTTTAAGGGCCTTAGGATACTATAATATAATAATTACTCCTTTCTCCTTAATTAGGTTATTCTTAACCTAGTATATAATTAATCTATTAATTAAATGTAAAATAAAAAGTCCAATTATATAAATATATAATATAAAATATTATAATAAACGTATTAATATAGTTTATTTATATAAAGCGTTATTATAGTAAAGGTATATAAATATTAAGTTTATATTTATATTATAAATTATATATGCTATATATTACCTTTATAATAGAATTTATATATATATTCCTATTAATTATTTATTAACTTTTTATTTTCTTTTTTTTTTTCTTTAATTGTTGCTAATTTTAAAAATTAGTTTTAATTAAAAACTATTACATCGCTTCTATTTTTACTTCATTTCCCTTTCTTTTTTTATTATATTTATATTATTATTACTATTATTTAAATCATACCTTTTAAGGGTAAAAAGGGTAAGGGTAAGGCTTAAGCTCCAAAGAGTAACTATATTACCCATAATAGTAAAGGTAAAACGTTACTATTATTACCGTTATCTAAGCATAATAAGGATATAAATAAGGAATACGTTAATAATAAAGCACCTACGCTACTACCACTAATACTACTAGTATTACCAGTTCCACCAGCACTACTAATACTGCTACCAGGCAATAACGATAATAACGATAATAACGAAAAGGGTAATTCGGGCTAAAGCTACAGCAGATCCGCCAACCCTCCACCTAATAATTATTTAAACTATAGGGGTAACTTAGATATTAAAAATAAAAACCCCTAAAAGAAATATAAATAATCCATAAGGATAAAAAATTAGCGCTATAATAAACATATTAACCTTATAGCTATACTACTTATATTAATATATTATAATTATATTAAGTATATTAAATATATATATTAGCTTAACCTTAATCTTTTATTTAAATTTAGTTATTTATTTAATAAATCTAACTCCGTTAATTATTATAAATATATTAAAGCATATTAAATATATAAACCTATTAGTATTTTTATACCTATATTATATATAAATTATTATTTATTTAAATTTAACTTTTACTTATAATAACTTTTAAAATTATTTGCTTTATTAAACTTCTTAAATAGAATTAATAAATATTTATACCTAAAATAACTATTAATAATATATAAGCTATTAATAATAATAAAATAGAACTTTAATCCAATTTATTTAAATTTTACATTAATATTATAACCGTTTAATACTACTTTATTAAATTATATTTATACCTTTTCTTAATTTATTAGAATCGTTTTAATATAATTAATAATTAAGCTAATAAAAAGGTATAAAGCTATTTTATACTTATTTTAAACTTATTATATATTATAATAATATTATACTTATATTTAAATAAAAGTATTTATTTAATTATAATTATATTATTATTAAATAATAATCCGTTACCTATAGTATGATTATACCTATTCCAATTAATGCTATAAATAACTTTACTTTACATTCTTTTTATATACGTTTTTAACTTAAATAAAATGCAGCTTAATATTAAAGCTACTTTTAAATAATTTCTTTACGTATATATTTATAAGATTTTAGTTTAATTATATAGTATACCTTTATTTTATTATTTATAATAAAAGTAAAGACTTTTATAATTAAGCAATATAATAATACCCAATAGGGCAATATTTATAATCAAATAAAGCTTTATAATATTATTAATTTTAATAATTATTAAATTTAACTTTATTTTATATATAGTTTAATAATAAAGTATAATAATTTTTTAACTTTAAAAGTAAAGGTTTAATTCCTTTTATATTAAAATAATTAGTTTTATTTTTTTTATAATTAGTTTAAAATTTTTAAAATCCTATTAGGCTTATTTTATATCCTATATTAATAATACTAGATATAGTTTCAATTTATACCTAATTTATTATTTTTAATTTTCTTCTTTTATCTTTAACTTTATCGTTTTTTAAAATCTTTAACTACCTTTAACACTAAAATATTAGATTATAATACTTATTAATTATATTTAAAAGGCCAGCCTTTCCATTTAACCTTATAATACTAATCTTTATTATATATTATTTTACTTACTATATTTTTAACCTTCTATTTTTTTAAATTATCTTTAAGGTTTAATATAGGTAAACTATATTTATATTTAATAATCTAAAGCTTAATTAATTAAACTAGAAAAATAGAATAAAAATAAATATATTATAATAAAAAATTAATATAATACGCCTATAAATTAACTTTACCTATAATTCTAAAAGGTCCTATATATTTAAGTATTAACTTTTTATAATAAAACCTTATATTCTTTATTAATAATATAATTAAATCTCCAACCTTAAAGGTTATTAATTTATACTTATTATTATAATATTCCATATATTATTTTAATATAATTTATTATTATTCTACTATTTTATTTTTAATTATTTCTAACTTATTAAATTATCCTTATATAGTTAGAACTTCCTTTAATATAAAGTTATCCTTAATAAATAATCTGAATTTAGGAATATAGCTATATAGAGCTTCAAAAGGTAACTTTCCAGTTATTAAATTAACTATTGAATTTATAGCAAAAAAGGCTTATAAAAAAAGTTAAGGCTAATTAATTTATTCTTTATTAATAAAACATTATAAATAACCTTTAATTACTTAGTTTATCCATTTTATTTAACTATTAATTTTAAAGTAAAATATAACTAAAAGGTATTGTTTTATTTTAGAATAATAATAAAGGTTAAACTAAAATTAGCTTATAAAAATAATACCTTTATTTAAAACTATACCCTATAAGCTGCTATATAAGCATTTAATTTTATTATAAAAAAGAACAGCTAATTCTATTAAAGTAATAATAATATTAATTAAAAATAAATATATAAACTTAATAAATCTATTAATAATAATTAATATGAAGTTAATTGGTTTTCCTTTATAAAAGGTTTTAAGCAAACCTATAATAAAGTTTATAAAGAGTTCCTATATAGGTTGATTAAAAATTAATAAAGCATTTAGTTTGCTATATTCCTAATAATATTTTACCTTTATCTTAAAGCAGATTATATAGGATTTTATATACTCTTAAACATTGCTTTATATATTTTTTTAAAAGAATTTATAACATAAAAGTTCTAAGGTATAGGTTTAATTAAAGTAATTAATAATAGGTTAATTATAATATAATTTAATAAGTTAAAAATGGAAGGACTTTTTAAAGGGAATATAAACCCTTTCTTTATAATAAATTAGGTCTTTTTTTACTAACTATTAAAGGTCCGTAACCTTTCTAGCCTTAAGTTAGTATAGAATTGCTTAATATTTAAGATCTTTCTATTAAACCTTTAGGATTAAATTATTTAAATCTTTAAATAGCTCCAGGTTTTTACTTTTTTTAATACTTATAATTATTTATACTTATTTATATATAATTACTTATATAAGAATAATTCGTTTAATAGGTATATGTATAATATATAGCTTACTAATTAATACCCTAAAGTATGGATTAAGGACTTTAAATTGCTATATTATAATAATTTTCCTTTTTAATATAGGAAGAATATTTATATTAATAAGTAAAACAGTTATAAAATTAAAACGGTATAAAGGTAAATTAGCCCTATTTTTTTTATCTACCCTATATTTAATAATAAAG